GTATTATTAAGAGGGCACTAAGTCGGCGCCAAAAATGATCTTGGAACCTCTTATTGGTGTAGAGAGTGCTATTACCGAGGATGATATCAACAATGGTATGTACGGCGACATCTTATGCGTCTCATATGCACTTGATGCATAATCGCTGCTGGGTTTATGCAGTCGGCGTCCTACTATAGAAAGGCGATCATATAATTCACTCAGAAGCCTGTAAATCCACAGTTTAGTTGATCCAGTACTACAAAAGGAGTCAAGTGCCTATAATTCAGCTACACATCCCCTAGGTTTACTTTATTTAGTTATCTTGGATTTGTACCGGGAATGCTTTCAAGCTACGCATGGGCGTGTCTAACAATTGCTTAATAATGAGGGGCATCAACTGACTTGAAGTAGTATCTTCGTAGGAATGGGTGCTTGGCATAGCTATACTGTTTCAAATATCTTTCTTTTTTTTCTCACCCCGGTAGTCCGGATAGAATTAAGCATGCAACTCTCAAACCTAAATTTGATTTCGGATAGTAACTTTTAAATTATGCGCGTACGGCAGGTCGTTAGCAATGTAACCTTTTCAAAGTCTCGAATAATAAAGTCAACTTGACAAAGCTGAAAATTGTTCAACCAAGGAATGTGTCTTTATGAGACCACAGGATTAAGGTTAGTTATGTCTTTGGATTAGCCGTGGATCACAAAGATCAAAATTAGCGACATTGACGTTCCAACCTCGCAGAAGCCTACTCTAGGGGTTGGCTGGCGTATGCGGGTCAATCCAGAAGGCGGCTTGCCTCCAGCTTGCCTGCTTGCCAAATGAAACAAAAACGTTTTACGTTAAAGAAAGTTTGTATGTAGGGGCAGGCAATTATGTTGAGACACATTGGCTCATATGAATGGCCCGTGGCGTTCGACGGAGGAACAGCACGTTACACAGATCCGAGAGCTACCGGTTATGAGTGCAGGATCACATGTTGTAGGCTGCTTATCATTACATAATGGGTGCGCGTAGTATGCATTGCTTTTTATAAGGTAGCTCATCGCAGTAAAAGGCACCCGAGTAGTTTTTTCCTTTCCCGCCCGTATGAAACATCATTCCGGCGGCAGGCATGTTGTACGACCACAAGGACCGAAGCGACACCAGCTTATGCAGTTTTTAGCGAGTACAACATTCAGTATTTCGTTCGCCGCAACGACATGCAGTGCAGTGCATATCATGTAATAACCGGGATCAGCGGCTCTTGCAAGCACCACCTCTTGCAGCGTTAATTTCCGATATTGCCTGGAATACTAATATGTTTGAGAATAGTTGTTTTGAAGTAAATAAAGTAAATTGATTTGTGGCATTGCTGGTTTAGGTGATAAAAAAAGATCTGGATGCCACTTAGAACACCCACTGCGGATGATTTGGAGGCTAAATTTCCCATGCAGGAATCAATCGATTCACGGCTCTGAAATATAGCAAATGATGGACGTTGGCCATTGGTAATAAGTAGATCATGTGAGCTTCAATTCGCGTCACTTGAGTTGCGAATTACGATCATAAAGGCTCACAACATGGGATTCATCATGTTGGATGCTGCTGGTGACTAAGGCAACTGCAAGGGTGTTCCATATCCAGCGTAAGAGGAGGGTATTTTCAAAAGTCTTCGCAAGCAACTCTTTTGGATTCACCGCTCCTTAAGCCCACAGTCGGACAGCTTCGACCGACGATATAGCTACTATACATGGGGCTGTAATGCGGTGTCTACCTGGCTAAATAACTTGCAACGACACGACTCCAAGGATGGGCTCGAGGTTTCCTGTCGCTCTGGTCCCTTTCATAATCATTCGGAAGGCGACTGCGACTTGCGGGCTGTCATGTCTGGGTCATCATTCGCCACCCCCATTTCCGCGGCCTTGGTGGCCTTATTTTCCAGTTCTACGACGTCAATAAGAGGCATGCTCAAACTCCGGCCCGAAACCCAAAAACTATTCAAAACGCGAAAAGCGACGGGCGTCATCCTCACCAAGATGAGCGTCAGGGGATAACTGGCACGATGTAGCTCCCTGGGCCCGATGGGTGATGATGGGGAGAACTTCCTCGATTATTGAACTAGCACGGAGGGCCAGTCTTACGTCAAATCCTTCGCGGAGGGGCGTTCCGAAGCCATAAAGAAAGCAAGATATGAATCAGGCTCTGTGGCGACCTCTGTTTTTTGTATCTTGGCGCTGTACATAATTTATATCAACGCATAAGCTTACATAAAAGTGCGACATCAATGTCTTCGCGATTATCGTAGCATTATCTCGTTCAACGAATCTAGAAGGCATGATCCAACACTATACTTTTTTAGATGGCGATAGGAAAGTGCACCCTACTAGGACACTATGATTTACAATAGAACCACCGTATGCTCTGGTGCAGCGTAGTGGAACCAATTCCCATGCGAGCTGTCGACCGCTTGTGTAGAATGGTGGTTTTGCATCGGTGGAATTGTTCAACGGTCCCGTGCCACGGGTATTGTGTTCGAAGCTTGAAAGTAGCTCCCGCGGACGGGCCACCACGAAGGCGGGGGTATTGCACCGCCTCAAAGAATGGCCCGAGTTGGATCGGGCGAAACAATCTCCACCAGTGCCCACCCTTGAGGACACGAACTCAATCCATATACACAAACAAAGCACCCCAATTAAAACCTCTCGCACGTATTTGTATATTCAGGCACACATCCAAGAAGACGAAAATTTCTAGGGGAGGAGGCTCGCCATCTCTGTGCTTGAAGCATACCCTCGTCATTGCATGAAACTGATCAAACCCGGGGCGATTAATCAAAACAGTGCCGACATCACCGCTCAAGGCCGAGACGAGATGCGCTTTGCTCCAAAGATTCCCGTCGATCGACATCATCTTGACCGTTACATGTTGGGAGCGAAAACATTGACAAATTTATGGAAGTTGGCTGAACGTAAACATCGGCAGGCGTCACGATCAAGGACAACACCAGGGCCACCGGCGCCGGTATCTTCCCTAACAAGAAGGCCGGTGCCTGGATCCAGAGCTACTTGAAGCAGTATCGGTCCGCCACACACGCGGATCTGAACCTCTTTTTCTCCAAGAACCCGCCTGCGGACACGCTAGGCCAGTGCACATTACCTCGCTGCGCTGAATTTCGCCAAGGATGGGTGTTGTATGTTTACTGGAACTATGTACGGAAAAGAGATGGCTAATTACAACCTGGGCATGACTGCTGTTCATGAGACGGGGCATTGGCTTAGTCTGCTTCACCCTTTTGTAAGTATACGGACCAATCCTTGATTATGGCATCCGCTATAGCTTCTTTGACTGCACACTAGTTGCGGACGGACCTTTCTTGGAAGATCTCTCACAACAAGCACTTGTTTGACATCTAGCTGAAGAACGATATGATCGAAGAAGGCTAATATTAGAAGACGCAACTAGACCGGGCATAGCTGTGCCCTAGCAACCAAGGCAACGTGATCGCGGATACGCCATAGGAAAGCGCAATAAGTTATAGAGGCGATAAGGAGAGAGATAGCTGCCCTACGATTGCCGGAGTTAATGCTATCCGCAAATACAGTAAGTTCGCTATAGTTAGACAAGAGGCGATACTAACATTAAAAGTGGACTACTCCGATGATTCGTGTTATACTTTATTTCAAGGCCAGTCAGGCGACATTAAGAGTCTTCCAGTTGGCCAACCCGAAGGATAGTATACTAAATAAAGGATGAAAGTATGAAGTATCTCCGCATTTTATTTACTGGTGTTCCTGTTGGATTTTGAAGCTCGCTTCTTTTCCGAAACATAGTCTCAGTCTATGATTATCATTCTTCGGACTAGATTGCGTCCTTGCTAATCTGTCTTTGAAGTCAGTCTCTTAGCGCTCTTATTACAATAAGTAACCGCTCTTATAGCGATTTTTTGGCCGGATAGACGTGGGAGTTAGGCTTAATACAGGCAATACGATATTGAAGTATTCAGTATTTCTCTGTTCTACATTAACCGTAACATAACCAGATTTATGTGATTCCAGAGACGAGAGCTCATGGTTGTAAATAATATCTGTGCAAGGTTGAAAGGGTATGAAGGACAAAGTCTGCTGTCCATCTATTGTTTTTCGCACCTTTAGACTGCCAAGGTAGAGATTTTTAAAGGGCATATTCTTACGGCTGTTTCGCGGCTAGTCATTTGATCGTGGTGAGACACTCACAGTTTTCCCGTCTTGATACACAGCGGGATAGTAGTTAAAACTCAGACAGGTGGAAGTGGCTTGTTAACAAGAACATCGGGGAAGCAATCCTGGGTTTCTACACCGACTTTTTGACCGAATTTGCCTTTATTGAGACAAACCGACAGCTTCTGTGCTATCTTGAATGCGTTTATTTCCCTTATTAGCGTGGTGCTTAATTAACAATCTAGATATTAACCTGAAGGCTGTTCCACACCATGAGGTTTAGGCCGGAGATCGAAGAAGCGGTTTGTAACAGAATTGAAGGAATGAGCTTGAGTTCAGCATAGATTTGTATCTACCCAACCTGAATGGCAGCATCACATAGTAAATGGCTTGGTTCGAATATGTCACGCAAGCGTTAACCTCAATATCCAATGGAAGCAATCCCACTATTATCAGCTGGTCTAGATATAAGCTAAAGCTAGAATTCGTGATCCACCTAAATCTTTTCATGGGGCGATTTTGCCATGCACCGAGGACGTTAATTCAAGGCAATGCCCTCTTGCTACTTCAAGTAAATGTGTTTGTACAAGACAATAACCAAACACCAGATTAACAATATCGTTTTTTTCCTCGGTCAATGTATGTTGTATATTTAGCTGCTCACCCAACTACGATATAGTGTGAGACTATTTCTTTTTGTGGTCGCGTGCATATCCACCCGTCACGAAGATCGAGATTGACTCGAAGCTAGGGTAGAAGCTTACCGCCTTGAAAGAAAAGAAAAAGAAAAATGGATGCAGAGGACATCCGACGCATTGAAGTTACACTTAACGAGAGAAATGTAGTCATGTCGTAAGCGTTCACTGTTTTGACCCGGGCCATTCTTTGAACTGCATACTCACTGCATGAATCCCAGAGAGGTATCGGTACCACCATTGTTTAAAGCTCTAGTTTCAGTTCTTTGATGTTCAAGCAAGCTTGATTGACTATATAAGGAGCACCCCAACCGAAAGTAAGGACAATCATCAGACACAAGTCACAGATCTACTCATTCTTCAGTAGAAAGTACCTCTCAATTCGCACCACTACCCCCTGATCTCACAAATAAAATGTTGAAGAATATTGCAACTTTCGTCATCTTGGCCGCGGCTTTCGTCAAGGGTTTCCCCGTTGTGGATAATACTGCCGTTGAACTTGGTGCCCGCGATGTCGAGGTGAACACGCGTGACGCTTTCGTAAGCGAGGAGCGTGACATCGAAGCCCGTGCGTTGGTGAACCTTACAGGTTTTGCAGACTTTGAGGCAATAGACACCAGCGGACTTGGTATAAATGAAATTGGTTACTACGGAGGTCTTTTCTGGAGAGGTATTGGTAAGATATCTAAAGAATTTAAAGTAACCAAAGCAAACTAGCTAACAGAAACGAATGTAGCTGCCGTCAGTGCTGGTAACGGCGGCCTTCTCGCTGCCATTCGGCCACGGTCACCGACTAATGTGGGCGCCTTCGGAGCGCTTACCAGATTGCTTAACGGTAGAGCCTTCATCACGTCTAGATTCTTTGGATCTAGAACCCAGAGCTTCGGCATCAGCTCGTTTTTCTTCGGCTGCAACGGCGCTGCGCTTACACTTCCCGTGAGCTGCAGAATTGCAGTTGCTGGTTACGACAGCCTTGACAGGCTCGTGGCTTACCAGACGTTCACCTTCAACCCCACTGACACAGTTATATCCAACATGCAACCTGCGATACTCAGAAGCTCCTTTAGCAGTGGTCTCACCACCATTAGACTGGCTACGGACTACGACGGCCTCAATGTTCTGGGTTCGACTTCCTTCGACAACATCAGGTACACTATCATCCAGGACAACTCTGCCACCCTTGCCCCCACTGGCCGCCCTATCAACCCTATCGACCCTACAGTCCCCGCTCTTACTGTCAACCCTACCCTCATCATCTAGGGTTTGTTAAGCGCTTACATCCATTGTCTATGGGGATGAAGCAGAGATTTTAATATTCTTCTGGTAACTTGCATGGATGATTCACTACTACGACGCTTTTATTGCTACGGCAAAGTAGCTAAACATCTAGCAAGTCTTAGATGCTTGAATGAGTATGATGTCATGAAGTATGATCTTGCTCGCCTACAGTGCGCCCCTTGCGCGAATCTTTTATTCAGACAGGCCAGTCAATACACTCTTTTCTTTCTACCAAGTATTATTGAACACGATGTTGAGTGATACATATGTACCAATCCTATTTACATCGTGAACCAGTTCCTTGCAACAGTACTAAAGATGAGCATGATTAAAATCAGTCCTCGAAAGCTCTCAATACAGCCCGAGTATATGTTCATAGCAAATATCACTGAGCTCTGTCCTTTGGATGCTGCTCGTTCTCGAAGTACATGGGACTGAATGGATGAGATGTGTTCATGATCACGCCACAAGTATCATATGACAAATGTAACATGTTTATTCTGGGGACAAGGTTCAAGTTAGAATACCTACTCTTTCCATGTCAATGACGGATTACTTCTAGGAAGGTTCGCTACCCATCCAGCCATGAATTGTACGAATATTACAGCATAGAAAAATGAGGTACATGTTGGATCCTATTCCATGAGGAAGTGGCACGTCAAATTGAGAGTAGACTTATCAGCAACGGATGCGTTCGTACAAGAAGGCAATGGAAGCTGAGACTGACGAGAAAGAGACGAAATTGAGCTATTGTGACCAAGGTCCGATAACACGGTTCCAACATCTCTCAGCTTTGAAGACATGCCTTTCCCGCGTTTGTACTAGAGATTCCCTGCCAGTCCTGAACTAAAGAAACAGTACAGACTCGTTGCAATCAACACATCACCGAAAAGTGAGGGAGACAAGACTTTGAAGAATTATAGTAGAGAACCACTGACTACAGAAGGTTCGGAAATGATATTGCAGAGCGTAATTTCATTCAGAGTCGTTATGGGTAACGACCGTGGACGTGCAAGGCCTTCCATGTGCCAGATAGCCCGCCCAGGTCTTACTCAGCACGTGGTCGCCGCACGGGATGATATCCGTTAGCCGCTCCGAGACCTCTTCAGAAATACGCGAGATGGCCGCCACCGCATTATCCGTATCCTGATATCGTACCTCGTCCGTAAACTGCTTATAAAAGAGATACGTAGTATTTGACTGAACTTTGCGAAATAAATTGAATTGCCGTTATTTTTTAACTTTATATTTTTATAATAAACGATACAACTTATATAGTAGTAAAAGGAACGTGTACTATTATTTTATTAATAATGTAATGTTTATAAAGATTCTTATTATAATGACTGTAAGACGGTCACGAAAAGAGGGCGACGTAAGTGAGGTGCGACGACGAAAACCAAAGACTTGGATTAGAACAAGACTGCAAACTGGCGGACTAACTAGCGACAGGACGGATAGGACTGATATATAGCATCTGGCAGCCCTAACGACTTGGCGATCGTTACATTAATATTATAACAAGTGTTACGGCTAAGTAGAGGAACGAAAACGTGCTTGCTATATACCCCATATATTGAACCAGGACTACTGTCTTGTCCCTTGGTTATAAGCCTTATGATGAGCTCGCAGGCCCTTTCATGGACTGATTAATAAGTAAAGAGCGGAAAGGGTGTGGTAAGGATGGAAGCGATGGCTATTTTATCTCGGGTTTACTAAATCATCTTAACTCATTTGAGGACAGATCATGTAACAGTCAAAATGAAGAAAGGGTGGAGCAAGTCTGCTTTGTCCGCGAGCTATGTGGATATCTGGATCCATCGCCACCCTCATGAATGATTCCACGATATTAGAGATGTATGGTGAAGAATTCCAATAACTTGGGTAGGCTCAAATCGTTATGATCATAAAGATCTGTGTGTATCATTCCCAGAACGAGGAATAGTTCGTTGGGCTCCTCAGCTATATCAATTGCCCTCTGACTCATATACAATGTGTCCGCGTCCGAGCCAGCAATCATCAGTAGAGGCCGTGGTGAGATGAGGTCCATGTACGTATAGCTGCGATAGGTGGCAAGCATTTCGAGACTACGCCACAAGTGCCAGTTGGGTGCTGCGTTGACGTGACCCCGCGGGGTCTGATAGTAATCGTAGCTTTTCTGGTAGAAGACAGGCAGTTGTGGCATAACATCGGCGGCGGTGTTCGGGAAGATGCGGGTCAGATTTGGTGGTACGCCTCTTGCCTCGGCCAGATGCTGCCGATTGGCTTCGGCGAGTTGGGTCCGGATATTAGGCAGCATGGGGCCGTTGAAGCTACCGAAACCCTCAGAGTTCAAGGTACCAAGGTCAATACCGCTAACGGTGGCAACAGCTTTCATGCGCTCATCAGTCTGAGCCGTAAATGGGACATACCAGCCCGAGGCGCAAATACCGAGCACTCCAATGCGGTTAGGGTCCACTGAGTCAAGAGTCTAGAGGTATGTCACAGCGTTGCGGACATCGTTGGCACGCTGATAGGGGTCTTCGAGATATCGAGGGAGCCCGCCGCTGTCAACTTGATAGGCTGCGTCGAAGTCTAAAGTTATGAAGCTGGTGCCCTCGGCTATCTGGCTCGCAAACAAACCTGAAGTCTGTTCTTTGACACCGCCGTGAGGATGTCCAACCACAATCGCTGGACGACGACCCGAAGTGTAATAGGTAGAGGTGTTGCTTTGGGGGCTGAACAGGTTTTCCGCAATGTATATCCCATCTCTATCGTAATGAACCCATTGAGGCTGTAGCTCGGCGACTGCAAGTTGTCCAAATGTCAGTGCGGCGGCCAGCATAACCGTTGGGCATGGAACGTTTCTTATTGACCATTTTGACTCGATATAATTAAAAAGATTAAAGCGGAATGTAATTCAGTTGCTAGCGAGTCCAGAATTAGGTAGCCTGAGTAAATCAGAGTGAGAATGTACCCACTGCAGCAATCGATCTTGCTTCAGGACTCGGTCGTCTTTTATAGAACTAAATCCGGGTCTTCTAGAATAACAAGATAAACCTGACGTTAGCAAGTAATACAGGGGTATACGTCACATTCCCATGGAGACACTATGCTTAGTAATGAATGACGATAAGGACGTCGTAGTCTTGTTTGAAAATCCATATTGGCTGTTGTTCCACAAAGTACGAACAGGCAGCAGTTCTCGTTTGTCACTAATGGTAAGTTATATCATCGCTAGTGGTATACTACTCGACAACTACCAGGTAGGAGAATTATGTTGCACCGAATCCAACAATCACTCCACTTTCCGCCGTTGGGCTACGCTGAGATACATACTTACTCGCAAGGTCAGTTTAAGGCTCACGGGCTGCTAACATCAAAGCTAATTGAATCAGCTGACAGTGCGGCATGCCTTGTAGTCCGGCCCAGTCTCGGGTCGTCGGCAGGTGGGGGCGCTTATCGTCATATTGAGAAGAACTTGGACGCATGATCTTGTTGCAATTGCAGCCGCTCCGTTAGGGATACCACCTTTGGCCGCTCCTACGCCTACCACCCCACCCCCAAGCATACTCCCCTTTCATTACTGGCAAGCTCTATTTCTTGGCTTTCTTACCGTCTTGCGTATAGTGGCCCGCGTGCATACAAGCTACTGGTGGTAGTGCAGACCAGAGCGAAGATTGCCTGAGTATCAACATCCGGACAAAGCCCCAAAGCGGAGAACGTAAGAAGGCTGTCCTTATCTAGATATATGGTTGTGCCTACATCTTGGGTAAGCTTAAGTCTAGCCGAAGTCTAGTACTGCAGCATCTCTGCACTTTACTGACCTCTCTCTTCAGGCAGCTCCAGCGAACTTGGGTACAATGGCAAGTTCATTGCAGACCAGACTGACTTTGTTCTGATCTCATTGAAGTAAGTGCCTGACATTTTTCGATCATCCATCCTTACGTTATCTTAGTTATCGTCTTAACATTTTTGTTTTCCCTCGTAACCCCGCGACACCTGCAAACCTTGGTTTGATGGATAGGAGACTGGCAATGAAACGTATCCGTAACAACGTTGAAAAGTTTGGTGGCGATGTCGACCGCATTTCTGTCTTCGGTCAGTCTGCAGGCGCTGGGACGATAGATTTCTACTCATACGCATGGGCTGAAGACCCCATCGACAACGGATTCATCTTGTTGAGCGCCACAGTTAATGGCTTCCCGCACTTAGCAGCGAGACTCAGGCTGCAAAGTGGTTCCAAATTGCTGCCTCTTCGGGTTGCAACAGAATAGATGCGAGTGACATCACAAGATGCATGCGAACAAAGCCTACGAATAAAATGATTGATGCTTTCGGCCCTGAGGAGACAAGCATTGGTGTTAACCCGGCATTTGGGCCTACAGCTGACGATACAATCGCATGGGCGAATTACGTTGATCGCCACGCTGCGAAGGGATGATATTTAGTCGGCAACACTGAGAATGAGGCAGGGCTTTTCCGTACTTTCACACTAGGGCTTAGCGACGCTTACTGGAGTGACTTTAATGGCCGCTACTACACGTGTGCAGATGCAGTCAGAATCGGGCAAGCAGTCGCGGATGGGAAACCCTCTCTGGAGATATCGTTATTTCGGAGACTTTCCTTACCTGGCTGTCTTGACTGATCTCCTAAGTGGAGCTTATCATGGTTCTGATGTGAGCACTTACAACCTTATATTTGTGATGGAAAACTTATAGTAATATCTCCTAGCTCCTGCTTCTATTTGACACAGTATCTCAGGACCCCATCCAAAGCACACAGGAACAGGTGACCATTGGTGACTACGACCGTGGTGCCTGTGCTGCTTTCGCCAAGGACACCTCAGAGGGACTCCTGACCTATGCAGGTGGATGGCCACAATACGTTTCTACTCAAGAAACTCTAATACGGCTTGCATACCAGAACCAAACTGTTCCAATTTAGCCTTGGGCAATGGATACGACGCTATTTGCGCGACTATACCGGTGACACCATCAACGTCGTAGATATCTCCCATAAGTTGATCCAAGGATATTCCTGGCTTCAACTTGTTTTCAATCCAGTGATCTGGCAGCCCGGTATAACGCAACCTGTAAATTTGTCTGGGGTGTATTTCCTCAATCTACTTACAATTTACATATTTCGTTTACTTTTATCTGCCACCCTGGTCCTAAGTAGAACTGCCACAAAATTTCTCCCACGCTGCATAATGATTTGTCTGTTTGTAATCGCATCTTCTGAGAGTGGTGTGTGGCGTCGTTAGTGTTGAAGAAAAAGGGTGAGGCGGAGTAGAAAGTATCGGGATTGCATCGTTGCGCCTGGTGCTAAAAAAGTCGCATCAATTCGATTTAACGTATTCCTTGTTAAGGCTGGTTGTATCTAGGTGGATGCTTTCCACGCCAGGCAAAGGGACATTTACCGTTAAGGAGATGTCGTAAATTAACGGAAGCTGTCAGTCGTATCAAGTAAATCAAGTGTAGGTCGCCAAGTTTTGCCCCTCTGAAAGAACGGCGACCGACTCTAAGTCACCCATCACCGCTCCCATCTTTGTAGCTCTGAAAGCAATTAACATCAGTTTGTAAAATGATATGGATTTGCATGTGATAATGATTGACCTTCCGAGATGGCAATATATATCCATTCTCGCTGTACCACGCTTAATGCCCTACCATAGAACCCGATATCTCATTGAAACGTTCGCCAACAGGCTTAGCAGAATCCACAATCTTACGCATTTCTTTTTTTTCCTCCTCTGTAAACTCAATATCTCTTGACGCCCAATTCTCCTCCAACCGCCGTGCTTTAGTCGTGCCAGGAATGGCAATCATACCTTGCGCAGCAACCCAGGCTAGGGCAATCTGACTTATCGTACAGCCCTTCTTGGTTGCAAGTTTCTTAATCTCATCAACGATGGCTTTGTTTTTATAGAAATTGTCTCCTTGAAACTTGGGGACTACCAGAAAGATGTTGTCAGCAAGTAAAGTTTCGACGCAAGCGCATAACTGTTTGTCGTAAGTGATCAAACCGAATTTCACTTACCCGTGCGACGAAAATCACCTGGGGCGAAGTCATCTGGAGACTTGAAATCAAAATCGTCAACGAGCCACCCATGGCCCAACGGGCTGAAAGCCACGAAAGCCACATCCAGCTCTTTCGCAGCTGCGATCAGGCCTGTTGACTCGTGTCCTGTCTCGAAAGCGGAATACTCGGCTTGAATGGCATCAATCTTGGCGACTACGGAAAACAAATTAGTGACACAAGCGCAATTATGATGAGGTAGATGACCTACTCGAGTTCGCTTTACGCAGGGTTGCGGCTGAGCATTCAGACAAACCGATATACTTGGTTTTGCCTGCCTTTCGGATCTCATCCAGCGCCGGGATGGATTCTTCTAAAGGACAGTCTGCGCAAACATATCAGCGTCCGGGGCCAAGAATTATGCACGTTGAATACTTACTAGGATCGATGCGGTGAAGGTAGTAGAGATCAGGTGCAAAGCCGAGTCTCTCGATAGTCCCCTCGATATACCTTTTGATGTGAGAGGGAGAGTTATCGACGAATCTAGCCGCGCCAAAGACTTCAAAACCGCACTTCGAAGCGACTGGTTGTCGAGGTGATCAGTAATCGGCCTACACAATTTATTTTCTGCGAAATACATACTGAAAAGCTTATCGCGCACGTTGTGCTTCCTGATAAAGTCTCCTAGTAGCTTTTCATTGATACCGGCCCCGTAGGCAACCTGTGTTGGATATATCAGCTCGAGCGGCCCAAATATGTCTGCAGAAGAATCATGGACATACGGCCGTATCCCAAAAAGTACAGCCAAGCTCAATGGCCTTCAAAAGAACCGGCTCGGCTTCCTCGTAGCTGAGATCGTATCCCATGCTACTGCTCAAGCCCATTGCACCAAAGCCAGGAACCGGCACTTGCAGCTTGCCGAAGGGGAGTGTGTGCACCATCTTATGCGAAATATGGGGAGGACTGTCGACTACGAGTGAAAATGTACCTGCCAATAAGTGCAGCCTGCATTATGCAAAAGGTTCAGGTCAGTCGGTGGCACAGTCTATATATAGGTAATATCAACGGTCCTGCGTTCCATGCCTTTCAGAAACTAACCGTCTCGTAATGCAGATTGCTGACCTATACCTTGTTTTGTATGTGCTAGTCAACTTAAAGTCGAGCGGATTCAGTCTTTGATCCGCACTAATGTGAGCTTCGTACTTGGCCTCACCACAATATTTTGGATTTTATCGTGTGGCCTTCTGGATACTTGTGCCAATCTTTACTAGTAGGTGCGAAAGTTTATGTAGGCAAACACAGTCACAATAAATGGTCCCGAAATGCCAAAATAGTGCGATAGCATCTGTTTCCGCTCGTAATGTTAATACTACACACAGCTACGGCCATTTTTCTTTTTCAGAGCTCCTGGGTCGAACACTACAAACGTCGTGGCCCTGCCATAAACAAGTCGCGGCCCTCGTGAGACCAGTGTGGGTGAACGTTAGTGTGTACTCTTGGCCTTGAAAACATTCTGTATGTGGGGTCGTGCGGTGGCGTGCAAGCAAGCAGATGCCGAGAGGTGCTAGTGAATCTAACCTAGGTTAGTCCATTTGAGTATCATCATCAACGGCTAAAACCCCAGCCAAGCCAAGCTCATTCATGCAAGTGGGTGACAGGTGCATATGATCACCGCATGAGATCCTGGTCCGCTGTGCAGCGCTCGTGCGCTAGTGTGCGATAAAGTTAGCGCTCTTATCTCCGCTCATGTCCGTTGATAAATTTGGTCGACGGTAGTGGCACGTTCAACTTCCGAATGCCATCCACCTGCATACGAGCTGGAATCGCGTGATTGCGCAAAGGCAGATTCGGCACATCATTCACCACCAATCGTTAGCTTCATTCTCTGTCAATCATGGATCATTCCATCGATGGTATCTCTAACCCTCTATGGCTCTGCCCCGTTGACGTGGGCAATGACGAATGGCGAGGCAAAACTAATCCTCGCGAGCGACGAAAAATCCAGAATCGGATTAACCAACGGGCTCGCCGTAAGATGAAGACTGTCTCAGATGACGACACTTTTCAATGTATTTGCTAAAACTTAGGACTACAGGCACACGCCGACGCAATCCGCTTGATGACTTTGATATCACTTATCAAATTTTTGCTGCTATCCCCGATAACAGTCACAGATCCCTACCGGAATTGATCGGTGCAGTATCAAGGCAGGAATTGAGTCTCAAAGCACTCGTCGATGCCATCGCAACCCTTGATCTCCAATCGCAGGACAACCTGGCCATCATCAGGGCCTTTGAGGGTATTGCTTATCAGACCAGAACAAGCAATGTCCCGTTGCCTAGAATGTTGTCAAGCCTGGCTCAGTTTAACATCTCCCGAGCTCTAATGTCGAATGCTGAAATCTTTGGGTGGACTGCTCAACATTTGCACGATGATGCTCTTTCGCCATTCGTTGTGGCAGGCCCTTGGCCACCAAGTGTCCACGTACATAGTACCCTTCTACCTTCCGGCCTTAGACCCACTACCCTCCAGTGTACTGTTGAACATCATCCTTGGATTGATTTGCTTCCCTTGCCCCAGTTGCGAGATAACATGCTCAGGCGAGACGTCGATTCTTTTGACGAGGGGGCTCTATGTCGCGCTTTCACCGGACGTGGTCATGAACGGGGCACCGGCATCCTGGTATGGGGAGAATCATGGGATGAGAGTGGCTGGGAGGTGACGCAGGGCTTTGCTCAATCGTGGGGCTGGGTCATTGCCGGTTGTTGGGATCTGTTCCGATCTACAAATACGTGCCGCGCACAAAGGGGCGAACGGCCACTTTTCAAGTTAAATTGTTGATATTTTGTACATCTCGGTTGTAAACAGTATTTTTCTCAGAACATATCCCTTAATGCAAGGCCTTGTTTGACATTTCTGGTACTTCTTTTATGACAAGAATGCTCAGGTGCTTTCCTTCAGGCGCAGTTCACTCCGATTGGCACAATACTCAGTGTTACCTTGACAGGTGACACGTATTCGCTGATGGTGAACCATAGAGTGTTTTTACTAGCCCTCAATTGACAAATCGCCAACACATCAATTCTTTTTTTCACCCTTCCTATAGCACGATGACTCGGTGCCATTCCTGCCACAGGCAAGATGAGGTCCACGTGCTTCACGCATTTGCGCGAGTAACGTGAGGTGCCTTATCTATCAAGCTCCAATCTGGAAATCTACAGTAGCCATTTTCTTCGAAGTTACGTATGATACGTAATAATCGTACAAAAAAGAAACTTCAGGAGCCGCTGCGTTTGACCACATTGGGTAGGGATAGTCCCGTAGGCTAAATTAGCGAGGTTTTCACATGATCATGGACAGCGAGGAAGCCACCATTGACGAAGCCAACTGGAGTTGTAACAACAAAGGGCTTTTCCGATGGCTTACAAAGTTCAGACGTGATATAGATTGTTTCCGCCCTCAGAATCACTCAAGATTGCGTCGTCGGGAGTATTAACTTCTAGAAGGATTTCGTTGCAGGCGCTACGTTGATGCTCTACAGTTTCTTGTTCATCTTCACTAACCTTCGTCTAACCTTAGTCTAGTCTAGACTAGTCTTGGTTAGAAGCCTTGAACAACCCCCAATCTCGGTGCCATTCGGCGGCCCTGCAACAAATTGATGACTTCATTTGCTCAAAGGATACATCTGCTTTTAACGCTCTAAATATAATCCATTGCAATGAGCAAGCCCAGATTTAATCCGCTTTGCTAGGAGTTTGAGGGTGGGGGAGCAGGGAAGTCGGAAAAAGCTTTTCAACGCCACTCACTGTATCAATCATCTTATCGTACGTATCTAACGCCCGCGACACAGTTCTCACATCATTGTCACAGACCGAGATTAGAAAAGGACAGCTAGATTCCGGTGTCACATTACTTGAGAAGTTTTAGAATGGACACAAGCCATGGTGGCTGCCGTCTCAGAAAACGGAGACCATAGTACACAATACAGACCTAAGCATCATCCGGAGCACCAAATGCCTAATAGAGTAGTAAATCAATCACAGGCGGCTAGTGGCGGATCACCGTGTTTAACTTGCCACAGTCTAACCACTAAAGTGGCCTTCGCTATCTCTAATTAGCTACCTTAAACTGTAGATAGCTGACAGGGACAAAAACCAATTCAGCAGATAATGACTTTGTTGGCCGTTTTATGCGAATGTCAGCAATTGGTAGATTACGTTCAAGTGGACACTTGATTTGGGTTCAGCAAAACTGGTTTCCAGGTCTGGAATGATATTGTTCATATTATAACGAATGTGTAGGGATCATGCCGAGAAGACTTCTCCAAAAAGAGCACGCTTATAATGGTTGAACTAAATGTTCGGTTCTGCCTCCGATATAGCGGGACGTACAGTACCAATTAAAGGACAGGCGCTTGAGGGGAGATATTCTTAGGGTAAGTGAGAGAGATACATATGATTGAATATGGTAAGAGACTCTTAACGACTTGCTCGACAAGTAGGGATGTACTGTCTGAGTTTCCGGGCCTACAAGCGTGTGCGGCCGTGCTAAAGACAACACAGAATCACAAAGTCCTGTATTGATATGCTAGACCAGGTCCTGACAATTCTTTCGCTAAAGAAACCGTCGCTATGCACTCCATCATCGTACCTTGAAAAATCCAGTCCAGAGTCCCGAGGACGTAAAAATACCACGCGGGTCAATTGCTCTCGAAACCTCGATTAATCTCTGCTGGTTCTCTTGCCCGTAACCACCAAAAACATCTTGTCCTCTGTTGGCATAGTTAATGTAAATAAATGGATGAAAGGCGTCAACATTTTCTGCCGCTGCGCGAAATTGTGCAATAAAGCTGTCCGCAAAAGCGTATGCAGCATTGTCCATGGCTCTGTCGGTCCAACTGAGAGCAAAAAGATTGACTAATGAATATTGTTATAATTAATTGATGGTTCACATGAATACTGCAAGAAACGCAGAACATGAGGAGGAACTGCGTGGTGAATGAACGTACTAATGAGATGTCCCTCAACGTCAAGGCCGAGAGCATTACCCCCTCTAGTCTTCGACATCTGCATTGTCATGGCGGGAATGGAATATGTGATTAGCTGCGGATTGAGGCTGGTCAAGTTTCCTCTTTCTGTGATATCTTTAAGAATGGCAAGGGCTTGCTTGCTTAACTCCACAGATGGATAGTGCGTCAGATAGGCAAAGAGATTTCTAGTTTTATCAGTGATTTGGCCGTCGACACAGGTTTACTTGTATTCTGTGCGCTGTGTGTAATAGAATGCTAGATGAGGGACCTAACATACCTGGTATTTCCCAATGGCCCGCTGAAGCTTGTGCTGCTTGCTAAGCTACTGATACCTCCCGTGAGGTTTCCTAAAGCCGGGATACTATTAAGAGCATCAAACACCGGGGGGTTCATTACAGGCTCAGCGTAGCGCTGAGTGCTCGACATAGTCCAGCCATTCCGGGCGGAGAATGTATATCGGTATTCGAGGCCGATGTTTGTATCTTCGAAGTCCTCTATCGTAAAAATCTTTTCGGCTTCTTCGAGGAAGCGACTCGTTTGATCATCGGCAAAGGTCCGCGACCCAGCGTATAGAGGGCCTTGAGGAAACACACTAACATTGAAAGACGTTACAATGCCGAAGTTGTTACCACCACCTCGAAGAGCGTAATACAATTCGGGATGGGAGCATTCAGATACTGTAACACTCGTCGCGTTTGGTAGTACAACCTGCTTTGATTAGTAAAGGGAAAACAAAGGAAAGATGTGTGAGTCATGTCGAGATTGCCTCACCTCATACTCCAATACATGATCTAAAGCCCATCCATATTTTGCCGACAGTACAGATGTACCACCGCCAAGGGTGAACCCGCCCATACCAACTTGGCCGACTCTTCCCCCAATATAGGCCAGACCGAACATATCAAGAGCAGCAAATACCTGTTTCGTGAGAGATCCGCCTCCAATACGGGCAGTCGTTCGGTCATCTGAGATGACTATAGTGTTCATTAAGCCTAGGTCGATGGTGACTCCGCCAATAGAGACAGAGTCGTCCGGATATCGCGAGTGGCCACCACATTTTACGGCGAATTTGCACCAGTTGTTCACAAGGACTTGTAGAACTTCGGAGACCTCGTCGGTTGAATTGGGCTCGACACGGCAGACATACACGGTCTGAAATTGTTTCTGGTCCCAAATCGTAAAATTGCTGTCCAGTGCTTCATAGTACACCCTGTCGGGCAACTCAGATGCCAATGTCTCACACTATTTCGATTAGACATAGCTTTTTTGCGTTGTACTAGCAGGGGGGAATCAGATTCTGTGCATACCGCCTGCTGGCAGTTCGGACCAGCATTGGGAACAAGCAAATCTCTTGGTGTTACAAGATCGGCTAGGACTTTCCCTGCAGACAGAAGCCCGCTCAGGTGAATATATGGCAACTTCATTGTAATCGCCGTGAAAGTTTTATATCAGTAAAGATAGAAGAACATTCAGGTTTGCATCAGCTTAGGAAATTTGGAAAACCCGCGTCCATCAACCCAATTTATCAGAACGCTAATATGGGCTCCGATCTCACTTCCAATTCCCAACATTCCTACGCCCCTCTTTTTAGTAAACCTACTTTCAACGTAGAAACCTGATACGGCAGGTGCTCAATACATCAGCACTGCCCAGAGACTGGTGTCGATATAGTGCATTCAGCCAACGTCACTTCATGGAGGTATGGTAGCTATCAATCGGCTTGAGGTGTGTATCAATACTCCAATCAGAAGCCTGTGGCACCTTGATGCGGCGGCTGTCCCTCGGGCCTTGCTCTAGTAGCAGCACTGAATATACCTACACGGCATCTGGTTGCGGTCTGCCAGTAGCTGGTGTGCATGAACCGAGGCAACTCTACGGCCTTGGGTATCTATGCAAGTGGCGATAGATCAGTCGGACTGACTCTCTTGTCCTACTTGATGCCAACATGTTTACTAGGTCAATATGCTTCGTATCCCTGCCCATAATCCCGTACACCCCCTTACGCTAGTCTCAAGTGGGTACCTTTACTAAAGGCAAAGCGGCTCATTAAGACTGCATCAAGGTTTTCGGCCAAGTGGCGCTAATGTAGCCTGCTGACAGCTGCATGAGCGGAAGGGCGAGTAATCACAACGGGGTAAGTACGGAGTTCATGAAAACAACCTTATTTCCCCAGACGCCTCTCTCATGATCGGTTTTAAATATGCGCATGCTCTACTTGAGCCAGTATGCCTCATCCGGGCTTGTGAGGCAGAAATTTTATGCCCCTCTCCCGGCCTTACACATCATCAGATAGTGCCGGAACTGGTAAATCTCTTCATGACATACCTGTGAGACCCATACTTAGATTAGTAACTGGGTGGGCGAAAGCCCTTGCTCCTGAGTAGCGAACGAGTACGATATGTTGCACTTATGCGTGTAGATAAGTCATATATTGCGCTCTTGCCCAAATTGCATTGTTCCGTTTAAAGTGCAACCTGCCGAACCAGGCACAGTTTACCCATCAAAACCTGATCCACCTCATGCGTGCTTCACAACGTGGCAGCGTATGGATATCAATAACTGGGTTCTATAAGAACGTAGAAAAACAGCGACACCTTCAACCAGCACTTTTCTGCCCTCCTATATTCCGAGCTTCCTACGCGCATGAGTTGCTTTCAGGCCCATCATTCACCCAACATGAAAGTCATCCTTCTTCTCGCCGCCTTGCCTGCCTTTGCAGTTGCCGTCGCAATCGACGCTAGACAGTGCGATCTTTCAGAGTGCGACAGACGTTGCGCCGCTGCCGGCCTGGTATGCAATCATCCCTATTGACACGGATTTTCTGCAATCATACTGACTGCATCGCTTCCCAAAAGTCTGTCCGGGGAGCCGACTGCTGGGGCGCCGCCCTAGTCTGCGACTGTGCGTAAAGCTTTGGGTCGATCGTTTGGTCCAACCATTATTTAGAGCACTATCACATTGTCTTTGGACTTCTGAATGGAGACTATGGACATGAAATTTTGCCCGTTCTGCCGCACAAGATTGTTATGATTGACGTTCATGTCGGAAATAAAAGCGCTCGGGCATAATGGAGATAGAGACCGCGGTTGAGACCTGAGCCCAAATTCCGTGGCCGGGGCAAGCCACGAAACGACCTATTCACATCGGTTTTTATACATCGAATATCAACACCAATCCCTCCAGCTTAAGCTAGTTCGTGCTATCGAACGTTTGATTTGTAATGTGATGTTCATGTAAATCGTGTATTGTCTTGTCTGAATTTCTCCCGGCACACCCAAGATATGGTAGCTCATCTCGTGGAAAGGACTCCAGCATGACTAAGTGCTATCAAACCGCTATAACACGATTAATTGGATGAAACGTGCCCTTATATTGTAGGGAGTCATATCAGTACGTATTGAAGCTAGTTTGAGGATAAATAGAAGGATGGAGAGCTAAGTTTGTCAGTCTATCAGCCTTGCAATGTGGTGTTCACCTCTAGTTGCGTCCCCGCTCTCTCTCTAACTTCGTCGAATTTGTTTGCATAGCTGGCCTGAATTATGGTGGTTAGGCGCTAAAACTTCCATAGGCTCAAATATCTACTACTCCTTTAGCAACTGCACACAAAGTTTGAGTCCGTTGCTGGCAGGGGCGTATAGAGAGATGTGTGGAGTGTTTTCCAATGGACAAGCTTACCAGATTGGCTCAAGTAGTGGAACCACCGTAGGAACAACAAGGATTAGCAGTTGCTCTGTCTGTCACTTACACGCTCAACTAGTCTCGAGCGCCTGTCTAGTAGCATGAAGTGAAAAGGAGAAAGTGATTATCAGGTGGCTACCTCTGAGAGCCCGTGCGCCGAGGACGCCGAGAGCAATAGTTCTACAAGCGGTAGAGCATATCTCATGTAAAGATCTCAAGTTGATTATAAACACTATCGATATCCCAAATCCATGGTCAGAAACTATTTCGCTACCATTTTCACTTGCAAAGGCCGTTTGACGCCGAAGCTGTCTGAAATTGAGGCCATGAGGTTAAGTTCATGTTTATCTTGTTTTAAAACTACGCACGCCCCGATCTCGTCCGCATTATATCAGTACAAGTGCTACGGTCTATCGTAGCTAACAATTCTTCAGTAGATTGTCTCACGCAACCAACACAAAATGACGATACGATTCCTGAAGTTAAGAGGGTATCAATAGTACGTAATGGCTCAAGCCACACCCGTGACTATCGAGGCAATGCCTGCACTACTGTAAACTTCTATATTACAATCATACCTTATGCTTTCTAGTAATTAAAGACCCACCTGACCTAAGATAGAACAGGCGACTCTGCAGTCTTTTGTCCGTAGCCTACATCCGTCCGAAGAGGTTTCTTAGTTGAGTCGGTGTAACGAGGCGCGCCAGGTAAACCTTCCGAGCTGCAGGTACACATACCGTGGAGACAAAAGCATTCGGTTCTGTTGACATGTGCAAGATGCATCAGAACACAGGTGAATAGATCTCCAAAGTTATATGCATAAAATCAAATCAGATCAACTTTTGAGTGTTACGGCGAGCGTTCACAATGTTCTTCCCGTCAACTTCCCAGACCGGGATGCATATGCGATCTCACAAACTAGTCTAGTCAAGACGTAGACATGTCTGCGAGCGCCAGATAACGATGCAGGCTGGCAGATAGCCAACTCAAGTTATTACAGTGTTGACAATAATCCACCAAAATTGCTTTTACTTGTCGGAGTTTCTGATTTGGTCTGACTACCTATTAATACATTCGATCAACACCACCTATTTGCCCCATAGCTGTCTCAGCACTATGGTTCATAGATAGTGACGTATTTTCTAACCCTCTGTACGCCATATAATGCCGATCGGGAGTCAGTCCTAACCAGCACAAGTTGTCCATGGTTTTCAGCGTTTGTAGCAATAATAACGCGATCATCTCTGTCACTGAACTTGTCCAGAATGATGAAGTAATTGTGGTGTAGTTCTGGTACCCAACCAAAGAACAGACTTTTCAGCACGGCGTTAACTTGGTCTGGCGTTGCGTGCAGCAGTCCTGGCGCCATTTCGGGCGTTGACTTGAGCGGTCTCTCCGCTGGCCTATCAATAAATGGTGGTAATAGCTCGGCATCGAACGCCAGTCGCGTGTCTGGTACGCTTTTTTTGGGGGGGGGGGAACCTCCTCGTAGACGTCTTTAAGGATGCTGTTCACCGTCTGCGATCCCGGGTATCATCATCATTATAGCTATCAAATGATCAACATTCCTGTCTATTACGCACCTCGAAGCTGATTTCCGCCGCAGTAAAGATTGGATAGTACGGGAAACCCATACACCCGGTGTTTCAGTCCGCACTGGGCGGGAAGTTTGAGACGTTCAGGCTTGACCTACAGACATGATCTGAGCTACGATCTGCCGATCCCATACCCCACGAGCAACGATTGCTTCGTTGCGTAGTTCCGTTGCCGATGTCTCTCCATTCTCTATTGTGTCAAGGGCAGCAAACGCCGGCATGAACTCGCATCGGAACCGAATTTAGCGTCTAGCTACGACTTCATCCCCAATGCGGGTGTGTAGCCACAAAACAGGTGTGACCGTCCTGAGCTGTGATTGCCTCGAAGCGTGCGATGGCGTTCTTGCTGAGGTCACTCTTGGTACCGACTGTATCAAGGACCGGGATAATTGAACGTGCAATTGCTTGACTGTCCCCATGGAACTGTTCGGATATGCGTTTGATGGAGCTTAGGGCCGTTTCGCCGCTTGCGTCTCGGTGTTCAGCTGACAATCTTCTGTCTTTTGCGACGAGGAAACGTTTCAACTGTTCGATCCACAGCTTCAGGATCTGTTTGTGTATGTCAGCATTTCTTCTTGGTGGTTTGGACGCGCGGCTTCGGGCTTTCGACGTGGATTCTCTCTGTGCAAAAGGCAACAAAGGTGCGATTTCATTGGACTGGCTTCGGGTCGTTGTGTTCCCTTGTTCTTAGAGAGAAATCGAGATTGTAAAAACGTGAAAAGTGCAGAATGAGGATTTCTTTGAATCGTTTCGTGCTTCGTGCAAGCACTTTACTTACGTGCCGCTGTGGTCGCCTGTAGCGACGTCACAGAACTTGGTGTAGGGAGTTCGCATCATGTGCCGCTGCGTCCTCCCGGAGCAGTACATGTACAGCCTTGTCAGATTGGCCCTGATGTCATATTTTGAACATTCGTGTAAACTAGTCTGGAGATGAGAATTAATCGGCAGCCGCAGCGGCGACGATGTTAGTTATCATGCAGTAGGATGCCGTCTACGTACAATACACTCCCCGTGCAGCAACCCAGGCAGGATTCCTGGGAGGTATCAGGCATGCAGCATGAACAACTGCACAGCCTATAAGTAACTTCACTAGATTCAGGGCTGCAAGGCAAGCCAAGGGCCACAGCAGCGTGGCAACTCCTTGCCGCCTTGAACTCAGTACTAACCTAAGGCTGGACTAGACTAACCTAGGTTAGGCCTAGTCTAGAATACCCTATAACAAGACCTAATGGTGCAAGTTGCAGGTGTGGGACAACGTGTAACGTGTGCGTAACGGTGCACTCAGTAAAATACGAGCAGTTCCCCGCCAGTACCCCGCCCGCATTTATTTTGTGTCGGGACCAATATATCCAATGAGTTGTATGTACGATATGTGGCTCCTGGAAACGGAGACCATGCGACTCAAACAATCTATGACGACGAGGACGGCCCGGCATATTCTATCCTGTCACACACCTGGGCGGAGTTTGAAGAGCAGTCCTTTCCAACTCTTTCTTCATTGACCAACACAAATCATCTCATCGTCTAGGTTGGGCGAAAATCGGAGGTAGCTGTCAGCTCCCTAAACGGCGGGGATACGAATACAGCTGGATCGACTCTTGCTGTAGTTATCAATCATTGAAGCAGTACAGAGCTCCAAGATTCCATCAATAGCATGTTCAGATGGGTCGGCGGCTTGTAGCATTTTGCCCGCTTCAGGTTGCGCAACCGCGCATAGAACGAATGATAGGCGAGAATAAGCTGGCCTCCATCAGGCGTACTCCCCATAACGGTGTCTCAACATATGGCTGGCTGCCACGTCACTGTCGATCACTCCTGAGCAAAGCAAGTGGAAAAAGGTCATGGCGGAAACACCATTCGCATCTGTCCCCTCTTCTCCTCACCCGCAATTCATCAAGTGGCCATTACGTACGACCATAGCCCGCACATTACTGGCTTCCACAGTCTTTACACCGTTTTGACTGGTTCACAGGCTCCCATTTTCAGCCCCCAGATATCCCAAATTCAGGCTCCCATGAACCAACTTCACCCACCTTTGTGCAAGAGCCATAAGTCTTGGTTCCATGCGGGTTAAAATGGGGTCCTTTAAACCAGTCAAAATGGCCCACCAAACTGTCAGAAAACTACTATACGTTCGGAGGTTCTAGGTCGTATGCTGAGGCGCTTAGACCCATAGGTCTGTTGAACTAAAGCGAATCAATTGTTGTCTAACCTTAGATAATTACCGAGCAAGCCCCCCGTGGATGGGCCGTCCCAATGCACTGTGGTTGTCGTAAGTGGTTGCCGCCGCCTTCTGCAGGTTGAGGCAGGCTGAGGCAGTCTATGTAGTTCAGCCACTGCTACGTCTCATCTTTGACACCGCAACTGTCTGTGATATTTATAGATGGAATCTTACGAGAGACAGCGCTGTCGTGGGCGAATTCGCGTGCCTCACGCAGCTCAAACGCGCTTGACACGACAGGATAGTCGAGCAGCGTACTAACATTTTTGGGGAGTGGACTTATTTGTTCCTAGCTTATTGCATGTGAAATGATTACCACATAGTATTCATAAATTATCTAAGGTGGCTTACAAAAACAGAGCAAGGCTTCGCCTCATTAAGTCCAGCGATAAGAGGGGCGTGGTGGGTTGACACCTCCTGCAGGTGGAGGCAGTCTGCCCAACCACGGCAATGTCATACGAAGCGCCTCACATTTTCTACCCCGCAGTCGTCCCCAGGGTTGAGGCAATTTCTCTCGGACTCATTAGAGTTGTCGTGATATTAGCCCTTGATAAAAAGAAGTTGAACCGATTAGGTAGAATTGGCAGCTCTAAACTACCTGAAATATGAGCACGTCACCAACGCCCTAATTGAATCGACCACTAACAAAGAAGGGAAGCTTATCTGCCAGAAGCGACAGTATCAGCCAAAGGCAGGCGCAGCAGACACTGCCACCTCTTGAGCGCAGGAGTGTTTTCCAATTGTAATGCTCTGTATAGCATCGCACTCGGTGGACACGAGCTACAATAAATCTCATCGTACTGTGAGGTGAGAATTCACGTACTTCGCCAAACTTTCGTCGTTCTGCTCGACGGACTTCAACACGGAGCAATGGAGCCAGTCGGATTAGGAATCGGCATCGCAGGACTGGCTGGGATATTTAGCACATGTCTAGATATGATAGAGCGAATCGACTCTTACAGGGATTTTCGTGTGGACTCGCGCGCCATCATATCTCAGTTCGACGCCGACATACTGTTGTTTAAACAATGGGGCAAATCCGTTGGCTATGATGGGAAAACCCTCGAGGATGACCACCATGAAAACCTTAACGACGCTGAGACTTTCTCTGCTATCCGGAAGATCTTTGAGATTATCCAAGACATCGCAGAAGATCTAACTGAAGGCTCCTCCAGTCAGCAGGACGGAGCAGAATCTACAATCTCTCGGGGAAAACTCAATGACTCACGACGCCGGCAGTTCCAGAAGCTTCGAGGGTTCGCATCCCACAGAACCAAGATAGAATGGATTTTACGGCACAAAGCAAGGTTTTTGGCCTTGTCACAGCAGTTTGGAAGCTTGGTGGGGAGCTTGCGCGCCTTGGTACCTCCTGAGACCTCAAGATCAGTGGATTCGGTAGGAGGACAGTTACACCAAGCAGACCCCTCCTCCCACAATGATGTTATGTCCAAACCCATCCGAGGCGTTAATGCTTCCTCACCTCACCTCGATTTCCAACGCCTTTGTATGGAGATAGAAAAACAGTTTGAACGTAAGTGTTCATGTATTCTTTCCTTGTCTCTAGCTCACAAATATAGGCCACATGAAGAAAGACCTAGACGACTGGCTCGGGGCATCATTTACGAATGCCACATATAGCGATTCTGTTGAGAAGAGATTACCTGACACTTGCAACTGGATACTCGATCGTGGAGTGTTCGTCGATTGGGAATCTGCCAATTTTGCATCGACGCGTGCCAAAGTCCTGTGGATTAATGGACCTGCAGGTTACGGCAAGACGGTCTTAAGTGCAAGGATAGTACAACACCTCAAAGCCCGGGATAATCTTATTTTGGCCCATTTCTTCTTCTCTGCAGACCTCGAAAACAGAGCGGATCCTTTCATTGTCATTCGATCTTGGGCATCTCAAATAATATCACAAAATCGAGAAGCTTTCGATATAGCTTGTGGAAAGCTCGAGGTCCAGAACGGACAGCCCGCATCGTCGACGGAAGTGATGGGATTATTCAAGGAAATCGTTCAACAAGTTCCGAACTGCATTTGCGTGGTGGATGCGTTAGACGAGTGCTCTTCAAAAGGAAACTGGTCTACGGTACAAAGCAACACCATGGAATCATTCATTCGCTTGACAATGCAGGCAATATCTGGAACCAGTTCTCAAGTGCTTATGGTTAGCCGTGATGATCAGGAGATCAGAAAAGGTCTCGCCCAAAGCAATACAAAAAATGCTGGATTTGAGGTGTTTGAGTACAAGATAGACCCAGCGGATGTGAAGCCAGACGCCTCTAAGCTTGCTTGCAGTATCGTGGACGAGAAGCTGCATAAAAAGAGCACAGCACTGAAAGCAGAAATCGCTGAGCGAATCGTTGACCGGTGCGATTCCATGTTCTTACGCATCAAACTCCTGGAGAACGATATTCGCAGTGGTAAAAACCAGAAACAGCTAGAACGAATCGTAGACCAAGCCCCTGCGGCCCTTGGTGACCTCTACGATAGAAATTGGGCAAGAATCATGGGCCGGTCAAATGATCAAGATCGTGCACTAGCAATCCTAAGATGGATAACCTTTGGTTTACGCCCAATCACAGTCTTCGAAATGACAGAGGCGTTGCTCCTTACGGGTTTTGAGGACGTCGATGATTTTGAGAACGAATTGCCAGATGAGGTTGATGAATCTTATATCCAAACGGAAATCCTAGAACTCTGTGAATCACTAGTTGAGACTCGAGCCGGCAACTCGACAGACGTCTTAGGTCTCAAAACGTTGCACCTAACGCATTTCACGGTACGGCAATACGTGCTTCTTCATCTACCGACTAACGCTAGCCAATTGATAGCAAATGGCAATCTAACATCATCGAATGAGTTATTTCAACACAACATTCTTGCTGAGGCGTGTTTGCGCTACCTAAGTATCTCAAGTTTATGGAACAAAGAACAGTGCAAAGAAGCAACGAGCGAGTTAAAAGGAAGCTTTCGGAGCTACGCCATGGATTCTTGGAACAAACATGCTAAAAATGAGGGATGCAACTATAGTGTTGTGAGTGAGCTCATAGTTTCATTCTTCTGCTCTGCCAACGACAGCTGGGAGGCCTGGAGACAACATTTCGACACCACGCAAGCTCAGTCAAGAATGTTACAATACAACGGCGACATCACGTTAGCTAGCAAAATATTCTACGCTACACTTCTTGGGCTACAAGAGGTATTCGAGACGTGGGTTAAAGACGCTGAGATCGACATAAACTACACCGATGAGTCTGGTCGAACAGCGATGCTTGCTGCAGCACATGAGGGACGGCTTGACCTATTGAAATCTCTTATCCAATACAATGCAGACGTCAACAAAGCTAGTACAGAAGGACGTACGCCATTATACGTGGCTTCTAGAAATGGACATATTGGTATTCTGGAGCTACTTGTGGCGAAAGGCGCCGATCTAACTATCACAAATAATTTTGGATGGACACCGTTAAACAGTGCTGCCGATAGTGGTCATATTGAAATAGTTAAACTGCTTCTCGAGAAGGGCGCTGACATGGCTATAGCTGACAATGACGGATGGACACCGTTACATAATGCTGCCGATAATGGTCATATCAAAGTGGTCAAGCTGCTTCTTGAGAAGGGTGCCGACTTGGATATAGCTAGCAAGAGAGGATGGACACCATTAAACAGTGCTGCTAGTAATGGTCATATCGAAGTGGTCAAGCTACTTCTCGAGAAGGGCGCCGACTTGGCTATAGCTAACAATGGCGGATGGACACCGTTAAACACTGCTGCTGATAATGGTCATATCGAAGTAGTCAAGCTACTTCTCGAGAAGGGTGCCGACTTGGCTATAGTTAATAATAATAGATGGACACCATTAAATAGTGCTGCTAGTAATGGTCATATCGAAGTGGTTAAGCTACTTCTCGAAAAGGGTGCGGACTTGGTTATAGCTAGTAAGAAAGGATGGACACCATTAAATAGTGCTGCTAGTAATGGTCATATCGAAGTGGTCAAGCTGCTTCTCGAGAAGGGTGCCGACTTGGCTATAGCTGACAATGACGGATGGACACCGTTAAACAGTGCTGCCGATGGTGGTCATATCGAAGTAGTCAAGCTACTTCTCGAGAGGGGTGCCGACTTGGCTATAGATAACAATGACGGATGGACACCGTTAAACAATGCTGCTAGTAATGGTCATATCGAAGTGGTAAAGCTACTTTTAGGAAAGGAGGCTGATGATTCTGCCGCCACTAATTATGGATGGACGCCTCCTCATAAGTCGGCTTCAAAAGGCCACTTGGACGTGGTAAAACTACTTCTACAGGAGGATGCCTATGTTTCCGCTGCGACTAACAAAGGATGGACCACAGTTCATCTTGCTGCTCAAAAGGGTCACGAATAAGTCGTGAGGATATTGTGCCAAAGTCTACATATTATCTCGCAGCAGGACAATAATGGTCGTACTGCGCTCTTCTTTGCCGCTATGTACGGCAGATTATAAATTTCACAGATATTACAAACAGAAAGTCCTACCGACCTTTATACTCATGATCATTATATGCTACTCCACTAGTCGCGGCTATACGACGTGGACACAAGCAAATTGTAGCTATCTTACTCGACAACAGTGCCACGTTACTAGATTCGAAGGACTATTTCGGCAAAACTATATATTTTTGGGCAAGCCGGACCGGGTATCTTCCGCTTACTAAAATGATCGAGCTTTACGCAACGTCGGCATCAATTCCTAATGATGGAGTTAGCGAAAGTGTGGCTTCCATATTGCCAACTCTGAACAGCATATCCGCATGGTGTGATGTTTGCACAATGGATATTGGTGATGATTGAGATCTTTACAGCTGTTTAATTTGTGGCTGCGGAACCTCTTTGTATCTGGATGGAATGTAACAAATTCGGTGTGCATTGTCGAGACCGAAGTTATAAGTGGGAGTTTTTGAGACGGCAGCAAGAAGTACATTACACTTAGCTTTAATTGGCCGTTTACAGACCCATAATTAATGCAACAACTTTTGTCCAGAAAATTGGAATTATGTGTGCCTCAACCTATATTCTGCCTTACCTACCATGTCAATATCTATTCGAAACCGTTAGTGTCCATATCCGAGGTCAATTGGCCGTTCTTAACGGCTATCTGGACAGCAGAGCGGAATATCTTCAGCGTGTTGAACTCTAGCAGTATAGCATATGGCCTCCCAAGTGTCCCTAGAATTGCCGTCTTACCCTGCTTGAGACCACACTTTACAGTTTCTTCAGTTAATGCCTTACTTTGGCTGGTTCAGAAGCCCCCCAATTCGCGCCTCCATGCATCTCACATTTAGACTTTTTAAAACCAGCACGACTCAGCTTTTTCACGTATTACTTGCCTCTAGCTTTTCGGATCTTTTAATAAGGCATGGGGAAAATATTTGGGCAAGAAATAAACCTCAGTCGCCTTATCACGGACATCACTTCTATTCACCTTGAAAACCTTCAACGATGTTGCAATGAATGAAGTGCGCGAAGTATATTGTCGACCGTAAGCACTTCTGAGAGAATATTTTGGATGGCAGACTGGGAAATACCCCGAAAGGAAGACATGACATACAGCCTATTATGTATATTCGTCATCAGTATGTTAATGGCTTATGAGAAGGTGGTGCGAAAGCATTTTGAATGCTTGAGGGGAAGATGATGGAAGCGAATCATGATGCCTCCCTGCTTGTTTGGGCTTTTTTAGAGGATCCTGACGAGGCTCGTTCTCAAATGGCCCTACATTATCTCATCACGTCCAGCCCGCTTCAAACACTGTGGAAATATAACCAAGCGCTGGTTCGACGAACTGTCTCTCCTTTCCTTCTGTTTTGTTCAAAAGGGATTGAATATCAAACTGCCTATCACACGGGACGTACGAGATGAAAATTTTGGTTATAAGATATTAAGTTTTAGACTGTGCCACGAACTGCACTGGGATGCTAAGGGTGAGATGCATTCTTCTTGCTGTACATTTGATCTCGATATCTACTCGCAGCAGCAATCCATCTTGGAACTAAGAAGAGAATCAAAAAAGCAAGTATTTGCGCACCGCATGGTGCAGACCTATCTTGGTATCAACGACACTTTTGAAGCATTCTACAACAGAGGAAATCGACACTTGTCGACCTACAGAAGATGGCAACACAAATTCGGGCATGTTTATAAAGGCTGTTCAGACCAGCCGGAGATATGAATTTTCTTACATCAGCGTCGTACCCAAGGAAAAGGATGCGAACATTCTCGACACCATGGGGTAGGAGATCGCAAGGCCAAAAGACCTTTGCCGTTATGGCGTCTCGAGGAAGTACACTTGTGGATGGGTGATTAGGCGCCCGGATTGTTTTAGCACCGGAGTGGCCTGTGTTTGCGGTGAAAGACTTCCACGGTCCCCCAAACAGTCTGTGAATGAAACAGATATTGCATTTGTCAGAGACTGGCTTACTCAGCAAGTACCCCTGGAACACGTACTTTGCTACCACTTCAACACCTTCTGGGGACGCATATACCTCGCGCAACCCGTTCCCGAAGTCCATGGCTGGCGAAATGTTCGAGGGGCTGTAATCTGGTGTCTAGAAAGAAAAACCTTTTCCAAGATGACAATTCGAAATTGCCTTCAGCCTCGCAAGGCCCCAAATTCTCTTGTCACACGGCATTACCCGGTCACTCGCACTGCTCACATGTTTACGTCAGCTACCTCCTATGCATTGTTCAGCCTCCCAAGCATCAGCCACAGACGACTAGATTAACAGTAAGCAAAAGATTCTAGAAAACAAAAGATACAAGTTTATTATAAATATCACCGCAAGATGAATCGACTTTGCAGACTTTTTATCGTGTCCGGGCAGCCATGAGTCATTAGTGGTTATTCTTCCAGATAATTTGATCAATTACTTCGCAAGCCATCGTATGGTGCGTTACAGCCATACTATAAAGCGTCTGCCTTGATGTGTAAAGTCCGAAATGTCGTGACTAGTGAGGTCGTGTAGGTGTCTATAGTTAGGTTAGGCTTAGATTTGACGGTCAATTTAGTTTCAATCCTTGGTTACCTACACACGGCGGCATACTCTTAAGGCCAGCGGATATTCACCAATGAAGTCTGACCTGGGTAGCTCACCAAACAACTGCCATACACTCTATGCAAAGAACGCAACACTCCGGGAGCTGCAAGCGGGAGAATGTACACTGCTTCACTCTATATATGGTTTCAACGTCAAACTTAGCATACGGTATTAATGAAGGAGATTTTGGAAGTTCTCTGAATGGCAAAGTTATATGTAAACACCAAGACTGGACTAAAGTTCGTATTTTATACTTCAATTTTTATTTTATGGTGGTACAAAAGGGTCCGTGAACAACGTCTCTTTTGGTGAAATTTGTTTGAGAAGTGTGCATTCTCCCACTTGTAGCTCCTTAACTTCGAGTGAGTCGAGCTGGCGTTTCGATCTGCAAAAGTGAAGCTATTGACCTCACATGAGGTATTCAAAAAAAAAAAAAAAAAAGGTTTGCGCAAATAAAAGATAAAAACATACAACACCGGGGATTCCCCAGTGGTCACCCACCTGAGTACTAATCCAGCGCTTCCCAGTTTATCTAGGGCAGAGCGGACGGGATGCCGAGTTTTCTAGGAGCTATGGTCGTATGTGGTAAATACAGGTCGTAGTAAAATACAAATAGAAGATGTCATGGGAACAAAAGAAAGAACGTAAATATGGGAAAGAGAAAAATACATAACACCAGCGAAAAGGGATTACTCACCCCGCAGCTTGTCACACCTAAACGTAGAAGCTATGAATCGCTTAACTAAGTGGGCCTGGTAAGCGCTTTTACGGTGCCAATTTTTACCCATTGCGGCATCCCCACGGTTTGATTGCCGTTCTCACATAAGAGCCTCGTCTTTCTCTTAATTTCTCGACAGACCAGAAAATTTCACAAAGTCAGCAGTAGGTTAGTCTAGGATTTCGTAGGTTACAACCTTTACAAGCCTCGTGCATCTGCTGCTCGTCCAACTACACACTGCGTCCTGGTATTGTCATGACGCATCAATAACTTTCCTCTCTTTTGCTCATGGCTGAATATGTAAACCTCGGAGACCTCAAGACATATATTGATAGTATCCAGCCATCATCTCAAAGCTTGAGTCTACAAGACAATACACGAAAGGCAGGCTGGGAAGTATTAGGCACGGCATTAGATAGTCTTGCCATACGTTCAGACCGGTTTGAGGCCGCCCAACTCCTTACGAAAATACCCAATGTCGCCCAATCCAGCCCAACCGTCCAAACTATGCTTGACAAGCGAAAGGCCATCTGAGAATCGTGTTGATGATCTGAATGCTCTAAATCGCCTATTTCTGAGAATGTAGAAGAGCACCCACAATCGACGGCTTTCTAACGGCATATATTATCAAACAACAGCGCGAAAAGGGAACCAGAAATGACCCCAGTCAATGACAGAACTACCACGCGCCATGTCGCTTCAAAAATCCAAAGGTCTGGTTAGCAGCCTTGGACGATATTCGGGGACTCTCTTGAGACTCAAGCCCACAAAACGCCAGTATGATGAGTTCAGAAAGCTTGAAAATTTCGCACTTATGACAACTTCTTTAGATCTGCGCTTCAAGACATGTGGCGTCTGCTTAATTTAATGTGCCGGGAGGAACACCCAGAAGTAGTTGGACGAAATCCACGAGTTACACGAGAAGCACCCTGCCCAGCTTATCGTCCCGAAGAGTTGGCCCCGGGGACGTGGAAATTACGCCTCGCACGTAAGATGGCTATGTTCTCACCCAACATAGCGGTTGATTCGCTGGCGGGGCAAGCAGTAGACTTGGAAAGGCTCCTAAAATGCACTGTCACCGGTGATGTGTTGCCCAATACATACTACCGGATCAACATTTCAGTCAAAAGAGATGAAGAAAGAACAGGCGCTGGAAAACCAGTGGAAAGTCCAGTTTGACCCTTGGAATGGGGTCTATTAAATCGGATGCTATATGATACTGAGGGTATTCACACTCCAAGACTTTGTGATATCATCCAGGAGGACCATTCTGCTAACATATGGAAACTGCCAAGACAGGGTTAATCAATTATTTGCACAAAGGATCAAAAAGGTGGTATATAGCGTCACAATCCGTTGTTTCTGCCGCGGAGAAGGGCATTCGGAAGATGGAACGATTGCCTAACACTACCAGTACTCCGTGTGATGAAGTTATACGTCATGGTAGCATCTAAAGCACCTGTGGTATAGATGCTCCGATGAGATCAGTTCAGCAGCGAGCTAGTCAGGCGGTCCTCATAGTAGGAAAGACATCCCACTCGGGATGTAGCACGGAAGCTACCATTACGGAGGCCGTCAATTTTGCTTTGACCGATTGGAACGAAAAGGGACACAGATTTAGTACTACAAAATTTATGCTTCACCCGATTACACTCAATCGTCTATCTATTCAAGAAACAGAGCGACTCCACAGGATTTCAAATCCAGAAAAGGACTTCGTCGACAGTGCTGTCAGGAAATAAATATTTATCGCTGTTATTGCCAGTGAAAGTGCAACCCAATGGCGGCCAATCCATCCAAAGGACAGCGTACTCTCTCCCATGCCGAGTTAGTTCAAGCGTTCACCAGCAGAGAAGCGATCTATGATTTTCATCGCTTGATCGCTAGTCTACGACGTACACTGATCTCCTCAGGCTCAACTCCGCTATCCTGTCCAAAGACCCCGTCCAGCAGGCTGCGGGACTAAATCAGATCGTGCAAGTGGTTAGAGACAAAACATTTTCATCAATAATTCGCAGTCTCCGAGCTAAGATGCGATTTGCACAACAATTAATAGTATGTCCAGGCAAGATCGTCTAGTGGCGGATTGCGATAAAATTGCTGAGTTCCTGAAGTGCCAAGGCAAACAGGTCACGAAATCGAGTCGCAGACAATTGCAGAATAGACTCTATGATTCGAGAAAATGGACCAAAATCTGCGGAAAATTTGCTGGGTTGAAATGCTTTTTTCCGTTTGAGACTATTTGGCAAAATCACCACCCGGATGTCATATACTGGTATATTACATGATCTGCTTCGGCAGAGACCTGTGTAGCCAAGTTTTCTAAGACTGGAGAGATCTTGAAAGGTCATCTTTGGACTGGGAAGGGTATATCAGTGTATTAAGGCGAATGGAACTCTGCACATCTGAACAGTTTGCCTTTCGAGGAATTGGGACAGACTTTATAATTTGAGTTCTCATATAGCGGTTAAGTACATGTACAAAACAGCCGTGTTGAGGCACCCATCTTGTATCGAACGCTGGTAAGACTATGTCTAGCGAGATGAACCGGGACTGGCAATCTAGATTCCATGGTTTGATAAAAGATTGACTCTATCTACTATTTACGCGGAAAAAGACGTCATAATTGCAACGACAGCAGTAATTTCAATTAATATCCGCCGCTCGCCTTCTATAGAAACGAGGCCCCGGTGTTTTATCTTAAGCTCGGGTCCATTGTAACCTCAAATCACTAAATAATACAAAACCACCCTACACAATTTATGTCGGTCAACACATTTACGGTCTATGTGCTAGAACTACACTAGGGATTGGCCATCCATATTGTCCCCCATAAAATCAAATTATATCAATGGCCAAGGGACTGGTGAGCTCCCTACAAAGCGATATCTTGTGAAACTGCAATGCGATAACTGTCCAACTCACCAACAGATATCGTTTATTCGAATTTCGCGGCAGAAGAATCATGCAAAACAATTGGTTGCCAATTTTCAATGATACCTATACCCCTCTTGACTTCGTAAAGGGGCTCTCTTCTTCGCAAGTACTGAGTACTACCCTTAAGCCTGAGGATTGGGAATCACTCTTGGTCCACAACTCGAAGTCTGATTGGATTCGTCGTCGTTTTAATGAGCGTATGGCTTGGTCCATGGCGTGGCTCTATGCAGTACAACTTTCAGACGGTTCTCTTAGGAGTGGGCGTTGCTCTTGTATGGGACGATGCACTTGGCTAAGAATGAAATCAGAGCCTGAGGATGGAGCTCCGTAGTTGGGTTACTCAGGTTCCTCATTAGCTATAAACATTATGTATAAACAGAAAATGTACTGCATGTCCAACTCGTGTGCCGTAATTGAATGGGTCCTTGGGTGCATGGGGGCCAGCTTATAGACCTGTGGAGTGGGCACTTTGGGAAACTCAAGGATAATAAAAAGAGGGTACTAGTTTCGCCTGTGACTGTACGATCTCGAATATAGAGAGGGCAGGTGTCCGGGATCATTTGTCGGGGGATGATTTGTACACAACGCAGGATTGCCTTTCGATGAACGGCATACCACCGCACTGGGCAGCAATCGTTTCGCTTGGGGTTCATTTGACCAAATTCCATAATTGCTGACAACTTCAAGTGCTGTTATAAGATTTATTGGTGGTTCATTAGACCATTTATTCTCAGACACAGACTTATGAAGACAATACGAGACTTCATGGCAGCGTTGTGAATGGTTCCAACGATCTCCCAGCCGTCTATGTGCATAAGACACACGCAGAATAAAGACGAGTCTATACGTTTGAATCCTGTTTGGTAGCATGAAAATCGATACAGAGCTGAATTGGACGGTCTTCTCCTATTGTTGCTCATCACCGTCATTGAATCCTTTTGGGAAGGTGATGCACGTATCCAAACATTCTCGGCGTGCGTGACTTCCCGTCATGATGTGGATTACAACTCCCGCGGGAGGCCGTTCATCTCATCTCATCGAGTGGCGAGATTAAGGAGGTTATACGAGGATGTATGACTGGTAGCCGTCCCATAACCTATCATTCCTTTTCGAAAACAATGGTTTTGCCATTCTCTCTTCCCTTCTCTACGCCACACTCCCACAGCGTCTCTTGTGGCATTGTTCAACCCCATAAGATGGATTACGATGTTGTAATGCACCTTGCTACATTATCTCGACCCGATCCCAAAATACGTGTAATATCATTTCTTAACAATGTGTATAAATAGTGAAGTGGTGTCGTGCAGTGGTCCTGTTGTAGCGTATGATTTTGTGGCTTTGCGTTGAATTGTGGGTAATCTTGCGATGGGGTTTAGTTTTAATCATAGCTTTCTTAAGTCATATAGGATAACATGTTTCTTATAGGGATATATTTCTATCGCATGACATTCATTAAGCAATACAGTATTTTTTGGCATGTACGTTTCTTATTATGTTTGATTGGCCTACGCGAACGTTGATGTGCATCGCGATGAATTCACAAGATACTCACTAAACCATGTTTTATGCGGCTACACTATTAAGTGTCGAACTTAGAACCCCGTCGTTAGTCAGCCCGTCAGTTTTCAGTCTTATTCTGATTATAGTACTTGATTTTCGCCGTCGCACCTCACTTATTTCGCTATCGTACTATGCTCGTATCGTACCCTTTCATAATAAGTTAAGTTCTTTTGTATCATATTCGTAAAATATGATCTTTACTATTTTATCACGTGATCTTCATCTTATTATTGTTATATCGAATCACCCTTTCGTTATTCTTTTTGATATAATTAGTCGCTTTACACTAGTTATCTCCACTTAAGGCCTAAGTCTCTGACCTTGTTCGTAACAGATAAGTCTCTTATGTTACATCTACTTATATACAAACGTAATAAAATATCAAAGTACTTTGGTACGCTTGCAGAATCATGAGCCTCTGTAGTCGTGATTGTTCATCAAAAACCAAAGCTAGATACCGGGGCCCCGAAATATTCGAGTTCCACTTTCCTAGTATTGATGAGGCTGGTGTTACCTCGCCACTGGTCCACGTCCGTTAGCCCCAACAACTGCATTTCTGTAACCAACTCTGTTCTCAAGATATGTAGCATCTTTTCCACTCCCTCCTGACCAAATATATTAGAGAAAACAGGAGGCCGCCCAAGGCCGACGGCACGGACGCCTAAAGCCAGCAGAGCAAGGACATGCGTACCGCGGCGGACACCACCGTCGGCATAAATCTCAATCTGATCGAACACTTCGGGGTAATTCGCATGCAGATCGAGTAGAACCTCGATAGCCGTGGGCGTACCATCGACTACGCGGCCACCATGGTTTGAGATATACACGGCATCAAATCCTAGGTCGGCGCAAAGCTTTACGTCTCTGGCTGACTTGACGCCCTTGGGCACAATAGGCAAGGACGTCCAGTTACGTAGCTGGTCCAGCGCTTCGACGGTAAAACTAAGGCTGTGGCCCGAATCCCCGCCAAGAGTGAATCGTTGGGCGCGGTCGCGTATACCGCCAGTACCGGTATTATCAATAGCTAGGAAGATGGCCTTGAACCCAGCAGCTTCGATGCGGCGAAGCTCGTTTTGGAGCTGCGTTGTGTTTGCCCAGATATACTCGTGGTGGAACATGACCTGGCCGTCTGCCCCGGCGGCTGCAATGTCCTCGATCTTCATTTTTGCGCCGATGGATGGAATATATAAGATACCAGCCGAAGCAGCGGCACGTACGAGGTTATCCTCTGTGCCGGAATTGCTGACGTTTAGATTGGCGGCTGGAGCAATAAAATACGGAGCCGAGAAGTTATAGCCTAATATGGTGGTGCTTTATGAATGAAGTAATTAATATCTACGTACATGTAATCCAGTAGACTAGGAGTGAACATACTTGAGATTTATTTTTGAAACATCCTGGAAGATAAGGGTGTTAAACAGGATTTTGGAGTAGACGTTCAAATTATTTTTATAAGCTGCATTGACCAAGATTAGTCGTACTCCTTAAATATTTCAAAGGGCGTTCATACTTGTTTCGTCTAAAGTACCGGTCCGATATTGTGTGTAATCTCTTGGCGACAAGACGTTCTTAGCTGCTATCTGGAAGTCGTTGAGAGTGAACATCTCAGCAAGGTCTGGGAGCACACCAGTAGTCCAATTGGTCGTGTCCAGACCAGTAGCCGGAATGCCCTCATTGGCTTCTTGATCTATATCAACTGCATGAACTGATTGAGTGAGGGCGAGCCCGCAGACTAGGCCAGAAAGGATGGGAAACATGCTGAATGAGTCAAGGAGGCAAAGCAGCGTGGAAGAAGAAAACTCGAAGAGCGAGTCAACAAGGTAAAGTTGGTGAGGTGATAGTGCCAAGGAGTCTGAGCTGAATCTGCAGTACGCGAAACGGCTGGCATCAATAAGAGACGTTCCAATAGAAGCAGCCACTTTTTGATGTTCTGCGCAAAGCTATATGTATGTATATGGTCAGATGCGATGGTGACCTGTGTGGTCGACCCACATTATGTTTTGAACGTATCGCCTTAAAAGCCCCTGGTCACTACTGATTATTGCCGTTTGGAAGCTCAATGTACCTGTCCTGCGGATCCGTACATGGTAGCCAGACAGGGGCCCTGAAGGGGGGGTAAGTTTTCTGGGCTCGGTACGTACTATATCGGTACTATACTAGCCTAGACAATGCTGCAGCCAGATACACGAAGTAGCGTGGATAACACTAGTGCATGTGGGGGTGGCCGCACCCTGCTTGCTGCGGCTTACGAGATATGTATGAACGCCTTTGGTAAGGTTCCGGATTGGCTACCGTAATGGTCGAAAGTTCCACTGTACCGTATGACACTATCCTTCTTCGCCTTCCCTTGCCTATCCTCGCTTATCCTCACTGAAATGGTTTGCCGAGAGGAGATAGGTATAAGGTAATATCCGGACAAATGTCCACGGTGCAAATAGTCTGAGAAGGAAGCGATATGCAATTGAAAAAAAATGGGGCCAGTCCAACCTCAAGTGTCAGAGCACAGGTGCTAGTCGACTAGTCCTTTCACCTACAAGACTATCATACTCGTCGTTGTCTTCCGCACCAAGTAAGCGATCAAAGTTGCTGCCTCGTTTACTGTCGTGACCTCGGATATTTCGCTCATGGAGTTCTTTGTTATGATGATATTGAATAGCAGCTCACTTGTGATCAAAATATAAGCAATTTCCGTACAAGATGAATGACTTATTGCAAAGAGAATAAACAAGAATATCGCTCGTTTCCCCTGTAAAATCATTGCATGTAAGATGCCAGGATCTATTATCTACTGATTAGGAGAAGACTGTCTATACCGCCACGCTTCGACCAACCCCTTCCAATGCCTTCAACAGTCCTTCCACAGTCCCTTCCAACGTTTGACAGTTAATCACGACTCGGAAAAAGCTTCCTTGAGGTCCTGGGGAATAATCGATCATGAAGCCCCTTGGTATCAATCCCTTCACAATTTCGCGTGTCCGTCGGGTGTTTTCCTTCTCATCCCCCAATACACCGCCGGGGGCATAATAGAAACAGACTTGTAGACAAGGCGGCGGGTTGCTGCTTACTAACTTCAAATCCGGGTGTTGTTGGACTAATCTTGCGAGATACGAAGCCATAGCAAACGCGTGGTCTATCTGCTTCTCGAAACCCTCAGCTCCGTAGTACACCCAGGCAAGCGCTAGCTTCAATGCATCTCCACGGCGCCCGCACTGCAAGGTCAAATCGGCAAGATCCCAATATTCCTTATTGTCGTCAAATGCCTCGTCGTTATTTCCGTTTGCACATTCCTCGTCGTTATCGCCGTGGAACAGATACCCGGCAGCCAGGGTATTAGTTCTTTTAAAGATGCTCAAATCATTTGTTAACAAGAATGAACATGTGACCGGCACGTTGAGCATCTTATGAGGATTGACAGTCAGCGAGTTAGCAAGCTCAGTGCCATCGAGCTTATGCCGTTGCCTCGAGAATATGGCGCTCCCACCCCAAGACCCATCGACATGGAACCAAAGGTTGAACTCCTTGCATATTGTTGAAATAGCACGGAACGGGTCGTATGAACCAAGTACGGTAGTACCAGCCGTGGCATTTACGTAGAGAGGAGTCTTGCCGTTACTCTTTGCTTGTATCACCGCTTCGCGCAGCGCCGTAGGAATGATACAGCCGGCTTCGTCTATGGGCACAGAAACGACGGCGGCTCTCCCCAGACCTAAAGCGATCGCGGCTTTCTCTACAGAGTAGTGGCCATGTTGGCTAGTAAATAAAGCAAATTTGTAGGATCCATTGCCATCAAATTTCGTGTCGGGATAGAGTGCATTGCGGGCGATAACCACTGACGTTAGATTTGAGGATGAACCACCTTGACATGTTATGCCTCCTGCACGTGGGCCTTTAAATCCAAATAAGTTGGCAAACGACTTTGCAGTTTGTCGCTCGATAACCGTCAGAGCGGGCGAAACATTGTATACGTGAAGCTGCCTGGTAAATTAGTTGAATGTGCTAGAGTTGAGTATACATTGATCATTAGATCACCTACGTTGGTATTCAAGACCGAAAGTACCAGCTCCGACACCACTCCGACCTAAAAAGCGATTAATCAGTTTTCGAGTGCATGAAATCAGTGTTCTATTCATCTTACAGCATTGGTGCTGGAATAAAGCTTATCAAGGAATCCCTGATCCCAAGTATTGACACTGTACTTCAGCAGGTTCTGAATAATATCGAGCAGTCCATCGCGCCCTCGACCATTATTTGGTAAAGAAAGTGCCAATCTTTCTGCCAATACATTTGGCGGATGGGGATCGACGAGCGCACTGGATTGTGATGTCGGACTGCCACCTGCAGCCCTCTCTGGCGCTGCGTCGTCTGCAGACTTGATGAAGGACAGCAATAAGGATTGGACTGCAGCTACGAGCTGTAATAAATGTTAGTTAGATACACCATGGATTCGATGATTACTAGGTTGTATTACATCGTCAACCTCGGCCGCCCGGTTTAATGGTGACGCCATTACAATCTTGTTAGCATGGCCATTTACGCCGTTTGAGTTGTTGGTATCCCGAGTCATTTCTGAGTACTTGTCGACGACTTGGGGCCATCAACCTTCTATCATAAATTTTGAAGAGACGGGGAGTTATTCTAGATATGGAACAAGAGCGAACTCGGTCACGCGCACCTTTATGCAAGAGGTAACCTATTCGGTGAGAGGTGTAATTCATACTTGAATCCCATCTACGGGCCCAGAAGTCGAAATTGCGGGTCCTGCGCGTATTTACCCGTCTGATGGTGGGCGTAAGCGATACCCACCAAAACACGTACCACAGCACACTAAATTAACGGTTTCAAACGGAAGACTACAGTATCTTAGTTTTTGATCTATACTCCGTACTTTGTTCATATCCACAATCCACGCATGCAGGGGAATGACCAGCTGAGTGACATCTGCCAGGGACCCCCCGTCACTAATCACTGGCGGGCTCGGCGCCTGGCGTGCCAAGTGTTTGCCAAATGATTGTTTATCCTTAGGATGTCTCGCGAGAACTGTTCTGCCTTGGTACCTTTAGCGCTCTCCGATTCACCTTTAGATTAAGGCTAGACTAGACTAACCGGTTAGTCTAGTACGAAGACACGTGCCCTTGGTTTAGGATGGAAAAGTTCAGCGTTGAGCTGTGACTTGGTTCTACCGCTCATGGCTATGCCGGGTTTTGAGACTTTGCGGCGCAGTGACTAATTTACGATGGTGCTTACTTGACGCTTTGTGCTGCCTATTCAATGAGAAATCAGGTGGCAGGCAGAAATACTGATGATGCATATCTTGTCACTATTGGCATAATCTTTCTAACAGTATTTCCACGTATATGCAGCAGACTTGAGCGCTTAAATGCAAATGCAGGCAAGCTGAGGTTAACTGTATGGACTTAGGTAGTGGGTTTCTCCAAATTATACTGTAGAAAGCTTATGCAACGGGTCATGTCTCACCATAATTTATCACGACTGACCCGTACAAGTTGAACATACCCACGACTTCTCCTTTTTTGCTGAGGCCCGACATAAGATTTTCAACATTGCGAACAGTACATCAGCTGGCTGTCTATTCCATAGCAACAACGCCGGTGAAGAAAACTGTGGTTTTGGCTCGGCGTTACGGTGCGGTCAACCGGATGACTATCTAAAGTACTGGTATAGCTTTGCTTTACGCAGGCGGCTTTAGCTGTTCAATTGAACATGAGCTCAAGATGACCTCCCCGATTCACCAGATGCTGAGGTAGCAGTCAGACGCAGCAACGTGATATCTCGCTATTTTGATGACCATTTTACCTGCCCTCGTAAATAGACTGATCTTAAGTTCAAAATTTAACACCTTGGTCTAGATACAGAATGGGTAGGGGGAGGGCTAGTGTCGGTCCACGTCGTCAAAGCCCATGATGGTATCCCTAGCTTTGTCGATATCTTCGGGCCGGATGCCACTACGCTCGCACATACCGCGAAAGATGCCACCATCTTGACGATAGAGGTTTGCGGGGGTGTCCAGCTGTACGATCTGCCCAGCGTCCACAACGCAAATTCGATCGTACCCTATAATGGTTCGGAGACGATGTGCAACGCAAAGCACGGTCTTCCCACGGAAACCGGCTGCCATTGTGAGTTGTATCTTCTCATCACTCTCCATATCCACGCTTGAGGTGGCCTCGTCACATACGATGATTTGAGAATTACGCACTAAAGCTCTTGCTAGAGCCATGAGCTGTCGCTGGCCTAGTGAGAAGTTCAACCCATCTTGTTCCACGACACTATCAAGATGAACCCGATGACCTTCATCTCTGCGTTCTTCGAAGTTTGCGTCTGCTGGTATCAGACCAGTCTGCCGTAGAGCAGACCAAAGTTCCATATCCGTGTGCTTCTGAAACGGGTCAAGGTTGCTACGGACAGTGCCTTGGAACAACACGGGATCCTGCGGAACAATAGTCAACCGGGATCGTAGGTCAAATAGCCCAATCCGAGAAACATCGATGCCGTCAATCGTAATGGAGCCTCCGGATATTTCCACTAGTCTGAACAGAGCGCTTATGATCGACGACTTGCCCGCACCAGTACGACCAACAATGCCCACGCGCTCACCGCCTTTGATATGGATAGATAATCCCTGCAAGGCGAGAGGTAGATTTTGCCGATGCCGCATGTCGACGTTGTTGAAGATGATCTCGCCCTTCTCGGGCCAACTCTCACGTATAGCAATGGTATGTAAAGGACCCTCTTCCTCAAGTTCTTCGCCGTAGTGGCGTAGGCGCTCGACCGAGTTTATCCCCTTGTCCACTTCCGAGAGCAGCCGGATAGAGAACTGAAGCATTTGAACGACGGAGAGGATGTAACTTAGTACAAGACCGCCAATCGAGGGGTCTACACTAAATCGTGAGGTAACCACAAGAATACCGACAGCAAAGACGAGCAAGTTGCCTATAGCATCAAGTCGCATAGTGAGCCATCGTTGATTGGCGAAAGTTATGTAGTAGGCAGCATTCATCGTATCGACCGACGAACGAAGGTCGTTGACGAATTGGTCTTTAAGACCGTAAGCCTGGATAGTTTCCACACCGCTGAGTCCCTCAATGAACTTCGCGACAACTTTAGATCGTAAGACCGACTCATAGCGCTTGACCTGACGTGCTGATGCACGATAGTATGATGCAGCTCCCATGTAATAGAGGTAGAATGGGACTAATGCAATAGCAAAATAGTAGTAATAGGCTGTAATGAGGATGAAAACAAAAAAGGCGTAGCTCAGAGTGATGAAAAGCATCCTCATGGAATCTGCTAGGTTGTTATCCATAATGTCAACATCACTTGAAAAGCGATTGACGATGCGGCCGAGAGGTGTTGTATCAAAGAAAGAAACCGGCGCGCGTAAGACTCGAGTCATCGCTTGCCGAAACATCGCTTTGCTAGCATTTGTTGCCGCGACGGATAGCATAAGCGAAAAAGCGAACAGTAGCAGTGCTTGTACAACAGCAAGGCCGGCATAGAGACCAATATAGAAATCAGTGGATTGTCGAAAGTTGTCTGATATCCAGAAAGAAAGCCAAAGACCAGTGACTATGCTAGATCCTCGAGACAATACCAAGAGTAGAAGAATAAGAGGCGCATTCCACATCGTTCCAGAAGCGCGTATATATGCTCCGTAGACGGACCACGGTACTGAATCCTTGGCCTGATCCTCTTGCTGCATCAAAGGTGTGGCTTTTTGGTCCTTCTCCTGTTTCTTGCGATCCGTAGCATTAGTGTCGGGCATAATATCTTCGATATCTGCTTCAACATCTGCCTTTACATCTTCCTCTGCCTGATTGTCCTTTTGGGCAAAAGTTGTTTCTATTAGGGTCCGGAAGGCTTCTTGGTTGTTCCTCAGGTTCTCAAAAGTATCGGTGGCTTGAATCTTGCCATCTTCCATCCAGACAATGCGATCACAACGATCCAATACCCAGAGCTGATGTGTGGCCAAGACGATGCATCTGCCTTTAAGCAAGCCAAGAATAGCCTTGTCGAAGATGTGACGTCCCACGTGAGCGTCAACAGCACTAAGGGGATCATCCATCAATATAATATCAGCATCAGAGTAGATGGCTCTTGCGATATTAAGGCGCTGCTTCTGACCTCCAGAGATGGTGATGCCTCGCTCGCCAATCTCGGTTTGGTCACCATGGGGAAGTATGTCCAAGTCAGGTTGAAGTGCGCAGCTGTGTGAGCCATTAGCCACTTATGACGCAAGGGTGTAGGTAGGATCAGGTGAACAAACTTACGCGTCAATGATCTTTCTGTACCAATCCTCATCTAACTCCTTCCCAAAAGTGATATTGTTCTGCAGCGAAGTATTCTGAATCCATGCATATTGGGGACAAAAGGCTCTTGATGCGCCAAAAATCGCGTCTCCATTGGTCTTGCGCATGTGACCTGCCAAGGCGGCCAGCAACGAGGTTTTGCCACTACCGACAGTACCAATAACAGCAATCAACTCGTTACGACCAGCCTTAAAGTTCACATCCTGCAGCTGAAAGGGTTCCCGCTCGTCGATGACAGCGGTATCGTCGGACGAGGCCGTAGATTCATTACCTCCAGATTTCTCAGCGTCCGGTTTTGGTTTCTTGTCCTTTACTTGAGCAGGGTCTTGGCTTCCGTCTTGCTCTTGCCTGTGTGTCTTCTCCCGTGTAAAACTCGCGCTTCGTAGCTCGATGGCATGTTCTCCTTCAGGCTTCCAAGTCATGACTTCTTCCCTGTCTTCCTGCAGCATAAAGGATTCAATGCGCTTGAGAGAGGACCATGCGTCAGTGGCATCACCAAGAGCACGAGGCAGAAGGTTCAGAGGGAGCCGCAGACTGTTGAACAGAGCCAGCGAGGAGAAAACCTGGGCGGGTTCCAATCCATGGTTTGTGAGCGAGTAGGTGATGAAAGACAGCATGGATGCAAAGATGGGAAGAGACATGCTGACCGCGTTGATCGCGTTCCGAACAGCGAGCAGTGACTGAATAGCGTATATTTCTTTCATGCGGATCTGCTCTAAGCGGTCTAGGAAGGCTGGCTCCCAACCAAATAGCTTGACGAAGCGCACCGATTGAACAATCTCTTGCGTAAGCGACATGCGTTGATCGGTGATCTTATTGATAGCCCTTCGTCGATTTAACAAGCTCCGAAGGGTTACCGTGAAAAGAGGCACGCCAATAACGAGGAGCGCAAAGCCCGCGATAGCGCTGTACGACAAGTTGATTAAAAGAAGAACCAGTGTAATGATGCAAGCGAGTGGCGTAGCCCAGAGCGAGTGCAGCGCCGTACAGAATGAATCGATACGGTTCGTATCAATGCTCATGAGCGTCGAGATGCGTCCATTAGTCCATCCAATATCATTTTCGGAATCGTCTTTCTTCTTCTTTTGGTCTCTTCCCGTCTTTGAGTTCTTGCTATTTGATTTCCCATTGGTGGTTGCATCGGTGACGTCGGCTTCAGGCGTTATAGTATGTGAGCTTCCACCTGCTTTGGCGCGGCTAGAGATTGTCATGGACTTCTCATAGATCAAACCAGTAAGCACACCACGACTCTGGCCACCGAGCATCATGCCCTTGTAGAAGTATTGGCTAGCAGTTACACTCTGGACGATCTGCATGACGAGGATTCCAATGACAAGACCGATGCCATGCGCTATTGGTGGCGTGGCTTGATGCTGCGATTGAGCTCTGTAAGCATCTGTGGCAAACTGAATGAGGTACCGCAGGACGAAAGGAGTCAGGATCTGAACAGTATAGTATATCATGGCGTAAATACCACTGAGCCAGAACTCGAGCTTAAAAGTCTCATACAAGGCTCCAATGAGTGGTCTTTCTTTCCCAGCCTTCACTCGTTGCTGAAATACGTCCTTGACCTTGTTGGTCAAAAGGTCAGCCGCTCTGTCCGGATTCACTTTCCAAATGTCACGTTCGACAAGTTGACGTTTATAGCCAGCCTTGACAGATTGATTAGCGTCTATTCGTAGCGTTCAATGAACAGGGTGCAGACTCACGACCATCATGGGCGTTATCCAGGAAAAGGTCAACATGCTGAGATATCCGGCCTTGTGTTCGGGCGACACGATACGCTCGTCAGGTATAGGCGGGATGCCGCCCCACCGCAACGGGTTCGGTGTTTTGTACCAAGGTTTGGTCTGAGGTTGAATGACTTCAGCTGTGGTGTCTATGCTTGCATTGAGAGCATCACTTCCGGTAGCAGCCGACATTTTGGATACTGAGTCCTTCTCCACCTCACGAGCGCGCGTTTCTGACAAAGGTGGCGAGGATGAAGTGTTTTCTTGTTCTTCTGATAAACCATTCCGTGTTGCATCATCCGCCTCAGTGGCAGTGGCTGTGTCAGTATCGCGAGTTTCGTGCTCCTTCTCAAGGTCTGCCATTACTACGACTCAAATCGGAAGTAAGCATTCAACACGCATTGAACAGTACAGTTATGTTGTAGCTACAACTCTTTCTCTGTTTAATGCACCGTCTTCTAGAGACTTAAATTATATGGGGTTAAAAGTGCCGCGGCTGAACAATGAACTAGGTATGTTATATATTGTGAAAATGAATTGCAATTTGGGCAGGTGAATACAGATGCAGCGGCAAACGCTACCTACAGAGTGTATTGCCCCAATGTGCTAAACCAAAGGCAGGTTTGGTTAGTAACCTTCATCTTCTTCATACTACGTACCTACCCAAAGGCCGCGGATATGATGTGGATAGATCAACCATGGATTGATTGGAACGATTCGTTTCGCCACTAGGGCCTCGTTACAAGCTAAAGTCGCTACATAGGATAGTCGAGGCTTTACGTCCCCGAGCGAATTTCGTATCAGTACCTACCACGGCAAGTGGACATTCAGCAGCATTATCGGAAGCTAGCAGATCGACCCACTCTATCCGGACTTAATAATCGATATTCAGCAAGATTCGTCCGGGATATGGAGGTCTCAGGGGTGATACACGTTAGGCGCATGACGGGTGGCGGATGATTTGGTCCCTGTTCGGTATGTAGTTATGAATAGATGCTAACGGAAGAGTATGGGTTAATTGCGGGGTCTAGATTTAGCTCAATTTAACTACATAGGTGAAGATCCTTCCGGAGGTGGATAGCTAAGGTTAGTCGCATCTCTCTGCATGGTCTTTTGGCCTGGGTCTACGCTTGCTGATTTTGTGGGCACCATCTACTATGCAGTCAGCGCTAGGCTTGCGGCATTCACAACCAAGCAGGGGTTCAAAAGCCCCCTACGCTTGGAACCGCAGTACTTGCGTCTCCAGCCGACTAATTAATTTCTTAGTCATTCTAAATGAGAGATGAGTTCAGCAACTTGCATGGAGTGGTTGTATTATGTATGAATTGACCAATACTCATGCCCTATGATCCATTCGGGATAGGCTGAAGGCCTTTTGTTATCTGCACCTGTCACCGTAAGCCCATCACTCGTTTTGACCCCTCTCACTCAGATCTGCGACGTATGTATCGTACGTTGGATCTAAGAGCTAGCAACCCAATATGACCATAGGGCCAGTAGATGAGATATGAATTCTCCAAAAGAGCGGTGTAGAAACAACACCTCGGTTCCGACGAAGGCGACCAATGGCTCAAGATACAACCTCAGAAGGTCGGGGGAGGTGGATCTTGACTTTTGTGTGTGTATTGGACCTATCAGTGCAGTACGTAGTTCTCAGTCAGTTTCAGTTCAATTAAAAACGGAGTAGTATTATTTGTATGTGATAAGGATATACTGTAGCAGCACTGCGACCCAATGGGAGTCAGCAATTTTGCCACTGACAGATACTAAGATTACAGATTCATCTCATTTGATCAAGTACTAGGTTTGGGCAAAGCCTACCACGGTTACTACCAAGCAGCTGTTATCAAGAGCGGTTTAGTTATCATCATGATCATGGAGATCTCCTCTACATCCTTTCCACTCGACATGAAGCATGTGGACACACGGCTAGAGCAAACTTCATTTGACAAGCTTGTAGCCTCATTGACAGACACATTGGGTCCATCTTCCGGCCTAACGTTGGATGATGTTGACGTAACTTCACTCATGTGTTTAATGAAGCTTTACGATAGCCAGGATCGCGATTGGGCAAAGTACGCCTTCGGTGACAGTGATGCAGACTATACAAGAAATCTGGTCGACGAGGGGAATGGTAAGAGCAATTTGGTATGTTTATTATATACAATATTATTCCAATTCTGTCTCGTTGTTGACGATTGTGTTAATATAGCTTGTGCTCGTATGGTCTCCCGGTAAGGGCAGCCCAATTCACGATCATGGTAACGCCCACTGTTTGATGAAGATCCTCAAGGGCAACTTAACAGAGACACGATATGCCTTCCCGCAACAAGGACATGGTCATCCGCTGGAAATAATATCGGGAACAACTCACAGCGAGAACGAAGTCGTATATATGGCAGATGAGCTTGGTCTGCACCAAATGTCTAACAAAGGCAGCGACTTTGCTGTTTCACTTCATTGTAAGCCAGTCTTGAAGCGAATGGCACTCTACATCTATTGCGTATACTTTACTCATGTGGTTAATCTAGTATATACTCCTCCACATGTAGCCAGGAAAGGTTGTTGTATTTTTGATGAGAGGACGGGGAAAAAGAATTATGTTTCAGGCGATTCCTATCATTCAGCCTATGGTAGACTTCTAAAGAATTGAAGATAGCTCGGCGTTACCGTTGAGAAATAAGGTCGTATAGTGTGGACGACTCCAAACATGAATTCAGAAACTCAGTGTTACTTGTTTGAGCTTTCGACTCACGTCCGATCAGCAGTTCACAATTACCAGCCATTATTTCCTTAATACTGCAAATAAATTGAGTTTGATTGTACCTGCCCTCCAAATGTCTCAATTCATTCTTAATAGCCGGCTTCGCTTATTCATCTCTCATCCTTGATTTGACTACCGATTTTCGTGTTTAGTAATAAAATCAAGAGTCGAATGAGAATCGCCCTTTCAGATTTTCAACACACTATGAACATCAACTGAATTAATGCCGTCATTGGACTGCACCAGTCATCGGAATCATGGGAAGAGTAACTAAGGCGTGGGGTTGCCTGATCAGGTAATGATTCAAGAAGACATTCTAAGGCCAAAATATGGTGATTTCAATGGTGTATAGGTTTGGTTTGCTGCTGATCCCGTTGGAAACCATCACGCTTTATGCCATAGTCTCGAATGAATAAGCACGCGCAGACATGAATGGCAATGAGCACGGCAAAAGAGATGAACACCGCATGAAGCCCTTCCATGTAACCCCGAGACACTAATCTTTTTTCTTCCTCAGTAAGATGCAAATGTTCCAATGCAAAGGCTGATGAGATCAATTCTGCGATAGTGTCCTGGCTAAACCTGGACTTCAACTGACCATATAGCACGTTGCTTAAGATAGTACCAGAAACTACACATTCGTTAGATTTAACGTTCGTGAGATACAATTATGCCAAACACATACCCGTAGTACTGGTTGCTCCTCCTATATCTCTCAGAAAATTTCTTAACCCTGTCAAAACGGCTCGATTGTTGGTGTCCGATCCCGCGAAAAGACCAACAAGGACTAGAGGTGTTTGTGAGCCAAAACATGCGAACGCAGCTTAGTGGAGGTACTTACCAGGCTGCAAGGAACACCCCACGCCGACCCCATCGAGGATGCCAACCACGATGATCTTCCAAACCGCGGTGTCTTGGTCATAATACAATTTTGCAATTGCAGCGAGCATCCAGCACATGGCTCCTGTCACAATAACGGGTTTATAGTGTCCGAATAAGGATATGAGAATGCCAGTCAGAGCTGACGTAAGTCCGTGGGCGACGACCATGGGAAGCAGCAAAATCCCAGCCTTAGACGGGCTTGCGCCTTGAACGTTCTGCAGGTATAGCGGGAGAACAAACAAATTGCCCCAGTAGATCCAGCCAATAAGGACGTTTATGGACAACAGAATGTTTGTGGAGCGGCCGTAGCTGAATAGCTGGGCTGGCAAAAGGGGCAACTTCGCAAACCGCCATTCGACCATCAAAAAGACAGCAAACAGCGTGATTCCTGCGATGAGCATACCTATGGTCACCGGTGAGGTCCAAGACATGGTCGCTCCGCCTTGCGATATTGGTATCTAACTCAAAACATCAATACTTCAGATATCCCTAAGTATGAGCAGTACTTGGGATGCACTCACCAAAAATAACGCGATCCCAAATAGACTCGCAAGGGCTCCAGCCCAGTCCACCAGCTTCAATTTGTCCCAGACCCCGCCCTTGATACAGGCAGAAGAAGATGTCGGCCACACTGACGCAAGATAACAAATGGCCATGACGCATAAGGGGCACACAAACCAGAATGCCCATTGCCACCCAGCTGTCTGTGTAAGGGCCCCCCCAATGACAGGTCCAAGCCCATTCCCAAACGCAGTAGCTACACCAACCATGCCAAAATAATACCCACGCTGCTCTAGCGTCGTGATATCCGCAATAGCAATCTGTACAAGCGCATTGATCGCTCCAGCGCCGAAGCCAGTAAACGCTCTGGCGACAAATAGCTGCAGCGGCGTCCCAGAAAAGCCACTCAGAAAGTTGCCTGCCGCCATTATCGAAAGGGCTGCAACCAGCGAGGCCTTACGGCCGAATATGTCTGAAAGTCTTCCATTGATCAGCTGGATGCTGGTGCTAGTAATGAGGAAACAGGCGCCGACTAAGGATATAGAGGCTCCAGTTTTGAGGGCAGATGCTATAGCGGGGAGACTCGTGGAGATGGACGTTTGGTCGAGGAATGAGGTGAACTGTATTAGCGCAAGAGCAGGAAAAATGACCAAAAGCCGTTTTTGTGGCAGGGAGTGCGACTGGTTTTGAAGAAGGGGCGTAGACTCGTCCATAATAAAGGAACGGAAGCAAACGACTGAAACTCTGATGGACCAGGGTTGAAATGAGAATTTTTGTTCTCACTTTCTAGCAAAAGGACAAAACTCGGCGACTTATATTATTCGTAAGCGCATGTACGGAGTAAATGTAAGGGTTCCTTCGCGTGTGCTCCGTGCCGGTAGATTGGCGGGGTCATTTTAGGCGACTTGCAGGGGGTTTAGTTGGAAGTTTAGGTAATGAACCACTAACAAAACAGCAATCGCAGGCGAACAACAACGCTAGACTACGGTTAGAGTAGTTTTGGTACACTGGACTACCTACTGACCCAGGCAGCTGACCTAGAGCTGTGTATCTCTAACCATGATTACATTATTCACTGAAGCTCTGCCGGACACCTGAAGAGACCTTTCAAGGTTCGCTTATAACACAGTAGCACAGAAATCAAGTTTCAATTGAAGCAAACTCAACGGGCGAAACATGATGCTAATTTATTACACTAAAGGGCTCTGTGAGAACGGGCGACAATAACTCCATGATGCTAAATGATGTACTTTTTCGCTTTAATCTACTCCCATCGTTTCGTCGTTGCCAGGGAACGGAATGGCATCCCAACGAATGCGTCGCAAGTGACGCTTTGGATCGTTGATATGATTTCGAGCATGCAGCCAACGACGGTTATCCATCATTATGATGGTACCCGTGGGAAAGTCGGCAGCCGTGAGGTGTACTACAAACGGCGACTCTGACTGGGCCGCTGCCCCCGTGGATTGTAAGCACACATCAAGTTCTTCAAGTGCCTTTGAAGCCCTTCCCGTCAACGGTGTTATGATATCTCTTCTGAAACGTATCATACAGGATTGGCTCTCTTGGTCAATAGCCATCAGATTTCCTACAATTTTCTGCTTCGCCGGATCCTTGACAAACTCCTTGGGAATATTGATACAGTACTCTGGTCGCATCAACGATGCCTGGGTAGATGGAGAGAGAGATTGGTTCAGCCGCTGGATGTTCATGGCTGACAGAGTCCCTCCACCAAACTTGTCGTGCTGAAGAACTTGGAGGGCAAAGTATCGTGGAGGCATTTCTTCATAGCTGCAGTCGGTATGCCAAGGAAACTCTTCCATTGTCTCAGATCTTGCACGGTGGTTAGTTGTCTGAAAGGAGACGCTTTCTGGTCGAACGTCCCAGAACCATCCGCGTGAGGCGCTGTGCGAGATGGGAAGCTGATGCCTATGACGCTGATGGAGGTTGAGAACAAGTTGCCTAAGGTACTGGCTATCGGCGTCTAGAAAGCCCAAGCTGATCTTGAGTATGCCATGTTGCCAGAGTTGCTCGTGGACCTTACGAACATGATTCTGCTGTGTTGAGTGTTCAATGGTTGGGGCAGTCAGATGAGGCACCTTGAGCGGCTGCACAGTACTAGATCCGGTATAGGAGTGAATGGCAGTAGCTGCTTCAGCAGCATAGGTATGTGCTTCACGACAGTGGCTTTGATCACGGAGCTTTGTTGACAGAGACAAGCTGCAGGCTCGACGGACCAGAGGACGCATTCTGAAAAGTTGCCAAAGCATTGGCGTAGCCTGGCACACAGTGGGTGAATCTGTAAATGAGGGTACTTGATATGAGTCGGGGTCAGCAAAGCAGGCGATCCGGTTAAAGTCATCTGTACGGAATACTCCGTACGGGGAACCTTTCTTATTCTCCGCAATTCGAGGACCCTTCACAAGCCTTACACTTTTGCCACCATATCTGTATGGGGGAGTTTCAAAACAACTTAGTTCTCACATGATCATAATCATTGTCATCAAAACATGTACAATGGTCCCATGGGTAAGAAAAGCCACGCGACCAGGTTGGGGATAACGGCCAGTAGCGTATGTAGTAGTTCGATTTTCCAGGCGACTTTCGGTGTAACGGTACTACCCTTATCGCGACTCGTTAGGGCCAATAGACTGAAACTACATATGTTGTATTACGTTGACAAAATTGCGTTATCACTATTCATTTGGAGGATTCGGCCCCCTGTCGATCTGTATAATGAATCCCCGCTATCCCGCCACTCGTCGTGCTGATAGCACTAATACAAATTTGGTATGTGGTTACACAAAACCCACAAGCAACGCCATGGTGTAAATGTAATGAGCCCTTGTCTTAAACACATAGGGTTTAAAATAGCACCTATGTGGACCTTGCGACAATATTATGTAAGCTCTAGACAGCGTATATCAACCTAAATGACAAGGATCTTTCTACAGGCATTGTCAAATCAAACGAACATGCGTCAACGGGCACCTTGGCATAAGGTCATGCGTACCAAGAGTCGCTCGTTTCACTCTGTACGAGCGCTATTGAAATCTCGGAACAAACCCACAAAAAGCTGAGTTGGTATGTTCGCGTGGAGCCTTTACCACTTTCGATCCTTCAAATCCTTCAAAGTCATGGAGTCATATACGTGCTGCGGTGCCAAAAAGAAAACAATAGGACCGTTTTGAGTTGCAAGCAAGCCTGATACAATTAGATACAAAGCTGAATTACTATAGAATTTCGTGCGCTACCTGGCAAGTAAGGACCCATTACTGAGCAGTAAAAGACTTGGTATAAAAACAAGGTCTCGTATCTTCTTACACCTCCCCCAGGATCAGAAGCGATGTTGTAACGATCCCGGTCTCGGGGATGATAGCCGTTTGGTAAGGGTCCAGTGGAGTCTGCTCCACGAGTATACCCTGATATACTGAGGCTAAGCACTACAGCACGGGTCACAATGTCGTTCACAGGCATGTCATCCGGCTTTGCAGGTTCTGATGATGATATGGTCAAAGTTTTGTGCAATCGCTCGCGTCGCTTTCTATTTCCACCATACCCATGATACTAGGGACCATTGAGAGTGGATTTAATGTGGACGAGGCGCTTACGCGCTTCTTCTTCTCCGTAACAGGCTTTCCCCGCTGGCTGATCACGGAGCGCTTGGTTTGGGTTCCGTTTTGCCTGATTATCTGACCACCTCCTCAGATGAGGAGACTGCCCCATCATTTGACCACCGATAGGTACGAGTTAGTTACCTAAAATGACAACCAATGGTCACTATGTCTGTATGCATATTGTGCCGTAGACTAATGATCCTCTGCAAGCTCTTGAGATGTTGGATTTAACACGCTAAATATGTACATCGTAAGACAGTCTTTGCGTTCGAGGGGATAGCTAGGTGGAAAGGAGGGAACTGTTGTACCCACCGCACGTTAGTCTAAGTAGTGGCAAAACAAGAGAGTCTGCCTTATCTTACCCATGATACTGAAATCAAATGTTATGTCTACCGTTTGTAAATATTCTTTTAACAAATACACCCTGTTAGCAATTACTTATTTACCAGTGAACAATATCTTTCTATGTTTGTTTGCACATATAGTATGTACAATTGCTAAACAAAAGAATTATTCCATTGTGGCGTTCTTCAAACCTCTTTCTTAGAATCTCATGTTGAGTCCAAACATAACTAGCAACACGTTGTACCCAGCAGGCAGCTTCACTACAACGTGGAAATGTGAGCATTTTGCATCCTCAGCAAAAATAATGAATCTCATACTCGCTGTTGTGGCCGTTCTGGTGCTAGTAGCGATCGTGCGCTATCGTTCTCAGCACGACTCCAGACTCTGTTCATCCGAGATTGGGCTAGAAGACTTGAAAGCACTAAAAGTACGGCATGATGTCCACTCGACAGTCATGGCTATGATCAACGATGAAGGTGCTGGATCATGGCCACCACGAGCCACTCACGACGAATTTCCGCCAGCTCTCCGCGCCTACAGACAAATTTATGCTGCCATGGCGCCATTGCTGCCAACTGCCAATCCATCACTTGACGATGAGTCCAATAAAATACGTTGTCAAGATTTTCGCTCCCGTATGCAGACTCTGCTTAGCGAGAAGGTTGACATGATGGCGACTCGAAGTGCTTTGGAAGCCGTTCAGTCTGGCAATTGGGATACCTTCCCACGAGACGCTTACAATGGTTTCTACTCGTGTATTGCTTGCTTGCGCCACGCTTATCGGTGAGTGGAAACATCCAATTACACACTATAGCCTATAAAAAGACTGAACATCTGGTCCTGTCTGCAGATGGGCATCCAACCCAGTTCTCAGGGTTACACAAGAGGAAAAGCAACTTCACTTCCCTTTGGAGCTGGATATGCCATGGTCCTATATACAGCGCAGATTCGACATTACATCTCCCAGCGGAAATATTATGTCAAATGTTATTTGCAATCTTGATTCATATGGCCAGATTGTATATCCGATAAATGAGGGAATGTCTGATGCGATAAGAAGTACAGAACTTGCCTGGTGTCACATATTCTACGATTCGGAAACCATGGTAGGTAATCCTCATACATACATGAGTTGAGTATACTTGATTTACTCATGACAGGCTATTCCGATCTACTATGCCATAATTCAAGCTATCATCAGCTTTGAACGAGGTGACAAGAAGTCATGCCTTGCTCATATTGAAACGGTTTCCATCAATCTGCGGAAAGTATTGCTAAATTTGTACGAGAAAATGAACGATCCTCACGTAGCACGTGCGATATGGGTGAGACATATATCGGGAGTTCATAGCTGGGGATTGACACACGAGACTGATGGCTCTCCTGTCGAGTATGGTGGCTTATCCGGTAGCCAGATTCTCCTTTTCTTGGCAGTTGATGCCTTTCTAGGAATCGATCGCTACCACTCGGATGATCAACAAAAGAGACATATCTCTCTTAACTTAAGGAATGTAGCTGCAACTATCCGCAGATATTCTTTCAGAAAACTACTCTCAGAGAAATCCGAGGATGATATTGCCTTAGAAAATGCATTTCAACGCATGGTCAAGCAACTCCGAGTAAGTGGAGGAATAGCTAATTGAAAATCCTATGTTTACTTCATACACTTACCAAAAGTCTACATAGTCTTTCAGGGCTGTTCACAAGGTTCGAGCAGTTCGTTACCTCTCGGCCCCTGCCCCTGAGCGAGTTCCCATGACAGCGGCGCTCTCTGTTCTGCCTAGCCAAGCAGAAGAAGGAATTGCCGCCGACGCTTTCAAATTTGTTGATAGATTGTTGACCAAGAGATTGAACGAGACAGTTTAATCCTGTGCGGCGGAAAATTAGAGATTGTTATTCACATGATGTGTTTGGAATGAAAAGGGGAATTGAAGAAGTTTTGTGGCAATCAAAGGTGACAGGCCAATTAGAGATAGAGCAGCGACAAAAGTTACTCAATCATGAAATAACATGCGGTTTATATGAATATTTTCCATTCACAAGTCTTGCTGCATGAGCGCCTCATAAGAAAAGATTTGGTCGCTTTATGGTTTCTATTGAGCAGTGTCCAAGTCAATATAATACAATGCCGCCGCCGTCCAAGGCAAATAACGCCGTAGCCCACTATTTTACGCACTTTTGTTGGTAAAGGAAAAGCTGAGAGAAACTTATTTGAATCGAAGCCTTGAAGAACCTCTTCATTAAAATCTATGGCCTATGTTAAGGTACATTATGCAGTAACTGTGACAGGCATGCCGCAGAACTCGACATCAGATGGCGGGCTGTCCACAGCAAACCAGTCCCTGCCACAATCACCAGCATAAAAGAAGTCCTCCATGACCTGATACTTGATGGGCTTCCCTGTGGCTGTACGTGGTAAGTCCTCTCCAGGCTCCAAAAGTCGCAGTATAGCAGGCAACTCTGTGACGTCTAGATCGGCCTGAATATCTGCTCTGATTTGAGCTAACGTAATTTTATCCAACCCTAGGCCATCTTTGATCCTGATAACAGCACCACACAACTGCTTCTTTTCTTCCACGGGTACGGCGACAACGCAGACTTCAGCAGTGTAGGGCAGCCCCATCAAGCAACGTTCCACCTTGAGGGCAGAATAGCGAGAATTGCCAAAGACAATGTCTACATGAAAAGAAGAGGAGATTTAGCATTTCAAATAAACACATCAGTGTTGGAATTCGAAGATACTTACAGTCATCTCGTTCGCGGCCGTGCAAGAGCAACTCGCCGTCTTTCAAATCGGCCATGTCTCCGGTTCGGTAGTAACCCTCCTCATCGAAAGCCGCCTGTGTTGCCTCGACATTGCCAAGATAACTAAGTCTCGGTCAGTTCAAAACAGGATTTCTTGAAGAGTGTGAGAGTTTCCACGATCCTCACCCTAGAAATTTATGAGGAGACCTAATGGACAACCTGCCATGTGTTCCCTCTGACAGTTTCATCTCCATGCCAGGCGCGAGTTTTCCAACGGAACCCTTGTGCAATCAGAGTTAGAAAAGAATAAGGAATAGAAAATGCTCAAGTGATCACTCACGTTTGTTCTGGATAATCCCATCGTTACCAACCCCGTCAGCTCGCTGGCCCCGTATCGGCACTGCAGCGGAAGTCCGATGACCTCTTCCCAAAAGTCTACCGTCGGTTGCTCGACCAGACCTCCAATGCATAAAAAGAAATCTAGCCCTTTGAAATGTGCTGAAAATGTTGCTTGTTTTTCCTTTGTGAGTTCTTCATCACCCAGCAGGATATCCTTCATACCCCGAAGAAGTGCTGGATTGAAAATAAAATAGGTGATCCGATTGTTTCGAAAGACCTCAAGCACGTCTTTGGCACTGGCCGGGCATTCGAGGGCGAACACCATTTTGCCAAGGGCTATGCTTTCAATTACATTCTTCGCACCACCGAGCCAGTGGCTCTCGTTATAATTGATCTGGGCACCACCTTTCTTCTCAAGCAGTTCGGATGTCAGGTTTACTGGATGAGACGTGAGGCACGTTCTTCGGATCACGACACCCTTGGAGTAGCCAGTGGTGCCTGATGTCATGCATACAAACCCAGGACCATCTGGGTCCAAATAGAGAGCTTCATCGATACTGACATCAATTGCCGGTAAAGGATGAGAGTTGCATGCAACAGGTAGCACAACCAAAGATTTCCCCTCGATATTTTCCATATGAGCCTCTAGTCGTTCGAGCTCTGCAGTGCAACCGCGGTCAAACAATACACAGTCTGATTTTGCCCTGGAAATGACAGAAGCCTGTCTGTCCAGGGCTGCTCTGGGGTCTGGCCTCGAATTAACATTTCTTTCTTCTTTCTATGATCATGGTCTGGCTTACCTAGTGGCACATAAGCTCCCCCCAATGCTCTTACGGCAAAGAACGCGACAGCATACTCATACCCGGTTCGTGTGAGAGCTGTGACGTATACATTCTCCTCACGAAGGAGACCCTTTTCGCCGAAATTAGAGGCAGGCAATGAGGACTTAAGACGATCGCGAGTCTCCAAGACGTCACTCAAGAGCTGTGGGTATGTTTTCTCAAAACCTGCGAAGTCCTTGATGATGACCTCTGAAACCGGTACCCGCTTGGCAGCTTCAAGCAGCTTGACAAGAATTGGGTCGTTAGGGAAACGGGGAGCGTCTTGAAGACGAGGTGCGGTCTCTGCCATATTGAACTTGGGCTGTGACTTTTTCACAAGACCTTAAGAAGCTTGTCACTGTGAGAACAGTCTCTTTACCCAAGACAAGGATGTTTTCCTCTTGGTAGATTTACGAGATTAAGGGCATAAGTGAACCGGTTCTCTCGCTGGTCTACTCCGAAAATTGTTGCTCTATCCGTATACTGGATAACTTCAATAATATGCTAAACGGGTAACGATGCATTAAGCGGGGACATGCGAAGGTACTTCCAACAGTCCTTTGTGCACAATTTGCTCATCTGGCCGTTTATTACTGTAGTCGTACAGGTAATAAATTATTGCCGCTAGGTACTGCGTACCGGTACTTGGGAGGGCTCTAGATGCGAACTATTCGGCATGCAATTAATGTCGAACCACACACTAGCGGATACCGATTCAAGCACTATACGAGGGTTGCACGGATCTGACGAGGATCTTACAAGGAAGCTTAACCTGGCAACGAAGCTTATCTTTTGCCCGAGGCTGTGGCGGCGGAGCTGGGTACCTACATACGTATACCCTTACCTTAGACCGGGGTTACAGTCTTGGCACCACTAGATATCAACTACGCGGGTATCGCGGCCGGCGGCCGGCACGGTCGGCAATCGGTTCCGCGCTCTCGAAGTACCAACTGGCGGAGCTTGGTGGGACCGATGGCACCTGTGCCATGTCTCCCCGTTTTAGAAGGATTCGCAACGAGTCTCACACTAGCTGTCAGACTTAGTTATGTCAGACAGTAAGAAAGTGGGTTCATGATTGGCGTGCACTACCGACGTCGTTCGTCCATCGTATCTTACACACTGATGGAGCGCGTTGTGCCTCTATACTACGACTATGTACGGTACTATTGACAGCGGCTCAGAATTTTTAGAGTACCTGACATGGTCCTTGCCGAGCTGATCTAATCTCTGCTTCTCTGTTCTTTTCAATACATAATACGATCGTGTTTGATGGTTTCGTATCAATGTTAACAAAATTTCATATATGTTACCTTGTATGCAGAAGGGTAAAGATGTTGCGTTTTGGATTTGAAGGTTTAGAACTCCACAGTGCCGCACACATTTCTTCCTCCGCTATCGTTATCCTACGTCTCACTCACTAATGCGTTCGTATCGATTCTTCAGTATTGCGTTTGCAGATAATCTTAGTCATGTGATCTCTATCCTCCGCCATGCCCCTCATTTCATTGGCCTCCTTAATTGGCCGTGCAACTACCTCGTGGAGATGATGAAAAAAAAAAAGCATTGCACACAATCATTTTTCTCAATTTTTCAATATTGCCTTAATACAAGAAATTAAGAACAGTGACTAGATACTCTAACTCATCGCCCATCTCGTTCCAGGGTTGAATGGAGGGTGTGATGCCTCATAAGCGATACGCACACCAACCCTAGAATACACATCCCCAGTAGTGTAAGGAAGACGGCATGGAATGCACTCATGAAGGACTCAATTGTTCCTTCGTACCACCCTTCTGGGAGGTGTTTGAGCTCTGAAACATCATTACGAATGCGAGCAATGTGTTTTGCTGCGTCGGGATAGTCCCCAAACCTGTCCCACAACTTGTCATTTAGAATGTTTTGGTAGACTGCTGAGCTGATAGTGATACCGAGAGTACTTCCAAGGCTTCGTCCCAAATCTTTAGATCATGTTAGCAAATATGAAAGAGAAAAGAGGCCTAATAATGGCAGGAAAAAAAAGAAAAGGGAAGAGAAAGAGGTGAAAACTCACAGGTGGCAGCGGTGACGACAGCTTGGTGAGTGTGCTCAACAGCAGCAATGCAAGCCAGTAGTGTAGTTGTCAACATGGACGCATAACCAGTTCCGACGAGGAAGAAGACAATCGCTGTCATCCAGTCATGGGTGTTCTCGTTGTGGAACCCGAAGATGATGACGCCCAAAATCATGACAATCACACTGGCAATACCCAGACCAATATATTTCCCTGTCTTGTTCATTATGACACCAGCCCCGACCGAGCTGACCGAACTTCCCATTGGAGAAAAGAGGATGAGCAGGCCAACTTCTGTTGCAGTACGTCCGCGAACCTGCAGATATAGGGGAATATAAAAAAGTAGACCAAAAATGACCATAGTACAGAAAAAGTTGGACAAGCAAGCGGCCAGTACGGTTCGTTTTAACAGAAGGTTGACCGGAATAACAGGTTGCACAGCCCTTAATTCCCACCAAATGAATGAGAAGAAGGCAACAACGGACATGGGAATGGTGGTGAGAGGTACTGGGTGAGTCCAAGGAACAATATTTCCACCTGTGTTCAAACCCACAAGGAATAGGACAAGGAAAGACGTCAACAGAAAGACTCCAAAGAAGTCTATACGCGCAAGATAGGATTTTTGAGACTGTTTCGGTGCAGTTCTTATAAAGAAATGAACACCGACGGCCGCCAGGAGAGAGGGAGGAACTTGAATGAGGAAAGCAAGTCTCCAGCCGCGGTTGCTATAATCGTTGAGAAGACCGCCAATGACGCCACCCAACATCGCTCCCGACCCAAAGCATAGGTTCAACATGCCTTGAACTACGCCTCTCTTTCTCAAAGGAACCAGATCAGATCCTAAGAATGTAGCGATGCTCATGAGTCCACCGCCGCCAATCCCCGCAATGACTCTACCCAGAATCATCTGAGGCGCGTTGGTAGCGAGCCCACAGATAAGATTTCCGACAGAGAAGGCGATATGGCTGAACACCAAGCCTGGTCCGCGACCAAAGATATCCGTCAAGCGACCAGAAAGCGGTTGACAGACAGCATTGGATATGAGATATGCTGTTGCCAGCCATGGTAGCAAGCTGAGAGACCGGAACTCGCTGGAGATTGGCACTGTGAGGGTCGCAATGACACTGGAATCTATAGCTCCAAGAAATACGCCTACCCAAGCTGTCGAAAAGATAATGGCAAGCCTACTAAAAGGCAATTCTTGGGGTGTGACTGTTGCCTCGTCTACTTGTGGATCTGAGAGTACTTGATATCCGGCTATCACGCGATCAGATTGACCGCAGTTCCCCTTTCCATCGTGATTGAGGAGTGGTGTGCGTTCATTTGCTGCGTTTCCTTCGATGCCTGGACTTGACGAAATGCCGCTGGGAACCTCGAAAGAACTTGCAGGTCGTGGCATTTTCTCTTGCTTCTTCCTGCCTCTTACCAGTCTTCTTCCACCGTGGGACTTTAGCAGTCAACACAATTGATCAAGATGAGGCAATATTTTCGTCGTGGGGAGAAAATCTCGGCGACCATGACCTGATAGCAAATCATAGAAAGTGACAGAGCCAGAGAGATATGTAGCAGGCAACTAGCACACCAATTTAGGCCAGGTCGAAAATCAGGTGATATAATAGTGAGTATCTAATAAATTCAGGATGCAATCTTTGAGGGGCATAACTTTTTTCAACGTTGAGTAGCATGTGACATGCTTGCCGGGGAGCCACGTGAGCTGCAATGAACTAGGAGAAATGTCCATGTTTATCTCGTGTCATTGTCCTATTCGCAATGCCAACACTCTTTTAAGTGCAAGTGATAGAATATTCACAAATCGATGATTACTTATAAGTTAACAAAATGCATATACAAATTACCCTTTTGTCTACTACATTTTAGTCGTTACAGTACAGCCACCTGTGTCGACCGGGGTCAGCAATTAAGACTATTCATGGTTGTTGAGACGTAATGTGATTGCATCATTCTAAACTGATAAGGCAACTTCATAATTTGACTCTTTGATTGGCTATTAAAACTTCGAAACTTGCTATGACCCCAATCCGGAAATCAAATTCGTGAGCAGTACTATACACGAGCATTGCAGTAGTCTCTTTCATCACTGCAACCCGTTCTCCACTTTTAAAGTAACGCACGGTCTCCGATCTGAGTGCAACCCTGCTTCTTCATTTCATTTACAGGCATGGTCTAACCATGATGACGTGAGATTTTAGTTGTTTTGTCTGAACCAAAGTACCTTTACTCCACCGCTCTCTTGAGATAAGGAGTATTTTGCCGCTTAGTTGTAAGATCCTGGATGACTAGTCGTAAAAGACAATGTGCACGGTAAACTCAAAATGTCCCCAGCTAGACCGAGTGATGGGCTCACAGCGAGGGGTCCACCTATCAGAACGGGGCGTGAATAATGAGAGCATGGGACGGGAGCTGGGACCATCAAGGACACAGGTCCCCTGAAATTTCTTGCCAGGCTCACATACTGGTAATCTGCAAACGATGAACGCTTAGCCGCAATAACAGACCAAGGCAATACCGCATTATGGTTAGGCGGGGGATCAGCCCAAATTCGGTGCCAACATGAGTTCGAAGTTGCACAAAAACAGAGACGAGACTTTTCCCGTCATGCCGACGAAAATTATCACCTAGACTTCGCGACTTATGCTCGCTTCTCTCAAGAAGCAGGTTATCTACAAGTGTTGATCCATACACCAAAGCAATAGCTCTACTCACGATGAACGAGAAGCTGCCAGCAGTAGTTGGCCATATAGCTCCTGAGAGCCTATGGCGTCGGGCCCAGTCATCGCTCATACCTCTCCGCCAGACATTACTTCTGATACTCACTCTTTCGGTTGTTTATAGCGTCTATAGGATTCCAATACTCAAAGAATGTCTGAAGCAGCCGCTTGCTACAGAGACTGTAGAGAGGGTACCATTAGAGATCCACATCATCACCAAGTGTGGCAATGCAAGGGTTTGTATTCCTTCAACAAGCGTCTTGAAAACAAAAACGGCGAACTGCTAATGACAGATCTGTGCAAAGACCGCCTTGACGGACTTATTACTTCCTACCATCGAGCGTGTTTACGACAAGGTCGACTTCAGGCTGAGCATCGTTGCAAGGTGAGTAATTTAAAACCTAGAAATAATTGCCAGGAGTTTCTCACCATGTTCACACCTCTCAGGCCAACAGAAGATGGTATAGTCTGCAAGCATGGCCCCGAGGAATGCAAGGCTAGTATCATGGAACTGTGCGCACAGGAGACGCACCCGGACTCCAGGACTTACATTGGCTTCATCGAGTGCTTGACGCACGAGTACGAGCGGATTCCGGAGCGCGCACACTACGAAGTCTGCGCTTCGAAATTTTCCGTAGATCTTGAGGCAGTCGATCAATGCGCTACCAGAGATGGAGGAGCATACGGTTTCAAGCTACTTCGGGAAAGTGCTCAACACACTATAGATGTAAGTGAAAAAGAGTTTGCCCAATGTCCTTGCTGGCGATATCTTCTGGTCGATTTTCTGCGGTTTATCCTTCATGTATAAACTGACATCGCTCGTAAGGCGGGTGTGCGTATTAGTGGCACAGTTCGATTGAACGAAAAGATTTACTGCATCCGGGATGGGGACAACTGGACGGATTGTCCCAACGGTCCTAGTGTTGATAACCTCGTCGATGCCATCGAACATTTTCATAACGCGACGACAAGGTATGTGAAATGCGCTGTTCGTTCAAGAATCTAATGGTTAATGTGAGATTATTAGTGACCTGTGATACTTGGTTTTCTACATTGCAGCTTTTTGGTGTTGAATAGCAAAGCAGTGGGGGTAGCATGTCCGGATAAACATGGCTGTGCATCTCGATGCACGAGCCAGAGTGGCGTAAGGTGTCTACAATTTCGCGGTTTATTCTCAGTTGGTAACGTAGCTTGCCTAACCAATCCACTCGTTCAACTGTATAAATTATCTTTCACATACCATTTTATACGTGATCAATTCGGCGATAAAGCTCTCAGACTTCACGCTGGGTTTGCCAGTGAGTTCAGGGCCCTTAGTTCAATAGGCGTGGGATATGGGCTTGCGAGGTGAAATAATTGGCATGAGCTGTGTCACAATTTGGGAACACGGGCGCTGACTGCTGCCATATAGATGTCGAGTGGAGAATTAGCAAGTCAATGTTAAGACTCTCATCTTGACAACACGGAAGAAAAAATACTTTTGTCTTGTAGGGCGACCTGTGCCACTGCTACTGGTAAAATATGGTAGGAATTTACTGAACAGACTCTTCAGCCGCACTCGGTTGTCAAGAACATACGGCACTATGTTCTGGAAACACATGTGGTTTCTGGGTGGAAAGGCGGCGATCACTCCCCAGACAAGAAATGCAACTCATCATGACACGCTTTTATTCCCTACTCGATACGGCGTCCACATAGTAGAGGTGTTCGTTCTAATCAGGCTCCGATCAGGCCTTCTTAACAAGCACGCCCTGAATCCTAGGCAAACAACTAACCAAGTCTTCAGGCTCCTCAATATCCTCGGGGTTTTCCCACTCTCCACCGTTAATGATATCCGCCAACACATTCCGGGTCATATGACATCCGATAAATGTGCTCCAAGCAGGATTCAAAACAGCTTTTTACATATTAGCCACGTTTGCACACGTCTTAGATCTTCTCTTAAGTAACTTCCGTGATAAGGTCCCACCTAAGAAGAAAGAAAAAGAAGAAAAAAAGAAAAAAGGGAAAGCTAATGAAGACGTACCTTGCTCTACAGCCGTCAAATGGCTTCTGCTCCATCCATGTTCCCAAAATATGAATTTCCCTCCGGGTTTAAGTAATTTCCATATCTCTTTCATTACCGTCTTTGGATCCTTAACCGCGCATAAGACTTGGATACACAACACGGTATCCAAACTCCCTTCCGTAATCCCCTCCGCTCTTAAAACTTGGCTATCTTCGATACCAGAAATAATAAGCTTATACTTATCCCCCAGGTTATGTTTTTCCACCTTGGTCTTTATGCCGTCTTTGTAGCTGGAGTTAGGTTCAATACCGTAGACTTGACTAACGCGAGACATGTCAAAACGATGAATTTGATTGCCTGGCCCAGGTCCCAACTCGAGAACAACACCGCTAGCGGCCTGTAAGAGCGAGGGAATAATGGTCTTATCTTCGAAAGCGATGAAACCGTCAGCTGCACTCAATTAGTCTCTGTCAACAAGTTGATGGCGGATGTGGCAGGTAGATTACAGGTTATGCAGAACAACTTTGCTAAAGCGGCATCTCGAATTTCCGGTATGCGCCCAAGTGCTCCGAGGCCGTTTTGTCGGTAAGACTCTTTGAAGGCTGCCCAGTGCACTGAAACAGGGGAGCAATGATTAGCAGAGTTGTGGAGGCGATTGGGTGCGACAGAGGCTTACGGCGAATAGAGAACCAGATCAGGCTCAATGGGCGGAGAAAGTTGGCAAGGCGGGGACCTGGAGCCATGTTTGTCTGCGTGAGACGGTCACGCCTAATGTCGGACCTCTACGGGAAAGACTCAAATTACACACAGAAAGGAGGCGGGCGCTCAATTGATTTCGCAGAATCAAGTATGGATGCAAGTTGTGTTGGGGGAGGAGACAGAGAACTATATGTATTATCGCGTGAGCACTGCTACGGAAGGTCTAGTAGATGGCGCGTGTTAAACGACTAGTAAAGAGGAGAAGAGAAGAGAGATTAGCGAGGCACGCAGCCGCTCAAGGTGAAAACTTATCTAGGCCGTTGATCCACGCGCACCTGCGCCACACCTCATGCTGGTAGGTCTCGAATGGCTCCACGCGTGGATTTGCGAGTGTTGTCTGGAAAGCGTGGTGATATCAAGAGGACGAAGACGCTAAGTATCTAAGGTTAGACAAGTGGCACTACCAAAAGTGCCTGCGGAACTACGTAAGCATCTAGACTAGCCTTTGCTTTGATCAACGGTTCATCCCGCAGCCACGCCTATTAGGAGTTGTGGTTAGCTTGCCCAACCAAAGGAATGAGACCCGTGCCGCAACCCCTCCTTTTCGATGGACGAGGCGCCCCATAGATTCACGAGCACCCATGAATCTATGGGGCGCCGATGGACGGGTAACGTTGACTAAGTTAGTGAGGCCCACTTGTAAATCCTCGGTGTTGAATACTTATCTCTCTGTATGCGGCGCCTCTACAGCGCATATGTACCTGCCTAAGGTAGTATCGTGGTTCAAACCTACTGAGCCTAGGCCTTGTAAATCACAGTGGGTCACGTTGTTCTGCAAGGGGGGAACACATCCGCGCTCGATAAATGACAGATCGCCGGAACTAGCCAGGAATTGATACTTGACCCATGTCCACTTTTCTGCCCCTCAAACTACAGTACCATTGTACCATTTGGGACGTCGGGATATATCCGAATTGAGGGTATCCCACTCGCTTAGACTGGCTAAATAGTCTGGATCTATATAAAGCAGGATGTAGTGCATCAAGCGTCCCCATTTTTATTTGCGTGCTAGTGGTCTCACGGCATATATTGCAGGTACTGCATATCTGCCCAGCCGCGGGAGCAATTGCCCGATGCAATACATCGCGGGTGTGGCTGACTGAATAGGTTGAGCCAGTTCAAGCGGATTGGCCCGCGTCAGTGGTGGAGAAAATGTTTCACATGCTTCCTGGTAAGCGAGACCCTTACCTTTTTTTTTTTTTTTCCCTTCTTCCCCTTGGGAGCTCCCTGTGACCTCGCTACTGCATCCGGCACAGGATTGGCACTCTCTATTCTATATGGACAATCCGGGTCAAGGTGAGGACGAGGGCCCAACAAGTGAAAGCTGATTGTTGTGCCTCCATCACCAGCCACTGTCACAGAATTCTGTCGCACAAGTTGAATATGTTTGCTACGGCGCACACGCAAACACACTTGGCCATTTGCGAGTTGAAATCATGATCAATATTTCTTAGTTTTTAATTTCAGATTACGAATAACTGCCTACTAGTAATATGGTCGGAAAGTCTGCCTTATCCAGCTAATAACACCAGGACCTTGTTGCGTATCTACGTATTCCAAATGTGCTTCTAACAAATAAGCCGCATTGCCTATTCTCTCTACTATGATGTCTCTCCATTTCTGTTATAGTTAGCACCACTATACTGTAAATATTGACGAGAGGATGCCTTACCTGAGCGTTCTCCCAGTCTCGCTTCTGTAGGCTCTTGCTAAGTCCAGGCAAAGGTAACGGCGTGTTATGCCAGGCAGATGGCGTGAACACGACATGGTGCCAGTCAGCGTGTCCATTTATGCCCGGTCCGTAGTAAAACTGTCGTTCGAATACCTTGTAAACTCTGTTCACACCACTGATCGTACGGGTCCGCCTGCATCTAGCCCAGAACTTCCACCGAGTGCATTTTGACTCTCTCAGAGAGCCGGCAAAGCTGTCAAAACGGCTGGCAGCCCTAGATAGTCGCTCGACTGCGTCAAACATGACCGTCAGATCAACCTTCGGAGACAACAAGTCGCGGTCTTTGAAATCCTCTAGCCATCCCTGGAATGCTAATGCGTAGTCTGTGACGTTCATGTTCAGCACCCCTGGCTCTACGAGGTGTGCCGTCATGAGAGCCCACATCTTCGCACTAGTGACGTGATACTTCCATCCAGGGTCACCGACTTCGTCCATCCATTCGAAACTGTCGAAGCCCGTATGGTATGGGAAGACGGGCTCCCCCAGGGCCGGTGTGAAGCCAAAATCAAGTGTCGAAACGCAAGGAATGGACATGAAACGGTTTGCATCGCCGCTGCCGGCAGGAGTGATATTGCCGCCCCAGACATCTCGCACAGATTGACCAGCCGCGGTTTGATTCGGCGACAGTACGAGGTCAGTCACAGAGAGAACCGTTGAGTACAGGAGCGGACTGGCCTTGGCGTGGAAATGACTCCCCGACGCCGCAACGACAACGTTGAGATATGCGACAGCCGAAGCTCTCAACCAGTCAAGATGTTTAGTGACCCAGAGGAGGGAGCCGACTTGAAGAAACTCCTCCCCTTCAAAACTTGCGAAGATTATGGTACGCTCTGGGCGCCAGCCCTGCTTAAGGGCTTCGCCAAAGCTGCGGACGACCTCGTTCAACGCGGCGGAACCACTACCGGGATCTCCGGCACCGGGGCCCCAGGCGTCGCGATGGTTGCCAACGATGACCACCTCGTCGGTTGTCCTACCAGTAATCGTGCCAATAACGTTGTGGATCTGGGTATCCAGGATATCCGCGTGGTTAGTGACGTGTAGAGAAAGTCCAGGAGGCGATGGTCCAACATTATAGTCAACACCGTAGTACCCCAAGCCGCCCAATTCCCAGAGATTACCAAACTCTTTTGCTGAAGGCCCATGACCGTTCAACTTGCTCAAGAGCTGGATCGCATCAGCAGCGGACATGGGTATGCAGGGAATACTAGGTAATTGGCCCCCGTTGAAGTCATCTAGATGATACCGGGTGAGCAAGAGGTATTTGATCGGTGCAGACAAGGATTACTCACCGATGCTACCAAGACCTCCTCTCTCGATTGCCTCGAGCGGTCGCGCTGGTCCGTCAGGAAATGGTTTGTATCCATTGCCCTCAGTCGTAGGGCCGTCATTTCCAGGATCGGTGTATAGAACCACACCGATCATACCCGCCGCTTGAGCGTTATGGACAGACAGGGCACGAAACATGGACAAGTTCTTCTCGCGCACATATGGAGTTGCAGTGCCCAACTTGATGATGGCGATTTTTCCTGCGAGGCTTATGTTACGCTGAGCGAGATCGATGAAGTCTTGCGGGCTGCCGAAGTTGCAAAAGACGTAAGAGCCAGAAATGTTGCCATTGGCTGAAAAGCCAAAGTACGCGGGTACGAAGCCCACAGAGGCGTTGGCGTCCACCAGGGGCGCCTCGTAAAGGACTCGGTCATTCTCTAAGAGAGCGAGCCGCTGCCCATTTATCGGCAGTGGAAGCTGGGTATCGTGAGAAGAAATGGTAGTGTTTATGACACCAAACTCCTTCCACTTGGCTTGAGTCCATTGGGCTTGCTTCAGGCCCTGGCCGGCAAGATGCGTGTCCGACGTATAATAAGCACTCCAGTTGCGTACATGTTCATGAGAAGGAACGGAGAGCAATATTTGGCGCAGATCAAAATTAGAATGGGCGGCTATGCTCGGGATCGTACCCCAGTAGCAGTAGTAAGAGAAGACAACGAGCACAACAATGATAGAAGCAGACCACTTTGGTGCACCTGAACGCTTCAGTCGAGGCGATATAGACTGAGGGAAAGCGTCAAGCTTCATGCTGCTAAAAAGATGGTGACTGACTAGTATCAGCCTATACAGACTGAGGAAACCTTTCGTTTGTCAGAAGCGTACAGGGTATGTGGGATAGAATCTTCAGTACCGAAAATGACTCAGAGACAGAGGAACAGAAATCGAAGAGACCCAACAGCAGTCAGATTTTCTATGGTGAGATAGGCTCAGGTAACGAAGGTCTGGGTATAACTTCATTAGCTTATTAGCTATATACCGAGAAGTGCAACTCGCGGATAAATGCTTAATGGCTAACTCAATAATGCATACACTATACGGAGGCTCTAGCGGTAGATGGCGCTAGTAAATTACATAGGTAATCCGCGCCTTGTCTTTTGCTGCGAGTTTCGCAAACGATACGCGGTGGAACCATTGAGGAGTCGTTGAATTTAGTCCTGCAAGGTACTTTCCACCAGCCCCCACTTTGTGGGTTACTTATAATGCGGGACTCTTATCACTCAGATGCAGTAAGTCCCATTTACCTCGGTCCTAGCGGTAGTTAGCCCTCGGTGGGCTAGTTAATCAGGGGTGACTCTAGCTCAGAAGCAATCACGAAAGCCGAATTTGGCATCGCTACGGAAAGTATAGTAGTTCGTGCGAAGGATGTTGAACCTGGTTGACCGCGATAGCAAATCAGCTGGGCTTACTGTTAATGCAGGGTTGGTTCATTATACAGGGGTTCACCTGAACATGATGTGAGATCATCTGAGTGGGGCCCCTAGATCTCGCCTGAGTGTATCCATTTCCGTGATACCACTTATCTTAGTCCAAAGCGCACACCTGATGTAGACATAGATCTGAACGGTACAACTCTGCACCCCAGAGTTGCAGCATTATCTCGCAGTACTTACGTGTTCTTTCGCTAGGTTTGAGTCGGGTGGAAATCCTACACTGATCCTAGCTTCTGCCATTTACGTAATACAAGCCATTATATCCTGCCTTCGATAGCCTTCTACCTAGATCAGATACTGCGGCCGCTCGTACGTCATGAGTATATTTGCTTACGTCCATATTGATTCCACCAATACAACATTAAACTGCTTATGAAGAAATTTCCAAGATAGTCATAACTCTATAAGTCATTAATTATTGTAAATGTGAATTATTGAGCTTATGTCGTATTTCTTTTGTGTAAGGAATGTAACTTGATGTAACACGTGGTACTTGCTTTGAACTCCCTCTCGAAACTGGGTGCTCTCTTGTCACGTACAAAGCTGATAGACGTATGTTGCCTGTCTGGTTCCTCATCAGACAACGTTCCTCCGTTAACCATGACGATTCTAATACACATGGGGGGCCTCGGCCTGCCGATCATATCTGCTCTGCTTTGCGTGGTAGGTACAGTATCACACCCCGTGATCCCTAAGTTATTTGAGTCAGGGTGATCGCTGACATGTCAAAATATAGGGCGCGTGTTTGTTGCTGGGAAAGGCGGTTTACAATGTCTGGTTCCACCCGCTGGCGAAATTTCCTGGTCCAAGATGGAATGCTGTTTGGCACCTCCCAGCCTCGTACGAGTTTCTGCGGGGAAGGTTTCCCCGGTACCTACACTGCCTCCATGAAAGGTACGGCGATGTTGTCCGCGTTCGCCCCGGAACACTGTCCTTCTCTAGCTCTCAAGCCTCCAAAGATATCTTGATCAACAAGCCGGGACGTGATCAGCTGCAGAAAGACCCAGAATTGTTCTTCAAGTCGCCAAATGGCGCTTATAGTATATTGAGTGTACCGAGTGATTCGGACCATAGCCGGTATCGTCGCCTTTTGTCGAGTGGATTTTCGGAGAGAGCAATAAGGGACCAAGAGGCTGTTCTTAAGACCTATGTTGATCTCCTCATACAAGGCTTGCACCAAAAGGCCAAAGATGGACCTCAGGATATGGTGACGTGGTTCAATTGGATAACTTTCGATGTGATTGGCGAGTTGACATTCGATCGATCATTTGATTGCCTGAGGAACCAAGCCTACCACGAATGGATTCCATTCGTCTTTGGAGGTGTAAAAGCCATAATGATCCGAAGCGAACTCTCTCGCTACCCCTTAATCACCAAGATCATGATGTGGCTAGACCGTGAAAAACTTCTAGCAGCCAGAGAAAAGGGATTCAGGTTTGCAGAAGAGCGGGTCAATCATCGCATTGCCTCCGCCACTGACCGGCTGGACTTTTTGAATTACATTCTTCGCAAGGGAGGGAAGGAAAGAGAAATGAGCCGTGCTGAAATCGAAGCAACCTCTTCTACCCTAGTCTTAGGTGGAAGTGACACGACGGCGACGCTTCTGGCAGGCACGGTGTTCTACTTGCTCCAGAACCCGCAGGTTAAACAGAAGCTGGTGGCCGAAATCAGAGGTGGGTTTTCAGACGAAGCCGAAATAACCATGACTACCGTCGGCAAACTTCCATACCTCCTTGCGACTCTAGAGGAGGGTATGCGGATGTATCCTCCGGTCGCTCTTGGATCTCCACGTATAGTCGGGGATGAGGGTACAGTGCTCGGGGGGTATCTTGTGCCGCCTAAAGTAAGAAACTTATCCATGTGAAGAAAAGGCCAGTCGAGATTAACGCGCATTTAGACTCATGTTCTCAACAGCCAGTACGTGGCTGCTCACTCTTCAAGGAACTTCCACAATGCCGAGTCCTTCGCCCCTGAACGTTGGCTTGACGATCCTGTATACAAAAATGACGACAGGGCTGCTAGCCTTCCTTTCTCCCTAGGTCCACGGAACTGCATCGGGAGAAGGTAAGTCTCCGTACAAAGGGCATCTGTGTCTGAATTTATCTAATTGTATCTTAGTCTTGCATACGCCGAGATGCGCCTGATAACAGCCCGACTTTTATGGAACTTTGATATCGAAATAGGTCCAGATATTAGCACGTGGATCGAGCAGAACAAGAATTGGACGTTGTGGGAGAAGCCACCTCTACCAGTGCTGCTGAAGCCAGTGCGGTAACGATACTAAGCTAGCTCGATAGTGTCCTACAGCCGAATGGATCTGCGAATAGTGTCGCTGATCCGACACGCCGTAGCGGTGCTGTGGTCTTTCGAGTGAGGATCAAACAGTTATCACTTAAACATAACCGTTTTGACTTATAAGTAAGGCTTATTGAGCCTGAGCGATTATAGTTAACGAACCTCTTTATTTTATACTCCATCCAAAACTATTTCTATGATCTAGAGATGTCACAATCCTGACCACATGTATAATCACTCGCCATCTAGCCGACATTATGGGCACCAGAAATGTCAGCACTTTGTAAAACCAGAGCTAGATTCTTGGTACTGGACGGTAGAGCAGGAGATCCCCGCCGTGGTTCCAGCGGCGTACATAGGCCAACACGAACAGGTCGACAGATCGAGCAAGCAAGCATGGGCGACGGCATTCCAAATTACTGCAAACAAAGTGAATGGTGCTGTATGCCAGTACGGTCGCTGCCACTGACGAAATTGTTTGTTATTAGAGCAAGAGGAACCTGACTTACGCGCAGTGCGCTAGAACGGGGATTGTAGAACATGGTTGCGTAGAATGAGACTGATAGCGCGCATCGGCTCGGCTGGCTGCAAGCCCTGAGAATCACAATATCCTATGGCTGCATATGCCCAGAACAGAAACTGCACAAACGGAACCCAACGTGATTAACATACGTATCCGCTTTCGTGGTCGTTGCATGAAGCCAGAGATGGGTCACCAACCAGTTCTAGGGTGCCCGTCATTGAGCGTTTCAGGATGACTCAGTTCTACCTGACATTTTCCAAATATGAAATCCACGATCCGTGAAACAACGCCATCTTCCGAAGCTTGTCACCGCGGAGAAGGCTGCAGGAAGAGGATGGATACGAGATCAGGAGAACTGTGATACAAATATCAACTGCAAGGCCGTCATATTCGACATCTGTTCTTCAGATTACATACCAGGGGGTAAAACACATTGATGAATAACCAACTCTAACGGATCAAAGCGTCCATCTAGTTTGAGTATACCAGCTCCAACTAGTGACGAGGCTGTAGATATTGATTCTATGTGGAAAAGAAGAAGACTTGGTTCATCCACAACTTGCGATGCTGCGTAAGATTTGAGATACAGAAAGTTACTAGTACAGATGAGTGTCGAACCCCAAACAAAGTCTTTTGGCCCGTTTGTCCGGGAAGCGAATTGCAAGGTAGTTACTCTGTATCATCCCCAGAGTATGCGCCTCGCTGGAGCGGAGACGAATCACTGAGGCGTATTGGCACTGTAAAAGGCGCTATAGGAGGGGGATTAGAGCTTATGCGAACTGCAATACTGTGCACACTGCAGTATATATGAATCTCATGGCTCGGAAATACTGTCACGAGGGTTGAAAAATCTTGGAGCTGACTGACATCAGCAGTTCCAGTGGATTATCCAGATTCGTGCGAGAACCCTGAAAAGTCACTACTAGTAAGTGATTCCAAACTCGATTGGAGTTGAGCTTCTAAAATTGAATTACCTGCTCTTGTTGCAATGCATTACATTCCGGGCACGGTGGGTATCATAACACTTGTGTCATCGTTTCGTTCCTTTAAAGTGTGAGCCGTCTATTACTCTTTGTCTTGCAAGCCCCGTAAACCACGCTACGGGCCTAGCAATAAACATTCCGATCAAACGCCTAGACTAGGTTCAAGATTCGCAGTGTTGGTCTCTATCCTACGGTAGGTCAGGCAATCTCTTGGAGTCGCGTTTAATTAGGAGCAATTTGCAAAAAAGAAAAAAGACATACAACACCGGGGATTCCCCAGTGGTCACCCACCTGAGTACTAATCCAGCGCTTCCCAGTTTATCTAGGGCAGAGCGGACGGGATGCCGAGTTTTCTAGGAGCTATGGTCGTATGTGATATACAAGCGTCGCAACGAGGTATAGATAGATACATCTATTGGAAAAGAAAGTAGCAGGTAGAATACTGAAAAGACAAAAAACATACAACACCGGGGATTCCCCAGTGGTCACCCACCTGAATACTAATCCAGCGCTTCGAGGGCATACCTACTTGGTGCAAAGGGGTCGCTTACCACGCAGCTTGTAACACGGAAACATGTAGCTTATGCACCACGTAACAAAGTGGGATTTTAAAAGCGTTTCTAAAGGGCTTCGTTTCGCGTTTTGGGACCGTCCCAGTGGAACGTTTTTTTTGGGGGGGTTTTTTTATTATTATTTCCGTTGACAAATTAAAAGCCGCCACATCATATCACCCAGTTATCTATAACTTAGGCTAGGTAGTAAATTCATGTTACAACCATGAAGCCTTTACAGACTACTACATTATAAGGGAACTTCGAGTGACGAGATTCACCACTATATCGACATCTGCTTGAGATTACGCAGAGCATTGCTTAGAGTTTCTAGCTCTTCAATGAGATCACAAACGCGTTTCGGACCGTATTCGTAATCTTTGATTGCAGTAGAGAGCGCAACACTAGACTTTTAACGCAATCGAAGCCAGTGCCATTAGGCCAGAGGCTACACCTATTGCTTCGACTATTGTGTTATAATGGTGTACAGGAATGCGCTATTCTACTATGCATATCTGACCGGCGCTTTTCTTGACATAAATTCTGTGTGTCGTCTACTCGAGATTCCCGCGACGCATGAATGACAGGATCTGCCTCAGGCAGAACCAAGTCGACGCTCTGAACTGCGTCTGTATCGATCGCTTGTGAGCTTGTTTCAATATTGTCTAATGTTGTTGATAGGGTTGTATCATCTTGCATGGACGCGCCCAGGCTGGAACGGCGAACTGCTGGACGTGAAGCCACTACGATACGTTCAACTACAGAGTCTGCAGTTGAATGATAGTCAGACCTGTCCTGTTAAATATCACAACCTGTATTTGCCCATTGACAGTAGAACCTTCGCTGAAAATCTCCGCAAACTCCGCAAATGCGCATAAGTCAAGGCCGACGATTCTGTAACATCTATAGGACTGGCAATAGTGTTTCCGCCTATAACAGGATAGTCCTCTCTTTCTCGACTCCTGGAGTGAGTGTCCATAACATCGAGATTTGATCTCTACATCCCTGAGTGTCGACTGTGCTCTAAATCCCGCGACTTTAAGCGAGAGACTATGTCTTGCTGACTTATATACTGATAACGATCAGTTATCGAACAGTGGTTATGTAAAGTATAACGATTTATATTGCCTGACTCAAATGGACGATTATTCACAACAACAAGCTCCTTAGTACAACCTCGCTAAAGTGAATCGTCTTTACACAATCTACATACTGGCTTACTAGTATGGGCGATAGAGAATTCTCGTTCGCTCCTGCTCCTCGTGTTCGGTGTCATAATTTCTTACGAAGCCGACGCAATTTTAAGCTTGCGCGAGAGTCTAAATAAGACGCTATAACAGGTTTGTTCCTTCGAGATTTAAGCTATGGACTAAAAGTGGCACAATATTCTTAAAAAACGGAGGATTTTGGTGTAGTTCTTTAGCTGCGGACCTTATGTCATCTAGTTGTAAATCCGGATCCCTCTCGTAAAGGTCCAAGGAGCCTTGGAAAGTTGATATCATCCTTGTAAACAATGACAAGGTCTCTATAGACATTTGGTTTGACTAGACGGAACACATTAGCGCCTACAATGTCGCTAGAAGCTTATCCCGCGCGGCAGGACTTACAATGTACTCGGACGCTAACTGGAATAGTTCCGTATACACCCAATATACTCATCATTGTGCTTCTTTAGAGCTTTATCTCGAGTTTCTTATAACTATCTCATTGTGTTGTTAACAGAACAAATTTCTTCTTGTAATAACCTTTTCCTGTTCTCTAGCATCTCAGATTGCTTCGTATATAACGCGATTTCATGACGTTTTGCACTGGCATACGGCGATGTGACAGCGCGAATTTGCGATTAATTTGTAAAGCAAAGTCGTCTTATGCTTCGTAAGGATCCTCGCGCAGCGTGTAAGGCATCTTAATCGCTGTATGTAGTCGATGGTGACCGATTGCTCCGGACAATCCAAAAACATGAGGTTAACCGATAGTGATGATATATAGCAGCCATCACTCTCCCGTTCGTACGCTACTAGGAACATGTCGAATTATATTCACGCTGCTCCACATGATTGATCACAGGCCGTGACCCGGTCGCATGCAATCTTGATTCGGCGTTTGACATGATTGGGGAAAGGGCAGTGTCTCCGAGGAGGACCCCAATAAGTAACATCCCATGTTAGGCTATTCTCCTCGACTGACTAGAAGGGTTTCCTACATGTCTTTTAGCTATCAGAACCCGCTAGATATCTGCCCGCCTCCCCCGGGGAGAACGATGTTAAACTACACGACTCACGGGCATCCTGAAAGTAGATGAATGGGCGGGCAATGTAATGAGAAATACGGAACTGTGAATTGTCCTACAAACTAAACCTGCTTCACTTGCCCAGTTAGAGAATAGCAAGAAGCCCTATCCATGCCGGCAATCCCCTCCACACTAGACAAGTACCGGAGTCAAACGGCTAACGGGAATATCGCCAAGGCGTAAATCACGACAGCGGCCGAGTTCGCTAAAATCGATTTTTAGTATAAAGCTCATCTCGTCAGTAAAAGCCATATCAGATACAGGAAATAGCTAAGTCAACGCATAAGTCTGGTCACATGTATGCAAGGAACATAGACACGACTAGGTTAGCGTACACTGCGCCCAGAACGTCTCACGTAACGAGACGTTAAATACAACCAACCACCAACCAACCACGTGCAAGTAGGAATCTTTAAGCCAAGTTATGCGCATTCGTGACAGGTAGCCTTTTTCCTTTCATATGTCTATGGGAGGCAGATGTTCTGATAGGTTGCTTGGCCGGAAGTGGTCTTATCCGAGGCATGTTAGCCTCGTTGGTTGGAGCGCCGGCGCATACGCTGCAGCCGCTACAAGGCTGTGGCCAAAATGGATGTTGGTTGGTTGTTTGAGCCGGCCTGTCGGGCTACGGTACAATACGGCGCTTGTCACCCCCGGCTATAATCAGGGTGCTAGAGTCTAATCAAGTTTTCCGGGTCAGTCCGTCGCGTCTGCCCACTGACACCTGTTTGGTTACTTTCAACACTGGATTTAGCCGCTCTCCTCCTCGCAACATCAGGGCCGTCTGATACATTCCGCGCTTATCCTCGGCGACGCCTACTTTCTCTACATCAACTACTATTTTACGTCTATCCCGCTGCTTGCGACGCGTAACTGGAAAGACCGTCAGTTACTGCTGAAATGGAGTCGGGCGAAAATGCGACCTCTGGTCACTCGAGCAGTATCAAATGGGTACGCACGCTTTGGGGTCTGGAGGCTAGATGGACTGTCGAGCCAGATGAAGGTGCCGTGATGGCCACTATCCAGGCAGCAATTACGTTGCCCGATCCCTGCGATATTAAGTTTCTTGCGCAGGGGGCTTTTAACAAAATCTTCACTGTAACGTCGACTGACGAACAAGTCGTCGCTCGCGTTACTTTACCGATCGATCCAAAGTGGAAGACATTAAGCGAGGTTGCGACTCTTGAGTGGGTGCGGACCAACACCAGCTTGCCGGTTCCGCAAGTGTTTGCATATAATGCTGATGGGTCCACGCCAGTAGGTTTTGAATGGATCGCCATGGAGATGATGCCTGGCAAGCCTTGGGCAGATGCATACCGAAGCATGACGTTCAGCGCCAAGGAAGAAGTTGTTCGGCGGATCGCCCGCTTTAGCTCGGAGATTTTCCAGAAACGGATGCGAGGCATCGGGAATATCTTTCCGGGGGAGGCCAAGGTGCAAAAAATTGTATCCTCAGCTTTTATTTGTCATGGATTTGGACGCCAGACCGTCCAGCGCGGCCCATTCCCGTCCAGTTGGCAATGGCTCCAATCCAGGCTAGATCTCGCAGAACTTGATTGTTATGGTCATTTGGAGAAGGCAAAAGAGTCTATGACTCAGGATACAAACGGGTCGCATGCTGTAATTGATACCGAAGAGTCCCAGGAGGATCACGATAACAAGGATAAGGGTGATGAAAAGATGGACGACCGAGACGAAGACGAGGACGATGAAGACGATCTCGATGTCTTAGAGGATGCTCTAAAAATTATCCAGAAGCTTAAGGTCCATTTACCCGAGTTCTTCACTCCTACAGGAACGGAGCCGGAGCCAACAATACTGTTCCACGATGACCTTAACCGACACAACATTCTCGTTGACGAAGCAGGGGAGCTAACGGCTGTGGTGGATTGGGAATGTATTTCTGCTTTGCCGCTGTGGGCGGCCTGCCGGTACCCGTCTTTTATTGACAGCAAATCGAACGATGTGGAACCGATCAAGGAGCGTTATCATCAAGATGAACATGGCCAAGTTGATGAGCTGTTCTGGGAACACCTCGAAGACTTTGAGTCGACGAAGCTCCGTCGCCTCTTTTTGCAAGAAATGCAGAGGTTGGCTCCGGGGTGGGTTAATATTTTCGAAGCGAGCCAACGCCAAAGAGACTTTGATATGGCTTTGGACTCGTGTGATGACGAGTTCTCAATACGGAGAATTCTGACTTGGCTGGAGGAGATAGAATCAGGCAAGAAGGACATTAGCAGCTTAGAGGCTCGGTTTTCGTAATAACCACCGTGAGCTATCTCTAGGTCTCCGTGTTCCCTCTTCTTGGTTTTTCTGTGATGAACAACTATGCCTTTTCCCAGGTCATTAATCCTTCACTTAAACGAAATGCTGTTAAGGGTAAAAGCGAATGAATCGACACACAACGGCGCGATAATAAGATCAGTCGAGTTTATTCGGGTTTAAATCCAAAGTCCATTCCCTATACATCTATTTCCCACTTTCTCTCAAACCACCTAGATATCTCGAGTAGCCGTAATACAAAATCTGGAGACACCTAGAGCGGGTCGTTCCGGTCCCGAGGAGTCTTCGCTATGGCCTTATTGTTCTCGCCATATAGTCTCAGGCGAGATCCTACAACCCATGTATAAAGCACAAACGGTATAAGTCCCGTATCCTTAGACGTTGTAATTACCGGGCATTAGGCTTTGGGGTGTGCCTACGGAGCCGGGGACGGATAATTGTCTGTCGTTTTATGAGCTTCCAAGTGAAGGTTAGCTATAGCTAGCAAGAAAGTACCGACACTTAACCAAAAAATCCAGACTTATACGTACTCCTTCGTGTCCCTCATTGAGGTCTTGGCCCCATGGCTCCGGAAAAGGGGCCCGAATCATGTTGGATCTACGAAGCACCAATCTGGCAGCTCTCATTGCCATCTTTGCAGCCACCGGCGCCTCCAGCCATAGGCATAGCCTCTATCGCTTGCTGAGCCCCTGAGATGTTCGCACACTTTCAGGTATATCATATTAGTAAAAGCCAGGCAGACGGCAATTGATTGACTTGTATCGGCAGCCAAGACTATGGGAGTTGCAATCATGATCCCCGCAGTCGTCGAATGTGGCTCTTTAGACAATACCCTATCCATAAGTGCTATGCTATGGCGCGGTTCTTGTCAGTCCAGACATGGTTTGCAGAGCCTGGTAGAGGACACCTGTAAGTCTACTCCGACGTCTGTGAAAGGCCTCCTTATCGGCCTCCTGAAGCTGGTTTAGGTGTAGACAACACATAGGCTTATTCACGTCAGTGATATTGAAAGTGACTTTCTTGCTTAGATCAACAATACTTAAAAGGAATCTCTGAGTCTATAAGCTCCATATACCTGAAGCCTTGGCTATATATCTACGATAACGCTGAAATATGGGATAGAGTAGGTGGATCATTAGGGGGAAATTGAAAGTCTTATGCGAGGATGAGGCTTGTTTCTTATTGGTCAGATGTCGGAAGATATGCCGGGGTGCTGTCTGACCCATTGCGGAGCAGACTTCTCGGCCTGTGAGAGAGTCCATACGGCAATATCCGCGCGCCTCAAGTACATGCCTACCGTACCATCGCCAACATATCCATTAACAGCCTTCATAGGCGGCCCATTTGCCAGGAATCCGACACGAAACAAAGTCCACTCAACATCCTTGCCCTGCTCATCAAATACCTTGGAGATGTCAATAATAGTCTTCCAGACTTTATGCGCGGTTGCCCAGAGGGCGGTCACAAGGAACCAGCGCAGAAAATTAGGCTTGTCCCGAGTATCGTAGACGCTATAAGTGCTAAGGGCGATGATACGCTTGACACCTCGGACTTCATGGTCGATAGGATAAGCTCGTAGGCAGGCACAAAGATATTGGTCGGCGCTCCAGGCTTTGAGGGGCCAAAGACGGAGATGATGACATCTTGGCCGCTGATGGTTGCGCGGAGGCCTGATTTGTTGTCAAGAGCGCCTTCAATCGTCTGCGTCCAACCAAATTCCAATTAGTCCTAACTCTGTCTTCCGAGCGAGCGCTGCTCCAAACGTGATTTCACACCTTTATCTGCGCATTCGCAGCGTGCTCTGGCAGTGTTCGCCTCCTGCATACGGTAGCCTGCCACTTGAGCTCCAGGGCTCGCTCCACGACAAGCTGGCCCGTCGGGCTGGTTGCACCCAGAACAAGTAGCTTTCTGCCGTCCATTGTATGCTCGGGGGTCGATTGACTGTTCCAAAGCGTCGGTATTTCTTGAGGGGTTGCTGTTGTTTGGGCGTAGCCTCAGTAGGCAGAAGCTAGAGGAGGTGGCGGAGGAAGTGTGAACAGGCGGAGATCAGTGTACCTACTCATGCCGAAACAAATTTTCCAGCTCCTACTGGGTGGCACAAGGCAACTTCGAACTGCCCCTTGCTACGCCCAGCCCTGCTCCAGTTGACGATGGGAATCCTGAATCGCCGAGGGGTGTCTTCCACGGATTCTTCATTGTAGATGGCGACGTCTGTACCTAGCGGCATTGGCTCCATTTTGCCAACTCTCGAATGGCAATACTTCTCCAAGTCAGCCAGGACCACCGATGTCTTGGCAATATTCCGGTCTGATGCCATTGGCTGCGGGCGGAGGAACTTGATTGTACCCGTACGTCTCGGCGAACCCCGAGCCTAAACTTTCAAGATAGACGTCTACGGCGTTTTCGGGATAAAGAAACATCATAATAATGGCTGTTGGGTTCGTCTTGGCTCAGAACTTGTGTCTACAAATCATCGACTCGTCTTCGCTTAGATTGACCTCTACTGTTATCGTAATAATTCTTATTTAGTATTTGTGTAAGGTGGGATGTAGTTATACAATACTCTAATTCTCCTAGCCTACGTTGGTTATGCCAATTCCTAATAGTGCTCGTAATTTTGGCGCTTAATTTAGTAAAGTTATCTTTATAATGCTATTATATATGCTCGAGTCGACTTCGATTATGGTTTTTAAACGTAAACCACAAGTTAATAACGGACTTAAATGTAATGCCCTTAAAGAAGATGTATATCATGTTAATTAAGTATAAAAAGTCATTTAAATTATCGGGGAAAATAGGTATAAATGCCACACTTGGAAATCCTAGCTCTTAACACATGTTCGAAAGACTACGGTTTATTAAATCAGGCCATGGATAATAAGGTGGAAAATACACACGACATGCGATGACAAAACGCTATTAATATTTTAGACTTCGGTATTAGGATAATATCGTTAAGGATATCTAATTTTCCTTAGAGTAGTTCCATTGTTCTTTGGCTTATATAGTTTAAGCCCTCTTTACTTAAGTAACCGGCTTCCCCGGCTCGAAATCCTATTATTATATCCTGTTAGAATGAATTGCCAAGTTATAATAAAGAGAACTAACCGTTAACTAATGTAAAAACTCTGATAGCCTTTATACCATTTGTTATTAAGAGGAAATTTACAACTTAATTAAGTAGAATTACACTTAATATAATCGGCGTGGCTAGTATTTAATCTTCTCAATCGGCGTGCAAAATGCATATATTTTAGACCATGTTAACATCTCCACAAACCATTTATTGCTAATCTCTTCTTGTTATTAGTGTAGTGCATTATTTGCTTCTTAATACGAAGCAAATGGTTATCCGAGGTCGCGTTATCGGAACGGAAACAGTCGATGAGAATTGAGCCTAAGTCTTGCTTAGACGTCTCTTTGATATTTAATACAACTAATTAACCTTTGAGTATTTTTCTACTGAGATTCTTCGCGACAACCTCCCACTTTCCTAGTTTCTTTGCGGAAGGATCATGTTCTCTTCCCTAAGTGTTAAGTTAATCGGCCACAATTGATCGGGATTCGTTTGTATAAGAGACGCGAGGTGTTTTCGAAATGATCGGTGCTATACCTATGTCGGAAATAGTAGAGGTAGAACAATCCTACGACAGTCCCCTTAAAGCGGACTAAGTTACCCAGTGGCAGTCTGAACTGGAATATTCTCGCGAGTGTTAGACGATTCTATAGCTATTAGTTCTTCCCCCTTTGGATCACGTCGCCTTCTTATCGACGTCGGCGGGGCCGATAACTTGTCCATTGCTCAAGTTGGCGAGCATGGGGAGATGACCCCCAAGGATGAATCATTCCATAACAAAATATTCGCCGGTGAACTTATGCGGCTGTTGGTCACAGCCACATCATAACCATACAGCCAGAGGTTGATTGTGGTATGTATGGCCCTAAGCAGACTCCACTGACCTACTTAGTTAAGGCTAAACTGATCTCGACACACCTGGATTGCATGATCTGAACATATCTCAATTTTCCCGCTCACGATTCCATTTGGAGGCTGTCTCGACGTATAATCCCACCAATCCTAGGTTTGTCTACCCAAACTTCTTCTCAAACTTCTTGAACATGCCCGTGACGCCCCTCTCGAGCCTATCCGCGTTCTGGCCCATTTTACTCCGCTCTTCCGGCTTCGGTTTGTACTTGACGTTGTGCTCGTGCTCCGACGGCCTGTAGACCTGCGAGTGGATATCATAGCCACTACCTTGCGGTATGCCGCCGCCCACCGGGTTGCTATAGTTGTAATTGGAAAACCCACCGGGTGGCAGGCCGGGGCTTTGCACTACGGGCTGGGACTGGGTATGAGGTGGGCCTGTCGGGCGGGCCTGCGAGCTCGCGGGCGGCGGAGGAGGCGGAGGAGCGAACCCCGGAGACCCCGGGAAGTTGGAGCTATAGGGGCTCGCGAGACCTGGTGATGCCAGCGGCAGACCGGGGGATGCCAGGCCACCAGCGGGCATGGTGGCGGATCTCTGCAGGTGTCCGAACTGCGAAGGCGGGAAGCCGGGACTCGTAAGGCCGGCTGTTGGCGGTCCGGGGAAGCCGGGACTGAGCGGCCCGTTGGGCCCATACCCGGGAGTGTAGGGCTGCGCATGATCCACGGCCACTGCTGCCCTGAGGGGATCGTAGCCATCATCCTCCGGAGGCGGAGGCGTCTTCTCACGGTGTCTGACCGGTTCGGGTGCAGCTGGTGCAGCAGGGTTGTATGCCATCGGCTGAAAGCTTGTGGGAGGTTCTGAAGACCCGTGGACGGCGGAAACTGGAGGAGGCGCAAATGAGGGTATTCCTTGTGATGAGTTTGGTGTGCCTCGCGAGCTACCAGAAATAGCAGCCCTCTCCAGCTTCTGAACTAGGGGGTTCACGTCGTGATGGTGAGAATGAGAGGGCGGCGCATGAACCGGTGGGCCTGGCTCGTCGAGGACGTCGACTTGAGACGGCGGGAGAACCCTCCTGACTCCGTTGACGAATTGGAGTGCATCGGCCTGGGTCCAGAAGTAGACGTCCAGCGAGTGAAGCTTGTAGTGGTACTTGTTCTCATTCCGGGGATCGTAGGTTGGTAGATGCCATTGGTTCTGGTCGAATGGTGCGCCTTGGACGCCATCGACTGTGATGGTCACCAGGACTTGCTGGTTGTACGAGTATCTCACTCGAGTATGATCCAAGACTAACGTTGCACCATGTCAGAACTGAACTGTCGCGGGCACTTGAAGAAGAAGCATCCTTACATCCATCCAGCGCGTCCTGGTCATCAGTGCCAGGCTGGTTTGCGACTTCTATGCGCGCCCTCCGATCGTGCGCATTCTCGAACAGATATATGTAAGAGCCCTTGTCGAAGCGATGGTGGCGGGGATTCTCGGTCGGCGGCCCATAGAAATAGTGTACGTCTCCGAAACTGAGAAGCGCCGACTCGTGTCAGTCCCAGCGACGCTCGACGCTATACTTGGGCTTCATTCATGCGCTCGTATACTCACAGGGTAGCCACGTTCTCCTCGCCTGGACGGACCGCCATGTTGTGCTCGCACTTGCGCTTGAGGAGCTCCGAGAGAGTACAACAAGTACAGCCCCTCAGAACAGCCAAGGAAGAGAAGAGGAAGAGATGAGGGCGGAAAAAGAGAGCAATCTGTGGTGAATTAAATGTATAATTGCGAACGACGCTCAACTTAAGGACCTTGCGCCAAGCGACTGCTCAACGAAGAGACTCGAGAGCAGAAACAGAGGATGAGAGACGAAGAAGACAGAAGAAATGCATATCAATCCAAAAATAGAAAACAATAATAATAAAAAAGAAGCCCAAGCTACCTACCTACCTGCCTACCTGCCTACCTGCCTCTCACTTACCTGCAACAGTTAAAGCCGACTTGCAGCGTTCACGGCGTCTAGAGCCAGTGGATTTGCCCTGCTCTGCGTGGCTGCATGGCTGCATCTCTGCTGTCGGGCGCTTACAAGGGACGTGTGAGAGGTCTCAGGCAGGCTACAGTGGGGTCGTAGCGCCGAGCTTGCCGACCAATAACCGCCCAAGGTCGGGGCAACAGAACAGACTAACCTAGACTAACCTTGGAGATATGTCCATCGGCTGGAATGAGCAGGGGGCAGAAGGGGCTCTTGGTTCTTGTTTTAGCGGGCCGGTCGCGCTTTCCTTTGCTGGGCTGCTGGGAGAAAACTCTCGGGTGGTGACTTTTTCCGCTAGTCTCAGTCTAGCCTTTCCAGAAATTCATTCTGGGACCTGGATCCGGGGATAGCTTCAAGGCACAGTCGAGCCAGTCGAGGAGAAACGAGCGTACAGCAGCATTCAGTCAGCCACCGCACCGACAGCCCTTGCCCGCAGTCCGCAGATCCCCAGTCGTCTGCACCGCGCACGAACCGACACGCCCTCCGACGCGGCCCCTTTTGCGGAAGCGAGACCTCCAGCAGAGCAAGTCCGCAGCGCAGCAGCAGCTGTCCCTGCCAGAACGCCCATCCGGGGAGGGGCACAACCTCTCAAGTTCTCATCCCGCCCGAAGCCGACCGTCGCGCGGCCGCTTTCCCCCCAATTTCCTCCCTCGCCAGAAAAAATGACGCTCCAGCACCTCGCCCACCTGTGCTCGCACCTCCAGAACGCCTCCAAGGCGCGGCTCGGCCTGACCTCGACGCCGTGGAACACGGCCAACCTGTCGCTGCTGCTCTCGCTGCAGAAGACGGGGTTCCTGTCGTTCGTGACGCGGGGCGGCGCGGTGCCGCCGGACCCCGCGGCGCTGTCCACGTACGAGCCGGAGCCGCTGAACACGTCGACGGTGGCGCGCCAGCGCCTGTGGGTCGGGCTCAAGTACAGCAACAACGAACCCGTCATGCGCAGCCTCCGCGTCATCAGCAAGCCCACGCGGCCCGTGACCGCCCAGCTCGACCACCTCGAGAGGCTCGCCCGCGGCTGGGACGCCGGCCCCACCAGGCTCATACAGCAGGGCCTCAACCTCGGCGAGTGCATGTACGTGTCGACGCCGCGGGGCGTCATGGAGGTCCGCGAGGCCGTGGAGAGGAAGATGGGCGGGCTCTTGTTGTGCCGGGTGAGCCCGTAATAGGGGTCCTCTGCGGCGGGTTCTGAGCTGGGTTGAGTTGAGCGAGCGGAGCAGAGCAAAGATTTTTTCGGAAGCCGTGCTGTTCTGGGCGACGAGCAAAGGAATAGGGGAAGATTGTATGATAGTAAAAGAAGAGGCAGCATATCTCACGAGAGGCCCTAGACGTCATCGACAGCCACTTGTGGGAGTGTTCTCATCCTGGGCTCGACTAGGTCTTGCCTAGGTCTCGCCGAGCTCAAGGAATCTGAACCGGCCTGTCCAAGGCTCGAGGTTGAGGCTTTGTACCGACTTTTGTACAACGATTACATCAATGTAATATACACAACCATGAAGAAAAAGAAAAAAAGAAGAAGAAAAGACCTCATTTGACATATTCACACCAACTTCATCAGGCGGCTTATATTAATGTAGCAAAGAGTGAGCTTGGTCGATTATGCGTGAACATCTGTCAGTGTAGACCTATCCAGAAACAAAACCCTACCCTCTGGAATCATCACTTGGATAGACATGAACAGTTCATTTTGCGTGCTCCCCCCATCACAATTAAAAAAGCATGTTGGACTTGTGATTAGAGGTATCATTCTTGTTAATGCTATCAGATATCTTCAGACCTTTTTGTCCCTAGAACCAGTGAGAATCTATTCAGCCTTCTCAGCTGTTTGCTCTGTAGTCTCCTGAACCACGTCCTCGATATCCTCTACCTTTGCTGGGTCTGCTGCAATGGCTGGAACTGCCTCCTTGTCTGTCGAGGCGAGTTGCTTCTCTCCCTCGACTTGTGGCACATTGTCTGTCGTCGTCTCCTTGTGGTTCAAGGAGTCGACCTTGTCTGCATCCAACGGGACAGCCTCGGCATCGAAGAGGGGGTCCTCCTTGAGTTCTGGCGCAGCAGTCGTCTCTGTGCTGGGCGAGGCGTCGTTGTGGGCTGCGACAGCCTCTCCCACAGCCTCGGGTTCTTCAGTAACCACGGACTCTTCGTTGTCTGCCGGTGCCCTTGTCTGAACATCGTCTGCCGTTGACTCCTCCCCGACCTTGGGCTCACCATCAGGCGTTGTTGTTGTTGTTCGTACATCTGCTTCCGTCTCCTGATGTCCTGCAATGGGCTCGACGGCAGTATCCCCCGACGTCTTCGCCGCTTCGACGGCTGCCTCAGGGCTTTCAGCCTGTGCAGTCACAGGGGCGACCTCCTTTGCGGTCGGCTCTGCAGGCTTGGCAATCTTTGAGGGGGCTGTTTTCTTCACCTCTGCCTTGGCCACGACTGGCTGCTTCTTCACGGTGCTGTCCTTCTTGATGGTTTCGGCCAGCTTGGCTGTCGCCTTCTTGGCACTATCAATCGGCTTCTTAATCGCCGCCGGCGCAGCTTGTTTCCTTGGCGGCGTGACGGGAGTCTTGTCCGAGGTCTTACTAGCGCTACTCGCCGTCGGCCTCATCATGCGAGCCAGGAAACCCTCATCCACCTGGTGGCCATCCTTACGAACTGGCGGGTGGTCCTTGGAGGGTAGCTTGGGCGGGGGGCCCAGGCTTGGCCGGGCCCTGCCGACAGTTGATGCCTGGCGCTTCAGAGTCTTGCCCGAAGAAGATGTTCCAGCAGTCGCAGTGCTCACTCTACTAGCTGGTCTGTGGGCGGCCGTTGGAGCGGCTGTGTTGCCCGGGGCACGAGTCTGTGATTGTCCACGCGGAAGGGCACTGCTGCCGAGCTTCGAGGCCGACGCAGTCGTGGGTGCAGTAAGCCTTGAAGGCAGTTGGACTGGACGAGTCGGTGATTTTGGCTTGGCCCTGACAAAGCTGGCAGATGGTGACAGCTCCGGCGCACCAGGCTTCTTGTCCGACGAAGCCGTAGATCTGGACCTAGGAGCAGCGGCTTTGGGCGTCGTGGCCTTGGCAGCAGGCTTTCTTTCTGGCACCTTGGCTGTTGGGGCCTCCTTTGCAGGACTCTTGGGTGTCTTGGGCGGCAATGGAGACTTGAGCGGTTTGGAAGCTGTCTTGGCAGAGGTTGTGATGGGGGCTGCCGTCTTGGGTGCAGACTTGGTCGTGGTCGTTGTGTGCTTGGGTTTGTTCTCGGCCTCTGGTGTGCCATGGAGGCCATTTGACTTGCCATTGGTCTCGGTCTTGACGGTAGGATCCGCCGGTGTAAGCTTGGTCTGAGACTCTTCCTCATCCACTATCTTGTCTGGATTGGGGCAGGGTGTGATTTCGGGCGTCTCGGCTCCCTGCTCCGTTCCCTTCTCCGGGGAGGATTTGCCGGGGGAGCTCTGCGCTGGAGATTCCGGTATAGGGTCGTTGGCAAGGTTTGTCTTGAACGAGGCGAGGTTGTTGGCCATGTTGTCGGAGAATGGGTCGTTGTTTTCTTGGAGAGGTGCTGGTGTGATGCTCTCGGTCTCGTTGCTTAACCTCCTACTCGAGGCTGATACCGAGTCACGGCTGGGGTCTCTGGCAAGTCCTACGCGACCGTCCTTCTCGACAGCGATGAAATTGGTACGAACTTTGGACAATGGGCGGGAGGATGGTGTGGGAGAGCCTGTTGTTCGAACAAGGTTCGGGTTAGCAAAGTTGGCCGAAGTATATAGCCCGGTACGGGAGAGTCGCCAAGCTTCCTCGTTGGAAACAGACAGCGGGCCAGGTCTGGGTTGAGCAGCCAGGTGACGTTATAACTAGCGGTGAATTATGGAGCCCGGGGGGTCTGGGAAATGCTGGAGATATGAACCAATGGCAAGTGTTGAGAGCTAAATATCATGAGGATTGGGATGCCAGGGAGCGCATAGGATGGAAGCTTGAAGCTGTTTTAGGGGGCCTCGACAAGTTAGGAGAAAGTGCTCTTCGTACCGAAAGAAGGTGTCCCAGGCCCGGTGCCAGGACCGGGAGATCTGCCTCGGTCTGGGGGGCTGGTATCATGCTTTTGCTCGAACATGGCCCGGAGGTTCTTGACACCTGACATGGTTGCGGTTCTCTTGCTTGCCGTGACAGCAAGTGCGGCGCGCGCAGGACAGGACCTCCAAACTCAAAGCTCGAACACTCACTTCTGGGGCGAGGGGAAAAGAGCTCGACTCAAGGGCAAGGGTAGGGGCAGCTCAGATTGACCAGAACTTGCCCTAAATCCAAGCCGGCCAAGATCAAGAGTGCGGCCAGAATACGCACACGGCTGTGTTGGGTGGTGAATAGCGACTTGTCACCGGAGGCAGGAGCGAAGCCCGGTTGTTGAGTTTGGTCGCATTCCTTGAGAGCTCAGGAGATATGGAGGTTGAAAGTGAAATGCTGTCTGATTCGTTGTCGCAGGAGCTCACTCTAGAGCAATTTCTTCAGTCAAGTAAACAGATAGAAAAACGCGTAAAACGCCGTCGTCTCGTGTTCCGTCGGTGGCTTGGGGGGCAAGGGATATGCAGGTGTGCCTGGGCGTTGGGTGCTCTGTAGGTACTGTAGCTGGGTAGGTCCTTGGGTCTGCTTTGGGGGGGAGGCCAGGGGCTCGGTAGCTTGCAGTAGCCGATGATTGGAGCTTCGCTTCGCTTCGATTAATGTGCCGCCTGCAGATAATGTACGGATACAGCAAGATCGATAGCCGGCGATGAGAACGGGATTGATTAGGCAAGGTTAGAGTAAACTTTGTATACTTAAACCCGATCACGCATGTTCCGCTGTGTTATGTTATGCTGTGCTGTGTTGTATTTGCTAGCGATGATGACGATAATGATCATAACAAAGGACAGATATGCGTCTGTACTCAAAGACACAGTAACGTCGGATATGTGACCAAGCTATGTATGGTTCGCAGGCTTATGCGACGCTGTGGATGAGATGCTCTGTAACCTTAGGTTGTTCCTGGTCCTTTGGCGTGGTGGCATGTTCCCGTCTCGGGACCTTAAATTAGGGAGATATTTCCCAAGGGTGGTTCCTCTGTGGATTCAGGGGCTACGAGGAGTGAGCTCAATCTGGCATGGCCTAGACTGAGCAGAGGTCTTGCTGAGTTTGAGGCAACGGAGCTCGCAACAAACATATTGCAGCAGTCACAGGATGCTAATAGCACACACGTGTCAGGTATGGGGTCACCCATCAGACGAGGACTCTTGTCTTGGAAGAGTAGAAGGTAAGTCAGTTGGACAGGTCGTGGGCAAACGCCCAAGTCGTCCTCGCGCCTCGAACCAAGATCTCCAAGCGGGAATCTGGGCGGGCACAGTGGAAATGAACACAGGTTGGTCTGTTGGGTGGTAATTACGGAGCAGGTTGTTTGGCCATGACAAGACAAACTCATTTGGTCAAGACCAGACTAATTTCTGGAAAATGGGGTTGGCTCAATCCGGCAATCTATTTACCTTCTCCATACTGCTGGTCCGCTAGAGACGGAGATCATCAGCGAACAAGAGCTCACGGCCCTTGATGTGATCCCGAGGTCCATTGAGCGGACTTCTAGAATAATTCCATCACTGCTCGTTGTGCAGAAGCAGGGCCTTGGGCGCTGTTTCACTTTCATGGGGGGTTTTCTAAATCTAGAACGCCTCCACGAGTTTTGTCTCGGCAGTATGGAATCACCAATATCAGATGAGCGACTCTCACACGGAGTTCGAGTAAGCACGACTTGCGATCCACGATCCATAAGCCGTGGCTCCCTGTCGTGCACAAGTTTCTATGTACAGCAATCAACATGGATCATACATACATAGATAAAATACTTGTGTTTTCCGTATGTATTAAAGTTCTACATCGCATACAGAGTATTCATTTTAGATCCTCCCAAAACAAACCCACCCAAAACCAAGCTTGAGCTCCTCCGGTTCGCGGAACCCGTTTGCGCTCGGGATCAACCCCCGCTAAACTCAATGGGCGGCTTTAGCTGAAGCTCTGGCTCGCTGGCTCTGGCTGCTAGCGCCTTTCCTCCGAGGGCCCCCCCGACCTCGCTGGAAATTTTATTAGCCGCGCCATTGTCGAATGAGAGCTTGCCGGCGCCATCATCATCATAGCTTCTAAACACTCATCGTCAGATTTGATTGATTGTGAGATCAATTGAGCTGCAGCCATGTCTTCCCGTGTTCTCAGAATTGGTAAGCATTAAATACGGCCCTCCAAACCTCGGATGGATGCGTGCCTTGGATTTCTCAATCCCCATTGCTCACCTTCCGATCCAGGTCTTATCCCCGGTGACGGTATCGGTAGGGAAGTCATTCCCGCTGGTCGCCGCATCCTCGAGGCTCTGCCCTCGTCGCTCGGCCTCAAGTTCGAGTTTACCGACCTTCAGGCCGGTTTCGAGACCTTCGAGAAGACCGGTGCTGCCCTCCCCGACAAGACTGTCGAGGTCCTCAAGACCGAGTGCGATGGTGCTCTCTTCGGTGCCGTCTCCTCGCCATCCAAGGCCGTCAAGGGTTACAGCTCCCCCATCGTTGCCCTGCGCAAGAGGCTAGACCTCTACGCCAACGTGCGGCCCGTCAAGACCGTCCTCTCCGCCCCCAACCCCATCGACATGGTCATCGTCCGTGAGAACACCGAGGATCTCTACGTCAAGGAGGAGAGGACCTACGATGGGCCCGATGGCAAGGTTGCCGAGGCCATCAAGCGCATCTCCTACAAGGCTAGCTCCAGGATCGCCACCATGGCTGGTGAGATCGCCCTGAGGAGGGAGAAGATCAGACAAGCGGGCATTCCTAGCATCCACAAGGGACCTCTCGTCACCATCACCCACAAGAGCAACGTCTTGTCGCAAACAGACGGCCTCTTCCGTGCCACCGCCCGCGAGGCTTTGGCCGCCGAGAGGTTCGCCGGCAAGGTCGAGGTTGAGGAGCAGATCGTTGACAGCATGGTCTACAAGTTGTTCCGTCAGCCTGAGGCCTACGATGTCATTGTTGCCCCCAACTTGTACGGTGACATCCTCTCCGATGGTGCTGCCGCCCTCGTTGGCTCCCTTGGCCTTGTTCCCAGCGCCAACGTCGGTGAGGGCTTCGCCATCGGCGAGCCTTGCCACGGCAGTGCCCCGGACATCATGGGCCAGGGCATCGCCAACCCTATTGCCACACTTCGCAGCACTGCCCTGATGTTGGAGTTCTTGAACGAGGAGGAGGCTGCCGCTAAGATCTATGCTGCTGTTGACGCCAACCTTGAGGAGGGCAAGTACCTGAGCCCTGACCTTGGTGGTAAGGCTAAGACCGAGGAGGTCATCGCGGATATTCTGAGGAGATTGTAAAACATGACAAAAAGGCGTATTGATACCCAAGATGTATGAGGGCCTTACATGGTAGAAAAAAGCAATTCATTGTCCAAAAGATCAAAAGACGTATTTCGAGTCGACTTCGCCTACCTACCTAGTTTTACATCCTGCATTACTTGGTCTGACCGCCACTGTTAACTTGATCGGCATTGATATGAAGCTTTCACGCTGAAGACATTCCTCAACCGATGATTCTTTATAGTTCCAAGGAGTCCAACATTGGTACTGGTACGGCCATGCCTCTCGGACAAAGACTGGTACGTGAGTTTGAGAATGCCTGACTTCAACCCTCAGGAGTCAAGGGATAAAGTATATTATAGGATCATGCAACGATTGATATTGCATCCATGAAATCTAATCACTATATTCTCCAAATTCCCGCACAAGGTTCACCATGGACACCTCCGACATTTGATAGGGACCCACGACCGCGGAGCTGCTCCGTTAATACTGGACGAGGTCAGTTTGATAACACCTAATCTCGGCCCAGCGTGTGTCCGAACCCTTGGAAGAACACCATCGGACAGTCATGACCACTTCAACGAAAGTTGTTCCTCGCGTCACTGCATTGGCGTCTCGATGACATGAGCGAGTGCGCTGACCACGTGGAAATGGGAGTGAGCAACGTGGATCTTTTGCGAGGCACACACGTGGACCTCAGACTTCCGAGATAGAGACAGCTACGTTAGCTCTTCTAGTGTCATGATCGATGCTGGCGTTTGACTTCAAGTTTAAAGTCATGAACGATGCTTGACCTTCGACGCTGCAATATATGGTACCTGATCTGACTCTTCCAACAACAAATCTCTGCTCCTTTGAGTTGAGAACACTCGGCTGGATGTAGCCGAGAAACCAGTCCTAATGTATAAGAATTCCTCTTGGTTTGATATAAAAAGAACGTATGTGATGATGGTGATATGTTTTGAATTTTTAGAATAACTGCATAAAGCTATGGATACACGTGAGTTTCGTGTGATTTGTATCATCGCTGCTTACTCACGGGTGATTCTCAGCTTGACGTTTATATCATTATGGTTTTCATTCTACAATATAGTCGGGTAGGCAGTGTTCTAACCTAATAGTCTGGTAAAACCACAAATCGAATAATTATGGTTAACATTATCGATAAACTTAGCAGGCAAGCCATGAACCTTGATCCTATGGTTCTATGTTGGGCGTCGAACGGCAATGACTAATTATGAGTCATTTCCGTTCAATATGCTAGGATTCAATCATACAGTGAAGCTGTCATCTACAACGTGCCAGGCTTAACCCAGTGACAGCTTGGTTCACGACTACATTCAACACCGACCAAGCAAGATTGACTTTCACTTTGGCGACGATAGAGGTTGCCATCATTTGGTAGCAGCGAGTACTGATTCCCACTACGTAGCGCTAGCCAGACAACCAACTACTGGAAATCAATCATGCTCAGTCTTGACGACCGCAGCATCTTCATCGGCAGCAATGCGCGGCAAGTGTTAGCAGGATGTCTTATTTTTCCTCCTTCTTCAAATGGTTGCTTCCACACCTTCGACCTCTTGCAAGAAGCTTTTACTGCTCAAATGATCAACGATTTGCGTCTTTGGGTAATAGTCTTGGTTCAATACAGGCTGGTTAAATCATCACCATCAGCTACCCTATCCGGGGCAACCACTCTTTGACCTGCTACATACTCCAACCAGTCGGTTGTCACTCCGATTAATCCCCAACATTACTTCTTTGTGTGACTCAGCTCATACAATTGTGTCAGCCCAGATACAGCCCAACACCGCACCGCTGGGGCTAATTTTTTCTCCTGAGATCGTAAAGGTATCCCTTGGTCTCCTGTTGAACGGATGGGTTGGACTGGATACAATTTTAGGTTCTGCTGTCTGAGAAAAGTCCAATACAATGCCTTAGCGAGCCATTTGCACCGCCAGCAACTTACTCATGTTGCCAAACCTAGAAAGCTGCTCAAGCACTGAAGGCTCGAACGAATCATCTGTTCTGTCGACGAGTGTGCGAGCGGGGCTCAGATCATTGGGTCATCCTGTAAATGCAACTTTTTCAAGCGCTTATATACAAATCACATGCAATGACAGACCAGGATCAGTAACCTCATTGTTTATGCTACTCCGAAATTGGATTTGCTCAAAGAAGTCCAATGAGAGCTGACATGCAACTTCCATGTGTTCGCACAATCGGATTCACTGCCGAGGCCATCCAGTACATCTAGGATGAGGCTTGTGGGAGATGCTACTGATGGCGAGCACATTGATGACGAAAGTGCACTGTTTCTTTTTAACCCAAACTGCCTCGTTCATATCACGATATAAACCATATTGACGTGTAACTAACGCCTCTCCGTGTTTTTGGCTCGTTGTAGTGTCTATAATCTATCCTTCCAATAGAATGTATGGCCAACTAGTAGACTTGCTCGCGGTGTGTCACTTACGTGCGCATTATAGGGGAAATCACTACTTGATAACAGGTCACATGATTTGCATGACTTGCTTTGCTAAGGTGCACTCAAGGCGTCTACGGGGAATGCGCTTTTGTCCATTTCCTTGTTAACTTGCTGATACAAGTAAAGATTGTGCTAAATGCGATGGGGCCCGTTGTTCTATCTTAGTCAGAGTTCAAGATTTAGGTCAGATCAGGTCTGACACTGGTCCGTATTCTAGTTACAAATCCATTGATAAAGTGGAATTTCAAAGTATCAAGTGAGGTTCTGCATAATATCTTAGATTTCGGTTGCATGTTAGGCTATAGTAATTCAAATCTTTCTTACACTAGGAGAATTGGGAAATACCCAATGATAGTGAGAGATTGACAGTGTAACAAATTTAGCAGTTTCTTCTTGCATCGGTGTGCGACTTGTTCTATTGCCACTGCAGCCGCAGGCTCAGGCGTTCACGCAATCCCGTCGTCATGGTTGATTTTGAACATTCTCGTTCTCAGCAAAGGTTGACTTAGGGCTGATCAGCATGTCGCTCAACTTATGGGCAAAGCAAAGTACGATAGACAGATACCCACGAAGTCATCCAAACGGCTCTCCGAAGTTGCACTTCGTGCTCTGAATCCCGCGGTTGGTCACCATTTCCACCACATATTGAAGCAAAGCCGTGTTAGGGCTTGGGCCAGTCTTGACTTATCTCAACCATTTGCAATCCTTTCTGCACAACTCACTTTTATTTTTATTTTTAAATTTATGTCATGGAGCCATTGGCGCATTGCATAATACTGGGAGTATGTCTATACCACTTTACTTCTTGATCATTTATCAAATGTCTGTCCATGATGTTTCTGCATTTGAAAAGCGCCTCAAATCCGTCTCCTACCTTTCTGAATTCGTTTAGTCTAAGAATGCTCAAGTGTTCTAGTCCCTCGAGGTACTGAGGTTAAAACCGCAATGCATACCAATTGTCTAGCATGCCATTTTTAGCCACCGGGTAATGACTAGCTGGGAAAGTGATTCAAAATTCATAACAGTGCGTAGTAGATAACTGTTGAGATTCTTCGTTATAGTCACGCTATTAAGTTTGGCTACATTTTAAATTTGTTGTTGCTCAAGTTGATAAGACGGTCTGTTCATTACATGTGACCACTATGACCGATGCAGTACCAAGTCTACTGAAGTTTTTAATGTCATCATCTTATTATAGCTCACATGGCCCTCCATCCGCAGTGCATCGGACCCAAAATCAGCATCAGTTTCAATATATGTTGGGCTACAAGCGATCGATGCCATGAATAGGCAGGTAAAGCAACGCAAGATATAACATATCTCGCCGAGTATTACCTCCCCGCCACGGATATGACCTATCGCATCCACCCCGCATCATCGTATAACCTGCTTATTTTGCTGGGTGGAGAAGGTGTTGCCGAATATGATGTGGTTGTCTACGCTGACGATTAATTAGTCTCCTCTGCGCAATTGCTAAATATGACGTCATGAATGATCGACTCGCCGACGGTAGAAGTCGACACGCTAATGGCGGCAGCCACGCTCGAGTTGAAGAGCTCTTGTGTCGTCGTAGGCTCGAAGCAACGTGTTGATCGCCGCGCGGGTGCTGTGGACGGTGCCGCCCCGAACGCGCACGGATAGCCAGGGGCTTCCAAGTGAAGATCATTCGGGATGATTTAATCTCCTTAATTTGATTTAAATTTTCCGCTGTGTCAAGTCGGGCTTTTGTAATGTGGGCTCCAGCCAGGGCAATGAGGTACTGATGATCAGGAGCCTCTGCAGTTCGTGTAGCCTGTCCATCGGGAACAGGAATGGCCCTGGCGTCGATATTGGCCAAGGCAAAGACGACAGTGCTGTTGGGTAGATTTCACCCATATTGAACTTAATCGTCATCGTGCCTGATTCGCTTATTTAATGGTCTTCAATCCTCGCAATTTCTGATCTTGTTGTCAGAGTTTATTTCTGCAGGTAAAGGTGAAGTATGATGTTGGCGCTGAAGGAGAAAAACTCGGAGGTGCGAGTTTGTCTGTTAGGACAACGCCCTTTGGAATCATGGTTTTGATATAACCATAGGCAGATCATGGCCCACATCCGGGGATCAAATGATCTTAATTAATTGGCTGATCATAACCATCTACACATCTTGAAATTATACTGTCGTTCTTGCTTGTATTGACTGGTAAGAGCATCGAAGAAGTTATTTCCGTGAACTGATAGTACATTACATGAGTGGATACATTTGTTACCTTATCCATGCCCCAGCTGCATATTATATTATCGCCAGTTCGGTTAAGGTAATAGATGGTGGCATCCTCGTACTGCTCATGTGGTTTTGTACCATAAGAACAATGAAGTGTCTGAGATCCTAGTGGCAACAATCACCATGTCAAGGGCCCAAGGAGGCCCAAAGTATCCAGTTGACGAAGTCTAAAAAAGAAATTTGTCTCAACCAATTGCTCAAGTTGCTTCAATTTGATGCCTTATTTTGCTTTTGAACATCTGGGCTACGAATGCTGCGGAAACTATACTAACCTACATATCCAAGCATATTTGAGAGAGTTAATGCGCATGCGAATTATCATAACATCAGAGCTACCTGTTTATACACTCGAGGATCTCTTGTCGGCGTTTTGGAGTGCTTCACCGACAACGATCTGCAGTAACCTGCTGATGTCTACCCCTCGAAATTTCTCTGCAAACTGAAAGTTGCGTCCATCGAACCGGACTCGAAGGCTTCACTTGGATACCTTGACGTTATTGCGCCAAACCAATTCGAAAGCAAGCTTGACCTCGGCAAGGTTCGTGTGACCCAGCACATTATCCCCTGTTGCACTAAGATCCCATACACCGTGTAAATAATAACTTACTGCACAGAAACAGGTCAACAGTTATTGTTTCAAGGACTACGAATGATCTCCACAAAATTTCGGTGACTGAATCCCTGTCAGGGGCTTGTTTGGGATATAGGGGGCCGACCACACTTACCCATGTCGACCCAGTATCTGTACCACCAGACCTGGCAGAAGGATCAGCAACTTATTATGTCACTTATTATAGCACACAAAGAGGTGATTATCGCAATTTGCTGTCTGTCAAGTTAGCTATCTCTCTTGAAGACTTACCATTCTGAATCCTTCTGCCAATGAGAATTGTACGCATCTCTACACCAATGAAAGCTTCATAGCAGCTTTCGAGCACAGTAAGTCATTTAAGACACCTTTTTTTGTTCCAGGAAGCTGAATACGTCGTCTCCTTGCAATCGATACCTGTTCTGGTCAACCCGGGATATCATCAAGTAAACTCCACGCTAAATTCAAGCGTAACTACTGCGTTCGAAAATCTGCCCAAGTCAACTGAAAAGTTATATGCTCGATCAAACGATACTGCTTCTCCTCTCACGGCTTATATGCGGGGCCATTGTGCTGAATACTTTGACGGCTCGCTTTTCGTCAACCTGAATCTGCGGTGGCAATATCCAGTAGATACAGCATCAGCCTAGATGACCTGGACGCATGAAATACGGTGTTTGACAATGGGAATGCACATGGAACTTAATTTTGGCCTCACTGTCACTACCGTATCGGCGCCTTTTCGTAGTGGTAGTAAAAGTGGAATAGAGAGACTGCTCAGGGTCATCGATTCCGTGCGTTGGCTAGTTATCGTTCTCCGCAATGAGTAAATCAAATATTAAGCGCAAGGTTCGTGGACCCGCTGTGAACGCTGGGATCTAGATACTTGAGCCGTCGGCCCATCGGACCCGAGATTGTGCCTTAGCAAACCAACGATTACCGTGCTGGTTAGCCGATGACAGGGCTCAAGCTGGTATTAGTCAATGTCTCTGTCAGACCTTTCCGTACCTGCATATTTTTTCTTTCTTTCTCACAACCGCTTCCCGTCCTGCTTAACACGAATGAAAAACAAGTGGTAGATGCAAATTGCTGCTACTACTTGGTCTGTACTTAGTACGACTGATCGTACCAGGCTTGCACGTGTGCCTCTTTTGTTGTTTTTGTTCTTGTTGTTTAGCACCATGAACGAACTAGCACAAGATATCCTATCCGGGCTTATTTCATTTCTGCCAGGAGGGCCAGGCGCAGAGTTATACACACGGAACCAGTGACCAGTCCACGGTACCGGTACACTACTATCCTCAACAACTTTCCAGGTGATGCTGGCGCATCACTTTCCGAAGCCTTTGGATTAATGGCAAGGAGCTCGGAAAATTTGTACAACACCTCTTGACGGGCTGTGAGTGATTCCTGCGGGTGTTACATTTCAGTGTCGAGCTTCCTGCCTTTGAATTAGAGTTGGCTCGGTGCTTTTTTTTATGGAACACGCGCTGAAACAAAGGCTGCGAACTATCTCTTTGGTCTTCAGCTGCAAAGACTGTTTGACGTGTGACATACTCTTATTGGCGTAATATAACTGCGACTGTATCTTGATAATGTTTCTCATCAGTTGTTGGCCAGCATGAAACAAGCAAACGACAACGAGCTTGGAGTATCGTTATCCTTCGCTCGAGCTTGACACTAGTCAACCCAGACGCAATCTATCACCTGAAAAATGTATCAAATCTCAAATACTTCTAATCACATCGCATGATTACTCCTAGTGCTACATTCGCGCATAGTAATAATACAAATGGTGAGTTTGACGAGCGACAATAGTCAAGTCGCTGCGTATCTCGGCATGCAAGAACCAAGAACAGTCATGAAATCCAGAGACGCTTGGTTATCATGATGCTCTTCTATTAACAACCACCCATACACAAGGATTTCGTCCTCGTATGCAAGCGAAGTTATTTATACAATGAAAGATGTCTACTTCTATAAGAATCGCTTTTGAATAATCTACAATAAGCTTATGTATGAGAAAACCGTCCTTAGCTTATACTATGTATTACGAACGAAGGGCTGGAGAACCAATCTAAAGTGGAGAAAGAAGCATTAAACAGCCAGTCAGGCTCAGGTAGAAATGATTGGAGGAAAAACACCCTAGGACTTTAGTCACGTAATATGGATCTAGGAATCTGGAGCAGATCCATATTACAAACTAAGGGGATCTACAGATCTAAACCAGATCCATAGATCTAATAAGCATCAGTGAAGGTATGAATGTATATTACAAGGATTGGATTTACTACTTTATATAGACAGTTATTACTTCAGTTGTTAAGATAAGCATCTGTCTAAAGCAATAGGTAAAGCTTATTATCAAGCATTGACCACTATACTTATGAGTTCCTTGCTAAATATATCCTAAGGTCTACTCCCATAGCCTTGCCTTTGCGCCTAGCATATCTTGCAAGCATAAACTTGTGTGTTATATTCAATATGGTTTCGTAACCCGACAACGTATTTGTCACGTTACGTCGTAATTCAAATGTACAAACATGTATTTATATTCATAAATACGCACCTAATTTTCATTCGACTTACCAGTGAAAAATAGGAAAGAAGCACGAACAGAAATTTTAAAACCTCAACTCGAAGTCATAGCGAACGTCCTCGGCATGTTTAGTGGACCGTTTCTAGATAGCGGAGTCTGCCTGATTCCTACCTAACCGCCCATTTCTCCTGTGACGTAAAGCGTTTTGTCTTTCCTCTTTTTCTTTCCTGAAAATTCAGGAATCTTGCGATAACTTACATGCTGTCAAAGCTGCCAAGGTGGTAGTAGCTAAATTATGGGGTGTGCACCGTGTATTCAGTACATGTGTGTGTGTGTATGGTGGTCTGAATCTATGTGATCTGAATCGTGTTACGTATTCAAAGCCCCCCTTTTATTTCATCTCAAGATTATACATTAACTCACGTGAAGCGCTGTCCTTTGTTCGTAGCGACACGACTGCATCCTCCAATACATGGTACTTTCTGACCGCATATTTCATCTGCAGCTATGGTGCGAAGATCCTTGTAAAGGGGCTATTTCGGCTTGGCGGCAATAGCGAAGGATAAGACGTGTCATATAACTGAATTTCCTGATAAGGAATAAGAAGAGCAGCTCTCTAATCTGAAGACGCCATTATCGGACGCCTAAGCGATTATCTTGATATCAATAATGTCCTTGGACCAAGATAATGCTATCGTACGAGTCTGTGGCCATCCGGCGGGAATTGAACCTCTTGCCAAAGATAAGGCGGAAATCAAAACCGGCAAGCAACGGGGCCGGACCAAGCAGCGCAAACTCGCATCGTAGTATTTTCGGCATTCCAACAGAAGATCGGGTCTCGATATAAGAAATAATTGAGGGGTAGTTATGCAGCTAATTTTCAAACGTTACCGTCGGAAGATCCATTCCATAGTTACCCCTCAATTTTAAATCTTGGTTAGGCTTTTTTCTCACCCTGGTTTGTTTCGCCCCTCCATGAAATCCTTCGAGGCTCGACCCTCTTATGGCAACGAATCAAGGTGCATGGTTACATGCTGCTTACTTGCATAAGTATATGCGGCCGGCAGTACACCTAATTAGATCTCAGCCAAGACGCGTATGATAAAAAAGATACCATTACTTAAAAGGGTGTCGCTCGAGGATATTTAGGTAAGTCGAGTACTTTTGATGACTCGAGCGATGTCATCAGAGAAGGAATGCGATCTTATCGAACTAAAGACGTTTATATCGCGAAGGCTACTTACTTACACGCTTTGGTGCTGTGCCTTTTTGTACCATTATATTAGTACGTGCCCGACACTGGTTGTATGTACCATGGAGTCTCGTGGGGTTTCTCGTCACATGGCTTGTAAGTCCGTAAGTGATATTAAAATCATTCTCTACCGCCTCAGGCAATCTTCCTTTCTCGGGCTGGGGTATGCCGTCTCTCAAGAGTGATCGGGACTGGGAAATCAATATCACAGAGAAAACTGCTGACTATTAAGGTTGAAGTGTCGCGATCGCAAAGTTCGATGTGATGGCGACCAGCCGGTTTGTGAGAAATGCCGTCAGATAGGCGAAGAGTGTGTCTATCTTCAATCCTACCGGCCAACAAAGGCTGATCTCAGCAATATGGTGGGAAAATTACAGCAACGTCTTGGTAAGTATTCCCGAGGATCGGCTTCTATCCTTCAAGGGCATCAAATAACTCTGTGAACTTTGAAGAGAGGGCTGAGGTACAGCTGTACAAAATCGACACCCAAGCAAACCGGGCCCAATATCCTTTCAATGTTGCGGCCGGAGTAGTTCGGCCTCTACCGACTAACCCGTTTGTGATGTGTCCAGAGGTCTCAGGATCTTCATCAGGCCAGATAAACTTTCCAGGATATCACTCATCAGGGACAACAACAACCCCTGGGTTGGCTGAAAATGAGTCTCTCGGCTATCATGCGGCAGGCACTTGGCCGGCTATAATCAATGATTTGGGACAGCCCCAAGTTGAGAATGCAGACATGCCGGACAGCACCAGAAGCGGCGTTGATGGTCGAATACCAAGCCTCCAGGAGCTTAGACAATTAAACTCAGTCCCGACCCCTGGTTCATTTAATAATTACCACTGGTCTCCACCAATACAGGGCTCTCAACCCTTTCAGAAAGGAGCAGAAAGTTTTGCTCTTCCTACAGAAGTCACGAACCTATTCGCCGATATAATCACCACCCAAGCAAAGATAGCAGGCATCTCATCCGTCGTTGCTGAATATCTAGCATGGGTTCGCCGGGCCCCCAAATCGGACAGCATTGAACTACTTCAGACACTGGAGGATCGCATTCGAGAAATACACGCATTGGCTAAAACCAAGGATTGGGGAACCTTGCCAATGATGCCAGATCCTACAAACCGGCTGGACTCAGCAATAAGATCATATCTGGGCGATCTAGGAGAAGAGGTGTCAAACATCACGTTTGATCTTGACAGATTTTTCACAAACAAATATTGTGTGGATAAAACCCTGTACGATCAATACCGGCCATCAAGTAGAGGAGGAGGGCGAACTCCCGCCAACACAACCATGATCCTTGAAGCTCATCAAGACGCTTGGAAACAGGGCTACTGAGAATGACTATTACGATGCATTTCTGGGGAGTTAGTAGTGCTGATTATTGACCAATTAGGTAGTGGGGTTAGAGAATTCTAGATCTTCACGTTATCATATTACATTAGAGGACTTGTTCAGTTTAGCATATTAGTCAATCAAATAATTGAGACTTCATCTTTAATGTTACTGTCTTTCTCAAGCAGCACTGTGAAGTGAGAGGGAAGTCAGTTAGACAGGTCATCAGCTCAGCCCCGTTTTCTTCGCCCTGCAGCAGAGCAAAACATCCATCGTGTCATTCAAGCCATGATAGTGATCTGCAGCAATCTGCAACGACCATTCTAGGACGTTGGAGTGCGCCAAATAACGGTCGTGCCTGGCTTGACGTTGAGTTACGTGATCGTGCATTATCTCACACAAGTTGCGCCAAGGCAGCGCCACCCCCCACTCCCGATGCACGGAACGGGCCGGACTCACCGAGCCTAGGATTCAGATCCTATCGAAAAGATGCTGCAGAAAAAGTTCAAGGGCCGGAATATAGTTTAGCGGGGTGGGGGTGAGGATGGGGACGATCTTCTCTCGAAGAGGCGAAACTTAAAAATTATGCCTGCCGACTACATACACCCCTCCCGTACCATCTTCTGTGGCGGATGCGCTTCCGTGCTGCAGGGACCGACATCTAGGATACATTGTACGATGACCTGAAGTCCCCACCATCCCACATGTTCATAAGTGCCATGTGTCCTTGGGACCCTAGAAACGGAGATATGTACAACCGACGCGTCAGTACTGATTACACCCCCGCACCACATGGCCTGGTTTAGGATGACAACATAGCACGCCATCTACCCGCAATGTAGGTAAAGTTGAAGGTAATTGGAAGAAATTTAAGGTCTTCCAGTCGAATACGACGAACGAAACATGCAAGTGATGATATATAAGAGTTAATATGGCTCTTAGTCTATTTATAAAGTACGATAACAATAGTTTGGAAATGTTTGAAGTTTTTGCATCTACTCGCAAGCCACAGCGCTCATCTCTACCTTTACTTTAGATCTCAATCCCCAGCACTTTGTACGTCTCCTTCAGAAACTCTTGAACTACTGGAGTCACGGGTCCCTTCGCTCGCATTTTGTTCATGACATACGAAAATGTTAGTTTCCGGTCCAGGTCCATGACATGTTTCGACCCACCCCATCCACCCCATTGACCAACGCGGCCGGCCGGAAGCCAGTGGTCTATTGCTGTGTCACCATCCCCTCGTAGAGACATAGCCCCGCATCCCATTCGCAGGAACATTCCATTGAATAGATCAACCCCTCTGACCTGCTCCTCGAAGATCAAATGTGCCGTTTCCTTCGACACCAGATCAGAACCCTGCCCCGCAAGCGTCCAGGCTGAGAGCAAGCGCGTGCATGCCAGTGCATTCCCGTGACCATTGACAGAACCTAGTTCTGCCCGTCTCCATATGGGATCATGGGCAAAGTTCGCGCTTGCGTGTGGGTTAAAGACTCTTGTTGGAATAGAGCCCGGCACCCAGGCCGGAAAGTCCTCAAGATTGGGAACTGGTACGAGTTCCGCTACGCGTGCCCAGTCCTCCTCTTTCACGCCGATTTGCAAGTCAGCGCCCACTGGCTCGCACAACTCCTTAGCCACGAATTCCGTCAGCCGAAGCCCCGTCACACGTCTCACGACCTCTCCGATCAGGTGGCCGCTATGTTTAGACCAAGATTAGTAAGGAGGTTCTATGTAATAATAAAAATTAAAACAGGAGAGACGCATTACGCGGGCACTTCACGCTCAAGATGAAGTAATAGAGTCACGTTTCAAAAGTAAAGGCCCTTCGGAGACCCCACCGAAGAAGTGTAGCTCCTGAAATGGCCACAGATAGGATGAAAAAGAGAGAGAAAAAGAAAAAGAAAACGCTTTCGAATGACGTACTAGGTCCAGCAGTGATACCCCGAAGCCGTTCCAGGCTCCCACCACGGAGCCTGCTTTGCCAATTCGGCCGTGGAGCTATCAACGTCGCACACAGCCTGGAGTGTCATAGGGTGGTCCCATCCAGCAACTCCGGAAGTATGTGAGAGGACATGACGAATCGTAATTCTTTCTTTACCGTTCGTGGCGAATTCTGGCCAGAACTTAGCGACGCAATCGTCCAAAGACACGAGGCCACGGTCGATGAGTGTAAGCATGGCTAGAGCGCAAACAATTTTGGTGTTGGCCCATATGTTCACGATAGTATCCTCGTTCCAGGGTTTGGTTCGTGCTGCATCGGCATATCCGCCCCATAGGTTGATTACGTCTCTTCCATCTATATTGACGGCGAGAGATCCACCATGCTCCTCCCCAGATAGGATGTACCTGGAAAAAGCTTCCCGTACGCCCTGAAACTTTGCATCGCAGTGCCCGTTCACCTGCGCCATGATTGGCGAGGACGGTATCAATGAACTCGGCCGACAAAAAAGGATCTAAGAATGGCGACCAAGGGCAACATAGGTTTCTTGATTATTTCAAATGCAGAGACCTGTTAGGATCGGCAATGAGATTGAGGCCCCTTTTAATGCCGCATGCAGCCTCCGACCTGTGACAAGCTACAGGACAGGCTATCTCGGGTAACCACGGCCGACAACACCTCAAGTAGTTGAAGGCTGCGGTGACTGTTGACCTAGAGGGTACATACATACACACTAGAATCAATCACGTGATTGACTGATTTAGGCGTTATCTGTTCAGTAGGGATGAAGTACCTCAGCGGAGGCGGTACATGGGGAATACTCCACACAACCACAAGATTCCATGCACGTACATACATTGCGACCTAGCTGCTCTGACACAAACCGAGCTGTCATCACAAACGAAAGGGTCCACTGCCCCAATTATGTATTTACACGGTATATAACTCACATACAAACTGCCGGATTTGCCGTTTAGTTGCCGCAGAACCATGTCGGTAGGAGAAGTGGCTAGTATGGAGGCCCAGGGTAACACGCGTTCATTAACCAAGATTGTTCGTATTTCCGAGGAAACTTCTATCTCCGCTATCCAATCATCATTCGTGCGGTGAGAAGTCCGTAAATGGATCATAAGGTTCGTTTAAATATTCATTTCAAGCCTGTGGTAGGAGACGATTCGCAGGAGTCCTATACTGATAACTCTCGGTGGACATGTTGATCACTGCCTAAATCAAGACATTCGCTTAGGCGATAGCCCAGTCAAGCTATGATGCTCGTGCACGAGCAATAGGCCTAGACTTTAAAAAGCAAAAAAGGAAGAGGAAATCTCCGCAGGTGTGAATTTTTACTCTGACATCCAATCGAAATCATTGGGATTTTGATTGCGTGCAGTTTCTCAATGACTAGACAACGGCTTTGGGAGAGAGAACTTATGCCTCACTTAGCAAACCGCTAAGTATATTAAATGGTCTATTATCTAGAACACTTCAGTCCCCGGATACATGCATGTGTACTTTCTATATAAAAGGCGTTCTCATATCTTTTAGTCTGACCCGGGCGATTTTTAGAGATTCAACGCAGGTTGATTGCTTGGGGCCAAGATACTGGTAGCGAAGACACGGTATCTAGACCGGAAGCCAGCATCTTGACAAGCGGGCAGAGGCCAAGAATCCGTTCAGTTCTTCTTTGCAATAGCTTTACCATTGCGGGTCTCTTTCTTCTCCACACCATATAGAATCTCATCCCGCAGCCAGCTGATAGCCACGATAGTGACTCCGGGGCCGATGAGGAAGGACGATATAAGGCTAGTAGCGCACATCTTAGCCCAGCTGAAGGATCCGAACCGATCCGAAACACGCATGGCATTCTGGAGCTGTGCCAAGAACAAGAGCATCACAAATGCAAATCCGAAGACTTGATCCCACACGACGAAGCTCCAAATTCCATCACCCGGCGATTTCGCCTGTTCCACAGCGATGGGCGGCACGGCCAGGGACAGCGGGTGCAACAGCTCTGCGTACCCTGGAGCAAAGAGTGCAGGGAAGAAGGCGGCCGAGATTGAGACAGCTGTCACGCCCGCATGCACGGCGAAACCCAGGGCCATTGCGCCAGCGCCCAGATACCTGACCACGCGCAAATGGGCCGCGTGCTTAGGTTCACGGCCAGAAGCGGGGAACAGGGCACTCCAAAGAGGCTCTGCCACGTGCACGACTGCGGAAATTCCGATGGGGAATAGGTTCCATGCGATGATAGCCAACTGCCGAAAGTTGCTGGATGCCATCGAGGGAACCGGGAGAGACATGAGGACCATGCCACCTATGAAGTTGGCGTACGTCGCTGGAAGCAATACGGCAGCGGCGCGAGGAGAGTACGGCAGCGACGCCTCCTGTAGGGCGTCCAGTCCGATGGAGGACGAGAACAAAGGAGACGTCGCCAAGCAGACGATACCCCAAACGGCTCCGCTGACTCCAATGGCAGCCGCGGCGAAGATAAACCACCACACCGAGATCTTCAGCGTGGAGGCGCCGTTTCCTTTCCTGAGGCTGTCCAGATACTGGACCACTATAACGGGAGCCATCTGGCCGGCCATATAGATGCCCGCTGCTGAGCTCTTGGGATGGGACCCGTCTATGGCTTCCCAGAAGAACACCACAAGAGTGCGTGCGAGGTCGTCTAAGGGTCCGATCCCACTGAAGCTGTCTCGTAGGCCGAAATCCGACCCGGGAACTTTGCTATCGCCTTCCAGCACCTTCAGGATCAACGCGAAGCTTCCGTCCGCGAGCATGCGGCCCCATGTCGCCACGAACCCTAGCAATCCCAGTCCAACGAAGACAGCTTTCAGGGCTGGCCCGCCGACCGACAGAAAAGAATTTCTATCATTCGACATGGTTTTCAGCAGCTACAGCACATGTACGAAATGTCTACAAGAGGGCTGTTCCAGCAGTGTAGACGAAATATCAGGGAAGGATGATATGTAAAAACAAAGGGCCCGCTAAAATGAATAGCGTATTGTCAGTATCATTCAGATAGAACAATAACATGCTGGATCTAGGCCATATTGAGACCATTTAAAACCATATCCCCCAAGATGAACTTCAATAGACCCACCTCATAAACCACCTACGTCTGGTCAAGTCTTATGCTACCGCGCAGTTCTCGACGTCGGCTAACCTGCCCCGGGTCCCACTCACGCGTCGTCCGGGAACATAACCCCATCCAGAAGTATGGAGCACCGTTTAGGTGGGTCCATCGGGAAACTGTCGCCGCAACGAGCGTTGAACTTAAGTGGAGACCTATGTGGGGGTCTGGGGGTGCAGCTCGCAGGGTTTCGTAATCTGATCCCCCTAGAAAGAAAGCCATGATCCATCCAGGCCGAACTGTACGGAGAGTCATGTAGCCCCACAACTCCTCGGTCGAAAATGACCGACTCGAAGTCTGACAGCTGCATTTGCATCTAACCGCAGGCGTCCCCCGGTCCGAACTGCAGTAGTCTGGGCTGTAGCGGAGCCACGGCGCCATGCAGTTGCACAACTTTTCGGACGAAATTGACCGATTGGAAATCTGACAACTGTGCTGGCATACAGGTGGACCCGGTCCGAAAATTGCATTAGTCCTGCATGCACATCGAGCTCGTCATTCCCCACGTCCATGTCGTTATCCCCGCCGAGAGATACCGGCAAGGCCAAGCTGCTGGGCAGGCCTTTCGACGACGTACGTCACAAGACCTGGTCAGATCCAGATAGAGCATGGCTGCATCTGGTGGCTGGGAATTGAGGAGGAAATCCTAATGTTCCACTAATCGTCTTCTGGCAAGTGCCTCTAGCTCCAGCCGCGCAATGGCAGCCTCGTACTGTCTATGAGACACCAAAAATTTTACTATCACAGAAGAAACACATATCTGAAGCCTCGAAATTGGCTCAATTAGCAGTCTACTGTACTAGCAACGTAGTTTATGTGTCAAGGGGCCGTGTCAGTGGAGATTCAAAGGCGACGTGGTGCAGAAAGAGGCAGGCTTTGACTCTAGAATTAGGAAATACATATCAGTTTATGTCATACCCCGCCTCTTTGCTTCCTTGGTACTCTGTCGACATCCAAACTTTCCAAACCATGATACAATTATAGTTCCCAAGTCCAGTGTAGCATACACATTTCAATGTTCAGCAAAGGGACAACACGCATATAAATGAAACTAAATTAATACTTTTGATTGTAAACGAAATTAATATACATCAAGCTGAGATGGCCTCGATCCAAGATCATGCTATTCTATGAAAAAGTCTTTGGCGCCCAGTTGGATTCTGCTGGTTGAACAATCTAGCGAGACACAGCTCTTGCTGTAAATTGTACTACATTCAGCCATGCCGCATCCTTCCCATTTTGCGGCCAGATTTATTGCTGAGGAAAGGCCCGAAGTGGAGTGGCCATATTCCAAGTGATGCGGATGCAACCTCTAGGCGACGCTGCCACCCGAGAGGAAGAGCTTCTTTGGCTGAGGAAACACGTCAGTTAGCAACCAGATCTCAAGTTACGATATTTCAGAATGTTTCAGCAAGAGATAAAACTTACGCTCAGGAAAAATGAGGTAATAAAGCCGATAGCGGTGGCGCCGACAAGATAGTAGAAAGCCTCGCTAATCGCTGCAGTTATTTGGTCGACGACCAATAGTTGATCAGCCGGGCTTAGACTCTTATAGAACTTTCCACTTGCTCCGGTAATCAGCTCGCCGAGATTTTCTTTCGGAACATCGGGCAAGGCCGCAGCAATATACTGCAAGGCTTTGTTTTGGAAGATTGATCCTGGGATAGCAAGGGCAAAGGTAATGCCAATGATTTGTGCTATGCGCAATTTATGTTAGTGATTTATCCTGAGAGGAAACAGGCCTTTTTTGTTAGGTTTTGTATTGTAACGCACCAATGGTCATGACCGAAACAACATTGCTGATCTCGGACGCCGGGGCGAGCGCTGAGGCAACGCCGATTCCAGCGCTTTGGAAGGCGCCGATTCCTAGCCCAATGATGACCGTATATCCATAAAGAGCCGAATTGGAGATTGATGAGTCGATCGTCGCTATTTCAAAATCATGTCAGCATAGTCAACTTCTTTTTGGCTGAGAATGAAAGGAATGACATACTCATCAGCGCAGCGCCAGCCACCAGCAGAGCGTTACCGACGATATACCAAGGCAGGTAATAGCCAAATTTTGGCATGGCAAAGCCGTTGAACAGACAGCCGAAGACTATCATACAAATCAAAGGCAAAATGCGCACACCAGCCATCAAAGGGGTGTCTCCCCTGGTAAACTGGAACACCAGAGGAGTGTAGTAAATGCTCATCATCATACTACCCGCCACCAGGAAGGCTTGTAGAGGAATAATGATGAGATCCTTGGTGACCATAAACTGCACTGGCATGAGCCTCGATTCGGCGGGCACTAGTGGATGATATATCGTGACAAGGATAAAGACGATGAAGAGGACGAAGGTCACGACCCAGAGCGCGATCTCGGAGCCGCTGTTCCAAGCGTAAAGGGCGCCACCAAAACTGCCAGCCATACAGAAACAGGCCATGAGCGCGGTGAAGACGACAATGCCAACCCAATCCTGCATACGGAGTTTCTTCAAAAACGGCGTGTCCGGCATGGCATTGATATTGGGAATCAAAAAGATGAAAGCGGGTGCGAAAACGGCAGCAATGGGAAGATTCTACAATATTCATGGTCATTATTTTTCTTTCGAGTAGCGAGGAAGGTCCAGATACTCACAATGTAGAATCCCCACCGCCAAGTAGCGGAGCTGACGGCAAACGAGCCACCGATGATAGGTCCTAGAACGTTGCCAAATCCCCATACGGACATAAGAATGGCAAGGTAAAGCGGACGCTCGTGCGGAGTGGTCAAGACACTGATGTAGGTCAGTCCTCCAACGTAGACACCTGCGCCGCCAACACCAGCGATGGCGCGACCGACGATGATGGCAACCATGTTCGGTGCAGCACCACAGATGGCGCTACCGCCCTCGAACAGGATGAGACTGATGATGAAGAGAAACTTCATGCTGAACATGCCATAGGCCTTCCCACTACAAGGTTTTCAGTCAGCAAATACGCTTCGAAACCAGGACAGATTGGGCCGACACGTACACAGGCAGAATGACGACCTGGCCAAGAATGAAACTGACTCCGATCCATGCTAGACTTTGCTGATCATCAAAGGTCTCAACAATGTCGGGCTGGATGGTTGCGACCTGTGCGATACATGAGCTAAGGTATACCCGGGCTAGCGGACAGCGTTCTACTCACAATGGTATTGTCCAGTGCAAACAGCAGAACCTAATAGGATCGGATGTTAGCGTCTCCGTGTTGTCCTAACGCTGCAGGTGCCCATTCCGTAGGGGCTATACGCCCGTTGCGCATGGAGGGTGGGGCTGAGGCGTGACTCGGTAGCAGGACGGATTCGACGACTTACGGTAGACATGAGGGCCGTGTAGATAATGAACCACTAGATGAGACAAACAGTTAGCAGCTATTGTGGACGACCTTGACAATGCACGTTGAATGTACTCACCTTGAGACCTGTGACGGTCCTCTTAGGCTCTTCATCGGGCGTCTTGACCCCTTTCGTGTCTCCATCTGGCTTCTCTACATCGCGTACGTTGTCTGGAGTTCTGGTCGAGGACTCGGAGATCTTTTCATCGCCGTGGTCTCGGCCATTGGTGATGCCGTTGGGAGCTTCGTCGGCAGCCATCTTCGCAGCGTCAAGTCGTGTTTTTAGAGTGCTGGTGATATGGTCGACCAACTCATGCTTGAAAGTGAATCAAGTCGCAAGCTTTATGTGATTGCACTGGTTTCCGATTGCTCATCAAGAAAAGGAAAAGGGGACCTTTCAATTTGTAAGCTTCGGGCACATGCAGATTTCTTGTCAAAAGGTCATCGCAATGTCACAGATCTTTCGAGGACGTCAATGCCAAAAAAACAGAAGCTCAAGTTGCTGGAGGCCGTGAATGGCGAGTCGTGATTGGCTGGCGGTTGCTTCGGTCCGAGTTGACCGAAATTCCAGTGAACACATTTCGGGCTGGCCTGACCGAGTAGGGCTCGAAGTGAGAGTTCAACGTCTGGCCGATGATATCATTGCCATATCTTCCTTCTGGAAGCTAGCTGGAATATAGAAGGGCTGATGGTCACAACGTAGTCGGCTATCTCATATACTAGAACTACTGTGGTCACTGTAGTGGCACTCAGCTGCGTCTTCCTATTTCCGCCGGTGGGCAGTTCCAGAGGACTTACCCCAAGAGTTAGTGGGTGGCAGTTTAAAATTCAGTGGGTCAACCACTGAGCTATCGTGGGACGGCGTTCGCGCCAGATGCTCTACAGCTGTTAGACTACTTGAAGTAATGCGATAAATCAATCGGCCAAATGCTTTTGATTGGGACTTCTATGCCATGAAGACAGTTGCTCATGCTGGCTCCGAGCCCGACACCTGCGGAAATTACCTGCCGAACCTGGGGCTCCCAATTGAAGCATTGGAGCATGGATTTCAATCAGCCTTCCCTTCGTCGGTATATAAACATACTAACAAAGCTGGGAGAGTGTGTTTATACATCGAAAATATTCAGTTGGAGTTACTGCTCCTGGTGTGATTTCAAGCTACTTGCACGTAGGTCTGGCCAAGAAACGGTATGATATTGCGTTCTGTAATTAGCATTGGTGGGGGTTTCTATGTTACTGGAAGTCCCCTGGAGTCCCACTCCTATTGCCTAGTTCATGCCCTGAGAACATCGATTCGCACCAAACTTTTCGCCAGTCTCAGATCCTGCGAGTCTAAAGGCTTGTTTGCGGACTTCTCATCTACGTGTCTATCGATGGGATCCATTGCTGGCTTGTGGGCGCTACTCTGCTCAAGAAAGGGAAATGAGAGGAAGTGATCGCGCGCCGTAGTAGTAATAGAACGCGACCCCCAGAGCCGTGACGAGGCTTAGGCCGCCCAGCTTGTTCGTGCTGACAGCTCCCGCCTCGGTCGACCGTTTACCGCTCTCCAGATATTTCCATGGCACCCGGCCTGAAGGCAGGTTTTTCAACTCTACAAAATCCAGCTTTGGTGCACCGCTGACGATCTTCGACATCTCAGCGGCCAACAATTTGTCGGGTATGACCGGGAGGATCCAAGTTGATAGGAACTTATACCACGGAGTTTTCCATCCTTGCGACATGCTCGAGGAGAACTTGAAAATGTGTTTCATGCGTCCCACCCGCTCTTCCTGGTATGCTGCAAGTGTCTCCTCTAGCTTCGAGCTGCTTGGCTTTTTCCAGTTGTTGTCCACGAGCATCTGGTGCAAATGGTTGGTCAAGACAGCTACAGACTCAATACTTGAGTTTCCGCCTAACCCCATATTCGGCATTACCTACTAACGTGTCAGAAACCACGTCGAGGGAAATGAATTAGCAGTCGCTTCAAACCTACCTTGTGAGCGGAATCCCCTGCCAGGGCTATTCTTCCGTGATACCAATGGTCTAGGACACCTTCCTCCAGGTGGATCACGCTCGAGCGCAGACGACGTTCCCAGACTTCTCCGAACATGACCGTATCGGACAAGGGATGATCAGCGACCGATCTCGCTAATTCCTCTGCGTCCTGTTCCGTGAAACGCTTCGCCCGCTTGGGCCACGGACATGGCTTGTCCAGAAGGAAGTATACGCTGAAGAAGCCCCGCTTTGGCGTCAACGTGAACAGATGAGAGTGTTCGGGGGTGTTGATGACTGTCATGTCGGTTTCGCTGAGCTCTGGAATACCCGGCGTCACAAAAACGAGACAATACCAGTCTGCGCTAATGGCTGCGAGTAAGCCTATCAGTAAATCGCTCTTCTCGGAAGGGCATCATCTCAAGGCAGTCCTCAAGACGAGCGGTTCGAGGCACTTACTCCTCTTCTCCTTCACCGTTATCATTCCTGGCGAAGCACTGTTTGCGGCATCCCACATGGCACTTCTCGTCGTGCTGTAGACCCCATCGCAGCCCAGGACTAGGTCACCCCTCTCAATCTCGCCGTTGCTCAGCACCACATCAACTCCATTTTCGTCTTGTCTGATAGCGTCCACAGACGCGTTTGTTCTGACGCGCGTCTTGTCCGGTAAGGTCTCGTATAAGTCTCGAATGAACTTCGGACGTTCGAAAATAAGCATATTGTAGCCGTGGCTAGAATCGTTAGCGAAAGACACTGTCAGTTAATCATGCTTGCTGATACACTGCTGTACTACTTCGAGTGAGGGACGAAAGACCATTTGATAAGCTTACTTCTGCTGGATGTGGCTGAAAAAGCTACTTTCCAGTATCTTTTTCCCACCCGGAAGTCTGATAAACCAACGACCGGGAGGGACGGTCCCCTTCTGCACCGTTTCCAAACATCCCAGCTGATCCAGAATCCGTGACCCGTGCGGGTAGATGAACATGCTACCGCCCTCCAACCGGGCGATTTCCGATCGTCGCTCCAGCACGATGTGATCGATCCCTGCCTTGTGCAGCATATGAGAGGCCGACAGGCCAGCAATGCCACCGCCAATTACAATCACACGAAAGGGTGAATCGGTGCTCGACATTTTGGCCAACAGTGCTGTTGCTTATAATGGAATACTGGCAAAGAAGATACGAGATTGTGCAGTGGGTCTTCTCCAAGACCTTGACAATATAACGAATGGCGTCTTCATTCTCGAAGTTACGGCGGCTGGTCAGTTTAAATCTCTAAGCATAAAGATTCGTGTCTTCCACCTTGGCTTCGATTGGACTACCTAGACTCACGACTATTCATTGTAGCGTTGCCTTCAACATCGATAATGTCGTATGACCCGATTGCCGTATGCGGGCCACCCGCTCAGCGCACCTCGAAACCCTGCGACACTCCATGCATTCCTCCGGGCCGGCCTCTCCGTGTAGAATGGAGTGACGTCTTTGAACCGCAGCTCGGCCCGAACGGGACCGGGGTGTATCATGGTGGTCATCGGTCAATTCGACCATGCAATGTAAGTGCACCCATGCATGCGATGTGCTTTAGTATTCTTTGTTTGGTCAGCAAGCCATGGGCTACCGACGAGCATCCAGGAGGTTGTTTGAGCGTCTCACTTTCAGCCGCTGTTGTACCAGATCATTTAAATTGTGTTTGGCTATTGTTAGCTTCCAGAAAATCCACTTAATGCCGCATCGTACATGCATCTGAGTTCATCTCGCCTCTCCCAAGGCTTCTGCTCTATTCTTTGTGCTTGCAGTTGCCACACCTCAACCTGCTTGGTCTGGTCGTTCCACGATGCGGAGTTCCTTGCGTTCTAAAGCGCCTGCGCCTACCTTTCCAGATGTCGAAAGGAACTTTCGAATCCTGTTCTACGCTGCCGTCGCCCTTCTCTGGGGTGCTAGTATCTTGAACGGAACTATCAAGGCCCTCTTGGTAGCGGTATGGAGTGGACGTCTGGAGGATGGCACTCTGCTGAGAACGGATTACACCGGCTTTCCTCCTCTGGACTACCCACTAGCAGTCTTGGTAGCATTTTTCTTTTCTGGAACCAACGGACATCATGAGGCCTATTCCCTCTTTCTCTTCGATTTGTACATAAATCTTCAGCTGGGGTATCTATGGGTGTATGCGGAGGCTGCTCGGCCGGGGCAGAAGCCAAGCTGGATTCAGAGGTGAGTTTGTCCTCTGCGCATTGCGACAACCCAAGACTAGTGTTACTAAGACCAAATCGTATCGTAAGTCCCGTCTACTTCGCGCTTCTCTGGCAAGCTTGTGGTGGCGCCGTCGCCTTTCCACTTTATTTTGGCCTACACGTTCGGTGGGCCTCACAGGAAAGGTTGGCACAGGTTGTAGATTTGCACAAAGCCCGAGCCTTGCCAATAGCCTTCATATTAGGTGCTTTTGCCCCGATGACTGCCCTGATGGCCCCGACGTGGCTTGGGCCGGAAGGCCGGTCCGCAGCGTCGCAGCAGATGATTATTGCATTATTTCAACCATCCCCTATCCTTTTCTCTATACTCCTGGCTTTATTCACTCGGGGATCCGCGTATCTCAGTCATGGCGGACGACTTGGTCCAGATGGTCCGAGAGATAACAAGAAGGCAAGACGATGGGTTCAAGGATCATACCTGGCCGCCGCAGCAGCGTCGATCATCGGGCGCGTGTATGTGCTCATCAGAGTTCTTACCGCCGAGGATAGTGGCTCGGTGAGCCTTCTGCGCATGTATGTGCCGTTTCCCTTTACCGGACCTGCTGGTACAAATGAGGTACTTGTCGGAGGACCATGGCTATTCCTACAGTGGGACAGTATCATCATCAGCCTGGCGAGTTCTTTCTGGGCCTTGGTACTTCTAAAGCAAGATAGAATTGTGCGGGAGAGTACAGGAATCGTCGCATTAGTGTTGACCGCGGGGGCTGTAGTGCTTGGACCCGGAGCAACTGTTACGATGGCGTTATGTATCCGGGAAGGCCACTTGCCAGAGAGGACGGGTAATCCCTAGATTATGGGGTTGTTCTTGCTAAATGCAGCATGGAAAGCTATGTAAACCTATGTTTACCTTTTGGCTAAGTGAGACCGGGCAAGCATGAGAATTTAGTTTTGATGAAAAAAAAAAAAAGCCTGCATATCAACATGACCTTTATAATCCCAGTGTGAAAGCGGAATAAAAGACTCGCTCGCTTGCTGAATTGTGCTCGGAACTGCTTTCCAAAAGTAACTGTCTTCATGCAAGCCAGTTAAATGGTGGCCTGCCCTACCACGAATCTACACCATGGGTTTCAACGCCGATCACTCCGTTTTGGTTGGTCTATATGCCAAGCCCTTCTTTCTCAGGCGATCTACCACTGCTGCCCACCCCCTGGGTGTTGGGTGGCGCCAATATACTCTATCAGGCCCCTATCCTGTTATCAGCAACTCGTACATGGCTGCTTATTGTGACATGTTACGAGCCTGCTCCGTAAGGAGGGCGCATATATTATATCGTGAGCGGAAAAATTTGGCACGCTCCTGTGCTTCTTTCTGGAGTTCATCTTCGAGGCTGGCGAGTCTCGTAGCCATAGCGCCACCTGGAGGTGCGATGCCTTCCAATGCCGTTACCAGCTCTCGTAGCGCGCTGCTGCTTCTGGACTGGCTCGTGTCACACAGTTCCCGGACACGTGTCTCGAGTGTTTCCAGAATGCCCACGTAGTGCGGTCCTTCGTTGACCGAGCCGCCACCGCCGGGTGGGACCTTCCGCAGCCAGGCTATGTAATCCGCGATCAGAGAACCCATGACGGATGCCTCGGCCTGGTTGCGGAGCACTGCTGACGAGAAGGCTGTCACCGGACCAAGAATCGCTGCGCCTGTTTCCTCGTTGATGTCCCTGTGGCAATTGAAGCCGTTTGGTGCGTAGAAGTCAAGACTCACAGGGTCAATGTTCATGTCGTCACTGACCGAGAACGGGGCGATTGTGGCTTGTCTCTCCAAGGCCTGCCAAATGGATGGGTCTGGAAGCGCTGATGCGGACAAGTGCAGATTATGCTGTTGATACAACATGTCTGGATGGTTGGACCCATTGAGAGGAGCACCGCCACCACCTGGATGAACCGTCGAAGGCGTCTGAACGGTCGAGGGGGGTAAGGTCTGGAGTTCCGGGTTGATGGGCCCGTCGGAAGTGTGTGAAGATGGTGGAGTGACTGTACTACCTGGAGAAGCATTCAGTCGAGAGATGTAGGCCTCTGCTTCCTCTTTTCACGTGACCCAGGACCAGCGAGTTAGTCATGGCGCCATCAGGGAATATACACAAACATATACAGTACGGTATGGACACCGGGGCAGTGCGGCGACGGAAGCTCACTCACCTAGGCGCTTTTGCAATGCCTCCACCGTCTGAGCCAGGTCTGCTTTGGTTGGTCTCTGCGTCGGCAGGTACACGCACTGCTCGCCCGCCCGTGTGCACTTCTGACACTGCGGCTGCTCACCTCCGCACTTGACCTTGCGATCCCGACATAACTTGCTGCGCGTTAGCTGAGCGCGTCGTGCCTGGAGAAGTCGTACAACACACACCTTGCACGCAATACGGCGTGAATACCCTCCGTTTGTCATGGCCATCTCCGCAGCGGACATGGCCCTGTCTCCGCGAACGCAATGCAATGCAATCCAGGACCAGCGTACGATGACGGTGTCGCAAAACGTAGAAGGTGGCCCGGGTGGCTTTCTTCTGGCACACCCCCTTCCGGAGTTGATGATTCAGCAGGCCCTGGGATTGATAGCCGTCTTCAAGATGGATAGGATGGATTATTATTAGGTCAGGTCCGGGCACGCGCTACTCTGGATAGGATGGTCCGGTTCAGAGCCTTGAACTGAAAATGCGAGGCTACTGTAGTCTAATTCCCTCGAAGGTGGTCCTTTGCTGGGGCGCTTTGCGGAAGTGCGGGGGGGTTGAACCGCTACGCGAACCCGGGGGCTTAAATGACGCAAACAGTAAGGTGCGTTACCGCTATGTATGTGTGTCAATGTATATTGTGGAACCGTAGGCGCACGCAAGCAGGAGGCAGGGCTCGACGGGTTTGGTGGTCAGCAATTGCTTTCGCGTTGTTGGCTTTTGGTCGGGCGTCGGCGGAAGATCCTGCTTACTCAAGTGATTCGGAATGTTGCGGACCGGGAGATGACATGATCCCCGACTGGCGAGGCAACGTGAGACCAATCGTAATATTTTATGCTCGTTGTGCCCGCGACTGCAGATCACGCATGCTACTGACGCTGAACCTACTGCCGGGGGCCAGCTCGCATGTTGATCTGTGCGCTGGCCGACTGCAACTGCCGGCAGCAGTTTTCCAGACCACCTCCAGGCCACCTCCAGGCCACCTCCAGGCCACCATCCTTCGCTGCCGTCTATGGTGAGTGCGTAGCCACCCTCTTGCCCGCAATTCATGCGCATTTGCCCTGTCTTGCGTTTAGCTTACCTGACTTACTTTTGCAAGTGTCCAGAATTCTCACCTCCACGATCTAGTAAAATCTTACCAAGTTCTTCATGACGCCTGTCAGCCACTAACAAACGATGCTCAGTTTGATGCGATCAAAAGACGAACTGTCGCAACAACAGCCGCGCAATACAATAGGTATTGGGATGTGTGGTGGCAAGCTTATAGGAACTTCTTTCTTCTTTCTTTTCTACTTTTCTGAATGAGACTAACAGTACTGTAATACCACTTAGACTAACCAGCACAAGACATGCCTCCGTCAATTGTAATCGGAGCGCCGGTAATAAATCCACTTCCCGGGCTTAGAAGAAATGCTATCGTCTCAGCTACTTCTAGCGATGTTCCCAGGCGGCCGAGTGCCGCCGTCGGACCTCTACCATACATATCTGCACCTGCCTTCACTCCTATGGACTCTGCAACTGCGTGCAACATGGGTGTGTCGATCAAGCCGCTATGGGTGGTTATTCTAAGGAAGTCTTCCTGAGATGAAAGGCACTTACGGTGCGATGGCATTGACTCGGATCCCCCTGAGGCCCTCCTCCTTCGCCACTGTGCGCGTTATCCCGATGACTGCGTGCTTGCTGGCTACGTATGGCATGTAGCCACCCAAGCCCATCAGACCAGAGAGACTGCCAGCGTTGACGATCGCGCTACCATTGACGCCCGGGCTGCCCTCGCGCATATGTGGTAGCTCCGCGCGCAGCGAGTTGATGATGCCTTTGACGTTGATATCGAAGATGAAGTCGATCTCGGCGTCACTGGCATCTCGACTGTCGGTTGCTCCCGCCTTGGGCAGGGTCACGACGCCCGCGAGGTTCGCCGCTCCGTCGATCGGCCGCCCGCCAAAGTGGGCGACCGTGGCGGTAATCCAGTCGCGGCATGCATCCTGTGAACGGACATCGACCACGGACGTGAATGGCGCAGTATTGGCGATCCCCGGAATCTCCTCGATCTCGGCTTTCAAGGTGCGCAGGCCATCCTCGCTGATGTCTGAGAGGGAGAGAAGCGCACCGCGGCTGGCGAGAAGCTTGGAGGTTTCACGGCCGATGCCGGAGGCTGCGCCGGTAATCACAACCAGCTTATCCTGGAAAGATGTCATTGTGGTAAATCAGTGATGATCAAGTTGGGGTCAACCTGAGAACTGGATGCGGGTAGATAATTTTGTAGTGTTTGTGTCTAAATAGTCTATGCTACATCCACCGCAACCTCAAGCATCTCAGTGATGTTCGCTTCCCGCCTGCGGTCCGAGCGGACAAATACGTGTATGTAGCCTCCAGTAAGACTAATCGCTTGCCTGCGTGTCGATTGTACAAACTCCGCGAGGCATGCAGATGAGTGCTACTGGTAGTTACATCTCGTGCTTACCTCGAGCCCCTCGCCTCGTCGACGAGGCCTTTTGACGATTGTGCCGAATATTGGTCCAGCCGGGCGAAAAAAGCCGTTGCCCCTTGTTAGCTGCCGGTGATAAACCAATATGCCCGACTCCAATGTGGGGCTACTCCATGGTTGGCGTGGGTCATCTGCGGGCCTCCCGGACCGAGATACGTCAGAGCATAACTGGGTTACACGCGAATCCTCCTACGACTGTTTGGAGATTGCAAACATGGCGGCGCAACATATACACTGCAAATTTTTTTTTAAGTCGGTATTTATATTTAATCCTCGGGTAGAATCTTAACTAGTAAGGAGTCTCCCATGCCGCTCGTGACCCCTTTTTTGAACATCAAACAAATAAATCGAGACAATGACAGCAGAACTGCAAGGATTTGCGGCCTTGAAGCCCGCCATTATTTCAAAGGTCAATGTTGACGTAACTAAGATCCATCCTTTTGGTAAGCCCTAGTCGAATCTATGAAGTTTGCTAGGCGGGTACTGATGTGCGGCAGGGGTGGCTTCCAATGGGTCCAAGCTTACACATTTCGTATGTGATCACTGTTTGGTCCCAACATAAACTCATCAGCTAATGTGATTGTGTTCGCCAGGAATGCCCTAGTGGGACCATTGAGTCTGTACCAGGGTTTGAGCCGGCCTTCAAAGCTAATATCACTTTCGGGGGAGACTGGTTCTCCCTTGACGCAGATGGGCAGCATGGCCGCGTTGACTTCAAAGGAATCGCCAGGTGAGCAGTCGAGCCTTTTTGAAAGATCGCACATGGCAAAGAGACTGATATGTGAAATCGTCTCTCAGGACAGAAGAGGGCCATGAGATTGATGTCCGCGTCTATGGCATTGTGAAAATGGGGCCCGAGGCGTCCAAGGTTTTCAATCTGCAGCCAGACATGGCCACAGTACCTTTTGGGTGGATAAGTACGTTAACTGAATCCTGTGACCCGATTGTCTCTTATTTGCTCCTGGTACATTAATGGCTAACATTCGTGTGCAGCTGCGAAAGCTGAATATATCGTTTCCGACCCCAAGCTGAAGTTCCTAGAAAGTAGCATTCTTGTAGGCAATGTTAGGGCTGTTATTGATGCCAATGGGGTTACCATCGAGAATAGACAGTCGATAGTTCTCGCAACGACCGCTGAATAAAAAGGTGGATGAGCCAAGGGTGAGCACTAGCTCCATAGAAATCTTGAACACTCCTTAAGAATAGTCAACCTGATCCTTCTCGAAAGAGACGGCTTTACTCACTTAAATCGCCGTCCCTTCAGTTGAGTGTTTGATGTTCTGTCACCAATTTTACCACATATGTCTCCCAGGAAAACTTACCCTAGATGCCAAACGAGATCTGCTCAGTGTCATGAAAGCCACGCCGGGCTTTTCCCAATGTAACTCTCTCTTCTCTTTAGAGTTGGGGTTTCTTTCTCAATTTCAAGGCTTCCATTGGATATGATACTCACATATTTGAATATAGTGGGCACTATTCTAGAGTCTAATCCCCTGAAAATTGCATAAAGCAATTTTGAAAATCTAAAGAGAATGATTCGGTCGGCCAACTTTTCTATATTCGTAGACAGAGCTATTTAACACATTCTCACATATTTCATCAGAGCCCCCAATTCCTGTTATGCTACGCTAAGCCTCAAGAGGTCACAGAAGCCGACGCAAAAGTGAAGAACCTGACCCCTTGCAAAACAGCCAGAATTGCTGCCCCCGCGCCAACTAGTCGCACCAACCGAGAAGCGATAGGCGAACCCGAAGCGACCGTCGCTGATTCGTGATCGATCCACGTCACAGTCCCCGGGCCAAAGCCTGCGTCGTCCACGTAGTCCAACTTTGCACCGCGCCGGATGATCTCAGTAAGCTGGTTTGCGAGCTCTTTGTCGGACTGCATGGGGAATACCCAGGTATCTACGAATTTGTGATATGGAGTCTCCCAAGCTTGGACCTTCGTCACCAGCCTGCAGAGCTCGGATATTTCCTTCATGCGAGGGACCTGGCGGTTTTGATAGAGTTCGAAAATCTCAGTAAGCTGCTCCTGGCTGGGCTTTCTACCCTTGCCCTCTCGCAGTAGTCGATTCAGATGGTTACACAAGACTGCTGTGGACTCGATACCGCAGTTGCCACCAAAACCCATGTTTGGCGTAAACTTTAGTGAATTGTGAGTAAGGTGTGAATGTAACTCGGCGTTCTTGTCTACGTACCTTGTGCACGGCATCGCCAGTGAGTACGATTCGGCCGGAGTGCCAATGCTCATAAACACCATCTTCAAGGTAGAGAAGCTCCCCACGGATTCGCTTCTTCCACAGCTCTCCGAAGAGCAGTGTATCTGAAATTGGATGATCGGCCACACTTTCTACCAGGGCGTCGCGATCGGCATCCTTAGAACTCGGTCGAGCCGGCCAAGTGTATGGCTTGTCAACACGGAAGATGAAAAAGAAGTAAATACGATCGGCCTGTGAAAAAGCGATGAAGGTTCGCCCTTTGTCCGAAACGGATGTCATATCTTGCACGCCCAAACCAGGCATTTGGGGAGCAACTCCGATCACAGCTTTCCAATCCGTTCTGTAGTCTGTTTCGAACAGGGACTTATTAGCAGGCCTAGCTGTGCAATCGCTGGAAGCCTAGAGCCGTAGGGTACAGAGGATTCACTCACTGGCCTTTTCTTTTGACGTGATAAGCCCCGGTGTTATCTTATTCGCGTGTTCCCACATAACACTCCTTACAGTGCTGTGTGCCCCGTCGCAGCCAAGTACAATGTCACCGGTCTCGACTTGGCCATTGTGAAGCGTGACTTGAATCTGGTCCCCGACATGTTTGACTTCCTTTACGCCACACCCCGTCTTGATATATGATTTGTCCGGGAGTGAATCATATAGGATCTGTAGAAACTCCCGCCTTTCAAGCAGGATATAGCCAACGCCAAAACTAGCAGTAGCAAAACTCGGGATTAGCTCATTCACTCGTGAGATCAAAGTGTTTTCTTTCAAGCAGCTGTAATTCGGGTAGGCTGGGGCAATAGATTCTCACTTTTTCTCGACATGGCGGAAAAATCCGTTGTTCATCAGCATTTCCCCCTCTGCTCCGCGGTAGAACCATCGGTCGGTGGCTGTACAGGCCGCCAAGACTCCCTTCAAAGCCCCTATCTGGTGCAGAACCCGCGCACCGTGAGGATACATGCCGATGCTGGCCCCTTCCGGAGGCGCAACATCGTCTCGCTTCTCCAGGACGACATGGTCGATGCCTGCTATTTGCAAACAATTCGACGCCACAAGTCCAGTCACACCGGAACCGATGATAACGACTCGAAACGGGGTCTTTGACTCTGTCATGGCTGCAAGGATTATACAGGTTACGAGACAAACTGACTACTTAGTCTCACATGTGGAATAGTATTGGTATCACCGCAAGTGGCTGGCAGGAAGTAATATGTCTCTCATTCTCACATATCGAATCAATCTACCAGCATCGTCAGATTATCTCACCACTGTCTCGGACAGGGCCGTCAGGGAACAGACTTTGACCATCTATCCACTAAGTCTAGATGCGTCATACAAGGCAGTGCCGGTCGCTTTAGCTAAAGTACGGACACCTAGAGATATTATGCACCGAACGGACCGAGCGGTCCGGCAACTATGATCACATACTTGGTGACAACGAGTAAGCCGTGGAGTGGATGTCAACTGATTATCCCGCAATGGCGATCTGTGTCCACTCGGCCCATCCGGCCCGAGATGAACAAGCCCCTGCAGCCTCGACTTTTACCAGACTGAAGCACTACCTGTTGCATTTGCGTTGACTTCTTGTCAGAATCTTTCGTAGATGGCCCCAATTCGCCCCAATTCGTACGCCAAAAATAAACCCCTACAGCCCGAGGTCCACCATTAGGCGGCCCCGCAAGGAGTGGAACGTGGTGGCCAAGCTCGCTTCTGAAACATTTCAGTCCTGTTCTGTAAGGTTTGTTAATTCTGTTAGGGCTTGATGTGTCAATATCAATCTATCTACAAACGTCTCTTGAGAATAACGGCGTGCTGCTTGCAAGGGCTAAAACAATCCACTGCGGATGACACCGCCGCTCATCCCACACTTTTTGCTTAGCGTTCATCTGCGTGCAAAGTTCACTTCCAATCTAAGTGGTGGGGACACATAGCAGATAGAGTAGAATCACCAAGCTGCCTGTACTGTAGGGGCTGGGCCGACAAACATACTGTACGGACAAGAGGTATCCCATGCAGTCCTATTTGATATCGGCTATCAGCATCTACAAAGAAAGGCGATCAGGATAATCATGATGCACAAGAAGACTCCTTGAGGTATTCATCAAACATGAAAGTGAGTCACTAGTCGCTCTCCTAAAAATGCAAGGCGTCAAGTGTAGAGAGTGCATTAGAATCTGCTCTATGTCGAAAATATATCCACATTCTCTTCTATACCTCAGATACTCATCTCGTAAATCACTTAACTACCGTACAGGCGAAAAAGTATCATGACAAAAATTGCAACCAGTAGACCGATAATCACACTCTTCACAGCACCAACTCCTGAACCGGCTGCCTCGGACTTGCCCTCCCGCTTTCGCGCCTGCACTTGCTTAAACTCATCAAGGATTCCCCGATAATGCCTTGGATAATATGGCAGAAATTTGTCCGCAAGTGGATTAGCCTTTCGTCTGGTCTGGATACCCAGATCGTTAAGCAGGAGGTCAATATACTATTGCTCGGTCAGCTTTGAGTCTCGGCCAGTAGCCTCCCTGGTCGCCGCCCGATGTCATTGATCGGGTCAAGGGCTCTTATGATAGGATGGATGGTGAGCACTTACTGAGATGAAGTCATAGATGCCGTATGAGTGCTTGCGACCCTGTGTGAGATACCGCTTGGCGGTCCACGCATTCCATATGGCTGCCTCCTGCTCCATCTTGGGCAGAGAGGGCACATCATGCAGGCCGAGCAGAAACGCAACACCCCACAAGGCCTGCACCTCGCCGACGAGAGGTGTGTAAACGTTGTGCATCAGCCCCGGAAAGAAAATTGATCTGTCACCCTCTGCTGCAAGCTTAGGGGCGACCATACGTCGGTAATGTCGGGACGGTCCGAACGAAAGCTGTTTTTTCTCTCCATTTACAGTCTCGTTTTTCATTGTCTCCAGGTCGCGGAGTGGGACACCAGAGTCCCGGAGTACCGGTAGGAGCTCATCAACTGTCTTGGCTGCCCTGGTCTCCAATTGAGCCCACTTACCCACCTCGGTTGAGTCGAGTCTCAAACTGCATTGCACTTCCAGGTCGGGATCGAATGGGTCGTAATTCTTGTCGAATCCAGTACACAGTATCACATAGTCAGTTTGTAGTTCCGCACCGTCGCGAAGTCTGACGGTATTGTCTATAAACGACTCCGGCTCGGATCTGTGAACTGTGACATCTCCAGCATGGAACACCTTCCAAAAGTTTGGAACGCTGGCACATCCAAGACCGCCATTGGCCCAGAAAATTCTAGAGTTCATGTCAGTTGGGCGCGTTGCGTAGAGGTGGTTAGGTGATGTGCATACCCTTCGCCATGCGGAAGCGGTCTCAATTTGGCTGCATTGGAAGACCTGCCGTAGCCAGCATGTCTGTCAGCGATCCAGTTAGTAATTCTCCAGAAAGTCTTATGACACGCCAGGCCCAGACTTGTCCTATGGATAAATCTGTAAGAGAAGCCCTTCGTGGCCATAATACTGGCTCCAAAGGAAGCGAACATCCTAGTGGCCATCACGTCAATAGTATTGACCAGGCCAAAGATTGTCGGCGGCATCAGCGCCGCGGCACCAGCCCCATCCTTTCGGATGACCCAGTCGACTTTCTTCCCGGCATTAAGGAGGAGGAAGACTGTATCGAATGCTGACTTTGCCCCACCGACCACAGTCGCTCTTTGGATCTTGTCGAGGGCATCTAGGTGTGTACCTGTCTCTGTCGAATGGATAACGGGTATGTCAAAATTTGACGTGGGCCAGGAGGGAATGACAGCGTGAGATGTTGGCCCCGAGGCGTAAATCAATTTCGCACATTCCACCGGAGCCTTGTCGTCCCCGAGATCCAATCGCCAGCCGCGTCCAGGCAGGCGCGTGATTTGGCGAATTGTGGTAGACAGCCGGGACCTCCTGGAAAGATCATATTTCTTTGCGAAGTCGACAAGGTATCTGTTGATTGTGTCTCCTGGGATGTATCCATCATCACTGATGCCTTCCCGGCGCATAGGCAAGAATGAGTACTCAAACTGGCCGTATTTGACCTGAGCATACACTATGATATCGGAAATTAGCCATTGGTCTCAGAATGAGACTGTTGCTTTGAGTTTGAAGCCCTTGGAAATGAACCCAAAGCCTAGATCTACCCGTGAATTGTATGAGATGATTCAAGACACTACTCACAGCTGGGATAGATCCTCTCTATCCTCCAAGACCCACCAATTGATTCTCCATTGTCGATTAGGATCAGGTTTGCCTGAGGTTCAAAGTCAAGATATGTCTTCGCGCAAATAAGCCCCGTCCAGCCTAAACCAGGCAGTTAGCAAGATGGCAATGGCCGCTGAACATGTGAAATAACTTACCTGTACCAACAACCACGCAATCTACTTGTTCTGCTTCCATTCTGTTAATTGATGAGTGCTGAAGGTCAATCTATCCAGCAACTAAGCCATGGAAGAACTTAACTCTACAGGTATAACGAAGAGACTAATCTGCAATAGAAATTCCTACGGGATCTACAACGCCACTGACCTGTGTGCTTATGTTGTGCTTCACCAGTTGCTGGATTCGGCCCAGTTGGTCTACAGATCGTATGATAGCACTATCCAGCCCATCTCGTACGACATCGTAGTGTCACCATTGTTCCCTTGAAAAACGTATAGATGCGTTAGTCCAGGCTGCAGGTTTTGCGCCGTGTAAAGTTGTAGATAACGGCTCGGAGGATGCCCGGGGAAATTTTGCCGAACATACTTACTAGACATTTTGGACAGGGCTTTCCATGCAGGGGTTGTCTGTGGAGTGGAGACGTATACATCTGAGTGTTGCTGTTTGTGTGCAAGCATAAGCGCAGAGCTACTTGACCCACTACATAAGCCGAGAAATGCTCGGTCCTTTCTGGCCGTTGACACGGTACTTCCTATACGACTCTGCGGCCCGGTTGGTAAGATGGCTGGGGTAACTGCCACTGACAATAACTGTGTCCGATCATATTAGCCGTAGAATCCCTGCTATTCCTGCATCTCCTCTGGCAAGGTTTTACTCTTCGTATAGGCAGAACAGTGCGACTTCGGTCTATCCACGATTTACACCAATTTCGCCGCATCGGATGCATACTAGACTTCGCACCTGTAGTCAAGCATTGTTAGGATGGCTGATTGTTACCCAATCCGCTCCAGCGTATGAGCATCTTCGGGACTGTTTCGCCGGCAACAGGCCATGCCTTGCCAGGATAGATTCAACTCGTGGAGAATGGCCTGTCTATCCCGCTTTATCTGGTATCCAGAGTAGTAGATTTCCGAACAGTTAGTTTCGAGGTTATCTATGAGCATACAGATCTATGTATAGTCTAATACCGAGAGAGCTCAACGTACAGAAATCATATACAGATCAATGTGTTGGGACCATCACATTTTTGGACGTTGTCTGGCAGGCCCTTTCTTCTGTCATCGTATATTATAAGATCACGAGCAGCCCAGAAGTTCCTCGAAGCCCCAAGCCTGATTGTATCTGCTACTAGCTACTGCAAAATGCCGGGCTTGATTGTAGAGTCGAGATCATCCTCGGAGGGGCCCCATGCCAGTAGGCAGGGTTCTAGCCGAAACTCTGTGATAGAAGATGACTATCAGGCCGCCTCCTTTCCCGGCTATGCGGAGAAACCCCTCGATGAGCAGTTGGAACCAATCGCAGTGGTTGGAATGGGTGAGTTGAGTCCCGTGTTCATAAGCCACCATGGAGAGTGACTCACAGCTAACTGGTGTCACCAGGTTGCCGATTACCAGGGGATGTTGGATCACCAGCCGACTTTTGGGACATGATGATGAGCAAGGGAACCGGCCAAACACCGAAGGTCCCAGCTTCACGATTCAATATTGAGTACGTAATATTAATCCAATCCACACTGATCAGTGGCGAGGGGCATGTTTGCCCGACAGAGCCTCTTTGATGGTGTTTGCTCCGGAGATATGCTTATACCCACCTGACTGTGTTCTTATCAAGTTATTTACTAATTTCTATAGTGCACACCTTCATAAGAACAATGATCGTCCTGGTAGTTTCGGTGTCCCGGGTGGTTATTTTCTCAAAGAGGATCTTACGGGATTCGACCCAACCCTTTTCAATATCACCCCTATTGAGGCTATGTGGATGGATCCACAACAGCGCAAGCTTTTAGAAGTCGTTTACGAGGCCCTCGAGTCTGGTGGTATCTCACTTGACGCCATCGCAGGCACACGGACTGGCGTGTTTGCTGCCAGCTTCACGGCTGACTGGCAGCAGATGTCATTCAAGGAGTCTTCCTTTCGACACAGTCTGGCCGCGACAGGTGTTGACCCTGGTATTATCAGTAACAGAATCAGCCATGTTTTAAACCTCAATGGACCTAGCATTGTATGCAACACGGCCTGCTCATCATCGGTGTATGCTCTGCATGTTGCATGCAATGCCCTACGGAACAACGAGGTCGAAGGCGCCATTGTTGGAGGCACCAACTTGATTATAACTGTTGACCAGCACATGAACACGGCAAAACTCGGAGTGCTGTCGCCCACATCAACATGCCATACCTTCGACGAGAGTGCTGACGGCTACGGCCGTGCCGAGGCCGTTGGTGCTGTCTATCTCAAACGCCTCTCTGATGCCGTACGTGATGGGGATCCAATCCGTGGTGTGATCAGATCTAGTGCCACAAATTCTAACGGTAAGGTTCCCGCCGTTGGCATAACCTATCCAAACAGAGACGGGCAGGCCAATGTGATTGCGCACGCGTATGAGCGTGGAGGTGACCTTGACCCCCGTCTGACGGGATACTTCGAGACTCACGGCACTGGAACAGCTATCGGTGACCCCATCGAGGTTGAGGCTGTGTCGATAGCCATGAACAAGAATCGCCAGCCTGGCGATGAGCCGTTGTGGATAGGAGCGTAAGTTACAGTGTCCTGGCATGGTAGGCACAAACGAACGAAGCTAATCATGTGAACAATGAAGTGTAAAGACCAACATCGGTCACAGCGAAGCTGCCAGTGGGCTGTCTGCGCTGATCAAGGGCATCCTGACGGTCGAGAGAGGCATTATCCCGCCGACGCGTGGTGTTGTGAAGCCAAACCCCAAGATTCAGTGGAATGATTGGCAGGTGGCAGTAGTCAACGACCCTGTGCCTTTCCCAGCGCACCTTCCAGTAAGGCGCGTCTCTATTAACAGGTAAGAAGATTTGAGGACCCTACCTGTTGCTCTTCAGCTGATATGAACGAATTAAGTTTTGGTTATGGTGGCACGAATGCCCACGTCATTGTCGAGGCCGCCGATTCCCTGCTGAAGAGGGAGCAGACATACAAGTACATCGATCCACATGCTGGCAAGAGGCAAAAGACCGCCCCTCGGCGTGCTGCCGATCGCAAGCGTCCGTTCCTGCTACCCTTTTCGGCCCATGACAAGCCTACACTCCAGCGTAATATTGCGGCCCACGGGAAGGTCGCCGCCAACTACGACCTTATAGATCTCTCATATACTCTGGCCAACAGACGTAGTGTCTTTTCAAGCAAGGGCTTTGCCGTCGTCAGCCACAAGACGCTCGAAGACGTCTTCAGTGAGGTGACTGCCAACTTCTCTTTCGCCGACAAGAAGAAGACGTCAACCGTGGGATTTGTCTTCACTGGCCAAGGAGCGCAGTGGGCGCGTATGGGAGCCGACTTGATGGCTAACAGCCCTCGGTTCCTCAGATCAATACGCGTCTTGGACCTGGCCCTCGAGGAACTCCACGATGGCCCAGGATGGTCGATCGAAGATGTCCTTTTGGAGCCAGCTGAGACCTCCCGGGTCAACGAGGCTGAGTTCTCCCAACCCCTTTGTACTGCTGTCCAGATTGCGATAGTTCAGTTACTAGAGTACTGGGGCATACGACCAGTGGTAACTGTCGGTCACTCCAGTGGAGAGATGGCTGCTGCTTATGCCGCTGGTCTCATATCGGCTAGAGAGGCCATCACGCTCGCCTATTATCGTGGTCTGGTCACCCGTGATGTTAATACCAAAGGTGCTATGCTAGCAGTTGGACTAGGTGCCCCGGCGGTTGCACCATACCTCAAAAGCTACGAGGAGCAGGTGATTGTTGCCTGCCATAACTCTCCCTCAGGTGTGACTCTTAGCGGAGACGCAGATGCTCTGGAGAAGCTCAGGGCTACGCTCGTTGATGATGGCATCTTCGCACGTAACATCCCTACCAATGGAAAAGCGTACCATTCTCATCATATGACTCCTGTTTCAGCCAAATACGAGAAGCTCGTTCGTGCTGCCAAGAAGTACACGCCGTTCGACCTCGCTACCCCTACGACAGCGAAAATGGTCTCATCGGTCACAAACAGTGTTATGCCGCAGATGACTAGCTTGGACGAGACGTACTGGAGCAAGAATCTGAGAAGTCCCGTTTTGTTCAATCAGGCTGTTCAAACTATTCTGACCGCCGAGGAGTTCTCAAACGTAGACTTATTGATTGAAATCGGGCCCCACTCCGCCATGAAGGGACCGATCCAACAGATCAAAACGGAATTGAAATCGTCTAAGGTCGAGTACCTCCCAACGCTGTTGAGAGGAACGGAGTGTGCAACCCAGCTGCTGAAGCTTGCCGGGGAGTTGTTTCTGCGCAGTTACCCCATCGATATGGAGCGTATTACAACTGCATACGTGGAAGAAACATCTGGTAGCAGCAAGTTAACTGCCAAGAAGGGCTCCATCATCGTCGACCTCCCTCCGTACCAGTGGAACTATACGCGACCATACTGGGCAGAGAATCGCGCCAGTCGCGAACAGCGTGTGCCGAGCTTCCCGCGACACGACGTGCTTGGCCAACTTGTTGTCGGAGCTTCCTTGACAGAGCCGACGTGGAGAAATGTACTTCGGTAAGTGCCTTTGGTGGTGTTCTCTCCCTCTTTAAGCAAGATTCGACTACTAACGGATGTGATCGACAGAACACGAGATTTGCCATGGCTGAAAGACCACAGTTTGGGCGGCGAAACCGTTTTCCCAGCTGCCGGGTACTTTGGTATGGCTATGGAAGCCGTGACTCAGCTGAATGAGTTGAGCAACGGGAAGAATATCGAGAGTTACGTTTTACGCGACATCTCGATCCAGAAGGCTCTTGTGACACCTGACACTGACGAGGGCATCGAAGTTCTGCTCAACCTCCGTCCCTCTGTATACAGCGGAGACTCAGTAACATGGTGGGACTTCGGTGTTTCATCAGTTGACACTGATGGCACGGTGAAAGAACACATGGTCGGTAGTATAGCGATCAATGCACGCCCTCGGGGCACGAAACCACGGGAAGTACCGCACTCGACCCAGCGCGCCAGTGGGAAGGCTTGGAACGAAGCTCTGCGTGATGTCGGGTTTGACTACGGACCGACTTTCCAAGATATGGACGACATACGTTTTGACGGCAAGGGCTATTGGTCAAGCTCTACCACCAATATCAGAACGCAAGTTGATGAGTCACTAGACGAGTCTCGATATCCGCTGCATCCCGCTTCGATCGACTCCGTCTTGCAGTTGTGTATTGCGTCCATCCACGCAGGACGAACCAAGGCCAGTAAGTAGCCATCTCGCACTCTTCTGACCGTTTTGGGGATCCAATATTGATTATGATTGCAGTGGAATACGGAGCTATTCCCATCCAGGCAGATGAGGTGACAATCTGGCCACCAACTCAAGAGCAGATCAAGAGTACCAAAGCTACCGCCTACGTGAGTTGAATTAACAATTTGCTTTTTCGGTTTCTTTGTCCGCTTCTGGAATTAAAGGCAACTTTCTGGAAAATACGCTTTCAAATGGCAGGCTAACCTTTTTTTCTTTTTTAATTCATCAGGCTTGGTGCGATCAACGAGGCATCCGTAACTTTGAGACAAGTGCCCAGATGACTGCAGACGACGGCGAGCTCGTGGTTGAAATTAAGAGCCTTCGAACTGTGAGTTATGAGGCTGGAGTACCCCAAAAGCCGACATCTGCTCTAAGCGAGGCACCTTATGGCGAAGTGGCATGGGAGGTCGACTTCGATAGTCTTCAGACCGAATCGGATGTCGCTGGTTTGACTAGCTCGGACTTGGTATCTCTGGCTCTGTTCAAATACCCCGGGTGGAAGGTCTTGCACCTGGGTTCCCGCAATGTCCAGAACATTCTCCAGAAGAATCCAAGAGCTGCCTACACCATTGCAGTCACGACTGATTCAGAAGCGGATGCACTCAAAGCATCTCTGGCGGGCCACCAAGGTGCGAAGATTGTCAAGCTTGAGGACACCTATTCGTCGAATGCTGGGCTATATGACATCCTTGTCGCAGACGAGGAGGCTTTCGCAGCAGCGGATATCCTTCCTCAAGTCTGGCACACACTCAAGACACGTGGTTTTGCTTTCATCGACCGCATTGATGACATCCGCCAAGCTGGACTTGGCCAGTTCGCAAGTGTGTTGAAAAGCAGTGCAGGCACAACAATCGCCCGTACGGCGGATGCGAGCACCAACGGGCATGCGAATGGAGTCAAGAAGACCAAGCGCTCCGCCCAGGTGATCTACCGCAACTCGTCGGACGGCAAGGTATCAATGATTAAGGAGGCTTTGGAAGCTTTAGAATGGTCTATCGAAGTCACATCGCTGGATAAGGTTGTTGAGTCCGGTATCAAGGACCAGGTTATCTTACTTGCTGACTTTGAGGGTCCTCTCCTGCGCACGATAACGAAGAAAGAGTTTGATTCTGTCCGCGAGATAATCAGCACATCGTCTTCTCTTCTCTGGGTAACGACTGGTGGTCTGCTTGATGGGAAACACCCAGACTTCGCCATGGTACCAGGTCTGGTAAGGACAGTATCGTCTGAGCAGGCATCTCTCGACTTCCGAACCATTGACATTGATCTTGACAATGTGACAACCGACCAAATCGTCAGATCAGTCATTGAAGTTACTGAGAAACAGGCCACTGGGAATGAGGAGAATCCTGACCGTGAACTATTGGTCTCCAACGGAAAGAGATATGTCAGTCGACTAATTCGGAACAATGAACTCAACGCCAAGTTCATGACTGGCGAGCCCGAGCCAAAGCAATTCTCTCAGGTTGACCATATCGAAGGCAAAGTCACTGCTGGTAAGGTAGTTTTCCAGCAAGTGACTGGTGCTGAAGATGAGGTCAAACCTGGACACGTTGAGATCCAAGTTCAAGCCAGCGGGTTGACCAAAGAGGGAGTCCTGGTCATTACGGGCTACGACTATCCTGTTACGTTCAGTCACGAGGTTGGTGGTGTCATCCAAAGAGTTGGGGCTGGCGTCTCAGACCTAAAGCCGGGTGATAGGGTGGTCGGAATACACGCTGGCAAGTTCGGCAGTTACGAGCAGGTACCAGCTTCTATACTCTGCAAGCTTGAAGAAAACGATGACCTTGCTGCGGCCGTAAGTGTTCTGACGGCCTATACATCAGCATTTTACGGCTTGGAAACTCTCGCAGGGGTAAAACCAGACGAGAAAGTCTTGATCCTGCCAGACACTGGAACAAGTGGTGTCGCAGCAGTGAAAATCGCTCAGGTCCTGGGAGCAGTGCCGTATGTTATTGTCAATGCAGCAACAGAGGTTGAATTTCTTCAGAAGGAGCTTGGACTTGATGCAAAGCAAATCCTCCAGATTTCTAGTGATTTTTCAGCTCTCGAGAAGATGAGAGAACTCATTGGTGGGGATGGTGCAGACGTTGTCTTCAGCAGTGGAAGCACAGACGTGAATATTGCTCGTGAGGCGTGGCGTTCTACGAAACGATTTAGCCGCTTCCTTGACGGCGGCCGGAAGGACGGATTGCGACGAAGCGCCTTAGATGGGATTCCGGTACAGCGAGGCGCCTCCTATCTACCATTTGACATTCTCGAACTATACGAAGGTCACCCCAAGGCCCTGGCGAAATTCCTGCCGACCATACTCACACTGCTCCGGGACGGATCAATCGTATCTCCTGGGGTGAAGCAGTCCATCAATTTGGCTGATCTTAACAAAGCTGTTGCTAGCTTCTCCGACAGACTAGGTGCTACCAAAACAATTGTCCAGTATGAACCATCTGAGACCCCGCTGATGGTGCTGCCTTCAAGACCCAAGCTCAGTTTCAGCCCTGACTCAACGTATCTGCTCGTTGGCTGCTTAGGTGGTTTAGGTCGAAGTTTGACATCGTGGATGATGGAGTCGGGTGCACGCAGATTCGTCTTCCTCTCCCGCTCTGGTGCCGACTCACCATCTGCCGCCAAATTGATCAAAGATATCGAAACTTCTGGAGCCAGCACAATAGTTGTTAAAGGCGATGCTACCTCGCGAGCGGATGTCGTCCGCGCTGTTCAGGAAGTTTCTCCAAGCTACCCCGTGAGGGGCGTTGTCCATGCGGCAATGGTTCTAAGGGTAGGCGCTTGTTCCCGTCGTGTCTTTTGATATTTGCTAACCAGCGATTCCAGGATGGACTATTCCAAAATATGAGCTTCGAGAATTGGACCACAGTTGTTCAACCAAAGATATTGGGTGCTACCAACCTGCACTCTGTCCTGTCCGATGAGCCTCTCGACTTCTTCCTCATGACAAGCTCCGTATCTGGTGTCCTCGGTAACCCTGCCCAGAGCAACTACGCTGCTGCGAATAGCTACCTGGATTCCCTTGCTCGTCACCGCCACGCCGCTAATAAAACGGCAGTTTCAGTCATTCTTCCCATGGTCTTGGAAGTCGGTGTGGTGGCTGAGAACGCCGAACTAGAACACTCGCTCAAGCGCAAGGGCATGTATGGCATTGATGAGGAGCATCTTCTTGAGGCTTTCGCCGCCGGCATCATATCAAGCAAATCCGATAAACCTGTTGACCACGTGGTAGTCGGACTGGATCCGGTAAAGCTTCAGAAGGCTGTGAACGATGCCGCCGTTACGGATAGTTTCTGGCTCGACGATGCGCGCCTGAGCCACGCCATTCACGATATGAACTCGTCAGCTGAGGACTCTTCCGGTGGCAGTGGCTCTGCACAAAGTATTCTGGCCGTTGTCAACGCGGCTTCCTCCCCTGCCGAAGCAATTGGGGCAGTGACAGAGCATTTTGTTGCGAAGCTTGCTCGGATGTTGCTTCTTGACGACGACGCGTTCGAGCTGGATGTCAAATCCATCGCGGCATACGGTATCGATTCAATGATCGGTGCTGAGCTGCGAAAGTGGATTTACAAAGAATACAAGATGGACGTGCCGTTTCAGCAACTGCTTGGACCGACTTTGACTATCACTAAGTTTGCGACACAAATTTGTGCGACTCAGGGAGTAACTTTGTCATAAGTTCCGCTATGAGGAAACTCACACCTGATTCTTTTTTTCATGAAGCTCCTGAACAGGAATAGGTTGATGCATGGTTCTTAGATCCTGGAGTCAACTTGCTCTAGTACAATTTGGTCTGCATGTGTCGGATATCTGTGGAATGGAATTGTCAAGTCTCTTATTTCTAGATATGATGTTCACTATGATTAGAATAAAATGATAAAAGCAAGAAAGATCTATGTGCGTTTTATTTTATTTTACGTCTTGTCCGCTACTAAGCTAGGCCTAATGTTGTATGTAGATGGTTTTCGGCATGGCGATGTCCAAGACTGGAGGTTTTGGGATCGGAAAATGGCAGACCGTATGCTGAATTAAGCGCCAAATCAGCCTTAGCGCATAATTTCCGCCCTATAATCTCTGTCCAAAACGGCGGAAATTTAGAAATAATTGATTGCCCGTTCGAAAACGGACTTCTAAGGTATATCCATAAGTAACTTTTGGTCACCTTAATTAACACCTTATAAACGTGTATTTAAAAATTAATATAAGCGCTTTAATTTATTATTAAGCCATTGCTTTTTATGAACTAGCGCCGACGTAATTAAATCTTTAATATTACTTATTATAAAATATATATTGAAGTAGTGAGTGTTGGCTGTACTATTATAGCAAGAGGGCTAAGACCTATGTCGGAGTAGTTCACGACCTGATCATTATAAGGTCTAAGGGATGGAACTTGCAGATAGCCTCCTCGGCCATGCTTTACACTTTTGCAACAGTGCATTCGGAAGACAACGAGAATAGCTCCTTGTCGCCAATTAATACTATTTTTGTTGGAATATGGTTATCCGCGGTCTCGCACGACCATATAGTCTAGCTAGTTACCGGCGTACTGACGGCAAGCCACTACAGCCACACCGTGGCTGTCGGCAGCTTGCAGCCGTATAGGCCAAACCCCTATCTGTAGATCGCGTACGATGGGAAGAATCCCTTCTTCCTTTCGTACGATAGCGCTGAATAGATCTATTTGTCGCCCAAACTGTACGGAAAGAAATGAATGGAGAAGCCATTCCATACTAATCAGTGTTCACTTGGCTGTGAACGCAGATTGGCAAGAATGAAGAGACGGCGTTATCTGAGTACGTACGGTAGTACGTAGCGAAACGTCGTGCTTAATCCTACTCCCGACTTCTTCGTGCTAAAGGTGTTAATGTCTACAAGATGTCCTCTCCCTTCCGCACGAATAACGAACGAGTAGAAGACGTGTAGAGATTCTTCGTAGTCCGAAGGTGTTAATGTCTGCAAGAAGTCCTCTCCCTTCCGCACGAACAAAGAGCTACACGTGCGTGCTATTACGTATCGATAATAGGTTCATTATCTCCCGCAGAACGCGTAGCTACCGGTGCGCGCGATACGGGCGATAACCTCGGACTACGACAAGAGTAGAAGACGTATACGGATTCTTCTTCGTACGGAGGTGCTTATGTCTACAAGATGTCCTCTCCCGTCCGCACGAACAAAGAGTTATGCATGCGTGCCATTACTCACGACAACTCCGGTACCGTACCACGGTAACAAAATATCCTCTCGCACGAGGAGATGGCGGAGGGGAGCGATATTTCCGTCCACGCTTGGCGAGCCGGCATAGCATTCGAATTCTGGGATCGTACGGTCGATATCGAACAACCCCTCGACCGAGTACATATGAATACGTATGTCGGTCAGCTCGTTACCGAATATCAAGGCATCTTAACGCTCCGAGCACTCGTACGAGCATACCAGGAAGACTTCGAGGGATGGACTACGTACCAGTTCGAGTATACATCACGACCATTCAAACGTGCGATGCTTAAGACACTCGAACGAAAAGGGTATCACTTCCCGAGCGGTCTCACCCAAAACGAAAAGCTCGTCTACCCATTAGACAACAAGGAGGCTGTCAGAACACCTTAACCATCACCCCGTACGAGTACTACAACTCTCGGTCCCTATACGAGTACTACAACTCCCGGTCCCCGTACAAATGCCGTAACTCCGGCACGGACTCGTACGCCACTACCCGGCCCGGAAGATAGACAAGAGGACGGCTCAGAGGATAGATAAGGACGGCCCAGAGGACAGATAAGGACAGCCCGGAGGACAGATAAGAAGACGACCCCACGGGAAACACACTACCGAAGGAATTGTTTTTCAGTTGTTTACGAACGTACGAACCGCGAAAGAAAAGATAGCTAGTGTTGGAATATACTATTCGCGGTCTCGTACGACGGTTGACTACGTAGTATAGGTAGTCACCGGCGTGCTGGCAGTAAGCCACCACAGCCACGATGTGGCTGTCGGCAGCCAGCAGCCGTGCGGGTGAACCCCAAACCCCTATCTATAGACCACGTACGAGGGGAAGAATCCCTTCTTCTCCTTCGTACGATAGCGCTGAATAGATCTATTTGTCGCCCAAACTGTACGGAAAGAAATGAATGGAGAAGCCATTCCACAATTTTAGTCACCAAGTTCATCTTTTCCATTCACTACTTAGTGATCAGTCTACGAGTGAACCAGCGAGTTCGTCACGAGGCTTATAACCAAGGGACAAGACAGTGGTCCTGGTTTAATATATAATGACTTATTTTATTATAAAACATATTATATTATATTCTTATAATAATATATATAATACCGACTTTGAAAGATTTTCTATTATATATTATAAGTATATCTCGTATAAGCTTTTATTATATAATAGAGTTTAGTATTAAGTACGAAAGTAATACGCCGTAAGGTTACTTTCCGTCTCCTTATTTTTGTAATCTCGGGAAGGTTAGTTCCGAACAAGACGTAGCGCGTAATCTATGGCTTTACTTGTTTAAAGAATGACTTATAGTCGTTTCTTTCTGCCTGTTAACATCTTTAGCCGGGCTAGTAACTAGACTATTAAGAGATATACCCTGTTATATATACACTTCGGAGGCTAGAAATCGGAGTAATAAGTAAGCTTATAAGGTATAATTATACGGATTTATAAGTATTAGTGTTATAAAACGCCTTATTATTAACTCGTCTAATTATACGATCACTCTTACGGAAAAGTCAGACTAAGAAGTTCCTTTAGTAATCTCTACTAGTAAATGCTGCCTATCGGAGTGCCCTAAGGTAGTTCGTTATTAATTAAATAAAAGAAGATCCATTCTTATCATGTTTTTGTTTTAATCGTATCTACCTTAGCTAGGCCTGAATACGTGGATCGGACGATCCATTATATGCGCCTAAAAAAACTATTAACGTACTCGACCGCATCGCGGCTAGAAGCTCAGTCGTTATGAATGACCAATATCATCTTCCGCTTAGTAGTCATCCTAGGCGACACACGTTAAACTCATCATATCGGCATCAATCAGAGCGGCAATTGCTGCTTCTCGCTCTAATAATTAGACAGCAAGGCCCTCTGAGGTGTGCCATGTAATATGGCAGTGCATTAGCCATACCTATTTGCATCAGTTATTTAGCATTATAGATTGAACGCTTAGGGGTGTGACTCACTCCGGGACAGTTAGTATAGAATGCGATGACCACGTATCCAGCTCCGGGGAGCTGGACTGACCTAAACCAACGTCACCATTTGCCAGACCAGTTAGTTCTGCGTGCGGTAGACATTCAGTGTTGGCCTGTGAGCGGTACGTAATGTACTTTCATTGGATGACGCCTTGGCGGAGAACAAGTTACCCATGCGGCCAAAACCTCTTTGGCGCTGTGGTGGAGAATTAGAAGGCGCTAGAGCTTATGTGGAGGAAAAGTTGGCAAGCACTTTGCAATATCCTATAAATCACCACCATAGCATTACCTGGACCTAACTTCTTTCCACCTTATCTTATTCATCTCTAGTGCCATCACCGAGTCTCTCGCATCGTATTGAGCTACCGCCTCCACTGATTGCTGTTGAGTCAGACGCGGACGCTCACCGTCGACAGAGCGTCGTCTCATCCTAAATGGAGATACTTCACGAATCCAGCTTCTTCCGGGAGACTCGCGCACCTGCCCTTCCCGAACCAGAAGAAGTCAGGAAACTTAATCGGTTATCTGGCAATGACGGTAGCACGAGCTTCGATCGCCCTCCGCCTGTCATCATACCCTCATTAGGCCTCGTCGTGAAGTATGGAGGCAATGTCACTATAGCCGAGGCTCAGACTCAAGTGATGGTATACGAGCGGTTGAATGGCCAAGTGCCAGTCCCGGAGGTATATGGTTGGGCCAAGGATGGGGATCAGAGGTTCATATATATGTCCTTGGTAGAGGGTGATCAATTGAACACGCGATGGTCCGACCTGAGCGAAGGCGAGAGGCAAGCTGTATGCCAGGAACTCAGGAAAATGGTAGAGGCATGGAAGGCGGTGGAACAAGATGGAGACTGCCGTTACCTGGGTGAGTCTAATCTGTAGGGTGTTTCGCATGAGGCTCTGCTAATCTCGAGTGGTTATAAAGGGTGTCTTGGTAAACGACCTTTTAACGAGGTCTGCCTCAAAGACTATGCGGCACTCGTTGGTCCGTTTGAAGGCGTAGACGCCGTCCAGCAGTTTCACAATGTCTGCGGAATCGAGATCCACGACGAGATTCCCATTCATTTCACGCACGCCGACATCACCCCAGTCAACATTCTATTGGGGCCAGGGCCACAGCCGAAAGTGGCAGCGATCCTTGATTGGGGTCAAGCAGGGTGGTATCCCATGTATTGGGAGTACTGCAAGGCCCATCGCGTGACACTGGAGCCAGAAGATTTCGATGCTGCCTCCCAGAATGCCTGGAGTGAAAGATACCTGCCCTTAGTAGTGGATCCAGTTGACCTGGAGAAGTATTACTTACCCTGGCTTCGATTCTGCTTGTCAAAAGGGTTCTGATATGAATCATCTGGTAACGATTTTTATGGTAATCTTTCAAGTAGGACGGTCTTATCGATCTGATGTGGACATTTCAGTGTCACGTATGGGCGCTAAGCATGTAGTATAGGCGATGCTCTTTTGAGCGCTACGCAGTCGGTGCCCGCTGTCAGTGCAATGTTAAGTTCGATTCAAGACCGTCTATCGTGACACCGTCATAATTGCTACTAAAGCTAAGACGTATCGACAACCTAACGTGTTCGCTGATGTATTAAAGGAGTAAGATATATAGGAATCTATTTATGAGGGTGTGTAGCGGATCTAAATTGTCTACACGAAGACAACTGAGCTAATAGCATGCGCGGGTTAAGTGAGGGCACCAACGTCGCGCATTCGGGTCCCCGCATTTTCGGCCAGCAACATGTCAACCGTGCCCGCCCCACTTTATTCAAATTCGCTCGGGCTCCCCAGCAAAACCGCCAGTTTTCACAATATCAACTTATTTTAAATCATTTCGCCACCAATCCTTTTGCAATGAATCCAGAAGCTGGATCACATTTACCTAGAGTAACCGTCTATGCGTAGGAGAATCTAGACATTCTAAAAAGGCGAATGCGCGAGAGTTCGGCGTAGCGCGGTCAAGGCTCAGAGATCGAATAGCATGGATGAACAGACATTTGTAACAGATTACTCTGTTTTGTTTCCCTTGACTATCAGCACAGGTTGGAGTATTGCCTGAGGCTTGAAGGATGAGAAAATGGATTAAGGATTGGCGGACATTATCAGTGTTTCTCAGTTAGCTACTGACAGTCAAGAACAAAGCATTATTTCTTGTGTATGAGGAAATGAAATTCTCAACGGAAATTTTGTGACTAAACGAAAGACTGATGCCAGATGCTAACTCCAAAATCAAACAATGAAAGGTCTTCAGCGGCTACACCCAGATTCAGCATGGTAAACTGTACAACCTGTTCCTACAAACTAACAAATTCCCAAATGGAGCAAGCATGCTCATCCCACTCGATCAATTCTCGTAACAGTATGAGGCCAATCATTTTCCTATGCTCTCCATCCACGGACGGTAGTGTCACGCTTGCTTTCAGGTGAAGAAGAAACACACTCGCCAGGGTTGGGGTCGGAGCTGTAGAAAGGCGCTGGTCAATAAGTGTTGGTAGTCGAGAGGGAAGCCCATGGGGGCTTTGATACATGGAACAACTTACACAATCTCCCAGTGGCCCTCCTGCTTGGACTTTCCTCCGTATTGGCAGGCGTAGGCCTCGTTGTGCAGGTACTGCTTGACGGTTGCCTCGCTGATATCGTTGGGCTTGCCGTCGGTGTTCTGTGAGCCACCCAGAAATGTTAGCAATGCAGACTGATCCTGACGGATGCGGAATTGGAGGATCTCGAAAGCTTGCCTTGACGTAAAATCTCCACTTGTTCTGGTAGGTGTCCATGGCGCACTGAGTACGGTCTTCGTTGGACAAGTAGTGTCCCTTCAGTAAGGGTGCCACAGAAGAGAGAATGTCGTACTGGTTCAAGCCCTGGCCATAATGACCGTCGCCTTGACCATTGCCGTCACCCTTGGTAAAGCAACCAGCCTCGGCAGTGGCAGCGGCTGAAAGGATAGCGAGGAGAGCGTTGGAGAACTGCATTTTGTTGGTGTTTTCTTGAAGTGTGGATAAGGTAGAGATGTATTTGATATTTATAAAATGGAAAGATGATGTGAGATGTTTGTGTCGAGTGTTGTTGAGATGTTGTGGATGATGATGGAGAAAGAAAAACTTCCAGGAGAGAACTTACGGCTTATTTATGCCTGAAAGGTGCTCATCGTTTCCATCTGCTGCTTATCTTTGTTGCGTATACCTCTTCACCTGAGTACGTCACCTGAGAACTCTAGTTCAGTAACTGTCAAACATATTACAACCTCAGATCAGCGTGAAGCTGGTCCTTAACAGATTTAGAAATCCAACAGCGTCATTTGAATCCTGAATGATGATCATTCTGTGGGATCTGAAAGAAAGGAACAGGGTATGATCGCCTCGACTATACTTCAGATCCTGGTATCCTTGTAAGAAGATCTACGAACACGTAAATAGAAAAACCAATAGTAGTGGACATAACCGAAGGAATTATGGATATAATATCGTTGGATTATACGATTAGTACATGTTTCCAGAAAAGGCTATAAACACTAAGATTGTAGGTACGAGGTAGGAAATGATGTATGTAGCTATGTCCTATCCGATATACGGCAATGCATAGGATTTAACGATGATCCGTTAGCGGTCTTTTTAAAGCTTAACTCCCTCTCTAAATTGGTTCACTTCCTAAAGGAACGGATAAGCTAAAGATAAAATGGATACAGCTAAAAATATCTTACAATATTGATCATCGAGGCTTTTGTAATAGCAACAAAACTTGAACCACAGAATGATGATAGCCTTTGCCGATGAACGACAAGATGGGTGCAGAGCTATAACAGCTGAATGTGACTTATACAAAGAAGCTTATTTAAAAAGTTCAAAGTGCCCTCACCATTTGCTCTTCTTACCTTTAGTCACAAAGCAATCCAAGCAACTTATTCGATATACTTTTTCACCACACTTCAATCATATCTTCCCAAATTCTCCCATAAACACAATCATCGCAAGCTTTTCAAAATGCGTTTCAGCCGCTTCATATATCTACCCGCTCTGCTAGCCACCAGCTTTTCAACCGCTTCCCCTACTCCCACTGCGGCAACGCTAGAAGCCAGAGCACTATGGGAAGCTATGGGTCATAATGACGCCGAATTTGTATATGGCATGGACACGTATAAGAGGAATTATGGAAAAAACGTCGACGTTTCTGCGGATGAGTATCGACAGGCAGTGGCCTGGGTCAAGGACACATTGTTTCCCAACATGGATACTACAGCGATCGAGTACAATTACAGGCAGCACCACAACAACATTAACAGGATGCCCGCGAAGGACGAGGCCAGACAGGCTTACAATATGCTTGGACTCGCATCCCCATACTGATGACTGGGCTATGGAAATCGTTAGTACGGAATGGATCAGAGTTCCGGGGTGGGCGCTCAAGGGAGGTTACAAAGGGTACACAGTCGTTCGTTTAGGGCATTAGGATTCCAGGGCGTTAGGATTTAGTTGATGAAAACGTCACTCGTTGACCCCTTCTCTAATTCGTTTTCACGGATAACCCGGAATGATAAGATTACGCGTGACGTTGTGTGACCTCAAGGTGTTGATGCGATGCACAACTCGTATATGAAATTTGAATAAAAGGCTAAGATTGCGTGTGACGTTGGTTATGATGGGGTAAAATGACGGCCTTTGCTAGGGGGTGACTTCTGCACTAACTAAGTCTATACAAGCGGCTGTGACTGCCATTCCTTGTCGATACCTGACAGGGGTAGTTAAATGTTGCCTGCAACCACACTAGACCTCCTCGTGGCTATCATCAGAAATTGGCCATGTCCAGGTCATGTAGGATCGTGTGATACAGCCTTTCTTGGTATCTAAGAGCAAGGGCCACCAACCGCAGATCAGTCTAAGCCAGGTCAAGGAGCATGAGGCATTGCCGACAAGGTCCACAAGCTCCACGGCCGAAGTGGACAAGCTAGTCGCCAGCCTGTGCAGGGAATGCCCACTGCCATGGTGGTGAATTAGAAAGACGATGGTCCACAGTAGGTAGACGTAGTGCACGCCCAGAATCTTTGTTTTTGCAAGATTTCAGCCATAGACTATAAATAGCTTGCCTTGACGATCCATATCGGAACGAAGCCATCGACGCGTACCAGGTAATATCAAACAAAACAACTATCAGTATGACCTCAACGCTAAAAAAAGACAGAAGAACGGCGACGTCAGTAGGATGGACCCGTTGATGCCTGCTCAGGTGGGAACAATTTGAGACTCTACTGACCGTAATGCTAAAAAAAGACGAAAAAACAAACAGCGACGTCAGTTTCGTCGAGCGGGAGGAACAACGGCTCGCTATGTAAGTATAAATGGGGTGTTAATATCGTAGCATTGTGCCACCCTTGGAAAATGATTAACCAATCAACCAAGTTTTACAACAGTTGTATAATAGCCAACCCTTATCTCAGTAGCTATTGTTTCATCCACCAAATTACAGACTCCAAGTAAAATCAGAACCCTCGATCGCCATGAAGCTCTTATGCTTACTGCTTCTTCTTTTTGCTCAGGCGCATGGTATGGTAAGTGTAGATAGTTACGAGAAAGCAACGATCAAGCAATTGACCCAGACAGGCGTTCCAGCAGCGGGACGTTGAGACGCCGTCGCCTGGACTGTTGCTCGACAGATATTCGCAGAGTGGGCTCGAATTCCACCAGTGGGTGGAGCGAATGATCGACGAGGGTCACCTTTACCCTTCCAACGTCACCAGCGACGGCCTCATCTTTCTTCGCGATGAGAACGAGAGCTGGACCGTCAAGCTCAAGAACGTAGCGTGCAACAGAATCCACGGCAGCCGCGACACGCTAATGAAGGCGCAGTCGCACTTCTGCGGTTGGGTACAGAAAATAGAACAGATCAAGGCCAAGGAGATGGAGGAGGACGTGACCAACGTGCTGTGCGACGACGGGGTGATTTGCCGGCTGGGCGTCCGCACGGCCTTCGACTTCCTCAAGGTCTTCCCGGACAACGTACAAGACATCACCAATGCCTGCAACGAGATGTTTGACCAGCTGCACTTGGCATGTCCCGATGGAGGCGGCGTGGCAGACACCGAGGTTACGGACAAGCAGGGAAATACCAAGGAGTCAGGCAAGGTTGAGGCTTCATTCTCCCATAATAACGTGGGTGAATGCAACCCTAGCCAAACGCGTCAATGCCACGAGCACGAATTGTGAGAAGACCACATGTTTAGAAAAAATTGGGTTACATGTGAACACTGTTTTCACTTTTTCGCAAAGAGGTTCCACTGGGTTTCACTATAGTATAGACGAGCTCCGACAAATTAAGCGGTCAATTTAGCGCTAACAAGAACATTTAGTAGTAAATAAAAAGGCCTTCCCGAAAATTTCCGCCTTAAGGTTCGATAAAAGTTAAAAATATATTACTGTGGAATGGCTTCTCCATTCAATTCTTTCCGTACAGTTTGGGCGACAAATAGATCTATTCAGCGCTGTCATACGAATGGAAGAAGGGATTCTTTCTATCGTACGCGATCTACAGATAGGGGTTTGGCCTATACGGCTGCAAGCTGCCGACAGCCACGGTGTGGCTGTAGTGGCTTGCCGTCAGTACGCCGGTAACTAGCTAGACTATATGGTCGTGCGAGACCGCGGATAACCATATTCCAACAGAATTAATGTTTGTTATTTAGTTAGTGAATTTCCAATGAAAAAGTCGTCAAACTATACCCAACGAGCAGTGGGTTCTTAGTGACTTTCCAGGATTTATATAATGGTATTCAGTCATCTCTTACGTAGATATCTAACTATCCTAAAAAACATATGTTACTACATGAAGTGCTGCTTCCCCCCGACGTATTATATGCGATTTCGATGTACTGCACATCTAGGTAAGCAGTTCCGCCAACGTCCATTTCCTGCTCCCATTCATTATTGCCCCACGACCACATATTGAAGATCAGGTAACTCGGCACTTGAGCGACTTCGTGCTCGAGCTGACCGTTCTGTTCTCCGTTGACGTAAAAGGTCGTTGCGGACTGCGTCCAATCCAGCCGGTGCTCCTGCCAGTCCGTCCACGCATTCGACAGAGTAGCTGCCACAGAGAACTCGCCATCGTTGTTGTTGTTCTCCTCCTCGGGATGCGTGGTATAGTGCATAGTTGTGGCGGAGTCAACAGTGAGAAACTCAATGTCCGACTCGTGCTGGACGCCAGAATCCTCGTCGGCCTTGTAGGTGAAGAACCCAGCACAAGCACCCGAGTCGCCGTGGACTCGGGCCCGCATCCGCATTGACACGGTGGTGAAATCATCTACAATTGACTCGGCCTCTGCGGCAGACTGAAACTCGCTGCTGCGATGCGTTCGCAGGGTCAAGTACGTACTATCTTCCGTGTCTTGCTGTATATAGGCGTTATTCCGGGAGTTGATCATCTTGACCGGAGTATCGTCTGTGCCCCAAGTTTGTAAGTTGAAGAAATCGCTCCAAGCCGACGTACCGAAGTATGCGCTAGTGGCTTGCGCGTTGGCGTTGGCATCGTGGTCGTCGATGACGTCTGGCACCGAGTCAACGTAGTCGGCCAGGGACCGGAAGTCTATTACCGTGTGGCTGGTGAATAACAAGCCATCTTCTTTATTTTGCCAGCAATCGCAAGCACCGCTAGCCAGTGGGATGGACCAAGATATTTGGGGAAACGCAAGAGCAGCAAGTGATATGCGAGGAAGCTGGTCTTTAAGCATCCTGGGATCAGAAATTGAGTATTGGTCAAAACCACTGTAAAGATATCAAATCTGACTCTATTCCTCGTGCTTAGTCAGGTTGTTTTTAAAAAAAGAAATAGGTAGTGTGGACTAAGCATGTTAGTATTTATACGAACGACGTGAATATTGTTCTATTTGCCAAGCCTGCTATTCCTGGAGGATTAGACGAGCTTGTGCTCAGCGACACTCCCGAGGGCATGAGGCTAGCTCCTTCATACAATCCTTCTTTGAGGTTTTATGGACGCTGGTATTCAACTAGACTAGTCTAGCTGTCTATTTCGTAAGTTCCTCACAGCCAAGCGGGCCGCGTGTTAAATTAGACAAGTCTCCGCCAAATCCCACGAAAAAGCTTGAGAAAGCGCAACTTTGGTTGTATACCAGAAGGGCCCGCTACATTATGATAAAACGAAGGACTGGCTATGGCTGATAAGATTATGGAGTAGCAACTCATAGTACCATCGCCTGATAATCTTCATCTTGCGTTTCGTGGCTGGATTATGCGTATGCCAAAATGTCGAGTTCTGGAGGTGTTTGGTGGACTAATCTCATTTTCTGTGGGGCGCCCTACAGTGCATTTCGGCGAAATCATTTCAATGGCGGCCCTATTATCATACCACATCACATCATTCACTTTATTATTCCCAACAGATGTGGTCAGTTGTAAAACTCAGGCCGACACTGGGAATCATTGACCCGCCCCAATCGCACTTGATAAAGGACTGGACTGATTCGTTCGAGTAGCTTCGAGTAGCAGTCCTGTAGTACACGAAGGACTTAAGAGATACAAACAAATCATCCGCGATGGAACTAGCCCATCAGCAGATAATGTTCCAAAGTATCCACGAGTGCCTGTATGGGGTCAATAACCCCTTCTCGCACGACAGTGGACATGTGGCTGACAAGAACGGCCTTAAGAAGTGTATCAACCAGAATAGCAACAGGAGCAACTTTAGTCGCGGGAAAAGCACATGCATTGTCAAGAATATGCGGTTCGATTATATTTTTAATGGGATCATGAAAAAAAAACGTCAGTCAAAAAATACTTGATTGTGACGTTGTTGACGAACATCCGTAACTCCATTGTTGTAAATGAGAAGACGGCCCTCGAGCTCCAGAAACTTTGTGCAAGCCATTAAGCTTTTTCGTTAGGCCTGTGGTGCGAGTCGGCACAATCCTAAGAAGAATGTGAATTACTGTATTGACGAGGGAGGGAGTTAACTCCTAGACTCCTAACCTAGTAGATTCTGGACATGACGTCCTCGCTACAAATGGATATTCCACAGTGTATTATAATCTCATAAATCGATTTTCTGTCACTCTTGTTCACAAACTGACTTGTGTACATATAACCATCCACTATCAAGAAAACGAGGCAAGTCAGACGAATATATATGTTGTCAGCTCAACAATTTTAGGAACCACTGTGCGCCCCAGTTCCTCCCTGCAGGGAATTCGGCCTGACACCACTTGCTGTCTGTGTTCCCTATCTGAATTACGTGACATCGACAACCGATTCCATCAATTTGTAGAGTTAGAACTAGACTTAAAATTGACTGCCGAGCCCGGATCACATACCCCGAACTCTGGTCGGCATTCCGAGGGCGAACAGTAGTTTGCCCGGTCCGTCTGACCACGAGGACCACCACACCAGTTATAGATACTGCAACATAACTCGATAGGACACCGTGTCCCAAACCCCTTACCACAACGACCGTTTGTAGTGAGGGGAAGGTTGGAGCCCTGTAGGCGCGACAATGTCATCAGTGTATGCACCATGCCAGGTCGAATGACATCATCTTACCGGCGTGAGCTTGTGAATATTAAATTGCATATCGTCAAACCACGTTGCTCCAGTCAAGAAATATCGGCGAGCTACATATGGGGCATATGCGGTAGAGAATCGTACTGTGTCGAGGTTTTTGAAAGCGGCACTGAGTGAAGCTTGGATCATATTTGTCTTCAGCACACGTGTAGTCGGAAGGAAGCTAAACGACTGAGTAGCGACTCTCTGTCCGCCTCTGTACCCGAACACCGCTACGTGACAGCGCGACACGCCAAGTGGTATACCCCGATTTCCCAATACACATCCAAATCTGAAGGACTCAAAGTCAAAGGAATCGGTCGTCGACCTGCTATAGTGAGCTTTGATATAAGGCGTGGGTGCATTCAACTGGGTTGCACCGACGCCACTCGAAGTCCAATATACAACACCGTTGTTCCCCGAAGTAGTTTCCAACCCAAATGGTACCTGACCAGCAGAGTCATGCGGATCCTGCGAGTCTATAGACGAGTGGTTGGTCAATAACACATTCTGGAGAGTGGCTTGGACAGCTTACAGAAATCAGAGAACTGAAGACCCTCATAAATGTTGATAAGATAACCAAATGAACGAGGGGAGGTTGGGAAATCATCAAATCCTGCATTGATAGTCTGAGCCGAGGCCAGCGCCAGAATGGTGTTGAGAACTGTAATATTACGCCCAAACATAATGGCAGATTGCGCAAGGAACTCGTGATGAAAAGAATGATTGTACTTGGTCGACCGGGTATATCATCATCACGATGATTTCAAGTGAGCTGTGCGTATATATAGAGAGCAAGACAGGGCTCCTATATGTGTAAGATATTGCCTGTACCATAAAATGAATGTGCGGAACAATAGCTACCATGATTGGTTTAACTACGAAAAGATTATTGCCGTTTGATACAATACTGCGTCTGCCGAATTTGGAAGCATCAAATCTCAGCTGCTGTCTCTGATTAGTGGCTTCGACAAATTTGCCGAGACTGACCAGGACTCCCATATTCTCGAGTAGCACTTCGGTAGAAGTGCAACGTATCCTAGGTCCAGTTTCTCCAGCTCCAAGTGACATGGTATGGGCTTAGATAAGGTTAAATAGATCCCGTCTCGTTTCTTTTAGCGCGTTCCTTTCGCGTATTTCCTTTAGATTTCGGTTCGGCTGGGAGGTGACTGCAATTTTCGGTATACAAGTTCCGAAAAGCCTGAGAACTTAGTGGTTGTGGGCCAACCAGAAAATTGTCGGACGCCTTTTAAATTGCCGGGTTTGGGGTATTGAAACTAATGCGCCCCAGAAGTCTATTTGCTTCTTCTGCTGACGATAGAGATAATCCGGTATAGCAGAAGTCAGATAATTGGTTAAATATATGGGTACTAGCTTGGCTTTTCAACGAGGTTGCATGTCTTCGCTGCGATCACGCTCCATTGGATAAATGCAGGGTATATTAGAGTTTGACAACCTCTAATGTTGATATAATGCCTGCTGAGCATTGTATCGGAGTAGTGTCGGTCTGCTAGTTTGCACAACTCTCCACGACGTAATGTTCACTTTGTGTGGTGTACTCTAAAGGCATCATTTTACATTATCGTATCCTGAACTAATTACTATGCCGTCTTGCCTTCTTGATCAGCATCCGACTTGACGCCTGTCTCCCCTTGACTGAGACGAGGTCTGTAGAGTATTTCTCAGCTGTCACACCACTATAGATTTTCGAAAAAAAATTTAATTTTGGCATTGGTGCCTCCACTACAGTTCATTCACCGTTATAACTGCGTAAAACTATACGGGGAGAGCAGGGTCATAATGTTGCAAGGCCAGAAGTTAGTAGTTCCGGTGGTCCGAATTCACTCTCACGACTCGGTGTCAGGGCATGGATTTCAAAGATTCATGTGATTCAGGATAACTTAATCGTGAAAAGGAAAATTACATCCGCAAGTGAATATTTTTGTATGCCAGCTTAATCGCCACAACTGGCAACAGATATGATGGAGGCTACTTAAGTAGCACTAATCTTTTGGTCGCAGTTCAACGATGTAGCCGCCCAGACTAGATGGTACCTGACCAGAATAAGGCACGTGCACATCGGTAAACATGTATCTGCCTAAAGCGCGAGCTAGCTGACCTTAATGCCGACCCCTTTTTTCTACGTGTTCCGTTTTACAAGACTGCGCATCTTCATTACCGGCAACTCACGGTACGTAGTTGATGGATCGATTTTCGTGTGGGCCTTATTGTTGCGTACAAGCGGTAACATATTGAGTTGAAAGCTCTCAGTTTACGATCATCACCAAGCCAGGTGCAACCACGTGCGGCACCATGGCAAACATATTGGACCTCTCCAATGAACTCATACTACAGATTATCTCTTATATCAGACCACGGCCGCCCGTACTACCTTGTGGGCTTCCCACACACGTCTGGCCGAAGGTATTGAAGAGCCACAACCAAAAGTCTTTCAAGCAAGCACAGCAGCTTTATTGTATCGTTTTGTCATGTCGCCGCTTCCATGACCTTGCAACGGGAATCCTGTACAGCTATATTCCCCTGATGGATTCAACCGTTCGAAGCCAAAAGCTGCTACAGACCCTGGAATGGGGAACCGCAATTTGCGATTACATACAGCATGTTTCCATCAATGTACGCGGGATCAGCTCCGCAGAGGTATTCCACCAGTTGTTTTTCTGGTTACCTAAAGTTCACACCATAGATCTCAAGAATTATGATGCTTGGGATACGGAGCCATGGGATGAAAACAACCAATACGATGTTCAGGGGTCTCCCGTCAAAGTCCTTCGGCTGGTGGAATGCGGCGCGCACGAGGATCCATTGCACGAAATACTCAGTTTCCCCAGTGCTCTGAGAGAGCTGTGGTATGACGTCGTCCAAATTGAATGGTCTGGTCACTGGGGGGATACGGCACCTGTAGACTTCTCATGTGCAGCTATCAAGCGCTCGTTAGGCCACCAGATACACTCTCTCGAGAAGTTAGTCTTCACTCGGCCACGGCAAGACCATGAAGGACTTGGCTACAATGATCAGCTTGACATTTCAGATCTTACGGCCTTACGGAGCTTGTGCATCAATCAAGTCTTCCTAGTCGGTTACCATTCCGACCTCAACATCAGAGAACATATGCCTAGCTCCCTGGAAGAATTGGATGTCTTCTTCGATGACGCAGGTTATCTGAGTTTCCTGAGTCATGATGCACCAGCGCCGGTGTGGCTATTCGGACTGCTGAATCAGCCGAGAGACGAAAAGAATAGCAACAGACCGTCTTTTACCCCAGAACTAAAGAGAATGCGTATCGTCTCACAGGAATGGTGGCCTGAGTACAGTGAGGAAAGCGAAGGCGAGAGCATGAGTGAAGGTCATGATGTGGGTAACGACGACATGAGTCTCGACGAGTCTCGGTTGCGCACCAATGCCGATTATCCCTGGAAACCTCCGAGAGTCCTGCTAAGAGCGTTGTCTCAGTCCAACTTGGCAAAACTGAGTTGGAGCATCTACCTGCATGGCAGCCGCAGATGTTCTTACGTGCCAGAGGGTGGTAGTGGTTTCACAACCGAGTGGGAAGAGTCCTGGGACCCAGAGGAAAGAATAATTGCTTAGACGATACAAGCTCTTCGTTGGTCGAAGAGTCTATACAGCCGGGTGAGGAGGCAAATCAAGGGCAGCTCCATGATCCTTGCCGTCATAGTCCTGTGCATTGGCGTCTGATGTGGGTAGACCTTTCTAGGACGTCCATCTGTAAGAGGAGGTTAAGGAACACACGAAACATTGATCGGATTCGTCAAACTAGCAACTGCACTGGCAATTATGCGACCAGCTCCCATTTCAACGTGGTGATGTTAGAAAACACGACCGCTGGCATTGTAACCCAAAAACCTTAATGCATTGTCTTGACATGCCATTTTCAGTGGAATCGGGATCTACGATTAAGTTAGTGTGGATTAGGTCCCGAGGCTGCAGAATGGAGTAACGAGCGTTGCACAACTACCGGGACTGGGATTGGCTCTTCCAAAGTGACCAAACAAAGAGGCTTGTGAGGTACGAAAATAAAGGCACCTTGAGGCTAACTAGGCAGATATCTGCTCTTTCTGTTCAATTTGGTCATCAGAAAGGCGCAGCACTGGGGTGCATCCAGCCATGGATTGCAGAAACTGCTCTGAATTGAATGCTAATATTAGAGGGCCATTTCCAGTGGGTGGTGCCTGATTCCTTGAGCTAAGGTTAGTTTGCTAAGGTCGGTCTAAGGTTAGGTTAGTCTAGGTTAAGGTTAGGGGATTCTATATTTAGGATGGATGGCCTGGATGGGAATTAGTTGCACTGTTGTGGACTCCTGTGCACCCACTATTCCAACGATATCGTACTCCACTTGCATCGACACTGCCGGTCGCCCAGTGGACAGGAATATGCGGTCCCTGCATGAAGGATCGCGCTACAGGGCAGAGAGTTGTCTTGCACTACCGAGTATTGACTGATGCAAGGAATTAGACGAACTCGGCAGGTAATGTGGAAGCTTTTGAAATCCCTATCGACGTCACAGGCATCATGTTCTAGAATGCTGGCTCGCCGAAAATCTTAAGATAAAGAGACTGTCCATTTCGCTGGAAGACGGGCTTTGACTTGAACATCATTCATCTCGATCATCACTCCAGACTCTATTGCGACGCTTCCACAAAGCTCTCAGCTTTAATATCTTTGTCATTCTCAGCACTATTATCTCTACTCGCCATCATCACCTCGTACACCATGCGCTCCGTCTCTTTCGCCACCGCTCTTGCCGCCTTGGCCTTAGGTGCCTCAGGTTTACCGCAAGCCCGTGATGCCTCAGCATCGCCCCAAGTCCTCGAGCAGCGAGAGTACGTGTATGACTGCGACTGCCGCAAACCAACAGACGAAGCGCACCCCTGCGGCAGCATTCAGAAGAACGACCCGGACCCGTCAAAGGGGAAGCTAAACTTCGTGGCGACGTGCGGCACGGAGTGCAAGGTCACGGTGGGCGGCAAGGACGTCGAGTTCAAGTTCTACAGCTCGATAGGACAGGAGGGCGCCGAGCAGTACGGTATATCGCCCTGGGCGTGCACCAATTCGATGAACCAGGCTGCCTGCACATTCGACTGGTACGGCGCGATGGTCAACGTCTACTGCCCGTCGGGCTAGGCAAGTGCCGTGTCAGAGCGGGCCGGCGGGAATGCAGAACGGGAATGCGCGACGCAGACTTCCCACAATCAACCGGTGCCCATATAGCATCTCAATGCTGGGAGGTCACAGGGTCGGAGAATGCACATGTAGCACTCAAGAATGTTGATATGGCGTGTCAATGAGGCGGGAGGGAGCGTCACTTTTGCCTTGCAAATATTTTGCCATGTCCCCCTTACCTCTCTCTACACGGCAATGCGTCAGGAAATCGACTGGCGGCGGTCAAGTTGCGCTCTTCAGACGCCAGACCAGGGATGTCCAGATCGCATCCAACGTTCCGCTATGGAGGATTGTGCTGGATTGCCGACACTGAGATCACCAGGTTCTGAGGCGCAAATATTACTCGAATGCCTCAGCCCCGAGGCATCGAGTCATCTTGATGGTTCGCAAAGAACGATGAAAGAGCTTTGAAACAGACTGGAAAATTATTCCTATTCTAAACAATAGTTTCTAGATGCCGAGTTCAGAGAAATTAGATCTGAAACCCACATACATACAGTCCCGTCCCGTAGTAGTATAGTACCAGACAACAGGTAGAAAAATCGACAGAGCTGTATCGATCCTTATCACCTCTGACACAACAAGAATACCCTATAGTCAATGGTTATCAATCTAAAGAGCTGATAGAGCCTGGCGGCGTCCATATATTTTTCATGTGTTATGATGTGACCAAACGTCTATCTTCCTGCAAAGTGCGCAAAGATTGGAGTTCGTAGCACCTTGGTAATCTACTTGACATGCCCCGCATATTTCGGGAAGATTATGCAGCGCTCATTTCACAGGTGGATGACATCGTGCCAAGATCCTAGGCGTTCGATGAACCGCCCTAGTTGACGCTGCCAAGGATTATATCGGGTCCCACGTCGACCGGGAGGGGTTTGCACCGGGGGCTCTTCCTGCCGGCAATGTCTCGAGGGCATGGTATGGCAGGCAATCGAATCATTTACATGCCCATCGTTGCCGCTGCTCCTATAGCAGGATGATATCTCGCAGGATGGAGGTCAAATGTTGGTAGGAACAAAATGTTTGGAGGAAATACTTCAATATTACTGGAAATAGCCAAATATGCCGACAACGAATTTGTTTGTATATATATGTAGACATATTATGTAGTACCCCTACGACTATTGTCTGAGCATAAAACCGTACTGGAGATGCTTTCTATCTAGCAATATCAGAGCAAATGGCTAGACATATTTGAGTATAAAAAGTTGTTGTGACAATGATGCAGCGCTGATGATGAGGTATAGGGCTTGTTGAGACGGTATACCTAGGCATTTTGATGGGGACTCACACGCTTCTTCTGCTCCTCGTAGTCGATAGCATCAGCGTCGATACCTCTTGTTTCGGGAACGCAGAAGAACGTGACGACGGCTCCAAGCAGCTCAAAGGCAAAGAAGATCCACAGGACACCGCTTAGACCGATTGAGCCAGGGTATTGTGCGCTGTTGGACTGTGACCACCAGTTGAAGCCAATACCGGACAGAATGGCACCGAGCTTTCCGACAGCGGCGCAGAACCCGTGAGCGATTCCTCGCACACGCGACGGGAACACCTCGCCGGGGACAATAAAGGTGGTAGCATTAGGCCCGAAGTTGAAGAAGAGTTGCGCAATGATTATGAGGGCGAAGCGAGAGCCGGAAGACAGCCATGGGGCACCAGCCAAGATACCAAACATCAAAGCCGTGACCAAGAACCCTTGGATCTGGATCCATTTCCGACCGAGCAATTCGATGAAAGCAATCGTCAAGAAATAACCAGGGACGTAGCCAGCGACGGCGATAATCAGGTTACCTTCGGCGTTTCTGAGCAGATAATCATACGGGCTGTTGCCGGTAGCGTACCCGATATCTTTCAAAATGACTGACTGGTTTAAATTGATACCGTAGAACGCGACATCGACTAAAAACCACGAGAAAGCACATCCAAAAAGGGTTAAAGCGTGTCGCGGTACCTTGAAGTACTCGATGAAGGCAGTCAATTGTGCGTTCTTTGGAGGGGTGACGGTCTGGCCCTCCGCGATAGACGGACGATGGTCAGCTATGGGTTGACCATGAGCGGGTGGTGAGCCACCATCAGCGGGCTCGCGTTTCTTCTCGGCAGTCCCAGCGGAGCTCAAGGAGCTGATCGAAGCCTTGGCAGACAGCTCCACGCTCTCCGTGAACTTGCGAGACTCGGGCATGGTCAGGCGGAAGTAGAGGAGGGCGAAACACGGGATGAGCGCTAGACCGATTTGCAGGCGCCAAATTGCATCGATCTGACTGAAAGCGCCGTTGGTCAAAGGCTGTTTGAAGATTGCTAAGAGGATGCAAGTGACGACTGATGCAGCCAACGTGCCCTACGGAATCGGGTCAGCAATGCACTCTGTCTGCATGACGACCAAGTAACCAAAACTCACCCAGCCCTGGTTGCTGAAAATCCAGCCAAGCATGCGACCGCGGTTGGCCAGAGTCGAACGTTCGGCGACGATGGCGGCAGACATGGGATAGTCACCTCCAATACCAATTCCGAGCAGTAAACGGAAACCGAACAGCCACCACATCTTCGAGACACCGCTGGTGAGTCCAGGGACGTTCTGAACCGGAAGAGAAATGATCATGATGATGCCAACAATGGCGATTATCAGCTCCTTTCCGTAGACAAACTTGCGGCCAAATGCATCGCCCAAAAAGCCGAAACCGAGCTGCCCAATGACATTGCCGATATTGGCTGCAGCGTTGACAGCACCACGAACCAGGAAGGGAATGGTAGGGGGTGAGGTTGCGGTTGTGTTGTTGATGGGGACGGTTTGGAAAAATTCGTAGGCCCAGATGGGAGAGGCGAGATTGACTATAAAAAGGTCATAGGAGTCGAGCATGAAGCCTACGCCGCAAATAAGATAAAGCTTGAAGTCGGCCCAGGTAAAGGCTTTCGGGGGGTGGAGCCGCTCATATTCCTCGAGAGAAATGTTGTTGCCATTCTCGTCCTTGCGAATATACCCGTTCTCTTCCCAAATAGGCATGATTTCGGCTTAGCTGTGCGGAAGAGCTATGCGACGGGGTGTTTTTGCCAAGTAATTAGATGGGGGGAGCATGTTCGAACATTGTAGGTAGCCGAGCAAACACAGGCCAAGCATTGGCGTTTATATTACAGTTGCTTGTCGCATTTGTCATGGTGAGCGCGAGCCCATTCACGCTTTCACATCGTATTTTGGGCGTCATCTCTGGCGTTGCGATGTCCTATGAACGTCCATATCCAAGCACGTGCTCGTGAGTTGCAACGGTTCTGGCTCGTTTTCGAAAGGACATGCAAACAAGCTGACGGACAAGCAACCGACTTCCGCTTGATCATCCTGGCCGGGCTTTATTTTAGGGCCAACCCCTGTGAGGACAACCCCCGGCTAGCGGGCGTGATTAGCCCCCGAACGTCATTGACGCAAAGAGGCAGCAGGGCGCAATCCCCGTATCTCATCGGTTATTGGATTGAATATTGCCTCACCCTCTCAGCCGTAGAACATGCCTTTGCATTCGTACTTGCAATTCGCTGTCATTATAATGGCATGATGGCAACAATCAACATCACAGTCTCCCCACTGCCATCAGACATCAGACGTCAGACAGCTTCAGACTAACTGGGTTTAGATAGATGCGCAGTCAACTATTAACCAAAGGCTTTGGGTTTGTTTAGGGGCATCCACCAATATTATACTTTTGCCCTGCTCAAGGCAATTCCACCTTCCCGCATTAGCACCTCGGTGAGAGGCACAATGGAGCCCGGCCTCACACTCGGGAACCAATGGATAATAACTAATCCGCGGCCGTCAATGAATCCCCAATTATGATACAAACAAGACCTGCAAATTCGGCCGGATTCTCGCGTGCCATCGAGATTTGCACTCTTGAGTTGCGGTTGGGTGCCATGCGAGGAGAGCGGGTAAGCCGGATCTCTGCAGGTCAAGCGACACGCAGCACCGCATCCCTGTGGAACGACGTTCAACTCAGCAACGCTGCGAAACATCTTTGCAGAATCCAAACCTGCGCATGTATTTGCGGTAGAAAGATGAGGAGCCATTTAAATTAGGAATCCTCACTATCATAGTTACCTTATAAACGGACTACCATTATTCATCACTCAGCACAAAGACCGTCCTTTGTAGAGAGCAGTATCTCAAACATGTGTAGGTTCTAGCACCTTGCTTGAATCGCTGTTCAAGATGTTCGGATGCTTCAAGATGTTCCCGATACTTATTTGACCTGTGCTTTGAAGGTGCTTCGTCGTTCCGGCAGACTTGCAAATCAATGGTTCTTTATACCAAGCATCAATTGGGGCAGTGCGCCGAGGAGTGGAGTCCCTGAACGGAACGGAGTTCGAGATCATGATGCGGAAGCCCGTTCAAGCTCCGTGTCCTTGTGCCAAGCCTCAAAAGCAATCAAATGCCTAATCTTGCAAGGCTGAGAAGGTACATCGTATACTGCTTGGGAAGCAAAAGTGGATACATTGTCACGTTCGTTCTTCTCTATAAGACCAGCCTAGCAATTCATCGTGCGCCTACTAAGTACTTCATCATCATCTCGATCTTCACACTCTTACGCCATCTCTGCTCGAGTTGAATAGTTAATAATGCACTCGACATCCGGGCCAGTAAGCTTGGTGGCTTCTTCGTTATTGATAGTTGCAAGTGGTCAAACTTTGTACCAACCATGCCCCCTTCTTCGCGCATACTATCCCGGTCCCACACTGGACAAGGATTCGGAAACCGTCAAAAGCTTCACACAAGAATTCACAGGTGTCTTCGATGATTTGATCGCCAGTGGCGGTAGGGATGACTTCGGCGCCATCACACCGAACACGACTTCATTCTCAGTGGTGCTGTTCTCAGGCGCCGACTCAGCCGAGGCAGATCCCGTCTTCTTCGAGTACCACTATACGGCAACTGCACTAAACGGCACGTCTAACGTCTCTGCCCAGACCGTCTTCCCGGTTGGAGGCCTAACACAATTGTTCACGGTGTACACATGGCTGGTAGAGGCCGGCGATGAATCCTGGGAATCGCCAATCACTGAATTCCTCCCGGAGCTCAGCAACGCAAATGCAACCACCAGCTCTTCAGAATACGATATCGGCTTAACCGTTGACTGGGACTCTGTCACGGTTGGAAGTCTGGCCTCTCATATGTCAGGTCTTGTACGGGACTGTAAGTCGTGAATTTCGGTGCCTCTGATGCCTCCACGGTACTAACGAGAACAAGCCAACGCATGCAGCATTTTTGAGGACTGCGACAAGCAGAAATTTCTAGATGCTATTTTTTCGAGCGTCCCATACTTCCTCCCAGACACGACCCCCATAATCTCCAACGCGGCATTCCAGCTCCTGGCGTACGCCATCGAATCCAAGACCGGACGATCGTTCTCGGACGCGCTGAGCTCCTCGGTCCTCGACGCCCTAAACATGACGCAAACAGGGCTGCTCAGCCCCTCCACCGCGGTCTTCGGCGGCCAGCCCCCCAAAAACTTCACCTCCTCCGGCGCCGGCGACCCCGCCGCCCAGTCCCTCTACGCCAGCACCGCCGACCTTGCCAAAGCCGGGCACGCCATGCTCTCCTCGGCCCTCCTCGCGCCCTCGCAGACCCGCCGCTGGCTCTCCCAGCCCGCCGCCGACACCTCGAACCTGCGCAACGGCGTCGGGCGGCCCTGGGAGATCTACCACGCGGGCCGGCTCGCCAACTCGTCCATCCTGGACGTGTACACCAAGACTGGGTCCATCGGGCGCTGGAGCAGCTACTTCGGGCTGGCGCCGGACTTCGGGGCCGGGTTCGCCATCCTGGCGCATGACGCCGACACGCCCGGGGCCCCGGACCTCAACGTCTACGCGGACGTGGTGTCGCTGGCACTGGTGGCGCTGGAGGGGGCCGCGGCCGCGGAGATGGCGGCGAGGTATGCGGGGGAGTTTGTCAGCGATGGGGCCAAGGCGGTGCTGGATGTGGCGGATGGCGGGCCCGGGCTAGTGGTTGAGGAGCTCGTGGTCGCAGGGTTGGATGTGAGGGGGGAGGCGGCGGCGAGGCTGGAGGTCGAGGTCGGGAGCCTGGATTTCAGGCTCTATCCTAGCAACGTGGTCAGCGGTGGTCTGCAGCAGTTCGTCGCCGTATTCCAGGACCGGAACGCGCCGGCTGATATGGGCACGCCGACTTGTATTACTTGGATGGATGTTGGTGCGCTGGAGGGCATCCCTGTGCGGTTCGTCTTTGAGATGGGCGATGGTGGGGTCGCTGTTGGGTTGCGAATTCCGGATAGGCGGGCTCGTTTGGACAGGGCTTAGGAATTTGATTATTTCGGGCATAGATAGGTATCGATCACATCAGATATTTTATCACAGCAGTCACGGTCAATGTGTCACTAGTTGGGGTGAATTCGGTGTGTCTTGGTCTCATGTGCCTATCTATATCCATGGCCTTCAATACAAAGTGTCTTAGAAACCCTCCGAAAAAAGATCCAATGATCACAATGATGCTGCCAGAATGGAGTGCATTATGCCAAACGTTGCTCTCGAAGATGCGAAAGCGGAAGTAAAAGGGGAATGTGCCTATGGGCAAAAGTGGGCTGCTGAAAATGAGTGTCGAAAGAGTGACAAGAAGTGAAAATTGTGTGATTGATCTGCAAATGCCAGGACAAAGTCTCAAAAGGAGTGCCAATGAGCGAGCGATTTGCTCGAAAGAAGAAGATTGTGTTTAAGAAGTAAAAGTTGCCAATGAAGAATGGAAGTTGTGTTCAAAGGGTGGAATTTGCGTGATGATGTGTCGGCAAAGCATGTTTGAGATAACATATCATAGGCTTCAGTGAAGACTACAGAGGCTCATCCTTGTAGCTCGAGCCATCGGAGTCCTGCCACTCCTCGGATGAAGGGCTCTGCTTGAGCAGCGAAGAGTCAACAGCGTCCTCATGGTCGGCCATGCTGTGATCATCATCATCGTTGTTCATGCTGTGATCCTGATCCTCATCGTCGTTGCCCTTGCTATCATCTTCGTTGGCGCAGTAAGTGCTAGAAGAAACCATACCCGGAGCAGAGACACGAGTGCCAGCGTTCATCATGGTCTCGTAGTCCCAGTTACAGGAGCTGAGGTGGTGATCGAAGACAGCCTGCATATCGATAAGCTCCATGCCGGACGTGTCGAAGATATCGCCAGCTGAGGTGACCCAGCCCCATCGGAGCTCTTCGTTAGGACAAGGCATCCAGGTAGCATCCCACTGCGACAAGGTATATGTAGTGTTCGTATCACACTGGCTCAGTGTGAGCAAGTACTTGCGAGTGATGACAAAGTTCCCGCTCATTCCTTTTTTGAAAAGCTCATCGGTGCACATGACCTGCCAGAATTTGGCCTGGGCCCTGTGACGCTCGTGGATTTGTTGGCGGCTGAGGCCGGTGATGCCCTCCCGAGCGTAGATGGGGTTCCGCGGATTTCGGAAGGCCTCGCGAACAGTGACGTTGATGGTATCGATGTAGTTGTTGGGATCGAAGACCGTGCCGTCAGGAAGAATAAGTTGGGACTGTGGTTGGGCGGGTTGCCAGAGAGACACTGGAATAGTCAGGTTACCATTCAAGTCGACGTCTAACTTTTCATTTTGGAACTCCAACGTACTGAAGTCTACTTCATTGAGATTGATACCATTGTAGTGACCCATACCCCGCTGAATGGCAGCCGGAATGGTAGCCTGATATACCATAGCGTGAACACCAGGTTCTGTGATGTTGGTAGCATTGCGAGGATTGTTGGCGACATTCGGGACCTGTTGAAGCGGCGCTCCAGCCGTACCGGACATCAAACCCTGCGACATGCCAGTAGACTGGCTGGCGGCACTGAAATTAAGCCGAGGGTTGTTGATATTGTTCAATTGTACGCCATGCATGTCGGGATTCAGCATACTAAAGAAAGCTCGTTGATTATTGGCACCTTGAGTAATAGAGGCTGTGCTCATGTTCGTGTCCTTGTTATGCGGCGGATCGTCGGCGTTGTTAAACGTGGTGAGATTATAACGTGGAGCATTGGCCGGTAAACCCATGTTGATCATCTCTTGCATGCGGTGAGGTGCGACGCTGCTGATAGGCTGGGTGTCAGCGGATTGTTCAGGGATATGTTTGTTATTCTTAATAGTACCGCTGGCCTTAGTAATGTTACCACGACCGCGGCCACGACCACCACGACGACCGCCACCACGGCGTCGACCGGAGGCCAGAACGCCTCGCTTGGTCGGGGCGGCAGATGTTGTGGCTGAAATGGCTTCTGCAGCTGGATGAGCGACTGAAGGATGGATCAAGGGAGGACCAGTGAGGTGACCGTTCTAGGGTTGCCCGAATTGCCTGTTGATCTGTGCCTCGATTGCACCACCATGTCCGGCGGCGGCATTGTTTGTATAATGGTGGGAGATACTTGAGAAGCTGGGCTGGGCTAAGTTAAAGTCGGAAGGTTTTGTCTCATCGATAGCCTCCCCCTCCGAAGTGGTAGATGCACCTGATTTCTCGGCTCTAGCTCGTCGCTTTCGTGGTTCATCACCGCTAGGCACGGCTGAAGGCTTACGACCACGACGCTTGGGCTGCTCAGAAGCCCCCAATGCAAGTTGAGTTTTGGTAGTTGTAGTAGCTTGCTCAGTTTGAGGGGTATAAATTGGCAAAGGTCCCTGCTGTCCCATAGCGCTCATAGAAGCAACAAGCGGCTGGTTCAACAAGTGCGTGCTGGTAGATGTTTGGAGGTATGAAGGCAGAGTTGCGTCTGGGGATGCGATAGGAGTGGGATTAACTATACGACCTGAATAAGTCACATTGAGTGTGTCCTGTGGCATTGATTGACTCTGAGAGCTAGTAGCAGCAGTGCTAGCATGAGGATTGTTCGCCACAGGCGGGAAATTGTAGTACGTTGGTAGAGGCTGCATTGCTTGCTGTCTAGAAGGCAGCTCCTGGGTTTGAGCCGACAGCTGTATCAACTCTGATGCAGGTGCAGAAACAGTCGCAGTACGAGCGGCAGCCTCTGCTTGAATCACTTGTCGGTGTCTCTGGAGGACTTCAGGTGATGGCTCCATGGCATTTGCTCTCATCATGTGAATAAGATAACCAGTATTATTCTCCTCCATTTTTTTGAACAATTCGAGGAACTCAGCAAGCTTCGGCGGGGGCTGACCATGCTCACTGGCCTTGGTAGCAGCCTGGTGCCATTGAGCATGTGCGAAAGTTTCCTCAGGCCGCATGCTGCCTCTGCCCATGTCGTGTGGAATGTGAGTGCGAGTGTGAAGTCGCAAAGGTAACAAATTGTTTTGTTGGTGTGTTTGTGTGACACGGTTGAAATCAACCTGTGTGATTCGTTGTGGGAAGTTATGGTTGCCGGGTTGCAAATTCTCCTCCTCAGAAGTTTCTGAGTGCTTATGCATAGGGCGGTCTGTGTGTTTGGCTTGAGGCCCATCAACAGTATCTGATTGATGAGGCTTGTCCATTATCCGGGTCTGTTTAGGGCCACCGATGGTACCTGCTTGGTGAGAGTCGCCGAGACCATGCTCTTGTTGAGGTTGGGCCATCTTCTGTAGCTTCCTAGGAATTGCCGATTTCCGATGTGTCTTGTCTGCCTCTGCGATAATGGCGTCAAGAGGGTGGTGCTTGGTGTTGTACTGAGGACCTTGTGTGGGATCAGAACTACTTCCAGCGCTATGGCTTTGGGACCTAGTCTGAACCATTTTCGTTTGGAGAATAAACGGTGATGGTTGGTCCACAGCCTCCCGAACAACTTCGTGAGGATTGGACCGGGTTGCCCGTGGTGACAAAGGAGAATGTCTGCTAGGCCTTGACCACACAAGAACGCCAGAGGGTATCAAGTCGATGCCGACAAACTTATCAATGACGACTTGCAACACTCCGTGATACTTCCAATGTGACTTTGCCTTTTGGAGGTGAGGTTTCCAATACCATTCATCGCCGATGAAAGGGGGCAAATGAACGGAGGATGGTGCAACAATTGGCACAAAGAGATGAATCCAATCGATGACGTTGTCAACTCGAATATTCGGATCCTGTGGAAGAATCTGATATTGCTGGCACAGTTGTATAAATACCTGAACACGTGTGTTGACAAGCAGTCTTGGATCAATCGCCTTGTAGTGCGGGGGGTCGAGGTGGGCCACAAGCAAATGAAGATGTGCTTGTAGGTTATCGAGACAAACTTCGGCACAACAGGAAAAAAAGCCTTGAGATTTCCAGGCACCAATGAGATTACGAATGTGTTGATCTGCAAAAATCGAGGGATCAAGATTTCCAGGGTGATATCGGCGAAGGTCGATTTGGGGTATCAATATTGCATGACCAGCTACAATATCCTGAAACCATTTGGTGTACGCTGTGCCTACGACAATCGAAGCTTGCACACAATCAGCATGGGGATACCCTTGTGATTGAGGAAGATATGTTACTCACTGTGCTGTCCTTCCATGGCCATGAGATCGTCACCATGATTGGCTGCTGGGATGATTCAGTATGGTCTCATGGTAAGTTCCAATTGGAATAGATGACGATAGTGAGCACATACCTGGCTCAACAGCCATCCTAGATGTCTTAGCAGGGATTTACATGTAATTAATTGTGCTTATAGAGGCAGAGAGCTGTAAAAACGCAAGTTCAGACGCGTGGGTTGGGCAAATGTTTTGGGCCGTGTGGTGAAAGAGCACCTTTCTGGAACAGTGCACAGTTGGAAGTGGTGAATATGGCAATTAATGAAACTGCCCCGCCATTGAGAAGTGCCACATTTGAATTGATCTATCAACCGAAATCATGTGTATGATCTGCCATGGTAAACTCTGACAGTAGTAAGATTTACTTATCGTGTATAGGAATTAGCGAATGCTATACAATCTTTTTCAACGCATATGATTTCATAAACATCGGGTTCTGATATCCCTCTGGATCGTATTGATGTGATGCGATGATTCGGGAATGGAGCAATCTAAACAATGGCAATATTTTACAGAATCGGGACGAAGAAGTTAGTAACGGTCCGAAGTGGGGCAGCTGCCGGCTTCATCCCGGAGGTCAACTAGGTAACGTTATCGTCACACACCTATTGTGCGTCTGGTTGTGATTTACTTTAGATAGATGTGGGTGGATATGAAATACTATAATATGTTCACCATTCACACCTTGATTCTAATTTCAGCACGATCTTATATACCAGTGATAAGACTGTCGGCCTGTCAGGTGTTGATTGAGGCCAAGGGGACCGTAATCTGGACTCTGACGACGGCAGGATGATAGCCTACAAAAACATCTGTATTGGCAGTCCATATCAAAGAATTGCCGTGTCAGTAAAATGTTGTTGACTTTCCCATTGCTAAGCTGGACTGACGACCGTATCTCCGGCAAAGATGATACGGTGAAATAATACAGCTGCTGTCGAATGAAATTTCAAGGCATTTAAGAAAGGAAACAAATGAAATTATGACCACTAACAGTGATGCCTTGATCATATCACTGGTCGTCATGGGCCCGGGCCCTGGGTTGTGCCTAGGAATAGCAGATACTGTAATCAATCGCGGTACTTCTTCACAGCAGGTCAGGAGAGTTGGCACAGCACGCATAAGGCTGGCTTAGCTAGCTATAATCACATATATCATTATTGTTACATACTGAGATCAAGTAGAACAGCCATGCCGCGACTCCCTTGAATACATTTTATGCAGTAGATTGACTACTCGGGATGACAGGAAGAGGTGCATGATGGGTTAATTGCACGGAATATGAGTGGGCGAGCCAATGCATGGGTTTTGCAGACCGTATGATCGAGTTTGTACAGGATGCCCGACCCTGGCCTTGCACAAATGGCGTGCCGCTACACACCACGGAGCATGCTATTGACGCAAAGGCGAAACGAAACCTACAATGAGTCCAGTCTATTTCCAATCACCAACTTCACTAAAGGTTTTGGATGTTGAAACGGCGATGGGCATCAAAGTTCTGAAAAAACGTCATTGACTGCGGTGCAGGTGGCGTGTATTGACGAATTTTTATTCTTTTACTTGTAACATGCAAAGGCTTGGGGCTGTCAGAGCCAAAATGTGTGTCAGGTGGGTCCGTAGGAGATAAACGTCCGGACTCAATGGCACCTCATAGTTTGTCGGATGAGCTAACCCTTACGGTGTATAGAATCTTGAGAATCTGCATCATAGGTGAATGACAGACAACGAAGGTGATTACTGTAGATTAACCCTGATCCAGCTTCGTTGGAAGTTAGAAGATCATTTGCGATGTAGGTTAGTGTCTGAGACATAGTGAACTAAGCTTAGGCGAGAATACGATTGCGAATGCTCTACGAATCCGTTGAGGCTAACGCTACTAACCTACTTCAGTAAATTCCGAATGGTCTAGACACCACTGAAAAGTGGCGATGGGCGCTGACATACGGATTAGTGGACGTCACTGCGGCCGAGGTTGGTTTATCGGCTTTGAGTCTCGACTCCTTAGCACCAGTGCGCTTTATTTGAGAAAAGAAAAAGAAGGAAGAAAAAGTCAGGCGTTGAAGCGATCGCGAAGAGGGTACAAGCAACCAGCATGCCGGAATGTTCGAGCTGATTGAAAGACTGACAGAGGATTATTTACAGAACATGTCAAGGAAACGTTGTTTGGCCAGTCTCTTCGCGCGTCGTGTTGTCGTGTTGTTGCGAAAATGGTAAACGCACCTTAAAAAAGAAAACCCGCCAAAGGGAACCAATGAAAATGATCAGGATTTTGGACAAATGCATGATGACATAATAAGTACTTCGAGGTATGCTTAAGTATGGACCGTCGACCAATCGCCTGCCAAGATGGCCCCCCCATCAGACAGCCAGGCCCGGAAAGCCCAAAAAGCTGCGATGGATCTGCGGCGAGTGCAGGTACCAGTCTGCCAGTCTGCCAGTCTGCCAGTCAAGCAGCGGAGCGCATTTCGTCTGGTCTGGCAAAAATGCCTTCTGGACGAGCGCTACAAGTAACTCGCTACAAGTGTTTTTACTGTAATCTGTAGTCATCCACGGGCGGATGTGGGAATATTTAATGGACACGGGCACGGGCACGGGCACAACTGACACAAACTTGGTTTTAGCGCCCCTTCCCACACCCACTTTCGCTTCTAAACTCGAATTCTGAACTCGACCTCGAACTTGAACTCCATGTAACGTCCCCCCTTGGGTCCCCTGATTCGGAAGGAATTCTGCTGTAGCTTGTCGGCTCACATCGCCGTCCTGATTCCCTGGTAACAATCAAACAATCAAACAAACAACCAAGCGGCCCGGGACACAACTTTGGAGCTTACTCATGCATGAACCAATCTTCGGTGTTTCAGCGACGAGTCTCTCGAGTCTCTGATCGCCTATCTGATGTGCCATATTTGTACCCTGCTCACGCACTGCCATGACAGAACCCCCATCTCCAGAGCATCTTGCCTCTGGGAATGATTGCATCGCATCCCTAGCCAGCCAAAAGGACAGACTGGATTCTCTCCTCGCATTCAACCGTGTCCATGTCACCGAAATCTTGGACCAGGACTCTCGCCCTACCTTCGTCATTGACCTGGATCCCGACCATGACGCGCCCTTCCCTTTGGATGGACTGACACCAGTATTTTGCAACTCAGCCCTTCGTTTCCACGAGCGATTGATGGACGTTATCAACGGAACCGTAGGACAAGTTGAGCTAAACACAGCCGATACCTATCAGGACTTCAGGTCATGGGCTACTGGCGTCACAAAACACGATGACTCCATGGACTGCTTCCCCTTGAGCTTCATCTACGCCGACATGCTATGGACGGGCTCCACCATCAGAAAACGATGGCGGTTGATCAGCGGTAATCTGTGGAACCCTGGCATTCCTGTGTGCGAACCATCACCTCCTGCCCAGCTTGCCTCAGTCGGTCCAGTGCGCGAAACTTCAGAGAGATCTTCTGCCAAGCCATCCGTGGCAGCCACCACGACCGAGGTTCCTATCACTAACACTACCTTGAGCTCTTCTGAGCAGAAGCAACGCACTTTCCACACCAAGGATCCTGTGACCAACTCCAGCAGTACAGGGGACTCGTCCCAAACCAAGAGGCTGGTGCTAGCTGCACCTGTGCAGGCATGTCCTGACTGGACTGTACCCAGGCCTAAGGGCATCATATCTGATCACATAGCAATTGTCAGGGCTGTTCGCTGGGAGGATACACCCTTAGGTCCCATGAAGAAGTGGACGCCCGAGTTTCGCCATGTGGTCAATCTTGTCATGCGGTACCCTTTCGCCGCCGCGCTCTTCTGGGGAGCCGAGCTGACAATGATATACAATGAAGCCTACGCCAAAGAGGCGGCTGGCCATAAGCACCCAAAGATACTGGGAACCGGCTTCTCAGGGCCATTTTCCGAGGTGTGGGACGCTGTTAGTGATTCGTTCACTGAATGCGCCCGAACTGGGGTTAGCATTCGCAGGGAGGACGAATATCTGCCGGTCCACCGCTATGGCTTTCTTGAAGAGACATTTTTTTCTTGGTCTTTGACGCCACTATATGGAGGGACAAATAAGATTCTAGGTTTTCATAACACGCCAATCGATACAACGGAGTCAGTCCTCGGTCGTCGTCGGATGCAGACCATCAACCAGGTGGGCAGGAATATTTCCCAGGCTCGGGGCGTCAAGCAATTCTGGAAATACCTTCTAGAAGCCTTGGAAGACAATCACTTCGAAATTCCGTTCGCACTACTGTATTCTGTAGGGGACGTAGAAGATAACGACCAGGCGTCGTCGTCTTCTGGGAGCACCATGTCCATGAAAAATTGTGTCTACGAAGGCTCTATTGGTATTCCACAAGGCCACGACGCAGCTCCTCGTCAGCTTGATCTCAAGAGGAGTCGAGAGGGGTTCATTCCCGCGTTTCGAGAAGCGATGCGAGCACGTGAGCCCACATTGCTTAACACCCGTGACGGAACTCTGCCTGAAGAGCTCCTGGAGGGCATTAACTGGCGTGGTTTTCAGGAGCCTTGTAATAAAGCAATCATATTCCCCGTACGGCCGACAAACGGAGAAAATGTACTCGCCTTCCTCGTGATTGGTGTGAACCCACGACGGCCATATGATAGCGGGTACAGGGATTTTACTAGCATGCTCAACCGTCAGCTAGCCGCGTCTCTTGCTTCTTGCATGCTTTTCGAAGCAGAGGTTCGCCGTAGCAAGGACGCTGCCGAGGCGGCAGCTATAGAATCGCAGCACCTTTCGCAGCAGCTCGCCTTGCAGACCAATCGTTTCCGACGAATGACTGAGCAGTCTCCTCTGGGAATGTTCTTATTTGATCCCGACGGTATCCTGACCGAGGGAAATGACCGATACTATGAAATGACGGGACACCCACGGAATGCCAACCATGCAATGTCATGGATGGAACAGGTTGAGAGCAGTAGCTTGAAAGACTGTGAAGAGGGGTGGCAAAGAATGATCGTAGACCACCAGTCATGGTCGGCTGAATTACAGATGAAGAGACTTGTTGTGAAACCCGTCGACCTCAAGAATGAGGATATTGAATACTGGGTCGTGATAACTGCTCAACCAGAATTCGCTCCGGATGGTTCCATTCGAGCCATTATGGGTTCGATTACCGATGTATCGCATATGAAATGGGCCGAGGGTCTCCAGAATCGCAGACTACAAGAAGCTGAGGAAACAAGGCGGCAACAAAACGAGTTCATCGACATCACATCACATGAGATGCGAAATCCGCTAAGCGCCATACTTCAATGTGCGGATGATATCGTGGCAACTTTGAACGAACAACGCTCTGCAGGAACCCCCATTTCAGCACAGGACACAGAGAACTGTCTCGAAGCAGCTCACACTATATCGCTATGTGTACAGCATCAGAAGTCGATTGTTGACGACATCCTCACAGTTTCGAAATTAGATTCTAACCTCCTCGTCATAACGCCTACCCCTGCGCACCCTGTCGAAGTGGTCAAGCGTGTCATAAAAATGTTCGAATCAGAGTTGCTGGCCAAGGATATCCACGTGGTTCACCAGACTCTCGATACCTTCAAGGACGTCGCTATTGAGTGGGCGATTTTCGACCCTAGCCGCGTCATGCAAATATTAATCAACCTCGTTACCAACGCTATCAAGTTCACGGCGCCGTCGGCCATCCGAAACATCACCGTAACGTTGGGCGCATCGACAGAAGCTCCTGTGCTGGCCGACGCCTCTTTCTTCAAGTATATTCCACCCAAAGCCGTCAAATCCAGCGCATTCAACGACGATGATTGGGGCACCGGTGAGCTCTTGTATATTCGGTTTATGGTACAGGATACTGGCTGCGGTCTCAGCCCAGAGGAGATCAAACTGCTTTTCACAAGGTTTTCCCAAGCATCACCACGTACGCACGCGCAGTACGGGGGTAGCGGTCTTGGCCTTTTCATATCCCGTCAGCTGGCCGAGCTGCACGGCGGACGGATTGGCGTCTCTTCTGTAGTTGGAAACGGTAGCTGCTTCGGCTTCTTCATCGCCGTGCGTAGGACGTCGCCTCCTACTGGCGACAATTCGGCCAAGGTCTTGGGCATCGAGGGGGCGGTCGGCGGCGATGCAATGCTCACGCAACAGGTTGCACCCATGCGGCAGGACCTGGCATCGCGAGGGCCGCCCTCGGACCTCGTCGCCACCAAGGCCACCCGCGCCTTCGACCCCCGGGATCTGGACATACTGGTCGTGGAGGACAACCTGGTCAACCAGACGGTGCTGATCAAGCAGCTCAAGAAGCGGGGCATCGGCGTGAGCGCGGCCAATGACGGCATCGAGGCGCTCGCACACCTGGACGAGACCATGTTCCGCAAGGTGGGCGGCAAGAGGCTCTCGGTCATCCTCATGGACTTGGAGATGCCCAACATGGACGGCCTGACCTGCGTGCGCGAGATAAGGAGGATGGAGCACAGCGGCGAGATCCACGGCCACGTGCCCGTCATCGCCGTCACGGCCAACGTGCGCGAGGAGCAGGTCGATGTCGCCAGGCGGAGCGGCATGGACGACGTCGTCTCCAAGCCCTTCCGCATACCGGATCTGCTCAAGAAGCTCGAGGTCCTCCTGGAGGACCTCTCCCCAGGCGGGGCTTGAACAGGAATTCCCGTCCGTTTCATGAGTCAAAAGTGACACATGTTACATGATGATGAGCATGCCCCCGCCCCCCACTTGGAATTAAACGCATCGATAGAGCAAGCGACATGGACATTTTGGTTCGGAGTCGATTTATTAGAGCTAGACGGTATGATACCAGAGCGCATTAAACAAAGGCGTTTTACTGATTTAGACACCCCGCTCGTCATCGCGAGCAACACCAGGTTATGGGTATCAAGTGTTCAGGATTTAGAGGGATGTTTTGTAGACTTTGGGAAATACCGATGCGGCATTTTTGACGTGAGGGTCCTACCTCTCTTTGGCTTTCCCTCCCATGAACCTCTCCAAGCTGCGAGTAGTCGGATATTGCGCTGCTTGATAGGTGTGGTGATTTGGACTGAAGGAGTGCACTACATGTCACCCAAGGTTTGACACAGACAGGCGCTTCCCATGTAGATTCCCCGTGCTCCGGGTCTATTCACTGCGCCGTGAACTCCGTTATCCACCCTCCCCTACCTCGCGTTTGTTTCTCTATGTGAACGCCCCGTATCCAGGCTATGTAAGTAAACAACAATCCACCGACCTCCTGCGGGAATCCCAACCAGTCAATCAATCAACATCATCGTCGTTCGTCTCCCGCGCCTCCGCCTTCCCGGGGCCCGAGCCCTCGAGATGCTTCCTCGCCTCCTCCAAGGCTTTGGGGTCCTCGGCCTCTTCGGCCGCCCCGCTAGTCTCGCCGGCCAGTGTCTTCTCCACCTTGTGTGACGCCACGGCGGCGTCGTTGAGGGAGCCGTCCTCGTTCACGTCCTCCCTCAGGTACAGGCTGAAGATGACGACGAGGTAGGTGTCGCTGGTGGACTTGTTGCGTAGCACGTATCTAAGCCGATGTGAGCGCTTAGGATTTGCCCTATTGAGTGGATTTTGATGAGAATAAGGATATCGCCAGTAAGGAAAGAAGCTCCGTGATTAGTGCGAAAGAAAGACTCACCTTAGGCCTTGGCCGTCCCAATACTTCATGATAGGGAGCGTAAAACCGGGCAGCTTAAGACTGAAGTCGCCGAAATCCAGGTAGGGGTTGAAGAAGTCGGCGCAGTACGTCTTGCCGTGCTCAAACACCCACTTCTGCTTGCTGTCGTCTCGTAGCGCCCACTTCATGCGCGCCTTGGCCGCGTCCGGTGCGCCGATAGCCCGGCGCGCCTCGAGCCCGGCGTCGTCTCCTCCCTCCTCGAAGAAGAGGCCGCCTTTCTCCGGGTCGTCTTCGCCCTTGCCGACGTGTATCGCGTTGAAGGATGATAAGGCCGGGCCGTATAGATGTGGCTCGTCGGCATAGGCGTCTCCGTCTAGGCCGGGATCGATCCACCACTTCACGATGCTCATTGCCGTGTTGAATCCTGGCGGGAGGCGGTCCCGAATGGGATGGTCAAAGTCATTTCCAAACTGGAGGTCCGAGGCAGATATGCCATTTTCTGGCTGGTCACCAGCCGCATTGTTCTTGGTCGCCGATGGTTTCTTGGGCGTGAAGCGGAAAGATATGCTGTATTGATCCTTGTTATAGTCGTGGGGAGGTTGTGAGAAGTATGCCGAGGTTGTGGGTGAGTTTCTTGGCAGGCCTTTATAGTTTTGTACCCGAACATTGAGCTCGATATCCATGAACTCGTTGCTGATTTTGGTGAGCTCCGGTGAGTTGACCGGTACTACTTGCTGGTCATCGACATTATAAGTTGACCCAGCGGTCACCCGCATAACGTATTTGTCCGCCATTTTTCTGGGATGTTATTTTGAAAAAAAAAACAAAAAAAAAGGCCAAGACAAGAAAGCAATCGAAGGGAGGCCCCACTATCGCGCTTTGGATCCTATAATCAACGGGGGTTGGAACGGCGAGACGCAGGTAGCGAACCAGTCGGGTCAAAATCTTGAGTTATTGCTTGTTGAATCGCTGCGATGTAGAGTACGTGCGTGTCTCTCTGGAAAAGAATAGTACCAGAGTTTCAGGAGATCAGCAGTTATACAGAATGCAAATGGGATTGGCGATGCAGTCTAGAACAAGTATATAGGCAGAGTGCAGGGTGTCCGAGGTGGCGTGCCGACTTCAGTCAACAATAACATTTGAGGGTCCAGAGCAAAAATTCCTGACACTTTGGTGGATGACGTCTCGAGTCGTCGGGGGCGCGCTATGGAGGGGTAGAGGGGCAGAGGGGCAGAGGGGCAATCCAAAAGCATTGACCACAGCTAAAGATGGGATTTTTGGCGGGAAGATCCACTTTTGTTTTGGCAGGTCGAATCCCATCAACAAAATCCCATCCATCTCGCTTGCATGTGATTGACACAACGCTGCTTCCCAGTCGTCATCATGATGGTTTGAAGACCCCAAATCCAGCAAAGAGGCGTCGAAGCGGGCCTGAGGCGCCATTCGCAGCGTTTCAATTGGCATGGCACTAGGACCTCAAGGCAGAGCAGAACATGTGCCGGGATCAAGGAACCAAAAAGCGGTCGATATTTACACGCTGATAATAGCTGACGTGACGGAATCCCATCCAGAACTGTGCGAGACGATCATACGATACCAGGATAAGTTGAGACGGCATATACGTATCTATTAGTGTTAGCAAATCCAGCGAGGATCCTCTCCCATCTCAGCAAAAGCTTACCGTTGACGAAGCCATCGCCGGCAATGTGCCCACGAGATCTTACAACCCTGCATCCCGCAAAAGGTGATTCTTCTTCGATGCACACCAGCCCGCCATCACCCAGATCTGGAGCGATAAATGTGTATTCGCCTCTTGGCACGTTCATGTCTCCTGTAAGCTTCACAGCTTCGATTGAACCCGTGTATACCCTCTCGTGCAAGAACCTTTGTTCCAACTCAGCATCAGTCTCCTCTGCCTGCCGTTCCAGAGGTTCTGTTTCACCCTCTGTTGAGTCGGGCTGATGGACCAGAAGAAATTCACATCCATGTACATTGTAGTCTCCCACGTATATACCCCTCCACGGCTTCTCCTTGGTCGGGGTGTATAAGTATGGATCCAGAGTAGACCAGGTCGCAGTCTCTTCTCCCAACTTGAGTCCTAAGCCGGACCGTATCCATTCCATCCATCGCCTGATACGAAACGTCTGATCGGAAGCTTCGGACCGATTGGACGGCGCCCAATTGCCGGGAGATGCCAATTCAAGTCGCTGGCTTGAGATTGGTAAGACCCCTGCGGCTTGTGCACCGACGCGATGACCTGCAGGAATGGTAGGCGGTGGCCAAACGTAGCCATAAGGGAATGTCTTGGGAATATTGTCCTCGAGCACGCTGGCGAGAGGCTTTGCGGCAACCACTTCACCGACGCGAGGGTCAGTATCAATATCCAGCGACATTGGCTGCACAGGGAAGAATTTCCGTCGCGGGCTAGAGCTTGAAGTTCCCACCTCACTTCGTAATTGATGGTCAGCGGGACTGAGCTTTAGAATTGGCTTGTCTCGATGCAGTTTGACCTCGGGCTCGAAGTCATCGACGAATACGGCCAGGTCGCCATGCGCTTGCCAGAACTCTCCAGCCTCGCCGGGACTGATTGCCACCAGCTGATAGCCTTCTAGCACTCCTCTTCGTTGATCATACTGAACAACGATCAGCTCCCCAGCCAGGCCGCGATCGGAGAACCAGATCTTGTGCTTGGGAATAAACCAGAATGGATCGTGGCATGCGTAGAGCTCCCGGAATGTCTCAAATGGGTAAGGTCTTGTAATCGTGTTCCCAGGTACATTCGACTGCACGTGTCGCTGCCAGTGGAACTCACTGTTTGCATGTGTGTACAACGCCTTGGATACCTGCCTCAGCGACGTGAGTTCTAGTGGCGACATATAATCAAAGATGGTGTCTATCAGTTCAGGTGGAAGCAGTTCGAAGCTGGACAGTGCCGGTGACGTAGAGCTGAAGCTGTCGTCTCTAGCCCCGAAGGACTCGTCGTTGTTAGAGTCATTGTGAAGGCTTCCGCTTGTGTTTTCGCCTCCTGCTTCTTCGTTGGTTTGGTCACCGACATCATTGACCTTGGTGTCACTGTTGCTCAGAGGGCCGTATGGTAGAGATAAAGAGCCTGTCGCATGTCTCTCATAACGGACTCGCGGATACACCATTTTGTAGGACCCGCTTCTAGATCTCTTGGAGCTCAAGGTCACAACCACCAGGTCCCGCAGGAGATATGGCGTGCTAGAATTTGAAGTTTATATGCTGTCAACTGTGGAGAGAAACTGTTTGTGATACTCCAGTCTGCTGTAACGTCAGGGAGGTCGGAGGTGGCGGAACCGCTCAAAGATGTTGAGAGCCTGCGGCGGGGTCCCCAAGTGATGCTGGCTGTCGCCAAACAATATATAACGATGCTCGAATAACTGAGATGCGTCATCCAGCGGTGTGCATGGTCAAGGTTTGCAAACAGTTGTCCATGCAGTATGTATGCAGGCCATGCAGTCTCGGTGTTCCAGGGCGGCAGACGAAGCGGGTACTAGTTAGACTAATTATGTAGACGAGAGAGGGTGGGGCAATGCGACCTATCCACTTGGTCTATGACATACCCTTTGCCAAATGCTTGCAGCTGCTTCGACTCTGACGATGGACAACATCGGAAAAAATGCTCCCTGCAACATGGAATTACGACGAGTAGTAAGGCACCTCATCACCTAGTCACAAGCATCCTGAACCGTGTTCTGAAAACGCTTCCAGTGCAGTTATCCAAGTGACGACTTTCCGCGGGAACAGGCAAGCGGGGTACTCACCACTCGTCTTGATATCCACGAGTCGCGCCTAACGTGTGGCTGCCGAGTGATAAGTCGTTAGGCGCTCTTGGATACGTTCCCAGCCGCCCCCAGGTCTGTACCTACATATACAACTGGTTCACGTTGGCCTCAAGGGTTGTGCGGCTGTGCCAGATCGCCAGCCAGGATGTCGTTCTTCTCAATCATCCCGGACATCCTGCCCATGATCCTGCCCTCGGCAGTTCAAGTCACGAAAGCCTCCGAGCTCGAGGCGCAACGAGCAGGGGCCGACTCGCCCATGACCAGGCAGGGCGCCGTCATTGGGAAAAGCGACAAGATGTGTGCGACAGGTGGGGGCATTTCTTTTTCTTTGATTAGTGTCTGGCCAGTTGTGGCATGGGCGCATTGATCAGTGCTGGGGGTGCTTTCCACTACCCGTCCCGTCCTTGGTTGATAACTTACACCCCGTGTTGCAGTCTTGATAGCAAAAGCAAACTGTGCATCAGCGGTGCACCACCATGGCGAACAAGGTAAGCTGTGTTGTCAAATACTCCCCTGACTTTCCGCTCTAACAGCACGGAGACACCATCATCTACGCCGCGGCCGGCAAGGGCATACTCGTCACAAATCCGGGCAACGAGACAGAGCCCAAACTCAAGCGACATGAACTTTCGGCTGGAGATTTTGCCTTCATACCGCCGTGGACTGAACACCAGGAGCTCAACGAGACTGACGAGGATGTCGTGTGGATTCTTATACGCAGCGGACCAGAACCGACAGTTGTGTGGTTGACAGATTGGTCAGGTGACGAGGCAAGAGCAGACTGAGTCACTACTCCAGTGTCCTGCTAACAGAGTAATATTCAATACAACTTCAGGGTATATTAAATCTTTGATATAAAAAAAGGCTTGGCGAAATGAGACAAACTCTGGGCATATGACTCTGGCTGACTACAACTGAGTGCAATACTGGCGCAGGACGCGGCAAACACGTTCCTGGTCTTTTTTGGTGTCAAACAATTGGCTATGATCCAAACCGGGGAACCATAACACCTCAATCCCATCACGTGTCGCATGGTGGATTTTGGTCTCGTCTGATTCATGCGACGCCTTGCCTGGAACCCAATCTTCACCACCGACGAGATATTCGGCTACACTGAGCGTATCAACGATGAGATCGCGCTCCGACAGACATACCGCCACCTTTCTCCTCCTCACAGGTGATTGACCTTCGCCATCGTCACTTGGGAGGGCCAGCAGCTCCTCTTTCCATATTATATTCTCCCGCCAAAAGAAATGCCGGCCCAGAGTATGAGCCACGCCCGGATCCATGCTCGCAAAATACCAAAGCTGCCACTCATTTGCTTGTCGCGGCTTACGCCGTGTGAAGTTGTAGGCGACATCAGGCTGGTGTAGCATGATGCTTACTGGATCAAGCAGGACAACACCTTGGATGCGGGAACCAAATGTCTGCGAGTGAACCATATGCGACGCGAGAACGGTTCCGTAAGAATGGGCCGCCAACACGAACTTGTCCCATCCATGGCTCTTAAGTATGGTATCTAGCTGGCTCAGGAACTCCAGTTTACCCAGCGGATCGCTCGTTAACCGAAACGATATCGGTAGTATTTCGACAGCGATGATACCGATATCCCCGTTTCTGTGAGCCGCGTTGTTGAGTCTCGCCAAGAATGGAGCATATGTCACGAGTCCGATCCCTATACCATGCAGGAACACCATCGGGACTTTGTCTGGGGCCGTATGCGGCCGGTGCCAGTAGCCAAGTTGCCGCGACGGCGATTGTTTGCTGGCGACCGTACTCTGTAATCTGAAGGGGAGAACTGAGAACACCTTAGATAGCGGCTGTGCGTGATACTGGAACCCCTCCCACGCGAGATAGCAATGCGCGACAAAGTCTACGAGACCGACTATCACGTACCAGATGAAGCTCCTGTAGCGGGTTTCAATAGCATCAATCGTTAATCGTAGGCCGGTGGCACTGCCCTCTCCGGGCTCCAATTTGCGCCCGAGCTGTTGCTCAAATATGTCCACGAACCCACTCGCTTGCTCGAGAGCCTGCGCGCTCGCATCCTCCGGTCCTGTATCAAAGAACGCCCACAAGATGAAGTTGCGGACATTGTCCCGTCGGATTTCGGCTTCATCTGCACCAAGAAACCAGAGCCGCACATAGCGATCAAAGTCGGAGACGTGTTCGGTGATGCATTTGTCAAACAGAGCCTTCCTTTCGTCTGAGCTCACTGCTGGTGGATGTCTCGCCTCATTCCGAAGTCGTTTGTTGTATGGTATCCAGATAAAAATGGCATAGAGCACATCAACGACGGAGTAGGCAAAGAGAAGCTGGCTGATGCGCCAGGATAACGCCGGGCGGCCGCCTGCGACCAGAAGTGTAAGGAGTGCGGTGAGACAAAGCGGCGTGGTGTATTGTAGGACGAATATACAGACTCTGATGAATACATACTCGGGAAAAGAAGTGCCGATCATCGTGGCTGGAGTGGTGCTATCGCGAAACGTTGTACGGCGCCCGATGGTCACTGAAGCTGTCTATCGCTTTATCGCTGTATTGATTAAACACTTCCGCGAATTTGGATGCATTGAAGACAAGAACTGCAAATTTCAAATGTGGTGATGTGTTGGATAATTCAGGCCCATTTATGTTTCTATTTTCGTTGACGGGAATGGCAGACGCTCGTAGGTCCGTACCTGCATCCCAACAAAAGCGCCGTCGACTGTTGGCCCAATGCCAATGACGTGTGGACGGATGTCAAACATTGGCAGCAATAACACCACTAGCGCAGACCCTCCAGCGGGCTGGCACTGACTACAAACGCCGTGGCCCGCTAATGTAGGTACCTCCAACAGCCGGAGGATGTTGACGGTAGGATGGCATACGGCGTTTCATTCATGCTGCGTTCATGCGGATATCCCGGTGCAATCATACAGCGCAATAACACCTATCATCCTACCTGTATCATGAATATCGGTTGAGCCAGCGTGTAGCTCCAAAGAGCACTATCTTGCCGGAGCGGTCTTTGCAGTGCCGCCACCTTGAACATGATATGCACGTTTGTAACCAGCTACAAAGCCAGTGGCGGCTTCTGCCAAAGGTAGGGTTACAATTAATGATACGCGACAATGGCACTCTGAAAATCAGTCTCAGGACCCAGATAATAGCCAACTGCTCGGGCTTTTTGGGGTGAGTAATCGACATATACGCGTTTGTTGTAAAGTCCCCAACCTTAGACAAGGTGTTGTTGGTGGATGCCGTGCGCGGCTGTTAGCCACGTATCATACACAGTAGGCATAGTTTAACTGGGCGGACCTGCGCCACTTCGCTGTCCGTCTGGGTAATGTTGGGAGGAGTGCAGCTCTTTTTCATGGCAGTTTAGAGCAATCCTCGCATCGGAGACAACATTAAATGATCGTAGTACTTCTATCAATTCTTGAAAGTATGGCAGAGGTCTGTCGTTGTCGGCAGCCTCGTGCTGCTCCGGCCAGTGGGTGGTCCAATTGGCGCGAGAGTGCTCCTCTCCGCAAACGACGCATAATGTCTAAGTTGGGTTTGTAATATACAATCAGTCCCAAGTTCAGGACTCGTCCGTGTAACCACAGTGGAGAAAATGTCTGCATTGTCTGATGTTATTCTATGAGCAGTCGGGTGCCAATACTCTTCACTGAACACGACAAACGTGCCGATTCCACCAGTCGTCTTCATAAACTTAGTCTCATCAACGATTCAAGGCCTGCTGGGACTGACCAAATCAACACCCCGTCGATATACAGTGCCGCAAAAATGTCGACCCAGTCGTAACACATGCATAGATGCCTCGTGTTGTTAAAGCCTTTTCGCGATGGCCGAAATATCCGAAGCTCTTGCTGGACGCTACATGCCTTGAAGAGGTTTGGAATCGCTCTCGTCTCGTTGGGTGATATGCGGTAACCTTCTGTGGCATCAAGGCCATTCTTGGCGAGAAAGGTGTCGAACACCTCGACGTCTACCATGAATCCTTTTCCCAGCGAAACTGTAGGCATCTCAGTTGTAGTCGATTAAAAATCAAAAGCGCGTATTTAGTAGCTGAACCTGAAACGAAAAGAGCGACTGGACCGATGAGCAAGTAATCTTATTTTGTGAATCATTTTGCTGCTTGTGCTAGGCGGCTGCGGTTACCTATAGACACTACAATAGAGCCCCACACTACAGCGATACAGGGTATTAGGAAACAACTAATAACAGCATCCCCCAGGTGCAGAATGTAGCCGCTTGGGAATATACTTTATGATTGCGTCGAGATTCTCTCAACCTCTTTCTTCAGATCCGCGTTGAACCCTTCCCAGTTCACCAACGTCGATTTGCTACCATTCCATCCAGGCGCCATGAGAAACGCGAAGAGGCCTATGAACACCTCTTTCTGGACAAACGTCGTCCCGCCCGGATTCTTAGTGCTTGGCTTCCAGTGGAACTCATGCTTCCCCGCGAATATTGGCCACAGGTTTCCATTCCACTGAAATGTTTCTGGCGAGTTCTCCTACAGCAAATCAGTCAGAACTCGGGCGCAGATGTTCGTGTGCACGGGGCGTACCACAACGACGGGCGAAAACTTCATGGATCCAAGATTGACGTTGAGCTTGTCTTTCGCGCTCAGGTCTGTGGATTTCGTCCCTAACACTGCAGGCTCAATGTTCCATTTCGTCCACTCCTTGTACTGCGGGAAGTCCATAAACTGCAACCTTTCGTCAACACGAGTTGCACAATTAAACATAAGCTTGTTGACTCACAACGGTTCTGACAGCATCTGGCGAGGCCTGAATCTCGACTTCAGCGGACATGCTTTGCGATTGACCCATGATCGTCGGTGTGCGTTTCAGAGACTGCTTGCAATGTTGATAACACTCAAAAACTCCCAATTCAGAGGTCGTCCATTGTGTTTATATATACTTCTCAACCCATCTTCGATTGATACGGCATAACAAAGACGGGTGGCTATGTTTGTAGAACCGAAGCTCCAGAAGCATAACATCAAGCCGACTGGACGCCACCGCTGAATAATTGGTTTGATGGGGGAGTTGGGAACTCTGATGTTTCCACTTTTCGAGCTGACGAACCCATGGCTTTGGAACCCTCGCTCGCTAAGCATGGAAACTAAACCAAAGACGGTATTTGTACGTCTTGGCACGCAACTCAGAATCACAACCCAAGTCACCTCGCGTAAGCAGTAAATGCCACACGTGTACAGAAGCGCGGTCCTCGCCAACGAGATTTCCCAAATGTCGTCGTGCAGTCCCATGAAGCCGGACGATGCGTCGGAACTCGCCTCTCCGATATTCGTTCAGGTCGCCGACCCGTCTGATAAGTCCTGGCGAAGTGCCGTACGCTCTCGAGCTGCTAGCGCCCGCCATGCTGCAGCACGACGACAACGCCTTCTTAAGCACCAGCGAGAGGTTGAAAAGACCGTGGTTGGTGCCTCCTTGGACAAGTTACAGCTAGTGAGAGGCCCACAAGGCCTGCTCCGTATACGAGCTGTCGAACCATTTGATAGCTTGGCCAGGCCGACCTCGCGCTTTGAGTGCTTCTTGATGGATCATTGTATGCAAACTTGTCGAGCGGTAGGAACCTAAGTTGGCACTTACGCTCATTTCCAGATATCAAGCGCTTTGTCACGTACGCCACCTTCGGCAACGACGCCGAGGTCGAAGTGATGGGTAGCACCGGCACCAATTTGGGATGGGTCCATCTGGGCATCACGGAACCGGGTTTCCTGAACGCCGTATTCTTGTCAACCTGCCGTCACCTCGTTGAACTGGGAGCGCCTGGCGACTATTATACATGGGCCCTCGAGTACAGAGATCGTTGTATTCGCTCAGTCAAGGCAGCGATTTCGCAGGAAATGCTAGCACCGAGCATCGCCACAATCATTACCACCATGGCCCTGGCTTTAGACGCTGTGAGTTCATTCTCCGTCCCCAACATGTATATGTAGCTGAACATGCGGAAGCGCAAATTCGGAAATTTCGAAGTTGCGAAGGATCACTGTCGAGCGATCAGTGTGATGATCCGCTTAAGGAACTCCAGCCAAGCTCCAGGCATGTTGCAGTTGCCAAACCCCATCATCGCTTGGGTAGATACCATTACAAATCGTATTCAGTCACAGCCTGGCAATCCTCCACCGCATATGTTGGCTTTGGAGCATACAGACAAAGTGAGAGGTATCGGGATATGACACTGTTGCAGAGCAAGTCGACTGTCTCACATTCCGCCGTAGAGGCTTTCCTCACAAGAATCAATATGTATGCGAAAACGGAAGTACGAGTGCAAATGAACCATCAGATTATGCTAAATTTTGGCATCAATAAACTGTCATATTAACGTCAACTCGCTTAGTCATTGGATATTTATTTTTTACGACACGATCCAATCGCAGACTCCCAACCTAGAGCCACATCATGCATAAACTTTCCTACCGAGGGACCGATTTATCCAGATCTCACCAAATGCTGTTCCATTGAGCTTGCACAACCATCGCACCACCCACATGCTTACGCGCTCTTACACGCATCACACTAAGCTCGATAGCTGAATTTCCACCAGAAGACACGTGTTCTTCACAGGGTACAAAATCTCAGAATAACAGGAAAGCACAGTCTGTTCATTGCAATTGTCAAGCTGAACAGTACGGTTATTTCTATTTCAGTATGTCTACCACTCCTTATATCAGATCATGCACATGATTGACCAAGCTTAGAACAGCAAGACACCCACAACCACACAGTACCGTCTGCTCGATTCTCCCACAGGTGCCGAGCTCAAGTATCCGATCCTGGTCTTCTGGCCGGGCAATTCCGAGATCAGCACTGGCAACCTTGAAAACCTTGTCATCATCGACAAAAAGAAAAGAAGAAGAAAACGCAACGTTTGAGAGTGAACATATCCGCTTTTCTAACCGGCGGATGAGACCGGACCCAACCGCTAGACGGGCGTTTTTACAGATATACAGGCAGCAATATACTTCGGGCATTTCTCTTCATCGTGTACCCCGTTAGACTCAAACTAGAGAACGGATTTGACCAGAGCCCAACGTCATAGCGACGTACGGGCATCGGCACAACACAGGTCCCAGGAGCTCTATAATTATTCCCAAACGGGTGCCAACCCGTGGTCTGTCACCGCTAGTTCTTCTCTGAAAAGTATTATACGAATATGACTCGTGATTCACCTTCCTGGGATGGTAAAGCCAGGGGAAGTCTTCTCCTCATGGATTACGGCCAGTCCCATTTGCGGTAGGTGAAGCAAGAAGATCCCTCGGCGATGATGTACGTCCTCTCGAAAAAAGCACCGATGTATGGATAACTGAGATTGTTATGAATCGTCGATATTCGTGGCGCTGATGAATGTGGAAAATTATGCCACACAGTCTTGTCCCACATGCATAAATGAGCTAGAAGCATATTTGGCAGTATGAAGGAGATGAAGGCGCCTATGAATGAAGTTGTGGGTGGCCATGAAAAAAAAACAAGAGAGCAGAAACCTGTGTATTCTCTAACATGCGCTTCACGGAATAATGATTTCATATTTACAAGCAAACCCCTCAATTAGAAGGTGAGCCAGCCAGTGCGTGAAGATCCTCGAGCGCATGCGACCAACCAAAACCTATCCCCTCGCTTCCACTCATTTAAGGTTGTTTCGCTGGCACCCTTGTCCGGCAAAGGGTGACATCGCTCTACTTGTTGCATATGCAAGGTCAGCACTACCTCGGCAGGTAGCTTATTCATACCCCTTGTCCTACCGACCGGGACGTGTATATGTTACACGGCATGGAGCAAAAAGTGCGGGCGCCCTTTCTCTCTAAACAGTATGAATCTCTGAGGTCGTTCCTCGTGTCGTAGGCGCAGGCTGTGTGCCTTGATTCTAACCTACACAAAAAGGTTCCCAGGGCCCTGGCGTCCAGTCTGACTTCATCCCTTGGGCGCACTGAAACCCTCACGCACTTTGCGATTGCGACAAGGCAACCGATCCCAAGATATGGCGGCGAGAATATCCATGCTCCTCGTGGGCCTCTCCCTCCTGAGCGCCGCTCACTCGAGCTCAGCACTCGACAAGCGCGTGGCAGCTCTGAACGACTCACTCCACGGCATCCTCCAGCCAGCCCGCCCCGTGTCCCTGCCCTGCTTCTCCTCCTACAACGGCCGACCCAACACGGCCGACGCAGCGGCATGCGCAGTCGTCCGTGGCAACTACACGACGAACGCGTTCCGCGCCGCGCTCCCCGCGGCCTTCATGAACATGCAGAACGAGATGTGCCTCTCGGACCCCACGGACCAGTGCCTGCTAGACACCACGGTCTCGCCTCCGGGCGTGCCCACCGGGGCCGGAAGCGCCGCATGCGGGCAGGGCAGCGTGCCGGACTACTACGCCGAGGTGGCGTGCGCGCGGGACGTGGTCGACGTCTTCGGGTGGGCGGGCGCGTACGGGTTCCCGCTGAGCATCAAGGGCAGCGGGCACGACTACATGACGCGGTCGGGCGTCAAAGCGCTGCCGGGGTTCTCCGGCGTCGAGCTCTGGGTCCGCGGCCTCAGGGGCCTGGAGTTCCACGAGGGGTTTGTGCCGGAGGGTTGCGAAGCCGGCGTCGGGCGCGCCGTCACGGTCGCGGCCGGCGAGAGCACGGGCGATGCGTACGTGTTTGCGGATGCGCACGATGCGACCATCCTCGGGGGTTATTCGCCCACGATTGCGCTGTCGGGCGGTTGGGTGCAGGGAGGTGGTCACTCTCCGCTGTCGCCGGTATATGGGCTGGGTGCGGATCGTGTGGCGGAGTTCAAGATAGTGACGCCCGACGGGGTGCTGAGGACGGCGAACGCGTGTCAAAATGGCGATCTGTTCTGGGCGCTGCGCGGAGGAGGAGGCGGCACTTTTGGGGTCGTTCTGGAGGCGACACATAGAGTCGAGCCGAAGATGCCCATCGCGGTCGCGTCAATAACGATCCCTAGTAACAGCTCCGACGAAACCGTACGAGAGTGGATCAGGCGCCAGGCGCTGGACTCTTACGATTGGGGCCGGCAGGGCTGGGGCGGTCACGTAGCCGGTCTGTATGTCAAGCACTTCAACCCGCTACCGCAGTATGCCAACCTCAGCGATGGCGGAGCTGCAGCACAGGCGACGATGCAGAAGGCCACAGATTTCGCTTTGGCACATGGTGGCACGAGCGTCGTCGAAGTGGTGCCGAACTGGCTGACCGCCTGGAATAAATATGTCGTTCCTACCGCTCTTACCAGCGCCGGCCAAGCCCGGTTCATTAGCAGCCGTCTGGTCCCAACGAGCGCGCTGTCGACAGAAGCGGGAGTCGAAGAAGTCTTGGCCTTCATCAATTCCACATTAGCGCTTGGTGCCGTGGCGAAGAACTTCTACGTCCCCGTGAGCACGCCCTTCGTGGCGGACACAGATATCGGCCGTCCGGCGACCGGGACAAGCGACCCGGGCACCTCTGTTCACCCCGCATGGTATAGCGCGATATGGAGTCTCTCGGCGGGCACCACACTGGGGTGGAACTCGACGTTCGATCAGCGACTACAGGCCATTACAAACCTAACCAAGATCACAAGGGCCTCGGAACAGCTGTTCCCGGATAGTGGTTCGTATCCGAACGAGGCCAACCCGTTCACGCAAGACTGGAAGCGGGCATGGTGGGGCGAAAATTACGATTTGTTGCTCCAGACGAAGAAGAAGTACGACCCAAACAACAGGCTGAGATGCTGGAAATGCGTGGGTTGGGATGAACCAGTGGCGGCGCCGGTTCCCGGGCACATTGGCTCACAATATGATTTTAAATGCCAGTCGGGATTGCAAGTCGAGCTTGACAAAGGGCTTGCCTAGATTTGGGAGTTGTCCAGTAGAAGGGTAAAGTTCAAACTAGTCTAATCTAGGATGGGATCCGCAAGTTTGCGTCCGTCATGTCCCATTACTATATCATGTGTGAGCATTTGGTCACCTAGATGGCTAGGATCACTGCTGGAAGTAAACCACCAATAATGACAACTAGGCCTGGGGATGCCAACGCGGCACCAGCCGTCAATGCTGCAGTTGGAGCTGTGGGAATCACGTTGGTCGCTGTCAACAGGTTCGTCGCCCGCGAAGTCGTTGTTGCACTTCCAGTGACCTGAGATCGGGAAATCGCGGCAGTAGAACTAGGCTGTTCCCCAGTGACGGTACTCTGCGAGGATGCCGACTCCGTCGCTGACCCAGTCGTAGTGAGGGATGACGGCCTCTCTTCCGAAGTGGTCTGAGTTACCGAGCCAAGTGTCCTTGTGGCAGACGTACTCGGGCTCGGCAGTGTCCCCGAGACGCCCGGTCCCGTCCCTTCAAAGTCATCACAAATAAACGCAACAGCCTTATACTCGCCACCCGGCGCTACACACGTGCCATCGGCATCAGGCCCTGGTGGATCGTACAGCGGGCCCGGCTCATACGAGGCGATCAAATCAGCGCATGCCAGATCGCCGTAGACGTTGAACAAGGGGCGCCACCCATCGTCGCAAAACGGCCGCTCATTCAAGATGTAGGACTGAAATATACTGCCGGTACCCGAACCGCTGTTATCCGCTGGAGCGCAGAAGTCGCGACCGACGATGAAGTTGTTGACGAAGACTGCGTCCGTGCAAGCTGTGTCGGAAAAGAGTGTGATGTTTCCGAGCCTGGGGAGCGCTGCGGTGGCGGTGCTCACTAGTGCCAGAACGCCTACACCCGCTGATCGCGGCGGGAACATCATGTATATCTTGCTGTTATTAAGCAAATAGAGCGAGTGGGAAAAAGAGAGAAACAATAACAAGAAAGTAGGAACAAACACAGATATTAAGAGGAGAATGGAATTCGACCCTGAAATTTCCGCCCGAGAAGGGAAGATTCAATCTTAAACCGGACCGGAAAGGGCCTTATTGATGCAGTGCACGATTCAAATTCAGGCAGATCACGGTCCGCTAATCTTATTTAGTGGGGAGTATAAGCACTAGAATAAAAGCACTTAAGGTTAGTTTTGTGTTCACGCTGGGCTCTGAGCGCAAGCACGAACCTTGGAATTAGGCGACAAAGTATGTATACAATTAGATAATAAACTCCGCTGCCGATGATGATCCAAACCCAATGCACCTTGAACCCGTATACCATGCAATGCTTTGCGAAATCACTTTTTACATGAAGCTGTTCTTGATCGTAACAACCGTGGTGTACACCATGCAAACCAATCCCAACACCATCAAAACAAGGTCTCCAATCTTGGCCTTGGTCGTAGTGGCGACTCCCTTGTAGTGCAGGTACGGCGGGTAGATGTACACAAGCGGTACGCAGGCGAAAGATCCGATGAGAGCAACAAATCGGTCGAGGTTGCCAGCACCCAGGATCGAAATACCACCACAAATGAGGACCATCAAGGTTCGGAAACCGTTCTTGGTCCATTTAGTCGTGAGACTCTTTTTGCCCGAGTGGCGTCCAAAAATACCACCTTCGATAATACGGAGGGCGGGGAAGAGCTGCACAGGGTTGCCAACCAGGATTGCTATCGAGTACAGGAACTGCATGGCCTGTACAAATTTGCTGTCCCTCGGATAGTTGTTGATGATTTCTATGTATGTATCTTCTCCGAAGGTTGCATAACATAGCGCTCCAACGCTGGTGAAGATGATCGTGATGATCAGCATGATCAGGCCGAGGAGAGGCTCAAATTTCTCTGGCTTCGCCATCGAAGACTGGATCGGCAGTATCAACCCAATACCTTCAAAGGTGAAGATGGCTGACCCGATCATCATCGTGTAGTGGTCAGGGTTAAACATGACCACAGTCTTGTGGACACCCTCGCTTGCCAGAGTTCCGATGTCGTAGTAGTAGATATAGCCAACTCCGATCATGATAAAAACGTCGGCAAGCAGAGCAGCAGGTCCAAGCTTGGAGATGTTGCGAATCCATGACAATGGAATAAGGACAGCAAGCTGGCATAGAATGATGGTAACAGCCGACACGGGGCTGCCGTTGCCTTGCGTGACAGCCTCCGCGAAAGCCTGCATGTTCTCGGCCACGAAGACGATTCCAGCACAGACGAAGCCCACCTGTGAAAAGGTGATGGAGCCCATGATGAGGTTCCGGGCTCCACGACCTGCAATCGCCTGGCCTATTTCACCATAACCACCTGAATGGCGCTGCTTGCACTGCAGAAGCAGGTGGAAAGCAATCATGGTGACCGATGAAACCAAGACCATGGTGACGGAAGAGAAAACCAACCCGCCGTTGCGGAAAGCCTTGGGAAGGAACATGATTCCAGTACCAATGAAAGCCTTGAGCAATGTGAAGAAGGTCTTGGTAGTACTGGCTGTGGCTGCTCTCGCGACACGGGTGGATTTTCTACGCCCAAGCAACGGCCTCTGCTCGGAAGGACGATTTTCCACATCCTCTTCGTCGCTCTCGATGGCTTCGTCGTCCGAGTCGGCAAGATCCTCTCCGGCGAAGGCACCGTACAAGTCCAAGAACTCGACAAAGTTCCTCGTTACTGGCAACCTCGCCGCCAAGAATTGCTGACCTTGTTGTTGCTGAATGAATGCGCGACGAAATCCACCAGGCGCCATTTGATTGCTGATTGCGAGGCCTTCATCATCTTCGTCTTCTTGGCGGAGCTGTTGCGGGTAGTGGAAGGTGTTGGATCTCTGGTGCAACTTGGCTCGCTCCGCCCTCTGCTGAATCATGAACAGGTCGCGATGAATATCGCCTCCGGGCAATCTGAGAGATGAAATCTCCTCGGGCTCTGCAGAGCTCAACGCCGTTGGAGCCCCGTTTGCCGGAGACTCGGAAGAGCCATCGAATGTGGCTCCATATCCGGTAGGAAGATGCTCAGAAACAACCTGAGCGTCCCTGTGAGTCAATTCTGATTGAGGAGTGTCCGCCATGGTAAATCAGCGGTGTGAACAGAATTCTACCAGCCAAACAGGATGTGACTGTCGGTGATGCTGACAATGATGTTCACGATCTCCCCTGTGGCAAAGTTCCCCGCGAGCAAACCTCCTGAGTAGCCCCTAAAGCAAAGAAATGAACAGCTCTGGCTTAGTTTGAGCAAGAGGTTGAGGTGGACGGGTAACGACTCGTGACCCAGCGGCGTCAACAGAGATTTTCTCGCCAGTGATGCAATCGTGTCGGCGGGGAGTGGAGCACCCAACGGGCCTAACGAGCCTATGCGTGGGCCCTGCCTTTGGCCGTCCAATGCGCTGCTGCGGCATCGCCTCGTGTGACCCAGCTGACCGGGGCCGCCTAAAGCTTCCCCTGAAAGTTGGCAGTTAGTGCTTAAAATGCGGGGTACACCCGCCAGGAACGCCGGAGCAGACTTCAAGGCGACATCATGCAGAAGTCAATCATCCGTCACAGGCTGACAAGTTACTCCAAGTCACATGGGTATGGTTCAAGAGAGATGCCCCTCAAAAACTCAATTCATCCATAGCTATGCATAGCGCCCAAGCGAGCAGGGCCATGATACCCACATACCCCAACAGTCTTATCCAACGACAGCCATCTACCACTGCCTCGGGCGCTGCCTCTTGCACCAGTTGAAATACTACCACGTCCAGCTGATTCGATTCTACCGGCTGCTCTTCCACCTCTGCAAGCGTCTTCTCAGCCGCAACTTGTAGTTCGTCCCTGAGTGCTCGTATCTCGAGGGCTCTGGCTTTGTCATTGACCCTGACGGCGAACTCGTGCGCCCTTTTGATCAAGGCATCATATATCGCCAGCGGGCTTGCACTGGGGGCCAACGACAGCCTAGCCCTCATGTTGCTCAAGTTCTCCGGCGAGTGCATGTCGAAATGGCATACCGAGTTTCGAAGGTCGGCCATTCGAAACATGGCGTTGGTAGTATTCTGTGTACAAGGGTCGAAAGGGTCGAGCCTGAGTCTGGGATCGTTGAACCACCTTTGTAGCTCCCCGACCCCGAGAAGCACGTCGTGTGGCCCTTCCGGGAACCACTCGTCCTTCACTGCCGCGCATCGCTGCACCATGAAGCTGAAGACTGTTCCTTGCGCTGCCTCTAATGCGCGCTGGAGAAGGTCACGCCCAGATCTACTGGGAATATGCGCGCCCCCGGCGGGTCCTATAAGCCACTCGCTGTGATGCAGCTTTGTATAGGCAACTAAGAATTCGACTTCGTGCGGCTCCGGCATTCCTATGTATGAAGAGATGTCCATCTCCAACGGATCTGGGTCCTTTGCTGACGAAAAGGGTGTGATGCTTGAGGCGTTGTCCTCTAATTCTGGAGACGTCTCTTCTACTTCTGGGATAGATAGATCGCCTCCCCACTGTCTGATCCAATCTGGGTCGGGCGCATCATTCTTGATTGGCGTGAACCCGACGTCTTTTTCGAACAGTGCTGATGTACTATCACAATCTGGTCTTGGTTCGCGCATTTTCGAGCTGTGCCTCCTCACTGACGCGCAAGTTGATCGCATATAGCCAGGCGTGGTTTGTAAGCTATTGGGCCATGTATCTCGAGAACTGCAAGTCGCCCATCTCGCTGTATCACTCGTCAAGCAGTGAAGAGACGAATCTTTCTTCATGTGCCTGTGTTGTGACAAAAGTTGTCTAATGGACTTCTGGGCCCGGCCAGTGTACGAGTCTGCCGAAGCAGGAGATGACTCTTTTGTCGTAAGTGAAGAAGAATACATAATTGCCATGTGATGTCTGCTGTATCGAGATGGCTTAAGCGTCGTAGGTGGATATATGGAGTGTACGTATAGAGAGAGATATGGTAAGATGTGTATAAAGACGCGTGGTCATAGATGATGAGGTTGCATGGAAAGGTGAAAACAATTACTGAGGGGGAGAATCATTCATTTATAATGTCTGAATTTAGATTTACAGACTTCGTGGTCTCAACATGGTTTTTCCGAACCAGCTCACAGCGCCCAATACTACGAAGCCAAAATCTTCAAAGTGTGCAGAGCATGCTCAAAGTGTGGTTCTTCTCCGAAGACAGTCCGGCCCAGCTTGAATGAATCATGGTGTAATCCAGTGTGAACAAACCATGGTGCGGCTACAGCCGCCCATAGATTGGGGAGGTTGTTTGCGGATAGAGCCGCTGGCTGAGATTATACTTTGTGATTTCGTGGTGATCCAATGAAATCAACTCCCGCATCTGTATGAAACTCTACTTAGGAAGAACTTGCTCGCCCTGAAGGATGCTCAGCTCCTGCCACCAGCCAGGCAACCTACAAAATTGGTAATAAAGTTGGAGATTTACCAGTACAACCATCAACAGAAAGACTTAAACCAGGAACATCTTCATCAGAAATCTCGCGTCAAATAGTGAAAAAAGCCATCAGATAAGCACCACGTGGTTTGCAAGGTATTTTCCGTGGAAAAATCTCATCAGTCGAGCATCAACGGTTTTGCTAGAAGCACTCCGTGTGTGTGAAAGACAGTATTGAAATAGGTGAAACAGGTAGATCCAAGTCTTTCGCCGAGGTTTGTTGCCGGCTTCCCAGCTTCTGCGAGTCAAATATTTCTGGACTATGCTTCTCAGATTGTTGGGTCATGGGCGTCTTGTGGGAAACAAATGACGGGCTGTTATTCCAATATGATCCTCAGACCTTCGGCGTTCGACCTCAATGTTAAGGTATTGAAACACACGAATGGAGCTTCAATCGATTGTTCAAACCCGAGTAGCAAGAAGTGAATACTCAGCCTTGTTGTTGCTATCAGATTCATTTGTAAAGCTCATTTTGGCATTACAGTCATTGGAGGAGGTGCTCTATATGAGCTTTCAACAGCTATTCCTGTGATGAAAGCCAAAGAGAGAGTCATACACAGCTTGAATGTTTGAATTTGTCAAAGTTCTGTCATCATCTAACTCGTATATTCTAGGCATGTGCTTCGACGATATTACTGCGAATCTGTTCCGTTTTGTGATGTGATTTGCGTAATAATTTTGTTTGGATTAGCTTACTGTTGGTTGGTCGCAGTATTGATTAGACATAAACATGATAGTTGTCAGTTGCACTATTACATCAATGCATCCTTGGTCTTTACAGACGTCGTTGTATTTATGTCGAGCTACGAAGCTAAGAAATATAGATGAAATTAGGGTTAACAGTCGGGCAAATTTTGTATTTGAATATTTGACACTCCGGCTCGTGCCCTGGTGTAGTTGTGCCCCGAATCTGATACATATATACCGCCTGCGCAGTATAAAAGCTCCAAACTTAATCTGATAGCGTTAATCCTGTGCTGCTGCACCCGTTCCCCCACTTGTCCACCGGATGTAGGTAACAACCTCCTTCCCACGGCTCATAGTTTAGAACAAATGTCTTGCAGTAAAGGAGATCTGAGACTGTCTGCAATGGTACAAGAAAAAAGGGGGTCCAATAAAGCGAAAACTGCCTGCCTGGAGACTTGAGCAATAACACGCATATATCCTACATTTAATTAATGTTCAATGATCGTTTTACCATCACATACACATGATCTGGCACACATGCAAGACTTTCATTCAATCTGCCGTTACATTCTGTCCAAAACAGCCGTCCCATTTTGTTTCGCGAATATGCTACTGGTTTGTGTCAAAATATTCAGGCATATGGATTGTCAAAGCTTTCGCCGATTAGCCATTTCCATCGTGTAATTTTTCAGCAGAAACTTCCCCATGGCTCAACAAACTTGATTCTTTTCTAAGCAGCGTTGATCTGGCTGGAACTGCGGCGGATACTTTGGAGGGTAAATAAAAACAAAAGACATCTACGGTACTCGATCTCGTGTGCGAGGATTTGAAGGTCTGCCTTGGGCAGGACAGTATCGACACCGTACCGATTAATGAGACCGCAATCAAAGAGAACTGGTAATACTACCCGTAAAAAAACCTTGCCATTACCTGTAGTCTAACTTTCAAAGATCCCGAGCTTGTGTGGTCGACTCATACTGTATTGTACGGTCGGAGAGTGCAGACGATATGTTTGAAACTGCCAAGACTTTTTAGTTTTTGAGGTTAAGTTTGTTATGACGTAGTGGAGCCCATTCTCCGAGCCCTGGTTTCTCTGGTGTCGAAAAGGAGGGAGCTATCTTTGATCTTCGGACTTTGTTGACTGCAGAGCTGCTGATGGTTACGCAGACACGAATACCGCGTTGCCAGCTCTCGCATTGATGCCCGGCTGTGCAAGAACTTTTAGGCCTTCTGGCGACAGAGAGCCCTTGCTGTACAGACGACGACAGACATTGATGATACTTTCGTGATTCAACCAATTCCAAAGAACTTGGCCGAGCAAATACTTACCAAATGTGGCAACCCGATGGGGATTCCTGTTGAGGACCATTCATGTAGACCAAGCCAACTGCGCCATTAACTTACATAGGGTGAACGACCTTGATCAATTGGGTGGATGCGAAAGACGATGATACAGTGCTAGCTGTTTCTATTGAAACAACGAAAGAGTGGGAAACGCTTCGCCGCGAACATGGCCTGTACCTCCTCTACCTGTGTATGAACGATGCCTCGAGGGACCAGAACCCGCTAAAAAGGTACGGTACAGATACCATTGACAAGCTCAAGATTACATCGGACAAGTATGATAAGAGCTAGTTGTTTCAAAGGCTGCAGAACAGTAGGTTCTTGCTGTCTAAAGTTTAGACCAGTAATCCCACCTAGTATGTACTTGCAATGCTAGTGATTGGATACGAACGTCAATTTGAGGTCTACCTTACTACAGCAAATTGGTAGTGTGTTTGATATTAACCTGTGATAAGATGCAGGTATTGTGCTTCCAATCGAGCTTTTGACCATGGCATGTCAGATTAAATCACATCTTGGAATATTAGACGATGTGCTCGCTCCACCACAACGAGGACTACTTCCCCGAGCGTTTTACTCCCCGGAAGGAACGTTGGATCGTCGGCGATCACTAGCTGTCGACGTTACATAGCTCATTTGCAACCTTGTTGATCGGGGCGCGGAGATGTGCCGGAAACCCCATGGCTCATCTGGAGTCCAGTCTGGTGGCGGCCAAGACCCTCTGGTACTTTGACCTCGAGGCAGTGCCAGGTGGCGTGACTGGTGTCGGTATATTAGACAGAAAAGACGGGAGAGGACACTTGAAAGAATATCAGCGTCGTGGTGTCTTTAGTGCAGCCTACGACGGACCGTTTGTAGTATTCAGCTTGCGGGGTGATACTTGCCAGGAGTATGAAGTCAATATGAAACCGATCGCGTAGAGGGACTTGCAACCTCGACATTTTTCCTTTGAAACGCTTAAACAAGGATGCCCTCGTTCTAATTGTAGGCAGAGAAATAGAAGTACCTATGTTTGCAATAGGTTCACTTGTGTCCTTCCCTATGATGCAGCTTCAATATTCCAGTGCCTTCGCCAAGCCATAGATGCTGATGACTACATGTCAGCCCCGACGATACAGAAGCATGGAGTAGCCGATATCGCAACAGGTTGTCTCTAGGCTTGGTAGCCCATAAACGATAAGCGTCTTTTTGTCGAAGCCCTTCAAAGATCTGCCTGGATGTAAAAAAATATCGACAACGCAATAAAAAGTGTTGTTGCAAATTGTTGTACACGAGTTGAATTGTCTTAACCAAGCTTAGAAAATACCGTCAGCACTTACCTGAAAGAAATGCAATACACTTGGCAAGGGCTTGTCCGATGATGCAACTCAATTGGCGACTCCAAATAGCCCGTGTTACCGTTGCACCCGGCTAGACTCATCGCTGCTCCAGCTTTCAGCTCCCCTCGGGTGTCGATCCGATCCCTAGAAAGCGAGACAGCTTTTCCGAGCCGTGTATTGTTCAAATTATTGAAGAAGCAGCGACTCCCCTCATACATCTCAGTTGAAATGTATGCTCGGTTGTCACGCCCGAGTATTGCAATTTGGCAGACGCGTATGCAGCACTCAGCTCATCTCGAACACGTCGCTTCAGGCGGGGCTTGCATTTACTAAAGATTATTGGCTGGAACAGTAGCTTTCGGGGAACGGAATGTTATTCGGGATTCTTGTTGACAACATATTACTCTTTAATTTCGATACCTGATGTACGAGTGTCTTATCTAATTGCGGCACGATGGAGAAGTCACTGGAAATGAGAGAACACATGGTCGGCGGCCAAGGCGGCGATTCTGTCATGGAGCGGTCGCTACTACTACCTCTTGACAGCTGAGAAGCAGTCCTGACGATGCTACGCGCACTCGTAACTGCAGGTCTAGGCTGCTTGGAGACAATCTTCCTCCTCTTTGTCTCGCAGGAGGCGGGCTTAGACTGAACTTCACCATTTCCTTTTCTAGCGACATACTTGACCGCCGAGTTCTTGTTCGTGGCTAAATGGGATGGTGATTCGCTCAGGTTCGTCTCGCAAGTCACAACAGATGCAGAAGCATATGCTTGTGAGCTGGCTATCAGCATTTCAGCTGCCGTCTTCGCCAGCAACATTCCCGTTTCGACGCTGCAGGTCAAGGAGACATTAAGAAACCGCAGATCACAACTGCGAGAGGCAATCCGAGCTCCATGGTCCCCGACACTCTCGTCACTGCAACCTCTGCCCAAACAAGTTGACCGCGTGGTAGAGAATGCATTGGTTGACTGGTTGATTCACAGCCGAGTGAAACCTTTCAGTCGCCCATTTGTGCTCCGAGCCAATCTCAAACGGCCTGTTGACTTTGTGATTTCATCCACAACGCACATCAAGCGAATTTCCCGGGGTTTGAGAAAGGAGCTGGCACTCAATTGCATATGGGAAGCACACCAAGTGTGGTTTCCTGATGCGGGGAGAGTTGCTTTTGATCGGAATATGTGTCAGAAATCTTACACTGTTCATTCGGTCGTATTTCTGTCCTATTTAGGGGAAGGAGGCTGGAAAGGAAAAGTATAAATAAGTGTCATCTGGATATCCATCAATCGCTTTGAACCTCACCCACTACATATTTCATCATAACCGACTACCACCCTTGCAAGTTTTTGAAACCACTGCGCTTTATCATTCATCATTGACAAAATCTCCTCATACTAGCTTCCTTCTCTTCTCGTTTTTGATAAACCTTGACCAAATGCCCTTTTTGCAGCACGAAACTCCAAAAACGGTCATGATGGGTCCTACAGCATATACGGAGCAAAAGGCAGCAGTCAATGGCAATAGCGACCCTGTTCCAAGCCCACAGTCCAATGGAGCGGCCGCTGAGCTCGGGATGAACAGTCTGATATCGACTGCCGCCCAGAATGCGGTCGATTTCTCCGTTCCGATGTGGGACCTTTCTCCTGACGATTCCCTCAAGGGGCACAGGCCCGGTACTGGACTTGAAAATTCTTTTTGGCTGAAGACTGACACTGATGGCCATCCAACTGGCCTCAAGACCTCCGTCATTGGTACAGATGAAAGACAAGAAGTGAACCCAGCAGACTTTGCGCCCGATGGCAAATACCGATGTAAGTCCTACATATCCTCCAACCTGGTCTAATTGTCTACAGAGTAGGCTTGCTGATTTATGCATGTTAATATAGCTGTCGTTAAGCTCTCCTTGATCTTCAAGAGGAACGGAGCTGATGCCAAGATGATGGGCACTGGATGGCTGGTGGCGCCTGACCTGGTTGTGACTGCTGGGCACTGCGTTTATGACAAGGCCTACCGGATGGGTCAAGTCAAGCAGATTGTTGCATATCTCGGCTATCAGGGAGTAGATTCACTCATGCCTCAAGGCCGGCAGAGATCAAATGTGGAAACTAGCTATGGCAAAGTCGTGGCTACCACCCCCGGCTGGATAGCTGACTTAGGCAGACAGTACGATATCGCCTGGATCAAGCTCAACCGGCCTTTCCAGAACTACGGCAAACTTATCCAATGGGACAAGACACCATTTCAAGGCAAGGGTGCTACCATTGGTGTAGTTGGGTATCCCGGAGACAAGAGCTACAATGGGGAGTACGGGGCGAAGATGTACGAATGCTGGATGCCAACAGACTGGGACCTTACGAGGAGCAAGATGCTCGAGTATAAGGTTGATACAGCTGGTGGTAGGTGCCGAGAATGGCTCCGTGACCAGCCATCCTCTTCTCGCCATAAATGCAAATAAGCCTGCTAACATACATAAAACAGGCCAATCTGGTTCACCTGTTTTCTACAGCTTGAATGCAGCCAACATCAATAAGGATACCTACTCTCCGTACCCCGGAATCAAAGATCTCGCAGCCACGTCCATTGCTGTTCATACCTACGGCGGTGCTATCAACGCTGGCACACCGCTCGGCCCCTTCGGAAACCCAATGATTCGTTACCTCGCCGTCTTGGAAAAGAACACGACGAAGTTGAACAAAGAGATACGATATGTTCTCGAGTCCGGTGCAACTGAAGCCGGCCTTGAAACGCCGTTCGTGAATGGCTTCGATCCTGTGGTCAAGTTCAAAGATGGGGCCCTAGATATCAGTGTCCCTTTTGCGAATGAAGAATTTGGCTTTGGCGACATTCTCAATATCGGCACGAAGGTGCTTGGAAGCTTCTTTGAAAGCGCCTTTGAGGACGATGACACGAGCGATGCTGCCGCCGTTGAGGGTTTCCTCGATTTTCTTGCAAAGGCGGCCAAGACAGCCACCTCTGTAGGTCTTCCCATGCTCCTAGGTCCAGCTGGTGTGCCTGTGAGCATGGTTGCCAACGCAGCCATCACAAGCTTGGCCAAGTCCCTTGATAAGAGCCGTGCGGGTGCTGAAGCGGAAGTGATCGACGACGAGGCTGTGAAAAAACAGCTCTACAGAGCCGCATTGGCTGATGCAGTTTTTGACTCGTGCTGCAAGCACCACAAGGTACTCAGCGAAGAGGGAATCTTCGACTTCGTCAAGAAGTGGGTGCCCATTGGGGTCAAGGTTGCCACCACCGTTAGCTCTGCATTCGGCGAGTTTGCTGAACAGGCAAGCTCAGACGCCTCGTATAAAGTGAATGGAGAGGGCCATTGGGAAGAAGGAATTCGTTGGCCATGGAAGCCTGTGCAGACCACATGGACCTGGGACGACCAGCCCGTTGATCCCAAGGGAGGAAATGTGAAGTCAGCAATCGCTGCGCTGACTGGCAACTATGCAGCTGAGGGAGAGTATGCTGAGTTCACCAAGCTTATGAACAGTGATACAGAATGTTGGCCAGGTGTCAATTGGGCCAAGATTCCAAGAGACGCGTTCAAAACGAGCCAGCAGTTCCTTAGCTCAAATGTCGGGTCCTACCAGCTGCGGTCAGGGTCTACGGTACTCACAAACGACATGCAAATCACACACACGATGCGAGCCCTGACCGGAGAGATGCTACTGAGCGCCATCGAAGCAGCCGATCCGGCCCAGATACAAGCTATCAACAGTGAGGGCTTCTTTAGCGACACAAACCAGGCTCTCAAGAAGATCCTTGGTAAGCTTGGTGACAGCCTCGTCACATATGGGCCCGAAATTCTAGACGCTATCAACAAGATCGTTCAAAAGCATATTAGCAGCGCTGCCGTGGCCACCACTGCTGGGGCGGCGGCCACTACCAATATTCCGTCCCAAACGAGCAAGGCCGCTTCCGAGACCACGAACAACTCGGATGTGATCTGATCTACTGGCAGGATTCTCTTGTTCCAACAGCACCCAACCACATCCACTCAGTGGAAGCTGCCGATCAATGGGCATTAAATGCGGAAATAACTGTGATTTATGATCCGAGGAACCATGAACTTTTTCTTTTTTCCTTTGTCTATTCGCTTTCCTTCCTTGCTACTGGTGCCTTCCCATATCACTCCTTGTTAGCACAGATTGTCACTACACTTCCGTGTTGGATGCACCTTTTCGCTCTTTTAATCCTCATGTCATTGCTAGTACTTAGCTATCACGTTCTTTTTCTAACAAAATCAAATAAAAGACTTTTCTGTGTCAAGCACTTCTGTTCCTATGAGCGAGCAACTTGTGTAGTCATCCCTTTTGACTAGACTTAACCATACAAAAGACGGTGCTTGCCTTCAATCTCAAACATACCCGTCGGGCTGATTTAGACAGAGCCGAGATGTACCCTTCGCCCATTGCTGTGCTCCACTGCTGAATTTTGGACAGCAAGGGAAACATAGGAGCTATGTGGCAACCAAGGATACATGTGTACGCTTGTTGGTACTATTGTCGGAATTTGTGCGTTTGTAGGTCACTCCAAACCTCTTATAACATGCATATATATAGACCCACGTGTCCTTAGTAATTTGTGCCAACCTCATTGCGGCCAGTATTTCTCCGACTACAGTATCAATCAATTTTTTGTGTTAGGCGATGTTTCCGATTAGTGGGTGAGTCAACGACGACACTCTAAAGAACTCTGACATTTGTTCTAACTTGTAGCGGAACGAAATTTCCGGCCATACATATGCAATGGCGATCATTTCGTTGCCCGGTCCGCCCCGCATGAGAATTAGCGAGCACTCACCAATCAAAACTCCAATGCTGTCACACCTTTTTCCCTGGGGTAGCATTTGTCTCGGCGACGTAGAGAGTAGGCGCGGATAACCAATAGCAGTAATTGGGCGTCCGGGGCGGCGCCCTTGCGAGCTTGGTCAGCTCTCAAATGAGATCACTGCAGTGGCATTTAAGTTAATCCCTTGCTCCGCAATTTCCCAAACGTCTCATAATCCCGCGGAAGGAATGAATCTGTGTAACCGTAGATATTTCTCGGTAATAAATGCTCCAACTTCGAGTCGATTGAAAAATGGGTTTCAAGCCATTAGAGTGAACATCAGCTCGAGCCCTAAATTATTGGGGGAGACGTTCGGGTATACTACATTTATATCTTGAAAGCCCAAACCGGAGGCGAAGTCGAGAAAATAGTCCCCTCCCCCATTCAATGTCGGGTGCAATGTCAGGCACATTGACTAATATATAAATGAGGTCATGCTGCAATTCGCGGCTTCAGCCGTTAACCCTCCAGTTGGCCTCTTGTCTCCTTGCTTCTTTTGATCCTTTTCGAGTGCATCGTAGGTTGCTTGATTTTCATGTACTTCAATGTTGCCTGTTGCTTACACGAGCCCTGCTGCCGTTATAAAGAGGTGGAGACGCCCACACATTCAGCACGTTCAGGGACGAATTGCATCAGACCAATCCCTCCAAGTTTACATGGGGCGATACAACTCAAGCTGGTACAAGCCAAGGACAGAAAGGCTTAGCATATATGCTGTACATAAGGATGGGAATATAAGGTTATAATCATTCTGATACATGCAATGTAACACACCCAATGATTTCTCCTCATGCTCATCTCCGTCCCGGTGCAAACTTCTTGTCGTTATGAGTCTTTATTGATGCCTTACTGTGGTAAGCATGCCTTTGGGAATCTGAAGATCAGCTATCCTGCTTAAACCATGGTTTGAATAAAATTTCGTGGCACAAACACAGCATTGATTGATCCCATTCGAGAAGGACAAACTGCCTCAAAAACTGGTATGAAATGCAAATCAATTGCGTGATAACCAAAAGCCTACGGCTGACCCTTTGCGACTGGATATAATCCAATTCATCATTCATATACAGGCGCAGGGGCAGATGCCAAAGGCTAGATAGACTCACACCTAGCAGTAAGAGCTTTGTTCGAATGTTTCAGGCATGCTTCAAATAGTATATATATATATCTAATTAAGTCAATACTAGAAACAAGGTACGTCAAAACTTTTCTTCGCTGTAACTCGAGTGTGACTCAGGGCTCCATCAGCCCCGAGTTCTGTGGCCAAAGATGCTGATTATGGTGCTGTCAACTAGCTAACTCATGACCATCCGCGCTCAAGGTAGTTGAACGCAAAATTTCATCATCGTGATCACGTTGTCTGCCACCATGGATAGCGCCTCCAGCCCATGGCTTAGCACCTCCTTCAGCTGGTCTGCTCAGACGGGCAAGCGGCAGCTCGGAATTCTCATGCATCTTGCGATAAGCTCCAGGTTCCATGCCAGCATTCTGTCCTGATGTATTGCTGCCAACGGATCGGTTGCGAGAGAAAATGCGGGACCATGACCTCAAAGTTTCAGCAATTTGCATGGTAGCCCGTGTTTTGGTGAAGACCTTCAGTATGGCAGGAGAACTGAAAACTAGAAAGGTGCAGGTCATTTCTGCCAGAACGCACAGTGTTGGAGCAGCCGCATCGTAAGTCCTGTCCTGACTTCCAAACAAAGTCCGTCCGGTGATGACCCGTCCCAACGCAGCAGCGCATGCCCTGTAACGAACAACACTGGTCAGTAACCTTTGAAACCTCGGTAGCCGCAGCGGAGGTTGTCGATTGCTTACCCGAGACCGATAGTAAAGACCAAAGATACACCTATCTTCTTCTTGGAAGGCATATTCAACGTCCAGATAGTACGCTGGGGCAAAAACAAGATCAATATATCCAGAGCAAGATTGATGCATGCCGAGGAAAAGTCAAAGTGCCGTCTTGTTTCTGCACCAAAACAGACACCAGGTGTCATCAGATACCAAGACTTCTGTACCGGTCTGCATGTCAGGTTTATGATGAATATTGCAACAACATAGAATGCTGCGTTGACGGACAGTATCGATAGACATGTCCAGAAGAAAAAGTTACGCGTGCCCTTGGGAACGAAGATGCGCATCCATTCCAGTATAATGGCCGTTTTAGCAAATAACATGGTGAAGGCGTAGAAATCCGGAATCAAGAAATAAACCTGGAGAGGGTGAGCTTGACATGTACGACGCAAGATGCTGAGAGCTTGGGGAGTGAAGTCACCCACGTAAAGTACGTTCTGAAACACCCCAAAGGTAACATCCCACTGATGGACAAAGAAGCCACCTAGATGAACAGCGTGGAGGATACTCCAGATTGCCCCAACGTATGTTCCCTAGTAACGCCAACGTCAGTGTTATGATCATGACGCTACAACGCGCGCGATGCATACAAATGCTATGAGACCCAGCACTAGGGTAAAAATGAACCGTCAGAAATGCTTTCGCGGGCGACACTGGTTAAAGTGCTTACCATCTTCAATATTGACCTTTTTCGAGACGCACAACTTCGAATAGGCCCGCAAAAGCACCATCACGGCCGCGAGGGCCACACACATGGTAGTAACACCGATAACCGTGGCATTATGGTTTGGGGGGTCGACGAAGTTCGACTTGACTCCAGCCGGTGGTGCTAGAGCGGGACCATTGAGGAAAGCGTCTTGTTGCGCGGGTGTGAGAGAGTTCCAACGATCTGGGTCCATCTTATTCGAAGTTCGAATATGTTGAACAATTTGCTATTGTTGTCTTGGCTTCCGCACCAAGACCCGACCGGATAAGCTCGATGTACTGGGTGTGCTGGTGACAGCAAACTAGAACTTCGAGAAAAACCCGGGTGTATTTTGGTTCTTTCACTCTTTTCATATATATTGGGACACGAGCGCTTGATGTTGCGAGGGGGGGCATTGAGTTACTCTAAGCCTCACCTGATCTGCAAGTTCGAAGGAATATCACTATTTCAGAACAGGCAGGGCTGGGAGCATGTGTTGCATTGACGGATTGCCCACTGCACTGCTAGCTAGGCAAGCCAATCATGCTGTCGAATTGTTGTGCCAGATGTCTGCACCGATGTATATGTGGCTCGAATCTTGCATGGGTGGATTTTGGAAGGATGCCGCCCATGGGAGCTGACGTGAGCCAGCCTTTCTTCAGTGGATTAGGTAGCTGGAGCGATGCATTACAACACAGTGCCGGGATGCCATGCAGCATGCAGTCATGCGTAGTGCAACACCCCGAAGCCGAGGGTTTTGCCGCTCAACGAAAGACTCGTTCTTTTGTGCGCATCCATACAACTTGCAGTAGAGACGCTGAAAGATGATATGATTGCGCGGAGGAGCAATTTGCATGCAGCATGTCTCCCCTGTCTCCCAAGATACCGCCTTTCCCCACCCCCTGCCCCTGGCTCAATCCCTCCCTCCAACGACAGTGGAAAGTGATTGCGATTGGAGGGAACCACCAGCCACTAACACCAACACCAACACATTGCCGATCTATGGGAGTCGCCTACAGTCAACGAGCCAATTTGTACTACAGCAGTCTGTAGGCTGCCTTGGCATACAGCTGAAAATGTCAGCGATACTCCGAGACATCCCTTGCTTCGCTACCATCTTTGTCAGAAAAGACTTTGTACAAATCTCCCACCGATGAAAGGTCTTTTTTTTTCCGCGCTTCTGTAATTATTCTCAGTTTTCCCAGGTCTGCCACACAAGATGGGAAATCTCAGCGCACTCGCTGTCGTCATCGGATACATTAGCTGTGTCTTGATTCCTTACGTAAGTCGTCCGTGAGGCTGACCTGTTGTTCCTGACCAAAACTATCAGTGTATCTTCAAGGCCAGCTATAACCTTATTTCGCACCCCCTGAAGAGTTACCCTGGCCCGCTGCTGGCCAGGATCTCTGATTCCTATGCCGGCTATTATGTTCTACGAAGGTGCCTCCATTTGGCCACATGGGAAGATCACAGACGATACGGTAACAAATAGCTTAGCCTCAAGCCTTGCGTATGGCCAATGATGCTAATACGATTGTTGCCGATACCAGGGAGTGTTATGCGTTATGGACCTGATCGATTGATATTTAATAGTGCTACAGCGCTTCGTGGTGAGTACAGCGTCGCGCTTCCGTAGGCGGTGGTAGTCCTGATCACTAAGGTAGACATCTACCAAAACCCCAAAGTCACTAAATCACATCTATACCTGTTTTCCCTCAACGATGGTGTCCCTTTTATCTTCAATTCCCTTGACAGCAATGCGCACCTTCGCAAACGCAAGATCATCGGTCCAGCGCTATCAGAGCGGTCCATGCGACTATTTGAACCTACACTGGCGGAGCAGATTGATATCTTTCTAAAACAGCTCTTTGCTGCCCATTCGACTCCTGTAAACCTAACGGAGCGTTGTAGGCGACTTGCTATGGATGTCGTTGCTCAGTTGGCCTTCGGCTTTCCCCTTGACCTGCAGGTAAACGATGAACACTATTGCGTCGTGAGCGGGTTTTCCATTGCAAATTTCCGCATTAATTCCTACATGAACTTTCCATTCTTGTCAAAGCTTGGGCTTGATGCTTTATTTAAAAGGAGCCCACTACGAAAAAAGCTGCGCAGCGTGGTCCAGAGAATGATCACAACACGTCTTGCGCAGGATGCAAAAGGGAAAAACGACTTCTATTCCTTCGTCATGGAAGATCTGGAAACCAAGTCCGCCGATTTTCAACAGAGTGAGCTCTTTACAGAAAGTCTTTTTTTCATCTCAGCTGGTACGTGCATTAACCAATGCCCAAGGTGTGTTTCCAGAGGTGCTGACTGGTGGAAACCACAAAATAGGCGGTGACACTGTGTCAACTGCTATGGCCTCCTTATTCTTCTATCTATCGAGAAACCAGGACTGTTACGATAGACTGTCCAGGGAAATTCGTACAACATTCAAGTCGAGCCGAGATATTCACGGTGGTCCGCAACTTGCGCAATGTCGATACCTACGTGCGTGCATCGATGAGGCATTGCGAATGTCGCCCCCAATAGGTGGTACGTTGTGGCGTCAACAGGCAGATCAGAATAATGAGGAACAGTTGGTGGTCGATGGCCACGTCATTCCCAAGGGCACTCACGTCGGCGTCAATATCTATTCAATCCACCACAACGAGGAGTACTTCCCTGAGCCCTTCAAGTTCAAGCCAGAGCGTTGGCTACACAGCGAGGATGAACATGCTTCATGGAAAGCCGAATCTGCCGCCTCATCAGCTACACAGAGAGCGTTTACTCCGTTTTCAGTCGGTGCGCGATCGTGTGCCGGAAAGCCGATGGCATATCTCGAATCGAGTCTCCTCGTAGCCAAAACGCTATGGTATTTTGATTTTGAGAAATGCGGTGGGAGCCTTGGCGAAATCGGTTCTGGGCGGGAAGGTGCGCATGGCGGCAGAGGACGAACCGGCGAGTTCCAGCTCTACGACGTTATCACATCCCGGCATGATGGGCCATACTTGAGGTTCATGCCACGGGGAAACTACTGCGAAGACCTTCGGTGATCATCTTTGTTCTTTTGAGCGAGCTTGGTCAGACCTGGAGACTGAGTCGAGAGCCGTTGTAAATTCCCCACAGGGTGATCTTTACGCTTGACTTTGTGATCCAATAGCGTTAAGACCCTGTCGATGCGGGATGAAAATCAAGTCTAGTTTTTAGCATGTGACTGTGGTGGAAAATCGGCATCGGCGCGCCGAGAGAAGGGGTAAGCATCTCGGATGTGATTTCGGTTGAAAGTCCGAGAGTTATTCATGAATCCGGGTCCTCATAGATACTTTGCGGTTGGGCCACTTGGCCTCTACACTAGACAATGGGCCCCCACGGCGCACTACGCAGATGGATGTTTCCAACCCCGGACCCTAATACAACCTGCAATTGCCTTCAGGCGGTTCTTTAATCCCTTCATGTTCCGATCAAACGTATGAGGCAAAATCGTTCGCTACCATCGATTTGATACTATTTCAATTCTGCCTCGCATACGCGGTAATACCGCCAGCGTGGCATAATATTGATGTGCGACTCCACAGCCGCATGTGCATGTACCGAACAGTGTGAATGATGCGATCTGCCCCGCCTATGCCACGGCTTACTTGATCGTAGGCCTTACAGTTGTTGGGCACACAGAGAACTCGATGTTACATTTCTATTCTTGTTTTCCGCCGTCGAGCTAAAATAGGATAAGGCCATGATTGACTTTTGAAACGCTTTTCGGTGATTGTCCTACCTGTGATCTCACTGGGCGTTTCACGCAACCAAACAGAACCAAGGGTGCATTCGAAGTGGATAGCAATGATGCGGGAAATCTTCGATCTCCGTCAACTCAGAGGACATCCTGTACTGTTCGCAATCTAGACGATCGATGCGTCTCAGCATATTATGAACGTGGCTATAACGTCGCCAGCCTTGCGCGTAGGGTTAAGTCAAAAGGACTTGCACCAGCAGAGCTGCTGATCTATTCGCTTCACCCCTCAAGACATAGTTAAATTGAGCGTCCACGAACACCCGGGCGAAATTGCAGGCCGATCTTGACTTTGATGCTAAATGTCGAACATGGATCCTCAAGCAGTCATCGGGTTTTCCTTCAGACTTCCACAAGGTATTACAGATGATGCGACTCTGTGGGATGCCCTCCTATCTCGACGGAATCTGGCTACAGAGTGGCCCGCGGACAGGGCGCAAATTGAGTCTTTCTACGATGGGAAGCAAGAGATGCCAAATCGGGTAACCACGCGATAGTCACTTCCATTGTCCCTCGTTATACTGACATGTTTTACAGCTTCCCACACGCTTAGGCCATTTCCTAAGTCAGGATATAGCTGCATTTGATGCACCCTTCTTCTCCATTACATCCCAAGAAGCCGTGGCCATGGATCCGCAACAACGATGGATTTTGGAGACTACATATCACGCATTTGAGAATGGTAAGTATTATATTTACCCAGATGGTGTTGGAATTCAGACATTATAGCTGATAAATGCAAAGCCGGCCTTTCAATGGAAAGCCTCCAGGGATCTCGGACGGGTGTTTTCGCTGGCTCGATGGCCGATGACTTCACAAGACTACTCGCCAAGGATCCTGACACCATGCCGCGCACTGCAATCACGGGGACATCACCATCGCTCTTGGCAAACAAAGTCAGTTGGTTCTACAACCTTACTGGCCCAAGTATGCATGTCGACTCAGCTTGCTCTAGCAGTCTTACGGCTTTAGACCTTGCGTGTCAAGCTCTACGCAATGGTAGTGCGTCACAGGTTCGTAAATCAATTTCAAGAGGATCTCTTCAAAAGCTCACATTTATTGCCAAGGCTGTAGTGATTGGATCCAGTGTCATGCTAAGCCCGGAAAGCTCTACTCTTTTATCCAACATGTCGTTCTTGTCCCCCGACGGTGTTTCATACAGCTTTGACCATCGCGCCAATGGATATGCTAGAGGGGAAGGTATCATTGCCATGATCATTAAACCAGTAACGAATGCGGTCGAAGATGGAGATGTTATTCGAGCTGTAATCCGTGCAACGCTTTCTAATCAGGATGGTCGCACCCCGGGTCTTACGCAACCCAGCTCCGATTCCCAGGAAAAATTGATTCGTGAAGTATATCGCCGAGCAGATCTGAAATTCGACTCCACTCGTTATGTCGAGGCTCACGGTCAGTAGCTAACGCGTCGCTCCGTCAGTGATTAAACCTGGAAGAAACTTATAAGAAATCTTAGGAACCGGAACTCCCATTGGTGATCCGACTGAAATGGAAGCAATCAGAAAGGTCTTCGGAGCCTATCGTTCTGCCAAGTCTCCACTTTATGTGTAAGCCATCGAAATCTATAACGTACCTTGATATCTGAATCGAGAAACTTACATCCTGTTGAGGGGCTCCGTGAAACCAAACATAGGCCATTTGGAGGGAGGGAGTGGCCTTGCGGGAATAATAAAGTCAATATTGGTACTTGAAAAGGGAATTATACCGCCTAACGCTCTTTTTGAGTATTCCAATCCAAATATCGATTGCGACTCTGCATCTCTAATAGTATGTCTTGCTCCGCCCAATGCCATACGATCTCTCCGATACTGACTTGAAAAGGTACCAGATACGAGTGTGAGTTGGCCGTCGAACAGCCTCCGCCGTGTCTCTGTGAACTCATTCGGCTTTGGCGGATCGAATTGCCATATCATCCTCGATGACTCGTACCATTACCTGCTGCGGCGCTCCCTAATAGGTCTACATAATTGCTGCCTATTGACGACAACAGAGAGTCAGGAGTATCGTCAAGGTTATGTGCAGTCTATGAGTGAGACATCTTCGACTCCGTTCACTCCTCGGGTCAATCAGATAAGTGCTGTTCTTGATCAACCGGATCCTCAGTCTAAAGAGCAGGGAGAAAGTGGGTTTGATTCGCGGCCAACCCATCTACTGGTCTGGTCAGCCCATGACGAAGGCGCCATGGCTCGTACAATTCAAAACTACGAGAGATATTACGCACAAGGTCTCCCGTATTCAATCGCAGACTTGAGTTGTCTTGCGTATACCTTAGCAGCTCGGCGGACTCTGATGACCTGGCGTGCCTTTGCCGTAATTGGGGAGTCGAAAAATTCCCCCTCGAACAAAGTAGCTGCCAAACCCAGACCTATCCGAGCATCCAATCGAGTGAGCTTAGCAATGGTCTTCACTGGACAGGGCGCTCAATATGCACGAATGGGACTGGAACTTCTGTCATACCCTGCTTTCGACGATACTCTCCGGCAGGCTGACAGTACATTGAAGGACCTGGGATGTGAATGGTCCATCTACGGTATTATCGCGTTTCGTTATCACGTTAACTTGATTGCTGACCATGGTAGATGAATTAAACAACCGTGAGAACATCCATCTACCTCAGTATGGCCAACCACTATGCACTGCCATCCAGCTAGCATTACTATCACTATTAGCCAGCCTAGGCATAATCCCTACAGCCGTTATCGGACATTCATCTGGGGAAATTGCTGCTGCGTAAGTCTTCTCATCGTATTCTCTTCGAAGGTTCTATTGACTCTTGGTAAGGTATGCCACTGGAGCATTGACCCTACAGTCAGCGATGAAAGTAGCCTTTTATCGCGGTTCTTTGGTAGGCAAGTTGATGGCAGAGAAAGCGCAGAAATCGGGAATGATGTCGGTCAACTTGTCCGAGGGCTCTCTGCAATCCTACCTGCAGAACAAGTCTTACGTGACTCTTGGCGGTAACATTCACATTGCCTGTATCAACAGCCCTCTCAATGTTACTATTTCAGGCGATGAGGGTGTGCTTGATACACTCAGGATTGATCTTGAGTCGGATGAAATCTTTACTGCAAAGCTAAACACAGGAGTAGCCTATCATTCACCTGCGATGGACGAAATTGGCCCAATGTATCTGGCAGCCCTCGGTTCTCTAGATCGAGACACGTCCGCAAGTGACAAGGTGATTATGATTTCGTCTGTTACAGGACAGGCTATCCACTCAGACAGACTCTCTGAAAGTCAGTATTGGGTTGAAAATCTAGTTTCGCCCGTCAGATTCTCAGAGGCGGTCTCAAATATTCTCATAGATGTATCAGATCAGCGATTGAAAACCAGCCATATTACCGACATTATTGAGATTGGCCCTCACTCTGCTTGTAAGCAACTTTCCGAATTGCGTTGACCTGTTTTACCATGTTTACGTGGTTGAAATTGCCTGTCAGAAGCTCTCATCCTTATGGCTGTTTCACAATACTCCCGAAGACCTCCCTCCGACCAATTAAGAAGATTTAATCACTGACTCTGGAGGATTTAGTGCAACGTCCGATCAAGGACATCCTAACTCAAGGAATTCCAGACACAAAGCGACCTAGATATCACTCTGTCCTGCATAAATCCAAGTCGGCTATGTTGACGGTCCTCTCTGTATTAGGCGAGCTCTTTTGTCTCGGCCATCCGGTATCAATCAACAAAGTGAATCAATATCAGGCCGCTCCAGCCTGCAAAAAGAGACCAGTGCCATTTTTGATCGACTACCCAAAATATCCTTTTGACCATTCCCACAGATACTGGAGAGAGTCAAGATTGGCTCGAGACTTTAGACTCCGTGCGCCAGTCCCAAGCGACACCCTCGGGTCACGCGTCCATGATTGGAACCCTCTAGAACCTAGATGGAGAAATCTCCTAAGTACGGAATCAATGCCATGGATTGCTGATCATAGAGTAAGTCACTGGTTTGCAATTCCTCTAGGTTTCATGTTGGTTTCGACCTTGCTAACCGTGCATGAAGATAACTGAAACTGCCATTTTTCCGGGCGCCGGAATGCTGGTAATGGCCACCGAAGCCGTGAAACAGGTGGCATATACTGACCGCGAACTCTTCGGCTACTACATTGAGGAGGCCCACTTCCTCAATCCACTAATAGTGAATGAGTCTGTGGCAGATGCGACGGAGTCTCTGGTCCACCTCCGACGTCTACAGGAGCCTTTTGAGAAAGAATCAACAAGATTTGAGGTAATCATATACGCTTATTATCAACAGCGTTGGAGTCGTTGCTTCCGAGCGACGATCCAGGCCCAATATGAGGAGCTCGACTCCCAGACTGGCATGAGTACCGAAAGAAAACTTCAGATTGAACACGTACGCCAGAAACACCATAATGTACTGCAATCATGTGTTGAGGACATCGGCTCTCGAAAATTCTACAGCTATTGTAAGAACCACGGTTTCAATTACGGGGACTCATTCCAGCTGTTGGATGACATGCGGTGGAACGGAAAGGATTTGGCCGCTGCTCGAATCACAAGAACATCATCGAATTCCCAGGTACAAAGTCTCGTCCACCCTACCATTCTTGATGCCGGATTTCACCTTAGTCTTGTACAAGTCTCACATGGTCTTTCTCAACCAATAGCGACCATGGTGCCATATCAACTGTTCAACACTTGGATATCAGCAAAGCATTGGGACGATTCGTTGCCTCTACAAGTATCATCGGCTGTGACCGATACTACTAGCGCACATGCAGAAGTCTCCATCTCGATCATCTCGGCCAACGGCAACCCATTGAGCACCGTTGGCCGGCTAGTGATTTCAGCGGTCTCCAGTAATAACACTGTGGAAAGAAAGAGCAAGAATGACGGATTGATACACCGAATCGAGTGGATGCCACTGTTGAGTTTACAGACTCCACACGAATTGAGTAGCCTTTGTTGCAACGATTCGGATATTCAAAAGGAGACAGAGATGATAAAGTTTTATTGCAGGCTCAAGTCAGCATTAACCCAGGCAGCTCGTAGTGTCCTAGAGAGTTTATCTGAAGCCGATATCAGAAGAGCACCAACTCACCTTCAGAAGCTTATCGCCTCCCTACAACACCAGATTAAAGATTTCCAAACCCAGGGATCAACCCTTCCGGGTAACAGCGAGGTGGAAAATATCTTTAGCCAGACGGAAAGCGAGAATCCAGGATGGCGGATCTTTCCAGTCGTCGCTCGCAATCTCAAGGCAATTCTTCTTGGCAAGACAGATGCCTTGGACATTGTGTATTCGACAGGTCTCGCCGATTCTTTCTACAGAAGCATATTCGATCACATATGCGACGAACGCTTCCATAGATTCATGGAACTTCTTACTCACGAAAATCCAAGTCTGAAGATCATTGAAGCAGGGGCAGGAACGGGAGGCATGACGCGCCACATTTTATCTTCCTTACATGAACTTGAACACAAAACTGGAACGACCAGATACGGCGAGTATATGTACACCGACATTTCTCCGAGCTTCTTTGAAAATGCTCGAGCAGAATTTGATGGGCATAGAATCTCATTTCGAACATTGGATGTGGAAACCGACGCGTCTCAGCAAGGCCTTGAAAATGGCACCTATGATCTTGTAATCGCTGGTGGCGTGATTCACGCGACTAAGAACCTCGATTCAACCCTACGAAATGTTCGCAGGCTGCTCAAGCCTGGTGGCCATCTTCTTCTCGTCGAAATTATAGCTCCTGAAAGTATCCATGCAAATATCGGTTTTGGTGTACTTCCTGGCTGGTGGCTCAGCGAGGAGGAATATCGCGCTTACAGTCCCGCCATAACGGAGAAGCAGTGGGATGATGCACTTAGACGGACTGGGTTCTCCGGAAATGACTTAGCTCTCAGGGACTATCAAAACGACGCATGCCATTTCTCTAGTCTTTTGGTATCGACGGCCATCAGGCAGCCTCCAGCCGAACAGGAGCGATTTAAACTCGTCTTACTGGTTAACGCCGCAGATATGGAACAATTGTGTTTAGCGGAGAAACTCTCTCAGAAGTTCGGTTCCGCAAAGACTCTGCCATTGAGCGATATACACCAAGCAAACTTGACTGCCGAGGAAGTCGTAATTTCCTTAGTTGAAGTTACAGCTCCCTTCCTAGCTGGAGTGCGCGAGGCGGACTTTATTGCCGTCCAACAGCTCATCCGAAAGGTAACAAATCTTTGTTGGGTCACATCAACGTGGCCAGAACATGCGAATTACCCGCATTACAGCGCCATTACGGGCTTACTAAGGACTGTGAGGGCGGAAGCAATCGAAAAAAGGATCATCTCATTATCCATTGAGTCGGTGCCCGGGAACCAATTTGAGCACCTCGCCAACTATATTTCATTAGTTCTGGACGCATCCATCGGCACCGACGATCCAGAGGTTGAATTTATTGTACGCGGTGGCCATATTACCTGTGGAAGGCTAGTGGAAGATGTTGACGTTGACGAGAAAGTTCGGGCTTCAGTTGAACCTCAGAAGAAGTCTGAGACCTTAGGAATCGGGCCTCCTTTGGTGCTTTCCGTTGGTACGTCAGGGTTGCTTGATACTCTTCAATTTATCGAGGATCCCTCGTCAGGTGAAGATTTAATCCATGGACAGCTAGAAGTTGAAGCGAAAGCTTGGGCGATGAGTTTCCGAGACGTACTTGTTGCCCTAGGCCGTGTGAAAGGAACTGACTTAGGTTGGGATGCCGCCGGGGTTGTGACGAGAGTGGGACCTGGCTGCAACCTGAGTCCTGGAGATCGTGTCGGCCTTGGCGCACCCGGATCGATGCGTACACTCATCAGGACAGATGCTGAATCTGTTTTCCGGATACCTGATACTATGAGTTTTGAAGAAGCTGTGTCCTTTATAAATCCGGCATGTACAGCATATCACTGCTTGATCAACATGGCCCGCCTGCAAAAGGGAGAGAAAATCTTGATTCATTCTGCTGCTGGGGCCACAGGACAAATGGCTATTTGGATTGCAAAATACTGCGGCGCTGAGATATTCGCCACTGTCGGATCCCAATCCAAGAAACAGTTGCTGGTGGACAGGTTTGATCTAGCCCCAACCCACATATTCCACAGTCGCGATACTTCGTTCGCTCAAGGCATCTCACGATTGACTGACGGCTGCGGCGTCGACGTCATTCTAAACTCACTATCAGGAGATGGCCTTCGAGCATCGTGGGAGTCAATCGCACCATATGGCCGCTTCATCGAAATCGGCAAAGCGGACATAACGTCCAATTCCTCTCTACCCATGGCCAACTTCCAAAAGAACGTGAGCTTTTCTGCTGTCGATTTGCATCACATGGCGCAGACCAGGCCAGCCCTTCTGTCTGACTTGATGCACAATGTTTTGGACTTGGTTGCCAGTAACATCATCAGATATCCCTATCCGCTACACCTGTTTGGAACCTCAGAAGTTGAAAATGCCTTCCGGGCTATGCAGGGTGGAATCAATGCCGGGCGCAACATTATTCAGGTCAAGCCGTCAGAGAGCGTTCCGGTAAGTATTTTATCTCTTTATGTGAATCACTGTTCATGTAAATTTCTGACTCGTGTGGGGGAAAACAGAAATTCCTTCGATATAAGTCTGACTGGAGACTGAATGCAAACGCTTCCTATCTTATTGCCGGTGGGCTTGGCGGTCTGGGCCGGGCAATCTGCAAATGGATGGTCGACAAAGGAGCCAACCATCTAATTATCCTATCCAGGTCGGGAATGAAAACCGTTGCAGGCAGTCAAGCAGTTGAACAGCTGCAAAGTCGAGGTGTGCATGTGAAGGTGCTAACTTGTGATGCTACATCATACGAGGCTCTCGTTTCGGCACTTAGTACCTGTGCTAGCTCAATGCCTCCTATAAAGGGTTGTATCAATGCCGCAATGGCTTTACAGGTATGTTGTACTGCATGCACTTTGAACCATTGAACCTGTAATAACAATAGTCTAGGATGGCATCTTCGATACCCTACCACACTCACGATGGGACTACACACTACGCTCGAAGCTAGATACCTCTTGGAATCTACATCAATTGCTTCCGAAAGGTCTGGACTTTTTTGTCTTGCTTTCCTCCCTTTCGGGGTTGTATGGCACAGTTTCACTGTCCAACTATGCCGCTGGATGTACCTTCCAAGACGCTCTCGCGAGATATCGCAATTCAATTGGCGACACCGCCGTCTCGCTCGATATTGGCTGGATGCGAACTATCGGGATCATTGCCGAGACTGAGCTCTACCAGCGCAATAGGGAGAAGGCGCGAGACATGCGTCCCATCGAGGAGGCCGAACTCCTTTCTCTGCTTGACTTGTGCTGCGATCCCTCAAGTCCCTATGGCCAGCCAGGAGCGGATAGAAGTCAAGTTCTGATTGGAGCCACGACGCCTGCATTCTTTCTTCGGCGTGGAGAGACTCCGATCGCTCAAGTTCAAAGCCGAATGTTTTCTGGCTTTCTTAATGTGATGGAAGCCAAAACAACGTCTGGATCTCGTATTGCCAATGAGCATGTCGTTTTGTTCAGAGAAGCAAAGGATCCAGAGGACCGGTTGATGATCGTAGTGAATGCACTGGCGGGAAAACTGGCACGTGCCTTGTCCGTGGCTGCGGAGTACATTGAAGCCGAGAAACCTCTTTCGCATTACGGCGTGGACTCTTTGATGGCTGTGGAGTTGCGCAATTGGTTTATCAATGATTTTGATGCGAAAGTGGCAGTGTTTGAAATCATGGGGCACACGCCAATCATTGCGATTAGCAAGTTGATAGTGGAAAGAGCGATACTAGACGTGTAGAGACCACGACGATGAGAAATGAAAGGCGTCTCGAATATTTTCTTTCAGCGACGCTTCACGGGTTCTCGGAGTTAGATACCTGCCTGGCAGCCTAAAGCTCAAATCATCATCAATGCTATCTGACTCAAGCCGTAATGTCGACGTCGAAGCTCCCCACGCGCTGAGCCTCGGCCGTGCTCGCAAAAGCAACAGATGCGGAGCGTTTGGTCCCGGTACGGATAGTATCGCGAAGCAAGCCGCCGAGTTCTGACCGGCTGATCGACCCCATTCTCTCACCTCAGCGGCTGGGGCTGCGCTTGTCCACTAATGCGAAGCAATTGCCTTTTTTGTTAATGATGGTTGATTAATGTCCAGCGAGATGTTTAGACAGCCGCCGTAGTAAAGAAAGTTACCAAATCTTGGTTTCAAAGGCTTGACCATGCAGATGAGTTCAACGTAAGCCGCTATCAGCTTGATAAGCCGAACCGCAACTTGCTCGTCGAATCTAGGATGACTGTGTTTCCCGATTTTTTTTCGCTTTGCGCAGGTTCGTGCTTCCCCGAACCCTGCGAGACGTTTCCGTTTCTTTTTTCTTTGTATCTCCCCTAAGCGACCTACATAAGAGCACTACCAATCGCTTAGCTGAAGAGTTCAATGCCCTGACTGGAGGTTGAGCAAGAAGATACCCGTACGATGAACAGTTATGACGACTTTAGATCGTCATACATAATCAAATAATGACATATTCTGTGAGTTGGGATGTCACACGCGCAGCACAATTGCGAACAGGTTTACATCTGCCAGAACATTAATCGCATAGACCATAGTGTCTCGCCCACATGACAAAATAATTCTCACCTAATGTTCTAACCTCAGAGTCTGATGATTATGGATCCGAGGGTCTCAACAGGAGACTGAACTCGAGAGAGCGCATTCAAAATAACTTGATTTCAAAGAGCGTACCGCAGTGGATATGTTGCATCGTGTATATAAATCCCCGAAAAGGTGCCGTGTATATGACTTCCAGAAAGGCATGAGCCGCAGCGCTCCGTGAAGCTTCCAGTTTGAGCTCGGATCAACAAGGTCCAGACTAATTTGAACGAATCAAATCCGCAGGATATAGATTTTTCTCGGCATCACGGAAGATGGCACCGTGGATTGGGTCATGAGCCATGGTATATTAGCCGGAGCGTTGACCCAGTGGGCCCGGCAAACCCAATCACGACCGCGATTTCCCCATCTCCTGTTCAAAAACAGCCATCGGATAAGAAAGTTGTATTAGCGAATGATATGCCGTCACAAGAGTTCAATACAAGCTGGAGACTGGTAATGGAAGATCTGGTTTGGCAATATTAAAGGCTCGCTGGTTGTCACATTCGTTCTGCGCACTCCAGATATCGGTGTACGCACTCTTCTCTGTCTCTGTTTCATTCGTGCATCTTGCTTGTGCCTTTTGTCATCCGTGAACATCATCATGTTGTTTTCTTCCGCCCTTACCACTGTCGCCCTGCTCGCAGCAGAGGCAGCCGCTCACGGTGCTGTCACCAGTTACGTTATCGCCGGCACGAAGTACCCCGGGTTAGTGATGTCGTCTCACGTATCTCATATATTCTTCCTTACACCAGAAAGCTGACCAGCCCTATAATTCACAGCTACCAGGGTTTCTCGCCTACCTCTGACCCTGTTATTCAACGCCAGTGGCCGGACTACAACCCCACGACATCCGCCACCGACAGCAAGCTCCGCTGCAACGGAGGCACATCGGCCAAGCTGTCGGCGAGCGTCCAGCCGGGCGATTCGGTGCAGGCCATCTGGAGCCAGTGGACGCACTCACAGGGCCCGATCATCGTGTGGATGTACAAGTGCGCGGGGGACTTCTCAGCTTGCGACGGCAGCGGGTCGGGCTGGTTCAAGATCGACGAGGCCGGATTCCACGGCGACGGCAAGACCGTGTTCCTGGACACGGAGACGCCCAGCGGCTGGGACATCGCCAAGCTCGTCGGCGGCAACAAGGGCTGGACGAGCACGATCCCGCAGGGCCTCGCGTCCGGCAACTACCTGATCCGCCACGAGCTCATCGCGCTACACCAGGCCAAGGCGCCTCAGTGGTATGCTGAGTGTGCGCAGATCACGGTGGCGGGCTCCGGCACGGCCCAGGCCAGCGCCAGCCAGAAGGTCGCCATTCCTGGATATGCTAAGCAGACTGACCCAAACATCAGCGTAAGTTGGATTGCGACAACCCCTCATTGTTGCTGAGCGGGCCAGTTGACTGACTGAACGAAATGAATTAGTTTAACATCAACGACCACACTCTTCCTCAAACGTACACGGTCCCCGGTCCTGCAGTTTTCAAGGGAACTGGAGCCTCTAAGAAGGCTAGGCACTTCATCGCATAGTGAGCGTGAACAAGTATGGTGGCAGGTGAAATGGCATTTCAAACGCTTCATGTATATAAAGTTACTCAACGGCGAATTATAGCGTGTCCATCGCCATGGCGCCCATAAATCACCCTATTGCCATAGCACCTATAAATCAAGCAGATTCCCTAAATCATAGCTAGTTCTTTGATGGTGTCAAGGTGCGATTTCGTCATGGTGTGTATCATATCGATAATGGTATGCACAACCTCAAGGCGACCACACAGGGGAACTCCCTTCTCAAAATCGAAATCCCTAGATCGGTCCAGTATATTCCGCAGGTCCCCTCAAAATAATCGAGGTTCCAGGGGTGCCAAAAGCTCCTGTGCGATACCTCGTTCCTCAGCGCAACCATTCCACACAGCAGACGTCTGATCAAGCCACTGGAGGCAGTGGGCAAATCCAGAGCGTGTCCTATGATGTTTTCCAGTCTACTATGCTCAAACAAAACGTGCCGTGAACCTTTGCTGTAGTTTGGCCAAATCGTCGGGTAGTGTTGCTTGGCGGTCTCTCGAAAGGCTTCCTGGGCGACATGATGGCTGCGCGAGACCAGATCGTCGATGTCATCGCATGGTACCGGGGCGTCACGCAAGAGGGTATTCAACCACTCCTGATCAAATAGACGTGACTTTGTTCCTATCCCTAGAGGGTCTCTATCCGAGTTGATAGAACGAGTGGCGAGGGCATCTAGATCGCTTCCGTCTGATGCCCCTCCGTTGCACGCCCCCGCCTGGAAGTATCATTCAGTACTCGTGGCACTTATTGTACACAATTTTGAATTAGGGATTTTGAGTCAGGGTTTTCGCAGCCACGAAAACAGGCAAACGTTCTCATTGCATCATTCTCTCGTGTTTTTCACCTTGTGCAGTTCATGTTATATCATAGAGCGGCCCAAGTGTCTCAGTGATCAACGATAGTCTCCACAGCTACCATCCTGAACGACCATGACTTTGTACGTGGCCCGTCTCGTAAAGCATGCGGCCAGCACGGTTTTAATATTTCAGACTGCCACCTTCAATTTCCCGGCTACACCTTCTTTTTTGAAATCATATTGTAAATATACTACGAACGCTTTGTGACTGTAGTTCCGTCGACCATCGGGCCCTTGGAGTTGTATCTTCTTATTTATCCTGAATATCTTTCAGATATCTCTAAGATAATACAGCAAGCTCTCCCTTTGACTCGGATTCACTGTAAAACTCTTGCTCTTCCTGCTCACTGTTGCAGTGAATCCATGTCGGCTCATAAGGAATCTCGAACCAGGCGCGGACGCAACCAATGCCATTCCACGGCACAATAGCCCTTAGTGATGGTGGTTACTGTGCTACTGTGAGCCAATCGATCTTTGCTACGGAGTGCGGTTGCCCAGGTGGATATCTGGGCCATACATTGGAATTTGGTACGCAGCTGACCAGGCCATGATAGGAAGCATATGCAAAATACCGTACCTCTTGCCGTAGAGCGACCAGCCGGGTAATTCTAGTGCTTTCTTCGATAAATCAGCGGAACGGTAGACATCGATATACGAACGCGCCCCATCCCGAACCACGATTCCCAAGTCATGATCGACTCGAATGTTGCTCTTCAGAACCTCTGATCTGCCAGGGCGGAATCCGGCGTAAGCAGTTCCACCCTCTTTCGGGAGGGCCCTAGCAATTAAAACCAAATACGGATGTCATCAAAGAATGCATGCCGCTTGATTGGGTGCGATAGTCTCACTTTAGGTTGTTAATGCGGGGGTCCCAAATATACCAAATCGAGGACGAGTACGCTGCCAGCTTGGAGCTAATACGCTCCATAACTGACGGTAATATCAAACTAAACCTAACGGCTCATGAGCCTAGACTCCAAAGATATTTCTGGGGCGACCGCCAAGTTCCAGCCGTTGTGGGACAATGTATCGATATGTACTCGGATTGCGGACGACTCTTGGTGGTTCGAGTCGAGGTTTGAGAGTGGACCATCCACGGCATCAGTGCCCTCGTGGTTCAAAACTCTGACAGATTGACTATACCGTCCCCATATCCCACATCCCCACAGTTATTCAACTTCAGACTAGACGAGACTAGTGTCTAGACTAAGTTGGTCTTGACTAGACTAGTCCAGCATGCAAAGCTATCTATAATCATGCTGTTAATTATACGTCCCCTAGCATGCTGATCCGCGGTAAGCACCTTCGACTGCTTAGATATCGACCGGTCACTATTCTCCGGCCTATTGAAAAGTTGGTCGGCATTAACGGAAATGAATTCCTTCGACAAAGAGCAAGAACCAAACTTTAGATTTTCTATCTTCTCTGCCATTGTACCAAATATTTACCCAAGCAACAGAACGCCATCCCAATAGAGCGCCATCCTAAAAAAACTCATTAAATCTCTTTTTTATAGCCCTCTGCGTCTTCCTACATCTTCCGGAACATATATCAACAGGTTGCCCCGTTCAGAAGCCATGGTTCGTTCGACTTCTCTCAAACATGTAAGCCGCACTATCAGTGTCCATTCTGTCAGATCGCCTTCGCGGGGACAAGCCCCTCCGGAGTTTTAATACCAATTCCCAGCGTCGAGTTACATACGAGCCATGTAGGGAGTAGCTGTGGGGCCCTCAGTCTGCCGCTGCGAGCGGACTGATACTAGCTTGCGCCAAGCCTCGAGCGGGGCAAACCACGACTTCTGAGCAGGGGATCCTCCGTGTGCTTGCTTCTCAGGGGTGCCCTTAGTCACGATCTTAGTGCTCACCACTTGCCGGAGGGTCTCGACGACCCCCGTAGACAGCACGTTCTTGGTTCGGAAGGCCTCGTTCTGGCTCATCAGGGCCTCGTGGGCCTGGGGGAGCTGATGGAACGGGACCTGCGCGTGGAGATGGTGCACGGCGTGGAAGCCGTCGTTGTGGGGGTGAACTACAGGGGAGGGCATCCAGTCAGTGAATCTGGTTCAACATGTGCGGAAGGAGGAAAAGAACTTACTGAACCACCTGTGCGTGAATCCAAGGTTGGACCGCGAGTTTCCAAATTTGCCCGTCATGTCCATGCCCAAGTGCTCCGACATCTCGGCCCAGTAGCGGAAGACGGGCAGGACCAAGAAGAAAGGCACCGCGTAGTACAGAGCCATGCGCGAGGCCATGGTCTCGTTGAAGTACGAGCCAGCCAGAACCGCCCCCCAGAAGACTGCCTTGCTGGGCCAGGCGGCCCGCGAGGTCCAGAAGTCGACAAAGGTGGTGGTCAGATACTCCCAGTGGATGTACCCCGAGAAGGGCATGGCGAACAGGTAGTAGACCGGGTCCTCGGTGACGTTGTCGAGTCCGAGCTCGTAGATGCGGATGAGGTCGGGGTCCTTGGCGGCGTCGCCGAGGTGCTGGTGGTGGATGAGGTGGGAGCGGCGGTAGTCCTCCAGAACCCGGAGGACGGGGAAGGCGTAGAGGAACTGCAGGGTGTAGTGCATGGACGGGGTCTTGAAGAGGTTGAAGTGGGATGCCTCGTGGACGAGGTTCTCGAAGGCGCGCATCCTGGAGGAGATGACCAGGCAGGCGGCAGCATAGGCGGCCCACTTCGCGGCACTGGAGAACTGGGTGCCGTGGACTTGTTCTGAGAGAAAGATGCATGTCCCCATGACAGCGTAGTTGACAAAAATGGCGAGGAGTGCTTTCCCGCTGTCTCGAGAGCGGAATGTGTGTGCCACTCCGAGAGCGTGTTGGAACTCTTGGGCCTCGGTGACGGGCACGGGCTTCCCGGCGGCGCCCTCGAGCTGTTCGACCTCAGGCATATTTATGGTGGGAGTTGCTGTCTGGGCCGTGATGGCTGTGCGTGATGTAGTTGCGTGCTTGAGGAGTCGGAGAAGTGGTTGAGTGTCTGGTGCTTCTACCGATGCGAAAGGTATAAAAGAAATCGGGAACTCATTGTTTATAACTGCCGTGGCACATCCTTTGTATCTTGCCCTTTGTTGGGAATAGTCACGCAGGCCGGGCTGTTTGGGTTCGACTTACTATTGGTGTTTCTGAACACGAATAGGTTTTCCATTTTCATTTAACCGAGTTTATTGACAGATTTACTATTATTTTGATACATTTCTAGCCTAGCATAGACTGAAAACTTATGAGCTCGAAAAGCCACACCTGACGTGATCCTTTCGGGCGGTGTCAAGGAGCCGCATGATGACAGCGACCAAAGTACGATCGTATGTTATCATTTTGATGACTGCATGTGAGCAGCGGTATGTAGCCTGTGTCTAGGACAGGACATGGATGAAACAGGGCGTCCTCTATTGCCCGATGGCCGTCTGAACGATGCCTGGGTTCGCGGGAATCCGGGCAGTAGGACATGGGCGAGGTACCCTGAGAGAGGTGGTACGAGCAGAAGCCTCGAAGCCTCAGTTTATTACTGAGACAACTTCACGTCTGGCCTGGCGGGCCTGTCATCTCTGTCTAAGTAGTGAGCTGGGGGCTCCTGCAAGTCAGACAGGAGCGAAGCGATCGTGGGGGAAGCTGGTGCCGTAATAACGTTACAGTAATTTGGGAGAATTCTGGGGAGCTGCTTACTAGTTTGTAGGGATGAGATGTCTGGCCCCGCCAGGTGGTGCAGGGGTTCGAGCCACCTGGGAGTCTCCTTCAGAGCCGACAGGCGCTATCCGACAGGGGGGCTCAAAAAGAAAGCCCGCTAATTTACTGTGTACTGTACCCGGGTGGGTGCGAGTGGGCTTGCGAAGGGAGGGTCGAGGTCGGTCTTTTTGCTTTTGCCTCATGAGCTCCTGTAATTATTGGAAGACAACGTGGAGGCCGGAGGGCGAAGATGGACAGGGAGAGGGACGTCGGGCGAATAGAAGTGAGCAGGCTCACGCAATGCTCTCCCCCGCAACGGGCCGCCATGAGCCATGGAGACCAGCCATTTCAATTGAAGCAATTCCACATCCCACCACCATCACATCGCATCACATCACATCAGCAGCCTCTTCACCGTAATCCCCCATTCTTTTAAGTCCATTTCCAAGTCCCGCCTCCAGCTGCGCAACAACACACCACCAGGAAGTATACTAGCACTACTGCTGCTACTACAGGAAACATGTCTAAATTCATCGTCTCCAGCGAGGTGGCAGAGCTGCTCCCGCGCATGCAGGTGGTGGTTGTCATCGCCAAGGGCCTCGTCAACAGCGGTGAAAATCCCAACACCGCTGCCCACGTCCAGGTATGATAGAGCCGATACCAAAGCGGATGCCAGACGAGCAATTGTCTCATTTTTCTTCTTCTTCTTCTCCTTCTTCTTCGCCTGGTCATTCTTACTAATGCTGCGTGCCCGTGATACAGAGCGTGGTCGACAAGACGGTCGAGTACTTTACCGCAAACAAGTAAGTACCTTTATACACTGTTAGTGTGTGTGTGTTCGCGGATCCGTATACGGAAAAGAGTTTCCGAAAGACTTTCGATCCCCCCCCCCCCCCCATTGAACTGAAAAGCCAACCCACCTCCGAAGCTAGCTAATCTAATGCCCTCCGTCTACAGGCTAGCCAACGCCCAATCACACCCCCGCATCGCCCTCTACCGCAACGAGCTCAAGAACGCCGCCAATGTCTCGTCCAAGAAGTATCCCCAGTCCAACGAGAGCCTGTTGAAGCGCGTCCTCAAGGAGAAGAAGGCCCCGCGACCCATCTCCCCCGCCGTAGACTTCTACAACAGCGTCAGCATCGAGCACCTTGTCACCGCTGGCGCCTTTGACCTCCACGAGCTCAAGGCCAAGTCGGACCCCCTCGAGCTGCGAGTCGCCAAGGTCGACGCCGACACCTTCGTGCCTCTCGACGCTCCCGACGCCCCGCCTGCAAAGGTTGATGCCAAGGAGATCTTGTATGCGCAGGGACCCACCGTCCTGACGAGACATCTGGCTTGGAGGCAGAGTGCTCAGGCCCTGGTCACGGCCGAGAGCAAGGAAGTCATGTTTATGAGCGAGGTGTTCAACGACGGCGAGGTTGGCAGTGAACCGTCCGAGCTGGCCAAGTCCGTTGCCAACAGCTTGCAGGAGGGCCTGAAGCAGCTGTTCGACGTGGACAGCAGCGTCGAGTACTTGGGCAAAAGCCTCGGGAAGCTCGAGACCGACTTGTAGGTAGTCATTGCTGCTGAGGCTAGCTGAGAGCCCCGGCGACATGAGCTCTTCTCTCTTTGACGGGGGCAGAAGAGAAATGGGAAGCCACTTAGATGCTCGTACGGTCGTACGGTCTTACGGTTGTACGCACTACGCACGCGCAAGAGACCCCTGCCAGCCAGGCTGACGAACAGATCAATGACATTTATGACTTGCTCAACTTCTTCCGCCCGGAACACGCCCTGAAAGTGACCAAACATGATGTGATCACATTTAACTTTGAGTCTTTCAAGGGCTTCAGGGCTTCAGGGCCTCACGGAGGCTCATCAAATGCCAGACAACCCCCTCCTACAGCCGCGATCACGAAGATCGTCCACCAGTAGAATCAGGTCTTGTTACATTTGCATCGCGATCAGACAGCAGTGATGAGTCTGGACCGACGCCACCTCGCCCAGACGAGGTGGCCGCAATGGATATGGTACCAATGCAGCTGTTGAAGTTTAAGCGGACCCGATCGATGGTCCCTTGTCAGCCCTGTGGCCTGTGCCCTGTGGCCTGTGCCCTACGCCCTACGCCTCACGCCCTAGGTTAGGTGAACCTGGGGTAGGTACATACAGACCACATCGGCCCCTAAACCTCCCTAGCCCCTGCCTAGGGCCCACATGGAACTTTGGGGCCTCCTCAGTCCCACATGAAGGCGGCAACCAGTAACTTACTCTCTTTTGCTCCACGGATCGCCGTGCCTGTATCTGAGCCGCAGACTTGTACTCCTGCACGCAGGATTGCGACTCGAAGACGATGTTGACGGCGGGCGACCCCTTTTCTGCGAGAATCGTGTCCGTTGCCTACTACATTATGTCGGGTACGCTCGACGAGGCCGCCGCTTCGTGTGGGAGAAGTCCCCACCCATTGTTTTAGCACGGCACGCCTTCGAGTGCATCCAGGGCAGCAAATGTCGGCCATCTGGTTAAGCACGCTGTTTGGCGATCTCGAAGCCGCCTCTACCGGTCTTGTTACCTTTGTAATAGACTTTATCTGTAAGTTTAATACAAAAAGAAACTCTGGGGGGTTTCATTAAACTTTCTCGTTTCTTATGTAATTACCATGATTCGTTGAACTTTGAACCCTTTTCCACGTATGCTCAGCTGTTGTGTTCAATCTTGTGCAAATGGCATCCTCGTGTCCAAGTCTATAGAAGGCATAAGCATTCATCAAATATGTTCAAAACCAACACTCATTCCGAAAGAGGCGCGGGTCCAACTCCTTGAGCTCAATCCAGTGGTTTCATCACGAAAGGCATAGGGGACGTTGGCTCCACAGGAGAGACTCAATGCTCAAGCATGGTGGATGTCCCTCGAGCATTTGGATATAGCTTGCAAATACATGCTAGCAGTTATATACATACTTACCTGGATCAGCATCTTCTTCTGATATAAGCTCGACATTTCATCCTTGCTTGTACAAGATCGGAGGCATCACCACCAGACGCACTGAGCTGTCCTCAGGGCACGTTCCAAAAAGTCAACCCCTTGGTAGGAGTTCAACAGCTGAACGAATGAATTGCGAGCGAGCATATCCGTCCTCTAGTGCACTGGCATCTTGATATGTGTCAAAGGTGTACGTCCAGGTGTGGACCGAAGGCTTGATCGTACTGGCATTCCATCTCTGCTCTATTTCCGGACTGGTACGGTCGCAGGGGCTAGTTACAAATATCAGCCGCATCATCTTCACTGGCACCACCCATGCCCGTAGGGTTGAGCGTCGTCGGGACTACGCCGTTCTAAACCCAATCGATCAAGACGACCAGGTCTGTGATGAGGTATGGTCCGTCAGGCATCAGTGTGTCGGTCAAGCAATGTGCTGCACCAGGAACGGATAATACTCTGTACACTCTGTACTAGTCGTTCAGAGCCCTGATACTGTCGTTCTATGACAGGGTGGTACCGTCCGCAAAGCATATTGTTGGTTGGTAGGAGACGATTCTTCTTGTCCGCTCTGGGTTGACTTTAGGCCATCCCGGCTGGGTTGGACAACTGCGACGCCCTCGACCATGACTCTACTATTTTGAGCAGGATCGCATTCTCGTATGCTGATGGCTAACTGCATCTTCAAGCAGCCAATGAAGATATGTTCCCCTCGATGCACGCGTCTCGATGGTCGATTTTCCAGGTCACTCATCGTCTGTAATACCGCTTTGTGTTAGTGTTCGGTTCCGTCAGAGTGCCTTCAAGCCAATGATTACGTCGCAGGGCATCTCCCCACACATGAATGCGACGAAATCTACGACGAGTCTCCACGTGATCTCCGACAAAACATGCTGCGGCGGGTTTGGGCAACGCATGCATGACTACATATATGCACCCAAGATAGTCCGAACTCTCACAAATGTCGTTGATGCGGGCCTAGGATTCAATTGTGAGCGAGCGAAGTGGGCTGGGAGATGTACAGTTTCATTGACGCTGCGCTGTGATCGACTCGACTAGTGATGGTGGTACCAACTTCGAAGACAACATTCAAAGTCGGACAGAATGAACACAGCCAATGCAATTCCCTTGCACACAGCAAGCTGACTATTGCCGTGTGGCAATCACGGGAGCTTTATTAGAAGTGACCACCGGATATCTCTTTGTTGATAGCAGCACATATCCATGTGCTGGAGTGAGTGTCTCAAAAGCAGACTGCCTCTCGTGAGGCCTGACGATTTCCGACTAGCTTCGGTGCCGTCCTCAGAGAGAACCTGGTTTCGTGAACTGCGCTATTTGTATCAAGGACTTACTATCAAAGCTTGCGCCTTTGTTCTGATCGAAGCCCTGGCTTTTGTATGGGTCAGATCCCGCAATTGAGTTTAAGCGTAACCAAGTGCAAGCCGTAACGTGCAATCTTGCAGAGGTCCATCTGCACCAAAAATCCCACGCAAACTGGGAAGATATCGATATCCTTGGGATTTATACCTTCATACTCCGTGGTTTGGCTAAGGACATAAGATTTCGTCAATGTGCTTATCGCCCACATGGAAAGCCGTAGAATGAACAGCAAGCGTTTTGAAAATAAAAGGTTCCGGTGCCATGAATATTTCTCTGCTGAGAACCCTCCACGCCGAGTGGCCTATTTTTTCGTCACAGTTTGACACCGTCACGCCTGTGGTCTTTCTCCCCATTTCATCTCTCATCATGTGCCTCCGAACTGCCATCATTGCATGCCTACCATTGGCTGCCCACCATGTCGCAGCTGCCGCAGTCCGGACCTCCCACGCTGGAATCGAGACCGAAGCGAGCCAGGGGGGAGATCCCGAGTACGAGTAAGTATGTTTGCTCATCATCATCGACCAGCATCGACGGCTCTACTGAATCAAGGCAGGAACGGTCCCAGCGGTCCTGATATCGATGTTGACCGGTCCCACGTCGGCGCAGTGCCGTACGGCAAGTGGATCTACAACTGCACCAACCCGGGCGAGGTCGCCCTGACCTTTGACGACGGGCCCATGGATTACACCCAGAGCATCGTCGACTCGCTAGACAGCGCGGGATTCCGGGGCACCTTCTTCGTGGTCGGGTTCTACGGGTATCGCAAGATCTACGACGAGACGACCACCTACCCGTCCCTGCTGCGCTCGATGCACGAGAGGGGTCACCAGATCGGCTCCCACACGTGGAGGCACTTCAATCTGGACCGGCTCAGCAGCGAGGAGCGCATTGATGAGATTGTGAATAACGAGAAGGCGTTTGCCAAGGTGTTGGGGTTCGTGCCGACGTACCTGCGCCCCCCATTTGGCTCTTGCAAAGGACCGTGCCTCGAGGACCTGCGAGGGCTTGGCTATCATGCCGTATACTGGGACATAGACACCAAGGACTACCTATACGATACGGAAGAGACCTATCATTTCGGCCTCGACAGGTTCACCGATGACCTCAATGCTGGTGGCTCGCTGGCCTTGTGCCATGACAAAATCATGCACACGGCGACGAAGTTAGTCCACCACATGATCTGGGAGCTTCAGAGGCGGGGCCTCAAGGGCGTTACCATTGGGGAGTGCTTGGGAGATCCCGAGGCGAACTGGTATCGTGAGGCGTCTTGGCAGTAAAGGTCGAGGTGGGATCTGCAATTAGCGTATCTCTCTGTCTGAGTGGATGCATTGAATGGCGTCGTTGGAGTTGGTCCGGGAAGAATTAGTAGGACTATTAGGGGTCATCGCATTGCTACACTGAATGGTAGTAACATCCACGTCTACCCACAGTGTCTTGAGTTGGCATCCCTGGCATCTTCTCTACGCTTCTTCGCGTCCCAGTCGCTCTGCCAAAGTATTGTCGCACCCACAGCTTAACACCGACCAGCGACAGAGAGGTTGAACGCTATCGTCTGGGATCTCTCATGCATTGATCAGATAGGTATCAAGTCCCGACACGGTGTTGCCAGCTTTGAATGGTAAGCCAAGCACACTGAACAACACGAGCAGGTTTTGACATGTCAATGAAGTCGGATCCGTTCTGGATCTGGCAAACGAGACTTGACTCGTTACCGGTTTCAATCACGCAACCACAACAAAGCAACGAGGCGGGCCAACAGACGATCTACATGCACGCCGACATGCATCTGTGTACATGTATTCTATGAATTTCCCTACTTTACCATGAATAGTGGATAGAATGGAGCACGCATTTGCGATGTGTAAAGGAGTGAGTGGGTGAAACGAGAGACAACCTACAATGGAGTCATAGCGACAGTGGGAATGAAAACCCAACGTCAACCCCACCACCTTTCAGTGGCAGGATTCTGATCCGTCCCGCACTGGAAGCACACTACGTGCACCGGAGCGGGTGATCGATGCAGGCAGGGTTGATCAATCCGGCAACACTCGGAGATTTTATCAGTAGCGGTGTGACAAAAGGAAGAAAGAAACAATGCCAAGAGGAGTCGAGGGTTTGATTATGTGGATAACATATCTGGAGATGTGCAGCTTGCAAGTAGTATTGATGAATTGGACTGTTCATTTGATCTTGTTGCGTGATGAACGGATGTCCCCAGTAGCCCCATGTTATTGCTACTAGCGGGTTACGCTTGGGTAACTGAGTTGAATAATAATGCTACAGTGATGATGGCAATTGAGGGGCGTTTGCACAAATACAATGATTCCATAGTACCAGGAAGGGATTGATAGTGTGCAACAAGGTGCATTTAGAAACTGAAAGAGTTGCTGTAAAAAAAAGAATATCAGGTCTCTCTCCAGGATCACAGGCAGGTGGAGCGTAATACGTTCCAATTTTGAAACACCCGTAATTATCTCTTGGGCACTCCAGTAAAGAGCCAACCACAACCTCAAGATTCAGTATAAAAACGTTCACCGAGCGCAGGATGACATTGAGAAATATGTTGAAATTAGGTCAGATGACCTCTGATGCAATTCATAGATGTCGCTACTTTATATCTGATGGTGATCTGGAAAAAATCGAACCATATCCGTCGCCGTATGCAATGCCAAAACGCCTAACCAATCTACCCAATGTCTAAATTTTGGTATCATTCTCGTCGTCAATGCTGAAAGCCGAAACCCCACTTGCAAGAGCTCTTTACACGATGGCGGCAGTATCAGCCTTGTCACCGTGCAAGACAGGGTTGACGGTCTCGTCGAACGCCATCTTGAAGTCATCGCCAAGCTCCTTGCGCAGAGCAGTCTGGACGGCCTCCAAAACATTCTTGAACACGCCAAAGTTGGCGGGGTTGTTCTCGTCGTTGTCACCGCCCTGGAAGACACCAGTGCGAACCAAGCAGGTGTTCCAGCCGTACATGTTACCTCCGATAATATCAGAAGCGGGGTTATCACCAACCATGTAAATGTTCTCGGGCAACTTCTCCTCTCCGTGGATTGTCTCCATCCATGAGGTCATGATCTCGTCGGCGTACTTGTAGGTGGCCGCCTCAGGCTTACCGTAAACAACACGCTCGAGGTCGGCACCAGTAATGGCCTTGTACATGGCCTCGAGGCCGATACGGAAAGTACCCTGGGACATGCGGGGGTACCAGTGCTCAGTAGGGCAGAGCATGTCGCCCTGAGAGAAGTAGATGGGGATTCTCTGCGAAACGGGGTCCTTAGCCAACGTGCCAAGACGTCCGTTCTCACTGCGCAGCAAGTCCATAATGATCTGCATGTCTGTAGCGTAGTCGCGGGAGTCGGAGAAGACCAGGATAGCCTCGATGTTGACCTTGCTGAAGTCACGGGGTTTGGAAGAAGCCCTCTCCCAAGGAGAGAAGTGTCGGTAAGGAGCGATGGTCTCATCCCAGGCGACAATGTCGTTAGGAACGACAATGTCCTTGAAACCGTAAAGCTCGGCGACTTCGCGGCACTTGAAGCCCTCGCCACCAACCACCAGGACGGTGTTATAGTACTCGGCGAGAGCACTCATGGGAGTGTGGGATTGGATGAATTGTTCAGTGCTGACAGGGTTGCCAAGAATCTTGGTCAATTGCTCGCAACGGGCCTTCTCAGGCTTTCCGGAACCGTTGGTGAGGAAGATGTGGGGAATCTTGATTCCCAACTCGTTGTCGCCGTTGAGGATCTCGAGAGCGCGCTTGCCCTCAGGAATCAGACGGTCGCCGTGGACGAGAACACCATCGATGTCGAAAGCGAAAGCCATGTTCTTAGCCTTCTGCACCTTCTCCACAGACTGGTCCTGAATCTGAGATGCCAGCAAAGCGCGGGTGGGCTGGATCGGGGGCATACCGGGGCGCGCCGGCCTGCCTTCTTGAAGTCCATCGGGGTAGTGGACCGAGGAGAGACGGGATTGTCTCTTCGATCTAGGGATAGGCAGCGATGTACCGAAAGAGTTGCGAGAACCACGGCGGTCCTTCATCGACGGTGACACGCTCAAGTTGTGCATGTACTTGGAAGCCTCAGAGATGGAGTTCCTGGTGGCAGGAACCTCGATTGGGCCTTCGCCATCATCACCAGGAATGGGCACGACGCTGCCGTTTCTCTGAGGGTTCTTAAGCGTGGTAGGGCTGATAGGTGTGTCGACACCAACGGTGTTCTGATCTTGAGCCGCCATTATGATGTGCTAGAGAATGATAGTCAAGCTTAGAATAGACTAGAGAATGATGTTCGGTAGAGATGAGAAGATAAGTGAATCAAAAAACCACAGACCACCTGGAAGGGGACGTTCAGCTATTTAATATATGTTTTAACTTTTGCTACAACTGTCTCCTTGACCTTCCCCTTGAACAATTTGCAGTTGCCGACGTAAGCCTTACCCAGAAGTTAAGCACCCACCATGGCTTCAGATAAGAACGTCATCGGCGAGACCCTCACGGCGATGGCAAGACGCCGGCCGTGGACCAAGGAAGGAAAACTGGAGCCTGAAGCTTCGTGAAACGACGTGGTTCCGCTATTCCGTCGTTGAATGATTCAGCGGTCCGATAAGTTATCTTGTCGATATGCAGGCATTGGGCCATATCCGTCCAGGAACGGTGAAATTTTGAGTGAGTTTGAGGTAAGCGTCCGAAAAACAGCCGTAAAAAACCCTTGCGACTGGAGTCGGCCCCACATATAGCCTCCGCCAGCTAAGGCTTCCTTGGTCCAAATTGTTCATCGGATCCGTATAACTGACATCATTGAGTATCCGCAGATGCATGCAGTTCACCGGACAGTTACATATCAAGGTACTGTTAGGCAAAGAGTTAGGCAAAGAGTTTTCAGCCTTTTAAGTTTTGTAGCTCTGCCGCAATCAGTCCCTGCGCGCGGCGATCTCGTCGGCACCTCTGTACCATAGTAAGCAATAAGGTTCTGCCGCGTCGCTAGAACAATCTGAGAAACCGTCCCGCTTAGTTGGAGCCGCCGCCGGAAGGGTGTCGGGCCAATGAGGATGTGGGAGATGACTTCATGCTCGTCCGACACACCATCAGCCTTGAAAGCTTGCCTTGCCTGCTCTGCCTACGCTAGCTAGTCAGGGCACCACAGCTTCGTCCCACTTCACGTGGAAGGGGTCCAGCAATTCAAACAACGAACCCATGAAGTGCATGTAGTAGACCCACAGGGGTTGCCGCAGTTGCCAGGTCGAGAAGAAGCTGTACAGCATCATCGATCGAGAAGTTTTATCTGGGAGGGCCAACGGCGGCACCGAAAATGCTCAATGATGTAATCAAGCGAAGGTAGCCGATGGCATTGAAAGTTCTCGGTTGATCAGCTCTTCGCATTTCTTGAAGATATCATCATTCTTAGCAACTCAACAAACTCCCTGTCCACCACCGCAAACCACTCGCCAAAACGCTGAAACTACCCAGAATAACATAAAATAACACTACCACAATGGCTCCAGCAAAGTCCGGCACAGGCTCCAAGACCGTCTTCACCCTTAACAATGGCGTGAAGATTCCCGGTGTTGGTTTCGGTACCTTTGCCAGCGAGGGAGCCAAGGGCGAGTCTTACAACGCCGCCAAGTACGCCCTCGAAGCTGGCTACAGACATCTCGACTGCGCCTGGTTCTACGGAAACGAAGACGAAGTTGGCCAGGCTGTCCGCGATTTCCTCAAGGAGAACTCGAGCGTAAAGCGCGAAGATCTATTCATTTGCACCAAGGTGTGGAACCACCTCCACGAACCCGACGAGGTTAAGTGGTCATTCCAAAACTCCCTCGACAACTTCGGCCTGGACTACATCGACCTTTACCTTGTTCACTGGCCAATCGCCGCCGAGAAAGACGAGAAGCACCAGCCCAAGATCGGAGCGGACGGAAAATACGTCATCAAGAAAGACCTCACTGAAAACTTTGAGCCAACATGGAGAGCAATGGAGGAGCTCGCTGAGAGCGGCAAGGCTCGCGCCATCGGAGTGTCCAACTGGACTATTCCTGGTTTGAAGAAGCTTCTGAGTTTCGCTAAGATCAAGCCAACCGTCAACCAGATCGAGATCCACCCTTTCCTGCCTAACGAGGAGCTTGTCAAGTTTTGTTTGGAGAACGACATTCTGCCATCTGCCTACTCTCCACTTGGATCGCAGGATCAGGTGCCAAACACTGGCGAGAAGGTTCGCACCAACAAGTCACTCAACGAGACGGCCGACCGAAGCGGGAACACACTTGCTCAGGTCCTGCTGGCGTGGGGCTTGCGACGAGGCTACGCAGTGCTGCCCAAGAGCTCGACACCGTCGCGAATTGAGAGCAACCTCCAGATCCCGGAACTATCGGATGAGGACTTCGAGGCCATCAATGCCGTGGCCAAGGGCAGACACACTCGATTCGTAAACATGAAGGATACCTTTGGCTACAATGTTTGGCCCGAGGAGTCGGTGGAAGCTGGCACTGCCGTCGCTTGAGGTTGACCCCTCATTGGACCCTTGAGGGGGAGCGACAAGTAGGGGAAGAAAGGACATTGGTGGAGGGGTACAAATGACGCAAAGCGAAACGAACGATACCCACATAGATTTGATGAGACGACGATAAGGCTTATCACACAAAACGGAACATTGGCGGGCGTTCAAAACGTTGGAAACAAAAGTAAAACCAAGATTAGACTTTGAGCAAATGCATGAGCCATGACAATATGAAAATGTTGCAGAGCAATGTTACATCATCACACGTGCTTCCGGCGATTCTATGTGTAATAGTCAAGTCCTATTTGCTTGTGTACATACCGAAGCCTCATCCTCTGCTGGGGAACTCGTGATCCGCCACTGGGAGCAACATGAAGGGAAATCATTTGCAACATGTTTTAGGAAAGCCGTCTGCGCAGCTGGAGGTCTTGAGCTGCAGGTCACAATCATGAGATTACTACAGAGCAACGAAGCAGCACGAAAACTTCCATAGATCTTCGAAGTCTGCTGTTTCATGCGCCATTGTGTTCAGCCAGTGCCTGACCAGCGTACACTGGATCCGAGTCAGTTTCAAAGCAGCAGAGGGCACATTCGCGACAGCCGGTTACGCAGTCGGCGATCGGCAGTTGCTCAATAAGCTGACTGTGTCGCTGTTTTCAGGGACTGAATTCGAGGCAGATTGAGAGCTCATCTAGGGTTACTGTGATGCGTTGCAGCTCTTTGCAGGCATCCATAACGCTGACAAAATTTTAGGCTTGAAGTCGCAATGCACAATTAGGCCAATTTGAACAACTGGTGCAATAGCCCGAACCAGCGACTTGGTACACCGCATTTACCAATCACACAAGCAAACAGCATTGACCAAGACCTAACAGAGGTCTGTCTAGCCAGGACTTGAATGTCAGAGATAGGCCGTACTGCGGCATATTTACAGCCCAGAATTGGTTGTGATACACACAAGTTTATGACGGGCATGGCAATGAGACTTGTGGCTGCAACCGCCATCCCCAGTTATAGAAGACTTCACTAGCAATTGCAGCACGGTTTAGCGCGACGACGTCTCAATCACGACTGCACGCGACACTCAACTCCACCGATGAACCGGCGGCAGCTTGCGACATAGTTTATAGGAGATTAGGTCTACGATTTGGGAACTACTCCCGTCGCTGCAGCAGCATCCCATCAATTGGCTCACTTACATGGACGAAACTCAACGATGCAACTATTGCACTGTCGTAAATTGTCTTGGGGAAATGGCATGATTCGCGCCGGTCCGGAACCGCGAAAGATTGCAATGTTGCATCTGCCGACCGTACTGGTCGCGGATATCTCGCGTTAATATTCGTCGACGATCGGTCCGAGATTTCGATGCGCACTCAGCCTCGAAGCGACGACGAACAGGGCCACATCATTTGCTCAGAACTCGACCAGGCATTTGCTTGTTTCTACGCACAGTAGGTAGGCAAGGTAGGGCGGTTCGGATGCGTTGGGGAAAGAAACATCGCAGGTTTCCACAGGGTTTGCCAAGACCTAAAGATCATCTCCCACGATCAACTGGGCACAGGAGACGAAAACGTTGGCAGAAGTGTGGGCTCGTGGGGTGCCGATCGGTGTGCGTGAGAGGGGCTCCTATATATATCGAAGCAGGGAGTGGAGCCATCGTTGGAGGGGTAATGCACCTTTCGTTTCCTGCTATTCTCTCGACGAACCATCAGGATCGCGACAGTGCTGATGGCGACGACTAGGACTACCGGTGAGTTACACCAAAAATCATCGTGAGAGGTGCAGGAGTGGGCATGTGCTTTTAAGTATGAAAAGGTTAGCACGCATGCTAACTAAAAGTTACACCGCAAATGTAATCTTCGCTTGGGATGGGCTGATCTGGTATCTGTCTGCTAGATCGGGGCCGAACTGCCTTTCAAGGCAGTCGGTGAAGAGCCGATAGGTTGCAGCGGTTCAATAGCTCCGGCTCAGACTGCATATTTGGGACAAGAAAGCTGCACTGTTTCCAAGCACGCGGGCTAGTAATACTAGTATCCCATGTAATAATAGCAGGAAAAACATGGTACATACTGCAGTGCAGCTGCAAGCCCGAGGGACCCTACCTTTTCGTCAATGTCACCATTTCGTCCAATTATCTCTATAAGATTGTCAGGTTGGGGTAATTTTTGGCAAGCGCCCAGCAGCAACAGACGCGGGAAGCCCTCCGGACACAGACCAAGACGTCTCGTTCAATGTCTCGGATCACCGATTCCCAAACTACGAGAGGTTTCTGCCACCAAACGCCGTGAAACCGATGCGCGATTTCGTGTGTTTCGTTTTCTTCCGCCATCATCCCACATTTCTTCTTTTCTCATGCTCACGCACTCCCACGTGGAAGAACGTGGTACGGTGTGGTATGGAATGGCGTTATGCTTCTGCTGCCCTGTGCCGCACCTTTCTCCAAGTCTCATGTTTTTCTGAGGCTTGAGAGGTGAGCTTGGAGGAGTGGGAAATTGTCTGAATGCGGTATAGAGCTACCTAGTTTCGGCGGTGCGACTGGCTGCTTAACCCAGCCGTGTGGAACCTAATCAGTGGGGTTCCTTGTCAGCCAGCGCCATTGTTGATATAGTTGCATTAGTGCCAATATTCCACAATTCTTTTTGTTGTTGCGCAGAATTGGGGACCCAGGTGGGTGGATGGTGCTCCTTTGGCGAATGTACTGCACTGTTCGAAGAGAAAGAGGCAGCAAAACCTCTGTTCGATCTCCCCCCCCCCCCCCTCCCCGCTAATGTCTTGTGGCACGAGCACGAAGAAGGGGGTCAGTCGCTATGTACTTTAATGATCATCGTGAGCCCATGTTCCTGCTGTCACTTCTTTTTTTCGTCGACTCCCTGCTTATTGCCCTAGGAAACTCCTCTTTTCAACTTTTATCTACCTGGCAGCTGGCCTTGCTTGCTTCGCTTCCTCAAACCTTCCAAAGTTGTCGTTCTTTCGAGAAATAAGTCTGACCAAAGACTTACACAGAAGCCAGAATAACTTCTGTCGCCTGCCCCGCCCCAGTAGTACACCTTACTCTCACTACACACAAAACGCAGCACACTATTACAAGATGCAGCTACGCGCAGCCGTCCGGTCTTTCATCAGCATGCAAATGCACAAGTGCGGCATCTGTGGCACGGAATACTCATCGGGTAGCTGCTGGTATTGCCATCCTCAACACAAGCACGCACCGCTGGACACTGCCGAGATCTAACGACTTTCGGTTTTCTTTTTTTTTGTTCGCGAATATACAAGAACTGCAACAACAACAACAAGAAACAACCAACATCAAAAGCTCATCTTACCATTCTTAATGTATATTTACTACAGAAACGGCTTTCCCATCCGCAAACTCTGACAGGCTCCGTTCCTTCTCGGCTTGTTCCTTCGGCACGAACCCTTGCCAAGACTCTACTTCCGTCCCCCGCTTAGCGAAGGACGCACGAGGCTACATCCCATCTCGGCCGGCCCTCTTCGCTTCATGCCACCGTCGGCATTGCCCACAATGCATTGATCAGAGAACCCGTGTTCGACGGGAAAATTCAGATTTTTTTTTCATCACCTTATCATCTGGCGGCCCCTCCCTATCATCGTCGTCATCCTCACCATAACCCACCACCACAAGGGGCGGTGTCGCGGCAGACATTCCACAACAACGACCCACTATACTATGTATCGTTTTGGGCAAAAGCCATCAACGAACAAGCGGGGCGCGCGCCTCCATCCGAGAGAGGGGGGCCGCGGGCCACAAACGCCGGAGAATCGTGATGATACCCGCTTCAGAGGAGAAGGTACCACCAGGGCAACGATTTGTTTTGTTTTCCCCTTCCGACCACGAGGGAAGCAAGAAAAGGCACGCACGTCTGGGATCCAAGGGGATGGGAAAGGGAAACAGGCGCTTTGGGAAGGGGAAAAATGGAAACCTCTTTTTGTGTTTGGTTTTTGGGTCTCATGATCATTATGCACGTGGAAATATCTGGAAGGAGGTGCATTAGGTGTTCTTGGGGGACTTTTTTTTTTTTCTCTTTCTTCCCATCATGATTTGAAAGAAGTAGGGAACAAGAGCGTCGCCGGTAAAAGGTGGCAACTTTGATCTCTAGGTTTTTTTTTTTTTTCCTGCTTCTAGGCTATCATCATCAAGCCCGTCTCCAGGCTTCTGGTCACGCGAAACCCCGATCGGGGTTGCTTTAGACACCACTTCAATTATATCCTATCTGGAGAAACCGTTGGAAAGCTTTGTCGCCCGGTCAAAAAAATGATGTCTAACGAAACTCTGATGCTTAGTTTTCATGCCGACTTTGCGCAGCAGAACAAGTGCCGGGGAAGGCCGTGCGGTCGCAGTGGTTAGTTAGTGTTTTGGGTTTCGTCGGCCTGCAGTAGCACAGAAAAAGAAGCTTAGCAGCTCGACTTGGCAATCGATGAGCCTCCAACACGCACGGGGGACACGCCGCACGAGGCTGGAGGTTTGGCAGCTGACGATCATGGGGGGCCTCTTCTAACTGGATCAAACTGCCAGCCGAGCAACCCACGGCCAGCGCGTGTGTCCTACGACGTTGTTCGCATGCCGTGGTCTGGCGCACCGTGGAGACGCCATGATGAAAAATAGAAAGGTTGCGCGTGATGTGCTGGAGCGCCCGCTGCACAGCCCGCCCTCTGGCAGAGTAATATACGACGACAGAACGCGCGTTGCGGGGCCACAACCTCGTGTTTTGAGGATATTCGTAAACGAGCTCGTACAATGCGTCCAGTCGAGATGTTGAGGTGGCCATGAGGGTGCGATCCACAGCCGTTTTCTTGGAAGGCGTCGGAACTAGTCAAGTCAGTCTAGACACAAGTTATGCTTCTCTGCCCAGCTTGGGTGAAGATTATTTCCTATGCCTTCCAAATGATATGATATAGTAATGATTATCGTTATCTCTTATGATATCTGCACACTCGCTTCTATCTCTAAATCCAGCGCTATGCTCATAAATGAAACCGCAATATCACCGTCTACTCCATATACACCATCGCTATACCAGACTCCTCAAATTTAGTGCAAACATGCCCTGTATCAAGCGGTCTAGTGCTTCTCTTCGAAAAGCGAGAAGTTCGGCGCACATGGCGCCATATCGATTTTGTGTCAGAGCTTTCCACAACTGACTGACAATTCGCACTCGTCGTATTCGGTAACCTTGGAGGCTTGTGTGGTTAGGTGGCCACTTCTACAACCGACCCAGGGATGGCCATCCGGAAGGGAAGCTCTTCATATACCATGGTATCCAATGAAGCTCCCTATATATTTCCGGAGGGGCCTAGATAACCCAAGTCCCGTGCGTTGGCGTACAACATGTATGGCCTGAGAAGCCATGGCGTCCTCAGCAGGATGCCCGCGCAACGCAGCACGCACCCCTTCATAGGACGTCGCATCTGGAACATTTGAGGCCTGTTGCCAAGGTCACGCAGCAGATCGATGCTGGAACAACAGGCTTGCTTCATGCGACATGACAAAATTGTTCCAAAGAAGACTCCTTGAATGTCTCAATTCGGAATAAACGCACACCACACGATGAATGTACAGCTTGTGTATAGAATTTGCCTTTGTCGGGATAGCCCAGCTAAGAACATTTTCCGTGGATCGTAGCCGAAATACAACAGCGTGTACCCTAATGTATCCACAAAACGGAAGATGCTGTGTAATGTTAGTGGTGTTGCTCGGCCTGGATATGAAAGATGGATTGGGACCCGAAACTCACAGATTGAGTAGGAAAATACCCAAGGCAAACTTGCCCATTGCTCCCACTGGATTCTCGATGGTCTGCCTGGCTGTATAACACACCGGCGGTATCCGCACAATGGTCATCATAAGCTCAGCTGCCAAAGCGTAAGTATATTTCTGTTCATTTTGCGTGCATGTCCTTATTATGAACAACAACAACGCTAGAACGGACAAGCCGAAATCGATCTAGACGGCGCATTAGTACTAGGACAGTAGCAAGACGAGATAGGATGGGACACATACGGCCGTAGGGATGAGCACGGTAGGTGCTTCCCTATACAGCGAAACGGCGAGGACGAGGGCCAGGACTCCAAGGCCGACTTGTATGATGGCCATGACAAACCACGTGATGGTGGCCATCAAGCGCTTTATCCTACACCGAGCATGCAGCGTTTCTGAGCCATCGGAGCCGATGTCGCCACAGACAGGCCACGCGCAGAAGTGACAGATGTAGCCAATCCCGCCGTTTGCAAGTTCCAGCAACGGCCCGTGTTTCCGCTGGTAGTCCGGGGTGAGCTTCACGCGCCAGCAGCGGAAGCAGATTGATCGCCAGGCGTCGTGATCTCTCGTGACGTCCAAAATCAATCGATCCAGGCCGGGCGTGGTAAGACACTCGCTGCAGCAGCCCTGCAGGACGGCGTCGTACTGCCCGTAACTTGAAAAGCGCGACTGCAAGACCTCGGGGGTGATCACGTGACGGTAGAACCTGCAAACTTGGCGCAACCCAACAGTTTCTGGCAGATTCAAGTGATTGAGAACCATGAATTGGAGCTCGAGAGGCAGCGAGGGCAGGCCTGAGCCGACGCCAGGTCTTTGCTTCTCGGCCGATAAATCTGCAGGTCCTCTGGGTTTCCGGCGAAACCTCTCCTTGAGTTCGTGTCCTCGATTTGTCTCCTGCTGGGTCGCATTGTGGGCATAATTGAAGATGTTCATCTTGCGGGAATGTGGTCTGGAGATGAGGCCGTCGCGCTGCAGCTGAATGAATGCAACACGCGGCAAGGGTTCGCGGATGGCGACCCGCGATGATGGCGATGCGGCGCAACCTGGACGCTATCACTCAGGAGTCCCGGGGGGGTCAGGGTGGTGGTGCTGGTGCTGGTGTCGCCGATCTCCAGCTACTGTCGGCGTCCCACGAGGCAGCGTGCCGTTGCGAACAAATGCGCTTCATCTGTCGTCCCAGATCGTCCCCGGAGAAACAACAGACCACGTGCAGGCGTCCAGCGCGACCCGATGCTGACCAGTGTTGATCGAGTAAGGGGCGAAGGTCTGCGACGGTGATTGTCGTCGCCAATGTTGTGGCAAGAGCCTTACGCTTGCCGGTGCTGCAACAAATGCAACTGCAACTGGCACTGGAACTGGAACTGGAATTGGAACTGCAATCGGAACTGCAACTGCAACATGGCTCGCTTGGCCTGGCCGTGGAATTGAGGCAAGGGCGGATTTTGTATTTTGCGAGGGACAATTCGGTTGTCCGGCACCTTGGGACGCACTGGGGGGGCCGCTGGGGGGGCGCTGGCACTCACTTGGTTGGGCACTTTGGGGGGAGGGAATTAGCGCCAAGAAGCGCGGGTGTTCGGCACGCCATTACTCAGAAGTGGGTTGGCAGATGAATGGCTGATGGCTGTATGTAAAACCTGCCCACACCTCGATCGTGGCCATGTGGTGCCGGTATCCGTTTCGCGACGAGACAGACTGGACAGTGCATCCGCCGCTCGGCTCATCAGCACTCAGGACCGAGAACCCAGGGCTCAGGAATGGGAGGCAAAAGGCCGATGGACGTGTGAGTGCCGCATTGTCAATCCGGAGGGCCCGATGCCGATAGCTTTTCTTTCCTCGTGGGAGTGCTAAATACCAAGAAAGCCAAGACTAGGTGAAAAATCTCCCCTAGGTTAGTTAGCATTGGCTCCCGAGCTTTTATGCGCCGCAAACCAGTTCCTTTAGCACAGACGGTGCCTAGAAATTGTGACCGCGTCAGCGCTCCAAATTGCGTAAAACACCCCGTATGATACAGCAGTTTGGGGGGGCATTTAGAGCGTCACAGGGCTGAGGCTAACCTTGGGCGATTAAAGTTGGAGAACCATGGCCCCTCCATGCCGTGATTCCGCCCCAAGTCAGTGTCTTGCCTGCCCCGGCACGAATTGCACACTCCACGACTCAGTCCGCCTCACTTGGCACACCATGGGCCCGTGTAGAGGTGTCAAGCAGCCACTATGTATGGCCGACGTCTTGAGCAGATAATGCTAATAATGATAATAATAATATAATCATGATACCAAAATACGGGAATATCATCTTGATCTGCCCAGGTATTACCGCACCCGATAACGCCGTCTCACAGCCCTCGACCCGCTATCCCCAGAATCACCTCATGCAGAATTGTTCCACATTCAATCGTCATCAAGTCTTGGCGACGGCCTCGATGGGAAGTCGCCAAACCATATAACTATAAGACAGCCGTGGCAACCATGATTATATTACATCTTCAAGCCACAACCCAAATCTTTCTGGACTAACTTTCCTCACCAGCCAACTCAGCAGACACAACTTTCACAACATCCCGCATTGCCGTCACTCTTGCCATCACTGAAGTGGGCACAGCCGGCTTCCGGGGCGGGCTGACACTGGACACGTGCAAAGTGCCGACATTGCCGATTTGTTTCTTTTCCATGCAACCGTGACAGCTCGAAACCCGCGCCATCGATATGCTTCGCGCCAAAAATCTCGACGCGAGCCCTCCAAAACCGAGAACCCGCTTATGCGGCAAACAGCACCCCTTACCACTTGGACAGTGAGCGGATAAGCGGTTCGGTAGCCTCGTAGATACCCTTCACGAAGCAGCTAAGAGACCTGGAACATTCAGCAATGTCGGTACTTTTGCTGCTGCGTCAAAGTCTAAAGTCCATGTAGAATCGCATCGCATCGCACGGAGAAGGATCTCGGCTCGAGCCTGCCCCCATGAGACTTCAGCACTCGTCGAAGTGGCTTGCTGATTTGATGAAATACCGCAATATGCAATAAAATGCACTCCACAACGCAAATAGGTGATACCGACTTGTCGTGCATGGTATTTCCCACTAATTATAGTGGTATGTGTGCAACCAGCTCTTTCTCTTGGCCCCGTGTAAGTGGGCCACGTCTTGACATAGTACTGTCCGAGAACACAGACCAACATGCCCAGCAAACCGTCAAGACTTGGCAGTTTATACTACTATTTGGCAAACGTAATAAGAATATGGTTGGTCCCTGGTAATTTACGGAGAAACACTAGCAAGGACCCACGGGAAGAAAATTGTGGAGGATTTTGTCGTGCGAAGAATGACAGTCGTGACCAACCATGCCCATACCTTCGCCGCAACAGCAAGACTATGAACATCTCGCCAGATCATATCACTAACCTAGGATACAACTGAATTGCCCATCTCAACTCTGGCGACGCGCACGATCCCGCAACATACGTGATACGCAGTCTTTGAACCCGCTGACTGCCCAAGCACGGGTAGCGCAGAGTCCTGATGTAAAACCTGCAAGAGGATGCGCTGATACCCATTGCTTGTTGCTGATCGGCCCCATTCAAGTTTGCCTCTGCTTACTCATCTAGACTGCAATATGTCGTCAGATTGCCAGCCTCCCCAAACCTCGAGCCCATTACCACAGCGTGGCCGCGAGACCCTGTAATCACGGTAGTACTGAGTATCAGATAGCATAGATGTACGCACGTTGATACTCAAGAGTGATACAATACTCCTACAGGGTGTGATGGAGGTGAGCTTGAGTTGATATGCATGGAGGAAATTACCACTAAAAAGAAATTGCCGACGATCATGCGTGAATAATGAAACGGCGTCGCGCTTCTCCTCGAGAAGCAGGCGACCCTAGCTGTCTGGTTTTGGGATTCTCAGGGCATATAACCAAGCATGATGAAAGTGATGAGTCTTTATAGGTGTATTACTTTTCCTAATATTAAGGCATTAATGACTAAATGTAATTGTAAATGTATCAAGCGCTTTATAACCAAACGAAGAAGGCAAACAACTTTTTGCATTTGCGACTCTTATCATAAGTCTTGCACTTCGAACACAGACAGGTGCGTCTTCCCATGAGGCTTTTCCTTGGCGAAAAACTGCGTCACACTATACGTGCTGCCGGAGGCTGACATCCAGCCTCCGCCACGGGTGTCCTCGCTCGTGAGGGAGATCCACGACTCGGGGGTGAGGCGAGACGTGGGGCGCGACCAGTTGGCGTAAGGGGACTTGGCCTCCTTGGAGAACCAGAGGCTGGACCTGGCGGACAGCGGGGTATCGGCGCCGCTGATGGCGGCCTGCTTCTTTCTCTCACGGGCGCGGTGGGCGCCGCTGCGCAGCTTGCCGAGCCACAGCATCTGCTCGTGCTCGCGCAGGTAGCGGTGCGATGAGAAGTTGTTGAAGACGTTCTGGCGGCCCAGCATGCCGAGGCCGCGGCGCTGCTCCCGCTTGGCGTACATGCGCTCCGAGATCTTCTTGACCGACTCGGGCGAAGGCACGGGATACTCGAGCACAGGGCATACCTCGTCGGGGCCCTGCTCGGCGTGCTCGGCCCAGCGGCCCAGGAGCGCGAGGATGTTGACCTGGGCGCGCGCCAGAGATTCGGAGTCGTTGGGCGGCACGACCTCGCTGAAGCGGTCGCCGGTGGTGCGGTCGGTAACAACACAATACGAGGCACCGACATCTGTACAGACGACGGGGACACCTGTCAGGGCTGCCTCACCCATAGCCAACGGCAGACCCTCAGAGATGGACGAGTTCAAGAAGAGCCATGCGTCTTGGAGAACAACCGAGGGGTTACCAAGGCCCTTGAGGATGACATGCTCAATGAGACCCTTGGCGGCGATGAGCTCTTGACACTCCGTGGCAATGGTAGCGGCTCGTTCCTGGTCACCGTAGATATGCAGTTGATAGTCTCTGAAGCCCCACTTGTTCACGATCAAATCGGTAGCCATGATGGCGTTCTTAATATCCTTGGCATATTGCACATGGGACAACATGACCACGGTAGGAGTGTCGGTTTTGATCGTCTTCGTCGGCTCAAACTTCTCCATGCTAGTGATGCCGTTGACGACGGGGTCAATCTTGCGGGCGAAGGTACGGCGGTGCTGAATGGCACCCTCGGCGGTTCCGAGCTCCTCTTCCCAGCCGGGGTTGAAGTAATCGCAGCAAGGAAGTACAACGTCAGCATGGTGCTCAAGAAGCACGCAACTCAGATGAGTCAGAGAGATCAGCGAGCTGTTGACGAAAGGAGAATCATACGACACGGCGGAACTCATGAAGGTGGTGAACTCTCGGTAACTGATACAGTGATCCCAGATGTGAAGAGAGACGTCCCGCTTCTCCTTGCACACGATACCATAGGTGGCACCAGTAAAGTGGTGAGAAGCCTGGAAGATATCGGGGATTTGCTCAGGAACGGGCAGCGAGAATATAAAGAGGTAACGGCACCATAGGTTCAATGCGTCGTCGAGATGTTTGATCGTCGGCATCTCGAAATTCCACCAGTTGTCGATATTCATGGACTTGTCACAGTCGCTCAACCAGAGCTCACGCCACTTCTCCTTGACGACAGGATTAGTCCACACATCGTTCCAGTTGCGAGAAGTCTCGAAATAGGTATTGAGGTTGACCAGAGCCTTGGTGGCCTCGTCAACATGCTCCCGGGTTAGGTTGATGGTACGAGCGCACTTGACCAGACTGGAGAGAATAGGGATGAAGTTCTGCAATATGTCCTTCGTACGGGTGTCGTGAGTTCGCTGGACGACCTGAGTATCAAGGTTGCTTTCCAAGACGCCGTGGATCGGGTTCAGGAAATCGAGACCCCAGAGAGGCAAAATTGTCAGTGACTGGACGTTTTGTTCGATCTGGAATCGAGGCACACCATAATCGTTTGCCGACTCAGCAAGAACGTGCCACTTGATAGTGTTTAGATCGTTGACCATGTCTCTACGACAAGCAGAAACACCACCAGGATCGTTGGGCCAGGTCGAAGTATCCATGCAGAGAACATGAATCTCATACTCGCTATCCAGAAGTTGCGAAGACAAATGACGTGTGTTGATGGATGACTCTCCACCAGTGCCAAAGGTGTACAGATCGCTCATCTTGAAGGCGATGTGGATCCATGCACTGACCTGAGGATTGATGTCAACTCTGGCCATAATGGTATCAGCCTGCGCATCCACGTATGACTTGGCAGCCTCGAGACGACAAAAGTCGCGTCGTCGCCAGTAAGGGCGCATAATCTTGTCTGCACGTAACAACTCCTCGTCCAACCAGCGGGCGCTGATGGCGTCGACTTCCCTGCCGTCCTTCCAAGCTTTCCAAAGCTGTGTACGAGCCACGGCCGTGGGAATGGGGTAACGCCTAACATTGAGACCAATGAGTCGTGACACTGGGTTGGATTTGATGGAAGAAAACTCGAGGAGAGGGTTCTCGCTCAAAAAGCTACAGTTCTCGGGCTTCTCCAAGACATGGAACCAATCCTCACTGATCATCAGAGGGGTCTCGACGTCCTTGCCATTCAGCGTCACTGATACCTCAGGATGGAATTTGTGTTCAAAGTCCCATGAGGCATGCCAAGTCTTGTCACCCTGGATGTAAGTCGCTTCCGTCACCGCAGAGAAGGGGATCCAGTGCTCCAATCTCTTCTGCGGGTTGCGAGGAGGCATACTCCAAAGAACCTTGATTGTAATGTGGGGGAATGTGTACTCGGCCCACAGCAATTCGTCTTCGTGCTTAGCGTTGTGTCTATAGGAGTTCTTCCAGTTGACGCGATTCTTGCCCCTCATGGCTGAGCCTGTGGTGATATAGCCTCTGTGATCATATTGAGCAAGCTCGCCTTGGCGCTCACCTGTGAGACATTTGCGCTGCATAGGAAGCTTTGATCGAGGGTTCTCATACTCGTACTCGAATGAGTTGATGATCTTGCCTTTACTGTAAACCTCTCTTGTGCTGAGGATGAGGTGGTTGTTGTAAGTGTTAACAGACATGAGACCCTTCTGATCGCTGGGCTCAGAGTCGTGTTTGCCAGCATACTGGAATAGTCGCAAAGAACCGCTATCGAGGGTTGTCCAGAACCAGCTTGCTGGGCCGTTGAAATTCTCCGTAGTAAGTCTGTTCTTCTCAAGAGTAGTTGTAGTGCCTCTCATGAGCTTCTGAAGTTTAGTTACGTGTTCGTGACGATAGAACAAAACGGAAGGGATCAGAAAGTTCTGCAACAGCTTGCAGTACGACCAGATGGTGGTCAAGAAGAAGATCAAGGGCCAGCGAACAACAGGCCAGGTGTTACGTAGAACAAAGTCTAACTCTCGTTGATACTCAGGATCCGCTGTCAATGAAAGGACCAGGAACTTGACGCAGAGGTTGAAGCCTCGGAAGAGTGTGGACACTGGCTTCTTGGGCACGGAGAGGAGGTACTTTTCGTGAGTCTCGTCAACGGGGTAAAGCTCTTGCACGACCTTGCCGGTAACGTAAGAATTTTCATCAGGCGCATTGAAGCCTTTGTCCTCCAGATCCTGCGCATACTTTTTCACACTCTTCGTTAGAGCAGCACCAAGATCGTTACGAGCAATATGGATATCTACATCCTGAGGGTTCTGAGAACCAATTCTGGTGCAAAGCCACTGCTCCACACCAGCTTCCAAAGCACCCGGGGCGCCGAGGCAGCGCTGGAGGAGGAAGGTTCGAACGGACTCAGAGAGAGACTCCCACTCTTGTTCGCAATCCAAGCCTAGGAGGAGGTATGACAGGTATGTCTTGTCGCTTTCTTTCATGAGACGGACACGTTCTGATGAACAAGTCTCAAGCTGTCGTTTGATACCCTCAGGTACAGAGAGGCCACCCTGCATGGAGTGTTCGACAACCAGAAGCTCTGCAAGCGTTGCGTCATCATGGGACATTGCGAGCTTGTGCTCAGAGAAGGACTGAACAATTTGCTCGGCGATAATCTTCCAGTGGCGTTGAACATTCAGAACCCATTCGTCGATTACTCGGTCGGGACCAAGGATTACGATGAGGTGTAGAGTGTCGCCAGACTTGCGGCTGATAGAGCGCAGCTCGATGCCCCCACCAAACTTGTGACGAGAAGAGACAAGCTCAATAACAATTTCACCGGACAGCCAGTTCTGTGCGGCAAGATCCAGTATCTTCTGAGCTGAGTGAAATGAGGCCTTTAGAACGGGAGGCGTCCTCAATCTGTCTCCGTGGGAGAGCAGCTCCAAGATGCGCCTACCAGGATGCTTTTGAGGATCAAGCGTATAACGATCTTCAACTGGCAGAGCGCGGAAGCAGTCAAAGAGTTGGCTCATAGTTGTCTGGGAAAGATCTGGGCTTGGCTTCAAAGTGCTCACAGAGTAAGATTTCGCCATGAGTGTTTTCTCGTCAGATGCAGCTAAAGCGAAAGCTGTCTTCCTCTTCCAGACCATGATGTTTGGCAAGCCGATGTTGGCGACGAACATGGAGTAGAAGCCAGCTGTCCAAGTAGCGATAGCGAGAGAGACAATACCACCAAAGGACCAGTAGGGCAGGCACTTGTGCAGCGCGATGCCGACTGGAAAACCAACGACCGCACCAACAGCTAATGGAGCTGCACCGTTCAAACCACAGTAAATCTTGTTGTATTGGTACCATAGGAGACCAGAGTAAGCACCAAAGTAGCAGAGGAACATGATTGAGTCATTCTCGTAAGCTGAGAAAGCCCACATAAGTGCAGCAAAAACTGCAGCTCCCCAAAGGTGAAGGAAGAAGAATTTGGAGAGCGATCTCCAGTAGAGGCTTCGCCTAGCAAGGTTGTCTGCTTTGTTGGCTTCCTTCAGAGACTCTAGGGAAGTGATAGGCTTGTTGATCTTCTCGTTAGCGGCTGTCCACAGCGGTTGCGAGACGGTGTCGAGCGCCACTGCGCCCACAAGATAGTAGCAAAGACCAAACCCGACTCCGAGACGGAACTCTTCGCTGCTCGCAGCTGACAAACCCACGAGGCCACCTCCAGTGAACAGAGCAGCCCACTTATCCAGAAGCGCAACGACGAAGTAAAGAAGTCCAGACCAAATATCTTTTCCAGTGGATCTCCAATGCAAGAAGGCGCTGTGAAGCTTCAAACCCTTCTGCATGTTGGTCATGTTCTCCATACCGGCCTTGAGTGTCAAGTTCCAAGTGGTGCTGTAAGCCAACGGCATCCAGGATCTCTTGTGGCGACAGTACCAGCGCATCAAGAACATGGTTGAGCCATATCCATCCGACAGCTTCTTGATGAAAGGGTCAGATGTTTGTTTCTGGAAGAACCACCGGTTGACATCCTTGAGCACAGCATTGTGAACAACAGTACGCGCAATAGGCATGATCTCATTGTTGGCCCAGCCTTCAACACGGGTACGTTCGTCCTCGGAGGCATGCTCGCGATACCACTCAATGATCTCAGAGTCCTTAGTGTAAGGAATTGCGAGGTACCAGGAGCTCCACATAGCAACTGTGTCTCGTGCTCTCCACAAAAGAGCCAACAAGAACGTACTTAGGACTGGTAAATAAATCCTAATATCGTCATCATATGCCATACTGGCGATAGGCGAGATGAATAGGATGGGAATGCAGGTGATGATGACCGTCCTACCCGAAAGAAACTCTGATCCTGGTAATTGGTAGATAGATAGCGCATTGAGAACCAAAAGGTATGTGGAAAGCATGACGAAATAGAAAAGAAAGATCCCAGCAGCTGTCGCCGTCTGGGTGCTGATAATGACGACGAAGCCAACGACAGCGACCAGTAAGCTCAAAGCGACACCGGCAGTTAATCGAGTGAGAATGAACAAATTCATGGCGGGGAAACCATTGGCGTAGAAGTAGTAGCTACCGCCAGAGCAGATCCACTGACCAAAAGCGCCAGTCAGCAGAAGTGCGCACATGAGGGCTGTAGTGGCCATTGTCTTTTGCTCCGAGGACATAAAGGTAGTCAAGTACAAACCGCGACCGACGGTGGTAAGTAGCATCACATCAATCAGCGCAGGAATGGCGAAAATACCAAAGAAAGTAAATCGGTAGCTGAAAGCCGTTTTCTCCTCTCCGCCCGTGGGATCAATATCGGACTGCATGGCCGCATACGCTGTGGGCAACTCCGTAAAGTTTTCGGTACGTCTCGGAGGCTGATACTTCATATAGTATTCTCTGTATCGATTGGCAACGATCTTTCCGACGTTGCGGGGTGTCATGTCAAAAAAGGAGTCACAACGAGAACCGAGAGCGAAGTTTTCAGCAAAGCAAGCAGCCTGGTCAGCAGCGTGGTTGGGATAAGGGTTTCGATCCAAGGTCTCGAGGTAAACCTCGTCCATTGCTAACTTTCGGAATGCAGAAATGATGGATAGAGCAAGAATATCAGCACCAGCATCGATCTTGTCAGCCTCAGCCAACTGCTGCATGGCATAACCAAGACGGGCGTATACTTCGCTCTCGCCGCCCACAAGAGCGGTATAGAGGCGAGTATCAATGTCCACGAACAGGCGAACGGCTTCGGAGCGTTGAGGTACCCAACAACGTTTCTCAGAGAGCCATTCCAAGCGGGAAGTGATGAGCTGTTCAGCAGTGACATCGTTGTTTAGATAAGCGACCGAGTTGAGCGCCCTTTGCTGGGTGAGCATCGGCACACTAATCAGGTGATACTTCATACATTTGGCGACCAAACTGAAGAACTCCGATTTCCTCGGCCTTGCAGAGATACGAATGGAGAACTGGATCATCTCGGCAGGCGAGAGTAGCTGGACATCTTGTACGAGACGCTTGGGCAAGAGCCATTCCGTGGAGAGGGTTCCAAGGCGAATTGCCATGGTACGCTCGGCGTCGAAACATTCTACGCGAGGAACCTGTTTGCTAGACAAGAAGGTGTGCAGGATGGTGGCAGCGCGTTCCTTCGCCTTGTTGGAGAGAAACAAGACGACACCCTGAGTAACGGGGTCCACATCGTATAGGCCCCAGTATTGGGCGCCGGAGCTAGTTTGAAAGCCGGAATGAAGACCAGAGAAGACCTTGAGAGGAGCATTTTCAGGGTCGGCGGTAGATTTGTCAAGAAGATCAAGAAGCTCATTAATAGCAGAAACAGTGCCAGGAGCGAAACGGTCAGCGTCACGAAGGGTCTCGATCTGTCTGCAAACCTGTTTGAGCTCATTACCCTCAATCTTTGCCAGGAGATCCAAATCTCTAAGTTTGAGTTGATCTCGACGAATCTGATCAAATTCCAAGAAGGTTGCATCATGACCAAGCATGAAACAACCAAGACCGCTTGTTTCGTCATTAAGAAGTACGGGAGATGGATTCTTAGAGTTGATTTCGAGGAACGAACTAGGAGGAGTGCGCTTGACGATGTAGCTTCCAGTGCTATCTCGCTCCGTAATATTCGGCTTGAAAAGATGTAGTCTTGAATGAATATCAGGAATAAATGCAGAGAGGCTCTCGTAGATATCTCGGTGGCCTTGCGGGGAAGTGGCAATCTTGTCGTTTTTGCGCCAGTACTCGTGGGCTTTCATGTTCGCTTCATCCTTTAGCCACATCAAAGCACCGAGGGGTTTGCTGGCAAGAGCATGTGAGTGCGCAAGCGTAGCATCGTAAAGAGCTGCCTGGTGGCCGATCCAGCACAGTGCGCTATTGAAGGTAGACCAGTTATAGGTACGGGTAGCCACAGCGTATTGAATGCTAGCATCGTCGTCAACGGTTTCCATCATGACCAGTGCGGGACCGTGAGTCACGCGTTGGGCGGCAGCAGCTCTCATAACAGTTCGCATTTGTTCCATCTGAAAGTAGTTCTGTCGGTCACCGTCGGGTCTCATTGTTCCATTCTGGTAGATCAAGCCTCGAATATAGTTCATATCAATCTCCTTGGCTTCTGCTTCCGAGATATAATCGGGATAAGACAATTCGAGCCACAGCTCCCGACCAAGCAACCTGGCGTGACGGGACACTTCATTAACGATGGCGGGTTTGAAATGCAACCTGAAGTTGGTAATAATCAGACCAGTGAAGACATTCTGACCTAGAACAGAGTCCATCGTTTGCAACAATATCTCCAACTTTTGGATGATAGCAGCACTGCTATTAGTGGTGGTAGACTCGGCGACCTTGTCAATATCAATGCGCGCGAGAATCTCTCTTGAGGTTGTTGGGTAAGATTGTAACGCCTGCACAACTCCATCCTGAAGAGGATCAACGACAAGTACGTGCCACTTAGACAGCAGGCTTTGCTGTGCGCGAGTTGGCGGTTGGGCAAAACTGCCAAGGAAAACACCAAAGGTCTTTAACTCCTCGCCAGTAGGCTTTTCAATGACGGATACTGCAGACTGCTTTGAGCGCTGCCGTAGCTTGTGAAGGTAGCGAGCGACAGGCCGTGAGACGGTAGTGGTTGAGTGATTCTGATTGAACTATCAGTACGAGCTCAAACCAAGATGCGTGATGATGAGCCATCTGGTCTGGTTTGCGAAAACTTACCTTAGCTCGCTTAATAAGATATTTGGAAAGAGTGTATAAAGAATAACTAAGACCGAGAATCAAAGTAGCTAAAAGAAAGGCAGCGATAAGCCGTTCCCACCAGGAACCAGTCATGCCATTCCAGCCGACTGATGTCAGACCCAAAAATCTGAGACCCATCTTGCAGACGTACTTGCCGAGTATCAAACCTGAAGATGGTCACAAGTATAGAGATATCCCCCATAGGGTTGGTCATGTTCAAAATGAAAGGTGGGAAGCCCGTCGATGTATAACGAGCCATATATTCGCAAAAGGGTGCTTGTCAGGAGGCGACTCCACAGGGCTGGATATCGTGTTCAGCTCTTCTATGGCAGAGTGCGGCGATCTTCGAATCTGAAGATCTTAGGGGAACGCCGATGCATCTCGAACCTTCTCGTATCGATCAGCTCATGCTCGAGACAATATTAGAAGCCTCTCATCGAGGATCAGGGATCTGTACACATCGGGTTCAGCTCTTGAGGATAAGTCAGTATAGCTCGCTTAGTGCACCGCCCAGTTGGCCAGGTCTAAATTGAGGTGTAGGGATAAAGACCGGGTAGCCCAGTAGCCGATATCTTCATCAATCCGATAGTACAGGCGAAGTAAGGATTCCGGGGCGAGAACATGGCGGCGAAGGCATCGGTTGGCCCACCAGTGATTCTTTGACCTAACTTATGGAGTGATGACTCGATAGTGGAGATCGGAGCATGGAATGAGCATCAGAGCGACAGAGAAAAGGCCTTTGCCTGTGCCTGTGCCTGCCATGAGCAGGGTAGGGGTCCCCCGAGGGCGTTGGCGATACAGATCGTATGCACTGAGACAAGCTTGGGAAAATCCCACGCTGCTCGAAACTTCCTAACCTGGTGCGTTGCTTATTTGCTGTGAAGAGCTAACGGTGACGCTGGAATCTTGTGGCGCCTTCGTGCACGTCGGCTCGTAATGGATTAATGGAGGGGACCTCAACCCTTCCGGGGCTATGCTAGCCCATCCATAGCGACCCATGGCACACAATTATGGTGTTTGTTTTCTTTCGTTTCCATTCGAGGACTGAGATATTCATGTTGAACTTGATGTCGACCGGACAGCCTGCAACTTGTTAGAACTATGCTAGAGTATAGAAACTCGAACATACGAGGAGAAGTTCCCCTTGCCCAATTGCAACGAACTTCAGTTGGCATCGTAGTCGTAGCGGAGCACCTCTTGAGGGCGTGGTTGTAGTACGTAAATACCCTCATCATCCCTACTCGATATGTGATTGCTCGGATCCGACTGCATGGAAACAGCGCCAACATGTTCCCAACCCCCTAACCTAGCGCCCTATTTGAGATGGCTCACATTAGCAGAATGCTTAAATCTAGCCCGGTTTCTGACTGGTCAATAGGCAAATTAATTGGCAAGCACGACGTCGCATGGTACCTGTCTTGTTGCGCCTACTATCAGCAACAGCCGCATGCCAAGATTTCTGGAATGTGACGAAAAGGCATAAGCCACCGTGAGGCGCAAAGGATTTCAATAACTTTCCGAGCATTGATGACGGAAGCACGGCTGGAGGGTAAAAGAAAGAAAAGAAAAGAAAAAGCAAAAAGAAAAAGAAAGAACATCGTGATCCGGAAATAGCCCTGCAGAATCACATTATGCTTTCGAAATTAGAGTAAGCAGTGATGCGGTTAGGTGCATGTTAACATGATTGATACCTGGATAGAATTGAATTCTTGCATTGTCTAAGCACTAGTATCCACAGACCTCCTTATACACACCCGTCGCTGAACCTTTTTTGTATGGCGTTTGTGGTACGGATCATATGGCACCGTCATTAATGAGCAGTCGGTTACCACTTCATCATCCATCCCTATTGTGAAGTGAAGCTGTGGATGGAACCTTACCAAGTCACTGGCTTTCTATCAACAAAATTCTTTTTGTTGTTGTGATAAACAGCTTCACACCATCAAGTGCCCCGCCAAAGCTATTGGCCTATTTCACCTATTAGCTGACGCATCAGCGGCTCTGGTATGTCCCAGCGTTTAATGGGAGCTGGGTGCAGGGCTTCTACATTGGCAGCGCTTGTCGACGTCTGTGGAGTTGTCACCCAAACACAAAGAAGCAAAAGCTGCACCCTTAATACGTTTCAGATCACTTGCGCATTCGCATGTTGCATCGTCGCCGGCTTCCTGGGCCAAATCATAACCAGTTGCTTTGCATCTTTGAGTTGTATTCTTGCAAATAATTAACGCTGCAGGATCGCAGCGAAGGTTTCAGAAAGAGATGAATCTTCAAGAGGGGTGGCCCAAGGGCTGGCGACAGAAGAAATGGGTTTGGCTATTGATAGGCGTGCTGGCCGCCATCATAATCATCATCGTCGTCGTTCCCATCGCGGTTGTTTTCGCCAGAAAAGCCAAAGCTGCCACAGAATTCGGAGCCATGTTGCTCGTGCCGCTATACATTTACCCCACTAATTCCTCGTGGATGCCGATTTACAATGCGTAAGATGGTTCGAATCCCCTAGATTATTAGACGACAATGCTGATATGTTTACTCAGCATTGAACTGCGCCCCACGCTCAACTTCACGGTGATCGTCAATCCCAGCAGCGGCCCAGGAGAAAATCCACTTCCAAGTGACGATTACTATACTGCTGTACAAAAGCTCAACTCGTACGCCAACGTCAAGACGGTGGGATATGTTAGGACAGGATACGCCACTAGAAACATCACCGAGGTAATCGACGATGTATTGACCTATGCCGGATGGTCTGCAAACTCTTCATCCCTTGGAATGAGTGGCATTTTCTTCGATGAAGCTGTTCATCAGTACGACGCCGATGCAGTTACATACATGGAAACCATCGATCAAGTAGCGAAGAACGCCACGGGTCTACTAGGCGACCGGAGGGTATATACTTACTCGCCATTTAGAAGACTTACTGCTGACCGTAATTACAGGTTATTCACAATCCTGGAACTATTCCCGACTCGCGGTACAACAATAGTTATGTCGACATCACAGTTGTTTTTGAGGACAACTATACAGCTTGGCAAAATAAAAGTGCGGAGGTCGAAGCTCTTTCGGAGCACCGGCATCTTAACAGCATCATGATTAATTCGGTTCCTTGGATGAGTGATAGCGACTTGAAGATGTTCGTCAACGACCTAGCGGCAAAGGGCGAGCATATTTTTATCACTGGCAATCAGAAGAGCTTCTACGAGTCTTTTGCCTCTGACTGGTTCAACTTTGTGGATGTGACAAAATCCACGAATCAATAGCCATATATATACCACATATTTATACCCTTGTTGTTAAACTTCAGCCTTTGTATTGCAATACATCCAAACTCCATTGAAAATAGAATGATAACTATTTATGACGATTTGCCCACTGCGGCGGTGAATTTATGCCAACTCTGTCCAAAGCTCTCATAGAAGTCATCCACGAGATCAGTTGCGAAGACATACTGGCCGCGCTGACACAAGTCCTTTACCACATCATGAATCTGATCAAGTGGAATTCCAGAAATCTGGTACATGGAGCGCGACCAGTCGACGCTAAACTCGACCAACCTCTTTTGAACGGTGTCGTCTTCATATTCTTTGTGGGGGACCTCGCAGATACAGACGACATCTGGGCTCCCGAAAGAGGCAAGGTCCTCCACACGCTCACCTCCACCGCCGACCAGAGGGGTACCGGGATTGTGGATGACCTGGTATTACAAATTCGAGCCGTCAGTTTTAGAAACTAGAGGCTATAACATATATGCACGTAAAATGAGGGTGGCGGCGGATAAGAAAGGGATAAAAAGGAATGTGGGTAGAGACGGGGTAACGCGTAGTCTAGATGACAAGAAGGAATCAACACGTACAAGCCGGTCGTCAAGCAGGCCGTGCGCATTCTTGATCAAGGAGCGAACTTCGGTCAGATACTCGAACCTTTCAGCTGAAAAATGGTTGGGCACCTCGTCCACAAAGATGCCCTGAACGTAGAGGCCTGGAACCTCGTAAGCAGCATGCCAATCTGCGTAGCGACGAATTTCCCCGTAAGTTTCCCAAAGAGGCTTGCGACAATAGTCTATGCGAACATAGCCCACTGTGTAAACATTTGGGTAGGCATTCAGTTTGGGTACCTCGCGCAAATAGTCGTGACTAGGCAGCGGCGTGTCGCCCGGCCCACTGTTCGGATTGACTATCACAAGAAAGTTGGTATCGGGGTGAGCGGAGAAACTGTACAGGCGGAGCCGATCAGAACAAGCACATGTATACTTCCCCGGGTTTGGATTTGTCTTGTTTTTGTCGGAGCAAGCGAGGTAAGGCTCTAGAGCGTCGCCACCCCCCTCCGCGACGGTGATGCCAACGACGAAAATGATTGAGAGATAGTCGAGGTTACTTACGCGTAGTGAAGCGGCTTCCATGTATCCTCGGTCAGCGGGTAGTAATAGAGAGGCATAACCACCCATGATTTATGGCTAGTCTTGACCATGGTTGTGGCTGGGGTGGATCGTGTTCGTACGAAATCAAAATGGAAGACTGCAGCCAAATTACTTGGACAAATGAGAGTTCAATTAGCTCGAATCAGTAAGATGTTCCATAAAGGATGATGCAATTCCCATTACCATCTCTTTGTAGGTGTATTGACCATGACACGAGGTTTGGTGCTTATCGAAGGCCGACTTGTCCTAGATTCCTATCGTCTACTTCTTAAATTCCGCTGGAAGCTCGCTTATTTAGTGCAGCACAAGCCTCTGCGGCACTGCTGGAGTAGCGCGTCGCCCCCCTGCAGAAGCGCTTACTATGCATACACCCTCTGCTTTGCCCGGTGTTTATCACCCTACTCCCGATCTGGAACTCCCTATTTCCACACGAGCTCCAGCTGAGCTATACTTGGCATATATTGAACTGTCACTGATGCATCCCCAAAAACTTTTTCACCTCCCCAGTATTTGCTCATAATGGAAAATCCTGGTTACCATCCTGGTTACCAGTCTAATTGAAAACACCGACCCATTTGCCAGGCTTGTTTGTTCCTAACTCATGCGATGCTTCTTCGATAGCCCGAAGAACGGATATTCCCCCGTCTCCACAACAGTTGCCAACTGACCGTGGATGCTTCGAGTCGCAAATAATGATACCTACCTAGGCCGTTTTGCCTACACTACTACTACACCGCATACACTCCGTGTCGGACATCGATAGTTCGATGACACCTGTACGGATCGTCGAGCGAGACGCCAAGGTTGACGAAGCTGAAGGACGAGTGGAGTTCTTCGGTGAAATTCGTCAACTCGTGCAAGCCATAGTTATCTCTCCCGCGTTTGATTGATTCTTTTTCTGTCTTTCCTTAGCTGGAAACACGAGCCCTCACGAAAACTACCGGTGAAGGTGCAAGTTAGAGTCACAGCGCGGACGGCAGTGGCTCGGGTGTTCTTCCAAGCCTCAGGTCCCGCATCTTGCTGCGTGGACATAGAAGCTACCCGGATCTTAGCGGATCATATTTGAATTATACACACATTACGCACAGTTAAAACCTTGGTCATATCCATCCCAATTGTACCTAACCGGTCCGTTATTCCTCTTTATCTCCAGTCCGATTTTATTATAGGTCTCTTATACGATTATTTTTGTGGTAAAGATGAGCTCTCAAATGTCATCGTTAGAGTGTTCGCCGAGATCTAGCTCTCCGGTCGACTATCCCTCCACTCCAGCATCTGAAGCGGACTGGTCTTATGATGTCGACGGTATTAATGACATTTTGTTCACGTCGAGGCAGAACCAGTATGTCCTGATCACGGGTGGACTGGGATTTATCGGCAGCCATACTTCAGTACAGATCATGAAGGAGGGATACAACGTAATCATCGTTGATGACAACAGCAATAGCCGCCTAGACGCCCTAGATGGTATCCTAACGATAGCCGACCTGTACTATGAGAAGCTCACTCACCGAAAATGCCCCAAGATTGAGCTACATTCTATAAGCTATCGCAACACACCAGCCATGAGAGCCATCTTCGACTCTCACTCTTACACCAGCCCCGGCGGACAGATCAAGCGGTCTAATATCGTCGGCGTTATTCACTTCGCCGCATACAAGGCGGTCGAGGAGAGCATCCGGAAACCGTTGCAATACTATCAGAACAACATCAACGGACTGGTGGACTTTTTGGAATTACTAGACGAGGTCTCGGTGAAGACTGTGATATTTTCTTCGTCGGCAGCTGTCTACGGCTCGCTCGCCGGATCCTTGAACGGACCACTGCGCGAAGAGAACTGTGTCCAGCAATGCGAGGAGGGACGAGAACAGGCGCGCTGCGAGGATTTGCCCCAATCTGGATGCAAGTCCATCACTAACCCCTATGGCCGCTCCAAGTTCTTCGGCGAAGCTATCCTCTCCGATCTGGTACTGTCTGATCCCTCGTGGAACATCGTCGCCCTGCGATACTTTAACCCTGTTGGCTGCGACGCCTCGGGGCTATTGGGCGAGGCCCCGCGTGGCCTGCCGTCTAACCTGCTCCCCGTGGTAACACAAGTTGTGACGAGCCAGCGCGAACAGGTCAAAATCTTTGGTGGCGACTGGGACACAATAGACGGTTCCGCCATACGCGACTTCATCCACGTGACAGATCTCGCACGAGGTCACATATCGGCCCTGTCCGCCTGCCGCAGTGGTCGCATCAGCGGTGGCTATCGAACATACAACCTTGGCGTCGGCAAGGGCAATACAGTCCTCGAGGTGGTACGTGCCATGGAGGCGGCGTCAGGATGCACCATTCCCTACGAGATTGTGGACAAACGCGCCGGCGACGTCGAGCGTAGCGTGGCAGATGTTGACCGCAGTCGCACAGAGTTGGGATGGGAGACCAAGGAGACTCTAGAGAGCGCCTGCCGCGATATTTGCAATCGCTTGCAGACAACGACGCCAGAGCTACTGAGAAGGAATGCGACATTTTAAAGTAACATGTACACAGGTCTTCTATGTCTAATAGATGAATGTTGGAGATTTGTATTGTTGATTTGCTTCTGCTTGCATTTGGATAGGTATCACGGAACTGGAATTTTAGAGCTGTACAAATAGTTCGGGCTACACACACGGATGGATTGATCTGGGAATGGGTAATGGAGTACAGGATAGACGTGGAAGGTTTAACGACGTTTAAAAAAGAATAATACGTAATGTTCAATTTGATCAGAGAGTTTAGTTCATGGTATTAACTTTAATGCATCAATCCAAATTAAATGGCCCGTCAGTGTCAATTCTTTTGAGCAAAATAATTCTTCATCGAAAGCAAAAGCTTCACTATAGCAAACACCAAGACACGATTTTAGTTGGAGCAATGTATTAGTTTGGAAAGGATTCGTGATGTAGTCATCTCCGGAAAAAAATTTCTAGGGATTATAAATTCATGCAACCAGAAATCGGGATCTCCAGCAATGATCTTGTCAGTGTGGGTCACATATGTCTAGATAAATCCTAATACCGTGATCAACAGTTTACAAAAAGGAGACCTAGAGCGACCCCAAAAAACTCCGTGTACTTACTGGATTCCCGATCAGGGACGAGTTGTGCCTAGATAGGTCTAACTTTCAGGTGAACTAAAGCTTCAGAGACTATCTCCATGGGAGTAGTTCAAGTCTGGATGGCAAGCGTCGGCATATGCCATAAGGTGCATCAAATTTCCCAAGGTCCCAAACTATCCTTCAGGGAACAACCTGTAACTTGACATGACACAAGGCCGGTGCATTGTTTTTTTGTTTAGAATTGGTTGTCAACAAAGTTGCATTTCAGTTGAATTGGAATAGCCTGAATGGCCTGACTTAGCACGACCGCTCGACTTCAATTAATTAATTGAATCAATAGGGAAAGTTCGTGTCTGGCTCTACACCGCGGTATCAAACGAAGATCTTACTTATCACTTGGTTCTCAGTGCAATGATGTGGTTGGTGTTGGTGGCAGACCTTTCTTGACGAGAGTATTCTAGGAGCGTGTAAGCCAGAGCATTTCGCCATAATGTAGTAGCGACGTTGTGAAATCCCCGACGCTGCGGCTTAGAAGCGCCCGAGTCGTTGATTTTAAGGCCTAGACTAGTGGCAGACTCACCTTGGACTAGTCTAGCCTAACCTAGTCTGATGCCATTATTAGACTAAGCTTAGTCTAGACTAGTGGGCGAACACATGAAGCTGACTGTTTGATAGAAAAATGAAAAGGAAAAAAGGAAGAACGGAAAAAAAAGAAACAGGGCACATGTTTCACAGCTTTCAAACTGCTGGGTAAGACGAGATTTGTTTTTTTATTTTGTTTCTTGATGCGTTCCTCGATAGTTTCTTAGGAGATAAATATAAGGAGGCACTTGCATGCAAATCCGTGGAATATGCTGGTGCATATTGTATTTGTCATGCTTGATATGGATACTATATTATATTCAGGGCCTACACCATGGAAGAGGAAGTTTCGTATGGGCTGTGATATGTTGAAGGGCACCATCTCCATAGCATGCGAATGATCGATGAGTATTGAGGATTGAAGTCATGATGTGGTGATTAAAGATATGAAGATCTTCAAAACTGGTCCATCTCCCTAAAGATTCTTAATTTCAAACTTCTTCCTGATCTGTTCACCATACCTGATGATGGCGAAAGCTGCAGGGACTAATAGCAACGCGATGAAAGCAAGCAAGCTATTACCCCAGCCGACACCTAGGCGCTCATACATCTTTAATCCAGCTAAGGGTAATACGGCCCCGGCTACGGACCGTACCACTGTATTTGCGGCGATAGCTGAGGCGGCGTAGATGGTAAAGGCATCAATCAGATACATCTGAATTGCCATGAAGATGACGATATTTCCCGCTCCAACGATAGCAGTTCCAATGATGGGAACAATCCAGTGGACTTTATACTCCGCAGTCCATCCATAAATGAAGAGTCCGACGGGCAACATTAGAGCGCCGTAGGGAAGTGTGGGTAATCTATATTCGGGCTTTAAACCCTCCTTGACGCCGCCCATTGATTCGGCTACGGCATCCTCTTGAGCTGCTTTCTTCTTGATGTATCTGTCAGATGTCCCGCTGAACAAGCCAACACCCACCAACGACCCAACGCCGAGACCGATGTATGCCAAGCCGACCAAACTGGTACTGAAGCCGTAGTATTGCTGGAAGACCTCAGTCATAGATGTGAACATCAAGTACAGATACCCGTACGTGACTGCAACGAACATGGACATGATTATAACAATCGGTGAGTGAACAAGCATCTTTATCGGGCGAATGATGCCGCGTTTAAAATAGTCGGCGGGTGATAGACCGGCATCCAATTTGGAACGCAGAGCTAAATTCCCGGTTTGCTTTCGTAATCTTTCCACCTTGCGTTGAAGCAGAACTGGGTGGTATGTCTCTTTCATGGTGAAAACCATTACGACCGCTAGGGCGCCAGCGACAATGACAAGAATCCAGAAGTTCCATCTCCACCCCTTGGCATCGGCCAAAAAGCCTCCCGCAACCGGACCGATGATGGGACCAAGCAAGGGCCCGACAGCAAAGCCAGCCATCGCCGCAGCTCTCTTTTCTTGCGGGACCATGTCGGCAATTGATCCGCCACCGTTGGTGATTGGACAAGCACCGAAAACGCCACTGAAGAAACGGAATACGATGAGGGAGTTGAGACTCGGAGCAAGCGCACAGCCGATCACGAAGGCAATGAAGCCAATATTGCAGACGTGGTAGACGATAACCCGTCCGTAGATCTCCGACATTGGCGCAATTACTAACGGCCCGGAAGCAAAACCCAGGACATAGACGGACACCACGAACGAGGCTAGTTCCAGACTATCGCTCTGGAACTCGCGCATCAGCTGAGGTACGCCAGGCGCAAAAATAGCTTTTAACAAGATTAGTTAAGCTTGACAACATTTTACCGGACGACATCAACTCACAAGAAGCCAACGGAGTCAAAAAGGTCATAAAACTGATGAGAACTAAGTTGGTCAGGGTGCGCCAACGTGGCCAGTGAAATGGATATTCAGGGTCGTTCTCGTCCCACCAGACAATATCCGGATCAGCATCTTCAACGTCATCGGCGGAATTTGCGGCAGCTTCTTTCTCGACATCACGGGTATCACTCTCAATCGCGATACTCCCTGAGCTATTCCCTGGAAGTGGTTTATCAGTGATAGTTGCGATCTTGCTTGGTATAGAACCCTCTGTTAATGGTATATGCGCATCATGGACCTCGTCGAAAGCTTGCTGGCTTGTCGTTTCCCCAACTTGCGATTGCTTGCTAGTGCCAGTGTGCGCGACGGACGCCGGTGTCGCGTTGGATGCCATGCCAATGTCGGCTCCTTTTGTCTCCTGCTCTGCAGAGGCGAGAAGATGACGCTGGTTGGGACAAGGTCACCAAACACAGCAGAAATCCATCTTCTAGTAAAGATTAAAGAGCACAGAAACTTTGACGGAATTAAAGAATAAACACCGGTGAGATTCCGTCGAGCTATTTTACATGGTCTTACAATGACACACTCACCCAAAGATCTGGTAATCGAATGTTACATTATTGATGGACTATGCCCAGAACGGTATAGACAAGCTAGCCTAGTAGGCATAAATGCTGCATAATAGATCAAATTGCCGCCTCGATATGCTCTCGGGCTTCAGCCATCCCGAGAACTTCCCAATGCACGTGGACTTCCTACAGCGCTTCCCTTGTGGCTGGCCCGAGATTGAGGTTGCAGCCTTTCTCACTCAATCTACTCCGTGCAAGCCGCCAGCTGCATCCGCAGGTCTCAAGTCCCGAACCACCAACTCGCGTGGTGGCGCACCTCAGTCCAACAGTTGGGCGCGTAGCATGTCATCGTAAAGGACTGAGTGCCTGCCAGTGATTCAAGGAAAACCCTCCGCGAGCAGCAAAAGATGTGATGAGGCTCGCGCCTGGTGTTGAGCAGTCGCACCTCCGTGCTGCACCAAATAGGCAGCTAGGTATGCAGCTTACTGCCGAGATGAGCGACACCCCTGCGCCTTCTTTTGCGACACAACCAGAAGCAGTTCTTCAATGTCGCGTCGCGTCGCGTGGCTTCGCTGCCATCTCAAAGTCTTCTAAATTTCTTGTGAAGTATCTCATGATACAAAAATTGTGCCATTATCTCAATCGGCATCGCTATGAAACAAACTCTGATAGCATCGGCGGCATTGCTTGGGAACTGCCGCGGGTCTTTATTTGGCAATGTCCAACAGCCCCTTGTAGCACCACCACGCATGAGTGACGGCTATGGAGAGCAGACAGGGAATACTAGTGGTATCAATTCAGACCTGGACCAATATATCACGGAATTGATGAAACGATGGCATGTTCCCGGGCTCGCAGTTGCAATCGTTCAAGGCAATGAAACATAGGCTAAAGTATGACCCTGCTTCATTCTCTGCAATCAAGAATAAAAGCTTCGTTGTTCTTCATGTCATTGAATCAGATCGTCCTACAAAATGGTGGCTAACATTATTTGCTGTCCATGATCTTGCATGCCTATCAAGCATCCTCTTTGAGTATCTGAGTTGATGATATCTATAGGGTTTGGATGTGCGTCTCTTCCTTTAACACCAGTGACCCCTGAGACGCTTTTCTGGACTGGGAGCACGACAAAGTCTTTTACGGCGGCAGGATTGTCGCTTCTGGTCGAAAATTTTCGGATTACTGTTTGATTCAATGGGAAACACCAATTTTAAGTCTGCTGCGTGACGAATTTGTTCTGAGTGATGCATGGGCCACCGAGCACATCACAATCGAAGATGCTTTGTCACACCAAACGGGCTACCCTCGCCATGATTTCGCTTTTCTCATAACCCCGGAGGATGTAGTTCGCCGCCTGCGTCATCTCCCAATGACAGCGGAGCCTTGTGCCAAATTTCAGTGCAACAACCAAATGTTCGCCACTATTTGATATCAAAAATTTTGAACCTGAGCTTGGGCGAGTTCTTCCATACTCATCTATTTGGACCAATGTCTCTGAGTCATATATTCCTTGGCGCACACGATCCGAAGTACAAGTCTAGCGGGCTCCGTGTTGCTGACGGTTACTACTATAAGAACAGCACCGATGAGTTCATTAAGCAGCCCTTGGATGATCAATCAGCAGACGAAGGGGCTGGTGCCATCATATCTAGTGTTCTAGATTATGCCAAGTACCTTCGCATCATGATGACCGAGGCAGGCCCGCTTTCGAAAGATGGCCACAGCGAGTTGAGAACACCAAGAAGCTCCAACGCCGCTCAAAACCACCATTTGTAGGGCTCACTACACGTTTCGCAGGTTCGGAAAGCGGCATCTTCCAGAACGAGCAAGTATGGTCTCACAGTGGCTGGGTGACCGTCTTTCGTACAGAGACGCTCATGATTCCATCAAAGAATATTGGGATTGTGGCAGTAGAAAACTACCCAGTTGACGTAGTCGAAATTATCAAATACCGAATCCTCTACGACTTATTTGATATATCTCAGGAAGAACGATTTGATCATGAAGCAGCGTGAGTAGACCATCAACTCGGGTAGTTCTTGCTAGCAACACTCAGATCTTTGGAGAATGAAAAGGTCAGGCTCCGAGCTCTTGAGACATGCCCAAAACGGCTCTACCCCGATCTCTCTTCTCCACCCAAGCCACCATCCAACCCCCTGCACTTGCACACTGGAGTTTGGGTCGATCCTGGATACGGAAGATTCATCGTTACTACTGTCTGTGGCGGTGTTGAACAGGAAGATAATACACACCGGCAGTGCCACGGCCAGCTGGGTTTACATTTCAAAACGCCAGCTCATATAATCATACAGTTCTACGCTAACTTGCAGCACATGACAGGCAACAAATGGATTGGTTAGGTCTACACACCGTCATTTAAAGACCCTGATAACCCATTGCTCTATATACGAGTACACTTTCGTTTAGACGGTAAGGGCCGAGTCGCGCAGCTCGGTGCCGATCTCCGAATGGAAGGAGAAGATGGTCATCTTGTTGAATTCAGTCGTGAGTCTCGAGACCAGTAGCGCCTATGACCTTAGTTTTTTAGGAAGACTACGACCATATCCTATGATCCAAACTTAAACAAACGATGACACACGGTCAAGTCGTGGATTTCTGCGGTTGAGTATTGTTAAAGGGTCTGCTGACCATAGCGTAGTGGATCCGCTAGTAAAAGTCTTTGCTAGCTAGTCTTATATACACCCCGCCAGGATTATAAAATGTTAGATCGTTACAAGCCCCAAATCTTGCACCCACTGGTCCCATCCTCCCCCGGCAAGTACTTCCCCATACTAAACAGTATGACATGATACTTCTGGCCGGGGAGAGCTGGAAACTTCTAATACGCTCGTGAATATTAAAATTAAGACAAAATATTAACGGTACAATTTGTCCATACAGCCAGCCAGCACAGCCAGCCAGCCAGCCATACGGCTATGCATCAATACATCTGTATCGTCGACCAGCTTTATTATGGATATCCAAGCCTTAGTAAACCAGTTACCATGCCATGAGAGCCCAGCTGCCAAACGGCACTACCGTCTGCAAAATACAACGTGAAAAAAAGCCTGTTACCGTACGACAGCCTCGCTCCTAAGAGCTACTTTGTAATTAGAGATGGCCGTATACGTACTCAACTATACCAGAGGATTTCTTAGAAACGCTGGTACGGTCGATGCCCCATCAACTACGTGAAGCTTTCCGTACCGCAGGTGAACGTCTTAATTATTAAGTGTACCATAGTAGCAATAGAATATATTACCAAAAGTAGTATAGCGTTGTACCTGCGCTAACATATGTGATCCTGGCAGAGGTGTAGTCTAGTATAAAGAAATTTCAGCTTAGTCTAGTGTTAGGGGTTGTACACGCCACGTCCCCGTAAGCAAGACAATGCCAATGCAGCGTAACAAGTCATCTCACTTATATGTTCCCATGAGCCGTCAACCATCTGATTCCTCAGGATCCCATTGAGCATTTGTAATGAAACAAGCGTAAGCTGATCCTCTAAGCTTGGAAGGATCCCGATGAGCTTTACAGGAAGATGTTAGCTACATTCCAGAGGTACGATTCTGCTAGCTCGTCCTATCAAGTTGCGTTCATTAGATATGCCACTTTAAAAGCTGTTGATCTCAGCATAGACCCATCTATATCCCCCATATGTGGAGACTCTGTGACAATAGATTAGGCCTCGAGTTGAAATATATGCTGAATGATGAGTATTTCAAAGCCAACATGATCACATGTGGTGACTTCGAATCCGGCAAGTAGCTCCCTAAAAGCGTGCTCTGCCATATAGCGTCTGCACTACCAGTCAAGATGATGGGGCCTGCTTTGATGTGTCTTCTCACCGACAACGATGCTGCCGCCGTGTTCAAATTTCCACCGGTGGTTGAAGCATAAGACTCGCAGGAGAATAAACAGAGTTGCGCTACTAGAATACATTCGTGGGATGCTACAAAGAGCCAACTAATCATGCTGTTATCATGTGTTTCTTGTAGGTTTGGTATCCAGGCGGTACCGTAAATTGAGGTGGACATGGATCCAAAACCGTAATCTGTGCAACACCTCGACGCTATATCTGAGATGAAGACCTGAGCCTGTTGTTTAAGTGCCAAATTCATGATTACTATGATGAACTACGTCTCTGCGGTTAGGTCAAGCATTTTACTCACTCGCTACCACACTCAAACTGATACAACGCAGGTATGATCGGTACGTTTTGTATTTTTGATTATTCACACTACAGATACTTAATTTGGTAAAATAGGAACTTTTCACCTCAGTCCACGCCCTATCAACGTCACCATTCTGCCGAGATTGACGCGCCTCTCCTTATTACATCCGTGTAAATCTCTTTGGGTTGATCTCGTGCGACGCTCAGCGGCTGCATTGAGCTTGCATTGTAATGGTCAGTTATTGCTGACTAGTCCTTGTAACACTTGCACATACATCTACCTTCGCTGACGAGTCTTAGTAATTTAGCCACCGTAAAAGATCCATTTAAGAAATCTGGCAGAAAATATTGCAGCACGCATGGTTGTACTACGAAAATACATATCGCGTACGGCACAGCCCACTGATTTCGTAGGCTTTGCCTGGTGTTCCCCCGCATTTGCAGGCTCCGAACTGCAGCCTCTCAGTTGGTTAATTAAACCATCTCGGCAGCTTGTAGGGGTCCGTTCTCCGTCCTTACTCCTGAGGGACTGTGATTCCTCAGAACTGTCTCATTCAAAATCAGTATGATAAGATCGTAGCCTCATTGTGGATGCTCTACTCGTCAATGTAAGCCTTTAGATGCAGTTTGACGGTGCTAGTATCCGTTCCGTCAGATCGTCTTATTACAGATTGCTTGTTTATTTGTTTGTTTGTTTGCTTGCTTATGAGCACCAATTGAAGGATATTTCTTGCTTGAGGCTGCATCTTTGGTGTTGGTTGTTTAGAGGGTGGGAGGTGACAAACCACGAGCTCTTGTAGAAGGGTTTGAATATAACTTGTTGCTTGACCTTCAGGTCAGTGTGACAAACATCGAGACGTGTATTCAGGTGCTAGAAAAATTAGCGTCACAAGCCACGAAATAGTTGCTCGAGCTAGATAGTCGCTTGACACTTTTCCTTGCGTTGCGCGACACGAAATAGTGAACTTAGCCGTTCCTTCTCGGATGGTCAACTTTGCTTTCATGTTTATTCATCGCCTTGATTTCATCAGCTTGTATTCTATAAACCTACAACCGTCGCATTGATTCTATGCGGCCTTTGGATTCTCAGTTGCAAAGATGCACAGCCAATTCGCATCTGGCTAGCACGTATGTATTAGCCTTCGGGCTTGATAACCACTTAATGGCTGGTTAGAAATCACTGCTGACCAATTTTCAGCCCCAGGTCCGAACCTCTGAAAGGCCATTGTAGCCCTGGAGGAGCTCGGTTTACCCTATGAAGTCAAGTCAATCAGATTTGAGGATATTAAGAAGCCTCCGTTCACAGACCTAAAACCCAACGGTCGAGATCCCGGTTTGCTTTCCCAATTCTGGTTTCCCACGCGCCTGAGAATACTGACTCTTTGTGAAGCAACTGAAGATCCAATCACCGGCATTCAATGAGTATGCAGAATATACTTTCTCTAATCTAAAGGCCATTCCCGTCTTTTCAACATATGTTGAGGCTATCATGACTATTTCGGATTGAATATTCCTCCCGCCCTTGCTGAATAGAAATTATAGACCATGAATAGGGTAATGGTAACCTCGACCCGACATAGCCATAACAAGTTACCAGACAACTTTTCAAACTTCAAAATTCACCACGGTACTAATTAAATGCAATGCGACGAATCAGCTTCAGGGAACGATGTAACTACGAACCGTATAACAAACTTGGCTGGATTTATGGTTTAAAACTCTATGGTCTAGGAACATGCGAAGACAACGACACTACTAGCCGTTCGACCCAAGGCGATTGACTTTCCAACGACAAAATGTGACCTGAGCGCGGGAAATATATCACCTAAAGCCAGTATATGACCATCAGAGAAGATCGTTATAGCCTACTCAACTTTGCTAACCTTGACGACGAACGGTTTTGGGGTCTTGATGACAATCGTAGCAAAAGGACTAATTAACTCCCGGGAAAGCGGGCTTGCTGGGCAGCTTCCACCTCGACACGGACTGGCCTTTGCGGGATGGTTGTAGCGTGGACTTGACCTTGCGCACTGGTGAACATAGCCGCCATCTCAGAGAATTCGGCTGGTACAAGGCAATACCAGACCTAGTTGATGAGATGATTATCCGGTTACACGTGTCCTTGCTTGGTAGAGATAAGGTAGCTGGTTTCTTTAACTTCGAGCGACGAATACCGTGTATAAGTTGGGCGAGCCTCACCTTGTGAAGTATGTTACTCCCAGAGAAAAGAAGCTCAGGCTGTTCAATAAGTAATCCACTATCTCCGTTGACACGTGCCGCTCTGGTACTGCTGCCGATCTATCTAGTCAACAATTGCTCTGAGAACGGTGCTTCTGGTTTCTAGCTCGTTTTGTGACACGACATGGGAGTAATTGAGGTGATGGCCATCACGGAGCTCCCCACGACTTTGCGCACTCCGCCGCAATACCTGACCGGCCAGTGTGTCATGGATCGGGGTGATGTAATAAAAGTTGTTTGACCGACCTTTGAATTGGAGTCGCCCCGTTGAACTCTCCAAGCGAACATCCACCAGGACGTGGTTTAACCTAGGTAATGGGTCCCTGTTCGGGGGAAGAGGGCCGTTAGCTCCAAGTGGTTTGACTGACAGCCACAAAATGCGGAGAAGCATGAATTCGCGCTCGAATCACCATCATCTCGCAGACGTCAAATTGAGGCCAAGCTCACTTCGGTAGCGAATTACCCCGCGACTGGGGCCCGCGGCCGGGAAATTTATTGCTCCCTCCAAAAGCTTGGCAATCTCCGCATTTTCCAGCATCTTTAGCTCTGGCCAGCTGCAAGTCGTTGCATGTCGTATGTATGGTGCATGTCATCATGGGCTCGATTGACCCAAGCTTGCAAAAGGCGGGATCATGGATAAAAGCCCAGAGGCCCAGGGCGTGCCGACAGATGGCCTCTGGACTCTGTTCTCGCTCCGCTTGACGACCTCTCAACATCGAACGTCACCATGGTTGGGTTGAAGAAGTTGGCTGCCTTGTGCGGCTTGGCCTCGTCCTTCGTTGCCGTTCTCGGCCAGGGGAACTCAACCGATTGGCCGCTGCACGAGAACGGCCTCACGGATCTGGTCGAGTGGGATCACTATAGCTTCCATGTAAATGGTCAACGGCTTTTCGTCTTCTCGGGAGAATTCCACTATTGGCGCTATCCTGTCCCTGAGCTCTGGAAGGATCTTCTCGAGAAGGTCAAGGCAGCCGGCTTCAATGCCTTCTCCATCTACAACCACTGGGGTTACCATGAGGCCACGCCAGGAGTACTCGACTTCGAGTCAGGAGCACACAACTTCACCTCTATCATGACTCTTGCGAAAGACCTTGGGCTCTACATGATCATTCGACCTGGTCCCTATGTCAACGCTGAGGCCAATGCAGGTGGCTTCCCACTGTGGGTCACTACTGGTGCCTACGGTGGCCTCCGTGACAACGACACGAGATACACCGAGGCCTGGACACCATACTTTAGCACCATCTCGCAGATCATCGCTCCTCATCTTATCACCAACGGTGGCAACGTTATTCTATTCCAAATTGAGAATGAGCTGGGTAACCAGTGGACCAACATTAAGAAAAGGATAAGCAATGTTGCTGCACAAGAGTATATGCAACTTCTCGAAGACACTGCTCGCGACAATGGCATTGACGTGCCATTAACCCACAACTTACCCAATATGAATGGTTACTCGTGGTCTCAGGACTTCTCAAACGCCACTGGCAACGTGGACGTCGTGGGTTTGGACAGCTACCCGTCATGCTGGAGTTGCAACTTGAGCGAGTGCACCAGCACCAATGGAGAGTACGTCTCTTACCAAACTCAAAACTACTACGACTACTTCACTGTACAGTCTCCGACACAGCCAAACTTCATGCCGGAGTTCCAAGGTGGTTCGTACAATCCATGGGGTGGCCCGCAAGGCGGATGCCCCGGAGATATCGGTGCTGATTTCGCAAATTTGTTCTATCGTAACCTCATATACCAGCGGGTCAGCGCCATCTCGCTGTACATGTTGTTTGGCGGAACCTCATGGGGCTGGCATGCTGCACCAGTCGTTGCGTCGAGCTACGACTACTCGTCACCGGTTTCCGAGAACCGTGCCATCGGAAGCAAGTATTACGAGACCAAGCTTCTAACTCAGTTCACGCGAGTTGCACGTGACCTTTCCAAGACAGATAGACTTGGAAACAGCACAAGCTACTCGAGCAATTCTGCCATCACCGTTTCAGAGCTTCGAAACCCAGACACAGGAGCCGCTTTTTATGTCACGCAGCATGACTACTCGCCATCGTCGACTGTCGAAACATTCACCATCAACGTGAACACCTCTGCCGGTGCCTTGACTATCCCTCAGTATGGCACAGAGATTACCATCAATGGCCATCAGTCCAAGATCATTGTTACAGATTTTGCCTTTGGTTCCAAGTCGCTGCTTTACTCTACTGCTGAGGTGCTGACATACGCCATTATCGATGGAAAAGAAGTTCTGGCTCTCTGGGTTCCAACTGGCGAGTCAGGAGAGTTCACTATTGATGGAGTCAGGACCGCGAGTGTTGCAACGTGCAATGGCTGCGCAAACGTCAAGATCTATTCAGGCGAGTCCAACATCACCGTTTCGTTCATGCAAAATGCCGGCATGAGCACCCTTGAGCTGGGAGACGGGTCGAAGGTGGTACTTCTTGATCGTTCTGCCGCTTACTTGTTCTGGTCGCCGTCTCTCGACAACAACCCGCTTGAGGCTGGAAATAACACAGGTTAGTCTATCTGTTCAGTACCGTAACTCCCTATTCTAACATCACCTAGTCCTTGTCCATGGACCCTACCTTGTTCGTACAGCTACTATTGATAACCAAGCCTTGGCACTGACTGGTGATGTTGCAAACGCTACAACTATCACTGTCTTTGCACCTAAGGACGTATGCTCTGTCACATGGAACGGCAAGAAACTCGACATTAAACCATCAAAGTCAGGTGCTCTGACCGCTTCGCTTGATGGCGGCGCGCACTTTACTCTTCCGGAACTAAGCGGTTGGGCGTACGCTGACAGCCTGCCCGAAATCCAGAGCAATTACTCTGCTGACAGTAAGGCATGGGTTGCAGCCACTAACACTAACACCTCTAACCCCACTGTGCCGGCACTGAACAACCCCGTACTCTACGTCGATGACTACCAGATCCATGTTGGCAACCACATCTACCGCGCAACCTTTTCCGCAACCTCCGAGCCCCCATCAGGCGTCTTCCTCAACATTACCGGTGGGACGGCGTTCGGCTACTCAGCATGGCTAAACGGCAAGTTTATCGGCTCTTGGCTTGGCCTTTCGTGGATTGACAAGGAGGCCAGCACCTTCTCTTTCTCCAACGCGACACTAAACGCGGACGATGAGAATGTGCTCATCGTTGTCATGGACAATTCGGGTCATGATCAGCGCACCGCTGCGCTGAACCCCCGTGGTATCTTTAATGCCACTCTGGTCGGGCCTGGTAGCTATTCTTTCGATGAATGGAAGATTGCAGGTACGGCTGGTCGCGAGGATGTTCTTGACCCTGTTAGGGGTCCCCTGAATGAAGGTGGTCTTTGGGCCGAGAGAGTCGGTGTTCATTTGCCCGACTATCCCAAGGACTCTCTAGTCGAGCTTGGCTCAAACAGCACTACGCTATCCGTCCCAGAGGCTGGCATTCGTGTCTTCCATACGGTTGTCCCACTGTCGGTTCCCGCTGGTCTCGATGTGTCCATTTCCTTCCGCCTCACCGCGCCCTCGAACGTGACCTTTGAGTCAGAGCATGGATACACCAACCAGCTCCGCGCCCTCCTATTTGTCAACGGATACCAATACGGCCGCTTCAACCCGTACATCGGAAACCAGATCGACTTCCCGGTTCCACCCGGAATTCTAAACTACAATGGTGACAACACAATTGTTGTCACCGTATGGAGTCAGAGTGCAGATGGTGCCGAGGTGAAGATTGAGTGGAATCTGGAATACGTTCACGAGAGCAGTTATGACATGCTGTTCAATAGCGCCTACCTACGACCGGGCTGGACTGAGGACAGACTGGAGTGGGCTTAAGAGAGACACAAATGAAGCAATTGTAGCTAATTATCTTCAATTAATCTTAATTGTACAAACCATTCATATGGAGACATTATTCATTACTACCTAGCTAGCTTAGTCTCGGGTATGCGACTTATGACGACTTCATTTTGTCCCGTACGTGACCAAGCTGCAATCGCAGCAAGATAAAACTGCATCACCATTCTTCGCCACTATTGTTACTACCTAGTTTGAGATTCCTATAATCCATTTTCTTCTCGTCGCAGGCGTCCCGGCTAATTTTAGTTGGTCACAACAAGCTCTAATGATATATACCGAGTTGGTCAAAGCTAGTAGTGAGTGTGGCTGGACGAGGAGCGGAAACGAATCCCTCGCACCCGAACTGACTCTTCTCAGTTCGATCAAGAGACTTGACTCCCACCAGAGTAAATTCAACCTTTACTCGAACAAGCTTGGAACCCCTCGGCGCACTCTCGCTTGCATGCAACGTTCTTCAGGTCGTCGAACGTGGCGCCCAGATACTGAGCCAAACCGCAGGATATCGCTCTGCCGCTGACGGGGTGCGGCATTTGATGACGACGCCTTTCTTTTCTAGATGAGCATCAAGCCACGACCAGCTCCCATTGTTCTACGAGAAAGAGTTGGTTGCTTTTTTCTCGACCAAGCCTGGATGTTCTGAAAAGCCTGGTGAATGTGTCTTGGATGTATCGGGTCTGTATCATCCGGTGAAACAAATAAACTAGCCGGCTTCTCGGCCATGGAGACTGTACTGTCAGGACGACTGGGACCGCTTGGCTGTTCCAACTTCTGCATGGCGAGTGCCATCTCCGTCAGTCTTTGCACCATATCTGCCGTCAAGAAGCCGAGGATTTCAAGTACATCATCCGAAGGCTTGTGTTCAGCGATGACACCGAGACCAGACCATTCCCGAAAACGTTTCGTCTTGCGCCAAGTGAATGAGGCATGGCGGTACTCAGACCAGGCTGTATACTCTTGTATTGTCATACCCTCGGTCTTCTTGTCGGCTTGGCGCAATCTCTCGAGAGATCCGCCATCTGTTTTGTCCAGAACAAACATACCCGCATCGTTTGGGGTTCTTTCGGAATAGTAACTTGCAATATCCCATGGCAGAGTAGTTGTCATTGGCTCCGTCGTCTTGGCCTCTGAAGGATTCTCTGCTGCATTCGCAGCTACTTGGTCAATGGCTGGATTTTCGACGGTAACGGCATCAAATTTTGCGCCTTTCTCGTCATCTGAGTCCTTGACATTCTTGCGGATATTCTTCCAGGCAAGAAGGCTACGCAGTCGAGCGACCCTGGAGTCATCGTGCCGGAACTGGAATATGAGATCATAGTTCGAAAAAAGTCGAGAACCCCGTCGAGCAGCGAGATCGTTGGCTGTAGTGAGCTACCGAGAAGCCTGGGTCAGAGTCCATGAGCGAGACGCGAAGATCTAGCAAACTGTATGAGAGACTATGCAGCATATACTAACTATGAAGACCACTTGTTGCTTGACTATATCTTCCACTAGTGAAATCGTCTGTAGCGATGGACTTCGAGTTTCACCTGCTATATGCATCATCTGAACAAGGTCTTGTGAGCTTCTGGTGTTGATTTCAAGTATCCAAACTAAAGAATGGCAGAAATATACCTGCTGGATCTCCTGTGCGAATTTTAGTTCCGTGTTGGACATGATTGTGATACAATACCGAAATTGTGCTGGATTGAGATGTGCGAAGAACAAAAAGCCTGGTGGAATTTGAAAGAGAAAAAACTAGGACGTGTCTATCTTTCTCCGAAATTGGAGTCTAAAAATCCAGTGCAATTGTTGCAAAAAACATCGGAAATTCAGTTGGAAATCCCTGTGGCAATGTTATGATACTTCTGCATCCTTTCCGTTTATAAAGAAAATGTACAGTGGGTGTTAAGACCTCACACCGTGTTTGGCAGCCTCGAAAAAGCAATATGGATATAGGGAAAAGAGAGGGGGAATGCGAATACTTCGTAAAAAGACGTGTACGTACAGAGTGGATCATGGGCTGTGTGGGGAAAGCACTACGCTACGTTAGATATGACGGCTACGGCCTAAGGAGCTGAGCTTGACTTCGCGAGGATGCTCGACCGTGTATTTTTGCGTGGTTCGCGATGAACCCTTTTCGTTCTTTAGCTTTCCATTTTATTTCCATAAAATATAGGGTGAACAGCAAGGTAAGTCTTCGTGCTCTAGTCGCCATGATATTAGATATACAAAGATCTACGCTATACCAATCGAGCAAAAGTCTGAGTAGATGCCAACTTTTTTCTTTTTTACCAATGCGTGATTAGGGACTATTTAGTGCTTCTCGACCGCCAACGCGCATCCTGTCTCATCAGTAGTGCGGTAATACTTCTTGTAGTCTTCTTCTTAGATGAGCGAAGGACACACCAATCTAGTTGACTGCTCCAAGGAGAGCTATTTTCTCTCGTCTTTTATTGTTGCCAAACACATACGCTTCTATGTTAAGATTCTCCATATCTGAACCAATCAAATTGTTGGTTCCTGACGTGACTACTATATCGCTTAGCTTGGGGAGTCGGTAGGAAACCATACCACGATGATAATGGCGCTTCTCCCATTGGGCAGCGGGTGTCCGGGCGACCACAAACGCCGGGCAGTTGCTGGTTGCGAGTCCGTCAACAGTCATAACTCTTTCTTTTTTAACTGTTCGATCATATTCTCCTTGCTAATTTGGTTCAATACTCCTTCTTTCAATTGCATGAGCACATTCTGAGGTCGGAAACCGCCGTGGCAGACGCTGTGGCGATGAAGAAAGTCGAGTCCTTTCGCCATCTGAGAGCAAGCACTCTTTATTCGTTTAGACTCCGTCAGAGTCGCTAATTCCAGTCTCAAATCTTCCAAGGTTGGCCCAAGCACAGGTAGCACCGAGCAGAGATGTCGGCCATTAGGTCTGTCGATCCAGAATGTATCGGTAGCGACACAAATGTGATTTTTCATGAGCTCAGAAGAATCAACCAAGCGTTCTCGGAAGAGTTCCAAAACTCTCAGGTCTGAGCATTTCGGGGACGAATGACTTGCTGCATTGATCTTCATCGCCTTCCATTGTTTCGTCTTGAGCTCGTAACACAGCCAAGCTGTAGAAATGCCGCCTTGTCCCAGTTTCGAAATGACTTCAAATCTGCCATCAAGGACGTCAAAAAGTTCGACGGGGTGGTACCCGCCCGGCTTGTAGTGCTCTATGAACTCTACCTCTTCGGCGATGTCGACCCTTCGATGTTTTCGTGCTGGTAGTCGTGGTAAACGTGGGGGCTATATTTCTATTGGTGTCAAGTGTTGTCCGATAGAATTACTGCCAGTAAATATTCTTCGTTGGGCGAGCTTGTATCCTTGAGATCCTTTTTCAAGCAAGCGAAATTCTCTGGAATAATGATTTGAAAGATTTCCAAGTTCCGCCTCATTCCTGCGCCAGTGTTTGGCCTACTGCTGATTTTTCTTTCGTCTCAGGGATGATGTTTACAGACGAGTGGATGACACATCAGCTCATCCTATGGCGTTGTGAAGTTAGTGGAAAAGACATGTCAAGAGATGGTGTATGGCGGCCCAGCGAAGTAAGGTAGAACCCCGCCTTGTGAATCAACAGTGGCCGCTTCAGGATACCACACTGTAGTTGCGTCACGAGAGAACACAAGTGATGATTCAGAAATCTGAATGTGGTGTGACGTTGTTCAACCTCCAATTGAGCCAGTGCGGATGAGAAATGTTATGCTTGTTAATACGTTACAACCAGATATGTCCCAAGCGCCCTACAAATGGGACAAGTAGTTATTGGGATAAAGAGTAAAGTGATTCGACCACGTCCGTGATATACACCAGCGTGATGTTATAGATGTGATTTGCTGAAAGAAGACACGCCAATAATTGGCGCTCTTAGCTTGAATATGTGTGATAAAGTGGACCTGTCAATCAAAGACTGTTGAGTACGTCGAATTGCAGTCAATGAGCTTGACAAGATCCGAATATTCGGTGAGAGAAGATACAATTTTAATTCATGTGCCATTGAAAGCAGAACCTTTGAAGTCATTCCATTATCAGAACGAAACCTTGACCAACAACGTAGCCACATTGACACCTCAAAGACCAAGTTGAAAGGTCATACATGAAAAGACATTCCTGCGTTAGTGAAAAGCGATCTTGGATTGTCTATATCCACATAGAGGACAAAATCTGACCTTGAAGTCTTTAGGCCACATTTCAAATATGGGTAATCTTATAAAACATACGTGCTGTTTATCTCAAAAACAAGCTCGTGAGTATAGTTTTACCTCAAAAGGAGTGGAATAAAGAGGATGATCAACCACTAGGAGGCCCTCTGCCACGAGATGCCGACGGGCATGAAATGTCAATAGTGGACTCGAGAGGAGAGGGGAACGAAAATAGTCCAAGGGTACGTGCCACCTTTTGATTTTGTCTGCAACAAAGCTGACATCCATTTAATAATGTGGCAATTCAGACACCGCATGAATCGTGAACGATTACCCAATTTAGTGAAGCTTGTCAGCAGCCAGTGCCAATATCTGGGGTTCACGCATGCTTGGGTGCGGTAGGCATATAGTCTCACAGGTCGACCGTTTTCCAGGACCATACTCATATGAGAGCAGATCGGGAGTGCACAGCACTTTTACTGAGCGAGACCGGGGGGCCGGTTTCAAGAGAGGCGATTATCCTGGCGGCGACCAGCCGCATTTGACAGTGTACTTTGCCAGCAATAGCCGCTGGATCATTTTGCACGGCCACCTTTATGTTGACATGAACGACCGCTCCGGCGGGCCTAAGGGTTAATGCGGCCGCACATGAAGGAATTGGGCGACGACGGACTTCCTAAGCGCGTGCAAGAGCTTTGAGAATGAGTCCAACTAGGGCAGAAGAAGCATACAGCAAGAGGCAGTGACACGAGCAAATTTGCCAAAGCCGGAACTGATAGTCTCATGATCAGTAGCCAAGGCATCTGCTTGAGGTGTCTAAGGTGGAATGGATTCACGTTCTTGTGCAATAACGATTAGTAATAGATGAACTCGTCAATACGTCTTGCCAACTATTGACACACATGTCTATGGTGTTTCAGAAGCTAGATTTATGACATCACAAGACGGAGTATTTTTGCTTGCAGGAAAACCGAGCTTTCGCACCAGCGAAAGAATAAAATATTATTTAAATGATAATAATTATTAAATATAGTAATATTATAAGGTAACAGTTGGAATGAAGGGATATTAAAAGCGATAGCTACAGCCATTGCTAAAGGTATACTGTTACTAGTATTACTTTGTAATTCACTAATTCTAATATTTATTGACATTAAAATAAATAAGAACTAAGTAGACACTGCTCTAATATAAACTATTAAATAGGACAAACTTATAAAGGATAATTATAACATAATCTATTATTAACACATGTACCATTAACCTCTATCGCATCATAGATGCCCAGCAGTTCTCGGCAGGCCGATCTCTGCTTCAATGCTAAGCACCACGACCAATCGCTCAGGTGAGCTCCTCCTCTACACATCTTTTCAGATATCAGTTTCTAAACTTTGTGGCTACATAGACTGTGGCATCACGAGGTCGTTCATCGGACTCTCAAGCAAAACATCCCCTCATGTATCAATACTGTAACCCTTGAAGCCCGTCAAGTTGCGATCATCTCTGACCAGATCCACGATCGGCAAGAAACACTTCTTATCACTCCACTCCGGGCTCTGATCCTCATGATGATCTATCCACTCACGGAGGGTGTCCCACTTGACCCAGCTCCAACCCTCACACTTCTCGGGCTCCAGCACCTACGGATTACAGACATTAGCACACCCGTTGCCCACTCCCCGATCCCCTCCCACCACCTCCCCCTCGAGGAGAAGACCGCACCAAGAAACTTACCTCGGGTACCTGCCCCGCACGAACGATCTCGCAGACCACAAAGAGCGTGATGTAATGCTTGGCCTCGCGCACGAAGACCGAGTTGGTGACGGCGGCCAGGCTCCTCGGCTCGATCTCGAGCCCGGTCTCCTCTAGGGTCTCGCGGGCGGCACATGTGAGGATGTCCTCGCCGTACTCGAGGTGGCCGCCGGGGAACTGCCAGGCGCCGCTGCCGTGGCTGCCCATGCGTCTGCCGACGAGGACCTCGGAGCGGTCCGAGGGGTTGCGGATCAGGGCGGCCACGCCGACGCGGGGGTGGGGTGTCGACATGATTTCTTTCTTTCTTTCTTTAACTTTGCAGGAGGAAGACACGAGGGGAAGGATATGATGTGGGTGGGTTGATTTTCAAAGAAGGGGGATGGGGAAAGTTGAAATGCGATGTTAGTTGGGCTTTACACATTGTTGTATTTGTGCCAGAGTCAGTGAGTCAATCGGCACTCGCCGACCCCGCGGGCGTCGATTGGCGGGGCACTGCTGACCCCTTTACAGCCTTCTTAACGCCCGATGATTTACTACTTTGAAAGAGCCAAGTCGACATACTCAAAATGACGCAGAAACTTGATGAATCAATAATACTCTGATTGGTATCTAACGGTCTCCTAACTCCGGTCCATCTTTTTATTTTTCCAGATTCCAGAACGCCAGATGATGCGAGCTTGTAAGCTTCTACTAGTTGACAAAGTTTGTGGAAATACAATCATACTCAATGGCTCTTCTTGACCTTCTTGACCTTCTTAGCCTTCTTGTCTCCGAATGCCTCCTCATAAATCTCACTGGCGGATGGCCCCTCCTTCCTCTTGGCCTTGCCAGACTTGATACTCACCACTGCGCTTGACTTCCCTTGCTTCGCCGCATTGGCAATCTGCTTCTCGGCATCTTCCCAACCGGGCGCATCGCCCTCGATCTCATATCTGGAGAAATCGTTAGCATCAAGTTTGTAACATGTCAGTTTCTTTCAACTCACTGATCAAGTGGCAGCGAGTTAATCAGCTCTCGCTGCTTCTGCCGGATCTCCTTCATCGCTTCATCGCCACCTTCCTCCAGCTCGTCCTCGAGCGAAGTCTCGAGGGGCGCAAATCGGGTATCAATCATCTCATCGTCGTGCACGCCGCTGGCATTTGCAACACTGACACCGATAGAGCTTGCGTCGGGCATTTCGGCCTCGATGGCACCTGAAACAAGACCATTGAAGTGCGACATCATCTTCTTAGTGATCTTGATGAACATGGCCAGGAGTTGCGAGCTCTGCAGTGACAACTCTTGTGAGATAACGTCGATGTCCTTGCGCTGCAAACCGAGGGCTAGGAGAATAGCTTGCTGCACGCCGCTGAGCCTGATGTTGTCCTTCAGCTTTCCGGTAAAATAGAGGTTGGCGAGTCTCGGAACTAGATCGAGAACAGTGTGGTAATCCAAGACGCCGTTGCAGTACGATTCCAAACGCTTGAGGTCGTAAGGCGAAAGTAAACTGTCAAGTCCGGCCTTGGTCAAGGATGCGGGCGCCCTTGACTCGTCCAGCTTCGCACCCGACTTTGCGGCTCCGTCGATGCTTAGACAGAGAATCGAGTTGAAGTCCCTGAAAGCGTACGAAAGCAGTTCCAAGAACCGTATGTTGAAATCGGAGGTGAATGAGCCCAGCCAACTTCGGTCCTCTGTTCTCTCCAGAGCGCGAAGCATGACGCAGGTGTGCTCTCCAGTGATGTCATTGCTGGTCTGGCGGAGGTACAACGGGCTCATTCCGACCCGTTTCCAGAACTTGTGTAAAGGTTGTGTCAAGCCATAGCTGACACCGACATAGTCGAGGACGGCAGGACGCACTTGGGAGAGCCTCGAGAATAGTGGGGGCATGGCTCCGATATCCCGCACCTTGATCTCATCGGAAAGCTTGCCACCAGTAAGCTCCGCATCCGTCACTCGAACCATGGTCTCTTCCTCTACCGGGCCATCGCCTTCGGACAGATCTGCAAACCTTCCCTCGTAGAAGTCGAACAGGAGTTCCAAAGCTTTTGAACCATATCCCATGCCAGCATAGTCGGGGTTTGTCGCTATCCGCACCACTCTTGCACCTGAAAGCGAAGGGAATTCCCTGTCGCAAAATTGTTGGCTGACAAGCCAAGGAATTAGATCACCGGCCGGCCTCGTTCCTCGGTCGAGACTGTTCAACACACTCTGCCTGCTGATTTTACCTTCCAACGCCACTTGGATCACGCACAAAGGCTCGGGTAGACGGTTGCTGCCGGCCGCCGGTGCCGTCAAGACGTACAGCTCGTGAGCGGGGGCATCACTGAGAAGTTGGAGATCATCCGGCGAGTTCTTGTAGTGGCTAGCGACATACAAGGCAACCAGCTGCTGCAAGAACTTCTCGGAAACAGGGTGGAAAGAGAACAAGGTGTCGCGGTTGACCTTGAGGAGCTCGCACTGCGACGGGTCGGGGCAGCCTTGGGCGTTGGTCTTGGATCGGGGCAATGTGGCGTCCAGACACAAAAGGTTGTTGAGCCATTTCTCCACGCTGTCGCCCTGGGCATAACGAATAGGTTCGGAGAGTGTGATCTCTCGCAGACGCTTCACACTCAGGCCCGTCTCTGCGTTCTTGGCCTCCTTACCAGTTGATCTATCAGCAACGACGGTGCCGTTTGCGGCGACGGCACCAGTAGACTCCTCTCGCAACTGTTTGATGAGCTTCAACGACAGAGATCGACCGGTACCTTCATAGCCATTAATGGTAGATGCCATGAAGACAAGGTAGGGGCCCAAAAGCTTCTTCACCAAGGGGAGGGGAATGGCAGCAGCCTCATCAATAACGACCAACTCGGCTTGTCCAAGCACGTGGGCGTCTTGGGGGCGGATATACTGAATGGTCTGGCGGTGGCTTCGGTGAATGTTGACTCGAACGATGGCCTTGTTGAAATCGGGGTTGGTGGACTGGATGATGCTGTAATCGGCATGATCGACATATCCAAGCTGGTCGAAGCCCTTGAAAATGAACTCAAACAGAGTCTTCAGGTTCTCCGGAGACGGAGAGGTGATGAAGATGTTGGAGTAGCCGTAAGCGACGGCAGCGGCAACGGCGACACCCATGGCGGCAGACTTTCCTCGACCTCGGGCAGCGGTCAGGGTGACGGTGTTCCGCAGGGTCTTCTCGGAGATAGCCTCGACAAAGGTGAGAAGGGCCTTGCCTTGATCGACGGTCCTGGCGATCTTGAGAAGGTCTCCGAGGGGGCGTTCCTGTTCGTGGGATTCCTTGATGGTTTCCAACTCCAGCTGGGCAGGTGTCTTGGGCTTCTCAATGTTGACGGGCAATGCCTTGACGCTCTTGGCGCCGGAGATGGGCAGGACGTTGAGCTCATCGTCGATGACCAAGCATGACTCGCAAGAGCCGAGGGAGAGGATGAAGCGTTCGTTGAATCGGGGCACGACGTCCTGGTGGGCCTCGGTGCGATAGCGGGAGTGGATGTCCATGCTCATGGCGTAGAGCTGCTTCAAGCTGTTCATGCCCTTGAGCAGGAGGATGACGAGCCCTCCCCCCTCGACGGTCTCGATGGTCTTGGCCAGCAGGTTGGGGGTGATTCCCTCGAAGTCCTGCAGGACGCACATGCCAAAGGTCTGACCGAGGACCTTCTCGGACTCCTTGTAGTAGACGTAGTTGATCTTGTTGAGGGTGACGAAGAGTTCGAAGGCGTCGGCATCGTTGGCCTCTCTGGCGCCGCGGTTGATCTCCTTCTTGATCTTCTTCTCGCGCTTGGCGCGGTGGCTGGAGAAGCCGAGGAGCTTCTTCTTGTAGGCCCAGAGCACTGACTTGTTTTGCTTCAGGTCGGCCTGGGACATGATGTAGTGCAGCTTGACGATGGCATCTTTGGCATGGTCGCCGACGATGACGAAGAAGGATCGCTTCTTTTCCTGGAGGTTGTTTCGAATGAGCGCGGGAATGCGCGAATCGCTGCAAACAAGACAGTCAGTCAGTGATGGGTGCCGGGGGACCAAACAGCAGTGCAACGTAATGTGATGTGATCTAACGTGCTATATGGACAGGGCGACTTACACTTCTTTGCGCGACATGGCGGGCAGGTTGTCTGAAGTCCGATTCGTGTCCTGGAGTGTGGTGTGACGGCTTCTTCACCTCCAGCTTTCCTATCGCAACTTATCTCAGCCAGCGACAAAGACAAAGACAAAGACCTTTGGAGCAAAATTTTAGTGGAGACGGACAGATTCTGCCGAGCGGTGGAGGTGGGGTGGGGTCACGTCACAGCCTGGCTCTAAACTAGACTAACCTAGACTTGCATCCATTGATCAACACTTTTAGGTGCTGCTTTAGTACCTTTAATCAGTAACTTAACAAGGTTACAGCACAAAGTACAGAGCAGTTAGTTGAGGTTAGGTTAGTGCAATTACATCGTACATCGGCCACCCACAGGTGCCAGCTACTACTACTACTACTACTACTACTTCCACAGTAGCTAACGTTACTACACTATAGCACCATTCTGCTTGCTGTCGTGTCCATCCTTTCCTGATCATGACTGACTTTGCATGTCATCATACGCGGTATCATACGGGGACGCAGTAAGTCGGTCAATCACGCTATGCCCTTGATCAATCATGACTTTCACGTACAGGTCGTCAATCGTCAGTCGTCCATCATGAATGCTGCTTCTTATCCCCTGCTGACCATCTGAAAGTCGCACAAAACTTGGTCATAATTAACCTGCCCTACCTTGACCACGACTCGCGCAAATCAAACGCTGCTGCGCCAACAATGCTTCAATTCATTTCGTCTTAATGAACTACTTCCTATACTCTAAGTCCAGTACCTAGTCTTATAAGCTGAGCCCTGCACTGCCCAAGTTCCCAGCGAAAATGCCCGTGAAATCAACTTTCCAGTTGCATGCGTGATCCGCAACCCATTTACGGAATGTGTATTTTGCTACTACTCTTTCCACAATCATAGTGTACTGTAGGGTAGATCTCTGCTTACTTACTCTAATCCAATCAGAGCCAACGAGATCCTTCCTGCTGACCAGCTCGCTGCTGCGCCCCTAGCCGGCGACGCACTTTGTCAGATCCCTCCGCATTGCCTCCGTCGTCTGCGTTTCCATCGCAAACCCAGCTCATCCGTAGCAAAATCCGATCACGACCATTTGCCAAGCCGCGATCAACCTTGCCCCCTCACCATCTGCCTTTTGTTCTCTCGCCAACACTTTGCCACTGAATATGTCCACCATACAGCTTGATGATATCGTACGAAACACAGCTTATCCACCAGTGCCACCCAATTTCGGTGAGCTTGGTCCCACACCGCTCATCGGGCGTCTGGACTGACTTGCTGAGGCTCCAACTACACCAAGATCATATATAATGACACATATGACTTCGTAACCCCGTCCAAGTTGGACTGTAAGGGGAAGACTGTCTTAATCACTGGTGGTAACAAAGGCATCGGCAAGGGCATCGCCATTTCATACGCAAGGGCCGGCGCATCGCAAATTGCCATCACCAGTCGTTCGGACGCCTCGTCGGTAGCAGATGAGATCAGAGACGCAGCATTAGATGCTAGAAGGCATGTACCAATAGTGCTCACCCTTCAGGTAGATGTTCTCGACAAGGAGGCTGTTCAGGCCGCGGCCGAAACGGTAGAGCGCGAATTTGGTCGCCTTGATATTCTGATTAGTAATGCTGGCTTCCTGGCACGCTACGAAAAGATACTGGACGGTGACGATGACGAATGGTGGCAGAGCTTCGAGACAAACATTCGTGGCATGTATCGTGTTGCCAAGGCATTCCTGCCTTTGATGCTGAGCGGTGGCGACAAGACCATTATCAGCATATCTTCAACTGGCGTCATGCACTATCATACTGGTGGTAGCAGCTACCAGATATCTAAATTGGCGCTGCTCAGGTTGACCGAATTCCTGATGGCAGAGTATGCAGAGCAGGTATGTATTCCCGTTCATGACATCGTCTAAAGTTCTGCTGATGTGCAGAACAGGGTCTGTTGACATACTCGTTGCACCCCGGTGGTGTTGCCACGGATCTCGCAAGCATGTTGCCCGAAGCGACCAAATGTACGTGTATCTAGTGAACATTAGTGGGAGAGACCTGAACACTAAGATCGATCGTAGCATGGCTCAAGTGCACACCTGCCCTCGGTGGCGACACCATTGCATACTTGACAGCTCAGAGACAAGAATGGTTGGCAGGACGTTATCTGAGCGCAATGTGGGATATGGAGGAGGTGTTTGCAAAGAAAGAGGAAATCATCGAGAAAGATTTATTGAAGATGAAGATGGCGTTCTGAGCTTGGCATAGGACGTACTTTGAATGAACTTGATGACGTTTATCCATAGGCATGAAGGTTCATGAGCTGCCATGTTGTCTCTGAACCCAAACCCCTTATTTTGTTGACTTCAGGAAATGGTGTCAATTCTCTCTTTCCCTTTCCCATCCCAGACATTGCATCTTCACATCTCATGGCTATAAACAGAGCTCTGACCCGGCAGCAACAAACTTATTTTTGTTCTCTACTTGTGAGTTGCGACCACCAGAACTGAGAGCTTTCTTTTTTTTTTTCCGGTAATAACCTTTCGCATCTCATTTCAACTCCACGGTCATCGGGCACAGTTGATACCCCTGTGGCAACAACTCACTGCATATTACTGGTAGCTATTTCGCAAAACCCCGCCACGTCTCATTCAGCTCCACGACCATCAAAACGTGCGTCCAGAGCTCGCAACAAGCAAACCTCGCAAAAAGAGCAACAATTAAAAGGTTAGCCCCCTAAAGCATCGCCTCAACCATCAAAACAATGGCATCAAGCAATGAAGACCAAATCACAGGCCAAGCGTGAGCTCCGGGGCCGTCACTATGGCCAGGAACAATCGTCTTTCTTCCAGCTCCTCTACAAAGAGATTCGGACCGTCTTCTATGAGCGCCTTGTCCCCTCTGGACTCCGCGAGTTTGAGGTGTTTCCCAGCCAAGCTCTCAGGGCCCCTCCCAGCTGGGACGGCAGATCGCTCTTGGAGACCTGCCGCCGCATCCCGGACGAGGCCAGCCCCATCCTACACAAAAGAAGCCATCCTACGCTTCGAGTCCCCCGACCAAGGTGTCGACGAATGCTATGGCGGCTTCATCCACACGCACGACGTCAGGCTCCTGGCTGCGGTGCCCTGGGCACGCGATGCCTGCGGGACTCTCCTCGTCAAGTACGACCTGCGCCTCGCTGATCACTCGGGCCTCGTAGGCTACCTCTGGAGCTGCTTCGGCGTCCCCGGCCTGGCGGCAAGCATCGAACGCGTCGAGATTCATGTTGGCTCGCCATGGGGATTTTGGAACTCGTGGCTTACTGAGAAGCGCTACCGTGCCGTAAGCATCTTCGGGGCCTGAGAGCGCGGCCAGGGTCGTGAACACGGGCAACTTCCCGCTGCACGAGTTCCTGGATTGGCTGCAGGGACTGCCGCGGCTGAGGACGGTGATCGTAAGCGGCGGCATCTATCACGATCTGCTGGCGGGTTTCTACCGGCGAGAGTTTCTGAAGGGCGGCAGGAGCGACTTAGGGGTTGCGGACCACGGACAAAGAGTTCAAGATGTCAACGGCAGAATCGTATCGTGATCTGGCATTCAGACGTCGAAGGAGGCGATGGGTGTCGGGATATGGGCCGACTGGAGCCGTTTCAGCTTCAAGTCCCCGGACAGTGATGTTCCCAAAGATGTAAAAGATCCCCTCGTGAGCTAGTTAACTAGGATTTGGATACGCCCCCTGGGAAACGATATAACTGGTGTTGCAATAGAACGCACGCTCAACACACCAGACCCCCTTTATCATATAAAGAACCATAGCTATACTTGCGCAACGCATTCTCGACGGGGCAAATCTTTGGCACCGTACAGCCCCAACGGCAACCATCCCCATGGACTCCCGGGTGTAGATGGATCACTTGGTAAGAAAATACAATAAAGACCCAATTACCTCGGGAGAAAGTTCTTCGACTGGAGAGTAAGGAATGGGATGCGGGAAAACCCTCCGTGGTTAGGATGGAGACAGCGATGATATTGAACCATGAGATTTTATGAGTGGGAGAACTTTGCAGCTCTTTTCTCTCAGCGGATAGACTGAAGAGAATATGGAGCCGACGATCTGAATTTGAAGTTGCCCAGGGTATTCAAATGGAGGGAACGCAAAGTTCGCATAGGTCAGCGTGGACAGGAATGTGAGCACGCGGAATGGTCACCAAGCGTTGCAGATTTGGATACCTGTATTCACTATAGTACCTAGTCTCAGGTCTATAGTAAACCTAACATATTGTATGATCGCGACGTTTGTGTTTACTTTCTATCGCGAGCCAAGCGCAAGCTGCCAGCTAGATCAGATTAAACTGTTGCGGGCGGCCGTAGATATGGAGGCACCTAGGAACACACTCACGTAAGATGTTTACGCAAAACTTGAGGACTTCTCACTTGTCCCCTGCTTTTCTTTTGCAAACAGGCCATCCTATACTAAAATTTTAATTCTGACTCAGATAGAATTTGCCAGGCTTTATTCATTATATGCATGTGTGAATATTTGCACAGATGATAGCCTAGATGAAGTTATTTCAGCAGAGGAAAGAGCACAGCGAAGGTTTTGTCATCTTACTTGGCGGTGTGTATCTTGGGAATTCAACGATGTTTCCCTATAACACACCTCGACGGTAGATTGACTCATTCGTTAAGTATGACTACCGTTAGGAATACTTGGGCAACAGTTAAGACACGTTAGAAAAGGCTCCGTGTTTAAAATTTGCCGACAGAGGTGTTGCTAAATATTCTCACACCACTTTTTTGTCTCGCTTTGCTGAACAGTGTCCTGCAGGGAATCCCCCATGGGTTCAAGTTATTTCACACTTATGCCTGGTGGTGATAACCGAAGCCACCCCTGTCGTCCCGATACATATACGAAATACAAGACCCTTGAAGTCTGGATACATGTGATGCCATATAAGCATCTCCATAAACACTACTGCGTGATCTGTGTGGTAAACCTGAGCGTCGTGGCTGCGACTTTGGGTGGGAAAGCGTTGTCGGTGTGGAAACTGATACGGAGCTAGAGTGACAGAGCTGGGAGAAATCACGTGTATGTCGTACAAGTCGGAGATTCAATCGTAGATGTCTTACATCACAGCTTATCGTCTTCGGCATGGCCATGGCTAAGAGGGTAGGCTCAAAGATCAGGAGACGATACATCTTATAAGGTCGGATATTTTACAGGAGTTTCATAAATGTGCATTACAACAATGGGACGTGATTAATATTAAAACGCTATAACAGTGGAACTCCAAAACAGCATACTTTGTATCCTCTAAGATGCTATGTCCAAGAGCAGGCCATTATTCAATGTGAAGTTCCAGTTTCATATGAGGTTCATGATAAAAGGCCAAATCCATAACACTCCCTCTGAATGTTCAGGGATGCGACGGAACAGGAATATCAGCCTCGGCCTCAGCATCCAGGGCCTTTTGTATATTGGCCCACCTCCCCTTGACACGATAACCGCACATCCAGTAGTTGCCATGGGAATCCTTACCCATGAAGAGAAAGCCCTCACCGAACTGGAAAGGCATCTGACTGTGGTTGATGTACGACGGGACACAGGGCGTGTCGCGGGGCGTGGTGGCGGCGGCGGAGAAGTCGACGGCGAAGAGGTCGGAGCGGGTCCAGTTGGAGTAGCTGACCTGGTGGGTCTGGCTGGTGCCGAAGAATAGCGGCAGGGCGACGCTCTGGTCGCGGAACATGGCGTGGTAGGCCTCGATCTGCTCGCGCGATCGCTGCTCGTTGACGGCCAGCCGGATCTGCGCCGCCGTGTGGCTCAGCGGCCTGCAGAGCAGATCGCTGGCCTTGACCAGCACGTTCATAAACCCAAAGCAATTGGCCACGTACGGCTGGTCGTGCGGTAGCAGGTCACCTGCCAGCGTCTTGCGCATCGACCCCGACACTTGGATTGTGACGGGCTTTTCCGAGTTCGCCGGGAGGTGGGATACCGCAAGGCGGGTGCACCAGGCGGTGAGGATGTCGTTCTCCGTCAGGAAGGGCGTCTCGCCCGGCGGGGCCTGGGCTTTGAGCTCGTCCATGGCCGCGTTATACATGTGGTCGACGTAGGGGCCCGGCAGACAGACCATGCGGTTCTCCTTGGCACGGAACGTCAGGTCGCCGATGTTATTGAAGAACCAGCCCGCCATCTGACCGTTCGACATGCGCTCTTTGGCGAGCGCATGCGGAACAGTGGGATTCTTGCCGAGGTCGGCCATTGGATCGCTATCGAAGCCGCACTGCGGAGGAACCTCGTCGTCTCGTCCCTCGAGCATCCGGACCCAGTTTTCCATGACGGCCTTGTTGCCCAGCGTGTCGCTGGCGAGATGTAGCCAGTGGAGCGTCACGAGGGTTGAGTCGTTGAAGGAAACGATGTGAAGGCCGAATATCGGGCGGTCTGAGTACAGGTAGTCGTCGGCGACGGACGGACAATCCGGACCTTTGGCGAGCGGCAGGAACTCATCCGGGTCCGCGACGATTGCCGGGCCGGCACTACCTGGCGGCGTTGGCAGCTTGCCCGCCAATGGGTGGTCTGCGCGGTTCATGTCATGCGCAACGTGTGTGTAAGCGATGGCGGGGCGCTCGTCAGAGAAAACGGCGGGGATGTGATAATCGAGCCCCCCGTTTGCCTGGTTAGTGGTGGTCAGACGCTGGTTTTACGTCGTCACTGGCATCCCAGCGTGAAAATCTGTTTGGCGAGGGGGGACTCACGTTGCTTCGGAGTCGCGCTCCCATTTTCCTCCAAGTTTTCTGCTGCACTAGCCGCTCGAGCGCATTTCGCAGCTTCTCCGGATCGAGGACATCATTGAATACCATCAAGTTGTATAGAAGGATTCTCTGCATCAATGGTGTATTGTCCAAGAAACCCAGAGGGATGACTTGGTCCGTCTCTATGTGAGCCGGTGCGGCCCGTCCGAAGATACCCATGATGGCTTCCTGCCGTCTAGTTTACTATGGTGGATTCTTTGATTTGTGAGTTAAAAAGAAAATGAGAAACTGTGTGTCGCACTATGTTATCGTACGCTCTTGATGAGAAAGGTAGTCGGAAAACGAGGGGTCGGCTGTCCTGTTTCGGTAGATAGTCTATCTACATGCAGCAGCTTTGGTGTATGGTCCTGTGTAAGGTACCGATCTACTATACAGAGGGGCAGTTAGCCTGTTTGCATATAATTGTACTGGGCACTGACTATCGAGGATGGTCGAGTGTAAAATCTAAGGACCTGGACTCTTGCCACCAAGCAGTCAGTATGCATATGGTAGGTTTGTCGCAACTGAATAGGGAGTTGAGGTAATGTAATGCGATCTGGAGTCATCCTTTTCCTGCATTACATAAACAGGGGTGTGATCGCTCACGCCAGAAACAGGACCCCGGGTGGTTGATTTCGCTTAATCTCCACTGAAATATGGTCATCTTCTTCGGTGGCTTTGAACATATTGGCAGCAGGGCGCCTGCATGCGAAATGTAACACTGCATCTAGCATGGTAAACGCTTCCACCAAATCCTACCCAAAACAACAGTTTACGCAGCCAGGGACCACAATTCTATAGTAACAGAACTATCAACAGTTATCTGATTGACTTATATGAGAGTCTTGGTGTCATTTGCAAGTACTTGGGCTCTTCTATGTATAAGTGAGCTGGTATATTTCGCAGTATCTGGCAGCAAACGTCACATTTTCCTCATGGGCTCCGGGAAGATCTGCTAGTCACAAAGGAAGCTCCTAAGACGGGACATCATTAATTCATTGAAATTGGGTAGCGTTATGGGACCTTTGAACGACCCCCTAATTCTTGCATACTATGTAATACTAGTACGTCCCGGGGTATTGGTTCTGTCGAATTTACGACACGGGTTTAGACCCTTGACACCGTTGGGTGGGTGGGGGTGGGACGCTTGGCGGGGCAGTTGTATGGTTCGATACTACGTCAACATCCTTAGGACCCAGTCCACAGCTCTGTATGTCCAATCACATCACATACCTGCCGCCACAAACCCATTTCTCTCTGGCCAACGTCGCTACCAAACCGGGCTTAGATACTGCAAGTCGTACCAAGAGCCCTGTGACAGCTGGTGCACTATGTACGAGGCGAGATCTGCAATATCGCTACCGCATACTAGGTGCAATGGGCATCATGTAATAAAACAGTGCTGTTTGAGTGGTCTGGTTGGTAGCAAGATGCCTTGGCGTGCCTCATTCAGCAGTTCCAGGCCGACCGTTTGAGGACAGTCCTTCCCATCACGACCCGTGTGGTGTAGTAGGAACGCTTGATTTCTAGATCGACCGATGCGCTCGCTCCCCACATATTAACTATCCTCGAACTCAATCAGGGTAAAGTGATGACCTTGGCAAGGTCGCGGTAAAGCTTCACAACTAGTCTAGTCTTCAATTTGGCCACTGCAAGATTTACGGGATTCGAACGCCCTCATCGTAGTAAGAGTAGGAAGTTAAGAGCATTAGGGAGGTTTTCATATATGTGTTTTGATGTTTCTCGGACTTTTAATATCTAGAACCGCATGTATGCTTTTTCTATGGCGATGAGTATGAGAAATATTCGCCTGAACAGGGTAGCGGGCAATTGCAAACTCGACATACATTGTAGAATGAGGCAACTCAGACCAATTGCTTTACGTGAGTCTCCCAACCCTGCCGGTCGTCTTTAGAATCGAAGCCACTACTCGTCTCGATTCTGACTTCGGTCTCTCGCATGATGTGGTGCTTGCTCGAGTCGTCGTCCTCTAGCTTGTCCCAAGTCTTGCGGCTCGAAACTGCTGTTCGACCTTTCCCCGATGGTGTCAAGTTACTAAGTTGCGTCCCACGACCCCCGCCAGAGAGGTGTGCGGACGCAGCGCCTGATCGACCGGCGGACGATCGATAGAAGGATCCGAAGAGCTGCCGCAGGGGCGGTAGGTTGCACGCGATGATACCAAAGCTGCCCTCGAGATGCGACCAAATGACGAGCTGTGCCTCCGTGACCAGAGCGTCATGTGGGTGATATCTTTCATCGGTTTGGGAGTAGCTTGCAATGCGCATAATGGCAGCAAAACTGGCGAATACACCCAAGCCGAGAATCAAAATTACCGAAATTTTCTTTCTCCTGTTCATTTGTAGGCTACGCACGACGAAGAATGGGGTGATGGCGACAATCCAGTCAGTAATGACCTGCATACTCGTACCGATATAGCTCATGATGAACCATCCGTCCGGCGCCGGAGCCCAGCAGCTTCCTCTAGCCGAATTAGTTAGTCATTTGTGTAACGGCCAGCAAGTCTCAAGTCTGGGCGTAACGACGGAGTGTTGCTTACAGTGCAGGATTCCAACGTGTTGCAAATGGTTTGCAGTCGGCAAAAAGGAATATGAGTGCGCCAAATGCTGTAAGGGCCATCCCTCCCACTGCCGAGCCATGTTAATGATATTGCCCTGGGAGGCGCATCGGATCTGCTAGTGTTTGCGGCTACTTACTTGCACCATACATAGCGTACACATATCGGCGTTCTTTGCATATCCTCATAATAGTAAAGGCGATGGAAAATTTCGTGAGGGTTGAAGATCCGAAATAGACCAACTCGTACAATAGTTGGAATTCCTTGGCCCGGATTTTCATGAACGGATTAACAGCGCTGTCTGGTGCCCCGACGCCGTAGTATGTGCCAATGATACCGATGATACAGCACGGAAGGTAGGGGATCTGTTACGGAGGAACATTCGGTCAGCGAGTCTCTATCGTATGCGAGGGGCCGATATTGCCATACAAATCCTCCAACCGCCAGATAGTCATCAATCGCCCAGCTATTTCCCGACGCCTGCGGCCGTGATCGCACCCACACGCGAAGACCAAATATGATAGTGCATAAGATGGCCGTTGTGTAGAAAATCCCCTGGATAGTGATGCCGGCACCGGCGGGCTGCATCGACGGCTGAGAGTCGGCGATCTCTTGGATCTGTTGACCCGTGAGCCCCTCGAACTCCGGTACGTATGGAGAGTACGCTGACATAGTGATTCGGAATTGGATCGAGTCTCCTGACGCGTGAGACGAAGTAAAAGAATACAGCAACCGAGTGATCACAGTCTGACTTAGACGAAGAGGCAGACAAGTTTGCTTACATTCAACATCCACGCCAGCAGAAAATAGGAAACTGGCAACTTTCTTTTTCAGCAATCGGAGCTTAAGCCTAACTGAAATTCTAATCACCCAGATTGGGCAGCGGGCTTGCTGACATAACACAACTATTTTTCACATCCTAGGTAGCCAATTGTATCAAGAATAGCTTGGTTTGATATCAATACGGTACTGTCACAATTCACGGTGTTAGGTACCTGGCCAAAAGGCATGTTATAGATCATGCGGCACAGAGTCGCGGAGTATTGTTTCAAATGTGGTTACATTAGCCCTCGTGCATATGCAATTTGGGTATGATCCCGGCTAATCCAAGCCTAATCCTAGACCCGCCAAGCATGGTCGCTTCTAATGCTAAAGCAAGCCGTACGTTTTGTCACAAGAGAATATGATCACAATGATTTGTCGCCGATCACCGTTGAGATATACAGAATCCAAATAACACGTAGCTCATCTCACCCTTGACTGAGATTCTGCGGACCTCAATCAAGAGCCCATTGGAGAGATGGAGGATTTGAAACCCTGAAGGCGTAGATTGGTTTCTCCAAAACCGTTTCTTGGGGATGCCAGGCAACCAGGCTCCCCTGAATATCACTACATCCCGCCTTCCGGAAGACACATGGACCCCTGTATTCGGCCGCCACTAGCGTTGATTGCAGATCGCGAGTGCCGGGGTCTTTTAGCAATAACCGTGGCAGCATGGGTACCAGCTTCAAACTCGATTTCGTTTTCACCGTTTGACCTCACTCAGGATCTTCAACATAATCACTGGAACCGGCAGTACGGGTGGAGTAAAAGCGTTGAGGCTAAAGTGCTACCTAGTGTACTAGGGCGGCCACGACATGGGGAGTATTTCTTTTCTTCCTAACATAGTTAACGTAGCACAAATTTGTACTTCTGTCAGCAGGTTCTGGCTCGGGGCCGAGAATCATACCATCAGAGGTTTGCCTCCTTCTCATTATGGGCTGGTGAGTTCTTCCTTGAGTTGCTGGACAACTATTGGCTCATTCTTATGCCAAAGATCACATCTGAAGCGTCAAACTGGGTTCGCACAACACCATGTTCAAAGAATTTTATTTGATAGACGCAGACCTAATTGTAAAGAATTACCAGGCCAAAGAAAGCGAGGAAACTGAGCAGTTAGTTTCTAGAGACCTTGAGTATCCTGACTAGTATCTTGCCAATCCGAGCCAATTTCCTATGATCTGACAACATACGGGATACAGGTCAGAACGGACAGCATAAAGGCCATCACTAGGCTCTGTGTTACATCTAGAGTCAGTTCCCGAATATTGTTCTTCCTCAATAAATTCTTCAGCTCAGACCGCTCCTGTCCTCGCTGCTCCTTTATCAACTCCAGGAATGTGGGTCCCGTCCACTCAGCCGGGTCAATTCCTCCAACCCTTTGGGCCTCCTCATAGTAGCGGCAGAATTTGGTAGTCACACCACCGTCGTCTCGTAAGCCCTCATGAATCTCGTTGACACGATACCGTTTGTCGCAGAGATGCCAGGTCACATAGCCGTGCATGAATTTGCTCATCGCGTTCGCGACACCTTCGTCCTTGTCAGCGAATACGCTCTTGATCTGCTTACTGACACGGAGCGTGTTATGCGTCAACTTTTCGAGGCCTTCTTGTAACGTCAGCCCTCCAACGTGGCAGTAGTTGTTGATCAGAGATGTCTGGTCGCGTGGGTCATCGAACTCCTTGTAGAAGGAGATCAGGTCGTTCGTCCAGGCCATCCAGCACTCTAGCTGGCACACGGACGTGGTGATCTCGCGGAAATACTTGGTCTCGTCAAATTTCTCGGCTGGGAAGATGGTTGAGCCAACCACGTGGCCGAGTCCGTTCATTCGACGGAGGAACTCGGGGTAATCTTCATTCCCCGGGTAACCCTTAAAATTGTGCTGCTCGATCCAGCATCCCTCAAAGACTAATATGCACTTTGGTCAGTTATTGTGATTTGGAATCAGATAAATGTAGCTGGCTCACAGTCTATTGTGCTGCGATAGATGTTTAGTGAACCGTATGGGCCGTAGTGGCTCAGCAGGTTGGGTAAGTGTTCAATCATAAGTCTGAGCCAGGGGTGCCTCTGTTTGCGACCGACCATCAAGTCCTTGAAGAAGGTTTCCGTCATTTGCTGCGGGTCTTCCTCGCTATCGTCGAGAATTAACGTGTAAGTGAAATATATGGCAAGTGCAGCCATTGTTTCTTTACTGCAGCTGACCCAGCAGTCTACCACTAGTAAGGCAATCGTCCGTATACCGGCTTCAAGCTTCTTGTGGTTGAACTTGAGCGCCTGATACACATGCGGTTGGGCGAAGTGCGTTGCTGTCGCGGCGTAGGTATAACGGAGGCGGTCCACGCGCTCGTGGTGGGTGTAGTTGGTATCTTTGTGTTCGATGGTATCCAGCAACCGAACAATGGCTTGGACAAAGTAGTCTTTGGGGAAAGCCCGAGATTCGAGGGTGATGAACTTAGCCATTTTGAATGACCAGAATATTTTTGACTGAATTTAAACGTGTAGGTTGGAGATATAGGTGCTGGAGCCTACTTTACCTTAACCCATTTCCAAGATGAGCGGTGCGCAGCATTTATATCCAAACTGGACAGCTACGCCGTCCATCATTCACCTTTCGACGTCACTCAGAGTTCTTCTCAGAATTCTCACAGAAGTACATGATCTTCATGAGTTGTTCGCGCTTTCCATTTGTCAAGGAACATTCATTAATCCTTGAGCTCTTCTGCGTGACTCACCTTTCTCCTGTGTGACGTCTGAACTAGTCCACGACCCATTATTAGGGTTCTTACTTATTACGTCAATGAAGAAACTCCAAGAAACTAAGGGCCCTGGTCTTGCGATAGTCATTAGAACCCCGGTACAGATGACGGTTGGCGCGGTGCGTCTCGGCTTTTGAACCAGATATTTCGGTTGTGGCGCAGCGCAGATTATCCAACTTGGTGTTTCCATGCTAGTACAATTAGACTAGTGTGCGCTCCGTCATATATTCGTGGTTTGATGGGTCTCACGTATTCATTTCTCAGTTTCAGGGATTGTATCATACCATATCATCCGCAAAACAAACTCCACAAGTTCTGGGACAAGCACACAATGCTAAGCTGAGATCAATACCAGCGGCCAACAGGAGACCCCTCCTTGGTCATGAATAGCTGATCTCAAATGGATTGTCTTGGGTCGTCAATGGATCCTTTATACTAGCGTGAATGGCCCAACCAGGTCATCGGCGACGTCAGACACCAGAAGGCACGATGCGTGACGTCTGGTATGACTTCACTTCGTTATGTGCTGGCATGACTTCACTCCGTTATGAACCAATCCTCCGTCGACTCAGGATGACGTTGTGTCAAAACATTATTCGAAAGCATCGTGCAGCTTTCAATAATGCCTATATCTTCCAGTTCCTGACCTTCTTGCCTGGGGATCCTCTCTGCTTCTCTGACATCGACTTCCACCACCACAATTTACAACAATGTCTCATCTCATAACCATATTATGCCTACTTATCGTTACCTGGTCGGCATATAAGATCTTCAGGATTGGTCGTCGGCCTTCGGATTATCCCCCTGGCCCACCAACTCTTCCTATCCTCGGCAATCTACACCAAATGCCAACTAAAGATCCGCATATCCAATTCCGGAAGTGGAGCAAAGAGTACGGGTAAGTAAGGTTTTGATATCTGGAATCATCTCTGAAAACAACCAAGACAGGAAAATAAGAGAAGAATAAGCTAACATAAATAGATCAATATATTCTGTCATGGCAGGGACCCGGACTGTCATTGTACTGAACACAGACGAGGTCGTCAAGGAGCTACTCGACAAAAGAGGCGCCATCTACTCTTCTCGTCCTGACTCATACATCATTGATCTAGTAACCGGCGGTAGCAAGTTTGGCCTCATGGTGAGTTGAGCATGTTGTCAACTGTCTTTTGCCAAGATCTGGTTTGCTAACAATCCAAGCCGTACAATAATACCTGGAAAAGCTGCCGCGCAGTATTCAAGAGTAATCTCAGCCCTGAATCGGCCAAGACCTATGTTCCTTACCAGGATCTGGAGTCCAAGCAAATGTCGAACGATCTTTGTGAGTAGAGTCCAATCAGCTCTAGCTGGTGAGGCACTATATTTATCCACCATGGATTCCGCTAACCTCGTGGTTTGAAGTGCAAGAACCCGAGCACTTCAAAGATCACATACGGCGCTTCACCAATTCTATTGCATACCAAATCGTTCTTGGGTTCCGTGTTGTAAATAACCATGACAGCAATCTCAGACAAGTGTACGAGAGCTTCGAAAAATGGAACTCACTGTTGGGTCACTTCCATACCGTCCTCTTGGACTTGTATCCCCCGTTGAGACAGCTACCAAATTTCCTCGTTCCAATTAGGAAGTACGCAAAGGAGATCCATGACGAGGAAGAAAACTTCTTCCAAGGCCACCTGAACAGTATCAAGGAGAAGGTCGAGAACGGAATGGCACAGGTATGTTCTTCGGCTATGCTTTTTGACATCCAGCTAAGCACATTGACCACCATGTGTAGCCGTGTCTGGCGGAAGATGTAATTAAGGCTCAAGAAGCCAATGGCTTCCCAGACGAACTAGCCAGCATGTTATGCGGCGATCTCATTGAGGCCGGTTCGGACACGATGGCCAACGAGTTGATGGGATTTGTCCTGGCCATGGTTTTGTTCCCCGAAGTACAGAAACGGGCGCAGGCCGAGATCGACCGCGTATGTGGCGATCGTCTTCCCGAACTGGATGACAATCTGCCTTATGTCCGTGCCTGCGTCAAGGAAACATATCGGTGGATGCCAACCGCCATCCTTGGGATTCCTCACGCCGTCACACAAGATGATTATCATCTAGGCTATAAGATCCCCAAAGGCGCCATAATCATCCCTAATGTCTGGTAAGCATCTGAGAGATTAAAGAGACGGCTGGCGATACATGAATACTTACCCTATCTCAACAGGGCCATCCATATGGATGAAAGGCGGCACCCCGAGCCGCGAGCATTTGAGCCATCCCGATATCTCGGCGACGAGTCGACGGCCAGGCAGTCAGCGCAGGCTGCTGATCCGAAGAAACGCGACCATTTTTCCTTTGGGGCAGGTCGTCGCCTGTGCGTGGGCATTGATCTGGCCGAGAACGGAACGTTCCTTGGAGTCTCAAGACTGCTTTGGGCCTTCGATATCTCCAAAGCCGCAGACGGTCAAGGAACCCTGATCACGCCGGACCCAGAGAAGTTCACAGGCGGCATGGCGGCATGTCCAGAGGATTTTCCGGCCAGGTTCACGCCTCGCAGCGAGAGGCATGCCCGCATCATTAGGTCCGAGTGGGAAGATGCTCAGCAGGAGCTGAACAAGGAGGATATGCAGTGGAAAGACCTGCCGACGAGCTCGAACTGAAGGATTTGAAAAGTTGGTGGTGTGCATTACATGATCCAGAAAATATTCCGAGATAAGAACTACAGTATCACTGATGCGATGTTAAATATGATCAGCGTTCTCTTAATCCTATTTGTTTTTCCATCTTCCCTTTTCACTCTGCATTCTATCCTCCCAAGGAATGCCGTAAGTATTATAATATGTTTTGCTCGCAGAGGTGCACAGTAATACCTTGTGCCTATGTTCAGTACCTCGGTTGAGCAGTAGGGATTTCTGTCACTTTATGTAAATCGAACTTCACGCAGATGTTAGCTTGAGTAATATGTATTTTCTACGAATAGTCAACGTAACTAAGTACCTTCATATTTCAGAGCCCACGAGATTACAAGTCATTTGCTTTATGGCCCGCTCGCGTTCCATCTAAGTGCACTATTCCTAAGACTGAGACGCCAAAACCTCAAACTATCACCTTCTAAATATGTTGGACTGTACTCAATTTGTCTCGCATCTCGCACGCAAACCATACTCGTGTTCGAAGCTGATATCAGTAGCTCACAATCTCGCGTACTGCCCATAGCCTCTCCGACTTCTATTATTCACTGGAAGCTGGACCTTGGCTAACATAAACGAACGACTCGACTGCTTCCGACTCATCAGAATCAAGTAGCTGCACGACTTGGCTGCCTGTCGGATTTTGTAAATCTGTGGTGGCACGGCAACGACGTCCTCTTGAAGCCTCTCGAACAAGAGGCTCTGGCAGTGATGTCCGAGAGTTCGAGGCCCTCGGAAAGGCGGAGGTTATACGTGATGCGCAGGATGGTAGAGAACTTGTAGCTGTGGGCCCACCAAGGCCACGCTGATCCCCGATTCCGTAGGCCACACACAGCATAACCGCTGAGTAGGAATACACGTTTTGGTAGGTATGTGCTGTCACCTTGGTGAGGTGCACTCTGTTGGTAGTGAGGTTTGGTTACAAATGAGCAGGCTCATCCAAAAGAAGACGGAATTGGATACACATACTACCTTTGCCTTATTCAAGTCGTGATCTAGGGTTCTACATGAATTATCACGCTTGTCTGTCGTAACACTAAAGTTCAAGCCACCATGGGCCACGATAGAGACATTTGTCATTGCGGAGTTATACTAACGCCGGCTTGATTTTAAAGGTCGCTGGAGGGACGACGGAAGTGAAAGGGAAGAGCCTGAGTACAGATCAGGGATTGGCTATTGTTCAACCACGTGCTGCTCACATATGAGAATAGAGACTTACCACCACCAGATTACCAACACAATTTCAGGTAGAAAGCGCCACTAGCTGAGGGTTTGGAGGTTGAAAACATTGCTTTGGACTGGGAAGGGCCGTTGATTAAGCCCAGCTTAGTCGGGTGGTGCCCGACGGCTCTCCAGCAACTTTGCTCCCTGTGTCCCTTGAACCGTAATAGTAAAAAGTGTTTTGAGAAGAATGGCGAAGCAAGCCCCGAGTGCAACATTCATCTGCTGGCTAGAGAAGTTCTGCAGGGAGCCCAAAAGCTTCTTCGACGCGTCGAGTGGTGGTGGCCGGCGCTCGAAACATTTTTAGAAGAAATGGTGTGTGAATATGAAGGATGGATGTTGGACGCCGTGACCATTCAAGCTCGGTCTTATTATTTGCCACAACGCAGCCGAAAATCCTGCTCACCAGCTCGGACCGAGACCTATTCGGCTGAGGTGGGTTGACGATTTACTACTATCAACAACGAGGTTCGGGCATGAAGAGTCCCATAAACCAGTCCAATTATGCGAAACCGCTTTTTCTTAACTCGCTTTGCTCAAAGAATATTATATTAGTTTGCAAGGTAAAGTCATGGAAAGAAGACGTGCTTTGTTGATGGTTAAGTGCGTGAAAGAGTTTCGATCGGCCGGAGGACATAATCCGATGCACAAAATACGATGCGAGACCGCTAGAATGCCCTGCGTGACGGCCATCAAGACCGTACAGGAAATATAGTCACCGCAAGAGCTTTCCCATCATTCTTCTGTTGGTACGTCTTCGCTAACTTTGTAGTACCAGCGAGGAAAGCTGAAGCTGTGTAAGATGATGCAGGTATTTACTTCATATCCTTTTGTGACGATCGTCGAGGGGACATGCCTACCGATCACTAAAAGGTTTCATTTTCTGCAGTAACGCAAGTCGCTGCAGACGGTAGGACCGAGCCTGCCCCTGAACGTCGAGCTTTGGATTTATTGGTTAATCAGGCAGAGGATTGTGAACATTGTATGAGGTGGGTCCGTCCGATTGGATTCTTAGACTTTGTCAACAATACTGATGCATTGCATCACTCTTTATATCTAATCACCACGATGATTTATTCCAGTCTTCATCAGATTGGGCACGGTATTTCCTCGCCAACTCGCCGATTTCCAATTCCACAAAAGCACTAGTCTGGAATTCACGTCGGATTCCTCATGTGCTTGGGATGATATTCAAAAGTACGTGGGGTATCCCTCTTGGCTGAAAAAGTAGCCTGTCCGCCTAGAAGTATGCAAATCGGGTAAGTGTTAGATGTATGACGTTGCTCGTGGGCACTTTGCACAATGGGGGTTTGTATCAATACCCTGCAAAAAATGTCTGCCGTGGTTTCAGGTAGTGAATCGCCGTCTAATACCACACAGACGTTTGGTGGGAAATTGACCGCGGCCATAACCCCCTCCGGCACCACATCTGTTATATCATCACAAGAGACTCCCGGATGAAAGCGATTGTGGGATAGTGGTCTCCAGAAAGTCTAAGCCTCTCATAGGGCAAAACCCTCCGCCCGCCACAAAGACGTTGTTCCAAAGACTAACTCGACTCTGGATGAAGAGTCATGTGGTTTCCTAGGCGAATGGAGCGAGACCCCAAGCAGTAGCTTCGGGACAGGCGACGGACTCCTGATGTTCCATGAGAACAACCTTTCATAGATACTTCTATGTGGTTGAATGTTGCTCAAGAAAGTGGAGCGAGGCCGGCAACTGGAATAGCAAATGATTAAAACCAGGAATCCAGGCAGCAGATCCCGGGGTGCAGTCAAACTGTATCTGTTTTTCCGCATCAACACATTCAGTTCGGAGGTTATGGTGAAATTATTATGTAACCAATGCATTGGCGCAGGTTCTTCGTGTTTTTGCTTTTGCAGGCGAGAAAAATGGTAGCGTCAAACTTTCGGCACCTTGGCACGTCTCTTTCTGATGTCATACGCGTGGTGGCATTCAGCCGCGTGCAAGTAGCTTGTTCTCAACAACCAGATCAACTTGCATGTATTGTACAGGGTAGCAGGGAAAAATTTGAAGTGGCAGAAGCGCCAAACCGGTGGTTGGAGATGAGAGTACGGATGTCGCTACCAAAGGTCTTCGCCCGCTTGATTTTGTACAGCCAGCTGAAACGGTCCGCTCCCAGCTGAGAGCAGAACTACCTTCAGGCGCACTTAAGTACTGAATCCGCTGAGACTCACTAAATAAGGACCACTACGGAGCGCTAAATTCTTTGAGAGAGCCCCTCTAAAAATTCAAATTTAGCGGACGACTTTATCCACAGCTGGGGCTACCTTAAATCAATCTGCCAAGCAGCTGCCAAGGTACGTACGAAAAGTCCTGGCGGTCGAAGACCTTTGGTAGCGACATCCGTACTCTCATCTCCAACCCCCGACGTTTTGGTGCCGCTCAATGCTGCCCAGCAATCAATTCGTACCTGACTGACTGGCGACAGAAAACGACACCTCGTTGAATTCGAGCATTTATGATAAGATGCGGTTGCATTGACGCCAACAATCCGTCTCAGAACACAGGTAATCGTATGAACTTGCAGAGTTACCCAGCCAAGCATGCATGTTACGGCCACTATTTGTACTAAGTCTCAGAGCTCAGTCGCTCACCAGAAACGCAGAGCCTACTGTACCCCTACATTTTCTAAGATTTAAGTGCTTACCCGAGTCCATCGTCTTTCCTACTACCTCGCAATTTAGCGAAAATTCCGTTTAGGCATCAAATACAAACTGGAGTGGTTGATGCCGCAGTAAGAACGCTCTTCATTTTTCCAATGACACTTGATATTTCGAACAGATTCACTAAATGATAAAGCACCCAGGCAGCTAAAAGCCGACAGGCAAACTGAGCTGCTGCATTCCCATTCCGATGATAATGCTGAAAGATTGAGCACCAATTCGAAACAATTCTTGTTTTCTGACGGCATCAGGTCAACATATACTTTGGCAATGTCATACATCAGTAAGGTGGAAAGGAGTAAGGTGGAATGCCAATCCAACACTGATGCAAACTACGGCTTCTCTACCGCACTTATCGTAGGTGCTACCATGGTATGTAACTTACATACAGGCACACATGAGAACCCACTATCAATGGCCCTGGTTCTGCACCGCCCTCTGTCCAAAAGAATAGTGCGCAGACGATAGCCAAGACGGAGGCATACGTTTTGCGCGAAAGCACATCATGTATCACACAATTGGCCCGAGCTTGTGAGTTTCCATTCGAATTTCATTTTTTACCAGGATATCCTCCGGTGAACGCAATACACCTGCCGAACTATGAGGAGGAGATGAACCAAACGTAGAATTGCTGTCGATTTTATGCAGACATCACTTCAACGTATTTGTTACACAGCATTATGGTGCCTATCATGGCTGCCGACTGGATAAATCGTACACCATCCGTAATTTGCTGATTAACACACCGCCGCATCCTTCACATCGTGGATCGAGACTCTTGGAGACATACATACGCATACGTATGTAGTACATAGCATTGGACCAAGCTAAGGAGGAAGACATTGGATTATTGGAGAAAGACCCCTCACTCGCCCACGTGTCCCGGCATGGAAATAACCGGGAACATCTACAGATCCATACAAGACACAGATAAGCTTCCGCTAATGTCACAACTACACCATATGTGGCATGGCTGATAGCTAAAGTGGACCGATTTCATCAGTTCCCGCCCAGATTTCCAACGCCCCGACCAACAACAACACACGCGATGCCAATTTTGAACAGCTACAAACAGCTTCCAAGTCCGGACACACAAGATCCCGTCAATGATTTGCCCATGCATGTCGTGGTTCCGACTGGGGTCGTATTCTCGCCAGGATCTAACCATGGCTCCCCCAGTCGGCAATAATACCGCCATATCAATTCTGAATATACCGCCCCAACAAATTCCAGCGTAAACCTCCTTCCCTTGAGCTAATCTAGTCCTCACCTGAGATCTCGACACGTTATTCCTCGGACTTGGGAAACATTTGCGTTATTATCCCCGCTGTCTACATGCATTCCAAACCTACATTCGTAACAACTGTCGCCAAGGAGTATCCGGTTGGTAAAACTTTCGACTCGCTGCAGTGTCCAACGCCGGCTGGCTAGAATCACAGATGGAACCGGTCGACCCAGGAACTGATCGTTCATCTTACACTGCGTCTTCAAGCCGCGCCGAGCTCGCGGGCATAGAAAGTGCGCATTCGACTGACACGATTCAAGTGTCAAATAGTCAAGATGCACTGCCAACCAAGAAGTCCGAACTTGTCGTCTCGAATCAGTTTGCTGAGAAACCGTCCACGCCTGGACAGAATGCGGACATGCCCATCACTGACCTTTACCTAACGTTCGACACCATACTTCCAGTTCCAGGCTATGAATCCGCGCCCCAGCATGACAGTTTACCACCGTGTCCGGATCTTAGTCGCTATGGGAATCCTACGAAATTGCCCAACACGAAAAAGAATGTTATGCTCTTCCTGTCATGCATTGCAACGTGCCTGACGGCATATACCGCTGGCGCCTACTCTCCTCCTGCCGGACTCCTGGCCACTGAGTTTGGAGTATCCCGGACCGCCGTCCTGACTGGTATTACCCTATTCACCGTAGGTTTCGGCATTGCTCCGATGGTTTTGGCTCCCTTCTCCGAGGTCAATGGTCGGTACCCAGTCTTTGTGGTGTCCGGAATCGTATTCGTGGTCTTTCAAGCTGTCTGCGGTGTAGTCACCAACCTTGGAGGCATGCTCGTCGCTCGGTTCCTGTGCGGTGTCGGTGGCAGCGTTTTCAGTACCATGGTGGGCGGGGTGATCGCCGACTTGTGGGTGAAGGAGGAACGCAACACGCCGATGGCTCTCTATAGTGGTGCTGTTCTCATCGGTACCGGACTCGGACCGTTGGATGCTAGCTTGATGGTGTATCGATTGAGAGGCGACGGGGTCACCGGCGCTGGTGCGAGGTGGAGATGGGTCTTCTGGCACCAAGTCATAGCTGATGCCGTTCTGGTCATTGCGCTCACCGTGTTTTTTAGCGAGAGCAGGGGAAGCGTCTTGCTCAGGAGGAAAGCGAAGAAGCTCAACCAATGGTACGAAGCCCTGGAGAAAGCAGGTGTCTTTGGTGTCTGGATCAAAGATCCAGCGAATCTTGATATTGCGGCCGTTGGACAAGAGTCATTCTATGGTGACGATATGGAGAAAGCAGTATCGACGACCACGTGGGGAAGCGAACAAGCGATGGCTGCAAGCGGCTTCAGGCTTGAACGAGTCAGGTGGCTCCTTAAAGAGGACGAGCAGCACGCATCGCTCGTGACCATGATTACAGTATCCTTGATCAGGCCATTCCACCTTCTCTTTACCGAGCCCGCCGTATTTTTCTTCTCATTGTGGGTTTCGTTTGCGTGGGCCGTCCTATATTTGACGTTTGGGTCCATCCCACTGGTGTTCTCTCGCCAGCACGGCTTCAACCTGGAGCAGTCGGGCTACATCTTCATAGCCATGATTGTTGGTTCGATCATAGCCACGGCCATGGGCGTCTACCAAGAGTCCCTTCTCAAATATCCCAAATGGCAACGCAAGACAGGGGCGGTGGGGGCGGCGGAGATAGACCACGACGGGTCTCAAGGCAGGTTCTGGTCTTTCATGCGCCGGCGCTTCCCCGTCGAGGCCCCCGAGTCCCGAATCTACTTTACCTGCTTGTCAAGCGTCCTCCTGCCACTCGGCTTATACATGTTTGGCTTTGCCTCCAAACCCTCCATCCACTGGATCGTGCCCGCCCTCGCCATCGCCCTCGCCACCATGGGCATCTACACCATCTACTTGGCCACCTTCAACTACCTGGCCGACAGCTACCACAGCTACGCCTCCTCGGCGCTGGCCGCGCAGTCCTTCTGTCGGAATATGCTGGGTGGCGCATTCCCACTCGTTGTGGGCCCGCTGTTCATCAACCTGGGCGAGTCTGCTGCTGGGGGTTTGCTGGGAGCCATCGCTACCGCGTTGACGATTGTCCCGTGGGTGCTGGCCATCTATGGAGAGAAGATTCGCAGGCGGAGCAAGTTCGCTGTGGTAGGTGTAGCATATCTCGCCGTTCGAGCTGCGTCTGGAACTAACGTGTCATTAGGCCCTAGAACATGAACAGTGATAAGGTGAGAGATGCCCGTGCCGCTTCCTGTCGGCTGCTTTGGACGTAATAGGCGACCCTACGGGATAAGCATGGGCAAATTTTTCTGATGTGCCACATAGCATTTGCTGGCTATGGCTGCATCTAAACGCAGTATCTAAGAAGTCATACAACCTAAATAACCTGCTCAGCTAAGGTCATGTTATGATAAATACTCTGTATAGTGATCTAGTGAGAGGCCGATCAAGCCTGATGGCATTACCATGGTGATCTCATGACCAACCAACCATGGAACTGCAAATCCTGATTCAATCCGACCACCAATCAACTGACAGCGCGTTGGGGTTTCAACTGAAGCGCCTCTGCACGGGTCGCCATAGTTTTGAGATAAAGAGTCTCTGTCGGTAACCCAAGTCTATGTTGAAATACAAATAATGGCACCGGGCATTGCAATCGTGATGCCTCGACCCATTTTTCACCCATGTTGCGATTAACAGATGACTGCACGAACCTCTGTGATGAGTGTGCGGTCCGGGAGAGTTCAGGAGACCTGCTTGGTACACTACATCCGAAAGCGTGTAGTATCGTCCTATCAAAAAATCTCATTTCTAGTCGGCCCAGATGGGTGCATATTTAATTATTGCCCTTCGCGTTTCCCTTCTGCGCACTCGCCGTCGCAGCACCGCCCTTGGTCGACTGCGTATTGCCGCTGCTACCACTGCCGCTCTTGGACGGCGATGCGGCGCCGCCGCCACCGCCACTGCTGCTGCTGGCGCCTCCCTCGGACGCGATCGTGGCCTTGATGCTCTTGCTGCCCGTCGTGGACTGGAACTTTTGCGCCGTAGCGTCGACGCCGGTGGCCTTGAAGGCGCTGTTGGTCAGCGCGGTGATGCTGGGCAGGATATTTGCGTTTCTGGGGTTCCAGTCGTGTTAGCAAGATATGTGCACGCACGCAATCAAAAGAATTCCGCGCTCACCTCGCCGTCTCCATGGTTTGTAGCTGCTTGGCTGTGTTGTCGTCTGAGGGGTCCTTGGCGATGGACGAGAGGCCGTCGAGGACGGTGGGGGTGTTGTCCAGGATCTTGGTGTTGGCGTCCTTGTTGGCTCCCGCGGCGAAGAGCACGGAGCGCTGGTTGTCCTCGTCGGACTCGGCTTTGAAGCCGGCGTTGGCCAGCTTCTTGCGCGTGGCCGTGTCTGTGGTCGTCCCCAGCGTGTTGAGCGAGTTGGACACGGTCGACACGTCGCTCGCGAAGTTGTCCGCCGCCTGCTGCACCGCGTCTGCGCTCGGCGCACCGCTGCTATTGCCGCTGCTACTGCTCTTCCCGCTGGCCCCGGCCTTGTTGTTGCTGTTGCCTCCCTTGTTTTGGCGCTGAGAGATTACATTATGTGTTGATCGTCCTGCGATGCCTTGTGCTGTGATAGGTGCGCATAGGGTTGCGCCGATGTGCAGACCTGCTATCAATGCAATGCTGAGAAACTTCATCTTCGATTAAAGTAAAGAGGCAAGCGGACCCGACAAGTGGAATTAATTAGTAGTATAATGAATATCATGGCCTAGGAGAGACCTCTTGGAAGGGGTAATTGATGCGCCTTCATATACTACTCAAATGTTCGTGCCATTGCTAAGATGAGGCGGCGGTGGTGCATGTTGCGCTATGTTCCCCGTCCGAAGTGGTTGCGACGAGCCATATTTGGGTACTCTTGAATCGAGTCGAATGTTTTCGCGACGCAGGTCTGACGCCAAGACGCTCCTTCATTCTGCGTGCATTATCGCATTTGCCCCCGATGTTCAGATGGATTGAGCCTATTCATCTGGTGGACAAGATGATCCTTTAGAGGTGCCCCCCTTTGATCGGCTTTGCATCCTTGCTCCTAGGCGAAACAAGCCTTTATGGTTCACAAAAAACCCCCCAGGATGGTTTGTCATGTTTGTTCTATGGGCACTCCGAGGCAATCGGCCCACGCACCGACCAGTGGTGGGTCAATCGGCCGATCTACACTTAGCACTGGCTCTAATTTCGAGACAGGTCCGGTCTTGGGTATTCCAGGATACCACGTGTCAAGCGGAGCATTCGCATCAATGACCCAGATGGGAATCAAGAGCCAATTTTTGGTGATTTCAAGAATGTGCGTTGGCAGTGATGCGCTAGGGTACAGGTGATATTGAGATCATCTTCATGGGGACAATGGCGATAACCTTATGCTAAACCATACCATGGGCCAACATGCGAATGCCAATTGCCTACATCTTCTCTTCAAATTTCTTCCGGGGGCTCCCCAACAGCTCGATGTACGTCCTGCTCTATGAGTGTGCAGTTTCGTGACTGTCCAGCTTCGTCGTCTTTTCGTCCATGACCTGTTGCGCCAATGGAACAGTGCCTTGTGGTGGTGTTGCAGGGCGCTCGTTGGGGTTCTCGTCAGGGTGATCATCGACGAAGAGGTCCATGATAGCGCCCTTGCCGATTGCCCTCTGGTAGACCGAAAAGCTTGTAGCAAATTCCTTGTGTTTACCTACCTGGATCGAATCCAGCAGCTTCAGTGCGAAGATTTGACAGTTGTTGTCAATAAGATTGTATGCGGGCCGCTTCTCCCTCATTGCAAAGATTGTCATCTCCCCTAGTCAGATGCGGTATGAGTCTCGGATGGACAACCATGAACAGGCAATCGGGTCATGGCTCACCTGCTTGCTTGAGTGCTTCGTCATTAAATCTTGATTTTCCCACTTCGTAGGTGTGCCACTCATCCCGTTCGATCTTGCCATTGGTGTAAATCACGTGCAGGTTCTCATCCTGATTAGACCCGGTCAATACCCCAGATTGCGTTGCGACACATTTCAACTTACCATCCAGAGCTGATGGCAGTAATCGCCGACGAGGACGGCCCAGTGTTGTGTCGGATCAGGAAACTTGCTGACGCCCTCTGTGATCATCTTGCCGAGGCCCGTCTGCTCAGCGAACCACTTCCCCGCAAGACCAGCAACTGGATGCCATCCTATCTCTACGGGGCGCGGATCCCCGCTGATGTCAACTTCACCATCGGGAATGGCACTCGGCGTCTGACCTAACCCTAATGATTGTTCGAGCTTAGACCTGCCCTTGGCGATATTCTCCTCCCTTGCGGATGCTCAGGTTAGCTGCCGTCACTCAGCGACAAGTGATGAGAAGGTAGCTGGCTCACAAGAAGGCGCCAAGCCTGTCTCGCACAGACGGTTCGGCATCCTCCGCCTCCGGTGTTCTCGGGGCATCCATGTCCCGCTGTTTCGATGATTTGAACAGGCGAAAGTGTGGCATGAGCCGAGGGGTGTACAGGTGTCGTATTCTTGTTGGAACGGGAACGTTCACGATGGGAAGATTGAAGGGCTGCGGTGTTTTCAACCCCCCGAAATCACCCCCCAAAAGACGCCGGCGCGCCTCGCTGAGTAGCGCGAAGAGAGAGGCCAAAACCGGCAGTTTTGTTACCAATTTTTCTAATTGGCTCACTTGATCAGCGCCACGGCTGCCAACTATTGGCTGTAGCGCATTGCTGTTCGGCGCTAAAGTTCGGTAAGATTTTGTGACCCAGGCAGACCCAGGGCTCATTTGCGACAACAATAATAGGATCTCACACTTTTCATCTACACATACTCATTCGTTTTGATTTACTTGAAAACCGGGAAGTTTCTGGTCGATCCATCCTTCCAACCAGTGCGGCATGACGTGTCCCCTTACACCAGCCGTCTTTCAACCTATTTGAGGATTAGCAATACGGCGCAATCGATTTGTACTCTCGGCTCTGACGAATTTTTGACTCCCTTTCACTCTTTCCTCGAGTCGTCCCCATGTCGTGGTATCGGCTTCTTCAGCGCCAATTGACCTAGTAGTCGATTAGAAAAACTATAATATCGTCGGCTTCGTCGATAGAGTTTTATGGTGAACTACGATGACTGATTATCTGTGACACTTGCCGTGCACAATTTTGGTTCTTTGCTTGTCGCAACTATGACGGAGATGTCTTTTTGTCTAACATTATATGTTTATCCTCTAAAAACTTCTTATCCCCTTGCGTACGCTTTTCTTTTCTGGACATGATGTTCTCGAGACCAGTAAGATGATAGCCACCAGTTTAGAAGGCTCAACTAGACTAATACATAACTTATATAAAATGGCTCCTACTCCGGCCGTAGCCGCCAGCAGTCCACCAAGAGTCTTGGTAGCTCATAATGAATGTACTTTGACTATTTTGGATTCATGCCTTTCCCATCGGGTACCTGTGTACATATATGGAAATGGTTCTATCATCCGTCTTCGACCGTCCATTTTAGCGTCTGGTCCTCTGGAAAAAGCACATAGATCATGTTGCAGTGATCTAGACCTATATTGAAGCCCTTGAAATGTAGAATTGGCGATGAAGGCAATAAATAGATTTATCGGTACTCTGTCGTTGGTTCAATTCAATGTTATGTCGACGTAAGGGCATCGGATTGGAATCCAAGCGTGCTTCTGGCAGTGTGCACGTTTGTGTGATTTGTGTATATGGAAAGCAATGATTACAAAAAGCCAGGGGATCGTGCGATAGTTGACATCACCCCTGAAGACCAATGTATGGGGAAATCATCAGCGCCAATTTCGTATTATCATCAAAAAGTAAAATGAATAACACTTGTTCAGTTGAGTCTTTGTACAAACATTTCTCGGCCCTGGTCAACAACGATTATGTGAAGTGTGCGCCATAATTAAGATCCCGTAGTTAGAACGCCTCGATCCTACTTTACAGTCATATCCTTCCCCAATCGAAACCGTGATACTGTCCTCAACATTCGCCAGACCATCATGCCTTGAGACTTTTGTGTTTCTCTTCCCACTCCTGGAAAAGACCAGCAAAGTCGCCTGGCGCATACGACGAGGTAAGTTCTGCGATCATGCCACTTTTTCTGTGGTTATTCAAACCCATGTCCTTCAACAACAAGTCGACATATGGCAATGAGTCGAACACGAAGTCGGGCAAGCTAGCACCGTAACCACAGGGATACCTCCATCGCCCCCACTGTGTATGAAGCATGACTTCATTTGAGACCTCTTCATTCGTTTTTGCTACTCTGTCGAGGTTACCGGCAAGGAACATTGAGATCCATAGACCTTGAATAGATGCGCACACTGCGGTTCCAACGGTCGAAATCATACCAGCGAATGCTAGATTGCGCTTCTCGACAAATGCCGGCGGAACCGCAAACCTGTAGAAGCGAAGTGGCTCTCCTCTCTTTTCCTCAAATCGATGTTTCGGTTGATCTGCAAGGATGGGGAACATCTGCACCACCTTTCGGTCTGCTTCCTCATTCAACTGGGCCAGCTCCTTTTCAGAGACGGGCAAGCTGAGCCCTGCTGCGTCGAGTCCCGTGATCTTCAATGATGACTCTTTCTTCCAGCCAGTCGAGCAGATCATAAGCTGTGCATCTAGGAAGGTACCATCTTCAAGATAAACTTTCCTTTCCTCCAAGTGATCGATGTTCTGGACGTGTACCCGGATCTTTCCTTCTTTGACCATGTCGAATAAAGGCGTGCTATAGTTCAGGATACTGAGACCACTACCGATCCAGAATGCTGAATTCCATGGCTTCAGCTTCTTGAGCTCCGGATGCGAGTCGTAACCATTCGCCTTGATCACATCGGAACCCAAGATATCCCAGAACGACTTGACGAGAAATCTCCCGAACGCAGTTCCGTGCAAAAAGTTGCGTGGCCCAGCATATCCATCCTCGGCACCCCAGGGGCAGGGACTAAACCATGTCATCCATCGCACAAACAATAGCTTGTCCAGCCGTCGCTTGAGAGGTGTGACGAAGGGCGGTGCGATCCAGACTGGTCCGTGCCCGTCAGGTCTGATGACGAGGTCTACGGTAGCTCCTGACTCAACGCAGGCATATGCGACGTCGAACGCAGACTTCGCTCCCCCTACCACGACAGCGTTATTGACGCCTTTCAACGTATCCGCCCTGTCGCAGAAGTCCTTTGCATGGTATAGAGGTGCATTGAAGGAGTCTGCGCCATTGTAGTCTGGCATGTTTGGTGTCGAGGTCAATCCCGTTGCGAGGACCAACTTGGCCGTTGCAATCGTCTTTGTGCCCTCTGGTGTCGCCACTGTCAGAATCCAACCGCCTCCCTTTGTAGACTCGACACCATCGACCTGGTTGTGGAACATTACCCGGTCAAGAAATCCAAAGTGCCGTGCGTAGTCGGTCAGATATCTATTAAGCACAGTACCAGGAATATGGTTGTTCGGCTTTACTCCATAAACTTCTTCGCTCATGGGGAAGTCGGGATACTCATATGTGCCTAGCATGTTGTTGGACTTGAGTCCAGGATAGATTCGATGGGAGGCCCATGTCCCACCGCATGATCCCGCGGACTCGAGCACTACGATCTTGTCTTCGGGCCGCAGCTCCACACAGGCCTTGGCAGCAGCTAATCCGAACCAGCCTGCGAGTTGTCAGATACTGTTGTGAGCGGAGATGGTGTTGACGACGTCATACCTGCGCCAACGATTATCAAGTCGTATGAGCTATCCATGATCGAGGCGATAAGTTATCCTGACTAATTTCAAGAGCTGCGATAGATGGCGATAAAGGAAGAACAAATTGTGGGTGTCTAACCAAAAGTCATGACATTGTTTAGACGATGTCGCGATCTCGACTTGCCCCATTCTTTAAGTAACATTGTAATATGGAACTCGTTTCCCGTCACTGCACGACTCTTATCAAGAACCCCGGATTTTTAGACCAGAGTAGTGCATGCAATCATGGGTCCAGGGCCTTAACCGCTGGCGGCGGCTGATACACCCTGCTATCTAGGCGATGACCAGAAGGATATAGAGGGTCTTGGCCTTGGGACACATTTCGGGCAGGGAACACGCGACTCAGTGTCATGAGGCTGAGCCAATGGGTTACGAATGGTTGGAGTACCTTCATCTGCGGCTTGTACGTGGCCGCAATCAATCCGGACATGGATTTTACGGTTATAGTCATCAATAGATAGAGCCGAGCCGCTAGTGTTATATGGCACATAGCAGATAAGCTACACCACAGGATCTGGGGTAGACACATAGGTTGGCTTTAGTGTATCATGCCTTACTAACAAATGTTATGTTTGATGAATTGGGCGTATCGAACTGCTGCGCCCTTGACTAAGATTGACAGGTGCGGCGATCATAGAGCCGCAGCTAACGAGCGTTAGGGCTTGCGGCAGCGATACGCCCGCACCCACTCCACTTTCGATAACCATCAACTCTAGCAATGTATCTCTACGACATCAACAACGTCAATTATTGATAGAAGTGATATGTTCAACATTTGTTTGACTTACATGCCGTTTCTGGAAGCATACCGACCAACATATTACAGCGCTCCAATCCTTGGCCTGAATTCAACGCTTGGAATTATGGTTAAATAAGATCACCATCTACGAACTCTAGTCATTGCATTATTGAAACTCTTGAAAATTAACGAGATTATATCAAAATAAGAATGTCGGCGATGCACTTTATTTTCCTAGTGTTAATCTATTTCTCTTCGTAGCTGATAAGACCACCGATCGTTCCAGCGTGCAGTCCTCCCGTGATTGGGATATCAGCAGCCGTTGTGTGTTTGGCCGCGTCGCTCAGGAGGTAGATGACGGCTCCGGTAAGATCATTTTGAGTGCTCAACCTTTGATTCGGCGGAGCCATCCACATCTGCTCGCCTTCCCTCTTGCTCTTGAGCTCGCGAACGTCTCTGGTCATCTGCGAATCCACAAAGCCAGGTGATATCGAGTTGACCCGAATGTTGTGAGGCGCTAGTTCCACTGCGAGTGCTTTCATGAGCATCAGCACGCCGCCCTTGGAAGCGTTGTACGCTGCCATGCGATAGCCTGGCAAGCCGATGTGTGCAGATTGCGATGCGAGCAACACAACGCTTCCGCCCTTCCCATGCTTTAACATGTGCTTTACGCATAGCTGCACCGTGAAAAATGTTCCTCTCACCTGTACGACTTTCATTAATTCGAAACGGCCATAGCCTATGAATCAGATCCAGATAGACTTACGTTGATTTCTTGGATCCTCGTGAACTCATCCCAAGTCTGGTCGACAAAAGGCTTGTCAATAGCAATGCCCGCGGCTGGAACACACCCGTCTATCGAGCCGAGCTCCGCAAGAGCTTTTTCAAAGCTGGCATTAAGGCTGTCCTGCTTGGTGACATCCGTCTGAATGTATATCGTCTTGACACCGAAATGCTCACTCAAATTCGCGAATTCTTCTGCGGCTGGCTTGGGCTGCACGTCTAGGACTGCTACGTTGCCTCCCAACTCACAGATCGCCCGAGTGACTGCGAAACCGATGCCTTGTGCCCCTCCCGTGACGATATAGTTGCGGTTGCGCAACTCAAACATTGGCCGGACATCTTCCAATTGGTACGACATGGTTATTGGAGGCCACAACTGATGATACTGGTTGAGATTATGAATGTACGCGGATCTCATGTGTAGCCGGTTTATGGTTGTAAAATAATCAGTGGCTGAGGTATTTCAGTAAAAGAAGAGATCACCCGCCGAACTTTAAATTGCGTCGGATAAGGAACTCGATTTACTATAGTAGTTCCTGACAGGCTATCCTCTCACAAGTGCGTACCCGCCGTACAGCCACCGGCAATGGGATCTGGAATATTGTAGCAGACCTGCGGCCGTCACACATCCGCCGTGATTTCGACTCGTTGATCCTGCCCCACAAGCGTGCGCTACACTACGGCTGGTGGAGGGCGCTGTTAAAACTTTATTACGGCTTGGCAAAGCTAGCGATACCAACTTACATAGCATGCTCTCCGTTATCTTCAGACTTGAATTTGAAACCAATTGCTGGGCCTTAACGCGCAAATCAATTTTTCAAAGCTGTCGTGCGACGAAACTATGTTGAGTCCATGCTAGTCATAGGACAACGTCAATAGTGACCATTTATCCTGACGAGGCAGATACTTCATAATGGCCGCCAATCAACATAGACAACGCGCTGTAATTTTCACTAAACCTCCAACTCCGGGCCTTTAATGCCCCGCAACGTGCAACAAGAGTGATCACCAAGTCTACGGTGGCGCATGCTACCTAAGATTAGGCCATTGCATCCGCCCGAAATCTCACCCGCCTCGGCAAGCTACTTTTGCGAGTTACCCATCGCCATTACATTTGGGAAGATTCAGGCGAAACCGGAGCACCGTTCAGGCAATGCAAGCCCTATATCTAGGTTAGCTTCATTCTTGGCCTTGGTTGAAATGAAGTATTTACAAATGACAACTTTCTGTGACACTCGTAGCTACAGTAAGTGGGCATTTCTCTCGTGCAGGTTATTGCGATATTTGCAGCATCAAGAAGGCGGACACAGGATGATTGAGTTGCATTCATTACCAATAAAAGTGATAACGGCAGAGAACTTTATTCTTAGCCCGGCTTGTCAGCGTACTTCTTGGCGAAATATTTCACCACCCAAATCAGAATTCGGGTTGAGGAACTCGCAATTCACACATGATGAAGCGTATTCATCTAATTAGTCATTCGATTGTGTGCTTCTGTATGGTTTTCAGCATTACTAGACAATGGAATAGCATTCTTTCAATTCAGAAGAACAAAATGCTTATTAGTAATCCGAATGAGATTATTTCTTTGCCAAGAAAGAAATTGTTGTCAAACTGAACATGTTGCCAATTACTCATGAGCTCGCATGAGCTCACTATATCAAAACCAGTTTGCCTTTTCTGACAGAGGAGTTCGTCGACCAACTCCTCGAAAGAGGCATGAGAGATCCCCATGCTTCAAGTCAACGTCAACGCAGTTTGCTTGCGCATCGTTTCCATCTGCGAGAACAATATACCCTTCTACGAGGGCACTAGATAAAACCTGTCCGATTTCAAGAATATCTTCCTTCACCGGATCTCTCATATCATGAAAAGGCCCAAAAGGCCTTTTTCGATTTGAGCTAATGCCCGCAGGTCATCATAGAATTTCTGTATTTCAACCAAGCCTGCTTGTCAAATGCTTCCCCACTATGGGTATACAAATCTGAACCATTCCCAAGGACCTGACTAAAAGCAAAATGTATCGAGGACGCCGAAAGTTGCAGAATTTGTTCCTCAAACAATTCAAGACGAGGAGCGAGTTCGTTCGTATAATAATTCCAGAACGGACCACACTTTTCTTTATTGCTGCGATTGACACGATATACACAATGCCCAAATACGAAGGCTTGAACGCGGAATAACCGGGTTTGGGTCGATAGCGGGCTGTAGTGAGCCTGCAAGGCCAATTGTGAATTCGGCCCCTCAACGTATCTAAAATCATGTATCCACGATAGCACTACCTCGAGTATTTTTTTTTTCTTTTTGCGGTGTCAAGCAGTTGAAGTTTTCCTGTTTTTCTTTAGAAAGAACGAGGCCTTGGAAAAATAGTTGATTGGCCGATGAGCATTGCTACGCCATGCCTCTCCCGAAAAATCATAGATCGAGTATGAGCCTGCATTCGGGTGGACTTGACCTCCTAAGATTAAAACACAACTGCTGAACCCCATTTTCTGTTCACTAATGACCATTCAAATCCGCCAATGGGTCATTCATAGTCGCAAGATGCCGACTGGCATAAAATGGTTGGCTCTGTTTCCCACTGACCTTTTCTAGCTGGCATTCTTTAGGGGGCGAGCTTCGCTCGACATCTCACCGCAACAAGTGGGATGTCGGAATCTTCAAGGTGATCTTTTCTGTGGCGGCTGCCTTCGTATGCCTCCCAAGCGCCTCTATACGCAATCATTACGTATACGGACATCCTCGAGTCAAAGAACTGGCTTTGATAGGCGCGAACTTTGGCCATGGGACCAGGTCCCAGTCCAAGAACTGAATCCGCTAAGAATTTGCGGAGCACGGTGATAAACAACTTCCTTAAGCCTTTTCACTGGCATAGTCGGGTTAGATCTCAAGAATAGGCCCCCAGCTCGCTTGACTACTAGCATGGCCCATCTTGGTCCCAAGTCATTTCACTGTACCCTTGCAGTTGTATGGTAATTTCTCCATGTTTAATTGAAACCTATGCTCGGTATCCTACTATTATTTGCAGATAATTACGTTCATTGTCTCTATGCTATATTTGGAAGTAAGCGTCTTTTAGAACCTTCCCGGCTGTCGAGCTTCTTAGCGTGGCCTTTCATTCTTTCTGGATCTTATGTCACACTAGGTATCGCTGTTTTGTATGCCCTTAAAATTAGATCGATTACACCTTCCAAATAGTCGCTGCACGGCTCTTGTCGTCTCATCTTACAGATTACTAGAATGGCTTTCCAGGTTAAATGCATATATAAATAGTTGTCCACAAACCTCTGGAGTGGAGTCCGCTACTAAAGTACTACTAGGCTTGAATATACTTAGTGGACCACTTTGACGGTGAGTGTACGCATAGGTGAAACCTAGGTAGATCGATCTATGTAATGTAGACTAGGGTGGTCACGTGGTCGCGGTCGTGGACTCACTGGCAGTATGGTGCGGTCGCCGCTGTAAGAATCGGCCCGATCCTTACGCGCAGCTGTCAGTGGTACAGGTCGTCATAGTATCTATGTCCTTATTTCTCGGCTTGATTACTATATAGGAACCTGCAAATCTCTAGCAAGGGTTTCTACGGCGCCTTCGTGAGGCTTCATATCTTGAATTAGATCCAGGTCTCCCTAGTCACAATCTGTAAACGCGAAGTCGACCTGGGCACTTAGAACCAAGTTTAAAGTATTTGGTAGTACCTCTAAAATTATGACAAGTTTGTGAATACTGAGATTGCTGGGTGGATCCCATAAATATTCTTACCTTCGTAAAGCAGGTGAATATGACATCAGACTATGATAAGTGTGCCTTCTTTTCCCCTAATATACCATTCGTTCGTTGCTTGATTATCCAAGTTGTTGGAAAACTCGGAATGCATCCCATAAAATGTGCCCCATCGTTTGAAATAGCCTTGAGCCTCTCCCGTATCACGCACTAAAACCAAGCCTCTTATGATCTCGTAATGGTTGTTGAACGCACCTCCAATCCAACAATCATATGACACTAGAGGCAGGCATAAGATTCCCAATTCCATATTTGGAGTGCTCACTTCTTGGCACAATCTCTCGTCTGGTATACAGCGTGAATGTTCGATTTCCCGATACACACCCCCTTTCTTCGAACACAATGTCCCAAAACCAGTGTTAGTGTTCAACAAAGCACTAATATCAAGAAACAGCTTCCCTTGAAGTACAAGATAACCGCCTTGTACTCTGCCAAACAGGCTATTAGTTGTCGCTGGTTGAACATTTACATCAACGAGTGTAATCCTACTCGACTTAACAGTGCCCTGCATAAACTCCACTGGGCACTCAATGGAAGCCCATGACCAGGAAGGAGCCCGGTAAGTTGAAGGCCGCCGCCGGGGATGAAAGTCTGCTTTCGCCTCCCAGAGAAGGTCTTCCAGTAGAGTAGACTCCCATAGACCCGCAAGGTAAACTCCGCCGAGTTCTTGCGCAAATATGTGGGCTATCCCGCTGAGTGCGACGAGCTTGTCTTCTTCTTTCGTCAGATTCTGTTTCGAATACAGCGTAATTAGATGGCGCCAAGCAAGACCAAGCTGCCCTTTGAGGCTGAGCTTTAATTTGTCATCGTATTCACCGACTAGAGCACGAGTTCTGAGTTTATTATCCAGGTTCGTAATCATCGTTCGCTGTTTAAAATAGTCGACAGGGTAGCTTGCAGGGAAGTCCTCACAAGCCCGCTTACACCTGCATTCCCAGAAAAGCTGTGTCTTGGTGAAGGCAAGTGTCCGAGGTGATAACAAGCGTTCCTGCATTACCCAGGCACGAGTGTTCAGCTTAGCTGTCTCGAATTCGAAATCCCAAAGATCTTCATCGTGAATTTGATATGGTAATAACGTCGACTCGTCGCGGCTCATGATTGATAACAAGCAGGGTCCAAAATAAGATGCCGGCCGATTCTGGAATAGCCCACCGGCACAATCATCAGATGCAGCAGCTGCAATATTTAGCGTACTTCCGCCGTAGACATAAGCCATGAGAGATGACTCGATATTCCAGTCCAACTCCGAGTCTTGAATGATACACAAAGAGTCGATCCAAAGATATTGGATTCCTAAAGTTCGAACTGTACGAACAGCTTCCTGGAAAGTCTTTGGCAATGATCCCAAGAGGATTCCGCGTAAAAACTCTCTCTCAGTATTAATTAATAGTCTGCGAGGTTTCAAAGCACCCCAACAATGGCTTAAAGTGGCATATCGTTGGGGCTGTTGCCAGTCCTTGGTCTGTTCGAGTTTAATCATATCTAGGGATGAAGATCTCGGGTTAACGTCGAGCAGCCGATGCGGGATCCAGTCTCTAGGAACGTTGAGCGTGGCGCAAAGGTCATGCTCTGCCATGCATTCATGAAACCACTCCGCAGCTATGACGAAACTAGTTCCTGTCCTCGTATTGCAATCGTCACCTGAGGGTCTCTTCGTTAAAAAGTAGTCTCCCATAGGACGTACGCGGAACTCCATTCGTAACTCCATGATAGAAACCCGTAAATACATCATATTGAAATCTTCTGCCGAATCCATCGATAATCTCTTATCCGCCAGAACGTATAAAAAAAATGTAACTAATCGGGGGTTGTCCTTGTCGACTGGGATTAGATCCGGCCGTAGGCGTCTAAGCTTGTTTAGCACAGTTTGACAGAGCCGGCATCGTTTGTTAGCAGCAGCCACAACTCTGGCGACAGACCTCTCGTCTTTGGGACTGTTTTGGAAGTCGCAGTTGCGCTGAGTAAGATTTCTGCAATCCTCGCAGATCATGGTGTCCATAGCGCAGCAAGCTCGAGTCCATATGGGTCGGGCGCGGAAGGAGATTCATACCCAAATAGACCGTTGTGCACCTTGCATGCGGATTAGGACGTGAGCTCGGTCAAGGTGTGCCGCGAGCTGGTCTTGCCTAATGAAGTATAAAGAAAGAAGGAAGGTTCTTTAAGTTTAGGTGGACCGACCTCTTGAAAAGTCTGCGTACTCATGGCAGGCAGCAGCAAGTTTATTCCGGGCTGCACCAACATGAGTGTCGCCTTTCCTATTGGTTCAGAATTGCTCATTGCTGCCTTGGACTCTAGGCAACTTGGCGCTGCTCAGTGTGAAACTGGGTGCTACTCAGTGGGGTTGCCGGTGATTCTTGAAATAGTTAGCGACGGATGAATTGAGCCAATGACTAACTTAACCTAGTGCTCTTAAGCGCTGTCTCTGGACGACACACTTGGCCTTATGGTCTGGGGCCCCATGTAGCCAGGCTAGTGCGACCAGCTGTCCCAAATTTGCAGCGAACTATCATCTAGAAAGCCTGCTTCGTAATGAACCAAAAACATCTGGTCTTGGCGGCCAAAATCGTGCTCAGCTTCCATTTGCCACGTTATCTTTACTAAGTTATAGTACCGTATCTTGTACAGTGAGCTTAGCAAAAGTGATTTTGTGGTAAGCAGGGAGGGGGTTGTTCAGCTATTCTTTCGTGGCTGTGCACGAACTCTCCAGCCACAGCACCGGCTGGGCTTGCCTACAAAGATGACGCTAACCAGAATCCTTATTCAGAAGTTACCGATCGGTGTGGCGACGTTCTATGAATCACCCTTCCACGCCGGCGAGAAGGCTTTTAATGACTCTTCGATATAGAAAGAAGGATCTAAGAGCTGGAACTATTGCCCTACAGCTATCAGAAGTAATGAATGCTCCGCTGTAAGACTTTTGTCTGGGTGCCTTCTGATATCTTAAAACGGAGGCTCTATTATAACCAGGCTATTACGCCCTGATACTAATACAATTCTTAGTTAAGAAATATCACCGAGGTTTCGCGGTGGCTAAACTATAAATTTAAGGAATAATTAAGCAAGTCCACGTATATAGGCGAAGTCAAGATTATTTTAAAGACAAAGTATTTACATTTTGGCTCGTCATAATGATGAATATTAGGTCGCATATTTTTTCAATGTTATCGTAAGGGATTTACAAAGTGTAGTTTATGTCCCACTTATAAGATTAAAATACGTTACCCGTGATAAGGAAAAGTTGCCGTTAAACTAAGTTATTAATAAATTGTTGAAGGATTAAAGCGGTTAAAAGATATGTTAAATCTCATTCAATAGCCTGATATCTCTTTACAAAAACACGGCAAATCATTTAATAACGTCAAGACTTTCACATATTCTACTCTTTTATTAATCCAATTATCTTTCAAATACTCTAGGCGCTTTAAGGGTTAACTAAAAGATTACCCGCGTCTTTGACTAGAACAGACTTTCTTATCACAATCCATCCAGGGCTTGCGGTAGTCTTGACACGTATTTACGACTATTATTAGAACTCAGAATAAATAGTATTACTTCAACGATCACTGCAAGTGGTCAGCTTGTAGAGATATGGAAATATTTGAGTAAAAGGTTAAGCTCAACGATTTTCTGAGATGCTCCGATGCTGAAATCTATATCATAGGACCCTGAGAAAAGGTTCTTGCCAACATGACAACCGGGGCCACCCTATCCGAAGCTCGTATTAAGTCAATCAATTCCCGAGGACAGTGAACTATCCAAGTCGATTATGAAAGCAGTAGAGAGACAGATGTGAACGGTGTCTTTAGATGTAGTGTAAAAATTCTACTTTCTGCATGACAAGCGTCGTTGTGTGAATTCCACTGTATGGCATTTGTGTGCCCTCTCCACGACCCCGGAATCCCCACCCTGTAATTTGACGATCACCACTACTTACGGCCACCGCGTATACTCGATCTTCCTTCTGTGTGCCCTTCAAATTGTTTTTGAGTGTTAGGTCGTCCTGATCCAGTTTCAGTTTCTCAGTGCTCTCCGAACTTGTTTGGTTCACGGATGCCGCAATCGTTCGCGATTGAGACTTTGGTAACGCAGAACTGATACGTTGTCTAAAATGAGAAGACGACGGTCCAGTCTGCGATGTTGTTGAACCAAAGAGATGGGGAAGCACTTTGGCGTACAATGGTCGCAAAGTCGGCAGGCATGCCGCAAGCACACCGATGATCAACTCCAGGAATGACCAAATAGCCGCATCGGCATTGTCCCAGGTGGGGTCCGTGGTATTGGCTGCGATATTGAGAGTACGCAGGCGGATAACGGAGATTATACATGTGCTAACTTTAGTGAGCAGATATGTCTCGCAGAAAGGACGAATTGGCCTTACAAAAACCCGAGGCAAAAAACAAGCATGAGCATTATCTTTTGTTTTTTGGCCAGGTGCAGCCTGTTGATCACAGGTATGGGCATGCCAAATATGATAAAATCTGTTGCGAGATTCATGGCCGCCATTAGGTACCAGATGTGGAGCTGGTTAAGGCAATGGCCTTCGATACTTGTATCCCAAAAGGCCGCCACCGGTATACAAGTAAGAGGTAAGAGGAAGGAAAGTGTAACCGCCCAGACTGTCTCAAAGATGAGGCCGATCAGCGTTAACCGCTGCATAGTGCGGCCTGCGAAGATCCGACGGTATTGAAATAGGATAGAAATTTTAAGGAAACACGCGGCGACGTTATAGACTACGACGCTGGAATAAAATGCCTTCATGTAGGGAATAGTAAACTCGTCGGAGATGGTCCACTGATGGCGTCCAAGACCCCATTTGCTTTCTGAACCGATTCATCAGTGTCACGAACAAATGGCGAGAGGGTAAGGTTCGGTTCTGTCCAGTAAAAGCTTACCCAGACCTATCGCGACGGCAGAACCCATGGTCAGGACTTGAGAGACTGCCATGAAGAAGTCTTCATATCCAAACGTATTTAGCAAATGCAAGCGGGTGAAAAAGCGCAAGCCCACTGCTAATGTCGAGAGAATAGATCCCACCCAAAGGACGGCCTGAATCCGTCCAACATGTGACTGGTCGTCTAACGAATGATCTCGGCTTGTGGCAGCCATTCTGTCTTTATTCAAACCCGTACTAAAATGTAGAGTTTCGGTACGGGACACAACAGCTCATACGCTTTTAGGTGGAATGAATGTGACAATGTTAGTGAAGTTTGCATGAACTGACATTCCGTCAAACTGCGATCGATTGAGCGCGAGAACAATCCGCCAAACAGGAAGTAAAAAGGGCCGTACAGGTCCATTTAGTATTTCCGTTCTCGCGAAGCGACCCCTCCATGGATAAGCGTTACTCTGGCTGAAATAGAGTTGGCGGTGATCGCAACCTCATATTGTGGAGCTTCGGTAGACTTGCGTAGCATGACAATGGTGTCGCAGATCTACGTATGCATACGAAGACATAACGGTGGATGCGAGGGCCTTGCTGGGTCAGGTACTTATGCAGCTATAACTTAGTAGGTGTTTTTTGCATTCAATATTGTCCGCTTCAGTTTTAGTGTGTGGATCCGTTCTTCTGACAGCAAACGTCTTTTTATAGGCCCAAAGGGCGCTGATCCCCTGCACGGGTATTAGCGTGAGAATAAAGCTAACTAATTTGTGCGCATCTCAATCATACTAGCGTGTTATCGGCCACTCAGCGAGTTGATCTTTAGTTCACTGTAGGCAGAGATCATCAGTAATGCCAATAGAAGATGTCAGGAATCGAACTGTGCAACCGTATTATTCTCGCTAGTGATCAGGCAAGAGGCTTTCATTCAGCGCCTTTTATCAATTCTTGGGAGAAAATGGAGTCATGAGTCCGTCTCAGTCTAGTTAATAGTTGAATATCTAAGTACGATAAGATGTAAACTTTGCAAGTTTTACAGGACCACACTAGCTGAGAATGCAGGTACTGCTCTTCAAGCCCGTTATAGAGGAGATTGTACGTCTAAGAGGTATGGCGACAGTAATGTTTTGCGTAATGGCTGGAACAGATGGTTTGCAGCTTCAGATGATGGCGAACGCTTCAAAGAGAGTAAGATGGCTGATATTATTGGCAATCTGCAGGATGACAATGGGGAATCAGTTGTTGAGGGGACTGTGGAATCAAACTAGCCCATGAGTACTGCACAGTACTCGGTTAGGGGCTCCGGGCGATACTCGAATATCTCAACCATGACGCATTTGTGCGGGTTAAACCAGCAGACCCTGCGGCTGACAATGAATAAAGATTAAAGCAATTTCAAAAGTGTAAGAGTGCCGAAATTGAGTCGAGGAAGTTCCTAGGGGCGTTCGTATCGCCTTCAATGGGTGGCGGGCTTCAAATTGGTATTTTTATGCATGGGATTATTTGCTACTTTTGGATAAAGATGTTAAGACTTGTAAGATCAGCCTCGGAATCCCCAAAAGGACTGTCATATTGGCGCCATCGATACTGTACCTCTTCGTTCAGCTTAGCCAGAATGCCACTAAGTAATTCAGGCTTGATACGGAGAAGTCTTCCGGGAAGCCTTTCTCTTAAAGAGCAACAGCGCTAGCCACGGATAAGTTGTTGTTTCAAAGGTTTATATACTCGGAATAGGTACGGTTCTGTACGCTAACTGATAAAAACCCGCGGTGCGGTGGACTAGCCTTCACGTAGAAGTATATTCTCGGCAACGAAAGTTAGCTCTGTCCATACCAGGGACAAAGATTTACTTACCTTGCTGCGGACGGATGTAGCTGAAGACTTCTCATCGTCGAGCTCAAGGTCACCACGTTTCGTGTTTTCCTTCGAACGAAGTCACTTGTACCGGACTCGGCGGCACTGCAAGGCGGTAAGGTTACTTGTTGTTGCGCTGCGAAGGGAATCATAGTTGCCTTCTGCCACCAGTTAGGTAGATGCCTGAGGTGCACGGTCCACCCTTGATAGATAGCCTTCAGGTATCCCTTAGAATAGCTGTGGAACCACACCACTGAATAACACTCTACTGAGGATCAATACACACACATTTGATCTGCATCATGGCCTTACAGAGTAGTGACACCCATCAGGGAAAGCTGCTCAGTCGCAGTCTACCAGCTAGCTATTTGAGGACATCCTAGGGCTGCTGCACGAATCACCTGATCGGGTGTCTACACGCACCGGTCACTTGTCCGTGAGAGGCACGATCAAGCGGCGTAGTAAATAAATGTCCGCGTAATGCTGGATGGGTGTCTAAAAGTAGTCGAACCGATACGGTGGGTTGGTGACGCGGCGGCATCTGATAGTGGGCGCTCATGTACGGATCGGGGTTGTTGCCGGTATAGTCTGCGACCTGTGATTGCGCGATGGTGCTAGTAGGAAGAGTTGGGCTGTTTCGAGGTCTGAACTTGTCAAAAGAAAAAAGGAAAAAAAAAAAAACCTGGCCGAGAGGTATGACGACGAATAGAAACAGGATTGCAACGCAAATAACCAGTCCTATTAGCAGTCCGGTAATGATGCTTTTGTTATTTACGTTGCCCAACATAGTAGTAGAGTAATACGAAAACGCAGGCATTCTTGTCTCGTTGCGCTCAGTGGCAGGCGACATCTCCATGGCTCTAAATGTCTTGATCATTACCGACGTAAAGTAGGATCATGATCATTCTATTACAGATTTATATTATTTTCTGCCCTGATCTACTAAAACACCACGGTTGGACGAGTAAATGTGGTGTTCAACTTTGTAGAAGATTCGTGCGGCATTGCTCATCTGATCCCATCTTATGTGCTTGTGGCTAAAACTGGCAGTTCTGCCAATTTTGACATTGAGTGACTGCTTGGATATCTATACAGTCCAGATTTGAACTTTCAGAGAAAGCGGCGGAGATCTTCCATAAAAACCCTTTAAATATTGTGTCAAATTGGTACGGTATAGTAAAAGCATAACGGATATGCTTGCAAGGTTCGATTATTGTACTATAACATAGACTTTTGATGCTCGAGAAATTTCATTCTGGTGTGGTGCATGAAGAGACACATTGTGGAACAGGATTTAGGTCAACCCACTTTCCGTCTTTCAAATAGGTCAGAATCAGGAGACGGTCACAAGAACCAAGAATGAGCCCATCGGAGAAACGAGTTATGATCTCATGAAGCCCAAGTCAGTCTCAAATGGAAAGGTTTTATCCGCTTGTACCTACACCACCTACCCATGCTGTATGTCTCTAACTCCAGCACTCGACGTCTTCGCCTTTCTTGGGGGGGATTCTAGAGGGGAGGGGGATTCAGGGATTGAAGACTTGAGGACGAATGCTGAAAGTTCAACTCCTTGTCTAGAAGTGCAGTAACCAATCTCGGTGCTGTTCGTACATAGAGTCGAGCAACACATATTGTCATTATGAAGCACATAGATCATGCCATGATACGGTTTCTATGGGTCTTAATGCTCATTGGGGCTACCGTTCCATCCTGTGCTCATAAAACCGCATTCGTTCTAACTCTTGTCTCTTCTTCTCTTGTCTTCGTTCATCTCACTTGTCGATCATCCACAACCTCCATTGTATCAGCACATCAACAGCTTTGTATTCCTCATAGTGCTATCATCCTCACATGGATTTGCATTATCCAAATCAGGATTAGCTCTAGAGTCTCGAGTATTGTCACATTGTTCTGTCTGCCAAAGACGTATGCTGACCACGTATAGACCCGTCCTCTACGAACAGGCCGTGCTATGTAAACTGAACGAGATGTCTGCCAAGCTCAGAAACGAGTACAAACTCCTCAGGTCGACTATCACATGGTAGGCTTGTTATGTACGCTCTCTCACCCTTTGCAGGACCGTGGCGTATAAAAGTCTCCACCCATTCCACAAACATACGGAACATATACATCGTCATCGCGCTTGCGGCAATTCGGACTTTATGTGGTGATCTGGTTTGCAGACGCTTCGTTAACTGAATTCGGCAAGCTTGGCGGGAGAGGCTTACCATAAAGGGAAGTCTAGCCTAAATTTCAGCACTGTTTAGACTATTTTCGGAAAGCTAAGCGGCGCTACTGGTAAATACCTGATGGTGCATAATCCAGAAGGATACCACATGGCGCTATGAATACATATAAAAAGCGTCGACACCATTCGATAATGTGCCAGCAAGCAGAAATCAACACATGCAAGCCGCAATATTTATATCGCCTTCGTCATGTTTCCCACCAGCCTTATTGTTTTATTGTTGGCTGTCGTGTTGTTGCTAAAGCCCATAGCAGAATACATCATCGACTCCAAAAATCTCCGTCGCTTTCCCAATTACAATGTCCTTTCAGGCATCACAAATCTTGGATACATGATTGAACGGTGGCGCGGCTTTCGCTCCAAAACTCTTCACGATTGTCACAAGGTGCATCCTGTCGTCCGTATTGGGCCAAATTCACTCTCCTTTTCATCGGTCAGCGCCATGAAGGCGATATATGGGCACTCTACTACAACTATTAAAGGCGACATGTATTCGGATGCCGCTGGACCTTATCCTAACATTCTTGATGCAGTGTCCAAAGATGTGCATGCTCACAAGCGGCGGCTCTTGTCACACGCCTTCGCTACGCGAAATCTTGAGCAATGGGAATTCAAGATCGCCGACAAAGTGGAAAGGCTGGTCAAACAATTCGATCGAATCTGCGATACTCCAGAGGCAACACTTGATTATAGCAGATGGACGAATTTATTTACCCTAGATGCAATAGTTGATATCGCATTGAGTTACAGGTTGGGCTGTCTCGATCGGGGAGATGACGTGATTTTGACTGAGTCTCCTGATGGGAAGACAGAAGCAGTCAACTACATAGAGAGCCTACATGCTGTCAAGCGGGCAACTTCAGTGATAGTATGGTCATCAGCCTGGTTTGGTATGCTGCGATCGACGCTCAAGCTTGTGCCGGGCTTTTTCCGCAATCAATATAGCCGAGGCCAAGGATATGACCATATGGTTGCTTACCTTACTCAACGACGTATGCAGCGCTATCGCGATGGTGAGGCACTGGATGACCTACTCCAGTGCATCCTTGAGGACAAGGAAGGAAAGCCACAAGAGCTTGAGAGTGGTGAAGTTGAAGCCGAAGTTAACGTCTTATGTAAGCAATTTTTATTATCTCCCAATCAACAAGCAGCAAACTGACACTGTTTTGATCAGTGGATGCTGGATCTGACACAACGGCCACCGCTCTGGTGAACGTTATGTACTACTTGCTCCAAAATCCCTCCACTCTTGTTCGTCTTCGACGAGAGCTGGAGGACTTGTCAGATGATAACAGTGTCGTTTCTTACAGTCGCGTCAAGGATCTACCATATTTACGCGCCTGCCTTGACGAATCTTTACGTCTATCACCTCCATTGGCGTTCGGTCTGAATCGTAAAACCGGTCCAGATGGCGTGTGGGTTGATGGTAATTTCATTCCTGCCGCTACCATTGTAGCGGTGCCTGCATATACAGCTCACCGCAATCCAGCCATATTCACTGATCCAGAAGAGTTCAGACCAGAAAGATGGCTGTGTGCTGGCTCCAAAGAATTGCAGGCGAGCTTCATCCCATTTAGTGCAGGGGCCCGTGGCTGCATTGGCCGCAACATCACTTACATGGAACAACTCATACTGATGGCTACGTTGGTGCGCCGATACGATTTCTCATTTGTTGATCCAGATTGGAAGCTTGATTACGAGGAGGCTTTTATTCTATGGCCCAGTCACATGCTACTGAACATCAGTTTGAGACAACATTCATGTTCATAGATTGAGAGAGGGTAATATAGTATATTCAAAATACCATCCCCCTCTCTTTCCCTGAAACTTGGTTTTTTTTCCCCCTTCCTTTCAGACATCGGTTCCATGGAATTGCTGCGCTTCCAGTTGTGACTGAGCAACTCGGCTTTTTGTGTGGAAGCCTAGGCGAGCCTCGATTCCATTTAACATTGCCCACAACTTAGTTTTCAAGGCTAGCGATCGAATATATCTCGCCGCTGGCTGCAATCAGTGTGCTTCCTTGGTATGTTTTCATGGCAACTGACCATAGAAAAGAGGGTTCACAGCTATAAATTGGACCCCGTCCGGAAGGAAACCAGTAAGACATGCTGATGCAATCGACTGAGCATGAAAAAAGAGCTTGTTTTTTAGTACGCTCTGATGCTCCGGAGAACCTGGGATTTCCACCAGAGGCTCCACACTGTGATGATACCGTTGCGTAGTTTCGATCAATAGGATACTTGCCAAATGATAGTACAAGAAACCGGCAGCTGAAGGCAATATATCGTCGTGTAAGCAACGACTCATAGAAAGTATAATCGACGCCACTTACCCGCTGCCGGTGCACAAAACCAGGTTTGTGAGAGTCCATCAGCTGACCTGTCCCCAACAATAACACCCCTAGATGTCAGAGCTAGATTATCCCACCAGTGATCGATATCAACAGAGACCTTGGTTAGCTTCTGACCCTGCCCAGTAGATCCCATAGTTGATGCTGTTGTAAACTTCAAGTTGATCACTCTAGCCAGGAGGCACAACATTCGATTTGCCGTAGTATCTTCCCCGATCCCATCTCCGGGGAGCATAGTATCCCAATCACATGTTGGCGTAAGGGTCGGACACTCGTTAACCAGTGCGAGTGCTACGTCCTGCCTGGCATAGACCCAAAAACTTGCACGATACAAACTGCTTTCGTTCTTTTTTAGATCACCAGCTTGCATAATCGTACGTGCACCAAAAAGATGCTTTTCGTGATCCGGGCTCAGATTAGACAGTAGTTCGTAACTGGACAGCAAGATGGTAGCCGCAAGGAGAATGTCGTGGCTGATATAAGGCTGAGATATCTCCTTGATGAGCAACTTGAGGCTCTCACCGTAGTAACTCGACGCCACAGGATCCCAAACAAACTTTTCGGCTATGAAGCTCATATGCTTGGCAGACAACGCACAAATTGCGCACTGGAGAAGCTGTGACGAGAAAGCGCCTTTGACTACTTCTCTTTGAAAATTCATCGCGTGGTCCATCACATCCATCCATGTCCCCGGGCCATGCTGAAATATGCGCAGAAGCTCGAGAGCCTGGCCTGTAACAGTGATTTCTGAGAAAGTGGATTGCTGTAATACGCCTTGTTCAATATGAAGATGAGCGAGAGGCGCGTTCTGGAATATTTCATATGTTGATCCTGGCGCCTTATCGGTGATCGGTGCCGGCACGATAGGTGCAGATGGACTGTAGTGCCGCCTCGGGTGTGTTGAGCGTGCATCATGGACAAACACGCTATTCCGGATGCACTCTAAATTCTTAGACCTGCAATGGCCACATATGGGAGAGTTCTCATCACATTTGATACGTCGCGTTCGGCAGTTTTTGCTGCACTGCTATCAGTGAAAGATCGCATCTATGGTAGAAGGACAATCAACCATCCTTTCATCATGAGTACAGTGTCTCATTTGATTTTATGTAGAAACTCACCTGTTTTCCTACGCATATTTGGCATGTGGATCTATTTGTAGCATAGATACCGATGAAGTGATTACCGCTATCTTCAGTCGTCAATGCGTAGGTTAGGTGAAGTGTCTGCATTTGTTGGTTCGATTTTTCCTGTAGACGTTTATCGTTATGCTTATGCTTAAAGATGGCGACAGTGCCCCGCCGTGGGTGCTCGGAGCGGAGAAGGCGATTTTCCGTTCCTGTATCATTCAAGTGGATATCCTCAGCCCAAGTCCTAGATAATCGAGGCAGTGCCGCAATTTATCTTTGTAGACCAAGTAGATTCCATATCCTATAGGAAAATCGTCTCTCAGCATGATAGAACACTGTCACAGTCGCCCAAGGGTGTCCTCATGCAAATTACCAAATAATGCAGCCGCTCATGCGAGCGGCCGTGCCAGTTGAGCCTCAGCCGCACGAGGCTAATAGCAGGCAACGTCCGCAACAACATTTGAATCGAAATGTGAGATCTTCCTGCTCCTTTTATGTTCATCATTTCCACAGAAGCGTGGTTAAAGATCTTCTCATTCAACACGGAGTCTTCCAGAACTTTGGATCACCTCACTGTGCCTCCAGGCCAACTCATGTTCGGCGAGACCATGGCAGCGCTGCCAGGGTGCTGGACCCGCCCGACCGATATTACACAATCGAATCGCCAGAACATACATGAGTACATTTTCATACTGAAAGACAATCATGAATTTATAGCCTATGAGTATCGTGACGGTGCAGGTCCATAGATAAATGCCACTGATACAGAGTTTATTATTACCGTCCGACAGTATCTCATCAGCCACAACTTGAAGAACCTCCTGGGTATCGTGGTTCTAGAGAGAGACCCTAATGCGAAACTGCAGGAGTTTGTACTTTCGAATAGCCATGGTACTGTAATGCTCGATGCGAACATCACTAAATCCAGCGAGGCTTACCGAGTTACGGGTTGTGCCGCTGCGATCAATAAGACTACCGGCATCGTAGAACTTAAGGGCGGTCAATCTCATGCTAAGACGACGAAAGGAACCCATCAGGTCTTGTATGATGGCAAGGGGCTGCCGGACATGCCTGACGACAAGGAGGCGGCCATCCAAAATGCTTTGCACGAAGAGGGCATTATCGAGTAGGAGCCAGCAGTTGCCTTAATCTGGTTTCCATCATGTTTAGTCGAGTCTGCTGTTTATCGCCAATGGTGTAAAGAGTAGTCCGGGTTCTGAGTTTGAAGGGTTTCTATTTCAACAGCCTTCTGCAATACAGCATGACGGTAGCTGTGACTTTATATCTTTGAAATCAACAAAAGGCACTGTACATGGTCAGCGTTGATGGCATAAACCTCCTGGGGCTTCAATTTCACACTCAAAAACCTATCAGTTTAGCAAGCGACATGCATAGCCAAGTCTACGATGGCCATATATACTACGAAGTGCGTCAGGCTCAGGAAGTGGGCGACAACAGACTTGTCGGTCGTTTGTTGACGCCTGTAACTAAAATCACACGGAAACGTCTGCAAAGACTCTGAAAGGAATCAGAGCAAACGACAACAGTATTCGAAAAATTTATAAATATTCCTGGATTATGGCCAGGCATGCGTCTTGGTATGATGCATAGGATACTGGCCGTCAAATGCGAAGAGGTAAAGCTGCTGCCTCTACTGTGCGCTTAATCTGACAAGTAACATAGGAAATTATCAATTACCTCCATCACATATAATGGACAATCGTAGGACCTTTGCACGACTTAGTTCCAGGCGCAACAGTCATGAGGACTCGTCCTCCAGAATCTCTGTACCTCTGATTCATCGGACATGGCCAACAATTGTCTCCATATTCATTCTCCAAATAATGCGGCAAACCCATAAACATCGTTTGGGGTTTCAGCTCTCATTGTGAGGAAGTGTGCCTCTACGTGAGGATGTCCTCCAAGAATAGCCAACTGGAGAGCATCTGATACAGAAGCATTAGGCATATTCCATTCACAGCCGTGATCGAGCAGCTTTTTGACCATATCAAGGTGTCCTTCTTTGGCTGTTAGATTGATACATGTGGCCTCGTGCAAGTCTGAAATTAAAGTGTTTGCACCTCTTTTGACCAGCATGTCAACAATCTCTACATGACCTCTTTTAGCAGCCCATGTTAGAGCAGTAAGCCCATTGTCATCACAACCATTGACCTTACACTTTTCCGCGGAAATTAGAGCAAACGGTTGTTTGGCCTATGGGTAAGAGAAAAGTGTAAAAGTTTAATGTGGTGTGTTGGTACTACCCGAGCCAGAGTAATGGGGGAGGGGATTCAAGGGCTTGTTCAGCTGGAGCATAGCTCCTATTACAATACGCGTGTAATAAAACCCGTGTGCCAAGGTCAGTCTCTGCGCTTATACGTTGAATACCGAGCACCTCTGTCTGTTCATACGCTACCCTAGCAATTGACTGCATCTGAATCTAGCTTAGCAGTTCACTGACGTTTTGTTTTGCATCAAATTTGACGCGCATGGAACAGCACTAATGAGAGGCGATCATCAGGTCAATACCAGGTAGGGTAGCCTGGCGTCCCGAAACCATTGCACCAAATAACACATTTTCGGATCAGGTATATCGCGCGGTCAAAATCGACCAAGCTGCTCGTATCACTGTGAGTTTACTCTTGTCTATTTTCCGTAATCGCGCTACGCGATTATTAAAGGCATAAAGAGTATCGCGAATCTTGAGGTTCCAAATATCTCATCCTCAGTTACCGCTTAGAGTAGAAAAATACGGGTCAAAAATTGGCTTACTAGTTGATGCCGTGGCATTTCTCTCCTGCTACTTCAAGTTTGCAATTTTGCTCCTTACGGTGCTATCAGCTTTTGGACGGAAGTCCTGGTTTGGCAATGTTGGAAATGAAATAGCCTCGGAATTGGCGAACTGAAGGCGCCAAAACTCGGACGCGCCGCGTCGGTCAGGATCACCAGCAACTACTACACCTTACATAGCCCCAACATGTTCGAAGAAGATTAATGTTGTTGAATGTGCAATAGGTCTGTATTAGCTTCGTCTGCTGGGAAGAAGAAGATGAAGCTGTGAAGAGATGGCCTCGCTCTACCCGTGCCACGTACCTACTTTACGTGAGCGAGCTCGCCGAGTCCCCTGAAAAGGGGGTACGTGGCACGGGTAGGTTAGGGTACTCCACAACATTGTTTTCGTGATCCCTTCTTCGTTTAAGCGATGGACTAGCAAGCAGTTGCTCCGCTATCACGTATTTAAGATCCCCCATCGTCCAACGCCACCCTTTGGGCCGTGACCACGTGCTCAAATATGTCAATCGCGCACTCGGTGCTACCTGTTGTCATGGTCGCGGTTCGTGGTGCGGACTTTGTTCAAGACAGACGAAGATAAATGTTAATGTTGCAATAGGGAACTGAAGTTGAATGAGCACTAGATTTCAATACAAATCAACCAATTTGTCCCAGTTCGTGTCATAAGTGCTCAAGAAGTTATCCTGCAGGATACCTAACAGCGGTCGAGCATTCTCTCTCTCCGTCTTGAAGGCTTCCCACCACCAATGGTCTGGCCCCTGGAGTGCCTCAATTCCACGTGCTACTAAATCCTTGTTTACCCAATGCAGCATTCTGTGTATTACAAAATCGTCTAGTAAAAAGATACTATTGAGTAAAGTCCCGGGCAACACCCGGCTTTTCCGACGCCTCTGCTCCGCCCGCATGGCGGCCTTCGAGGGGAGGGCAACCCGCTCCGCAAACACAGCGGCCAAGACTTGAGCCTGGAAGTCATACATTGAAAATGTCGATGCGAAGTGCGTGATACCCATAAACGCCAAAGTTGGGTCAGGAATATAGAAGATATCCTCGTGCAGGTTGTGGGCTGTTCTACCATCGGAGGTGATGATGACCGTTTCGTCCGCATCCTCATAAGCCGTGGATGGCCGCTCTAGAAGCGGACCAAGGAAAGGAAAAGTGGTATGGTATCCTGTCGCAATTATTACATAATGAATGCTCTCCAGCACTCGACCATCTTGAAGCACCACTTTCCCCGGAAGAGGGTCGTCATCATCGAGCGTCTGAGGTCTAAACGTAGGTCGACCATTTACGTTGCTAATGGTAGTGAATTCGGTTGCCATGGCCACTTTCTCGGCATTCTCGTGGTTTGATTGATCCCTGAAGTCCACTCTAGTGTCTTTCGCACTCTGGTAAACCTTGGCACCATTGTTTACTAGTTCATTGGTGATCTCTGCCGCAGAAATGAACCCTCCGATGATGAGCACCGTTTTACCTTGGTATAGTTTAGGTGTACGGTATTGTTTGGAATGCATCACCCGATTCGCGTGCGCGTGCTTCCAGGAAGATAGACCCGGGATATCAGGTACCCGAGGCTCACCGTATCTACCTGCAGCCACAACGACGGCATCGAAGATCCAAGTCTTCCGTTCCAGCGTATAACTTGCCGAATTCGCAACCAATTTAGACGCCTGGACGCGCCATTGCGCATCGCCTTGTTTTGTGACAGATTCTACACGGGTACTGAAGTGAATCTTATCTTCGACACCGTGAATCTTGGCGATACGCTGCAGATACGCCAGCACCTCATTATGGTCAAGGGGTGCCCGCTTCCCGTCGGGCCAGTCTCCAAGAGAGGTGCGCATGGTCTGCTCGCTGCCCCTGCTCTTCATATTCGCATATACTGGGCCTGGAGGAGCAAAAATCAACGGCGCCTTCTCCGGACTCAAACCCTCGGCTATCGGCTCGTCCCAATCCGGGACTGGCGGTCGAGTACTTGGAAACGGTGAGTCTCGACCAGTTTGCGGGCTAAACTCCCAGACTCCGCCGGCAATGTTTGCACGCTCGAAAACAGTTACACTGATTCCGGTGCGGAGCAAATGCGCGGCTGATACTATACCGCTCAGCCCGGCACCAACAACGGCCACGGTCCTGATCTTGCCGAACTGGGTGGAATTGCTCATTATGTGTCAGATTTCGTCTTTGAATCTATTATATGTGTTGTGGCTGATGAATAAAGAAGATAAAAGGCAAGAGAATAATGGAGGGTAACATTTGTACTTGTACCACCGTTAACCCCGCTCTTGGCACGGCCGTCGTTCACATTCCTCCAGTGCCAACAACACCTGCACGAATTGAGGGAGCTGTGCTGGAGCCCGGCATCGACCTGGCCCCAGCGTACCTGACAATGGCTATCATAAACCCCTAGGGCGGACCAATTACTGTAACACCTCTCATGCCTCCAATATCGGTAGTCCAGCCCCAGTCTGGGGAGACAATGAACCTGGCACGATCCACAGCGGCGGACTCGACAGCCGTGGTGGTCCGGACTGTCTGGGCAGATAACGTCCCCATTTTTTAAGCCCCGAGGAATAAATCCAGGCCCGCTCCGGTGGCAGCTAGCTCCTTGATCGAGGCCACGTTCGTCGTTCCGGATGGGCACTATATGACAGGAGCTGGTATTGGTGTCTTACAAGTAGGTTGCCGGTCCTTTGCCCGCTACCTTACTAATTGGCTTTAGGAATGGTACACACATCTTCGTTCATTTCACGAATCCGAACGATTTCATATTAATAATGCCGAGCGACATTAAAGACACCTTTATTTATCACCTCGCGTAATAGTTCGCCCTCCTCATCACGTTCTGCTTATTACTACGAATGCTTATTGACAAGTTGCAGATCCGTATCGCCTTTAGGGTGGACCTTCTAGTAAGTCGTCGCCCGGACGGTCCTGTAACGCACTAGGTTAGTAAAATTACTCCATCGATAATGATCCGCTCCGTACAACCATTCCGTTTACTATCGATAAAGCGCTTTTTGTTTACCATTATAATTTTCGATCAAATCCGAGCTCTCTCTCGCTTATTTGCAGAAATCTAAGCATCGTAAGCATCTATCTATACTTGTTCTTGCGAATCGTAAACTGCTCGGAGGCGATATTACGAGTTTTAAAAGATAGTTCATGGGAACAAGGGCGGTCGGTAGCAGCGAAAGTCCAAGAGGTTGTTGCCGCTCATAGAGGCAAAGCATGCCGAGAGATCTCATGAGTGGGAACCCCACTACAAATTCTGGACATTCGACAGGCAGCCGACCGAGCTCACTTACAAAGACTGCAATCATTCTCCGAGGTTGAAGTCATTGACGGCAGTCAGGAGCCACTATCGTGAACAACATTTCGTAAATCGATCAAGGCAACAGGGCCCCATAGAGCTTCTCACACAGGATGATGATGATGATGATCTCCACGATCAGGGTGCACCAAGCCAGAAACAACACACAAACAAAGAAAAATGCCAAGGTTCTGCGAGAGCCCGTCGTCAGCAACCACTTGACGACGTAAACAACAACACAAGTGGCCAGCAAAAGTGTGCAAATTATTCACCGAACGGGAATTATGTAGAGGTCTCACGGTTGGGCGAAGTTCCTGCCACCGGACTAAAGATGTTGGATCATATGAAAGCGTTCATGCCTTGCCTGTCGTCTGCACTTGCATATATGCATTCCAAAGGGGCAACACATGGAGATCTGAAACCTCATAACGTGCTGTTGAATAACCAGCATACATGACTTGGGGATTATGGCACAGCCGAATGCGTAGCAGGGTTTGCACCAGGGCCCAGTTCGACAGGCAGGAGGACAACTCTCCCTCTCGCCCGGCCGCTGTAGACGTTTGCGCGACGCTCGCACCAGCAGGGTGTAGAAAAAGCGCCTGCTTTTATGAGCATGCGTCATTGCCATGGTTCGAGGACAGTTGTTGACAGAGTCAGGTAAATGTCCTTCGGGTCAGATGGGCACTCTAGAAGAGATGGAGTCTGATGTTATGGATGCTATGATTGGGGTTCAGGAATGAATCCCTTTAAGAGATTAGGCCATCTCTACGCGCGACATGAAAATACAGTCGACGAGGACTTGATACTTGATTACTACTGCTAGTATTGACTCATGTCAAGTAGCACACTGCACTTACATCAAGAGGAGACTGTGACGAACTACTTCGGGCGCTGGGCTGATTTCTTTCTGGGAATTATTGCTCAGCTGATGAGACTTGTAGTTCAAAATGGAAGAGCTTTGAGAGGGAATGAAAGTATACTGATCGTTCATGGTTGGACTATCATGTGTAACTATGACAGTTTCTACGGTTGGTATAGAACACTGTGTGGTGGAGGATAGGTCTGATGCCCTAATTCTATTCGAGCATAAGATAGCACATGCGGTGCTCGCATGAGCGTAGGATCGCAAGTGTGGCGCTTTTAGAGCGTGGAATGAAAGTAACGTTATTTACCCCCTAGTGGACCCCCCTCCTTTTTATCACAAATTCTTTGAATGTTGAAAACCTGCATCAAAACCAAAATTGGTCGAAAAAAATTTAAATAGACATTCTACGTATACATTGGATAGTATGCTATACGCAGAGTTTTCAATGTGTCTGAGGTCTGAATGTTATCGAATATATGTAAGGATTTAGCATTCAAGCATTTTAGCATTAATTCAGACTACTTATATGGCATTAACCCTGCTAAAACGCGATCTCTTTAGCAAAGGTGGCCCATTTATGGGTGTGGCCCATTAAGGGTAAAATACGTTATGGGTGCTGTCAAGTAGTATATAGAATTCTAAGTCTAAATCAGAGAATATCGGCGTACAGAAAGTGAGCAAATGCCCACTAGATAAGTCACGTGAGGCCTACCATCGACAAGAGCACGGATCTCCGCCAGTCTCCCTCAAACCAAGTTGGTCAAGACGTAAGTCCGCGTCTAACTTTTCTTCTTCCCTGGTTCAACAATCTACTCGTGGTGAACCCCCCAGAATAGAACGACCACGTACATTAGGGTCTATTCTATCATCAGCCAGTCTTTGTATCCAATCGCAATGGTGTAGATGATTTTAACCCCCAACGCAGTGATGATAATGTGCCAGCTAACTAATACCAATGACCTCCAGTTAGAGATCAGCTTCGATTCGAAAGTATTGATGTAAAGCAGATTGAACGTATTGCCGCTCAATTTGAGCATATATTACGCCAAGTCGGTACCTCGACGACCCAGTCGGTCAAAAACCTTTGCGCGGTTAGTGATGCAGAAATCATCGAGCTCTGGAATTGGAATGCGTCTCTTCTCAGAGCCTTCATCGAATGTGTTCACAGCCTAATCGGCGACACCATAAAGCAGCAGCCTCAATCTCCCGCGGTATGTGCTTGGGATGAAAATCTGTCCTACTCTAAGTTGGACAAATTTTCCAACCGCTTGGCATGATATCTGGCTACTCTAGGAATAGGTCCTGGAAGTATTATACCTCTTTGCTTTGAAAAGTCAATTTGGTATCCAGTAGCAGCTTTAGGGACAATGAAAACCGGCGCGGCTTACGTAGCTATGGACTCAACGCAGCCAGAAGCGCGTTTGCAGTCAATCGTCCCGCAAGTCAACACAAAATTCGTCCTTTCGTCTGTGGAAAATGAGGCGTTGGCAGGTCGCCTTTCGAATGCAAAGGTGGTTGTCGTCGATCGAAGTCACATTTTACAATACTCCCATGTTCGACGGCGCAACATTTACCTGAAGTCTGTCCATCTGATGTATTATATGGTACGTATTCCCGGATTCTGTTTTGTTTAATTATTCGCACTGTTTGATCAACCGCGTGGGAAATTGATTCCTATCTCCGTGGTTTCTTCGATGCTATCAGTCCTCCCTCGAATTGAAGCAGGCTGATCATGAGTTGTTTTACACTTTTATTCACAAATGAATCAACAGGCATACTAAAAGGTATTGTAGCAACCTACGGAAATTTTGCATCAGCAGCGACGCATCAGGCAGACGTATTGAACATCAAGCCAGGAACCCGTGTATTTGATTTTGTGTCGTACAACTTCGACGTCTCTTGGTCAAATCATTTGCAGACCTTAATTTGTGGTGGTGATCTTTGCATGCCATCAGAACGGGAGCGCAAGGACGACATGGTCGGCGTGTTCAACCGAATGAACTGCGATTATGTCATTTCACTACCTCCGTAACCTATTCACTGGAACCGTCCACCATTCCAGGACTAAAGACGTTAGTGATGGGAGGTGAAACTATCTAAGCAAAGAGGTTGCGCGATGGATAGGAGTTGTGAATATCATTGGCATATATGGGCCCGCAGAGTGCACTCAAGCATTATCATTGGAACGTCTTGGCGCGGCAATGCACAACAATTATGTTGGGCACTCTTATGGTGCGAGCACTTGGCTTGTGTTAAGGTGTTGCGAGCCTTAATCAGTAAGGATGTTAATTTCCTCAACGATGGGTTTGCTCAAACCATGATCGAGAGAAATTTTAGTTTTGAAGATGTTTTGCGTGCCGGGTTATCGGGACGATTTCTCTCTTGGAACGAATACCAAGTGAGAAATCACCAGTCACAAAATGTTACTCCTTTGAATTTGCACATTCCAAACCCACCACTACTCGAAGCGGCAAATCCATCAAACTTTGGCGTCGCCAACCAACCATTCCCTCTTCTTCCAGGATACACTCGCTATCCCGGTACCTCTGAATTTGCCGATCCTTATATCAATAATATCCACATTTCTACGGCCACTACACTTGCTGCCTTTGTTGCTAATGCTAGCGCAATAGGTTTGACCTTTGCTCAATTTTCTCAAGATGATGCAGTATCACCTTTTTGCATTTCTCCCTTGCAAGATCAAAGCACCGATCCCCATAGTCTAGAAACAGGGCTTTACAACAATATCGCGCGGGATTTGCGACCAGCAGCCAACCAGATTACTACATCTCACCATCCATACCTTGACGTAATCCCTTTTCCCGAATTTCGCAGCCGCGCCATCTCAGTACTGGACATGGATCCACCGCTGATCGACGAGGACGAACTCTGTGCGGATCTGGTGGGTGGTGGAGTCATCTGTTGGGGCGGTTACAGGGGAGTAGGTCATGGTAGGGGTGAGGGAACGCCTTGGGATATGCGGAGCTGGGAGGCGGCACCTTGGTTTTTACGAAAGTGGTGGATGTTAACGGGGGATGAGAATTGTGAAATGTGGAGCCACGCTAAGTGGTGGTGGGCTCTGAGGGGTGGGAATGTAACAGACCGACGTCGTTAGAGGGCAGCAGGAGTGATCACAATACAGCAGAGTAGGTAGCACGGGGTAGAGTACAGAGGAGGCTGGTTGGTAGTAGAGGTAAACTGTAGAGTAGAAGTATATGTCGTCCAAGAGTATGAAGTCAAGCTTGCCGGCTTATAGCTGGCTAAGCGCCTGTATATGTCCTTCGTCCTGAGATACTAGCATAGACATACTAGAACCTCTATTCGGGGTCTCCGTGGCCCAGACGCTCAGGGCTTTCGAAGGGAAATGAGTTCCCAAGGTCTCCGATAGTCTAGACTACTGGTACATCACGGGGCTTCCGAAGGGAAGCTGGTACTCAGTGTCTTCGATAGTCCAGACTATTGATACTGGATTATGGCGTTCGGTATGGCCGTGACTATCGAGCAGTAACTGCCGAGCTATAGCTGTCAAGTTGTGCCACGGATGAAAATATGACCTGAAAAGAGTTTAAAGAATCCATAAGTTCTGCGTCTTGGGGTCAAAAGTCGGTAAAAAACAAAAGTATCAAGTAATTGACTTGAGCTATAACAGCAAGGTATCTAATATAAGGTCTGCCTTCCACGTCTCTTGCCGTCTTTCCAAATTAAAGCTCGCGCTTGTGCTCCAAGTAACGGCTTCGCTACACAGATTTTTATGGCAAAAATGCCTGCTTGGGCCGTACGCCTTACTCAATATCAACCTTGGAACAGGCAGCTTTTGGTAATAATTATACGATAGCGCATTATGGGCAGACCTTTTCGATGTAAAAATTAAATACAAATACTTACTGCCTTTCAGTCGTCGTGTTGACTCTGGGAACAGTCGCCCGTCTCCTTGAGATCAATAATTTTTACAAACTCCCGCACAAAGGTTATTGTAGTTTGATTAGTAACTCGATTGGAGGATACAAGTGTCGTAGATTTGGAGTCTTCAGAACTTGATACGGGGGCATTTCTTTTTATCTGAGCTGTGATTCTACCAAAAGTCTAGGGATAAGGCGACAGATCTGAACGTTATGTTACATTATACCTCTGGAGGTTTCACTTGATAGCCCGATACGCAAGCGTAGTGATGCGCTTGCCTGGGTTTCCGTCGATGTTACAGGCAGTTTCAAACCCTCCAGTATTTCCAGGCCGTCTTTGGAGATTCGGACGGCATGTCTATACGACGGCGGCATGATGCGGATTGTACGAGTTGAACATTACCCAGCGCCGATCTCGAGATGACTTCATATACCGTCAACCTGGTCTCAAATGGCGAGTTAGCCAGAAGGGCGAACATGATCATAATCGTCCTACAGTTCATGCGTGGCCATTTAATAAATCATACCACGTCGGTCTCACCGAGAGCGAATCCTCGACGACAACGAGCCTCGGCTGAAGGAAGATCCAGGCCAGGAATATTACCCCTTCGGCATGGAATAATGCCGGAAACATCGAACCATCAAATGACATTACCAAGCAGATCTCGATGGCTTTGGTCGATTCTGCCATCATGTGATAGTGCTGCAGACCAGGGTCTACCGACACGTCTTGATGAGTTGTGTGCAAGTCAGAGGCTCAGCAGGCCACGGAGGCTGCGTTCATGGCTGGATCGCTGGTCATCCAATCACAAGCTTTGCACGGCTCCAGAGAAGGACCTACAGAAGACGAGGAGCTCAAAGGATACCAATACTTGTATCGTGAGGTCCAAATAATACCAGGCGACTCCATTTCAGATTGCAAGCGAGCCCTAAAGAAACAGCTTATAAATACTGTGGACTTGATTGATACACGGCATATAGGCAGGGATGTCGAAGTATGGCAAGACTTCGAAGCGTTTCGCCACTATACCCTTCAGGATAAACACAAAATCAGTATAGCCGAGGCCAAGGAGGGTGGTGGCTATCTCGAATCATTGTTCCAAAAGTTGAGAGGTACTAGGAAGCGCGGGAAGAGAGATGGAGCAAAGGCTAAAGTTCATTTCTGGCCAGGTTACTAAGACTACGCTTGAGTAATCGAAACTCTGCTTACTTACGAAATCTCAGTTAAACCGTGATCAGTGGGCTTTGTATGAAAAGTGATTTGTGCTCTAGGAGTTGCGGACTTCTATACAGTCGTATGAGTGTTTGACGACATCGCTCTTGTGCCACATATCCTTGCATCACGCGGCAGCCAGTACGCCACATTGGTTCTTGCTTAGCCAGCAAATTGAGTGACCGGAAATGTCCAAAAATCTGTCCCGTCATGCCCACAGAAAGGGCTCCAAAAAGTGGCCAGGTCCCCCAGCGTCCTAGTTATTCGATAATACATAATCTGTTTTATCATAATCTTATTCATCTGATGGTCCTGGCTTGCAAAAGAAATACAATATAACCATATTACTGTACGTGTTGACTCTACTAGCTGCCAGGTCGTTGTTAGGGCTGTTTAGTCCATCGGAGCAAGCGTAGGCGACAAACAGACCTTGGGACGTTATTGCTTGTCTCTATTCAGCTTCACCGGAGCCAGGCCCCGAAACCAGGAGGCACTAGAGGCTTGTCCTCGCTTCTTGTTCCTGATATATTCTCGAAAAACTGCCAGAGATAATGGCGAAGAATGGATGACATCAAAGGACGCCGTATCTCGTAATTTGATGGATATCTTCGTTAGAGATGAGACTGAAGTGGCCATTACTTGGACGAAAATCTCCGCTCGTCCACTTCAAGAGCATTCGGGGGTCCTTTCTTGTCATGGACTTCCTCGCTGGCTTTCGCCATCCAGTATGTTATCTACAAGCACAAACACGAAGGTGTGAACCGGGAGGAAATTTGGCTTTGCGTCGTTGATACAGCTTTCTTCACGAACGGTACGTTCTTACAGGATCTCAAGTTGATCCAGTTTTTCAAGATAAGGTTCCAAACCATCATGCGATCTTTCTCACAACGATTAGACGAGATCATTCAAAGATGTTTGTCAAGAAAACCGATGATGGCTGCTGGCGATGATCTGCCTGTGGTCAAGGACTTGGCTCTGGGAGTGTGTTTTGCCATAGTAAGGGACGGTCCCCACGTTAAATACAAACAAACAAACAAACAAACGAACCGACTGGGTAACATCAAATATTATTACCTGTCAGATCGGGGTTGGCAGCAGAGTGAAGAGTTACAAGATAGGCAATAGGTATGGTATAGATTGAATACAGACTGAACTCTGCCCCTCCAACTAACAGCTAGCCCGCCCTTTTTTATTTAGCGCTTTTGTAACGCAGCGCCTGTACTTTGCGTAATGGGCACTGCCGCAAATTTGTTGGCCCCGTTTTAGCGTGCATCCCAGGGGCAGAGCTCCTGAGACGCCGCTCATACGCTGCAGTTACAGTCCTTGATTGAGATGTGCGCCTTGTTGCAATTCCTGTCTGACATTACCCCATAGTAAGAGCATGAGCCTGTAGTCATATACAGCCCCATAACATGAAAAGCCGTCATAAACCCCTTAGTCCCGTTGCCAGTCGATGGGATGCGTTCCTTAATAAAAATTAGTATGTTCTTTTAAGTTGAAAGGGAAAATAAATCACCATCGGCTTTTGTAATTCTGAGCGCGGCAGTATCATGCCTCTTCACCTTTGTAGTAAACGAACCCTTGAAGATCCCGAGATCCTTGCCGCTCCACATATCATGAACCAAGTAAGGCTGAGACTTTTGATCTTTCAGGCCAGGAATTTCAGCGAAAATAGCCGTTAGTGGCTCCTCAACCTCCTTAGTGTTAAGCATGAATGTGTGAACGCCCCTTACTGAGTTTCCAGCCCAATAATTGGCTGGGTGAGTGGCATTTCCCACACCGTCCCATTTGTATGGAACCACGCCTTTTCCATAAACAGGATCTTGATTGAACGCAATAATCTCCTTGTTCTTAAAAATAGTCAAGACTTCGTCTTGGATAGAGTCCAGCTTCGTACCGATAATCAAGGGGCTCTTGAGCGCAGCCCAAAGAACAAAATGACTGCGATTCTCTTCGATGGTAAGATTGCCATTCCCTACTTCGAGCATATCCCAGTCGTTGTGACCCCAGAAATCCGATACATTAGCGTAAAAGGCTGCCTGATTTAGTATGGGCATCAAAGCTTGGCTATATTCATAGCTTCCTGTCCACGAGGGATATATGTCGCTGAACATACGCCAACTGTGGCCCGTCTTATTACCCCAAGTTACAACATTGGCATGACCCCAAATGCAAAGGGAGTATTGGATCGTACGGTTCTGTTTGGCCAAAGCATCATGCATACGCATATAACGCTTTGAGCTGTTAGAGGTAGACCAATCATATCCTAGGGGGACATAGCCATCAGGAGTTCCCCCATTATCCGGGTACATCTGGGGCACATCCACCCATTCGTCCGGAACATAACAATTGTCGTATTTCAGGTCTATAAATGGGCACTTAGTATTAGAGTAGTTTGGAATAGAAATAGGGTGAACTCACAGTCAATGCCCCATTCAGCGAATGCTTCTGCATCAATGGCCTCGAAACCCAAAGAGCCAGGATAACCTCCGCATGTTTGGGTTCCTATGAGTACATTAGTCAGATTCTGATAAACAACCACCAACCGGCCCATTTACCTGCATCACCGTAGATACCTAGCTTCATGCCCTTAGCATGGACTTCATCGGCGACGTTTTTTATCCCATTAGGAAACTTTACCGGATCTGGCATGATTCTTTGAGTTGCATTGTCACGACCACCTTGAAAGCTCCAGCAATCATCAATATTCACATATTGATAGCCAAGGTCTTTTAATCCAAGGCTCACTAACAAATCTGCAGTGTTAACAAAGGTTTGGTCGCTAATATTGCAGCTGTACTCGTTCCAAGAATTCCAGCCCATTGCTGGGAGTCGGCCAGTGCCATCAGGATTGACCGAAGCCTCCGCAAGACCGACAATGGCAGAGACAAGTACTAGTGCCGTTTTCTGCATAATTTCGGAGTAACGAAGCAAGTTATAGGTATGGCGCGGACTGCGAGGACCGTCAATACACGATAGGGCTTAACAACATCTTATAGAAAGCATGACGTTGTACTCTCAGATATTAGACGCGAACGAGGTGTATCATGGGGCATTTGGGGTTTTACCCATTTTCAATAATTGCAAAGACTTGAGCTACATTGAATGGAAAGACACCTTTGCTTTAATCGGGCAAGTCATCATTATTTTGTGGCGCGAACACTATTTTTATACTGCCAGAAATGGTCTAGTCGATAAATCGGTATATCTACACGGGTGGAAAGTAAATGTCATTACTGTACCTGCTTCCCAAGCAATGTATTATTGGATCTCGGAGAGCTCCCATATTAACACTAGGCCGCAAGTGGTGGACATGCCGTCCACGTAAAAGTGGCGAGGCGGGGCCTCGACTTCCGCATTTCCTAATTAGCTTTCATATCTTTGGTAGGTCGGGCTTGCTCCGAGCGAATACAATTTCGATCGGACCTATCAGCGAAGTATCTGCCTTACCTAAAGTTGCAGCCTGGAAATCGATAGATTTACTATGTTGCAACTAATGTTACTATGATAGCGCAGCCTAAGCTGTCGAAGTAGTGTTATTATACAACTAAATTTTCGTAAGACCTTTCAATAATAACATTAACTACTTATTCACTATACTAACGCCGGTGGGTAGATGCGTGGCCAGGTCTAATGAGGTCACTGGAAGCACTTGGATACACCTTTATCACGACCTTTCGCTAAACTTATTCACATGCTCTACGAACATGTCGGTACTTCATAGCACGCATCTCTGCGTACAATACCGGTAGTGAAAGGTCGTATACAATTAATAAGCTGACTGGGGGCATACCTTATTGGCGGCGACACGGTCTTCCTCCGTACCTTGCCTTGCCTTTGCTGTAGACCTGGAGGAAGACCTCCCGAATGCTTGAACCAACAAATAGCAGCCAATGACTCACAAAACGACCCGCTAAATTCAGGAATTCACGGGCCGGTACACACTTCCTATATCTTGCTTGACATGAAAGTGTTATGGATGCTACCAATGTGGACATTCATCACACCACCCACCATTATGTAGACTGTCATGGCTGGTTCCATGCCGTCTTAGTGCGCAATCAAGTATAAAGCTAGACGGAAAGACACCTTGATGTGTGTACTTGTAGTAAGTCTCGAAGCCATCAATAGCTTAGCATTAAATTCGATACTCTCTTAATTATTTCTCTTTTTGGCAATGAAGTCTATAGTCGCCCAAGTTGGCCTCCTGGGGTTGTTCATTGCAGTTGCCGCCCAGAGCGCTACAATATCTACGCAAAATGCACTTTGTACCCAATACGCCTATGCCTCACAGGATGGATATGATATTCTGAATAACCTCTGGGGTATGGATACAGCGACATCTGGGTCCCAGTGCACGTATTATTACGGTGTTGCAAGTGGCGGTGGTGTCGTGTCAGATCGGGGTTGGCAGCAGAGTGAAGAGTCACAAGAAAGGCAATAGGTAGGGTATAGAGTGAATACAGACTGAACTCTGCCCCCTAACTAATAGCTAGCATGCCCTCATTTATCTAGCGCTCTCCCAGCGCAACGCCTGCGTTGCGCTTAATAGGCGCTATCGTAGATCCGTCGGCCCGGCTTCAGCGTGCGTCTCAGGGCGGGGCCCCTGAGACGCAGCTCACACGCTGCTAATACAGTTCTGGGTCAAGGCGTGCGCCTTGGCACAGTTCTCGTCTGACATGTCGGCTGGGGTACCACCTGGACGTGGGCTGGGAGCGAGAACAATGTCAAGAGCTACGCATATGCCGGTCGTCAGTTCACGCGACCACTGATCAGCAATGTCAAGTCGCTGCCCACAACAGCCATTTGGTCCTACTTTGGAACCGATATTCGTGCCAACGTGGCGTACGATTTGTTTACTCACCCAGATGCAAACCACGTCAACTACAACGGGGAGTATGAGTTGATGATTTGGCTGAACCGTTATGGCGGCGTGTGGCCTATCACGGAAAGCGGCTCAGCTCTGGAGACCATAACGCTTGCCGGCCATTCGTTTGACCTGTACTTTGGATACAACGGGGATATGAAAGTCTACAGTTTCGTGGTTTCAGACGCGGCCATTGGAAATTTCTCTGGAGATATCTTAGACTTCTTCAATTACCTTGCCGACAACTACTCCTTCCCGATCAGCCAGCAGTATTTGCTTAGTAAGCTCTAGATTATTCCAGTCTTCTTAAGAAGTATAGCTAACATATCTTTTCTTAGTTGATCAATTCGGTTCGGAAGGATTCACGGGCACCAACGCTACGTTCACTGTATCGCGATTCCAGGCTGAGGTCAATATTTGAGCCAAGCCGGTAGCCCAAGCCGAGCTATATATAGGGCAGAGAGTGTACTTTCATTATTTTTAGCTTCTGTCTCCATTTCACTTCTTGTATTCATGTATACAGTACCTAGGTATATGTACACGACAAATTACTAGGGTTGGTTCTATCAGTTTGCGCTGTTTTAAGTAACGCGAAAATTTTTGTATTGAATATACACCAAGCGGAACGCCAATCATCTGTCAGCAAATAAGGGCTCGATGCTCACGGCCACGGCGTTCTTACCGGACCCACAACCTCTAGACATCTTTGCAATGGTCGTTACCGACTTCGCACAGGAAAATATAGCCGCAGTTGCTCAACATGGAATCTTCGCTCAGCTAGAAAATTGCTAAAGCGCCGGAAAAGTCGGGCTCGAATCAGTTACGCCGCGGTTTCCGCCGGTGACCGAACTCCGTCCTTGGTATATAACGCAGCAGACTTGGGGAGAAGAACGACAGTCTTCAATTTCCACTATGCCATTCAATTGTTCATAATCGCAATGTTGCGCTGGGGGATCTTAGGGACGAGCTTTATCTCCCATACAATGGTGACGGCCATTGAGAGGAGTCGGAGTTCCTGCATCACGGCTGTTTTTGGCAGAGACGAGGCGCGCTTGAACGCATTTGCAGACAAGTACAATATTGCGAAAAGATTTAATTCTATTCAAACTCTTCTTGACGATGTCGAGGTTGATGTCATTTACGTCGGTCTGCCAAGCCATTTGCACGCCGAGGCAGTGATTGCAGCTGCGAAGCGGGGCAAGGCGATTTTGTCAGAGAAGTCCCTAGCGACAACTATGTCCGAGTCGAACGCCATGATCGAAGCCGTACGGCAAGCCGACATATTCTTCTTAGAGGGACTGATGTATCTGTGCCACCCACTGATGGTCAAACTGGCTGAGATCATTAGGTCCGGCGAATTGGGCCAGATCCGTTCCATCTCAGGACATTACGCCGCCGACATTGGAAAGAAAGCCAATCCCCTAGGCATGGGCACTATTTACAATCTGGGGTGTTATCCAGTATCGCTGGTACACTTCATCAGTGAGACGGCCTTCGGAGGAGACGTATTCAAAGTGCGCCGAGTTCATGCAACTGGTAACGTGATCAGAGATGGCACAGATCGCGTGCAAGACGCCGCACTTGCCATTTGGTTCGGGAATGGCGTCCTTGCTACCATTCAATCATCGGACAGTTTCGGTAACGACTTTGGGTTCGTCATCAATGGCGAAAAAGCGTCGTTGCGCTTCAAGAGCAATCCTTGGCTGCCTTCAGGAGGTGAAAATGTTATTGAGATCAAGCAATACGGTGGTGCTACCAAGCAGGTTGTCGTAAATGCCCAGCATGATGCATTTGACTGCCAAGTGCGAACGGTTGAGGATTGTGTCAGCGCTGGGCTCAAACAGGCGCCACGTCCCTCGCCAAACTGGACGCATTCGCTAGAGATCATGAGCTTGTTGACGGAGTGGGAAGAGCACATTATGAGGGCGTCAATTTGAGGACTTGCTGCCTTGGGCTCCGGCACGAAGCCGAAGCACTTGGGACTAGGAACATCCGCAAACGTATCGCCAACAAACTTAATATGGAAGATCGAAAGGGTGAATGCTCAGAAAATTCCCCTTTATATTCGGTCAGTCAATTCTAACAAATGGCAGAAGATTTTATGGAGGCCTAGTGGGCCTATTCGGTTCTAAAGTATATGCTCTATTCGTTTAAGATTCAAAGATGGAAAACAGGTCTACAAATTGTTCGAGCACTCGCAGGTAGTTCAAGTTATCGGCATGCAGTTCGAGGACGAATATCATGACAAATGAGCGAAAGTTTTCGATGGCAAGCCCTGGCCTACGCTTATATATACAAATGGCTTGACCAAGCTGGCGGTGCAGTCACGTGTTCAAAGTGTCTTCCAAATACTCTGTTCTGCCCCCCATCGTAGATAGTTTCGATCATGCCCATTGTTAAGACAACTTTTTATTCGAATAACGCTTATTTTGCTCACGATGAACCCATTATTAGCCCTTCCGGCAGAACTGCTTCTTGAGATATTCAAAATGCTCGTCCCTCGAGGCAAGCGGATCTACATTCAGTACGCTCGTGAAAAGGGACCATCACCTTATAGAACATTTCGAAACCTGAGCTTTGTCATCGTTCAGTGACAAGATATTTCTACACAGCAGCTCGTTTCACCTTTGTCTCCGGTGTGGACCTTCCCATTTTCGTCGGAGGCCTTCGGGAATCGACTGCTCGTACGTCAAGCACGTCTAGTTCACCATAGAAGAGCAACGTGAGCAATATGGACACGTCGGAGCGCTAGAAACTGGTCTCAGCCTACTCTAGTTCTTTACCCTGAACACTATTGTCGTTCACGTCCCCGCTTCCCCAAGGCGGCGTCAGCTCGACATCCTGATAAGTTTCGATACAATAAAGTAAACGCAATTCGTCCAGAAGAGTCCGTAAAGTCATGAGCTCTCAATAGATTGAAAAATATATAAGATATCATAGAAGCACGAAAACCGAAAATGCCCATCCGACAAAATGGGGCGAAGAGAACTGTTATAATCACGTTATAAAATCATCGTTCCTGTCACAACTGTCATCCAAGATCTTGACGCCTAATATTCGCAACTCTTCGATGCCTGGGCGTTGTGGTCGTATGGAGGGAGTTGATTTAGGTAGTCTGGAGGTGTCTGTTTCGCTAGTGATGCTTGACGCACGGTCTCGATAGCATCCAATGAAGCGTGGGTCTCTTTTCCTTGGTCCTCATCCTTGTCACACTTCACCTGCTGTTTCGTTTTGCATCCATCACCTTGCTCTTAGAGAGGCATTTCCAGTGAGAATTGATGGCTTTGAAATGATGTCGACAATGAAAGTGACGCGAATAGGGAAATATTGCTCACACTAGTATTTCCAAGGCTTCTGATTCGCTTCCGGTTTCTTGAACTTGTGATAGTCTCAAGACCGGTCTGGTCGTGATAAGAAAAGCAAGCTTGTAACATCTTTTTTACCCCTTTCTTATACCGGGCTTCTTTTACGTCGCTAAGGCGGGCTTAATCGTACGGTCGCGTAAAAGTCTATACGGGCTAAGTTCTAGTTCCTCATTTAACTAAATACTCGTTACTCTAGCGTATTCGACGCCACTAAATCGCCGTCTATCTTTCATGTCGCCGAGTGTAGAATGGCTTCTCCATTCAATTCTTTCCGTACGGGGTGGGCGACAAATAGATCTATATTCAGCGCTCTCGTACGAAAGGAAGAAGGGATTCTTCCTATCGTACGCGGTCTACAGATAGGGGTTTGGCCTATACGGCTGCAAGCTGCCGACAGCCACGGTGTGGCTGTGGTGGCTTGCCGCCAGTACGCCGGTAACTAGCTAGACTATATGGTCGTACGAGACCGCGGATAACCGTATTCCAACACCGAGCCTATTAAAGACGCTATAGGGCGTAATTAGTAGTTAACAGAGGTCGCTGCTTTTAAAAGCCACTTATGTTTACCCATTTCTCGTAAATGGTTACGAAGCGACGTTAATTTAACCTTATCGTCGACCTCCCGAAGGAGGTTGTTGTCAGACGCTGGTGTTGCAAGGGAGTGCTAGGGTGCTAGTATTGACGCGCTGAGCCCTACTCTCTATCATATATGGAGGATTCTAGCCCTTATATACCCTATTGCAATCCGATACCGGATAAGCTCTGACAGTTATGGTGCTTAATATAGGGGTCTTCATGGTGTATAATATCGTAGATACGGTCGCGGTCTTCTTCGGTTAATTTTCGCTTCGGACCGCGTCTCAAGGGGTTATAATCGTCGGCTCGCCGAGCTATAGCTGCTTCTCGTGTGATATAGCCTTTAATAGTCGATAATTTGATATCGGGGTGCCTTTTTGTAGATTCGATTCGCCGACCAGCCTAAAGAACGGAGCTCTGAAATTCGAGCTTTCATAACCTCTGGAAGCCCAGGACCGCGCGGCGGCATCTCGACCGTGGATATAATAGCTTTAGAAAAGAGTGTTGTTTAGGTAAGAGGCGGTGGGTGGTATTAGCGTTCAGAACCACGTAGATTGGTATCAGAATTGATTAGCGACTTGGCGATATATGACAGGGTTACATAAATTTTGACACGTACTATAGGACCGCGTCTTGGGCCGTGTCACCTATACTTAACAGTAGGGAATTAATCTATTTATAATGAAACCGACCACCCGTAAATATAAATGGGAATTAATTTATATAATTATATTATAACTAGTTATAATATTACTTACAAATTTAAATGAGTTATGCAAGGGCGTCGGGAGTGGGTTACCCAATGCCTTCAGCTGCTTGCGTTCTTCACTGAACTGACGGATATCAATTTGTGCCGTTGGGCAAAAGAGTATAGCCTCCCTAGGAAGAACGCGAGTTCCTATGTATCTCTGTTGTCGGACGATGGAGTTCAGTTCGCTAGTGAGTGTTCGGGCTTCGCCAAACTGTGCCAAAAACTGCGAACATATATATATTAGTGTTTTTCTCTTCCATTTTTGCGCTTGCTTTTCAAATTTGATCATATCGCTCCATTATACATGGAAGCCGTAATGAACATCATTCATGAGATGGCGATGACTGTTTTTGCCTCCTGTTTATTCTCATCAGCCTCTCTATCTCTTTAGAAGAGCGTGGGAAGTGTGGCCGTGTCGTGGCCATGAACAGGGGACACAACGTAAGTCGCTTGAATTCGGTACTCTTTGCTACAGGATTGATTGCTATAAGCTTGAGAATCGGGAATTGTTAAGTTGATTCTCATCAAGGTAGAGTGGCACCACTTTTGGCCGTGGCAAATCGTGACTGGGACCCGGAGGGTTTGTATAAATATATTTCATTGCCCAAATGTTTGATGGAGACACTATTACGGTGACGGGGGTCTCGGAAGAGCATGGATATTGTTATGGAACGAGCAGAACGCTTTCGCCCTGACAGATATGCAGTCTCGCACAATTGAGTTGTGCTGTGACTAGTAAAGTTGTCGTAATGCATAACCATACCCGCCAAGAGATTTGAGAGCTTACCAGCTATATTGTGTCCAAGTAAGAACGCTTTCAATAAGCAAAACAGTGTATGGCCAAATGCTCGATAGAATCTTCATGATGCTGTATTCCCTTCCACAAGTCGTCGTTCGAATGCTGCTTGTGGTTTCTGAGCAAGTCGCAGTCATTCAGATAGATTGACAACTTGATCAAGTCCTTCGGTAGTGTAGGAAGTGTCAATGTGTTGGAGTCGTAAGCAGTGAGTCGCTGTGGTGGACCAGGATCAAATCTGAAATACTTGATGATTTAAAAGTCTTTTCAGAAAGATTCGAAGCTCCTGGTAGCTCGAGGTCAAAGATGGATAATCTTTGAATATTTGCTAATTGGAATACTGGATACAAGTGATTGAGTTCAAGCTTGTACTCATCACGAGCGTGCCAATTCTGCCGATAATTCCAAGCACTTGTAAGATCTCATCGCTGAAGCCACCCGTTGGGTTATTGTTGTAGCCTCCGCTATGTTGTCCATCAGAACCAGAATTCAAGTTAGAAGTGGAGCTGAATTTGAAGCTAGAGTCCGTTTCGTCATCCTGCTCTTGAGTAGAAGCTGCATCACTTTCATGGACATAGCGCCGTGATCTTGGTTGATTTCGTCATGAACATTGGAAGGACATTGGTTGATTTGGTCCAATATATACGCTCGCTAGTGGTCAAAATTCGTATTATCATTCTCTTAGGAGTTGTTCAAGCTGAAGCAGTTGCGGCGGGAAGCCCAGTCCGTGAGGCACTTGTACAGGATGGCAACATCGATCTAGACTAGTTGCTCTTCGAGTATCTGAGAACAAATTTACAGGCAAAGACACAACAGACACAGGCAATCGCCTTTTCAACACGATGCAGCTAGATTAAATATCACAAGCAGCTCACAATTCCTTGATATCAAGGAAATACATCAATGCGGCGCTGAGTGAAATTGAATTTATGATATAAGTGAAGCCATTAGTTAGCTCATATAGTTTTCCCCAATGGCAATCCGATTTTGCGTTTCAGTCTTTCGGTGTAAACAAAGGCGCTCATGCGCATTTTTCAATTTGCAGATACCGTTCGTCAATTGCAAGGAAAGCGCCTGTGACGCACATCGCTGAAGGTAATGTCTATCTAGAGCGAGTATGTGGGCCAAGAGCCCATAGACTACTCGGATCCCGCTACTTTGGGGATGGCTGATAAAGCTATGCTACACACCTTGTAAGCGTGTTGGTCAGGGAAAAGGCCCCCCACAGTCCCCACTGCATTGAAGCACTCAAGTCATCGTGCGACTAGCCGAATCACCCAAGTATGAATCCAGAATAAGGACTTTGGCCTCAATCAGGCCCCCGAATACGATGGGCCTCGAAACCCTTTGGGAGCCAAAAATATAGATTGACATGAACCTTTCATATCATACTGTGCATGTGCATGAAATTGCAGTAATCGTATCATTGGGAAAGTTTGTACTGTCTGAACTTGCTTTTCTAGATGCAGGCCACTTGGCATCATCCATATGATATCTCCTGGATTCCCAGCAAGTCAAGACCATGAACCCTATCTACTCGACCTTGACCGCTTTCGAGTTTTACTAGCCTGTAGATTCAATCGTGAAAAGACTATTACAAGCACGGGATCATGGATTTCATCAGCGAATCCGTTAAAACATGGTTTCAGACCTCATCCAAGTGCAAAACCATCCATTCTCCATCAGTCTTTATTTCTGACGGCAACAACCACTCGATACAAGAATTCGATTTTCGTCAACTCGTTAGTTACGTAGAAGATGAAGACGACGATGTGATCAGGGACGCTCGGTATCAGGAACAAATCGAGGGATTGAGGAATGCACTAAGTTAGAGCATCACGCTATGTCTATAGATACTAAAATCATCAATTGTCAAAAAGTCACAAGATGTGGAATCATGAACAAATTGCTTTGGAGCAGGAGCCGAGTGTTTTGCCATACACATGGATACCCTTGCAAAATGGGGAATCATAATTTAAGCTCCGATTAGTAATCGGCGATTACCACGTCACCCCTTTCAGGTGTGCTGGCAATGGCCGTGCGCCAAGCTAAACCCTTATCGCACAGTGACTCTGTAAAATGCATCAGTATGTGTTAGGTTAGTGTGTTTCGCACGATCGGAGAACCTACGTGAATGACAATACACCATCAAGGAACAGCCAAGCGATGATGGCGATTGCAAGGTTCGCAGCGATTTCTCCCCACAGCATATAGATATACGAGCTGCGGAGAGGGTTCTTGTTTCTTCTCGTCTACTTCAGCGCCTCCCATATTGTCAAGAACCCAAAACCGAGGGTGAAGCCGGCTGCCAACGAGGCAACTTGGTAGTCACTCTTGGAAGCCATCATGTAGGCAGTCGCTTATATGATCAGTCGGATCCCGGCGACGCTCGAGCTCTTTAATAAGCAGCTACCACACACGGGTCAAAGCAAGCAAGACGGTGTGATTTGGGAGCAAGGCTGATATGTCCGACCATCAAAATGGGTTAAAAATGAGTGGCAGCCACATACTATACGACTTGCCTTATGGATTAGCCCTGTCGTTCGCTTACACTCGAAATCTGTGGGGACATTGTTGCCTCCACACTTTTCATGGGTCCCTGACAGCACGTATATTTCCTCATCAAAAACTGCCGTGCCGAAACGCGAGCGGCCATGTTCATGCGATTCCATAGGCAAAATGCTCCATCATGAAACCTGATCCACGTTTGTTATTTGCTGGCGCGGTATTGGTGATTAGACTTTTTGTCCAGGCCCTTCTAGTCTCACTTGAAAAATGGAGATCCAACCCACATGAGTATAGTGCAGACATTTCGTTCCGCAATGCGGAGATCGAACCATGCACAAAGACTTATCGGGACCGCATCTATGTCTCGTTCCAGATGGGATGATATCAACATGATACGCTTTCCCATGTCTCGATGAAACCAAATCCTAGTTGTTGGCGTCGATCTTTGGAAAGCTTGAGTGGCACCGGGATGTGAGAGATATTCAACAGAATCTGTTGAATAGTTCTGTAATATGGTTTGGACCGTCAAGTGCCACGAGACGGGACTGATCCAATACATGGTAAACACTATACATAGGGCCAATATAGAATTTGCCCATGTGGCACATCCAGTTTCGGTGCCATCATGCTCTGCCAGCAAATGTATAGGGTCCAGTTGCCAGAAGCAGACGACCTACAAACTTAAGTTACTCGTTGCAATATCGATGTGACCAGCGTCAAGCTCGCGTTTCGGGATTCCGTTCTACCCGAATACGCTAAGCAGTAAGGAAATTAGTGCACGATAAAACGGTGACTGTTGGAAAATCATCACTTCGGCCTAGCAGCACGAAAATATGGGCAATGAAAACTTGCTTTCTGAGCGAAAGCGTACGCGCAGCAATCTTGATGGAGGCTGGAATCCACCGCCGGTGATAATAAGACAACATGTCAGAAGGTGCATCACGATGTAAATGGGTAAACACTAGTTCATAGTCCATAAGAACAGTACCGTCAAGACTAGTTACTACCTACTACGCCGAATGGGAACATGCAAACAAGCAGGGCTCTACGTACGATTCAGTGCACCCCGATGCCATTCTTCTAGATTAAACAATTCGTCTGTCAATAGTTGTTTCTGGACTGTTGATCTTCCCCATATAGGAATAGTGATCGCTATTGGGCAGGCTTTGCGGCATCCGGCTTGTGGGGCCCGTACACAGTTTATCGAAGCTGCCAAGATGTTCTTCCCATCTCCGAATGGAGGTGAAATTCATGTACACCCCGCCAGGATTATAAATGTTAGATCGTTACAAGCCCCAACTCTTTCATCCACTGGTCCCATCCTCCCCCGGCAAGTACCTCACCATACTAAATAGTATGACATGATACTTCTGGCCGGGGAGAGCTGGAAACTTCTAGTACGCTCGTGAATATTAACATTAAGACAAAATATTAACGGTACAATTTGTCCATACAGCCAGCCAGCACAGCCAGCCAGCCAGCCATACGGCTATACATCAATACAGCTATATCGTCGACCAGCTTTATTATGGATATCCAAACCTTAGTAAACCAGTTACCATGCCATGAGAGCCCAGCTACCAAACGGCACTACCGTCTGCAAAATACAACTTGAAAAAAAGCCTGTTACCGTATGAGAGCCTCGCTCCCAAGAGCTACTTTGTAATTAGAGATGGCCATATACGTATTCAAACTATACCAGAGGATTTCTTAGAAACGCTGGTACGGTCGATGCCCCATCAACTACGTGAAGCTTTCCGTACCGCAGGTGAACGTCTTACCTATTAAGTGTACCGTAGTAGCAATAGAATACATTACCAAAAGTAGTATAGTGTTGTACCTGCGCTAACATATGTGATCCTGGCAGAGGTGTACGAGTGGCTAGCTTGGACCACTGATAAATATCATAAAAGAACCAATTGTGCTACCAGCGCTCTCTGTGGATTCTGGATTCCGAACGTACCTTTGTTCTGAAGCGTGTTGTGAATGAAGAGATCATGTTCCACTAGTGATCCTTATTCGACACTTGATATAGCAGGCCCTCAGCTCAGGGAAAGTAGATCCTTGTAGCGCGATACGTAGGTACTGTGGTACGCAGGGTTTATCAACCAAACCATTTCCGCCCCATCCACCTGAGGAGAAACCTAGCAAGTTCTATTCCTCGATGAGTCTTACCTAGTGCCGCTAAAATGGTTAGTATCATCAATCAGGAGAATCCCACACCATAGCACTATGCCAGGTATCTTAGGAGGAACCGTAAATTTAGTCCTTGCCTGTTGATTCTTAGAGGCGAAGCTAGCGATGTAGTTATGCACGCAGCCACAATCTCATTGGACAGCAATTGAGACCATGCCTGATCTTTTGCCGCTGTCTTGAGCGTTTCCTGCCCCCAGTCTATACAGTCATGCGTCTTGTCAATCACGGGAAAGTCTTCCCATTACTGGATTTGGCCAGTGGTTGTAACCGCGGAACGGCTTCAGGCGCGTGTTATCAGCCTGCCTCTTCAATGCAATTCAATTGAAAAAACTGACATGTACATACATATCGTGGTTTCAATTAGCAAAACATATGAGGAATCGAACTCCAATCTTCTGCTTTCCAACATGTTTTCCTAGTCAAAAAGAAAATCCAAAAAACAAATAGAAAGCCTCTCACTACCTCCATCGCACTTATCATAAAACTCGCAGTCGCTTGTGAGTGAGCAACGGAGCGGGCAGAATGGACTAATCAGCTGATGGCTGAGTATCAGCTTTACTAGGCAGGTACTACAGAGCGTATGGCCTGCCACATGCTTGTCGCTAAGATACCCACATCCTCGCTGGTCGCGCTGGCACTGCGGCTCCTCGTGGTGCTGTTATTCGTCAATACATCCACGATTTCCCTGGTCTTGTGGGCTGTAAGCCCTAATTGTCAGGGCGACATTGGCTGTTCGTGATGTCTGCTTGTTCCATAACATTATTGCTCTTCGCGGTGGCAATGGAGATCACCGACGATCACACGTGGTGGGAGCACGGATCATGATACACAATTTTGAAATATACCTACGTACGATAATTTGATTTAAGGCATCCCTAGATATCAGGAAGATTTATTAGTCTCTAGGCCAATCAATAACTTCTTCACATTGAAAATCCGTTTAGACGACGTCCAAGCAATCACGACAACGTACTCTTGCGTTTAAGACACTCGCAATGCTATGGAGTTACTGGATAGAAGTTTAATCAGGAGATATATGCAAAATAATACACGCAACCGCAAGCACCCTTGTTTTCACTTCATTCTAAATGCAAAGACTGTTGACAACAGCTTGATAAGAGTTAGACAATCTTCTCCTTAAGGGTCTCCAGCGTGTCTTTGAAACCGATCAACTTCTCCTTAACCTGTAATTCATCGAGACTAATGGTGTTTTCCGGATCAATTTGTTCCCAGCTCGGGAATGCCTCACTCCAGCGCAACTGTGCCGCGTACTCCGCGCCATAGACCCCATACAATTTAGTAGCGGTCTCGTCGGAAATTTCGGCATACGCCGCGCGTTTACCAGTAACTTCCTCAAAGACACTGACGACTTGTGTCATGGGGAGGTAGTCTGTAACACACACGGCAATCTTGCCGTAGGCCTTTTGCCCAGCGTTTAGTAGACCCACGACCACGACACCGAAATTGTGCTCAATATCACCCACAATAGGGAGAAGAGAAGACGGCTTGCTTGGCTGTGTAAAAAGGTAGCCGCCATAGGTGTTCGGCTAGCAATAGTTAGTGTCTAGCAACTAATTTCGAGGATGTTACAATGTCAAAAAATGAGCTTACGATTTCCAGGAACTTCACCATGGGCAGTGTAGTAAGGTTGGTTGGGTACCAACCAGGCCAAATCTGAGATGTCTTGGCGTACAGCTCTGGAGTGGCTTCTTTCATCCAGTCTACTGCTTTCTGCTTATAGTCGAAATGAGGGACCTTCAATCTGCCTCCAGATGACTTGTCGCTGGGCGGCAAGCTACTCATGACGAAATGTGCCAGCGTAGTAGTCTTCTGCGCCGCGCTGGCGATGTTCTTGAGCTGCTGTAACTCCTCCTCTCCAGCACCATCCCGGCCGAGGGTCATCACTGACTCCCAGTAGGTGGTGACTGCGAAGATAGCAGTGACGCCCTATTGGAATATTTGGTCAGTACCCATAGATGATACTTCATTGCAAAGTCGCAAAACAAGCTACAAACCTCAAACGCTTTCACTAAACTGGCTTCATCATTCACATCCGCCGCAACAACCTCGATGCCCTGTGACAGGTAAGTAACCAACCAAGCAAGCACAGTAGACGCAATTGGGAGATTGAGCATACTAAGGAAGCGAGCGCTTTTGCCTTTTCGCTGTTAATGTTCCGCGTTAGAGCACGTGGCTTCCAGGCCGAAGTGTTTAGCAACTGTTTGATAACGGAGCCACCTTGGACTCCAGTGCCTCCGAGAACGGCGATGGTAGACATACTAAATTAATTAGAAAGGTAATGAGGAAGAATTGGTTATAGAGGTGAGTGTACTAGTTCGAGATGAGACTTGAATTAAAAGTGAGATCATAGGAATATATAGCAAATGGTCTTCTCGTGGCCATTCAACACCTTTGACAAAGGCTTTGTTTTAAGATTAATCCTTACGTCAGCTTTCTAAGCTTTAGAAATCAATGCCACGGATTATATAAAAAGACCAAGCTTCTACAAAATATTTGTAAGCCAAGCCGATGTCCCGCAACCTCGGCGGACCGTCGGCTAAGTTGTATTTTGATTGGTCTTTCGTAGTATTTATCCTTTTCTTCAGCAGTAGCGCAGCAATATCTGCACTACTACACAGTCTCTCGGCTCCAGTGCATCCTCAAGCATGAATCACTTAGGTCCATCTGGATGGTTTCCGCCCAGACGCGAGCATGTATTCATTAATCACCCATAAATTAATTTCTCGTACGGAAGCGTGCTGCGAACGGAGTATGTTCGGACTGAATCATGCTTCCTGGCCGTAGCAAAATATCGGCGGGACAAGATCGCAATATAGACCGTGTAAACAACCTGGACTATCTCCCCATTGGGAGATTCCTCGGTTTCTCTTTTCTAAATAGCTTTAGCACAGCATTTAGCATCTCTCGGGCAAATGGTACCGTTCTGCAGCCTGCTGACCTTAGGGACGACCGCAACAGTCCCACTCTATTCCATAAAAAAATTTGCATATTGCTATCGTAACCAGGCCTTCTTCGGAGGATAACGTACGTTACCTTATCAAGGGCCACGCACCCAAAGTAATACTAAACGCTAATAAACCACCAACTTCAAATAGTCACTACAATTTTATTCTTGGACTATAATACAGTCAATTACAATCGAGGATACATTAGATGTATCTGAACTATAGTCACTATTTAGAGCTTTATCAGTGCACTCCTGCGTACGCTGGATATCTTTAATTGTGGCGAACTTAGAATTCGGGCTAATTTCATCCTTCTTTCATTTCCATACCTTTATAAGCTCAAGGTTTGCCTTTAAAGACTGAATTTGTAACTATGCATCTAATAGAAGGTAATCATTCTTGTCGTATCCTTTTCTTATCTTTTTACGCAATTGGCGGCGTGCGACGAGGTCGGTTTGTTGGAGCCGGTCGAAGTCCCTAAGTTGGCGCTTTAGATCCACACTCTTTTTTGGGGCTGACCACACAACCATACTTGCTGCAGGTGTCTGGGTTGGTGTCTGGACTCCGGTAGTATTAAACTGGCCCTGGGTAGTCTGTTCTGCTGATGTTTCTTGTCTCCGACTGCTGTGTGACGAGTGAGGGGATAGGAATAGTAGATTTGCGTTATTCTGGTAACAGAGACTCATAAAGTCCGGTAGTTGTGTGACTTCTGTGGCCGTCGAGGACTAATAACCGTGGTTCTTTTCCGTCGGTTCTAATATAGGGCAGAAACACCTTTTCCGGTCATTCTATTGCAATAACATCCTCAGTCCAGCCCTTTCGAGTTGCTGATAAGTGCCAATCATTAAATTGTTTAAGCTCTGAAGGTTCCGTAGGAAACCATTGTTGCTGAACTGACTGAACCTTGAAAATAAGCAGGAGGTATAACCCTGCCAGCAGCAAACCCATATTCTAAATAGTAGTCCATACCCTGGAACCAGGCTGTTTCTTGTGTATTGCACGTAACTCCGCGCTTCCGACGACTAACCCGTTGCCTCCTTGGCCTTCCATAATGCCGTGTTCATCCATATTGTACCTGTGGTTAGGTTTAATAACTTGGATATTTGGAATACGCAGCAACTAAAACCACGACTGAATTACCTCAGTTGACGCGCTATTGATATGCTGAGAATCAATTCGGCGTTGCTTCTTAGTCTTCAGAACTGGATTACTTCGAAAAAAAGGCTTCTAGACAATTCTTTCCGAGCGGTATATTGTCCCCTTTGAGGGCCATTACACGCTGCGCCGGTTCCTTGATTTGTGCATGTGTTGGTGCTAGACCAAGTGCTTCCTGTGTTAAAATACAGTCCGTCAGGTGTTGCTCTTGCACTGGAGATAGCCTCTGCTGGTCAATCTTCCCCTCACGGCTTGATTCAGAGCCTTGAAGTCTGTTAATAAGTGTGGTCCTTAGCATGCCCCAGCCTAGTGCAGCTCTGCGTATAGACTTGCCATTTACAACGTCGTGAATAGCGGCAGCAAGGTTTTCTTCCGTACATAATGGTATTAGTGGCAGAAAAGTATAATTGCCAAAGATAATGCTAATTACTGCAGATTCCGTCGAGAAACTGAGGAATCAAGCCAAGGAGCGGTGAGGAGGTTGGTAACGGATGCTGGGTGTCGGAAGTTGGGGCGGTGGGGTCGGGAATGGGGTGATTTACGTTATAACAATCCATGAGAATGACATAGTGAAGTAAATGGAACCCTTTGTCTCTTCTTCGACGCCAAGGTCATGCCACCGAGCAGCCATCCAGTCCAGCTCCATACCGGATGCTAAGAGTATATAAAATAATGAAAATAGTAACAGTTGTTAGGTATCACGAGATCTCCCGAGATCTCCCGTACGACGCTGCTTTTATAAAACGAACGAAATGGTATAACGATAACAATTACTTTTCATATCGAGTCACTCCTGCCCTGGGAAGCATCAGAGTTGCCACGGCTCCGAGGACGGGCGTTCTTGATGAGCTCTCGATAGACGTGGTGTTTATCCGCTTGGGTGGCGGAAGTTGAAATCCAACGCCTTTAGGACCGGGCACCTTCTTAGTTGGGCTGTCCGGTCTGTATACCGCAGAGCTTAAGGTGAGGGACTCCTCTCCCTCCTTCGACTTCGACGGTGTTGCCTTGATAAGGGTGATCTGGCGTGGGACCTTGGTAAGGTCTTCATTCTAGAGTCCTTGACAGGATCTCGTGTGCTTGCTGCGCTCATGGGGGTGGGAATCTCAAAAGGTGAGACGGGCTTCGTTGCTAGTGAAAATAATGCTAGTGGACTCGGGTAAATAGCTTTCGGGCAGGTTAGGCTATGCACCTTCTCGGTATTCTTCACGATTGAACTTGCTATAGGTGGCATGTCTGCTACATTGGAGAAACGAAGGCCGATTTGCACCGTAGTTTAAGATACCATTAACGAGATTCGCATGTGGCGGCTCTTGACTAAAAGGGGTAGCTTTAAAGTGTTGAAGTCATTAAATGGACTGTTATTTTTCTTAACAGGCGAGTAAGTTGTGGGCGGTAGGATTGTTAGTGATTAGGTATTGGCGACGTTCTGGTTTGGAAATAATGAATATATCGTTAAAGGCCGTCGCTTAGGGAAGATTGTTAAAGGGGGCAATCGGTAACTTAGCCGGTTCCGGTGCCCGTGGTATTAAGATAGTTAGGAATATGTTATTCGATCTAAAAGGCTTCGGGCTGTATTCGTATATTTTTATGGACGGAGCCTCTATAGACGCTTCTTCGTCCTTTTAGTATCCTTTCACCAGAGTTCCTTCGCTGTCCATCCTCTATAGGGACTTAGAGGCGCTGACTAGTTATAGCATAACACTAGAGAAGTCGTATTTAAGGTCTGCTTTCTGGATTTATGTTTTAGCTGTTGCCTTTCATATTCGGCAAGCTTATCTTTAAGTTTAATACTAAAGATAATGTTAGCTCTAAAGCAAAGGTAAAGGCCACTATTCATTAGTCTAAATACGTTTACCATTATTATAGTAATTATGGATAATATAAAGCTAGTTTTTTATCGGTATTACTTAGATTGTTAAAGGTCAAGTAAACGAAGAATGGCATTAAGAAAACCTAAAGTAAATTAATAAGTAAAAATAAATACTTTTAAAATACGAACTTGTATTAGAGAGAATAATCACCGTAAGGAGGTATACTATTTATAAAGCCTTAACTCTCGCTCTCGTCTTAATAGTGGAATACTTAGTTAATTTATAGAAAACCATAATAATATATCTTATAAGGATAACAGAAATGACTATAAATAACGCAAAGCCGCCCTTTACCCACTTTATAACGAACTAGAACAGAGACGAAGCAGAAATCCGCGGACGGGATGAAAAAGGTGACCAGACCAATAATTATAAGTAACGTTAACCATATAGCTAAGTAAATGGCCACGGTCTAGTGTCCCCTCCTAAGAAAGGGGTTCTTTTATAAACTACGGAAAGTTAGTTCCAGGCTGAAAATAAGTTAGAGGAAGGGCATAATAAAGATCGCTATCCCATGAATAAGTAACACTATTAAAGGGTTTTTACGGGATGACCGCGTACTTAGCAGTATAAACTACGAGATTAGCGCGTAGCCTTTAGCAAAGAGCCCGTCTAATCCTCGTGATTAAGATATAGCGAAAGTTAGGCCTTAAATCACGATGGCTAGTAATAATATAAATAGGTATATCTCTACTCATCTTATACAGGTGAGTAGAGACACTCTATACCCTCTATCAGTTTCTTATATCAAGCCCAAACCCTAAAACGACTCACTTTTGTCCTCTCGGACTATTCGTCTTAGCTCTCTAATAGTAGTCATACAAAATGCCATGGCTATGGCAAAAGCTACGATTATGTTGAACACGGCGAGGATAATAGAGGATGATCGCATTGATTTCGTGGCTAAGAACTCTAACTGGTTAATAACAATATAAGTCGAGTTGTTACTCGATGCTTATAAGACACCCGTAGAGCTATTAGCCATGCTTATATTCATGCCGTATACACTGTTCGCTAAGTAACCACTCCCGATGCTCGAAGATTCAGGCATCCTTGCTAATGATAAACTCTAGGCAATGGCGAGTGCCTATACTTGTCTTTTGGTCGTGATCATCTAGTCTATAGATAATTCGGCGTAGCGATCGATTCGATTACTAAAATGTGGCATAGTAGAGAATGTTAGGAAAGAGCAAGACACGACAATAAGATGGAAAAAGAAGATAGATTGGTCACGTCAGATTCCAGATCACAGACCAGACGAAACAGACCCTAAACCTGTAGTATGGCAAAGAATAATCTATAATCAGAAACGGAGGACACAGCAACCACTGGGGTACTGGGATTGGCGGTGGAAAGCAACGCACTAGGCCTGAAGGTCTTCATGGGTGTAGCTATTATGTGGTGTGGTATGCGGATTAGATACATGGAGAAGCTCGACTTCTAGATAGCTATTGGATACAGGTTTTAGGGAGACCCAAAATACAGTAGGTGTCAATACTTTTGCATCCCAGTCAAGTATCGCCAAGCCTTTTAAACCTGATAGGGGTAAACTGCCACAGCTTTACTCACGCGTTAACTATACTAACAGCACAACTAAATCCGCGGTTTTGAAGCTATTCGCAAGACAGTCGAGGAAATGGCCCGGGGCGTAGGGTTTTCGCTATCAATCAAATCGCGGATATTAAATTCTGTCCCCTAACGCGTTAAGGACATCATTCAAGCGGACGAGTAGTATATAGAGAAATAGTGAAAAAGCAGCCATAGATCTTACTATATTAAGTTTAGAGGGCCTGGCAATACTTGACAGGGATGCAAAAATATTATCACCTACTATAGCGATGACTGGTAAAATTCTGTCTGCCATGACCCATGGATAGTTGCAAGTAGCGAGTCGATGTATCTTTCAGCTAAAATCGCCTACATGTTCAAGCAAGAGGTACATGACTACACCTCATCGCTGCTGGGTGGGCGACCCTAATCCTGGTAAAAAGGTATCAAGTCTGCCGGCTAGTGGCATCAAGGTGGTGATGTGATAGCAAGCCTGAGCACAACAAGTCTTGAAGCATTGTATGGCGATGGGGTCGAAGCAGAACTGGAACACCTTCTGGTTTCGTCGTGCAGCTCAGCTTTGGCGATAGGGTCGGCGCTGACTCGCGAGTTGAGCCTCGAGGAGCCGCACTATAGCGTCTACAGCCTAGCTCCCCGCATCCGGCCGAGCATCAAACGTCCCGAAATACAGACCCCGGGTCTGTCATGGCTCAATCTGCAAGGGCATCTTGCGTCCAACCACCGAGCTTCTTGTTGGGGATCCGACGAAAATAACCTCTACTGGGCCGATCGGAGTTTTTCCATCAGGTGATAGGACCGACTCACCTCTTTCAACATTCTCATTACTGGCTGTCAATTCTCCAAGCCTGCTAACTATTCCTGTATCATCGAGGCCCTTAGCTAATTGTAGTTCTTCAGCTTTATGGCGGATGTATACTTCAACTGCAGCAGTGATAGAATCCTGATTGAGTTCTAGGCTGAGCCGCACTTTTTGACTGGCGGGGCTAAGCAGGTCCTCAATCTCGGGCCAGTTGCGACTGGACACCAACCACTTCGCGTTCCCCTTTCGGAATTGCTGTGACAACAGTCACTCAGTCTGTTAATTCAAACGGCCCTTCATCTCGGACAAATCCTTGTGCAAAAAGCCACTAGCCTCCACAAAGCGCGCCCACTGTGCACTCTTCTCCCCCAAATATTGTGTATAAGCCGTCCTTGGCGTGTGCCTCGGGAGCAGTCTGTGTCTTTTTAATTTCCTACAGAAGAAAATATCCTCTAGTGTCTTTCTCTCTCCGCAACTGCAGTGGTTATTGAACTTGATCTTGTCGTAGCCGGCCTCGTGTCGCAAATCACTTTGCGACATCGCTAGGTCAGCAAAGACCACCTCGTTTGGTCCCCATGTGTGGGAAAGGATCGCGTAAGGGGGAACGTTGTCGGAAGAGGGTTAGACGTGCGGTTGTAATTGCCCGCGTTGTCGCGTTGTAATAGTCGCATTGTGAGGCTCGAAATTCATAGACTCAGCACGTTGTCGGGGGAAGGAAAAAAAAAGAGGACTTTGGGCCGTAATGCCTTGCTTCACTAGATAGATGTACAGGCATCATCTCTGTCGTTACGAGTGCCACGGATCAGTCAGGTTACACCAGGCTGCAGATGCGGGGGTATGGTCACTAGCTCAGCCGCAAGTCATAGGTCGCACACAGAATGAAGAGAGGACTCGTTCATGCATTCTGATCTTATACCTGCTGTCATGCAACGATATGCAGCTAGGTTGTTCTTATTCTCCTGTAAGTCGCGGAAGATGAAAGGGTGCAAAGGCGCAGCGCTGTTCTTAAGCGCTAGGAGGAGGACGTTACAACTTTAGTGGGCAGGCATTCCCCGCTCACTATTACAATTGTTGCGCCCTCCATCCTGATTCCCACCCGACACCGAGAAGCGCCGTACAGTATCGGCACAGCACAATAGGCTCCTTGTTGGATGCAACAGGCAGGCTGAAGTAACCACTAGCGCATGCAGTATCAATATAGCGCGCCAACGCCAAGTTTAGCGTCTGGTCGGGTTAAAATTAACAGGCTATACCGAGCTTCTATGGAAGTGCTACGTGCTGAGCCTGGGCACTTAATAAGAGCATGATTCTAACTATATGTTCAAATCGCTGATCATCAAGTTGTCTTAATCGTTTAAAAAAATGACTGCCCAATCGAAACCTCCTAGCACCTTCACCCAATTCCCTCGACTTCCGCCTGAACTGCGCCTGAAGGTCTGGGAAGGGACCTGGCCAGGAACACGGATTATGGAGATTACCTACGCTGATTGCCCTCAATAAGCCGGTCCGAGCGATGTTAAGGAATATTCAATATTAGTCACTTTACGCCCTATGTGTTTAATATCCCGCTGGAAACAATATGCTAAGAATGGCGCTTACAGAAATTTCGAAGTAGAAGAGCCACTAGAGGCGTGTCCGGACCCAACTGCACTCTATGTCTGCCACGAGTCTCGCATTCATACCTTGGGGCAGTACATCAAAATGCAACACGGCGACTTGGTTACTAACGTCTTCTACATGAACCCCCGGCTGGGTATACTTTGGCTCAGTGAGGATGTATCGGACAACATAGAGAAGCTCAATAGCCTCAAGACTTGTTATGGCAGTCAACTTGTTTCAATCTCACAAGTACTTGTTGAAGAGGCAGAGTGGGACACGAGAGAGTATTTGCTCGATTTCTTCAGCATTTTGAATGGCCTCAATAGAGTGTACGTTGTCATAGACAAGAACCTATTATTGACGTCGCTGTTATTGTTGATTCAGCTTGACAGCAGAGTTTTGACACAGCTGACCGGCACAGAACTCAGTGCGATAATGACCGAAGTAAGCCAAACTCTTCGATATCGGCAACTTCTCTGTTCTTCTCGGGTTTCCAAGCCAGGGAGGATGTTTAACGTGGTTTGCAGGCCGCTCAAACCACTGTGATTGCCGACGATTTCGACTGGTTCAGCATTCCGAGCTCGATCGATACCGTGTTCGCAGAGGAAATTCTCGGAAGCTTGTCGCGTAATAGTCAGCTTTCGAATCGTGCAAGAAAATCCTTTATTGGCACCTAGCAGATGCTTACCTTCAAGAGAATACCTAGTAGTGTTTGGGGGGAATCGATTTTCTGCATCTGGGCACTGGTGGAGATAGCCTTAGGGAAGGAAACCATTCTTCAGAGTGGGTATAATAACCCCGCCTTCCTGATTCGTGCCTAACCTTAGAAAACTTGAAGCACGAGAGTGCAATAAGCAACTCCTTGTTGCGTGACGCAGCTGTAAGATGCCGCATCAGAGATACACCAAGCAATTTGTACTTGTCCTTTGAGATTACACTCTTCTCGCTTTCTTGTACGACTTCTTTCTGGTCTCCTACCTTGTGTCTCCTCCACCATGACAGTCTTGGTTCGTTCATCCTCAGATCTTCTTTTGATGATAACGGCACAAGTAGCAGATTCAAGAAATGTCATTATTGATAGGGCTGCATATAACATCGAAATCCTAAAATATCTACGATTTTCCCTCACAATTTTTTTTAACTTTCTCTATGGAAGTGATGATTTGTTGCTATGCACTGTATTAGTCAGGCGATAAGGTAAAATGCAAACGTCCAAGACACGGTTCATTAATCCCATGTGTTTTGTGAGGTATTATGACCCTGTAATTACGGAACTCACCCATGCTATCCGCAATGTTGGTGTGATCTAGAACTGTAGCTCTTCCTTCCATTAGACATGTCGACGCCTCTATGGTTTTAACGACTTCCAAATTTGTCTATCTTTTCATCTTTACAATGATGTTGACTGGTCGAGTCTCTAAGGCCACTGCTGGAACAGCCTTACATCCACTCCGCCCAAAAGGTAACGTTCCTAGCGTAGGACCTGTTAGCACTTCTCAATCCCTACGAAGACCTATCCTGGCAGCATGTCAACATTGCAAGCAAAAAAAAGCTCAGGGTAAGGATTAATCTCACAACGAACCAATCGATTCTGACATTTGTTGATTCTTCAAAAGTGCGATAGAATTCGCCCAAGCTGTTTCAATTGCTCGAAGCGTCGGCGCGTTCAACCGAATGAACTGCGATTATGTCTATTTCACTCCCTCCGTAGCGCAGTCACTGGAACCGTCCACCATTTCAGGACTAAAGACGTTAGCGATGGGAGGTGAACCTATCCTAAGCAAATAGGTTGCGCGATGGATAGGAGCTGAGAATATGATTGGCATATATAGACCCGCAGAGTGCGCTCAAGCTCTAGCTCATAGCCGTTCCTGCATCTAAAGTAGATGTATTATCATTTGCAAGTCTCGACGCGGAAATACACAACAATTATGTTGGGCATTCTTATGGTGCGAGAACTTGGCTTGTGGAACTAGGTCGCCCAGAAAGCCTTGCCGCTATTGGAGCTATTGCAGAGCTTGTGATAGAGGGCCCAACTGTCAGCAAAGGATACTATGGCAACCTGAACAAAACTACAACGGCCTTCATTCATGACCCACCATGGCTTTTAAACGTCCCACCTGGATATTTAGGCCGAAAGGGCAGACTTTACTTGACCGGCGATCTGTTGCGGTATAAATCTGATGGGCAGCGAATCGAGTTGACTGAGGTCGAATACCATGTTCGCTCCTGTCTGCAAGATTCAAGTCTTTTCGACGGTCTTGCTGCAGAAATCATCAACCCACAGAACAATAACAACCCACTTTTTGCCGTATTCTTCAGTCTTGCCAAATATGAAGGAGCCGTTGAGCCGGTGGAAGCTACCAAGACTAGACTTATACAAGTCATGGACGGTCTGGAAGAGACATTACGAGATCGCGTGCCGCAGTAGCAAGTATTATCGGAGTCTGTCTGCTCATTCTTACCTTGAAGGGAACTTTGAGAAATGCTGACAAAGTTCGCAGTATGGTTCCAGGGGCCTACATCCACATCGACAGGATTCCAACGACACTACCAACAAAACAGACAGACGATCCCTACGGGAGCTAGGGAGTGCGCTGAGGCTAGAAAAGCTTGCGGGAATGCAGCCAAGTGCCAGAGGTCAGCGTCAACCTTCAACCGTCATGGAGAAGCGATTACAGATGTTGTGGGCCTCGGTTCTCGATTTGAAACCAGAAAGTATTGGTTCCGAGAGCAGCTTCCTTCGTGTCGGCGGATAGTCGATTGCTGCCATGCGATTAGTATCTAAGGCAAGGGAGCAAAAGCTATCTATCACAGTGGCAGATATCTTCAAAGCGCCCCGACTTTCCGAGCAGGCACTGCTGGTCACCGAAATCGCCCTCGTAGACGATGCGCAGCCGCTGTCACCATTTTCCCAGCTCAAAACTGATGATTCAGAAGCCTTCCTTGAGGAGTTTGTGTTACTCTTGATTGAATCTAGTTGTGGCACTGTCAGGGACGTGATTCCTGCTCCGGACTTTCAGGAACATTCAATCCTGGAAGCGCTTCAAGACCCTCCTAGTCGATACCCCCACTGGATTTTTGATTTACCTGCGGATGTTGACTTTCCGACACTGGAGCAAGCCTGCAAAAAGCTAGTTACCTGCTTCGACATCCTCCAGACCATTTTCATTCGAGCCGATAACAGGTTCTGGCAAGCGTTACTCTCTGACTTGAAGCCAGAATATGGTGTGTTCGACGCCATGGACGAGGATATCACGGCCTATACAGATTCGATTTTTGAGCAAGATCTTAAACGACCTCGTCAATCAGGTCGGTCATTCATCCCCTTTATTGTAATCAAGCACCATTCAGGGGCGCACAAGCTCGTGTTTCGGATCTCGCATGCTCAGTTTGACGGTTTTAGCTGGGATATTGTCCTTCAATCTTTGTCATCCCTCTATAGGGGGGAGTATGTACCATCAGTACCGAGCTTTGGACAATATATCGCTTTCAATGAAACAAGGAAGGAAGAGAGCATTCGATACTGGACATCAAGACTCAACGGAGTTTCACAGCCAACCTGGAGTGCAAGCGACCCGACATACCATATGTATGGTACGGAGCACCGGATGACAGTTCAAGAATCGATCCCGCTGCCAAGTACCTTGGAGGATGACGGAGTGTCCACTGTGACCTTATTCCATGCCGCATGTGCTATTTCGTTATCACGCCAGTTCAAACTAAAGGAAGTAGTCTTGTGACGCCTGGTCACCGGCCGCTCGATGCTGCCCGCTAATCTGCAAAATGTCGTGGGACCTACTATGACAGAAGTGCCTGTCGTGATAAACATAGATGAGAATGATAGCCTCCCCTCGGTTGCGTCAAAACTGCAGAGGCTTTTCATAGAGGATGCCGCATACGAAGCCGTGGGAATGGTGGAGATCATTAAGAACCGCACCGAGTGGCCGGACGAAGCTAGAAACTTTGGTTGGAGGACTGCATTTCAGCAAGCCGATGATTCTGAGTTGACCTTCTTGGGATCTCCAAGTCGCATTGACTTTTACAAGAGGGACTCGCCACCAATATCACGTCCGGAGATCTATACTGCGCCAAAGGTTCGTGTATTGGAGCTTGAGTTGGAGGTCAACACGCAACTGGTTCCCAGAAATATTTTCATGGACTTCTTGGCACAGCTCAGGTTAGTTCTGAGCGAGGATTGACGAGTTATATGGCTCGGCGGCTATTCGGGATTACGAGATGTATTGTAAAATATTGTCACATATATGAGCTAGCATATATTGCAGGCGGTATCTGTCAACGTCAGTTGTTTAGATCATGAAATCCTGCACCAAATCTAATGAATGAGGGTAGAATGTTCTAAAGAATCAGTTACCAATGACGGCCGCCCAAAGCTGTTCAGGAGATCATGCGATGAGAAATTCGTAAGACCAAATAATCACCACGTGAGTTACTCTGGCTGTATTCAGTAAAGAGCCACTGGGATAATCTAGACTCATTTTTTGAGGACTCCCAATTCCAAGTTGACAGCAGGGCTGATAATAATGTTCATTTTACATGGATATAATCCTTGCATTGAACTAATACCGCTATAAATAATGTGTCACTCTTGTAGAACACGGCTATAAAATCATGTTCCATCATACAAGGATCATCAACCTAATTTCCAACAGTGTAAGAAGTTTTCATGCAGCTCGTTCAGGTTTGTGATCCCTCAGATAGGAATATTCGCCTGGCCTCAGCGCTCTGTCGCTGGCCCAGCCGTCTAGACTGTCCCATTTGACACAGGTGGTGGGGTTTTGTGCCTTTACATGATTACTCGGAATACCATCCGCCCCCCAGTGGAAGGGGTATATTGAGGTGTCGGGGCGGCACATCAGTGATTGTCGGACCATGTCGAGGCAATGATCTATTGTTAGTGTTGGTCAGTGAAAGGGCTGACCATCCTGAGGGACAGAGGCAACTTACCAGAATGTTCTTTGCCAAAGGCCTCCGGGTTCTCGGTGCCACCATACTTGGGACCGTAGTAGTCCCAGTGAATGAGCTTGCGAAAGTTGTTAAGGCAGTGCAGCTCGTGCCAGATCCCCATCGCCCCGGCATAGCCACCACCAGTCACGCGCACACGATTATGGGTGGTTTCATTCATTGCCCCCATCTCCTGAGGGGAAATTCTGATATTGAGGGCTTGAGCAAGTGTCAGCAGACAGTTTTCAGCAGGTAGAGTATTGGGGAGTAGGAGTATTGACCGTATAGCAAGTCGTCCCACGCTGCATCTAACTCGTCCGATGGTTCCAGATTCCATGGGTGTTCACGATGTTCCGTCCATTCTATGCGTTTCTCGAACTTGATATCCAGTCCGGGCAGAGCTTCTAGCTATCAGCAATCTTGCAGAGATCTTGGGTGCCTGGTGGCGTGTTATGCTTACGGTGATACTCATCTCTAACAAGGAGGAAATCTTCAGGTTTTTGGTGCGAGGATTTGAAATTAAGCTGCACGGTCAGAACAGCAGCAATATAGAGGAGCATCGTTGAGATGAATATGGACAGGACATTCTTTCTCAGCCAGGCCCGCCAAGGCTGGCGGGGTTGACTATGAGATATATCGAGTCCCGCACCATCATCGCTGTACTCGCAATTTCGTTTGAGCAAGTGGTCGAGGGAGTCTTCGCTGTACTTTTCCATAATGTTAATACTCTGAAAGCGGAAGCGCTAGAGTACTAAGATAATATGAAGCTGGCAAACGAGATCGAAGGGGGAAGGAGATCGAAGGGGGAACGAGGCCGTATCAATCTTCTGCGATCAATTGAGCACCTTTCTTATATCATGAGCGGCAAAACTTCCAAAGACGAGAGGAAAAGGGACGGATTATTCCAGATCTTGGAGACAATGGTACGATTGCATAGCGTACTTCCCGTGACCACTATACAACGGCATCCAGTCTTCGGCATACTAAGGGTTGCACCCCGTACTCACACAGTGTATGATCTGCACTTGGCATAGGAGAAGATTTGTAAGAACAATATGCATGTCACGTAACAGTCTGACGGTCCCCTCACTGTTATTTGGGAACTATTGATCGCAAAAGTTTGTTCATTGGCGCGATAGCCTAGTATCCACACCTGGCGGGATATGCGCCTGATACAGACAGAAGGCGGGTCATGAGAGAATGCGTAAGCGCCGTATACTACAGTAGCTTGACATCTTCTGTCTAGTCTAGACTAAGCTTTATCGTGCATACGAGGTAGTCGCTTCAATTGTGTTGTGAATAGTATGCCCCAAGGACGGGTCTGACCAATCGCGATAAGCTGGTACTTTATGATCTTACATATGTGGATTTGATAACACGAGACTGAGGAGGTTATCGAGATTGGGCCAGAGAAGGACAATGAAACCCTAGTATCGATACCCCCCACACTGACATTGGTCACATGATGCATTCGTGACTGTCCCAGTCCTCGAATCACGGCATTTGATGTTCGGCTAAGAACCCCCGTAAGCTGCATATACTTATGGGGCAATGTCAGCGTTTTGTGGGGTAGATTACCATTGCCGGGCCTGATTGTATGCCGATCAACACAACATAAGTCGACAGGAGACAACAGGATTGTGCCGATAGCATTAAAATAGAGTTTGAAAGACAACCGGTACGACAAATCCTTCATGCATGTCAGAGCCTACACCAACGACTTAGGACATAGATCATATGACTTTGCATGACCAATTCTGAGCAGGACACTACGACATTGGCCAGTTGCCCTTAATGCGTTGGAACACTTTGATACCCACAAGTACACACGTGTCATAGTTTGTGTAAGAAAGGGTACCAAATTTCGAAAAGAAAAAAGAAGTTGAGAGCGCCATGGGAGATAAGCATAGCCAGAATGGTTTTATTTACAGTAGTGTTTTCTCGCGTTCTCTCATCGCTAAACGGGGCAGAAGCGGGTCGCCTACAACCGATCTGCAGTACTTTCCTCGGGCGCCAATTAATGTCAATTGTAAATACCAGGAATGTGGTCAGCTTACTGCATCAGTAAACACTCGCATGGTTCCATCGTCGTATTTGTCTTTAATTTCCACACTGTGCATATGTTGTCCAACCTTGTCGTAGAGGGTGAGGGGAGAGGGGTATCATGTAAACTTGTATAAAGCATCTTCTCACCCGAGACCATTAACGACGTAAGTTAGAGAGCGTGCGTCGTCGTTAACTTTCTTTTCAAGTAATCATATACGTAAAGAGCACGCAAAAATGCAGCTGCTTTCCATCCTCATTATGTCGCTGAGTGCGACTGCTATCGCCTTGCCAGCTGGTACTCATCCCTTCAATCTCCATTGCTGTAGCAGGAACTGATGATTTGCAAGTTCAACGCAGTGAAAGCAGACCCAATGATCTGAATCGACTGGATGCCCCCATCATCGACATTGCCAAGCGAACCGAGAGCAGACCCAACGATCTCAATCGACTGGATGCTCCAATCATCGATGTGGCTAGGAGAACCGAGGGCAGACCTAATGATTTAAATCGGCTGGATGCCCCAATTATTGATGTAGCCAAGAGAACTGAGGGTAGGCCCAATGATCTTAACAGATTGGATGCACCGATCTTAGATGTCTACTGATAATATGGGCGGAAATGCAAGAGACTGGATCGATATTCACAATTAAGACTCATTTCCAACAGAAGCAAGACATAACCCCAAATTTTGTTGTCACATTTGTAACGTGCAAATCCTCGTGAATATCAAGCTGCATTTTGTTAATATACAGGTGTCCTAGCTCAGTCTTAACATGCGAGATTTCTATCATGCTCTCCTTTGCTTATGAGTTTTCATCCCGATTGCTTCTGTTTTGTTATTGATGCATTTGTCTTTCTGCTACTCAGTTTGAAGCGGGGCCACACATTCCAAGCCAGAGGAATCCGGTAGATGACAACATATTGGAGGACTTCCAAAGTAGAAGCTAAGGGAAGGAAGACAAATCTAAGGTCCAAGTGTCGGTCTAGCATCAGGCGATGAACCATTACGCATCAGCAGCAATTTGGCTTCTTCTATATAAATTGGGAGCGAGTCATGTCATATAACCCTTAGGATTTCGCGATGAACCTGTATAACACAGACCTCGCCTCAACGTTGAAGTTTAACCGGTCACTCAAATCACCAGTGTTATTTAGATCATATATACATTACTAGAGCAAAACAATGGACCATGTGAATCAAGTCAGAATTATCTCAAAGCCTTTATGCATTGGCATTGTCCCGTTTGCCTATTGGACTGATAATTGCGGTGAGCATCAACAGCGACGAGTCCCTGACCGATGCTCATCGAACAGAAAGCCCTGTACCAAAGCACAAGGAGCTCGTAAAAGTCGACGTAGATCCCTAATCTCACGAGGCTCGCATTTCTGGCTATTATTGACACGCTCTACGTCATCAGCATCATTGGCGGCGGGATAATACTGATATCACCATCCTCTATCCACTGTCGTCACACAACTCGATCTTGTGCATTATTTTTCTTGACCAGGTATGCATTTTCTCTGGAAAGCTTCCCATTGTTTGGGAATATCTTTTTGAAATACAAGCATTTGAGCAGTGAGAGTACTGTTCTTTTATGGCGCCAACGCGGTCAACTTGCCAACTGTAGCAGCATTGCGGGTAGTACCTCCAACGGTGCTATTCTCATACCCGGTCATACTGTCTATAACATGTCAAGCCGTGGTGTTAATATGACCGTTGGCGTCTGAAATATGGTATGGTATCGATTAAGGAACTAAAGGAACTTTATGGCATCTGTTCTTCTAGTCTACTTTATGCGAATAGAGACTGGTTGTTACGTCAGAGGGACAATCTGATACCACGTCATGGCGTCGGATGTTTGCAGTTGTATCGACCAGATCTGAATACTAGGATATCTAGAGATCTCCTAAGACCGCAAATTTCTTTAGCTGGTACAACCCCCCCAAATAATCTTCCTCCTTGTCGTTCAATGTTCCACCTTGAGCGCTTATTGCTTGGTACAAACTCTCAATGCTGCTGAACTCAATGATACAGCTTGCCACCCATTTACTACTCAATGTGTCGTACGCTGCTTTGGGTAAGGGGAGTGCCTGGCTTTTAAACAGATATAAATAATCATACTGCAGCTCGGAGGTTTCTTACCTCTTTCTAATTGATGAAAAAGATAGGAATAGATAAAAACACTTATATATCGCGAAATGCGGGTTCAAGGGGCGGGCAGCTGGATCGTGGAGCTGCGTGGAGCTACTGCATTTTGCTTACCTTGTGTATCACAGCCTGCATGACAACTTCCTGTTAGAGGGAATAGAGTACATCATCTTCTATACACCTCGGTGTTTATCGAATTACTATTGCAGATTAAAAAAAGCAAACCGATGTAGCCTCTGTCTACCATGCTCATAGGCTTCCCTCAAGACTGAAATATGGCACCCTGCACATTTCTAGCAACATGGTCAGCCTGAGCAACACTTTGGCCAGTTTAGAGACAACTTCATTGCTATGTGTTATCTTCGTCAAAGTCAATAATGCGGCGACTACGATGGGATTGGTTCAAAGATATATGTCAAGATCCCACTCGAGGTGGAAGATAGCTCGTCAGAGAGGTGCAATGGTAGCTTATAAATAGGCGCCTTTCGGATTGTCAAATAACTTGGATCGATATTTGATCAGTGTTCTTTCCGTGAGGCTCTCTCCAAGACAAGAGTCACTCCTGTACTGAAACCATTTTTTGTACCTTATTGTGGGTTCTCCATACGGAAAGCCAGCAGGACTCTGACAGAACCGTATGCTAATACCGTTTACTTGTACCCTAATTAGTGTTAGGGAGTTTTCTAGTACGTAGTATGACAGAGTGACAGTACACGCCATAGCTCCAGTGATTGCTTGCCAATTCGGATGGATAGAAACACCAGTCAGAATTCAAGATCATTGTCAATTGACCTTATTACTGATTGGTAAGGCTTGGAGACGGACCGTAGGTATACTTACAGTAAATTGAGCAAGGCAAATATGTAAACTGGAACTATATGCACCATTGAACCCTACAAATAACTCGGGAAGTCTTCAGAATCCTCAGAGAACGTGACCATCATCAGCGACATTGCATGCAGAATAGACCTCGATGCATCAAATTTGTCGCTTGCGCAGGGTTCTAGTCTAGTATTATGCGATATCAGCAATTATAGGCTGCTGAATCTCACGAACAGGCTTGATGAGACGGAAAGGAAATAGGTGATAGTTCAAAACGTCGACATGGTAAAGCGTTCCGCCGCCACGACCTTTCTATGAACAGTGAAGGCAAAATTCGGTAAGATAAATGCCGATAGCCGCTGAATTAGTAAGTCCATAAGCTTTCATATAATTCACAAAAACGAAAAAAAGCAGCGCCGAAGGGACTTCTCCTTTTATGCCGCTATGCAGACTAGAAATGGCTGTCGGGGTTGCCAAGATCGTGGTTTTCCTCCTAAGCGACACCGCCGAATACGTTACAAGTGCCCTTCGGGCCGTTGACAAAAGAACAAACGCTTGATACTCTTTAACCGAGTTAGGAACCGAACAATCTGGAATAGTTAAAAGAAAATACAGGTTCAATTTGTTTTTTCCATTTCACTGAAATGAAATGCTAAGAGGTGGTGTTTTTACACAGTAAACGAGCAAGTATACAGATTTGAGGAGGATGCTGTCACTGACCTCCCTACAAGATTAACAAACTTTCGAGTAACGAAACAAAACAAAACTTGGGTATCAATTAAAGTTGGACTGCCCCAGAAACAAGTTAAAAGGTTGTAATGTTGACGGCGCTCAAAATAACACAGTAATTTTGATATGCATTGCTCGGGCGCATCGCCAATCTATTTTGATATTCAATCAATCAGGCTATGAAGCAAGGCCAACAACAAGGGTCGATTAACATACATGTGACTCCATCATCTAAAAGACTGCCTACGAAAGCGACTTCAAATCAAGGTGCCCTCGCAAGCATTGAGGACGCGATAGATGAGCTCAAAACAGTAGACACAGGCCGGGTCTCTCGCCTTGCGCTGTGACTAGCTCTTTACTCGCCGAGATTAACTTGGAAGAACCGGGCAAGCTTATCGAATGGGATGAGCTCAACGCGATCATATAGGTCTACATGGCCAGCGCCTGGCACCCAGAAAAGCTCCTTGGGTTCAGCCGCAGCCGCATAAGCTTGCTCGCTGAATTCTCGCGAATGTGCCTGATCGCCCGCGATGAATAGCATTGGACGAGGCGATATCGTCTCGATATCATTGAATGGGTAGAAGTTCATGAACCTCACGTTGCTCGTAAGTGTGCGGTGCGTCGTGATGTTTGACATCGAGCCCTTAGGGGTAAACTCGCCACGTGGCGTACGGTAGAAGTCGAAGAACTCACGGTCGATGGCAGTCGATTCCGGCGTGAGCTGAAGTGGTGTGCCAATGGCGAACACAACTTCGCCGCCGTCGAGCTCGACCCAGCGCTGCTGTGCCGCCGTAGTAATGATCTCTTTGCGTTGGTCTACGCTTTGTGACTTTTGCAGACCGTCACGATTGACAGCACCCATGTCGTACATGCTCGATGTTGCAATGGCCTTCATGCGTGGGTCTAACTTGGCCGCACTGATCACGAAGCTGCCGCTGCCACATATACCAAGCGCACCGATCCGCTCGCGGTTAACGAAGTCCTGTGTGCCGAGATAGTCGACTGCAGCACTGAACGCTTCTGCATATAGGTCCGGCGACACCGCGTTACGTGGCTCACCCTCGCTGCCGCCATAGAACGGGAGGTCTAGTGTGACTGTGACAAAGCCTTGCTCGGCCAACTTGGTGGCGTAGAGGTTTGCACTCTGCTCTTTTACTGCACCCATGGGATGGCCGACGACAACAGCCGACGCGTTGACACTCCGATCGAGGTCATTTGGAAAAAAGAGGTTGCCGGCAATAGCCATGCGATTTTGGCTCCTGAAGTTGACGGGCTCAACCGTCACGCAGTCACTGTGATAAAAGTTGTTGGCTCCATATGACATATTCTGTGCCGTCACTGACGTTAAACATGCGAGCATGATGGCGAGCGCAGTGGCATCTCGTGGTGGGAACTTCATGATGCGGCTGTCGGTTGCTAGGTACGTCTTTAATATTGATGTGTTTGAATGTTGGGAACTCTTTGACTTCAGGACAGTTCCTCCATCCTACAAGATATGTCGTTGGCTTTATACCTGATGAGGTGGGCGATAGAACACTGCCGGTGTCTGCGTCACTAGTCTCTACAGAAATTAGTGACATGGTTTGCACCAGATATACGAGTCTTGGCAGAAAAACACTTACTTATTGAGTCAATAGAAGTACACATAGAGTTTGTTCGGCCCTGATTTTGCAGATCAAAACATGCTAGGAAAAGTCAGTGTGACATACTAGAGCGGTGTGTGTGTGTGTATTTACTTTGCTGTATAGATTTTTCTGTGCTAACCTTGTGAATCCCTCTGTCCATGTAGTGTTTTATTTTCCTATTTTAGGGATGAAATTTTCCATTTTTATTACTTAGAAAATGCTCTTTGATATTCTTCACTTTTCAGACACAATAACTCAGAGAAACTCGTGCAGCACTGCATATTTCCTCAGGTGCGCAAAAGGGTAATATTGGCGCCGCGTGGTCAATACCACATGATATGGGGCAGTTCCCATGCTATCGAATGCGATTTGACTTGCTTGAGAACAACTGTCCTGGTCTGCTTAGTCCTGATTAACCTAACCTAGTCCTGTTGCTTTGCAAGAAACATCTCGGGTCGTGGTTAAGCTGTGGGTTGACTTCGGCTCTACCTGTATTTGATCTCCACAATGACGAGTGCCATGAACCCGATAGTAAGCTCTATCTTGGCAGTTTTGTAAAATCTGAGGGATTTTGAATTTGTAACCTTTATAATTCAGTATATATCATCACAATTGGTTTAAAGTAGTGAACTTATCGTTTGTGCACTCAGCCATCGCTGCCACTGTTGTGCTAACCGGATTTGAAATAGTGCGCTCCGCTTTCATGTGGCCTGCTTATATTGCTCCACTTCAAGCGTCCTGCTTATATCGCAGCTGTCCTTATCTGCTTGCTTTCACATCATAATCTAGTCTAGACACATCCGAGCTCCGTGAGGCGTATTGATAGAGAGGGAGCATAATAATAGCCTGCATGGTTCACTCGCAAAACTGTGTCTATATGACGCAGGCCGGCAATGGTTCCGAAGCGTTGACTCGGCAAAAGTGGCAAAAGTGGACAAACGCCGTCTTTGGACAAAGGCTGTCTGGGTGGAAGGGAAAAGTTTCAGCTGCAACAAGAGATACCCCGATGATTTATGTCATTGATGTATCAAGAACGCATTTCTTAAGAATTTTTTTTAAAAAAAAATTGTATCTCAACGCATCTTAGTGCTGGTGCACACAACACTGCACTTGGTCTCGGAATTACCTCGCAATCTTGGATTGAGCTTTCATTATAGTAGTCCTTCATGGCGTCATTCTCGACGGTTTGAACATAAGTTGGCCCAAATCGTCATAGCAGCACGATTTATTTACCCGCTGACAAGAACCGTGCTCCCAACATGGGACGATCTGATTCTGGAATCATACTAGATAACCTCAGTGTTATCATTGTATCAGTTTCAGTCGTCCTATTAGTCTATTTCACAGCCATATCGCTTTACAGTTTGACAATTACAGTTTTGTTGTGATAGTTCGTATAGCCTTCAAAGTGTCAATAGGCCTCAAAGTGATGGAATAGACTGCAATCAAGCCATCATCAGTTCAGTCCAGTCCATGTTGTTGTGAAGTAGGCGTGCTAAGAGATAGTGGACAGCGAGGCCAACTGTAGCTGGGTCACGTGAAAAGTAGTCTCAATCTAGACCGAGCTAAGTATGTATCTAGTTAAGCCTCCAGGCAGACAAGCACCAGGTGCCAGGCTGCCAAGCTGCCAGGCAGCCAGGCTCCCAGGGTTGCCTCTTCACGGGCGAGGCACTAAAGCACGCCGGCGCCACTTCTTGTAGTCCTACTACACCTTTGCCAGGATCACATATGTTAGCGCAGGTACAACGCTATACCACTTTTGGTAATGTATTCTATTGCTACTACGGTACACTTAATTATTAAGACGTTCACCTGCGGTACGGAAAGCTTCACGTAGTTGATGGGGCATCGACCGTACCAGCGTTTCTAAGAAATCCTCTGGTATAGTTGAGTACGTATACGGCCATCTCTAATTACAAAGTAGCTCTTGGGAGCGAGGCTGTCGTACGGTAACAGGCTTTTTTTCACGTTGTATTTTGCAGACGGTAGTGCCGTTTGGCAGCTGGGCTCTCATGGCATGGTAACTGGTTTACTAAGGCTTGGATATCCATAATAAAGCTGGTCGACGATATAGCTGTATTGATATATAGCCGTATGGCTGGCTGGCTGGCTGTGCTGGCTGGCTGTATGGACAAATTGTACCGTTAATATTTTGTCTTAATGTTAATATTCACGAGCGTACTAGAAGTTTCCAGCTCTCCCCGGCCAGAAGTATCATGTCATACTATTTAGTATGGGGAGGTACTTACCGGGGGAGGATGGGACCAGTGGGTGAAAGAGTTGGGGCTGGTAACGATCTAACATTTATAATCCTGGCGGGGTGGTGTAGTACGTGTAGTAAGCTGCTACTACAGTAGAGCCGCTAAAAACAAGCTTGGAGCCAATCCTATGAAGCACTAAGACCATTAATAATAGCCCAATAGCATAAAACATCTGGTGATCATCTTTATTGGCAGCTGAATCTCGTAGCTGCAAGCTGTCCGCCAGTCGCTACGATACGCACCAAAATTCTTGGCGACCGAAGACTTTTAGTAGGGACTCACCAATGGAGGTAATGGTGACTTAGAGAGTGCATCGACACTGAGGAAGTGGTCACGTGATTGGTTGAAGCCATATCCGCTTAGTAGGTTTAAGTACCTTAATGAACGAGGTACACACATATACAACAACAACCTTCATGCACATACGCCACTACCTAGCAGCTCTGACAGAATGTAGTCTTGACGTTTGTTCCAAGTGAGTCAGTGTGCATATCACATGCTAGGCCTGTTCATACGTTATTTCTCGTGATATGCTCAAGCGCCTCACAACTTGGCTGGTATTGACTTGCGATGGACTTGTCTAAGTGAGTAAACCTTTGGTCGTGCCATCATAGCCGTTGATGCTTTCTGTTCGTAGGAAAAGAACTTGCCGCCACCACTAAGCTCCAGACCTTGGCATTTCAACCTCACCGTACCTATAGTACTTTTCAATCGCCATGGTCAACGATACTCCCATCCGACCAAAATCTGTCCAATTTCAATGACTTGTCATCACTTGAGTCACTCGATAATCTTATTCGACTATCTGCTGGCGCCTTGCTTGAGTTTGATGCCAGACGCGCCGAGATTTTCAAAGCCACGACAACATCTGGCGTGATTCATGAGCATGTATGTGCGCTCTCACTCACTCGCATGGTGTCTTTGATCCGGTCCCCATAATTCCGCATCGAGCGTGCAATTTAAGCAGCTTTTAAACTTTGTTAGACACGAAAGCACATCACATCCATATTACAGGCCATTATGGACGCCACCTCCCGCCAAGCTATCATTCGTTGTTCCAGCCAACACATTGCGAGGTCTTTAAGAGACTCAACTTGAGGTTGAGCGTCGTGTTATAAGCTGTCTGAACTTCTATCTGAAGCACTTTCAAGATTTGAAGCTATCGCGTGTGATAACTCAAAAACCTCTGCTTTGAACGTGGTTGTTCTGGTCCCTATGGGTGTACTGCGCCATTGGAACAACAACCGGCCGTGACATCGCTTTCTGGCGTGTCAGCTTTTCCTGGATTTGCAGGTTGCCGCCAAGGCATCATTGCTAGACTGGCCTGACGCGAACCTCCAGAGGCTGAGGAGTATGAACCCGGTTGACTTACAAGATGTCGCGATAGGCGATTTGATGATCGACTACGACTCAGAATTGTATAACTCTTAGTAGTGCACTCTCCTTGACCACGAATTAATCAAAACTACCATAACTCATACAGAGGAGGATGTGCTACGAAGTTTTTGCAGACTAAGCGAGGATGCCTTGCTTTTGTCCCTGGTGAAGAAAAGTTGGGAAATTCTCAATAATTTCGATTCTCGCAGCCACAGGTATTCTACGAAGTGAGTGGATAGTACAGAAGTGCCTATGTCAAGTTGATCATATGTTCACATTTACAGCACACTCTTTTTCAACCATTCCGGCATCATGGCTTTGCCATCTGGAGCTTAAAGAGAATAGTATGAATTCTTAGATCCGAATTGGTGTGGTGATACAGAGCCGCATATGGAAAACCGCGGCAGTGTCACCTGGGTATTAGTATCAAAAGCATGGAGAGGTCTCCTCTCGAGTGACGAGACTGAAAAAGTCGACCGGAGAATAGCGATTCTAAAAGATCTTCTGTGCGGAGAGAACATATCAATACAACAGTTTCGAACTGCGACAAAACACTCAATAACCAACACTTCGTTATCACTAGCACAAAGTTGTGAATATAGTTCGATTCTATAGACCCTGATCTGTCATGAAAACTGTTTCACCTTCTCTGCTCCTTCAGTTGGCGTTCCATCGAAAGATACAGCCCTAACAGAAGGAACCCTTAAGCACCAACTACAAGTAAAGCAAAGTCATTAGCTTAGGAAGGCAGGCTGAATCTGATTTATATACATAATAAGTATAGAAATTGTTTAGTACAAACTTAAAATCGCGGAAAACCAGCCATGCAATCGATTGGATGCCTACCCTTTAATGTTTTCTTAACCTCCGTACCACGATAAGCTCAGAACCAGTTGTACCTCCCTTTTGATAGAACCTGTCCTTCTGTGGTTGTTTTGGCCTGGTACCATAGTAGTGTCAGAACGTCCAACCGTTCCGCCTGCATAAATAACCCATCAGGGACATGTGCATTCTCCTCTATTTCAGGCTGGCACCTTACCCATCTCGTCTATATGAGACAGCATGATGCATTAAGAGTCATCTTATGGATACGCTCAAGTCCTACAACAGAGTGTCGAAAAATTATCATACCTCAGTGATAGTGGTGGGTATTGTCAAAAGTGGCGACTGCAGAATTGTCTGATAACACGTAGAGACTGGCTAGAATCTAAATCCAACAGATTGAAGGTACTATACTAACACAAACTGTTGTTATTCTGGAATATTAACCCAAATTTCTGGCGATATGTACAGACGGGCTACATGTGATTGTGTGGGATTAATTGCATGGAAAATGATATGTTCAAGGAGTCTACGTGAACAGTGTGTATATCATACCGCCATTGAAAATGGCATTACCTAGATCTTGGTACCTATCGACTGTTAGACCAACATTGCTTTATGGCACATGATTCCTTTTACCCATTATCTGCTGACTAAGCAAGAACTGTTGTTATCATAGTAATGCATGTGAAGTTTGCCCTCCTAAAAGGTTAGTGCGGGCGTAATAGACTTGTGTATGTACAGTACGTTATGTAAGTGTATGTACAGTACCTTAATATTGTACTACCACGCTAAAAATAGCAGACTTGATCCTCTCGTCATAACTTGAGTTTACAAAGTTACGGTTCACTGATAAGGTTATGAATTGTATTAGAAACCCACTGAATAGAACTCCGGTTACCTCGTTAATTGCCCGTAACACACAATGAGAATAATTGAGACCCCTCAGATTTGAAGGAGGCAGGCTGTAGTGAAATAACCTATCCGCTTATACATTGCCTCTATTACCTTCAACTAGCCGTTAATTTTATAATTCTGGCATTATTAATCGTTGATAGGTTCTGTCATAACCACAAAAGGTGCACTGGAAAATTGACATGTTACGCTACTTTTCGATCCTTTGATTTACAAGGTTCTGCCGATGGAATCATGTTTAACATGTATTGGTTGTGTAACAGTCATATGTAGGCTTTAACTCTAACTTGGCTACTTGATTGTGGCGCCCAGCTTAAATAAGCTTTCGTAGAAGGGCCACCTGGTCTCTTTCATTCAGGACTGCATCTGACGGACTATCTACTCAATCACCTCGAGGAAACCATCTGGAAGATCAGAGATTTATTAAAAGTACCCGTCACACAAACCATCAGCTTATTTTTCCTCTCAGTTTTCAACAATCCAGCTTTACAACATTATGGCAAAAGAGACATCCAAGCTAGCAAGCTATAAGCGCATTATCCTCTGCGCAGACGGCACATGGCTTGCGTCCGACATGGGCGACAAGTCCTCTCCTTCCAACGTCGCTAAGTTAGCTCGAGCTGTTGCAAACAGTGGCCTCGATGATAAAGGTAATCTCGTGAAGCAGATCGTATCTTATCATTCCGGCCTTGGGAGCGGGGACCTCCCATTCCAGAAAGGCATCTATGGTAAGTTGCTCGAACCCATGACTTCATCCCTGCCGCTCGCAGAACTTTACTGAGGTGCGTGGTACTTCAATCCACAGGTGGTCTGGGCTGGGGTCTCGACATTGACGTGTGTCAAATTTACGATTTCATTTCTAATAATTACGAACCCGGCGATGAGTTGTTCTTCTTCGGCTTCTCGCGTGGGGCTTTCACGGTGCGCTCGGTCGCCGGCCTTGTCTGCGACGTTGGAGTCCTCTCGGCAGTGTACATGTCACGCTTTGCAGAGATGTGGAAGGCATACCGTGCAAATACTAGCGGTGAGCCTTTCAGAAATACACCGTGGTATCTGGATAATAAGGAAAAGCTGGGTCTTACGGACGTCAGGGTCAAGGTGGTTGGCGTTTGGGACACCGTTGGAGCTCTGGTACGCGACGATGGACATGCTGAATACTGCTCCTGTTTAACTAACCTTGCATGGCTAGGGAATTCCGGAATGGCCCGTAGTGGGTTGGGCGAGAAAACTTGGTATCCCAATCAACAAGCAGTATGCATTCCACAACACGAATGTATCTAAAAGTGAGTACTATTGCAACTGTTCCTGCGGGGGGAGCTGAGGCTAAAGTCGGTTCTATCAGATCTAGATTATGCCTTTCAGGCCCTCGCGATTGACGAAAAACGACTAACTTTTCCTCCTACCCTCTGGCACAAGACTGAAGACAGTCCTGCCAAAGATCTGCAGCAGTGCTGGTTTCCCGGCGTCCATAGCAACATCGGCGGCCAAAGAGATGATTCAAATACTCCGGTTGAATTTGAAGAGATTGGCAACAACACATTTGCCTGGATGGTAAGTCCTTGCCATCCACTGCCTTAATTTCAATGCTGATCGATTGAATTTCCTGAAATCCAGGTTGATAATCTCTCCGACATGCTCACTTTTGAAGACGCCATGATCCAGACTCTCGTTGAGGAGCACCGACATGCGATCAACGCCATCAGAATCACCAATGGCTGGGGCTGCGGGCCGTTTGTCGACAACTTCTCTGGGATAGAAGGCGCCTTCTTTCGGGTTCTAGGGAAGAAGGACCGCACACCGGGCACCTATCCGCGGGACCCGGGCGATGGTACTGATGGCGCCACGAATGAGTATTTTCACCCTATCGTGCGGATCCGCACGGACAATATCGACTACAAGCCCGCCTCGTTGCATGGATTTGCCTCCGAGAGGCCTGACAGCAATGTGGGGTGGAAGTGGGTGAAGAGGGGTGTTCAGGCAATACCCGAGTACGTGATGCGCCCGGAGAAGACGATGAGTGTAGCATATGAGGAGCATGGGAACGTGAAGTATCGGGTTGATGAAAGTTTATCGAGGCTGCTGTGTCCGAGGAGCATTTTGTTAGATCTGGATAGGGATAATGGGATAACGGGATAAGCAGGATTGTGGGCTGAATGATCATGCTGAAACGGCATCTCGAGTGAATAAAAAGTCCAGCTATAACGGAGAGTCAGAGCATGCGTGGCAAACAACGCTCATATGTTATAATTTCTCCAAACGCAGCGTATTGCCATTCTGTAGCCCTTCTTTCTGTAGGGGCTGTTTTCTATGATATGGAAGATTAGTGAGTGCTGAGGAATGCAGTCAGAGTAGCCAAACTGATCATGGGCCTTTTTTTTCCGCTAGCATAACGAGGGTGTGTTAAGTTGTTGTGGTGCATACCCTAAGTGCATTACACTCTTAGTAGACGAGTCACTTGCCCAATGACTAGACAGACTCCGCATGTGCCATTACACTTTCTCCGGCGCCTCTTGTCCTAAACTAGGGATAAACAGTCAGTTATGACTGCTTTACCAAGATATGGTATATCTTCTGCTCAGACTCGTCATTGCTGGGGGACCGAGTCAACGGGGAGAGAAACCCAGAATATTATACCTTTAGTGCAGTTTCATTTAGCACTTCTGATCTTACTGAGCCGGCTTGAGGACTGCTTCAATAATGCATAGATCCTTCATATCGGATGCACTTACGTATTGCGAGCTCGAGAGAACATAGATTTCACTTGGATCGACACTTAATCTCATTCTAGCAGTCCAATAAACCTTTGCATTCAACTAAGTGACCAACTTGGCAGTTGGATTAGGACTCGCCCAGCCCTTTTATCGGTACAGTCGACTACCTGCAGAGACTGGGCGAAGCACTCCGGCGTCTTCGAGGTCACTGACTAAGTCTGCTAGCGCAAAGTCGCATCCACGGGACATTCTCAAAGCCATGGTGACTGGTAGATATTCAGTTTGACCGGTAATCCTGCTGACATAGGACGTCTCGCCAATCGGTACAACAATTTCGGGAGTACCGGCAATAATAGGGATGGACGAGTCACCAAAGCCTAGAGGAGGACCATGTGGAGCACTGCGATACTCATCTCGGTAGGATGGCAGACCAACACCCCAGGCATAAACATATAGACCCTCAGAGCAGGACTCGGTGTCGAAGCCGCCATAACCATCCGTTTCCCACCAGTTTTTGAAGATGGTGATGTTTTTCAAGGCCTGTGAATAGATCTCATCAGTTGCATTCTCCTGGGCCCAGCGCCATCGAGATAGCGGACCTGGGTTGATGTATGGTTGGCGTCCGCCGTGCTTGGTAGCATAGTCAGAAAATAATGGCTGACCGAGCAATTGCCACTGGTCGTGGGTAATGTATACACCGTATGTCGAGTGCAGCATACCAGCAAGGTCCGCGGGGGCGCTACCATGGGTCGCTTCCCACTTGGCAGTGTAGTTTGTACGCGTAGCATTCAATTTCAGGAATCCCTCGAGCTGACTGATCCATCCATCGATCAAAATTGCTGTATCTGCGCTGGCTGGCTCGCTATTCCAGTCGCCAACGGAAACGGAATAGAAGAGTGACTTCGGATAGGAGGTATGGTTGGAGAGGAAGTCGGGGTACCAGGCCTTTGTCGCTTTGGCCCAGAGCTTGCCACTGCGAGCGAAAATACCAGCAGTGTCGGAAACGGGACTCAGAGGGATCACATGATCCATAGAGATAGCACCTGTCGAGGGCCGGTTGCCGTAAATACCTTGCTGCCCGGCAGGTCCTCGCATGGAACCACCGGTGTCGCTTCCAACAGCCAAGTCAAGCCACTCGTAAGCTCCAATGCCAGCACCCGGTCCAGTGGACGAGCCGCTAGGGTCTTGATATCCATCTCCTCGGGGGTTGAAGGGTGCATGTAAATCAACCCAGTCAGCGGTCGCACTGTCACCATTAGCGAACTGAACTGTCCCCATTTTGCCCACAAGAACTGCACCAAGATCGATCAAGCGCTGAACCGAAGGGGCTGTGATATTCTGGGTGCCATAAGTGTAGAAGTAGGCACGGTTTCCGCCACTAGTGGCGATCCCTTTGACATGATATATGTCCTTAACTCCCAGGCGAAGGCCGGCGAGAGGTTGATCCTCTGTCACAGTGTAATAGAGCCTCGAGGGGACAGCAACGCTCTTCGCCATGACGTTCTCTGTCACGGCAGGAAGAGATCTAAACCCGCCCACTCCATCCGTAATAACTCCTTGAATGAAGGCCAGATAATCGTCGTCGTAGAGTCTATAGGCCATGTAAAGGTTTCCAGTGGCAGCGGAGACGAAATAGGGACCTTTCGCTGGATCCCCCATGATAGGTCTCGATACAGTCTTGATACCAAAAGCTTCCTCGCTACAGGGACTAGAGCTTATCAAGGTGGTAGTATTGAACCCAGACAAGGTGCTGCTAAGGGATGCAACATGAAATCCTGAGATATTCGTTGAAGGGCGAATATAAATTGTACTTAGGAAGCCAGACTGGAATACATCGTCGTCGTTCTCATACTCGGACACTATATTCACCAATTCATCTGATTGGATAGTGGTGTTAAACGTGTCGATGATGGTCATTGGAAAAAGACCTAAGCCGTGAACAGTTGTAGGTTCGAGCGCTGGAGACCCAGACCAAATTTTGCCCAGTTGACCAACAGAGACCCCTCCAACATAATAGGCAATGCCATTCAGAGTCACAACCGTGCCATTATCAATCAGAGCGGCTTTGGAAATGCCGGCCAATATAAGGAGAGACCGGAAGCGCATTGTCGTTGTCTTGGGGAAGGTGAGTTGGATGAATTCGAGACCTCACTGGTTATGCTACAATTCGAAGGAAATTCACTCCCTCCAAGGTTTAAATAGTCAAGATGCAGACTGCTTCGACCAACTGCGATAGACACCGTCCGAAATCGCACGATTACACCAGACAATACTAACATATAATAGAAACATAACCCTAGCCTTCTCCGGGTCTTCGTTAGTTATTGATCGGATAAAGCTCGTATATGCTTATCTCGACCCCATCATCTTAACCCCACCATCTCGGCTCACTTTCTCGACCCACTTGATACAGCGCTGGAAGCACTTCAGCCCCGATATTTCTTACTAATTCACCTTACATTCACTACGCCGCATATATCGTAGTATATAAGGATGTTACATGCATCACTGCTGCCTTCGGTGAATCACTGAAACTGAGCTGCTGGGATATACTAAACCGCAACATGAATTGTCCCAAGTAGTTGGATTAGCCTACGGATCCATAGGTTGAGCCAAATCGACAGACAATAGCAGGGGGTTTCATGCGCGCTTTCTTCACTGGCAGAAGTTCCTAGCATTAGCGCGTCAGCAGACTGCATTAGCGCCTCGAGGCAGCAGATCAACACCACAATCGATCACTACCAGCGATTTAATTGGCAGCTGGCGAAGCTACTAGTACCTCCGTACGATAACATAACGATAGTATGACCAATGTCGGCAATCTTCCGATACTATCAGTTTTCATCCAGTCTAGTGAGTCTAAAATATTCCATAGAGCCCTGCGTATAAATCGTTCAAGTTCAAATACCGGTGTCTGATTGAGAATAGACCCAGAATCAAACAGCAAGGCTCAGTAAGATCTACATATAACAAAAGCTGAGAGGTGATGAAAGAGATACATGTTACTACATCAATCACTCAAACCAGCTCCGACTTCGACATTATATATCGGCGTAGCTTATGGGTAAGCGTTGGTGCTTTCGATTCACCACAAGTATTGTCGTATTCGAGGAATTCTGAGAAGTCTTCGTTTGTTATTTTATCTCCTGACCTTAACAGCACTCGATCGCCGTCGGGGAGAGGAATGAATGATATCTAAGACCAGAGTCGAGCAGCCGACAACTTGTCTCCAGATGGTCTCTAGATGGACGTTGGCCATGTGGTCGAGCCATGAAGTAGCCACCGAGTGTGGTGCTCAACCATGCGTCCGCACGGATGTATGAGACTCCAGCCGCCTTCCATTCTCACGATTTGAGTTTTCTCTTGCTTCACAGGTATTCTTCCAGGTGTGTTTGTACACGTAAATCTGCCCCGTCTGCATCAGTTTAGATTGAAAATTGTTGAGTCCAATCTTGTGCACATTTGTTGCAGAACATCTTCAAGCATTGGTGCTGGTATTGAATTACCATAAGGTTATATGCAGCATTGGTAATGGAGCAGTGCAGAAGATTCGGTCCATGTGCCTTTACCGCACCCTGAAATAAGATAAATCCACGGATTTTTTGCAATTATCGATGTTGGCGGTTTTGGTCGTGATGAAAAGCATTCAATGATATCGGTTGAGCCATCACAGACAGCAAGCTACACCAACAACGCAGGACAACCTAGCCAGTAGTATTCAATCCAGCGGCCTCATATCTTACAAGTCAGTGTGGTGCTTGCCCATCAGAAATTGCGCGTATTGATTCCCTTGTATGCCCGGAAATTCAGGCTAAGTAGGGCCAAAATCAGCCTGGAGCTCCTCGTCTTTTCATCATGATATAAGGAATGCCGACCTCACGTCCTTGGTCAGGCCATGAAAGCGGATGGTACCCTATTCATTAGAGTTCTACCGCATGCTACTTGGTCGGTCATCGGTCGGGGCACAGTGCATTACAAACTCAGCTCCAACTGAAATGTGGCGGATTTAAATTGACTCCGATGTGGACCCGAACATAGGAGCCAACCAGTTAGCCGGCGGATGTTAATGAAATATATGTTTGCCAAACGGCGCTAATACTACATGATTTGTAAATATTTAGTCTAGACCAAATAGTCGATGCACTTGGGTTTAGCTTGAATATTTGCGGAGTCAATCTGACCCCGTTATGGGGTTGTCATATGTAAGCAGGTGAACAGCAATTGTATATATCTTCACCACACCGTCTATAACGATACTTTGATCATCTACTCAAATCCGAAACTTAACAAATTTGCCATCAACCAATCAGTTCTCTCATCACAATGCCTACCACTGTCGCAGTCGCTGGAGGAACCGGCAAGCTTGGTCGGGCCATCGTCGACGGAATTAAAAGTGCCGGCAAGTTTGATGTTGTAGTCCTTGCTCGTCAGGTATATAATTTTCAATCATTACGATACCCTCTGATTCTAATGATCCTTGCTTAGGCCGACGACGAGAAGAGTAGAGAGATAGGCGCTCGTATTATTGCTATTGACTACGACAGCCCTGACGCAATCGCCTCTGTTCTCGAGCATCACGGCATCGACACAGTTATCTCAGCTCTTAGCAGCCAATCCCCGCCTGATCAAGAGTTAAATCTTATCAAAGGATCCGATAAGTCCACAGTGACGCGACGGTATATCCCCAGCCTTTGGGGCATCCAATACAACGAGGAGTGAGTACTGCGCCGGAGCAGATCCTTCTATCTACATTTATCACGTGAACTGACATCAATTAAGAATTGCAACCTATTTTCCTCCCGCCGCGGTTAAGATCAACTATCTCAAGAGTTTGGAATCTACATCTCTTGAATGGACTGCCGTGCTGAACGGATACTTTCTCGACTATTATGGCGCACCTAAAGTGAAGACGTACATGCCGCCTTTGGCACTTGTTGTCGACTTGCCCAGTGACTTTGCAGCAATTCCGGGCTCCGGAGATGTCCCAGTCGTCTTCACCCACACGTTTGATATTGGCAGATTCGCTGCTGCCCTGCTGACGAAGGGTAAATGGGAGAAGGAGTCATACATTATCGGCGACAAGTTGACTCTGAACGAATTCGTTCAGAATGCTCAAGAGGTCAAGGGGACCAAGTTCACGATCGAGCATGACTCGATCGACAAGTTGAAAACCGGCCAAATCACCGAGCTTCCGACCCACCCCTCATTCTACCCATACTTCCCCAGAGAAATGCTTCAAGGGATGTTTGCAGCTTTTGGGATCATGTTTGAAACTGGAGTCTTTGATCTCAAGCCTAGCCGCACCCTGAACGACGAATTCCCTGACATCAAGACTAAGACGGTGCGAGAGCTTATATCTGAGGCATACGCGACTTGAGACACATGGAGTATTTAACGGGTGCCAAGAAGTAACCCAGACAAAGAGGATACTACGTAGAGCACAACCAGTAATTTAAATACCTCTCCCATCACAGTCATTTAGTTGATGATGTAAACCAGTGTTATCCGTCGTGATAGTCATCATTTCGGTATGTGAAGTGAATACTAAGCTAGTCGAGTATCGCCATGTCCTCCATGAAACTCGTGGTGGATAAAATTGAGAGTGAGCTGGAAAGTGCATGTAATGGCGTACTACTGGACAAATCAAGGTTCATGACAAGCTTTAGTAAGTTGCATGTAATGATAATCTTCACAGCATGAAAAACCGGCACCCGAAGTACTGCGCCAAGGATTTAGAACCGAATCGCTGTAATAAGCATGAAAAGGGGAGTCAAAGGCCGAGATCTGAGTGGGGCAAACGAGCTTAGCTTGTTGTATTTTACGATGACCAAATTGTACCGACATGCTTCCTACAGAGTGACATTGGTCTCTAATGTATCATGGCCTAGATGCGAACAAGAAATTGTAAGTCTGAGATTTTAGTACATCTGGAACGAAAGGTCCGTAGCCGTTGTTTGAAACCGGTGTTTTGTCAGATGTGTTCAGAAATATCTTCGCCGCCTCAGTACATGGTACTGGCATGTTGCCTATGAACCCCTGGGAAACATGCATGAGGTCTGCAGAACGGGACAAAGCCAGTTGAATATCCTTAAGGTTTAGCATAACAATCCTCAATACCAACATGAAGAGGAACTTACCATGACGCGTTTCTTTAGCCCTGGGATATTTTCGTTTTGATTTGCAGCGCTTTCGTATTTCGGAATGTCGTGCGCGGCTCTCGTTACATAGTGTGCGACATTATAGAACTCCAAGAGCCCTAGAATCATAGTTTGTAGTTCATATCCATGTTCCAGTTGTAGCCGTCTCAGATTGTTGATGAACTCACCAACAGATCTGACGTTTACGAGTGCTTCGGGGCATGATGGGTCATCAAGCACTGCTGCAACCAGTGTCAAGATTGCGACAACAGAATATCCAAGCATTTGCCTGCCATATTAGTACATAAAAAAACGTAACTTTTGGGGAGCCCTTACCAATGGTATACGAGTGGTTGCGACGGCATGTTTTGTAGGACTAATAGTGTCACACGGGCTCCAACCACCGGAGTAGGTGACCTCAAAGGGATATTCCAGTCAGCCCCTCTCACAGAAGAAGCATCCATTGACGGAGGTATAAGTTCATGGAAAGCTTTCGGGCACTGCAAAGCCATGTGAATTTTCCACGCAGTAGTGTAGTAGGCGAAATGCAAGTTCACAACTCCCGGTTCAAGGTCAATACTGGTCAAGGGATTGCTACCCGCAGGTCGAATTGTTGCAGGCAGCCCCACTCTCCAAATTTCAAGCTGGTGATCCATCTGCGAGACGATCCGTACGCGATCAATCGGTTCTTGCCGCAACGCCACGTTGGAATAAAGGCGTTCATGAACCTTGGATTGGATTGCAGCTAAATGTGCCATCAGCCTAAGAATGTTAACACCTGCAAGAGGTAAGGCCAAGCCGCCGGTGCTAGCTTCAGCATTAGCGCTCGATAGACACATTTCATCATCGCCATCGTCAAACGGCGTTCGTAATCCATACTTCATCGCTGCATTACTGCCAAGGATGTTGATTGTCCAGAGAACTCGCATGTGCCGATCATTCTCCGTAGGACTTGTGGTGAGGTATAGATCTCTTCGATATAAGCCAATGACCTGAGCCAGTTGAATAGCCGCTGTCAGTAAGGTGTGGGCGGTTCGTGCATCTGCGGTCCCATGCATGAAAATGGCCATGATCAATACAGCTCGGCAAGCTTCGAAGTCTGGAACCTGAGTAACCAACTCAGGGAAGATAGAAAATGCGTTTTTGAAGTGACTCCATGATATAGGAAACACATCTTTTACCGCATTATTGGCAGCTTTCCACTGCACAGCAATAGCGAGAATTGCGTTGATTGTCGCCCATCTTGCTGAATTGCTATGACAGTCGTTCAAAGCCGTCGAATACTGCTCTTCAATCATGTGAAAGATCCAGTCATCGTCAAACAGCGGCCAGACCTTGCTTATGTCCTCTAAGGCGCTTCTCATAAGAGGCATGATGTAGATTTTGGGCGGAAGCGGAGCGAAAATCGTCCTTGCGAAGCAACCAAGGTCTTGTTGGTTTTTGATTGATCTCATTGTCCCGGCGCTTGGAAAATTAGGTAGGATATTTGGCAGACGCTTCATTGATATCTTTTCGCAGGTATGCTCTGTATCATCACCGAACAAGGAACCCGTAATCACAGGTCGTGCTGCACCGCTTTCCAATGTGTACTGCAGCGCATCTTGATCTTCGTCGGCAGCCAAGGGCGTTGTTGGATGTGAACTTTCGGCTTGTTTTCCTTTCTCTTTCTCTTTCTCTTTCTCTTTTTCTTTTTCTGTTCCTATTCTCTTCACCGTTAGAATTCTTTGCAGATTGTGAGATAAACAAAAGACTTACCAGGCCCATCGGGGAACTCCATGTCATTTTTAGCATCATCGTGGGGTCTTGGGGCTGACGGGTTTCGCAATGTACTTTCCAGCCGTTTCAATCGTTCCTCAAGGCTCTGAATGTACTCCTTGCTACGTAAACAGCTTAGCACGGAAGGAGATTTTCACAACTATACACTTCGAGGTACCTCTTGCCGAGTCCCCGTTTCTTTCGCGTCATGTATAAGCAAACGGCTTTCCTCTTTGCGCAATGGCCACAACTTGGTGTTTTGCCATCGCACCGGATTTTGCGACCCTTGCATCGGTTACAAGCCTGTCAAGCAATGCTCAGACCTTTGAACGAGGCAGCAACAGTCTAGAAACTACTCACGTTCGCGGTTCGGTTGGCATCCGATCTATTTGCCGCCGATGGCTCGAGGTCACTGCTCTCCATGCTGCGAATGTGAATAACGATCTTAGAATAACGATGAAAACATGTGATTCAATGACTTCTCAGCGCCGATGCACGTCACTGTTCATCTGCAAACTTACGTTGATTCAAATATCACCAAAGCCACTTAAGTCATGCGCTAGGATTTGTCAGGGTTTTCCCGCCGGTCTTGGCGCGGACTCAGATTGTATCCGCGTTTCCATCCTGTCTGGTTCATTTTTCAGTTCTAGACGGTCAAGTCCGAGATATGTACGAATTAGTTAGGCGTAACTGTAATCATAGGCGTTCTGACGACACGGTGGGTTTTGTAACTAATTAGTCTAACCTAGGTTGAGGTTATGCATTGAGCTCTGGGTGATGGTTAGACGACTGAAGATGAATCGTCTGCGAAAGCGGAACACATGCAAAACTGCTGAGCACACTGTAACGTCTGTAGTGTGAAGCTGTCCAGGACTAAAAACGAAGCATTAGAGTAACATAATTGCCTGGGCGGCTTTTGCTTTCGCAAACTTATCTATATACACAGGAGACAGGTGTCGTTTCACAGTTTTGCAGGGCATCCATTGGTTTAGTGTTTAGTTGGATGATTTTAGGAGGGATGTTGCGCTGACTATGGGGCCCGGTAGGCCTAGCCAGACATGCATTAACGCAAAACCGGGGGTCACTGTAAACCAAGCCACTACAGATTACCCAATGCACAAAAAAGCGCAAGTTGCTATTCAAACAATTCTCGGTTATTTGAAACTCATCTTTTTCTTGTCACTTTTATACACCTAGGCTTGCTTAAGGGCTCTTTGGCCGTGTTGTTGCTGGCAGCCAGGCGTACTAGCTCCAGTGGCTAGACTCCCTAAGTCCGACAAGCACCGAACAGTCCCATGGGCAGAGCTACAGACAAAGCAAATAAATCAAATTGAAGCTCTTGATTTCTTTGATTTACGCTAATATCGCAAATTGGTCAAGTTTATTTATTTGTGTACATAGTTTATAAATCAACCCGGAATAAAGCTCTGGGCTAATTAGAGACCTTCATACGGTCTAACTATTGTTCCGTTACTAACACAGCGTCACTGGATCACTAATCCAAACGTGATCCGTCACGTGACTTTGTAATACAGGCTAACTGTGGCTTCTCGTATTAGCTTTACTTATTGCGGGGTCTACGGTCTGGTTAAGGGCCTCATTCGTAACATTTACGTACCGATGTAAACAGTATTTCCATTTCCCCCCTCTCCTTGGGATCAGCATCAACGACATAATTATATTTATTTGTAAGGTAGTAGCTAGATTTTGCCAGTATCCGTAGGCTTCCGTCTACACGTAATGGCTGTCCGGGACCGGGACGTGGAACGATTCCTGGCTGATGAACGGTTTAGCCGAATCTTCACGTATCCCGCGGATCCTGCTCAGGGACGCCCCGAGGCGCTTCGCATTTCATACGCAGATTATGGATACCATAGTACGGAGAATCCCCAGGTGCAAAAAGTCTTTCTTTTTTTCGGGCCACTTTTGGGGTCTCGAATGCTCTTTATAGCCAAGGATGTTCTGGCCAAAGAATATGGAGTCCGTATTATCAACGCCGACCGGCCGGGCTTTGGCGAAACACCTGATATAAAAGCAGAGGGGAGGCTAGCTTTCTGGCGTAGTAGATATAACCCTTTTTTTCTCCCTCTCTACTCCTGTTTTATTCGTGGCTGATCGGCATATAACCAGAGGCTATATTCGCATTATTACAACACCTACAGATCCGCCACGTACATCTAGGCGCGCAAAGTGCCGGTACGGTATACGCCTTAGATTTCATATTTCATTACCCCGAATTACTATATCCGGATAATGCCTATCTTGCTATTGGGGCTCCATGGATTCATCCTTCACATTCTCGAATCTGGCATATGTCAGTAACGCACGCCCTTCCTAAGTCCCTGCTAGGACAAGTGGATAAGCTTGCTTCCTTATTCTCCGTCGTCTCCGCTCCCATATTGGAGACCAGCTTTGGGCTCACCACTGCTTTTGGGCGGTGGTTCGCTACTCAGCCAGCTGGAGAGGATGCCGCTATTACCGCCACCGATCCGGCGGTAGCCTTTGCAGAGGCTTTGGATCCAAAATTAGCCGACTTTATCTATGCTAGTCCTATCCAGGGCATATCTAACGAGTCGATTCTGCTACTGCAGAGGACGCAGGGTGCATCCGGATGGGCGGACTGGGGAGATTACGACACCTTAGTGCCTCGTCTCAGGCGCACCATGGCTGAGAAGGACCGGTGTCTGGTTGTGGAGTGCTTTTTTAGCCAGACGGACTCCATGATTGGCGACCATGGCACAGTCGGCCCGGAGTGGTTCAAAAGCTGCTGGAGCCGAGACGGCAAGGACGACGATGCCATCCAGTTCTCTTGCAGGGTCATCAACGGGGCGGATCATAACTCAATTTGGGCCACGCAGTGGGGTGTGGCCCGCGACGTATTTAATCGTATCCGAGGAACTGGGTCTTGATACCTAGGTAAGTAACAAGCTATAGCTTCCATAGTGCAAGGGAGCTAGAACCAGAAGTTATTGATCGACTACCATTTGTGCGCAGTCTGCTGCTTGTCACAGCTGCGACCACCAGCTGACCTAGTCTGCCCCAGTGCCAATTGGCAGCACGACCGTAGCGACTTCTTTTATAGGCATAGGATGGCTAGTGAAGATCATGTATATCGACCACAAGGGGTGTTATATTCCACTAAAGCAAGTAGAAAAGCTAGCTTCCAAGAAGTTAGTCGCGGAACGATCCCGATTTCCTAGTAAGGACTTCGACCAATAGTTGAACGGGGTCCGTAACTCAGGCAGTTTAGATAGTTTCCCCTTTGTTCTCTCCTTTTTTAGTATTCTATCAGTAGAGTTCTCGTTACCTCGTGAATAGAAACTTAGCCCTACACTGTCTGCTTTGTCTCAGCCCGACCACCTACCGCCTGGGGTTGTTGACCCTACTGCTGCCCAGTGCTTGAGACAATGGTAGGCTAGGGGCGTTGAGAAGGAGGGCTGAGCTTCATGGAAGACGAAAACAGGATATTTCTGATAAGGGAGTTCTGATGGTGCGTTACGGAACACACTCAAAGGTCACTAGAACTTCGTACCAATCCCGAGCGACAATTGAGTTGTGTCATAAGGAAACAATAGGTGCTACCAGATCCAGGCCGGTAGATGACCCCAGCGAGATAACGGGGAACGTTCGTGAAAACCAGATACAAACCAGAAGATGAGACCAGAATATCGAGTGATCCAGCCTCATGAACCTTTTTCTCGAAAGGCTGGAGAAAGAATCACAAGATGGCAGGGCTTGATCGTCGCGACTTGTCAAGAAACATCTGAAAAACTATTCCTGCGATCTGGTAACCCGTACAGAATTTCATAGGCTTGCACTCATTTTCGAGATATGCCGGTTCTAGAAATACAATATAAAAATTTCGTGGGACGCGAGACCTCTAAATAGCTATAATGCCCTCACCAAGCGTTTTTCGGAGATACGGGGTCGTATTAGGGTCGTAACAGGTTTCCGACTAGTTCGAGAGGCTAGTAGATACTATATTTCTTCGAAAGCAGAAGGAAAATCATGTTTGTTTATTGGTAAAGGAAAACAAAGAGAAAAAGGTCAATAGGATCGCAAGACGTCGTTCATCACCAGTCATAAAATCGCATATGATCGTCTCTGGTCTACGTGACCACAGAAAAGCCTGTAGAGGCCTTGGCAGCCTTGGCACACATTCCTACAGGCTGAGCCTCCTCCTATGTGATTGTACCGTATGGGAACGAACCGGGGGACTGAGCTCTTCACTCTCTCTGGTCGCACCGTTCCAATCAACAAAAGTCTCACCACCCCATTTCCGACCCAATCTCTGCCTGGCAAAGCTTTTGGCGGCCTCTTTCTCCAGCATCTCTTTCCCCGTAATTATCTTATGCCTATCGCCTTTATCGCGTTTATTCACCAAGACATCCTTATCGACGAAAGCCCCCGGCTCTTGGTTCTCTACAGGCTGCAGAATCTTGTTTTCCTCCTGCCGGACTTCCTGGTGTCCAGAATAATCAGAGGGATGTGCATGTTCCCCAAGTAGTGGCACTATGTGCGTAGGGCCTTGCCTTTCCCTAGATTTCGATCTCTATCGTTCACCACCTTCTGGGGCCTGGTCTTTCCCAATCAGCTGCACCAATCGTCCTTGTTTGTTCAACAAGTCTTTGAATGTGCCCTGCTCTGCAATTCGGCCCCGGTCTAAAACTGCAAGCCGGTCGCAGACCTTCATCATCTCCACATTGTGTGTGATGATGACTATCGCGATCTCGTTTTGGCACCTGCCGCTAGCGGACTCCTCGGCGATCAGATCCCATGTCTCAACAACGGGTCGGCCGTGTACCGGGCTCGGTGTCAAACCCGGCATGCCTCTTGCCTTGTCGATCAGGCGCGAAATGGTTCGTCGTACGCCCACTGCAGCTTCAGGATCCAGTGCGCTGGTCGGCTCGTCGAGAATAAGCAGTTTTGGCCGCCGTACTAAAGCCCGAGCTAGACAGATACGCTGGGTTTGTCCTCCAGACAAGGCCTGCCCGCCCTCACCGACCGCAGTATCGAATCCGTATGGTAGGCTGTCGATGAAGTCGAGAACACCGGCTTGTCGTGCTGCGCGCTCGATGTTTGATAGTTCTAGAAGTGGACTCGTGTCTGGAAGGCCGTAAGTAATATTTTTCTCGATCGTTAATGGGAACAGGACAGGTTGTTGTGGCACAAAGGCAATCTGGTTGCGAAGAGTATTCATGTCGAGTAGCTCTGGTGGGAGCCCGGCGAAGGAGATAGGGTGACGGTAAATCGATGGGCGCACATTGCGGACTTGAGGAATGTGTGTCGGTTCGCGCATCAGTAACAGTAATGATGCAAGAGTTGACTTCCCACAACCCGAGTGGCCGGTTATGGCGGTTGTCATTCCGGGGCTGATCTCGAGTGTCAGGTTGCTCAGCACTGAATGTGCTGCTTTACCCTCACGCGAAGGGTATGAGTAATAGACGCCATCCAGACGAACCGGAAAGGGAGACACAAGTTTCTTTTTAGGCTTGATAGTAAAATCTTTTCTCGTATCTTCGTACTCGCTCTCGTTTGACTGGTTATCTTTGTTTTTATCACCAGGCACCGGGAGACTTGCGTAGTATATCAGCCGACCTGCTGTTGCTTGTGCACTGCTGGTCGCAGGGATAGAGCCAAGCATCTGACTTGCTGCACCAATTCCGAGCACCAAAAGACTGACTACCTTCAACATATCGTCTACAGTCAGCTTGATTCGTACAGCCAGTAAAACTGTCGCATAGTAAAAGATAATTGCCATAACCATCCAGATCAATGCTTGCCAGCACGCAAAGAGCACTGCCATCCATGCAGCTTTCTTCAAACCAACGTGGTAGGTGAGCAATGCAGACTTATCGTGTTTGGCGGTAAAGTGTTGTTCTAAACTTAGGGCTCTCACGACTCGTAATTTGGTGATAGCCTCGGTCATGACCGCGGCTGTTGCTTCTGCTGTCACGTTATAGCGAACCTCCCACTTGTTGCTGACATGAGCGTAACCTTGTACTACCCCGAACAGAAGAGGTACGGTAGACAACGCCACGAGAGTGAGTCGCCAGCTGATGATAAAAGCCCATATTGTAGTCGTCAGAACCATCGTTGCCATCATCAAGACGCCTGGAGCAAACCGTCCGACGAGACTTCGAATCTCCTCTGCATTTCGATCCATGCACTCTATGATCCTGTTTGGCGTATGTTTTGATTTGTCGAAGAATGGCCTTGGTTGTCGCATTATTCGCGAAATCGCTTCAACGCGCAATGCATCTATCCAAACTTGGCCGCAATAATCCATGAGAAAGTTAGCTAGAAAGGTGGCAGTAGCGCCCACAACAGCGACTAATAGAAGAAATAGTGCCCATGTCTGACTATCAGGAATAGAGTCGACGCTAAGATGTAATACCGATAGGAGGCTGGCGAAAATGATAGAGAATGCGGGTACAGAGGCTGCCAGCAGAACACAGTTGAGAAGCCCGATGACCAGATAGCAGCGTGCTTTGGTGTCAAGCAATGGCCAGACGGTCCGGTAAGTTGCATACAGCGAAACAATCTTGCCAGTGTTCTCGGTTGATTGACACTTCTCATGGCTTGGGTCCCGGTCTACTATATCAATGCCGCCGTTGTTACTAGTGTCAATATAAGATCCTCGCGGCGTTGCCCGCTTCTTGCTCTCGACATGGTCTCCATTCCTGGTGCGGAGTCGACGAACAGAATAAGCTTGTTCCTGAAGCATAGTCAAACTCGTTCTACCCACGTCGGGTGGTAGCATAGGGATATCTTTGATAATAGTATCCCTCAACGGCGTCCTACTGATTTTCCGTGGGGCATCAGGGCAATGTGTCGGGGCTTTCAACACAGCCGTTGTCTTCGAACTTGCGAGGTCGATAATTTGGTCGAGTGTTTCTTTGCCTGTCCTGTATTGGTGCCTCCAGAAATCTGGCAGTAGTTTTGTAGAGTGCCCAGAATCCATTTGTACTGGTGACTTGTGTGTACGCGATGGTTGCTGCGTCCCCCGGGATGTCTCTTGGGCTGTGGTCGGTCCAGTGCCGAATCGCAAGCGTCCACTGACGAGCTTGGAGTTAGCGGATGCTATGCATGGCCATAGCGTCGCGGACAAAGGAGGTATTGAGACTTGTGGTTCAGCTTGCAAGTGCTCCGGAGAGGGGGTCTGACTTTGCAAACCGACTCCATCAGAGCATCTTAGCACAATGGCCTTGGAGATGGAGGCGTTGTCAGAAGTCAAGAGATCAGCCAAAGAAGTCTTGTATGCAGTCTCCATTTTATGCCGGAGACCCCAACCAATATCCCGCTTTTTATCAAGTACGCAGACGTGATCATTGCTCCTGATCTGTGTGAGATCATGGGTGATGACTATAGTTGTCTTCCCATTTCGCCAGGCTCTGACTGCCTCCATAACCAACGTGCGTGTTGGACTGTCCAGGCCACTTGTGGGCTCATCGAGAATCAAAACTTCTGGATTGCGTATGAGTGCGCGTGCCAGAAATAATCGTTGAGCTTGCCCACCGCTGAGATTATGTCCGAAATTCCCGACTCTGGTTCGAACGCCATTAGGCATGTCCGCGATGGTAGACTGGAGATGTGTGGCATCACAGACGGCATCAATACTCGCTCTGTTAGCCTTGTCTGAGCAAGCAATACCCATAGTAATATTTGCCAGAAACGTGTCATCAAACAAAACGCCGTCCTGCTGAAGCAGAATAATATTGCGCCGGATCCAATCATCGTCTAATATCTTTAGAGAAACGCCGCCGATGGTGATGTCACCTTCATATGGCTCGTAGAACTTGACAAGGAGATCCGCAGCGGTACTCTTGCCTGCTCCACTTGGACCAATAAGGAAACTGAGCTGTCGCCCTGGGAAGTATAATCTCTTGTGAGCCAGGACTAGGCTACGGGGGTTACCGGAGTAGGCGAACGAGACCTAGGCCGGGCATGTTAGCAAGTATTTGATTGCGAAAGCATCGAACTTACTTTATGGAACCTGATAGCACCGTCACATTCATCTTGTGTCTCGTTACCAACAGGTTTCTTAGTAATACCGCTGGGTTTAACATGATTGGATATGTGCTGTAATGTCTGACCCGCAGAAATCCCCTTGGCAAGCATTATATATAGAGGTGCAACAGACTCGATGGCTTGGAGGGCGTTGCATGTAGCGTAAAAGGCCGTGACTACGCTTCCGGGATCCATCCCTTTCTTGGCTAATAGTGCGCCGTAATAGAAGCCTATAACAAAAATGATTTCCAGCCAGAACTTCATGTATGCCATCTGACAGGCACTTGCTCGTGATTGGACAAGAAATGCTTTCGTTGAGCGCTTGATGGCGGCAGAGTATTGCCATGTCTCCTGATCGGTGCCGCTGAAGGCCTTGACGATATCAATGGCGGCGATGGCCGAAATCGCGTGTTTGGAAGCCAGTGATAATTCTTGTTTCTGTACCTCCATCGCAGGCTGAAGCTTCCGGCTGAGAAGCTTGAGAATGAAGATCGAGGGTGGCAGCGTGGCGAGGATGACCAGTGTCAACTGCCAGGAGTAGAAGAAGGCGACAACCAGGTTCGCACCGGTTGTCAAGAAATCCACGGAAAGATTGCCGAGAACAATGCATACTGTTGATTGCAGGTCCCTCAGTTGACTATGATGGTCAGCATTCAACCTAATTTGATTGCTATTCGACTTACGTTTGCGTTCTTGCAAGGAGGACGGCAGTGCCGTTTACCTGACGGTCATACCAGTTGAGATCCCTATGCAGTAATGCGCCAAGTATCCGCTGCCTCGCACTTTGTGCTTGTAAATCGCCGAACGCAAGCCAAGAAAACATCAAGGCAAAGTGGATGATCCATCCTATGCTGCCAACAATGACCAAAACTGTACACCACGTTGACACCTGCGCCACTGTGTCTATTGCTGAAAGAGCGTCTCTACCATGACTTGCGATGAGGCCAAATATCCGCCCAACAAGAACAGCAAGTGACGCTCTGAGGACACTGGCGAATACCGATGCAACAAGTGCCGGAGCAAGAAATAATGAGTGACGCCATGTTGTGAACGCGAAGAGGTGTCTGAATTGAGGTTTCTGATGTTGAACAGGTCGTGATGGATCTTGCGCTGGCTGACCTGTTTCAGGCATTGAGCTTATGTATTTCGACATAAAGGAGCAGCCAGAAATGAGTTTTGATGGCGAGTGATAGGTTAAAAGATTCATGGGGCATGTAATTGCATCATGGAAGCATCGCGGGCTCCTGCAGTATTGTTTCTGTTGTTATTGTTGTTTCTGTTGTTATTGTTGTTGTTGTTGTTGTTATTGTTGTAGTTGTTATCTTTGGGTGATGGGGTGGACCATTAAGGCAACTGCCCTCAAATGGGGACCTCAAATAAGTGTGAATGTTGGCCACAGCATTGGGGATGCACTGGCAATCGGCCGATAGATGTACTAGAAAGAAAAACTGAGTGACTCCCATCATATCAGATTGATAAAGCATCTGGAAACTAGGGGTTTAATGGCCCAACCATGACAATTAAATATCCCGATTGACCACTGTCCATTGTCTCACTACTTACCAAATGCGTACTCCAATTCCTTCTAGTCTGGTCAAGTCTCGAGCAACATGAACAATTAATCTCCTTGACCGGTCCTCTACATCTGCTCTACTTGTTCACCAAGCGGAGGGTCATTCATCCTAACTTGTGCCACAAACTGAGGTTTCGTGACGCCCCCTCGACTGATGTGCGAGCATACTGCTTTCATTTTGCTGCTATTTATTTTCACGCTCCGCCGTAGCTACATGGGAAATGGTGCAGCACTTGGATAGCCTTCACGGACGCCTCGGATAGATCAACACCACCGGCTTCGTCATTTTAGGACTTGCCAGCCTTTGCCTCCTGTGCCTGCTCGTAAATCCAGTCATTCAATCCAGCGCGGTTCCTCAGAATCTCAATGGCATAAAACTGCATCCTCGGCACAAAGATGGTGCCATACTGTGTGTACTCGGTCTTGGGGTCGGCGCGGACCATGGTACCGAAGTTGTAGTCGTCGATCTGCTTCTCGTACTGCATCATGAACTCGCGCCACCTCTTCTTGCCTTCGGGGCTCTTCATCTCGTCCTCGCTGACCGTCTTGGCCGGGTCGAACTCGGGAAAGTCCTTCTTGACGTGGTCGTAGATGTCGTCGTCGAACTTGGTCAGTCGGATGGTCGAGCCCTTGACCTTCTCCAAGATCGACCAGTAGATCTCCATGTGCTGCACGACCTTGACGGCAAACTGCTTCTCCATCTGTAGGGCGAGAGGGGAGAAAGGTCAGTATTGCCACGCTGTTGGACATGCCAGTGTTTGGTGGGGTGGTGTGTCGCCTTACATCCTCCAAGTTCTGAGCTTCCTCGGGATTGAAACCCGGCGGCGGGGCCGGGTTGTTTGCTGCCATCTCGCGAATATCCATCGTGTGTGTGCGTGTGTATGTGTGTGTGTGTGTGGTTGTTGGTCGTTTTTGTAGGGTATCAATACGTTATGCTGTTCTGTGTGGGTGTGAGTGCAAATGTGAGTATGTATATAACTTCACTGGTAAGAATTTTGTCCGTGGTCGTCGCATGGCAGTTGCCGCCCAGAGCCCAAAATTAATTTTGCCCCGCCATCGAGCTCCTGCTCCTGCTGCGACTTTGCGCCCATGGCGGGGTAGTGACGCAGTGCTGCAGTGCTCGGCGGGCGATAGGTTCGCCGATGATTAGCCGGTCGAAAACGGACCTCGACAAACCATTGCATACAGTATGGAACCATTACTTTGATTCCAACCAGATAATCAAATAAGAATCATGTTACCTTGTATGAGCGCTTGTGTCGCAACGCCCGAGCGATGCGACAGTTTAAAGCCCGGAACCTCAGAGACCGCGTAGCCGTTCAGACATTGGTTCATCGTTGCCAAGTGGCGGCCTGGCGTGCTGGACCCAGAGAGCGTTGGGTTTATTCCCTGCCGTCAGATCGTTCATTAGCAGCAGCATTTTTGTCAGATGTTCTGCCATCCTGAGTTCAGTTGACTGGGAACTTCATCTTCGTCTTGGGCAATCCAACGCGGACTCTTTATTTCTTTTTTCTTTTTTAAAATTGGACACAATAGCGTATCAATATTGCGCTTACTTGCTCACACGAACCGGCCTATTGTAATCTGAGCTCCCTTTGACGCAGGTTTTGCATGGATGTATTAAATATTCTTTAAGGTCAACTAAGAGACTGCATCCACGCAACCCCAACCATTCGCAAAGAGGAAGCTCGTTGCCAGAAACACATCCATCAATGCCTCAACGGGTATTTCTACATAATAAGGCGAATCGGGCCGCGAAATACCGTTAACAATATGCTGAAGCCATCGAGATTGAGGTACAGCTAGACATGGTATCGGTGAGGCGGGTTGGGGCGCACCCTCAAAAGCTGCCAAGTTCTGCACTACGTATAGTGCGCAAAGTGGCAGCCCGGGGTTGTAATGATTCAACATTGGCCAACATATCCCTTGCGCTGGTTTATGGCGTTTGCCATCGCAGGTCGCCCTCCAGGTCTGTCTGTGACATACACTCCAAACTCAAGCAGTCTCAGGCTGTTAATTAGGTGCCTTTCAGCGGGCTTGTACACAAGTTCATTGGTTCTTTGACCTGGCTGTGTTGAAATTTGACACCCAGAACCCCTCGACTTTCTTTCCCCCAAGGTAAACGAGCGATTCTCCCTATCCCGACAGGTCATAGTTGAAGCGGCGCCTCAGAGAGTAATATACTTCCGTGCGTTCTGCTTTGTTTTCCGGTTCTTTGCCATTGTGTCCCGAAAGGCTCATCCGAAGCCTTGTCCAGGTAATTCCATACAATTAGGAGTCTGCCGATCGTGTTATGTCCGATATTTCTGGTCGTGTCCCTTTGATTAAAGTTACCTCGATGGCATCCACAGTGGCATTTTGTAAACCTTCATGAACGCTAAAGCAATTGCCCTTAAATACAGTCGATGCATTGGGTCGCCGGAGCTCTATTCATCCGAGAGTATCTTTGTAAATGTTACGTGCAGCATTCATTATGGCGTCGATGTAGAATATCCTGAGGCTCTCTCGGATCCTCTGGAATGTGCGAAGGGTTGCGGATGGTGGGCAACAATATTTGCACGATTGCCTTGCCTAGCTTATGAGTGGTGATGGAGAAAAACGGCTCCAAGAATTCGTTAGTTGCTGTGGTTGGTGAGGTCCCTGGCGCCACGCGAATGAGGTTGAAATGCTACAATGCCAGATTGCAGCGACAATGACTATCAGAACAAACGTTCCCCCCCCCCCTGTGACCTTCTTTAAGCACAAAGTAGGATATAATTGTCAGACTGTTGCGCAGAAGCCGAATACTCCCAGTCTGAAGTGTTCTCAAAAGCTGAAAACAAATACACCTTACTATATAGTTTCTGACGTATCTTCATCGGCGAGATAAGTCTAGTTATGGATAGAGTAGTTCATCGATTCGAGCGAATTGGGTTCAGTGTGCTGAAAATTAACTAGCTGTATACTTGTGTGATGGATATGGCTCTTTGACAACAAACCTGGAAGCGAGAATGACTAAGCGAACCCTGACCGTTCCAAGAAAGGATCATAACATCCTCGATAGGATGTTCCTTATGTTTGTTGGAGTTTGTGATGAATTTCAGAAATAAAGGCTTATTAATGATTGTCTTTCTTAGGGTCACAACTCTGCCGCCAGCATTCTTACCTGGTGTTAGGCTCACGGAGGCAGACCCGGCTGTTCAAGCCGGTTTATTGCTGGTGCTCAAAAATGCATTTCCTGGCTCCAAACCGCCAACCGTTGAGGATCTTTTTGGGATAAACATTTCCTGCCTTGTTGCTACATGTGAAGACGGTTTCTAAATTGCTGGTATTAACGAACATAATCTTCGCCGAGCTTTGTAGACACGAAAATATTAGGATACAAGATACCGAAAGATTCCGAGGTCTTGATGAACTATCACATCCACCGCACGCCGGCTCTCGTAGACGAATTGGATCCCACGACTGGACACAAAACCGCTGCAGCCAGGTCTGGCGATGGACTACAGGATACGTCACGACGCTATCTGGGCACAATTGAGCCGAGGCGAAAGCTGGTCAAGCATGAGAAGACAAGTGACGAATTATTTAACTCCACTGCTTTGCCCTCCGTCGACTTTGGTGGGGCTATGAAGGTTGCTATGATATGTCGCATTTCAATAATACACCTGGACATGTTTTAAGATATTTCACACACTCATATATCAGTTAGATCGATGACCGTGGGAAATGGCTGAAAATAACACAAACAGGTGTACATGGTGCTCTAAATTAACATGACACCGCTATTCTTGAAGTTGAAACTTCTGGAGCTACAGGATGACCTAAGACAATGTGTGCTACAGAGAACACTTTACGTATAGACGATAAGGCTTACACAAGACTACGTGTTCTGTCATTATCTTTGAGTAGATGAGAAATCTGAGCATATTAGAGTGATGAGTTGTCTTTCTGGCCCAGGCAGAAATGATGAGGTTCTCAGTCTAAGTGATGATGCGAGCCAGCGGATAACAGCTGTGCCGCAATAAGCCTTGACTTAAGATCAACTTCGCTCGTAGCAGGAGAGTTCTTGTGAAACAACGGTATAAGGCCGACTGCGTTTCATCTAAGCCAGAACAAGCCTCAAGGAGTAACAGACTCAATAGAACACAGTTAAGATCTCATTATAACTCGGCTTTTAGCTTCTAATGAATCGTTTCTGCTGGCGTAAGATCTTTTAATCACCACATAACTACAACTGTTTCATGCTGTTATTAACAGACATAGATGATGTATTGTTCGTAGCATGTGCACGCAATGATCGGAAAAGCTACGCCCAAAGTTCTCAACTCGATCATTGCTGTGTGTGAGATGTGATTTATTGCCATGAGATGGCGTAATTTGGAACACTCAGTCATTTACAAGATGGATGAGGTATTCGTCGATCGGTTTTCTTAAATATGGACATAATATTATGCGGACAACAAAATCGTAAGGGGGAGCTAGATTAATGTGGATTTCAATACACGGAATCAAGGATTCCAGCTGGCTGAACTCGCTTTTAGTTCGTTAATGTAAGAACATTTGAATTCGAGCAGGCACTTGTTCGTAAGTTCATGGCGAAGTCGGTGAATATTCAGGGTTACTGTTGGGTGCAATCTGTTACGTCAACAACGGTATCACGTTGTTACTCCAACGGTGAGCTAATTCGGGTACCTCCTTCTATTATTATCTATTCATAGCTTTCTCTAATGTCAACTGAACTGGTCTACAAGGTAACGACCAGTTTTGTACCACTATAACCAGCAGGGTATCGTTTTAATCCTGCATCAATAGCATCCCATCCTTTACCGACCACCTCGATTTTCAACGGCAGCTTATACTTGCCCTCGACCACCAGTTTACCCAAATACGGCATGGCATCTGGCTCAGCGTCCAACATGTCTTGCCCACCGACCAGGACACCCTGGATACCCTCCGGGAACTTCGGAGGAGGACCTGTGACAACCAGAGAGTAAAGCTTTGGTCCATCAACTCTGAAGGCCTGGTAGACAGCAGGCGAAGACGCGCCGGCAGCGACAGCGTCGATTATGACGTCTACACCGGTTCCGTAGGGCGTGCTAGCCTTGAGAACGGTACTGTCATCCTGTGCGCCACGCTCCAGGCACTTGGATGCACCGAGGGACTGTAGGTGAGCGTGGTGGGCAACCGAGCTGGTCGTGATAATGAACACATGTGGCAAAGCGAGGCGCAGCAGCTGAATGGCGGCCGCACCGACAGCAGAGCTGCCGCCGAGAACAAGAGCAGACTGGATACTGTTGCTGATAGAGATTTTTGAGAGACCTGGCAGAGGTATCTTGAGGCCGACGCGAATGGTGGCAGCTGCGGTGAGGTAACAGATACTTGTAAGATGTGTTAGGGTTGTATCCAAGCGTCTTGGCGCAACAGGGATGGTTTGTGGAACTCACGGGAGCGAGGCAGCCTCCTCGAAGTTAAGTATACCAGGTTTCTTGACAACAAAGTTCTCAGGTACGGTATATATTTCCCGAAACGTACCGTTGCCCACAATACCATGTCCAAAGCTCATGACCTCATCTCCCGTCTTGAAGGCCGTTACGTCCTCTCCGACAGAGTCAACAATCCCAGCGCCCTCAATACCTAGCACAGCTGGCCATGAACTAACAATAGCACCAAACTTAAGATTCTTCCAGTCTATGGCATTCAATGCCACAGCCTTTGGGCGGATGGAAACTTCATTGGGGCCAGGCTTAGGTTTGGGCGCTGTCACCAGCGCGAATGGTCCACCTTGTTTGGTCGTCTGGTATTGCTGAATGGACATGGTGAAATAAGCTCAATAAATAAAATAATTAGAAGGCAATGTCTTATTTTATTGCAAACTGATGAGTGTGTATGAAGAGGTGCCTGCCATATAGTTCTTGGCAAACGCATTTATATCTTAAATTGCCATGCTCACGCCTAGCGTACAAAACGCCCTCGCGACTATCCGGCGATAATAGGCATAGCGAGACGTAAAATGAGGTAATTCGTGTTACATATGTCATTACACAACATTCTTGGGCTAGTACGAACGACCGGACTTTACTTTCGGACACCGAAGCGGTCAGCTGTCGTGTAACATTGTTGACCTGACCGGCCTCGTTTCACGGTTTATCGCCGACAGATATGCAGTAAGCAGCTTTAAGACCGAAATTTTGAGATTTATCATTCCGCACCAAAGTTTGGTTCTATCGGGTATGTAGCGAGAAGTGTAAAGGGGGGTGGTGGTGCTTCAGCTTGAGGGTGCAAGTAGTTAGTAAAGCTGGAGTTTGTTGCCATACCAAACTTAGTGGTAAGTAGGCTTTCTAAGGAAGCCAGGGTGAAAGAAATTAAGGTAGAATCTTGCCAGATAGACTAAGTTAACATCTTACATTTGTACATTGTTACTTGACAGAGAAATAGAGAGGCCTGATGCGTCTTGACAGCTGGTGCCGCCGCATTTGGCGGTCTGATTTAAAACCTCCCAGCCATTACCAAACAATCAAGCCCCATTTGCTAGCCTAAAGGGCGAAAAGTTAACTCTAGTTAGACTAGACTAAGGTTAGTCTAACCTAACGGTTAGTCTAGACTAACCTCAGGAGTGGTACAAACAATTCATAGATTATTAACCATGATGTAAATGTATACCCATGACCAATGTCATGAAGGCCGTAAGAGCCATTGGTATTTTATAACAAATAAGATGAATTCATAAAAATCAATCTGTACTATAACTAAGTTTCTATGCCAACATGTAAAACTCGTGCTATAACTCCGGCAAATCCATTTAAAACCTCAACTAGTTTTTCAAGAAGCCAATTGTTTTCCAAACAGTTATGTACTTCCTGATGACTTCTGTGCTCACGGGCCCGACTGCAGCCAAGGTTGGCGAGTCCTGGAGCGCTTTTTGGGCATCTAGGACTAGCCCTCCGCATGACATGCGCTTGTAATTGCTCTCCAAGAAATCCGCCAACGCTGAAGCCGGGTTATCGCGTACCGGCGCAGCTTTCACCCGCTCTGTCCACTCCCTCAAAGGAATCATATTAGATTTAGGAATGTTCAGCGCGTCGGCCAAGATGGCGTTGATCTCCTGCCACGACTGACCTACAGGGTTTTCGATGTGATAGACGGGTTGAGGATCACGGCTCGAGAGGACCAAGTCACATAGGGTGCCGGCAATCTCGTTGACGGGGGTCCAGTAGGCAGTGCCGTCGACGTCCGGCAGCGCATTCAGCGTCTGAGACGACTTGATCATAAACCCGAAATGCTCCATTGGATTCCAGTATCCGCTTACGCTGGACCCGGCGATTTGGCCCAGACGCACCGTCATGGGACGAAAGAGGTTCGAGTGTTTGTGCAGGGTCTCGTCGAGCATGCGCTCGCAACCCCACTTGGCTTCCGCATAGCCCACTGGAAGAAGGGCATCGATGTTGACCCTTTCCTCAGGCACCAGTACTTTCATGCCCTCATCATACGTGCCGTGGCCGTAGTTCCCGACCACACTGATAGACGATATCAGTTGGAAACCGAACCGGAAGCCTCGGGGGCGTTGCGCTGTAACAAGGCAAGCCATATCAATCAGGTTTCGCATAACACCAAACTGTGGTTCAAATCCAGACAGAGGTCGCTTCACACTCATGGGCCATGCCTGATGGATGATGTGAGTGACAGAGGCTACAAGCCTTTCGTACTCGTCATTTGAAAGGCCCAGCTTAGCCTGGGAGGTGTCGGCCTGGAGTACTTTCAATTTTGAAAGCAGATGATCAGGAAAATGAACGCCCTTGTCTTTCATGGCTCTCTTCTGCCGTTCGAAAGCCTCGACTCGATGTTCGCGGTTGAGACAAATCACCATCTTCACGTCAGAGAGATGAGCCATTTTGAAGGCAAGGTGGCCCCCCAAGCTCCCTGTTGCACCTGTCACTAGAACAACCTTGTCGTTGTCGCTCGCAGCTGAATCGCGTGAAGAAAGAACGGGTGCAGAAAAGCCCGCAGTGTATTTTTCGACATACTCATCAATTGCCCGTTTTCGGGCCACCAGATCGGCCATCTCGTTCTCTGACAACTGTAGCGCTGGTTTCGCCTCCACCTTCGTTGCCGACTTTTCGGTCTCTTGCCGCTTAGTACCGTTCACTGTTGGAATTTCAGATATAGTCTGCACTGGTTCTGGGGCTGCTCCTACCAGCATTTTCTTCAAGTCGGCCACGGTCGGGCATTCGAGAAAGAGACTTTCGTGCTGGATATCGAGCTCCAGCTCGTCTCGGAAACGACTCACAATGACAAGCGAGAGGAGCGAATCCACTCCGGCATCGCCGAAGTTTGTGTCATCCGTCAATTCATCTACTGAGATGCCACTTTCTTCCGAGATGATGTGGAGAGCGTGCTTATAGTCAACATTAGTGACTGGACCCGGAGTATCCACTCTGGTAATGGGGGTCGTAGCTCCCGTTGCATCGCTACTCCCGTTCAAGCTTGGCGGAATCGATTCTGTTTCGCTTGTTCCGTTAGATGTCTCGGCAGTTTTGGAGTTACCTACTGCCAAGAAATTCTTAAGATCACCAACAGTAGGATACTCGTAGAAGAGCGCGTTAATGTCGAGGTCCATGTCGAGATCTTCTTTGAAGCGAGCCGAAATCGTCAGACCGAGAAGTGAATCAACCCCTGCATCGCCAAAGATGGTATCGTCTGTAAAGTCTGCGACAGCAAGGCCGCTCTCTTCTGCGATGATGGAGATAGCTTGGTCAAAACCAATCGAGTCTGAAGGTTTTGTCTTGGACTCAGCGTGATGCTGGCTTGCGTTCCCCAATGCTTTCGACAGCGCCAGTGCCGGAACCTCCGTCTTCTCTGCCGGCTGTGGCTGTTGTTGATGTGGCTTCTTCGCGTTCTGGCGGCTCTCTGTCGACAGAATGATTCTCAAGACTCGCCGTGGCACTCCTTGCATCTATGTGCAACGCAGTCAGTTCGTGTTATTCATATTTTCAAGTGAAACAATATTTGAGAGCTTACCGCGAATTGTCCAAAGTGAGCGACGACTCGGTCATTTTCCATAATCACTATTTCACCGTGCCAGAGGTGATCTTTCCCCTCGACCATGCGAGAGTAGGTAGTGTAAATCTTGGAGAGGTCCAAGGCTTCGAACATTCGGAACGAACCCCACCCGTGGTTTACAAAGACCTCCTTGTCGAGATCATTGTTGTCGTTACAATTCATTGTGAACCCGGAAGACCACGTCAGCGCATCGAGAAGGCCGGGATGGGTATGGAAATTGCCTTCTTTGTGGAAGCCGCCAAAGCTAAGACGGCTCGAGGATTCCAGTGTCTTGCTGTTCAGTACGATCTCGTCCACAGCCCGATAGTCGTCGTGGAATCGTGCCAGCGGTCTGATGGCTCTGTAAACCATGGCGCGGTTGAAACGAGCTGTTTCACCTGTGCTAATACCCTCGCGCAAGATCTGCTGCTTCTGTTTAATCTCAACCATCTCTTTCTGAAGCTTATTTTGCAGGCTCCGGTCGGTGAATTGAACATTGCAGCGCGAGTGTTCCTGGAGCTTTTGCTGCTTATCAAACGTCATGAACTTGACGATTGCCACGTTCGACGCCCAGTCAGCATCCGCATGAACCTGTAGGATCTGTTCTGGACCATCAGCTCGGAGGATGAGAGCCTTTACGATGGTCATGTCTGAGATATTAAGAATGGTATCGGGCTTCTTGTTTGGGTGGTAGCATTCAAGCAAGTGAGTGCCCAGACTCAGAGCGATATCCGCATATACTGCCGGGGTGCAGAGGGGAACCCCGTCAACCTCATGGCCCTCCACCAACGGGCGGAAGTCCTTGCGCGTGGCGTCAGCTTCCACGATCATACAGGCACCCTTAGAGTCGTATGTCTCTTTTACAACCCGGTGAATAGTAGTACTCTCTAATCGCGAGGTTTTACTAGTTTGCGCTGGGGGGTCTCCTTTGCGCAACGACCAGTCGTTGACGTACTGAATCCAGTAAGGCTTGAGGTCCCAGCTGTATGCCGGCAACGCCAGGACCTTGTGAGACGCTTTGAAGTCAGCATGGTACGCGGACCAACGGATGTTAGATCCCGCAGTGTAAAGAGCCTTCAGGCTGGCGGTCAGTAGCTGGAACGCTGGTCGGCCCCTTTGTAACGATGCCAGACATGTTATCTGTGAATTTAAAACTGCTTTGACCATTCCAGTGATAGCCGGATGCGGTCCAATCTCTAGCGCCGTGCTTTGATCACCGATGATATGGTGACTGTTTGCTGCCAAAAGTGCCTTGTGCATGTTGACAGGCTCGCGAGTATGCCGAGCTAGGTACTCGGGACCAAACTTATCGAAGCCATCAACGATGCTACCATCCAAGGGGCAGATGACTGCAACCTTGGCTTGATAGAATGTCACACCCTTCGCTAGCTGCTGATAATCGACTAGAATTGGTTCTACTTGAGAGGAGTGGAAAGCATAGGGGACTTTCAGCAATGTTGTCTTTAGTCCAGCAGTTGAGAGCGTGTTCTTGATCCTAGAGATATCGTCGTTGATTCCTGCCAGTACTGTCTCGGTCGGGGAGTTGATGCAAGCAGTTTCGTACGTCTCGCCTTTAAGCACGTGTGCGATCTCGTTTACCGATGCCTTGACCACTAACATAGAGTGAGTGTCGCGGGTACATTTCTCCTGGAGCATAGTAGCACGAGAACCGACAAGGTAAATCATATCAGCATCAGACAGGACGCCAGCAGCGTTCAGTGCCGCATACTCACCCAAGCTATGTCCCACAACGGCTGCTGGAGTAATGTTCCACGAAGCCCATAGCTTCGTCAGCGCAACCTGTAGGCAGACGCTAGCCAGCTGGACAGCGACAGGGTCAAAGGCACCGACATCCGACTCTATGGAATTGATGACTGGTAGCATAGACTGGAAACCTAGGCTCTCTACAATGCGGTCCAGACGACGCATCTCGGTGCGGAAAAGCGAGAAGGACTCGTAGAGCTCTTTCCCCATTCCGGGGTACTGTGCACCCTGTCCAGTGAACATAAAGATGATCTTAGGAGTGCTCTTAGGTCTTGTTACTCCTGTCTGTTTCTGTATCGCCTCTTCGATTTGGGAGCAAAGGTCTTGGGTGGTCACCCCAGTAAGCATCACGCGATGCGGGTGATGAATACGGCGTCCAGTCGTAGTGTACGAGAGCTGACCAATATCAAGACTGGAGTTCTGCTGCAAATAGTGGCGCAACGATCTGAGATTGCCCTGTAGCGAAACAGCATTCTTAGCCGATACAGCGACAACATGGTGGCTGCGAAAATCCAGGGAGACACTAGCAGACTCCTGTTCATATGGTGCATCTTCAAGCAACAGGGCTGAATTACCACCAGCGGCGCTGAAGTTGTTCACGAAAACTCGTCGTGGCTTCAGGGCGTCAGAGCTCCTTTCCCAAGACGTTGGCTCTCTGGCGATATGGACATTTCGTTGAGTCATATCAGTGGGGAACTTGCGGTTTATGTTATTCTTGATGCCACAATGCGGAACGATCATATTTTTCTGCAGCATCAAGAGCACCTTGATGAGACTAGCCATACCAGAGGCTGCCTCGCCGTGCCCTATGTTGGCCTTAGCGGATCCCAAGAAGAGAGCTTCGGTTTTATTTCGACCCTTCTGCAAATCTGTGAGACTTGGCGCAAAGATGTCTAGAACACTAGACATCTCCCCAGCGTCGCCTGCTTGGGTGCCTGTTCCATGCATCTCAATGTAGCCAACGCTATAAGGATCAGTCGCGCTCTGGTTCAGAATCTTTCGGAAGATATCCTTCTGAGCCCCGACGTGGGGTCGAGTGATGGACTCAGATTCAGCTGAGTGATTAGTATATGCGCCTAGGATAACGCCCAGAATTGGGTCCTCATCGGCAACGGCGTCGTCGAGGCGTTTGAGAATAATAGTCCCGACTCCTTCGCCTCGGCAATATCCATCAGCTTCGTCGTCAAAGGTCTTACAATTACCCGTCCGGGAGAGGAAGTGACCCTTGTCAAGACCAGCCGTCATGTCTGGGTTAGTCAAGACGTTCGTTCCTCCAGCGATAGCCGTATCGATGTCCCCTCGCCAAAGGGAGTTACAAGCAAGGTGGATGCCTGCGAGACTGGAAGAACACGCCGTATTGACTGCATAACTTGGGCCGCTGAACTTGAAGAAGTAGTTGATGCGGCCTGGGATGAAAGCCATATTGCCACCTGGAATGAAGTACGTATCAATATTTTGGGCGCTGTTTGTCTCGAACCAATCCTGGCTTGTCACACCGTAAAAGACACCAACACGATCGCGACGCGTTGAAGGGGTAGCATCAGGAACGATACCGGCTTGTTCCACTGCTTCGTAAGCGGTCATCAAAGCAAGCCTCTGGGCCGGATCTATCTGCGGCGCCTCTCGCGGGGATATATTGAAAAAGCGCGCATCAAAGCTTGCCGGATCGTCCAGCCACGCCCCCAACGGGACAGTGCTTGTATTCTTCCGTTTGCCCTCAGGGTCTACGTGCGATTTGACGTCCCAGCGCGAGGGTGGAACAATCTTGTGCATATCGAGACCTCCATGAAGAACCTTCCAGAATGCGTCATTGTCCTTGGCACCGGGAAATCTTCCGGACATTCCGACAATGGCCAGCTTCGGTTTTCCTGGGCTGGCATATTCGCCAGTTCCAGGCACATCACCAGGCGACTTATTCTGCGCTGTCATGGAAGGCAATAACGTACGCAACGGTGTCTGCTTGAGCGCAGAGTAGATTAATTGGTGGGATCTTGTTGCAATTGGAATAATGCTGAACGATCTCGGGTCGCCGCTTGAAATGTGATTTTGCAGTTTTTCGATAATATTGTTCCACTGAATTGGATGCAACAGAATCTGAGCCACTGCTATGTTCAAGAGCCCCCCGAAGTCCATATTCTCCAACCTGCCGCCGCTGGAAAAGATTGGAATGACGTTCTTGTAAGAGTTGGAGCTAAAAGGACCAACGGTTCCGATGATCTCGTCAACGTCATCCTGAGAATATAAATGCGGGGCATGATACGGCCCGAAGATGGGGATACTCTTGACTCCGGGGGTCTGTAAGGTCTGCGAGCTATGCAGGAGACTGAGCGAGCGAGGCGGGCCGCTCACGGTGATTCCATTAGGAGCATAGGCGCTGATATAGGGTTTGAACGACAGAGGCAGTCTCTAGGTCAAGTTAGTGGAAAGTGAGTTGTTAAAATCCCTGTACTCTTACCGTTTGTTCACAATACTTGTGCACCGCTTCTGCAGATGTCAAACCGGGAATGACAAAGGACCAGCTCTGGCTCAGAGACTCAGAAGGATCAAGACGTTGTGCCATGTCAGCTACACGCATGCCCGTTCTGAAAGCTACGAGAACCGCATCCACTCCTATTGGAACGAGATCGAGTGTATTTCTAGTGCAGACAACTGCAGCAGCGGCCAGGGCTCCTGTGCAGAGGCCCACGACACCTGAGCCCTTGCTGTAGAAGTCCCAAGAGCTGGACTGGCTACAAATACTGTGAGATTCGGACTTGGCACGTGTAAACATTGGAAGGGTCTGTACCTGATAAAAGTACCGATCTGGTACAAACATGTCATAGCCATGTCCACGGGTATACATTGTTGACCATCCTGCTTCCACAAAAGAAGGTCATCCAGGCTAGTAAATCTGGGAAGGCTTTCTATGACCTCAACAGGGAGCGTAAAGATCTCCTTGCGTATCACATCGTATGACTTGGAAAGGAAATTTTCCAAGATTGGGTTTTGTCTGTCCCGCAACAGCTCCTTCCGATACGGCTGGTTATCATACGTCTGGTCTCCGAAGAGAAACAATTTTGGTTCGTCTGACATGATAGAATTTGTTGACGACTCTTAATCCAGAATGTCAGTCTTAAGGATATTATATGGATATGCAGCAAAGAACTGCTCTTCTAGTCGAACTTGGCACCTTGTGATGCGAAATATATTCTCAAGAGTCCATAGTGGTCAAGAGCCTATCTATACTGCGTCTCAGACTATTAGCTTAATAGATCCTTATCACTCTCGGGGACGCCCCGGTCAACTTGTGTCCGATATGCTGCTGCGGGTTTCAAAGTTCACCATGCTCAATATGATGTCTAGGTATGTTCATTAGTCGAACACGTCAATAGATTCTAAATGATCGTTAATTGGCTGTACAACGCTATCTTTAGAACTCAAAAGCCGGTCCCCTGGACTGTTACCATACAATTATTTCGTTTCCTCCGGATCGGGAATCCTGGCAAGGCGATTCAAAGATTACCCGGGCGTCGTATACTCTCCCCGAGAGCCGTCGGGTTTTACCTACATAGGCAGTGATGTTAGCCCGAGGCTTATCTTTTCCTCGTAGAGATTAATTTTCTCAGCTTGGTGTATGGTGGCTTGTAAAATGTTTCGTGTCTGGCTTGTAAACCCCATAGCCATAATGTCAGCATGGTCAGTAGCTGAACAATCTGTATGCATGAAGTTCCCCTAGATCAACTAAAATACGTCATTTAATAAGCAAATTATATTATTCTCCATCTAAATGTTCCTAGCAAGGTCGGTGAAGTGTCGAGCTTCTTTCCGATCTACTCAGCCATACCGAGGTTAACTAAGTGACACAAGATCATTAGCTGCGCCCTCTACAGCTTGTAACGCCATTATTCGAAGCCCCTTTAGTTAAGATAAACACTTCGATGGATCAATTCGGGAATATTCAGTAATTGACTTCATTGATTGGCCTCCAAAAGTGTTCATATGCAGACGAAGGTATAACCATCACCGTCCGAGCGCTACTAGCGCGGCTGTTCTGGATGGTGGCATATCAGACCCAGACCCGCTGCCTTCAAGTTAGGAGCCGTACTCAGCTACCTTGCACATCGTCAGACCGAATCGGTTGAACATGCGATTGGAGCCATGATTTGTGCTGGAAATCTGACTGGCACGCATGTTGCAAAGGACCTGGAAGTGGGGCTGACGCCAGGAAACGGCCGAGCAATACAACCGATGAGACTACAAAGCATTCTTTCGAGTCGCACAGGGCTTTTCGCTGATTCCTGCCTGGGACCGGCTGCAGTGTGTGGCGTGCACGTCTCCACATACCCGATCCTGGGTATCTCTAAAGCTGACATACATAGTCAACACATTTATCTTTGTGGTTTACTGTACAGGACCCAAAAGTGGCAAAAGCCATAAGCTTACAACCAACGTTTACCGTGCACTAAGTGAGTTAGAATAAGCTCATCATCTAGATCGGAAAGTAGTCGCCGAGTTCCCCCACGTATGCCTATTGTGTAGGCTTAAAAGGAATTTTAATTGCAACAACAAGGGTGGTCTACCCGGCGGGTCCTGTTGCTTGAAATCAAAATCGACTCCCATGGCCCATATATGTACCTCGTGTGGCTATTGATGGCTCTATTGAATCAAATTTTGTCCCCCCAACATTGAGGCGTCCGGACCCAGGCTAGTGGAAACTTCTTGTTTGAACAATGTCTCTTAAACCCCCACGGCAGCCGAAGCTACGGTCTAGTTGCAATGGATGCGGCTCTGCAAAAGTCAAATGCGACAGAGACCAGCCTATGTGCGGCAGATGTGCTACTCTCGGCATCACTTGTGTTTACGGTGTGTCACGCAAGATGGGGAAACCGGCAAGGGAGAGGTTGAAAGTCTCAGACGTGCCGAGAGTATCAGGCACGCCAGAGAAGCAACCAGCTTTCCCCAAAGATCACAAATGTGACGACGACAATAGAGATTACTGCCTAGGGCGGTCTGGTAGAAGGACGGATCCTTCTTCGAGGTCAGGGTCGTCTTCGAGTAGCAGCGATTCGCAATCGACCTGGAGATTGGTGCGCGACGATATTTTCTGTAATATTGGGGCGGGCACCAATTTGCTTGGTGCGTTGCCTCCGCTCATGAACTTATCAGGCATGGAATTTGGTGATTGGGCTCCGACTGACGAGCTTTTATCTACGGCAACCGATCATGAACTATTTGCCACATTCGATTGGCCGCCCTTCGAGAATCCAGCGAACTACTCTATACATGAAGATGCCTCTCAACAGCCTCAAGATACAGGAGTCAGCTCCCTACAGTGGCATCAAGACAACACGCAAGCACAATGTGACCGTAAATGTTTGCGGGAATCCTACGATATTCTATGCAACTTATCGCTCATGAATCCGGGCAAGTTTCAGTCGACAATGGCATCGGAGACAACGACAACAGGCGCGCCTGCAGACCACTTCCCGTTAGATAACATACTACAACTCAACCGCGAATGCAGCGAGAGACTATGCCGCCTATTGAATTGTTCCTGTGCTGGCTACCCTCATCTCGCGTTACTTCATGCGTCAATAATTTCACGCATACTGATCTGGTATCACCAGGGATTGAGCTATTCATCATCATCATCACATACCTCATCCCCCTCCCTCATAGCAACTGCCTTGAATACCGCTGTTTCACCAACTAACCTTCTGCACAAGGCTCCGGGCATGTCTCCGCCATCACCCTGGTCCACAAGCACGGTAGTAAGCAATACTAGTACGGGTGGTTCAAGCACCCCGACGAAAATGCAAGGGTCCACGCAAGTGGCTATGGGAAGCTTTATTACAGACGATGAACGGGTACAAGCATCCCTTCGCATCCAGTTACTTCTATCGGAGCTCACAAGACTTGCCGTCTTAATCAAAGATTTTGCCTCGCGGGGTTCTAAAGCCATTGACGTATCAGCGTCAGGTACTATAAACCCTTTGTATCACAGCCTAGGCTCTTGGCTACTGAGCGAACATGCAAGCATTATGGAGATAATGAGGTCGCGGTTGATGGATTTTAGCATTTAAATAAATAGAAACGAGCATTTGTATTACATTACACATAATAACGAATTGGTATAGATTAATCAAGAATATCTCTATGAAGTAAAACATATATTCATAGTCATCTTACATCAAGTGATGATTATTTCTAACTTCTGAACAGGGCTTGAAATGTTTAATCTAACGTTGGTCACGTATTCAAAGCCTTGCCAATGACTACAGGAATACTATGTTGCAAGCCTCATACAAAAGCCTCTATCAAGGACTGGCAAGGGTGCCAGTGGAAGTCCGCTATAAATTCAATCCAGAAGTTACCCACTGGCCAGGGTCGTTTTAAGACCAATTTCGGTCAAGCACATTCGGCTTGCATGACTGCTCGCTGCTTTTACCCGCAGTCTTACTGTTAAGTTGCAGTGCCCCCCTGAATAACGCCGAAAGAGTTTGTCCTTACCCAATGAATTGGCGCCTTTGATACCCGGCAATTGCTTTTCCTTGGCCGCAGCGCCAAGCATCGGCGTTAAGAGCTGACAACTTCACAACAAGCTTATGAGGCCGAATACCTGTAGACATTCCCTACATGCAGTCATCTCTTACATCCACTACCAAGCTCAGCTTGAGAACAAACGGATTGCCGCAATGTAAGGGAATCGACAACTATTGAGCAAGTGCTTCGGAAACAAGAATAGAGAGGTGAAGCACGTGCGAGAAGAGGATACGAACACGGCTATCTCGGATAGAATTCGCTTTTGTTCGATCTCAATTGAGCCCCGCACGCAAATCGTCCACGACTTAGCCTGGCCAAAGTTGTTTAGTTACCAATCGTTGAATCTTCAAAGTCTCTTCGCTCTCTCAAAGTCTGACGGTTCTCCAACCTATTCGGTGGAGATTGTTCTTATACGAAATCATTCAACATGTCGAACTCTGGGACAAGTACCAGTTGGCGAGGATCGATTTCAGCAATACCAAAAACACCAATCAAGGAAAATGAAACTCAGGAAGGGCCTCAAGTCAGGCCTCGTGAACTCAAGGCTCCGAGACTGCCAGTCCCGTCTGTTGGCCACGACTTTCTTAACACCATCAACGGATCAAATGTAGGAAGTCAACTCAGCTGGGAGGATTTCCTACATTCAGAGTTTATTTATCCGGAAATAGAGCCACCCAAGCCGTTGAGGACAACTGTGGCTAAGGAGGGTCATGGGGAAGACCCGGAGTGGTTCATTACCCCTGATGCACGCCCAGATTCTCCGCATGATCTCTCCAGGGGTCAGCCACCTCCACAATATCCACCACCTTTAACCTTCGCGATCAACATGTTTGCGATGTACATTGCTGTCTTCTGTGTTGCACTGGATAATACAATCATCTCGACGGCTATACCTAAGATTTCCAGCGAGTTCCACTCCTTGAGCGACGTCGGATGGTATGGTTCAGGTCAGTCGTCTTACTTGCGCCATAGGACGTTCAGGCAGCTACATAGGATACGTGCTAATGAGTCTCGGCAGCATTTTTCTTAACCCAATGTGCCTTCCAACTGTTGTTCGGCAAGCTATATAGTATATTCAGCCCGAAATGGACGTACCTGGCTTCTCTATTCTTCTTCGAACTCGGCTCTCTTATATGCGGCATAGCACCCTCGTCACTGGCGTTGATCATTGGGGTATGTATTCCTATTACAGATATAGAAGTCATTGTCTTACTGATTCATTTTCTGCAGCGCGCCATCGCCGGCATGGGTTCGTCAGGTGTGTTTGCGGGGAGTTTGGTCATCATCACCCGGACCTCTCCCTTGGAGAAGCGGCCAGTCTGGCAAGGCCTGATCAGTGCCATGTATGGTATCGCTTCTGTCATTGGACCTTTGGTGAGGCGTTATGGTCTCATGCCATGGAAGTTCATTACTCATTCTATTATAGTTAGGTGGTGCTTTCACAGATCACGTTTCCTGGCGATGGTGTTTCTACATTAATCTTCCTTTTGGGTTAGTGATCGTTCCCTCCTGGAGCCAACCATTTGTTGTGAGTTCCAAGACACTAAATTTAATCGATCGCACAGAGCTGTCACGGCAGGTATTATCATATTCTTCTTGCGCCTGACACCCATCGCCAGCCCTTTCAAAAACATGACACGGCTCGAAATATTTCTCCAGCTCGATCCGCTGGGGTTTGTCCTATTCCTTCCTAGTATGATCTGTCTTTTTATCGCTCTGCAGGTACATTTCGCCAACATATTCCGACTTGAGCTACATTTGCTGATGCCGGCGATATCATAGTGGGGAGGTACGCAATATCCGTGGGGCGATGGAAGAATCGTCGCCTTATTCTTTATCTGTGGCATAACCCTTTTCCTCTTCGGGGCCTTGCAATGGAAACTTGGCGAAAAGGCAACCATACCTCCCCGTATTGTTACGCAGCGAACAATCTGGTCCGCCAGTTGGTTTGCGTTCTTTCTTTCTGGTTCATTTTACCTGTTCATCTACTTTATCCCATACTACTTCCAGGCTGTCAAAGGCGAGTCAGCACTATCGTCTAGCATCGACAACTTGCCCTTAATTCTTGGCAATGTCATCTTAGCAGTGGCATCTGGCGTCGGTGTCAGTAGACTGGGTTATATCAACCCTTTTTGCTATGCAAGTGTGGTGTTCACTTCTATTGGGGCAGGCTTGTTGATGACAATGACAGCTGAAACAAGCCCGCCGCGGTGGATCGGGTACCAGATTTTGTTCGGTCTAGGCGTCGGACTCGGCTTTCAACAACCTCCTAACGCGCCACAGGCGGTGCTCCCACTTCAAGATCTGCCTATCGGCATTAGCGTGACCCTTTTTTGTCGGAATCTCGGCGCCTCCTTGTTCGTAACCGCCGGCAACACTGTGCTCGATAACCAGTTACGACAAGGTTTCGCTGATCTTGCAATCCCCGGCGTCAGCCCTGGGGCGTTGGTAGAGGCTGGCCCTATCTCATTCCGGTCGATTGTTCCTTCATCATCCGTGGACGCAGTGATAAACGTGTATGTGTTGGCGCTGCAGAAGACTTATCAGATTGGAGTCATAATTGCTTGCATTTCAGTTATTGGCGCTATTTTCATAGAGTGGAAAACACTAAAGAAGCCGGCGGGCCTACCTTCTCAACATACTCCGGCTCCCACGGGAGGTCTCGTGCAAGTCGCAGACCAAAGAGATACGCAAAGAGATAGTCGGGTAGTGACCCTCAGGAGCAGTCGGAAAAGCCGAGAATGGATACCTTTGGATGGTCGGGCATCCCCATTTCGCAGAAACTAACAACACTATTTGTAATGCATGGATTCAGATCAATTATTACATTTTGTCGCAATTTACTAGCCGCCTCCGTGTAGGCATATTTTGGCAGCAATATTGCTTGTTTCCCACTTCTTGTGAAATTGTTAGTACAGGCAAGCTGCTTTGTAAATAACATGGTCGTGGCATTGTATCTTTGAGTGCATATTATACTGTGTGGCAAAATGGAAACACGAACCACTTTATGATGGGACTGCGTTGCTCGGAATAAACTTTATGGGCACATCGCATCTTGCAAAGCAGTATCAATATGACAATTCCTCCTATTCTGGACTAGGAATAATTATTGACGTAGCAGGTATTACAGATTAAGTATATCTAAATTTTGGACAGGAGATTGGCACTGAGAAAAACCTCTATGTCGATCATTTCCTTATCTGAAAACCTGGCAAACGGCGTGTCAAGTGCGTCAAAATCTCCTCGTGGACTATCCTTGGCAATCATCATATAACTAAAAGGCGGCAGTAAATTTGTGGAGTAGTTTGTTGCATCATCTCTATCGGCCAGCTGCATATGTTTCAAAGAGGAGGAGGTAAGATTTTACACACCGAGTCAGGTTCAGCGCCACTTGATTTTATCTCCTATTTCGGCCATTTTTCAACCTCTAGCTGAACCCGACTTAATGTTGTGAAACCTCAATCGTCCATGTCAACCAAAGATACGTGATATCCGGAATTAGTGAAACGTCCTTGCCGGCTTGTAAGACCAGGAACCACACTAAGTGTGCGATGTAGCTTTCTCCTTTGCTTTACGGCCAATACTAACATTACAGAGCAGACAACATGATGAGCAAGCCTCTAGTTCGGGAAGCGATAGTGAATGTTTATTGGTCAGGGTTATTGCAGGGCTGGGCGTAAGCCACGGTCCGCATATCATCCGTGGTGGCGTCAAAGCTGGGTGCAGCTGAATTTTGGGTCGACCATGGGTCGTCAGCATCCCAGCATAAGCTGATCCGGAAATTGAGCTTCCTGACGACGGGCTGCATATCAGAGAAGTATGTGGCTCGCAAAGAGTCCGAACCGCAGGTAATTCGCTACCGTGTGGTCAATTTCTGGGACTCGAACACCGGCACCTTATGGCCTCAATCTGACATGACAGCCAAAGAGATTTAGAAACAAAGTAATAGAACCAAAACCATTTGTCATCTCCTTGGCAAGCATGGCATATTATATATCTTCACCCACTGCAAATAGTGAGCTCAAGCAGCCGGCACTAAGCTACCGAGGCACCAGCACGGTAAATACACACATCATGATAGATAGCCACGAATTCTCGCAAAACTCCAGAGTTGTCTTCTGGGCCGTCGCACTGACGGTATTCTTCTTCATAATATGGCTCCGCCGCGATCGCAGATTGGACAAGATGCCCGGGCCTGGAGGTTTCCGGCTTAGCCTCCCCGCGAAGGTGCATATTGACTTTCGAGATTGGGCTTCCAGATATGGGGAGGTTTTCAAGCTGCGTGTGGGCGTTTATAACTGGGTCGTTATCAACAGCCCTCAAGCAATGCACGAGATCTTGAACAAACAGGTGAGTCTCCTCGCAGAACACATAAACCAAAAACTAGCTAAACGGGAATTCCTAGTCCATGAAGACGTCTTCCAAGATGCCGGCACCCATGGGTCATGACGTCGTGGCGGGTGGAATGCGCATGTTTACCTTGGAATATGGAACCAAATGGCGCACATATCGCACCATTACGCACCAGCTTCTCTCAGCCACTATGATCTCTACGTTTTTACCGAGCCAAGAGTTCGAAACTAAGCAGCTGCTCTTTGATCTAGCCACAAAGAATACAGATCAACTAGAATTTAACATGCATATACGCCGTTTCGCGTTCAGCATCGTCATGACTAGCACATACGGCTTACGTGTGACTGACTGGGACAACGAAGACGTTCATCACGCTTTGGAGAGCGCCCGCATTCTAGGCAAAATTACTCGAGCTGGCGGTTTTGTAGTGGATGAATTGCCGATTTTAGCACGTTTACCAACATGGATGCAGCCGGGTAGGAGGCAGGCCGAAAACTATGCAAAGCCGTTGCTTCATGCCAAGATGCAGCTCTGGCGACGGCTGGAGAAGCAGGTGGCTGCAGGAACAGCGCCGATCTGCTACGCACGTGAGCTCATGGAGAACAGCGACTCATGGCGCAAGCAAGGGTTGACCGACGAGGATGCGGCATGGATAGCTGGCGGCAACGTTGAGGCGGGTTCTACCACGACGTCGGTTACGCTACTGAGCCTACTGCTGCACTTGATTGCGCGCCCGCACGTGCAGAAAGCAGCTCACGACGAGGTCATGCGAGTTGTGGGACCGGACCGCACGCCTGTATACGACGATATTGAGAAAATGCCTTATATCCGTGCCTGCACAAAGGAGGTTTTGCGCATGCATCCCACACCGTTCTGGGGGATTAAGCATTACGCAGATGCCGACGTGGTGTACAAGGACTATGTCATCCCCAAGGGCACCGTACTCCTCGGGAACACGAGCTTCATACACTATGACCCAGAGCGGTATGATGAACCATCCGACTTTCGACCGGAGCGCTACCTGAATTACCCCAAGTACAGTTCCGAGTATGCCAACCAGAGCGATCCTTATGCCCGCGACCACTTCACCTTCGGCATGGGCCGCCGTATCTGCCCAGGAGCTCGCCTCGCTGAGAACTCCCTCAACCTCGCTCTGGCAAATCTTATATGGGCCTTCGAGCTCCACCCTCCCGCAGAGGCCAAGCGTGTTGATATCAGCGATGACGCCTGGGAGGACACGAGCTTTCGCGGCCCCAAACCCTTCGCCGCGCGGTTCGTACCCCGGGCGAATGACAGACTGCGCTTGATTGAGCGTCAGTGGAAAAAAGCAAAAGAGGAAGGATTTGTGCTTAGAGGGCAAAAGGTGGATGTAAATGGTATTGTTACGGGTCGAAGCTAGAACACGTTATCGTGATACATTTGGTTTATCCTGTCGGCGCTAGATTTTGGCAGGACTACGACTCAACCATCCATTATGCTTAAGATTACAAATGCAAACTCCAACATCCATATAAATGCACACAAATGGGTGGTATGCAGTGTTTTATCTCAATTGAACTTGTGTGGACTCATCGATGTATAAGGTAAATATCGTGCAGAATCGTGTGCTCGTAGTGCTTGGTGGGGACCTGTAAGGTGCTAATTCCCGGGCGGGCGTCCAAATCATTGGAATTGAGGGTTTCCAAATCCTAGATGTTCAAGTTGACAAAATTCAATAAATAGGTTCACATCATTACATGTGTACGTTCAACTTTCAAGTCAATATACTCGACCAACTTTGAGTGAACTAGGTTTTTCGTATAATACCGGTTGTGAGGTGTTGCGGCAATTGTATCATACATAAGTTAGTCTCCTGCCAAGGTTAGTCAGGTGAGCGCACTCACTAGATACCAGCCCTGAAGTGAACTCTCACTTCTATTCAAACAAGGGAAAACTAGCACAAATCAGACAAGTTAACGTCTGCCCAATAAGGTGCTAAGTGTAAATATACCGAGAGCAAGATTTCATGTCTGCTAGTACCTATATCATCAGATGCTATGAATACATTTTAGAGAGATAGTTGATGTATATTTTTGGCGACAATGAATGTGCTCTTCACTATAGATATAGCTGTCTGCCTTGAACTACCAACCCGTCCCAACCCTTCTACTACCTCCTACTCCTCATCATCACTACCACCATTACCGCTAAACTATGACATATACCACAAGCCCTAGCTAGTTTGGCGAATTCCAGTGTCCAAGAACCGAGTTATAGTGATTGAAGAAGCCGTGTGGATCGTACTTTGCCTTAAGCTTCCTTAGACGGTGCTCGCGCCAGGGTTCGTAGCCGTACAGCGCCTGCAGGGGCTCGTCACCGCGAGCATAGTTCATGTATACAGACTTGACAGGGTAGCCCGAGTGCTCAGGGGCCCACAGGTGCGAACGCCAATGGTCAGCCCACTCCTGCCATGCGGAAGCAACGCTGTCGTCTGTATAGGTGCCCTGGAGAAGCATGAGGATGTTGCCATATTGGCGGTTGCCAAAGGCTGTGCTTGCCGGGTTCTGCGCTAGCACGGCCCTTTGCGAAAATATTTCGTACAAGAAGATGGAATGAACGGCCAGCGGGTTTGCCTCGACGAACTCGACATACGATTCGAAGAGCTCCCGCTGCTGTGCGATGTCAAATGATTTCGTGTTGACCGTATAGACGTCGTAGCTGAGCCCTTCCGTACATGCGTGGGTGATGGCGCCTCGAGCGGCTGCGCTCGGAACATTTTCCCAAGCCACCGTGGACTCATTCAACCAAGTACGCTCAATACCGAGTTCTTGGCTTGTGGCGAAGCGGGCCGTATAGGCTTGGCCTTGTTCCAGGGTACCATGGTAGACCACATTGAGTAAGAGGCCAGGCTAATAGGTTTATTAGTAACTTATCCGTCTATGGATATTTCGCCAAGCACTCACCGTTTGGGTTGTCTCGTTATAAGTGATGAAAATGTCAATTGCAAGACCGGGATCTTGGTCTGGAATCAGGTCATTGACAACACTGAGAACTCCCTCAAGGGAGTCAGTGGTAAATGTCATGTCGCCATTGTAGTTCTGGCCATCGTTCTGTTGAGGGAAAGTCTTGAAGGTGTACTCGAGAACGATGCCAAAGTTATGACCTGCTCCTCTCATAGCCCAGAACAAATCTGCGTGCTCGGTCGCGGACACGTCAATAATGGAGCCATCCCAGAGTGCCACGCGGAGTTTAACAATCACATCCACTATCATACCGTACTCGCCTTGGAGCCGGCCATGACCACCGCCTATGCTGGCACCGCCCGCTCCTACACACGGACAGGAGCCAGCCGCTACGCGTTATTGTCAACTTGGAAATTCGATGTACAGAATTGTTGCACTGATTGGGGATATGGACTTAAAACTGTGTAAGGGAAAAGTAAAAGCACTCACGCAATTCTCTGCCAGCTGCATAGGCCGCTGCGTAGACATTCGCGAAAACAGCACCACCGCCGACGGAAATCGTCTCATCATCATTCACCGTAACATCGCCGAAGTTCTCTAAATTGATAACCACGGCGTCTTGTACAGTGCTAAACGTGAGCGTGTTCCCATGACCGCCTCCTTGCGCCAGGAATGAAATATTGTTGCGGGTCATGTACTGAAGCTATGGGCATGGCCATGTCAACTTCTGCGCCAATGTCTCAAAATGGACAAAATTTATAAGACCCATTTACGTACAGCAGTGGTGATATCCTGTTCGGTTGCTGGAAGGAATGCGACGCTATAGGTTGGAGGGCTCCAGGTGGACCAGCGAGCTGTATCATTAGTCCATTCAGGCTGGTCAGGATACACGATCGACGCGCCAGGAGAAATTGTGATGTTCAAGGTAGTCGCTCTTTTCTCGAGAAACCGCACAAGGGCGTCGCCGCTGCTAGTATGCAATGCGGGCGCGGCCGCGGCAGTCAAAGCCGTCGCCAGAACGCCGAGGATCGTGTGGGAAAGCATGATGGTACGCTGCACCGAGCCAAGAAAATTCTCTATTTTCAAAATTTCCCTTCTTCACGTATTAAGTGAAATTAAAGGTGCTGGCTGGGTGCTGTGAGTCCTCAACCAAAAACATCTCCAACGTCGTCCCACATCTTATACCAAGTCCGAGTCCCAGAGCGCCTGCCAATCTCATGACTCTTGCCACTATTCACGAGAATATGGATTAGTGAGGACTAGTAGTGGTGGCTTTCGGGTAGAATCCTTCGCTAGGATAGTCGACACCATTATTCCTGACAAGCACCACGCCCTAAGAACGCCCAGGACGCCCGTAACCCCCATGTAAAGACGGTAATGGCTCAACATCACGAGAGAAAATAGGGCTTGGTGGCTTCAGGCTGACAACCTTTCAGCCTAGCCTTACCCTTGGCGATATTCTCATTACGTTGGATGTGAACTCAACAGGGAAGTTTGCCCAGCAAACAACCACGGCTCATAGGTCTTATTTTACGGCACCCGAGAGCCTTTGGCACCCCTGACGACCCGTCATTCCTCCGGGTAAGACAGCTTTGACCGAGCACCCTTAGGCTCAATTACCCCTAGACTAGTGCTAAAATCAAACTTCTATACGTGCAATTGCTTTTCTGTAGGCAATATTACCCAACATCACGAAATATCCCCAAATGCGGACATGCTGACAGCCACGGCTCTTCATCGGTTTTTGTTGACTATCTCCAATGTCCGTCTCTTACGTCATCTGTGTGACCGTCAGCCGCAATTTTGAAAGCCGATGAGATGTGAACCCGGGAGGCGCTGCCTGTCGGGTCATTTCGCATGGTTTCGCGTAACCGTCGTTGGCCTTGTGACGCCTACATACTTGTTTGCTTATTGCTTATCTCCGTCGTTTCCAGCCCTTCCCGTCGGGGATTACGAATGACAGTCGGTCAAGACAAATATGAGCACTTGTTGCCAAGGCAGCAACCCCTCAAAGAGCTCAGAATAAATCACTTCATTTTCAATTTCTATCAAGCATTGCTAATAAACTCTGACCCACATATCGCCGAACATTATGTCTCCTATTACCATCTTGAAGCCAAAGGTTGCCACGGGCTTTGGGCTTATGGGCATGACATGGCGCCCCCAACACACACCCGATGAGAAAGCCTTTGCCACCATGAAGGAGGCAATCGCTCAGGGCGCCACCTTCTGGTCGAGTGCCGACTACTACGGCATGCCCGAGCCCACGGCCGGTCTCTCTCTATTGCGTCGCTACTTTGAGGCCCACCCTGAGGATGCTGCCAAGGTTACGCTTTTCATTAAGGGATGCGTCGACCCAAAAACGATGCAGCCAAAGAACAGGCGTGACCAAGTCTTCGCCAGCGCCCAACATTGCATCGAGAAACTTGGCGGCGCCAAAAAAATCGATGTCTTCGGCCCGGCTCGTCAAGACCCATCTATTCCGCTTGAAGAGACATTAGGGGCATGTGGTGAACTAGTAGCTACTGGCAAGGTTGGCGGCGTGGGTATCAGCGAAGCCGGCGCTACGACCATTGAGAAAGCCTACAAGGTCTACCCTCTGAGCTTGGTTGAGGTCGAATTCTCTTTGTGGACTCCGGATTTGCTGTCAAACGGTGTGGCGGCGATCGCCAAAAAGCTCGATGTTCCGCTTATTGCATACTCGCCGCTCGGTCGTGGGTTCCTCACAGGGCAGATTAAGTCCCTAGATGACATTCCCCAGGGAGATATTAGGCGACGCTTCGACCGCTTCCAACCTGAGGTTTGATTAGCACCTTATCCTTTTGACCATTAAATGATGTGTACTAACTATAACTTCACAATCTCAGAACTTTGACAAAAACCTTGAGCTCGTGGACACACTGAAATCCTTTGCAGCCAAGATGAATGTGACTCCGGCCCAGCTTGCCCTTGCCTGGATTCGCGCCACCTCGAACTCGGAGCAGGCCGGTACCATCATCCCCATCCCGGGCGCCACGTCGACTAGCCGCGTTGAGGAAAACAGCAAGGACGTCGCCCTCTCCCCTCAGCACAAGAAAGAGCTCGACCAAATTCTCTCGTCGTTCAAGATCCAAGGTGGCAGGTACAATAAGCAGCTGGAGCACTTGCTTTGGCAGTAGCGCGAATCAATCATGTATCACATTTCGAGAAATGAATGAATAGCCATTCATTCTCCCATTTAAATACAGCAGGAATGTATTGTTTGCTATACCTCCAACATAAAAACACTATGTTCATATCGTGTCGTAGTGATAGTATTAAGTCGTGCAAACCCTTTGTCATAGAGTGAACCATTTCGACGCTCGATGGGTTCGAATAATGTCTTACCAAAGGTATAGAGAACACAAAAGATTGTTATCACAATGATGACCCTGTTGTGATTCACGATCCTTAGATTCTGTGTCAGATGTGTTCTTTTTACGACGTTGCAAGCGAAGCAATGCAAAGCAATGCGATTCGAAAAATTAAACTCGAATCCCACGCTTGCTGAACGTTGAAACTATGATTCAAGAAAGTTCCCTTTGTTTCAGTATGGACGAAAAGGGGCACATGCGATAATTTTGTGATGCCACTGGAAGATTCCTAGGGTTCTGGTCCACGTTCAACACTGCAATATATTCCTACTCCGGCATCGAGAACATCACCATCTCAGCCGCCGAGGTCGACTACCCGAGGCGCGCTATTCCTCAAGCTGCGCGGAGGATCTTCTGGAGAACTCTGCTTTTCTACGTCATTTCAATCTTCATGATGACTCTCGTGGTCGCGTCCAGTGATCCGTCCCTGTTGGGCTCATCTCAAACAGCCGCCTCGCCATTCGTCATCGGAGCGAACAACGCCGGTATTAAGTACATACCGTCTGTGATAAACGCTGTCGTCATCACCTCTGCCTGGTCAGCAGCCAACTCTGGTATGCTTGGAGGCACTTGCGTCTTATACGGCTTGGCTCGCACTGGCCGCGCGCCCAAGGTTTTCATGCGCCTTAACCGGTACAGCATACCGTATATCGCCGTCGCTGTTTTTGGGGTATTCATGTGCCTAGCATACATGACCCTGTCTGGTTCTACATCTGCGGTCTTCTCTTGGTTGATTAACCTGATCGCTGTCGGCGCCCTGGTTAATTGGTCCATCATCCTCATAACCTGCGGTTCCAATACGGATGCAAGGCTCAAAGAATCAGCTGCAATGAGCTCCCCTGGGCAGCACCGTTACAGCGTTATCTATCATAGTGCACACTGTTTGTGTTCACGCTGTTGCTGTTGACTTCGGGCTATACGAATTTCCTGGTCGGGCATTGGAACGCCCAAACGTTCGTCGCTTCATATATCAACATCCCCATCATTTTGATTCTCTATTTCGGATACATGGGAGTGAAGTGGACAAAAGTTATCCCGTTAGGGGAGATCCCCATTCGCACGTTCATTCAGATTGCCAATGATAACCCGGAGCCACTACCAGCACGAAAGCGAGGTATTCATAAATTGAATATTTTGTGGCCATAGAACCCGCGAGCACTTTTAGCAAATATTCAATTTCAGAGTTGATCTTCACACTGGTAATGATGTGATATAAATATACTACTCAGGCGCCTCTATATTACTACTAATATTTACCTGACAATGCATATCACGCATTTGCCATGTTAGCGTGACAAAATCGGGTGGAAAAGATGTATTTTATTGGTAGCATATTTTGTGCCTATTTGACTATTCTTTCTTATAAGAATACTGAAGGAAGACAGTGTGCCCAGCTACTTCATGTTAAATTTGTGAGCCGCGTTGCTCATTTCATCTTCTTAATCAACGAAAAGCCTCAAGACTAATATCTCGGTCACACGATTACTATTATCCTTACACGTTTCTTACGAACATATAGCACCATATATGGTCTTATCTCGCCCAGATCAGGCCTGAACTATGTAAAACACACCTGCAAATGATCCTAAAGGCATTGCCGGGGGTCGATAAGTCGTCTTCACCTGTGATTGAGCCCATCAAGCTCGAACTCAAGGAATATCCCGAAGGAGCCTCCTCAAGAGATCTGACATGAAATGTCCATTGGTAGCCTTTCGCGAGATGGGATAGAATTTGGTCATTTTTATGAATTCAACAACAATTGGAATAGCCTTTCTGCGACTAAATCGCGCCCTGTATCATAATTGTACCATGCAAACAGAATATTCTTGCAATAACGCGATGAAGGATTCGCAAGAAACTTCAGGTGATGGAATAAATTTACTAGATATGGTCTTGATACGTGGTATATAACGCTGAAAAGTATGAGCTTTTAGTGCTCATCACAACCGAGTTCGATAGAACACCCTCCCGGTTATGAGCTGGTCAGACTTCAGTGCGGTGGTAGCCATCTACCATAGAGACATTCGTCTTTATTATGTCGTTGTCCGCTTTTCGCGCACCGTAACGTTCCTTATGCTGAATATCAGTAATCCTTATATGTTTCAGCTCTGTGCGAGGAATAATATTGAGGATAATTCATTGGAGAAGGATTCTTCAAGGAACTCGGCGTTACAGAAAACAACGGAGATTACGTATCATGGCCCAGTCACTTAGCGAAAACGAATTTTGCATAACCGAAGCTTACACATGAACACAAAATAACCTATGGCTTACATTGCAGTCGGTATGACACACTTAAAATCATAAAAGCCCCTGCAAGAGTTATAACAGTCAGCTCTACGAATTCCTAATTATAAAGTCCTTCCCCTTCTCTCTTCTTGTCAAAGCTACCACTAACAGGGCTATGTAATCGACTGAAACGAGAGAATTTAGTTGTCTTCGCCATCGGAGCGCTGCTGGATTCCCAACTTGAGAGAAGTTGGTTCACGCCTTACTTCAATTGCCGCAATTGATGGGGAGATAACCTCGTAAATCTTGATGATTGACCCTGAGATACTCGGTTCGTTGCGTGAAGATGAATTCACGAAGAGGATATACTCCTGAGATTTGGGCGCCTTCTTTTGTACTTACTTGGAGAGTCAAGGCGACCATGTCGTCTTTACCTTCTTCTTCTTCTTCATCCACTTTGCGCTTGCGGTGCTGTGCCTCTTCATATCTCGTTGAGTCTGATCTAGCTCAAATACTGGGATTTTACAACGAATATTTTCTCTCGATGATTTGTAAGTTCCTAATGATTTTACAGAGTTTTCTTGCACTGTAAGAACGGGAAGTCACTACAACACAAGTTTCATGGTAAGGATTCGTGGCCACTAACTGCCCAAGGAATACGAGAGTACCCAACCTTAAGGCCAGTCTTACGGGTACCCTCTGCAAATGATGTATGGGATGGTTGATTAGATTTACGATCCACCTCGTCAGTATCATCATCATCGCCGCCCTCGTCCTCATCCTGGGAATTTCAATCTGAACGTTCAATCTGACCTGTTCCTTTTGATCCGTTCATCACCTTTGCCCACGATCTGGTCCTCTCTCGGAAATGCAGAAAGTCTTATAAGGACTTGCTCTACCTCGCTGAGGATAAACTCTTACTGTTTCCTTGCCTCCCACGTTTACTTAGTCATGTGGACCATCACGTGGCGGGCTTTCCTCCTTAGGCTCTCTTTTTCGGAAGTCGTCCGTTCTGAATTCCATTCACCTGCAGGCTTTGATTCTCCAGAAACAATGTCATTTTTTTCATTCGATAACCATGATGGTAACTTATGTTGGGGAAGTACGGACACTGTCCAGGCTTCCTTGGGTAGGCGCACCAGTATGGCATCTAAGATCCGCCATTCGCACTTCTGACGTGCTCCCGTCCTGTATTCTTCTCGAAAAATATAGTCTTCCCTGCTTTGTTCGACTTCACGCAAGAATTATTTCAAATTCTCCCAATCAAGGCAACTCTATAATAATCCACGGCTAATCTATACAAGCTCAAGCTGGCCTTTTTTCATGTCCGGAAGGCAGGCTTGCCAAAATGTCATTGGCATGCAGACTCTTAAAAAGTTCTACCGAGCAAGGGCTAGATAATCTTCTATGAAGTAAGGTGGATTCTCGTGGGGGTCATCCTACACTGAAAGGGCGAAACTATTTACTCGGAATTCGGCCACGGCGGATTGGTATCATGCTAGAAGAAGACTGCAATAGCGAGAAAGGCAAATCCTACTTCCTCTCGCATGCTGTAAAAGTGGGCCATGTTCCCCGGTATCGACATTGAGATGTGATTGCCAAAGCACCTGCTCTAATGTCAGCAACTAGCCCGAGATTGGGTCATGCTAACATATCCATACTATATAGAAACAAAATGTATACTGGCAAGTAAGTTTGCGATTGATAAGAGGCGGGCTATAAAGGCATTGTTGCATATACATAATTAAACCGTGACAATAGATTAGTAACGACTAGGCGATCATAGGAGTTAGAAGTAAGAATAAACTCCCATACCATGACTGTAGCTCGTCAGGAAGCTCATCAAAACAGTCGAATATGGCTGTGATATAACCCCAGAGTATTGAAACATGTGGTGGAGAGATTGAACGCGATGTACATACTCATTGCGGTCAGTAACTGAGAAACCAGAAACAGTGTAGTTGCGGTGAAAACTTGAAAGATGGAGTAATAGCCACAACGAGTCTTGGAAGAAGTGTTTTATTCTGTGTACCAATCCTGTCAGAACTATGTTGCTGCCTTAGGGGCCATGCTTTGTCGAATATCCACCTGCTACGCCTCCAGATGTCTAGTTCTCCGCAGACAATCAACACAGCAAGACAAATGGGTAAAGTCTGGCTAGCTGTGTTCAAATGATTTCTTTAGATAAGGATGTAAGAAAGAAAGAAATTAGGTATGATATGTGTTCTATTATTGGTTGAATTATTTCTCCTTCCATGGGTACATGTAAATCTCTATGTATACACAAGTAAAAGAGGTATGGGTCGACCCACAATCCCAAATACTGTGACAAAGTAAACCTATGACATTCATCGATCATCTGAGACTCTATAGTACTATGACGGCCAAGGCACGCAATGGAGCAAGGGTATCACAAGCCTGTCTGGCACTGGAACCTATAAATGAGCCAATGGCACCGGGTAGGTCGCATTATAAGTGCAAGGTACACAAAGGAAATTATCCTTTCATGTGCTATAATAAAAATGTTATAAAACTGACATCTGTCGACGCTTGATGAGCTTTTGCACATGCATGTTATGGAGTGAATCCACTAAATAAAGCAGCTGGAACTCGAAATTTCAATTCTATAACTGAGGGTCACGTGTCCATATCATGCGACTGCATGCACGAAGACTATATGCCGTCTGTGAAATCACTCATCGTTGCCACTGATATGTAGGCTGTAGTGTCGGTCTCAATTTTCATGTCGATCAACAGGCGGCTGATCAAGATGTACCGAAAGAAGACGTTGAGAGGATACTTGATAAGGTAGAGGCGCCATCATATGATGGACGAGACAGTGACAGTGCATAAAACTTATTCCTATACCCTACGACAGTTTTGCAAGAACCAGCATTTAAAACTCGTGTTGATGGTGGGCACGGTATGTAATAGCAGGCCCAGCAAAAATATGCTCTGCATATCTATGACATTGAAGTCGACCTCCCACTCATTTATCCTAAAAGATTTCTGGCTTTGTTTCAAACATCACCAAGTCTCAATCAATTCAAGCTTCAACTCCATCACAATATTGACGAATTTGTTCCAGATCATCATCAAAATTCGGTCAGATCAAGTCTCCTCCGTCTGAAAACGAATTCGGCGATTCCATTTCAAAACATCACCAGGGTGGGTTCATTAAAGTCAAGCTCCCTTCATCTAGAAAAGTCGGCGGCTCGATTTCAGTTTGTCACTAGTATCCATTCAGATCATCTATCTCCTCAAATGTGAAATCGCCGACTTTCTATCCAATCATCACAATATCGCCGACCTGTCTGTCGCTGTAGTGACTGCCATAATGTTCGGAAAGAGAAGTGAGCTGCCCACTATTTAATATGCTTATCCTTCTACTGACGACCATCACCAGCTAAGTCCGCCGCCTCGCTGCGACAGACATTTCGAGATCAATCCGTCCCACCCGTTCCTAAGCTCCCAGAAAAGTACGCAAACGCTGCTGCGCCAATCAGTGGTATTACGAGAACGGCAGCTTCAAATATGGCTACAACTAATCTGCCTCCTTGGGATCGTGAGATCGACATCACTTTTTCCAAGAATCCGGTGTTCGACCATCAAGAGGGCATCAGCAAAATGAGCGCCCTGAACTCGATCCGCCTAAAGATCGCGGCTATCGTCATTCATGATGCGATGAAGGGCAACCGCGCATTGGACGCACAGGTAGTCGTGGACTTTTCGGCGGCATACAGCAAAGCTCGCAAAGATCCCCAGGACGATGTATTCCTCGAGGCGATTGCGAGCCTACATCGGCAACGCGACGAAGCTACTGGCCACAACAAGATATGTGCACTATTCAAGCTGCCTGAGGCCATTCGGCGCATGATCTGGAGCTATGTTATGGTTAATGAGTCCAGCGATCCTCACAAAGCAGTTCGGCTTCAGGTCTTCTCTTTCTTCAAGGATACGTGGTTGCCTGCAAACTTTCAGAACACCAATGTTCTCTTTAAGACTTCCCGAACTGCATTGTCTACCTGCGTCACCATGCGAACAGAGATACTCGCTCATGCATTCACAACCCATTGGTTTCATTTCATCTTCTCGCCCTACATCAAAGAGATGGTGTGCCCACAAACATTCTATAGCATCGACAACTACAGCCATCTCATGCAGAACATCACGATTGAGCTCGATCTCAGCAAACTTGGATTTGGTCCCATGCCCTAAGCCGGGGACCTCCTTTGGGGCAACCGTCACATCATCACGAGTGTGCGACGGTTCGTCGATGCCCAGACCATGAACAGAACAACACCGATCGAGAACCTAACCATCCTCGCGCGCCGATTCCACGGGCTGCGACCAATAATCAAAGAGGATTATGTCTACAAGCCGTACTGTCCGCCTGAGGCTGATTGGTCATCTGCCCAGCCTCTCACTGAGCTCAAAGGACGCGTCAACAAACTTCGCATCGTGGGCTTCAATGGCGCGACCGGACAGAAACTAATCGCCGCTCTGTTCCCGAATGTCGACTGCGAGCGAAGTGATGTCCTCTGGTACCACGGTGCCCGCGCTGGCATATCGAAGGTCTGGCCGTTCTTACCTGGTCAAGCCTCGATTCATCGCGATGCGACATATCCAAGCAAAGAAGCCCAGTCGCCGCAATCTAGCACCTCAAAGACAGCTCTACAGGCTTCAGAGAATACCGACTCTGATTCTCGAATGGGAAAAGTGAAAGATGCACTTGGAGAGCAGAAGGGTCGGAGCTTCACACTGGACAATGAGGCGGACCTGACACAAAAGTACCAGGAGCGACGACAAAGAAACCGAGAATTGAGTGCGAAGCCGGACGATGAGATGACTCCATTCATGAAGAGTGAGGCCCTTATGCCTCTCAACTCGGGTATGGCACGTTTCGGGAGCAGAAAGCAGACACATCGAAGGTCAAAAGCTAGAATTGAGGACGAAGGAACCCTGCTTCTACCTAAGGGAAAGGACTCGGGGAAGGAGGTGACACATAAGGAGGTGACACCGAGGAGATCGCTGTCTGATGGGTTCATTCTCACCTTGCGAAGACAGGCAAGCAAGGCAAGTCTTACCGCCGTGACGCATATGAATGTCAAGGACAACGTTCTAGAAGGCTCTTATTTGCAGGTGGAGGACACCAGCGGCGAAGGCTCTTCTGTGCGATCGACTATGGGTATATCTAAGGCACCCATGAGGGTTGATGGATCTGCCGAGACGGATGATGGCACCGCTGCGGACGATTCGAAACGGTCGAGCGAGGTGAGCCAGACCAGTCTACACAGCAAGCGTAGCTTCCGATGGAGTGAGGAAAAGGCCAGGGAGATACTCCGGGTCAGTAAGGGTAGTCTGCGAAGCTTCAAAACCGCAGGCAAGTCGAAGAGCATGCCAGTCAGTGAGTCAAGTCCTCGTGAGCCCGAAGAGCCGATAGTGGTCCAAAAGAGGGCGAGCGCCAAGGAGCTCCGCAAAAAGAAAAGCTTTGTTGACTTTCTGTGGGGTTCGTCACGCACTGGAGTCAGCGGTCGCGGTAAGTAGTCAGTCGAAGGCACCAGGTCTGGACGCTTTAAGGAACTTGTCTGATCGGTGAAGGGCTAACACCGGGTGGTTACGGAGGGCGGAATAAATAAATGATACTCTTCAGGTGGTTCAATACTTGGTATCTTCACCTTTTGATATTATTCACTTGTATCCAGGCTGCATTCAGGTTATAGATTCTAGTGAACGCAAATGTCTTTTCAAACACAAAGTCGTTCTCATGGTTGTCTTTGAAAACATAATATTTCGCAGATCGGCTGCGGCCAGTCATGGTTCCGTCCTCGCAACAACTGTATAATCTTCTGCACGAGATCATGGTTGAAGTTCTCTTTCATCAACACATGTATCATATCCTTGGTTGTAGCTGCGTCTTTGCTCATGTGGTCGCTAAGTATTGCAAACTTTCCTGGCTTCTTGGTTGATATCGGAACGTACGAGCTCAAACAGGTGTAGCTGTGTTGGATGTAAGTTCTCGTTGCTATGCCCCGCATGGCAGCCTGGCGCGGGCATCCCTTGTGCAATGACACTACTATGATATGGAGGGTTAGAGAGAGCAACGGGACAGGTACCAGGTCGTTTGCATGGGTGTCTTTTCGCAATGTTAAGCTTTTTCAAGGCCTGATACCATAGTAATATGAAAAGGGCGGACATACTCAGCAAAAACGCCCTTGCCTGCTGGCTTGGAGAATGTGCTAACCTAGACTGGTCTAAGGTTAGTCTAGTCTAAACCAAACCAGGCATTGTGAAATTCCTATCAAAAAGCCCGTGCGCTCTAGCTGGTACCAGAGAAGCCGAAAAGCCAAACAAGGCTGGGTGGATTATGTGCTGCAACGAATTTATACTACATATTGACAAACGCACTAAAGCCGCAAACGATGGCCCACTGGCAGGCATATCATCTCTACAGGCTATATCATAATGTGCTAGCCTAGAATGTTATGTGGTTGGCTTTTTGCTTGGGTAGAATTAACTTTGGACTACGTGTGTGTACTTGGAAATTGTGACCCGCTATGTTGGCTTTCTGCGCACGCCGAGGTTTCCTATGTACATAAGGAGTAGAACTGAAGCAGTGCGTATTAGTCCGAGTTGGAGCTTGGGACCTTCATCTTGGATTAGTCTAGTGTTGGAGAACATCAAACCCAGGTCCGTGCTAGACTATGCGCAGGGATTCTCACCGTTGGTGCACCAGAATAAGACCACCTCGCTAACTTACTGGGTACAAACAATCATTGCCTTTGTGACGCTTGACGTTTGTGGAATGGTGGCTCTTCCCCAATATGTAATTACTTCAACGCCCGATCCTTACACAGTTTCGGGAGGCTCTTCCATGGCACTTTCTAATTCTTCTGCTTCTTTCAAATAGCCGCTGTCCTTGTAGTACTCCTGTAAGTGGCCAATAGCTGCAATCACCCGCTTGTTGTGAGGCCCCACGTCCCGCTCTAACGTATCAATATATTCCCTACCGACTCGAGTAACATCCTCCATCGTACCAATTTTTGTCTTACAACGGAATCGCAGATAAAGGCTATCCCAAAGATCCAATTTCTTCGAATGCTGCTCTTTGGGGTGCGTTTGGAGCCACTCTAGAACACCGTCGTTTATCTGCTCTGCATCTTCCCATGACCCATGCCTCCAGAATGCGAAAGCCAACGCTATCCTCGCGGACTGGGCCTCGGGGATGAGTCCGAGAGCCTCGAGCTTTTGGATTTGAAACAGTTGTCTCTGATGAATCGCCCCAGGGTCCACGAAGTGGAGCCCCTTCTCGTGGCTCAGAAAGTCCAACGTATCGTACAGGTTCTCGTATAACACCAGAACTCCAGAGTTTGACGGGCCAAGCTTGGTCTCCAACGCAGCCAGATACGATTCCAGGATTTGGTGGGCGTAGTGCCGAAGTTCCTGCATATCCGTCTGGTTGAGCCTAGATAGTAAGATCCGAAGTGGATGAAGAGCGGGTAACTTGATGGCCGCCATTTCCGCGGCAAATTCCAGAAACCGTCGTGCTACTTGCGGGTCCAGCTGCAGTACTGCCAGATAAGCCCCCTGGAGTAAGCCGGGGTCTGGGTGTTCCAGGAGTGAGGCGAAACGATCAAACTCGGTGTTCAAAGTCTCGAAAGCCTGCTTGTACTTTTTCAAGTCGAAGAACTGTGAGGACAGTATCATTCTTCCCCACCATTTGTTGCTCTCTGGGTTCTCCATTTCGGTTCGGCTGTTCCAGAGTCCAAGATCGATTAAGCCTGTTCCGAGCCGAAATGAGAGCTGGATGACTTCCTCAGGTAGGCGAAGGACTTCGGGTGTAGATAGACGTTGTGAAGATGGCGTCTGCATTTGCCGTTTCGCGACGATGTTTCCTGGTCTCCCACGTAAGCCAAGCGGCCGAGCTACAATGGAGCTAGGCCTGGTGGGTTTCTCGTATTCGAAAGGTCTGACGACGATGAGGCGCGGCGGCCGTCCTTTCTGTGCACTTGTGGATGATGCCTTGGTGCCCATCTTCGAGTCTTTGCCTTGCTTTTTGTACTTGTGTATGTTCCATTTCGCTAGACGATACTTGTACATCTTCATGCTTCTGTGCAGTCAGTGACTATGTCTGCAGATCGTCCAGCTCGAGTTCTTGACTCACGTCGCATGAAAGCCATGTTCGTTCGCCATCATGTCTTTGACTTCCTTCAAACCTCGATTATCCTCCATGTACAGTTTGACGATAAGGTCCCGCCATCGATCAAAGTCTTCAGGGGTGGCCCACTGATCTGAATGGAGGTCGATCATGATTGCTGCATCATTTGTAGGTTCATGACTAAGCACATCCGTGGTAGGGCTGAAGGATTGATACCCCGGCGACTGTCATACGATGGCTGCCAAACGGGAAAAGGTTTGGGGTAGTTTGGTAGGGTAGCTTCGAATGATATGCGATTGCGTTTAGTCGTAACATTCAATGATCATGGCTTGTGTTGGTGTCGCGCGATGTGGATGGCTTTAGAAACTGTATGGCTGGTTGCTTGAGAGGGCAGTGACATTGCTGCATCAACTGGTGTGAATTGAAGGGAAAGTGCATTTGGGTTACGTTCATCTCACAGCAAGTTTTGGGTTGCCGAATCACGTGCTTGTTTCTGGGCGTTGCTGGGGGTCTACCGAACTGGAGCAAAAGCTGAAGATGACCCCTGCGATAGATGGTTCGTCAAGGTAGTAGTGGGAACTCTAAGAATAGTCGGCTGCTGCTGTAGTCAGCAATATTCATGGATGGATCTGGATCAATGATGGACATGGCCTAATGAGGATTAAAAAGTTAATCTGCTGGACTAACGTTCATTGGTCATAAAGGCTCTAGCCCTTGCCTCTGGCCGGGGCCGAAGCATCATTGTTGAACAGTCCTCATGATACACACGTAACACAGTTGGTGATGAAAAGGTAGGTCTATCGATGCAGCGTGGTGTTGTGGTGAAGCGCAGAGCTATGAATTCTCATACACCATGCCAAGCGATCAAGCTCGTTGTCACATAGTTATCTTGGAACATTTACTGTATAGTCATTTCGTAGACAAATGGGTTTAATGCGCAAAAACAGTACAGACTGAGATAGCCTGCACTTTTTAGCGAGCCTTTGGACCTACATAGATACCCTAAGGTTAGTGCACTCCACAATTGTTCGGGCCAAGCCGTGGCATCCTGCGGAGAGAATCTGCAGCGGGAAGAACCTGCGGCGGGGGCAAGTCTGATAGACAATTCAAACCTACAAGCTCTGCCTCTTAATAAATTCCACCCCTGCTGCCGTGGAATATTTTTCTTCTCTAGCGTCAGAGGTCGTCATTGTTCTCTTCTGCCCGGTTCTGAGGTATTCTACAGCACCCGACTCGACCTTTACCTTGCTCGGGCAACGGACTGAAGCCAAACCTCGGCACATCATCAGTTCACCAACTTAGGCCCGTCACCGGGGTTGTCATCGCACCCAACATGATATGAGCGGTAGCGCGTTTGAACACTACTTATCTCTTACTAACCTTGGTGACTTCTTAAAAAGACGAGGTCGAACAATCAGTTTCAATGACCGTGTGTCGTCCTTTTGCGCAAAATTTGTATCCTCGGAAACAACTCCATTTACTTAAGTTCACTTCTTCTGATTATTTCACTGGGTACCTCCACTACTTCTCAGATGGGTAGATATTTGATGCGACAAAAAGTCATTTGAGATTGACCTCGAGTCACCAGGCGCGACCTGAAGGTTAACAGTTACTAGCGCCGTGTGCATCTCCAGCGCTAATGGCGCTAACCCCGTTCCTAAACAGGGGCTGTGAGAATCGGCAGTCGCTGGCAGTTTTTGGTCGGAGCGCCCTAAATTTATCAATACACGATCGAGCATGAGCCTCCACCCGCAAAATTACTGCTTTGAGGCGAGAATTCATCATGATCTCCATTCGGAGTTATATAGCACGAAATGAACTAGTGAGTAAAGCAAAAGTTGAAAACTGGATAAAAGATTAAAATATCAAGATAAATATGATCCAACTTTATAATTTACCATTTTGATACAAGTTGTTATGGTGTTGTGAGCTTAGGGAGTTTTGGCGGAAAATATTCAAAAGGACAAGAGAGCTACCTTCGGTCACGATACTTATTAATTGATTTAATCAAGATAGAATGTACTGTATATTCACATAGTATAAATGTGTGGTCCAAGGTAGATGATGATAAACTATTTATCCGCGTGTAAAAGCTTTCTTACAAGAAACCTTAGGTGCTTATATCTAAGGTTGGCCATTCCAAACTAGCTTTTCAATTTGCGACAAGAGGACATGACTATTGTGTTTCCCATATACGGTTCAAGTTATGGATCGTGTTTTAGACACCAGCAACTAGCACAATGGCGAGGGACGGTAGCGCATACTCAAGGCCTGCTATCTCTGGCTGTAGCAGAATGGCTTCTAAGCCGATAAAAGAATAGAGCGATCTGCATTGTAGATGCATGACCCCTCAAGTTGTGGCGGTCGTGAGTGGCTGCATGCGAGAGGCTCTACGTATCAGTAGAATGACAATGGAAAGATACTAACGGGGATATTGTCGCTATCGCAAGCCCCGAAGATATGCCATGAGGCAAGCTGGTTGGAGTATTAACGTGGTCGGCATTTGTTCACTTGGCTTTATGGCAGACAGTGTGAGTAATGGCTAATCTGTATAATACCAAAAACTTTATTCCGTAAGCCTCATCAGTTTTCGGCTATGGCTGGATACAAGATTGACCAAATTTAGCATGATCTCGCGACTAGCTTTGGATCAAGGAGTTCCGAAGACTGTGACAACCAGTGGGTGCCCTCTACCTATTACAATTATAAGTTTTATCTCATTGATGATACCGGTGCAAAAGCAACGAGACTGAGAGGTAAATTTTACCTTCCAGTCTATCGCACAATTTCATATCTAATAATTCAATAAGGTGGCGGCGTTCGATCCTGCAATATGCTTGTCCACACTGCTGATCAGAATGATTAGACACAAATCGGGCTCCAAGTTAAACCTAACGGTTAAGACATCAGAAAATAATTGATTCAATTTAAGAATAGAATGCGCCCTTCTCGCTGTGCAATTCTCCACCCACATCGTGGCTGTTCCCATCAATTGCCCCCAACACAAACGTCTTTTTAATTATAGTTTGATACCACTCCCTAAATGTTGTGTAACAAGAAATTTCTGAAATCATACATCGATGTAATGCAAGATAACATCGTCATATTTGTCAGTGTCACCATCGCTATGATTTGGTCGCTCGCGCACCCTTGTCGTCACTAGCGACTCTCGCCTGGTAGATAGGTGACCTTGCTGCGTAGGCAATATTGGCCGCCAGCAGTGGGGTACGTACTTGGTGCTCTACCCATTCATGATGCGCGCTTGCGATGCCATCTGGTCCAGCAATCATGTCCTTACTCTGGTTCTCTTGCTCGCTGGGACCCAGCACGGTGATTGGTGCTGAACCAGAGATCTTACGGTTCTTCCCAGCGCAACTAACAACGATCTTCCATGTGAGCGAGTGAGTGTGGCTAATATGGCGCGTATTGAAGGACGGGTATATGGGATCATCAGCCACACCACGTTGTATTCCCGCAAGTGCTACCGCGTGAGATAAAAGAAAGAGCTGAAAGTTTTTCCCAATGTCAACTGCCGAGTTTGGCGCCGCAACATCATCTGGTATCGTTATACCAGCTGAAATGTTGGGATCCTCTTTCCAGTCAATCAAGGTCTTGTGACGCCATGACCCTGCTTGCCTGCTCGTCACGCGATAGCTATTGCCTTCAAGTTCATCGGTGGTTGTCTGATTCTGCAATCGAATATCCGCAGCCACCAAGGTCAGAGTCGGTGGCTTCTCCACACTGCCATTTGTGTTCTTTGCGGGTTGCCTGAAACTTTCAACAACTGCCCTTAGTCTGAATGACACTGGACTTGTATGATCCAGCTGAATGGCCGACGGGTATTCTACGACAATTGTATACTTAAACTCGGGCAGTTTCGAGCGTTGAAATATTGACGACAGATGTTGACGAAATGACAGACTCTTATCCGCGTACTCCGGATCTAGATGCAGCGTTTTTACGGACTCAGTAAACAGTGCCGCATAAAGTGCCAGCTTGTCAGTCTCGTGTGCGGTGGAACGCGGTCTAACAAAAATCGGAAATGTCGCAACCGCCCGGGGAGCAGATGCCTGGTAAACGTTGGCTTCAAGTCGATATTCGACATAGAGATAGTCGCGACGTCCTCCAGTAACCCTTACCCACGAAGGCTGGGTGATCGTAGGAGGCAAAGAATCTCCCACCGGTAGCACCGCGGCGTTCGGGAATGCTGTTGGAACGGGCTGGTTGGGTATTGTGACTGAAAAGGGCCAAGTATTTATACCGGGATTGACAGGGCCTTCATATACATGTTGTCGAAAATCGAGAAGAGTCCGCTGTCCCAAATAATGACTTGTGCTTTTGCTGCCATTGCTGTTGGAAGATTCTGTGGTGACCTGGGTTTCAATTCGGGCTATGAGCTTTATGACAGCTGTCACACTCTCCGGCAAACTCCCGATATTGATTGATTTCACTATTCCTTGAATTACATCACCTGGCGCGTATGACAGTTGAAGCTGTGGCACCTCAACACTAGCTTGAAGAGATCGTGTTAGGCCGATGGGGTCATTGCGGTGCAGTATGGAGCCGCTTATCAAGGGAGTGCGACGCATCGTGGAAACTTTTCAATGCCAAAATTGCATAACAGCTGTAGCTCCGGAGACATTATCAAACGTCTTGAGATTCGTACATAAATGAAACTGACAATAGAGTAAGGCTATGCTCGTATGATGTTCGTATGTGCTGCTGAGGTGAGGCTGAGGTGAGGCTGACGTTCATGGCTGTGGATGGGGGGCTGTGCTGCTGTTCGGTGGCATCCGTTGGGAGTTGAAGACACAGCATTGTCGCTGACAATACACTAATTTTAGAGTCTTGGAATACCACGAAACCATCGTCCTTCAGGATTATCTTTCACGCCCAAGTTAAAGCAATTACTGCGACCACATGGCCTTCCGTACTCGTCTAGCTAATACACTTATGTTGCACGAATTCAATAACAATCGCTTGTAAGCAAATTCTTCGATGCCATTAACGTTATTGAGTGCATCCTAGTCGATCTTTTTCGGCGCCGTTGTTGGAGTTTGTTTTGCTGCTTTCGTGAATCATCACTATAGCTTTTGCGGTGCATTGTCTCATAAGAACCCAAGAGAATGCGCATTACCAGCGACTACACCAATGTTCAACATGCATATGTCTACACCCCTGTACTTTCTTGTGGGTCACGCATATTTGTTGATTAGCACACAACTAATCGCCAACAGGATTACCGTACGGCTGCTTTAATATGCACCAGCGTCTGCCGTAGACGCACAGCCGAGCGTCTTTCGATCAATCGATACCTCGTCGCTACTCCTGTAAGTCTTCAGGAGTAAATTGACCTTCATTTCTACTTTGCAGAGCATCAATAGTCTGTAAACATGATGTTACCTACTTTCGTGGTGGGATAGCTAAGCCCTGTCAAGAGAAGCGCATCTTCCGCGAAAGCTGGTACATCTGAAGTTCTACGGTGTTTCGTGCTAGAAGGGTTCACTGACTAAGTACATCTCTTAATTATGCTAAGGCGGAACGAAGGCTCATAGGTAGTGCAACTTGATATACCTAGAGCCAACCGGTTAAAATAAGTTATGATCTGCATTCACGATTTACAAAATAGTCGACGGCTATTTTCCTGTTACTAAACTAGTTAGTCTAGGTCAAACCCACATTAGGCAATGCCAGTTTACAGGTGGTTACACCCCTACTACGACCAGGCAGTAGCATGTGATCTGGTGGAGAAGATTGATGGACGTCACAACTCTTTAGGATCATAGTCTTGATCAATGGTGTATATTGATCCTCCGTAGAGTGTTGTTGAGTGGCGTGGTCCCTCAGCTATTCTAAGGGATCCCTGAAGGCTATCTATCAAGGGTGGACCGTGCACCACAGGTATCTACCTGATGTGGTGACACGACGCAACCATCAAAGTTTTCGCGTTTCTGAATTAGAACTTGTTGAAGGTTTTGCAGAATTCCCGGCATGAGGATGGCCTCCTTGTAATTCCCTGTCCGAATGTTTAAAGGGCGTGTTTGATAAGAGTTTAAAACATATATGCGTACATGGCAGTATGAACACCCATAGCTGCGCTTTACTTTATATTGACACCTTAGCGCCGGATATTGCCAGCGCATTCATAGGAGCGTTCTGATAGTCTGCTCTTTGAAGTTAGTCCTCTACATCCTGCTGCTGGAGTCAATAAGCCGTGCCATCGTACAGAGATATGGCTACTTTATTGTCACGACACAACAAGGTGATGGGCAAAGCAATCTTGAGGTACATGGATCAAAGCCACATTCATGTCACTGTTCTGGCGTCTGAAGCCTTACTAATCAGCTTTATGTTACCATTGGTGGCCTGGTTGAGGTATTTTTGATTGCTCTGATCTCAATGAAACGGAATTACCTAAAATTCATAGAGCAGGTAGTCCACCGTGGGGTTTTATGACTTCTGTGGAGGGTGGATGGTGCCTTCCATTTCATTGTTCTATACTTGCGAATTCCATGTGTTTTGAACGCGACATAAAGCTCTTGGGCATGTCAAGATCTCATAGTGATCTATGATAGAGGCACGGAAATATTGTTATGGAGGAATTCTTTAATCTTATTTCTGCTTGCTGTTAGACAGCACCATCTAGATGATTCAATACAAATAAATAATGACTAGTGTTAAATTTGGCGTATCACTCAAGTTTAAAATATTTAGTGAATGCAGTGACTTGGATGAAACAACAATATCTGTTGTAGTCAACGGGTATGACAGATTACTACCAATGGAATCATGGCTATCATTAATATTAGCACTTATTGCTAAATGCATATTGTAAAGGCATCTCAACCATTTAACTAAAGAGCGATTATGCGTATAGAAACAGCGATTTTCAACAACTATCAACAAAGAGTACCGTTAACGTTATATACAAAGGCTATGCGGAGGAAGATTTACTTCCTTTACGGCGAGAACAATGAAGTTACTGCCAAATTTGTTCTATTCTCGCGTCTTTAGTTTAGATATCTTCGATCCTAAGTTATTATATAAAAATTGGAACATTCCCAGTATAACGCAATAGATTCACTAGTATTATCAAGTCATTACCAAGTTTACAATCGCCAAGACCATTTCCCTGTCAAAAACGAGGGTTTCTCATTAAACAAATCTCGGAAATAACACAATGCCTTTGTTCAGCAGGAAAGATAACAAAAAAGAGAAGACCACTAAGAATAAGAACGTTCAGGAAGGCAAAGGTCATGCAAGTTCATCCAAGAACAAGAAATCTGGGGACACAGACAACGCTTTTTACGAAATACATCCCATGACACTCTCGCTTGAATCTGTGCATAGCGTAGCTGGTGGTAGCCGGGACTAGAGAGACCAGCAACAAGCTCACGCTCACGCACAAGATGGAGGTAGAATGACCAAAGAGGACATGCAGAGGGTTGAACAGACGTACGACATAATCGAGGCAGAAAATGAGGCCGATTATCAAGCCCAACGCAAGGCACGGAGAAAACACAACCAGGAAAATGCCCAGGCCAACGCGACCATGGACCAGGCTAATGCATCTTTTCAACCGACATTCGGGAAGAGATAAGACACTTGAAGGCATACCAGCATAATAGAGACAATTATGCCCGGAATTGCTTTCAGTTGAATGTTTGCTTGAAGTAATGGTTATGGACGCCGTAGATATCCACCTAGTACAACCTACTTTTAGACAGCCTTCACCCAGAATAGAGATTAGCTTTATTCCTCGTCCGTGTCACAAGCACCATTCATAGATCTATTAATCCATCTTAATCCGATCAGTGTTACGTGGTTATCAAGTAATGTGTATTGCAGAGCTTTCTTTATACGCTTTCGGTATGACTATGTGCACGTTTGATAACTTGTATAACAGGATTTGTGTCATTAAAAAGTAAAGCTGGTAGAACTTGACTCTCTCCTCAGTGATTTGTGATCAGACGTGCCGGATAATGCAGTAGAGCTCTTGAATTTGGACCATTTCTCGTTTAACTTCGAAATCGAGTCGCTTCGCGGGTAGGCATTGCCATCAGGATGGGTTTCGGTGCACTGTGAGAGCACGAAATGGATTAAGGATAGATATTCGCCCTTTTTGTCCGTTGTAGACCGTTGGGCTGTTAATAGCATACCGAGGTAAGTAATGGCTTGCAACCATTTTTAATCCTGTATGTTCAGCCTAAACCATTTTAATTGCCGCAGGGGCGAAAACACCTGAAATAAATTAGTAACACTGATGGTGGCGGTGATACTACGTACCCATACAGTATATACCGTCGGCACTATCATCATGATTCATTGTCGACTTTATATATCCAGCGGCCATGCAAGAAATTTTATGTGAAAAGAGGGCGTCGTGTTATCTCTCGTCATTTTACCATCTTGAGACGCTGTTGGTTGCATCTGCGGCATATCAGTTCTCAATGGCACGTCCAAACGGCAGCCCTCACTGGATCTGCACTATCTTGCTATCAGGTCAAGTTACCCCCATAATTAATGGCACTATTGGCCCGCGATTGGCAGGGTTCTCTCCAGATGATAGCATCTGTTAATGTCCCAGCACAATTTTATACCTCAGCCTCGCACTTTACAAAATACAAATGGGACTTGGAATTTAGCGACCACTCTAATCTTGGTGTATCCCCAATAACAGACCAAAAAGCCATGGTATGCGCAGTAAGATTTTCTTCAAAGCATTCAGTAAGATGCAGGACTGATTAATATGGGAATCTTTCATAGGAGCATTATTGAAAAGGCAACTGCCAGTATTGAGTATGACTTGACAAAAGATGGTCAGACTGATGTGATGAAGTAGACTAGACTAACCTTAGTGGGGAATTATGGGGTCCGACATTTTTGGAGAATGTTTGGAGAGTCATCGGATATGCTTGGGGGAAGGCAGGTAAATCTACTAAATATTCACTCTTTGTCTTAGTCGGCTTGAATACGATGGGGTTATAAATACTTGAGCGTGTTTTCAACTAAGTGTCCTGGTTTGGGCGGCAGCCGTACTATCCTGCAGGCGTGCCCGCACAACAACGCCCAGTTGCTAGGAGGCGTCCTACCATGGTCTATTATATCCATATGGGCCTTCAACACCTTCCAGACCAAATTCATGTTAGGATTCCCGTTCACCACGACCTATATGAAAGTACTATCTGACAGATATTTCACACACTGCTCGTATGACATCCGCGGAGCAATGTCTGGGCTTCTATGATCAAAGCATGTTACCGTTTGATCGATTGTCCATGTCACAGCCGAAGGAGCATCTACAGAATCCGTACTTTCATTTCGTTTTTGACTTACGCACGACTTCAAGCGATTGATTCTTGAAGAAGGTGCTAAGGAAAATAGTACTGGTAAAGCAAAATCTGAACTTGTTTTAAGATACCCATGGCATAGTGAATGCTGCGCTTGATAATTTGCATATACCGTATCATGCTGATTTCTGACTGGGCCATGCAATCAGCCCGCTTGACTTCGGAAAGTGCAAATTCCAACGGGGCGTTATGACTTAATACATTCGTGGTATACATCGTTCAATGGTTCGTAAGCTGTGAACAGAAAACGTCGCCCAGCTAGAAAAGGAACTATTATCATCATCAAGCAGGAGTGATTTGAACAATATTCAGATAGTGAGACCAAAAACTTTACCACTGAATCTACGCTTTCCTCGTGACTGAGACAGAGTAATTTGTCTTCACGGTAATCCCATCCCGTGGGCCTTCTTGTAGTATACTCCTGTCGCTATCGTCGTCGTCGGTAGCAAATGGATTCCCTCGCCTCATCGAGGTGACGCGGCTAGTGTTTTCTAGCGCTTGGGGATGCTTGAACATGTCCGCGTCGTTCGTAACAGCTTTCAGGGGGTAATCCTTTGAATTCTTGCCGCCACTCCTATTTGTGGTACCCCATATTCTGCGCAATAGTGGTCGCAAGGTCGGAATCGACGCGGCGATAATAGTCAGGGCGCCTTCGGCCTCTGCCCATAGCACTGCAGGAAGCGGGGTGAGTCAATGTTCACTTAAAATGACAACGTGGTCTGAGAGGCGCAGTCGTTGTCGTAGCAGGAGTTGCAAATGCCATTCTAGCCATCTCGCGTGGAGGTTATATTACAACTTGAAGGGTCGCTTACTTAGAGATACTTCATCCCAAGATGGATCGGTCGCATCAAGGTTGGGTAACAGAACTGTTTTCACTATAGCTGCAGCTCCCGCGCTACGTAAAAGCGTCGTGTTAGCAAAATAAAAAACGGATGGGAGGCAGAGAGTTGATCTGGCCTACAAAATTCCAAGACTCATAGCAAGTGCAACACCGAGTTTTTCCCTCTTCTTCATTTGTAAATTCCATAAAATCGTCCAAGGAAGAAGTGCTAATACAATGTCTACAGCGCCAGAGTATCCTTTTGTTATGTAAGCATGAAGAATCGACAGCGAATACGCTACTTACCCCCGACAAACAGCGCGAATTGGGTGTATACGCCTGCGGGCCAGCATTTGGACTCGACCGATTTGTCCCAAACAGCCTTAGGGTTCTCACATTGAGCGAACAACAGGATGACAGCTAAAGCATTTGCAATGAACATTGATGCAATCAAGAACCATAAGAACCCGCGTGTCCAGAGCTCTGTGTCTTTGATAATACGCATCAGGGTCACTGCAAACGACATCTTTCCGAAACAGTTGCCCATGATGAGGAAGGACTGGGCAATTGTAATATCGAGGACCATCTGGACTGCTGCATTGGGGTCGAGATATAACAGCACATATTGGAGATGACGGCCAAGGCCTTGCATCGCGGCCATGGAAGTCGCAATGGAACACGCAATATTTAACACCTATAGCGAGAAACCACAATTAAAACTTTCGCCCTGGTCAGAATAAAGAGAGCAGACTACTTACAACTGCCACTGCAATGAGAGTATCGTCAACGCCATAATTCGTTCTCAAGTGTAACCGAACGTAAAGACGAAGCGCAACGATGGTAACAGAAATACCGGCCAGAATCCACATGACAGTGTGGACTGTGCCGACCTTGCTCTCGGCCAGGTAACTGCTCGAAGGTGTCGTCGCCATGGTATCATCTGAGTACTGGGGATAAAGGCAGAGCTGCGCAGCGGCCGGTAAGTTGGAGACTCAAATATGAAGATCAATCTCCTGGTTGCGTATTTGAGGTGTTGACTATGGAAGCGCCGCGGAAGCCATGCATGCGGCCAGAGGTAGAAGAAAGTTGCAAAAACTACGCTGGCATGTCTTTTTTTTTTTTTTTTAGTTCAGTCTGATCAATTGCCAAAAAAGAGCAAGTATTTTCCAATATGAAACCCAGGGAACATCAGATCGCCGTTTTCTGCCACCAGCTGCGCCATGGAACAAATTTCGAGCGAAAATATCGTGCATCTGCTGCTCCATACATAATAATATTAATCGCATCGAGGAACAGTGGGGGCAAACGGTCCCCGACCCCTGGAATATGTAGTTGTTTCTGTCACACAGTTGATCAGTAGCGATACGGAATACAAAAACTCGGTGTAGATACAGGGTTGCTCCCGAGGCCCAGAACGAGGTTATTATATGCCAGCAAAGAAATTTGCTTGCCCGTAAAAGCGGCACATTTTCTCATTCATTGTTTTTAGTCCTATTCTGTTCTTCCTCTATTCAAAATGGATAAGAGAAAACCTAAACGACGAGATAATGAAGCTCTTCGATTCATACGAGGAGTTCAAATATTTAGGTGTCGACTTCCAACGCAACGGTACTATGTATCTGCAAGGGTCTTGGCAGGGTTTATCTTTGGCCCCACCAAGGAACAGAACTGGCTGCCAGGTTTGTATGCATTTGGCAAATCGCCCGTCGCTTGTGATCCTAGAATCAATAGGCCTGCATCCACTGCGACGACCAGGCAGCCAGGCTCCTTCTTGCCATTTAACTTCGTGGAGTCAATGATACGATCATCAATAGATCACTCAAGCCGTCTAACCCCCCACCCCCGGAAAAAGCCAAGTTTACTCAAGTAATTAAAGTTTGCAGAATCTCGTCAAACGATTTGCTACTGATAGATGCTGGACTCAAATGTTCATCAGTCCAATAATCAAATAATTAAGCGGTGCGTATGAACCACCCCATACATGGTGCAATGTTACCATTTTCATCCCTGGCTCAGCCTGGCTCAGGGCCAAAAGAGTGTTCCTCAACAAAGGAAACCCCCACCGCCAACCCCAGGAGGGATACTGGTGCTTGGCGATATATCTCCCAAAACACAGCCAATTGGCTTCGTCATGAGCCAGGTCTTAAGAGCTAGTCAGACCCGTAATTTCAATGTACGGATCATCATACCATTTCCCAAACGGGCCGCTCCGATCCCTTTCCTAGTATAAGTGGAGCATGAAGCGCCCGTACAATGCTGTTTTATGTATGTAGTAGTACACCACCAGGGATTATGCATCGTCGGATGCTTGCTGCCAACGAAATTGCTTCCAGATTTTCAGATCTTGCATCCGAAGATGCATTCGTCTCTGAAATACCTTAACGCCCTGCATCTCTACCACGCGGGTTTTTCGGAGAGCTTAGACGTTGATAATGTGCTTTTTTCTCGATCGTACATCTGCCCAGCCGATGGTGCTATAGAGGGCTAACTTTAACTCAGATTTATATATATATCCTTCTTGATCTCGGCCCGCCAACGGTCGATTGACGTTTTTGCGTCATGCGGGGGTTGAGCTTTTTGCAAAATCCCGCTCCATTCCGAACAGATCTCCCAACATGGTTGGGTTATCAAGAGATGAAGCATCCACTGGGTGTCACAAAACATCAGACCATCGTCCTGCCCTGTCGCCGGATGCACGCCGGATAGTCTAGTCCGTCTCATTCGTCTTAGGGATGACACCCTATTGGCTGTTCTCTAGGTAGGGTCTCCTGTCGGGGCTATGTTCGGCCTAGTCTAGCTTACACAACCTTGGCTCGCTTCATCTCCACTTTTTCTTCTGATGATCTAGTGCTGCAATTTGCATTCAAACGAGCCAGATACCAACGATAAATGAAGAGACGCAACAATCTCAGCGCTTATTACAATACCTAATACCGCGGCAATGATAGGCGAGAAATATTTCTATGTAAGGACGGACTGGTTTGTAAGTTTCAAACGACGCACGCATTGGAGAGCACATTTCCCAATTCTTTGGTTTCTAGGTCTCTCACAGCCTTTTTTTTTCCCTTCTTTCTCGGTGATTGGCCTGCTTGCAGACGATGACTCTCTGACTCGGCGGAACTTCAACCATTCTTTCGGGTCCCGACAGCCCCAATTATGGCCTTGAGTCATATGCCCATTGGCCAGCTATTAGTCTGGGCACTTCTTGTTCTTATTGGTACCAGGCTTGCATGGGAGATCCTGTTCTCTTCCCTAAGACATTTTCCAGGCCCCTTCGCCGCCAAATTTACAAACATTTGGCGCGCTGTCAGAACCTATCATGGTCGCGTCGATTTGGATACATGGCGGTTACATCAGCGATATGGCATCGCGGTGCGCATTGGACCGAACACCATCAGCCTTAGCGACCCGAATCTGATCAAGACTATTTATCCGGTTCGAAATGCATGGCGAAAGGTACATTCTAGCTCGAGTTCAGGTAGTAATTCGTAACACCTGCTAACCAGATATCACATAGTCCGAGATGTATAAGCCGAATGACATCATGGTCAATGGTCAGCGAGTGGAGAATCTCTTTAACACGCCTAACGAAGAATGGCACAATAAGATGATGAAGCCTATTCGTAACATGTATACGTTGGGCAAGATACAGGACGTGGAGCCTTGGATGGATGCGACGCTGAATAAGTTCACCTCGAAGTTGGAGTCAAACTTCGTGGATGGCAGTAATGCTGGGAAAATTTGCATGATGGACGACTGGCTTGGCCACTGTAGGTTAACTCGATACTCTCGTCAAGATTGTGAGCCCAGCTGACGTTTGAGCGCCTGATAGTCGCCTGGGATGTTATGGGTAACCTGACATTCGGCAAGGAGTATGGCTTTCTCGACGAGCAAAAAGACGTTCAAGACCTCATTGGCCGATCGACACAGGGGTTGTATTATTTCGCTCCCGTCTCGCAGATTCCTTGGATTGACAACTTCCTGGACAAGAATCCTATCAAGCGCTTCGGTCCTGAGCCACTTACTGGACTTGTATTACTAGCCTTACAAATAATCAACGACTCCCAACAACAGCTAAAAACCGGCGGAAGTAAGGCACGACATGAAGTCGAAACTCTGATGGACAAGGTTCTAGAACTCAAACAGACGCATTCAGATCTCGTCGATGATAACCAGGTATTACAGTACCTGATGCTTAATGTCACCGCTGGGGGGTATGTCTCTTTCCCTAGGCGTTAAACAAAAAGAAAAGGAAGTTATGCTAATGATATGACCAAAGCGACTCAACCTCGTCGGCAATGCGCTCCGTTGTGTATTACCTAGCCAAAACGCCAGCCGCATACAGCAAGCTCACAGCCGAACTTGAACAAGCAGCCCTCAAATTACCAGCATTATTCAAAGAAGCTTCCCAGCTCCCATACCTGGACGCCGTTATCCGCGAGGCAATGCGCTTGTCCCCAGGCGTAGGACTCGTGATAGAGCGTATTGTGCCAGAGCAGGGTCTAACACTTGCCGACGGTCGCTTCATCCCAGCAGGCACCCGCGTTGGACTCAACCCCGGGGTCACCAATCACGACAGCGAGGTTTTTGGCGACGATGTGTTCACATTTAATCCTGACCGTTGGCTGCAAGCGAAAGGAGAAAGCAATGCTGAGTTTGAGGAGCGCCTTAGAAAAATGCGTGAAACCGCCGAATTTGTATTTGGTGCTGGTAATCGAATATGTATGGGTCGCCATGTCGCAACAGTGGAGATTTATAAGTTGATTGCCACCATGTATAGCATCTATGATGTAAGTACGACACTATGAGATATGCAAAATCTTAGCCAAGAATCACTAACCTTTCCCTAGATCAAATTAGAAAACCGGAGCCACGAGTGGAAATATAGAAATGCGTGGTTTATATATCAAACGGACATGCCTATGATCATTTCGCGTCGTGTACATAGCTGATTAGATGCGGGTTGACTTATAAACGCCTATTAAACGTGTGTAAAAGGTTTTTACAACGGTTTTTTGTTTTGTTTTCTAAATTCGCAAGTTTATTCCTTCTTTCATATCCAGACTAGCTTTTCAATGTGAAAACTATTCCGGTAAAGCTACGATTGTGAAACTGACCATACTCTAACCTTAGTCATATCTTTTTAGATGGAGCCTACCACCGATAATTCGCCGAGAGCGCGACAATGGCAATGGGGATGGAGATGGTGACGATAACAAAAACAACGAAACCAGCCACCGAAGGGAATCCAATTTGATGGCGTTGGACTGCCGCTACAGTGTTATCTGTGAATATCATGTAATTGCAACCGCGCCAGCAAGAGCTTTGCCTGGACGACACCTTCTGCCGTCTATCTTTCAGCACTTTCAGCACTTCAGCGACTAGACCTACCCGACCAAGCCATCCTTCTACGCTGGTGCTCAAGGATGCGCAAAGTGCTCTGAATATCCTAGGTATCAAGACAACACGGGGACTTATGTGAATTGGTTTCGTCTTGTTTTGTTTGTGGTCAAACATTGGTTGTTGAGGCAGAGATTGTAATGGTGCGCGATCATCGATTGCCTGAACATTTGCCTTGGGGAAGCCTACGCTAAGGCCCCCACAATTGGGGAACCTTCCTGGGCTGGAAAAAAAAACACAGAAACTCTCCATCTGAATAGCTGTGAAATAGTCGAGTAAACGAAGAAGAGGTTTGACAGAGAGTTTAAATGGGTGCCTAATGTGTTTTGTATGGCATGGCCATCACAAATGGTTCGGTGACAGAGGTTGCCATGGCCATATAGAAGAGGACCTCAGGAGTCCAAACGCCTAGTCACGTGCCAACACCAGGTATAAATAAGCAGCGCACGCCCCGGTTACTTGCGATTTGAAATTGACTCTCCATCTCATTCTAGTCCCTCTTGTTTTGGACTTTATTCAATTTCATATATGCTTTACTCTCTCAATCTATCAAGAAAGCCTACTGGCACTCCCACAGAAGGCCTCAGCAATTTCTTTCACAGCCTCCAAGCTTGTCGACCACACAGTTCCTTGCACGCCGCTTCACCAAGCTACTGGTAGATCATGGCAGCTTCCAGCGGTGTTTTGTCTGAAACATTACAAGAAATCACCAACACCAAGCTAAATGAGCTTTCAAAGCGTCGCAAAGCCTACGAGGCGGAAAAAGCAGCCGCCGTTAGTCTTATCCAGGGTGTCACGGATCCCATAGAGCGTCTAGATGTACTTTCCAAGCGAGTCAAGGGATGCCTCCGCATTCATGTTGATAATTGCGGGAAAGTTGTCAAAGGCTGGACCAGGTTTCCGGCCGTGGAAACCGAGCTCAAAAACCTTGACCGCTTCCTTGCCCAGGTTCGCTACGACCCATCCATCTCCGTGGAAACCGTCAAACAGTGGGAGGATTCTCTGCTCCAGCACCTTGACCGCCAATCTCTGAAGTTTGCGTACGCTTCTTTGTATGGCCAACTTGTGAACGAATGGTTATCAAGTGAAAGTTCCAAGGCTAACGCTGTTGATGAAGACATCAATATGCAAGAAAGCTTTGAGCAGGTTGACAACGCCAAAAAACTCGAGTCCAGGATGGAGTGGGAGAAGGTCGTCTTTGAACCCGCGAAGATCGATCTAGACAAGCTTATGCGCTATCTCAACAACCTCTTCGGCGTAGGTGATGCGCAAAAGAAGCCCTTATTCCGGGTTTTGGTGTGCTTGCGAGAGGAAGTGAAGACATTTGAACAACAGTTCCAGTCTGCCAAACAATTCACACTACAGTCAATGCGATGGGTCATTCAGGGATTGGTACGCTCTAACCTCCTGACGGATGAGAAGCGTGAGGTTCTGAAAGACTTTTCCAACAACGACATAATCCTCAATGAGATTGCAGACGTTCTCAATATGCGAATATCCACTTTGGGAACATGGTCATGGGGTGACAGTGTGCCGCTCGAACAGCGCCGTACAATCACCGGTGCGTTCAGTATTCATATGCACGAAGATATACTTCAGGCCATCTTCCTCCATTACATCGGTGTCAAACTATCAATATTCTTCAAGGGCGCATTTGGTCGGTTCCGTAGATCTCGTGACGCTTGGATCTCAAATCATCAGGATATTTCCCCTTTGGAGAAGAACAGACTGGAATATTACCTGGGACCACTAGATCGGACTGGATCTTTACAAGACCTGCGGCGAGCAGAGTACAGCAAGAGATACTTTATGTCCCAACTAGTCCGGTCTGAGAATCAGCCTATAGAGGCTACAGAAGGCGACGAGGAAGTTGATTACGTACAAACGTCTGCGGCAAGGCAGGGAGCGGCAAACGTGAATGCTCAACAACAAGCGATGATGCAGCATCAACAGCAGCAACCACAACAATATCACCAGCTCCAGAACCACCAGATGCAACTAATGCTACTGGAGCAGCAGAACAAAAAACGTGTTGCTATGCGAGGTCCTACAACCATGCCTGCGAAGCGACGTAGAGGGGTTGGAACATATGTGGATTACAATGGAGAAAACTCCGAGACAGACGATGAAGATGTTATGCAGCCAAGAAATCCGATGGCCACGAAAAAAAGAATATTGCACCTTCTGTCAACTGAAATTTCAATTAACACGGCAATCCACGGGGAATTAACCGCTTTCCACTCCGTATTCGACCGCTGGTATTCCTTGTTCCCTCATGATACAATCGAAACGATCATGGCACTCTTCGGGTTCTCCAGCATTTGGAGGACCTTCTTCAGGTCTTTCCTTGAGGCTCCTTTGAAGTTCCTTGATGATGACGAGTCAATCAAAGCTCGAACCCGTCGGCGTGGTACACCGGGAGCTCATGCTCTTAGCGAAGTATTTGGAGAAGTGACATTCTTCGTTCTGGACTTCGCGGTAAATCAATCCACATCTGGCAACTTTCTCTGGCGTCATCACGACGACATCTGGTTCTGGTCTCCAGACCACCAGCTCTGTGTCAAAGCATGGAAGGCCGTCACAGAATTCACCGAAGCGACGGGAACCAACATCAACTTTGCCAAAACTGGGACCTGCCGTTTGGTTAAGGACGGCAAGACTGCCCCAACACTTGATCGCTCCCTACCAGAGGGCGAAATCCGCTGGGGATTCTTGTACCTCTCCCCTGAAAAAGGCCACTTCGTCATTGATCAGGACATGGTTGGAGGACAAATTAATGAGCTGCGCAAGCAACTAAAAGAGCAGAACAAGAGCGTGTTTGGGTTTATTCAAACATGGAACGCGTTTGCCGCCACGTTCTTTACGTCCAATTTTGGAAAGCCTGTCAACTGCTTCGGGAAGACCCACGTCGACGAGATGCTTAAAACGCACGAGCGCATCCAACGCGAAATATTCTCGTCTGACGCATTGCTGGGCACGGCGGGCGAGAAGTCCGTCAACATTGTCGAGTACCTCAAGAATACTCTCGAAGAGCGGTTCGGCATCGCCAAGGTCCCGGACGGGTATCTATACTTTCCAGTCGAACTTGGAGGGCTCGACCTAAGGTCCCCGTTCATATCGCTCTTGCAGATCCGCGACGGCCTCATCGATTCCCCGACCCCACTCTTGCAAAAGCTGCTGGAGTCTGAGGCGGAAGGCTACAAAAAGGCCAGAAAGTCATTCGAAAGCGGCGCCATCAAACACGCCCGCCGCGACGTTAGCGACCCGAGCTGGGAGCCCCAGTCCCAGAAGGAACGGGAGAACTTTATAAGCTTCGAAGAATTCGTCAAGTACCGCGAGGAGTGGAACTTCGGACATGCAACTCAGGTACATGACGTCTACCAGAGACTGCTGGAGGAACCTACGCAGGAAAGTGTCGATGGTGACAGTGCAATTCTCTCGGGATCAATCGCACCACTTTCATCCCAATCGAATCTACAATGCATCCATGGAAGCTGGAACACCATGGAGCCATACTGGAAGTGGGTGACTATGCTGTACGGGCCAGAGATCCAGGATCGCTTTGGCGGGCTCAACATTGTTGATTCTGATGTTCTACCTATGGGAATGGTGAGACTGTTCAAAGAAAAGAGGGTAGAGTGGCAGGCTTGATAGAACGTGTTTCTCAAATATACAAGGCTACTAATGATCGCTGGACACAAATCTTTCATGTGTGTTATTAGAAAGAACATCATTGGTTGAAGAAGTGTGGCGCAATTTGAGATAATGGCACTGAACCTCATTGCTGTGTTGGCAGTCTGAGTTCCCTTATAGCTCCACCGCTACGTTTAAGAGACGGACTTCAAATCCATGTTACCTTAACCCAGATCTGATCCAAAGATCTGACTCGTGATATCGTAGAAATTGATTCCTCCATAATGATTTTGGTCCGTGCCACATACTCCTTGAAGACGGATACAACACATTCATAGACGCGTCACGTATGGTGATCAACGAGAGTCTATTGATATGGAGTGTGGTATAACGTTAAGGAGTAGAGCTACGAAGGTTGTCTAGTGGGGTTGCCCAGGTGCATATCGGGGCATCCATTATATCCGGGCCATGACGCATGAGTAAGCTGGAGCATTGGCTAACCAACACAACCTTTGTAGCTGGGGTTGAATAAGCGCAGTCAAAGTAACATGACCATTAAAGTATGTACCACAGCTCCATCGTGATGAATTCGGACACGAGCTATCGGGCAGCAGAACACGTGCGCCGGTATCTGCATCAAAACAGCTGATGATAGGGAGATCACAGCTGAAACGTGTTTGAATCGGCAGATTTATATAGATCATGTCGCTAACATTGTTCTAAATCTCACATCGATTAGCTAACAGAAACCAAGAGCGTCAAGATAGGAGAGGCGGTGACTGTTGCCCAGATATAGGGGATGAAATGCAGGTTGTCCTCGTTATCCACAATGCATGGGCCATTCTCGGAGAAAAGCCCAATCATAGAGTGGCCGCCAGGTTTGCCACTGGGCCAGATCGTGAGGGAGCGTTTGTGAGGTCTTGGTTTCGTCCTTCCATGAACCAGAAGAATATGTCCTGACTCTTCCACGTCCACGTATCTTGAAAAGCCTCCTCACGCGTTCCGTCGTCTCATGAATGCCGCTCGGCAATTCCGTGTATCTCATAGTGCAGTTCCCATGGTGATGTGGAGATCGAGTCATTCGATGATGGCATGGAGTACGTCGCTATTAGAGCGAGCGTCAATGCAACGCAGAATTCGCCAAGGAGAGGTGGAAATAGTAGCATAACAGTGGAGCCATCGCCGCGTTACGGGAGATGCCCAAGATTCGAGAAGGCTCATGCGCCTCCAACGAGCGCGCGAGCATTTTTCAATCTCAACAAGTCGAATCTGGTTCCCTGCGGCCCACGTTGCTGTTTCTGCTTTCAAATGTTATTAACAGTGCTAAAGTGCATTACTTTGACCCAAAGATCCCTAGTACTTTGGTCCGATGTTGTTGACGTTAATTCTCGGGAGAAAAAGAGCAGTTTGGGGTTTCTTATCGATCCTGGAACAACGTGTCAATGTTGGTAAGACGTTCACAATGAAGGGTGAACTATTATTATCGATTATTATCACTGTGCTTCTACTCCTGTTTAACAGTTTTTTCAATTTTCTTAATGTGTTGTATTGCTTTTTGGAAATATCATGCTCTGTATGCTGAGCATATGTTGAGCTAACAACGTGCTTGAAGTGCCTACAAAAGCTTGGCCGACCCACTAAACTTTGTACCTGCTTGCCATGTTCTTATGCTTGGTTTAGTGAACACTATCCCACTTTCCGAAGGACAGCTGGAGACTTTAACGTTGGCCTAACCAAGGTGACCACTAAAATGCCCGCTAACCCGCATATCACTCGTACCTCAACAGAAGTTTTGCAACCTCCAAGATACTCGCTACCTCGAGCTTGATACTGTTAAGTCCATTCATCCCTCGTCCACTATACCCAGAACTATTCCTTAAACTTGGTACAACATTGGTTACTCTTTCCCACCAATTATCATCTGTTCCGGCCACTTATACATCAGTTGGCAGCTGTGCGATGTGCGAATGGCGCATCTGCGCGGACATCGAAAATTGGAAGTGTTAATTTACTCCTGCTTCTTTGCGCACGATTATGACTTCCATTCAATCTGTTTTTCAAGACAGTCAACTGGTGTGTGTGCCTCACGCTCTGGTTTCTGTATCTCTGGGAGCAGACATACTTGGGTAAAGATGCTATGTTCGACGATAAAATGGGCCGGTTCATTGGGTCCCAAGGCGCTGTGTGCAAGGATTGCCCATACGCTAAGGTTAGAACATGGACGAAGTATACTGATTGCATCAGGATCGGCCATGAACTCAGGCTGCGCCGGCGTCTTCAGTCGTAGCTTCGCAGGTTATTGCCACATCAATATCTAATCTTGTTTTTATTGCAACCATTTGTTTTTCAACCTAGCACTGTTGTCTTGTTCTGCCATCCTCCAAGCGACTGCGGTCGTGAGAGTTTAGCGAACACCCGCCCGAGGTTGAAGTTCCAGTTTTTTCTGATCACTTAAGCTGGTGAAGCGCCCAGATTTTGGGCGCAAAATAATTTTCAGGGTGTCAGCAAATCCCGCGGCGCCACGAGCGAATTTGGTTCAGATGGCTCCCGCTAGATCTAGATAGATACTTGGCTTCATTATAACCCTGCGGGGATTACTATAATCCGTTAGTAAATCTAACCTTATTTATACAAATCGTCCGCGGTCGCTGCTAGACGAGGGAGGTCAACTGTAGCAGTTGCATCCTTGTGAAGGGCCGCTAAATTTGAATAGGGGAAGAGAAGAAATAGGCGATTGAATAGATCACAGACTGCGGCCTATGTGGCTGTTTGAAGTAAAGTGATCCTGAGCTCGAGGAATAGAAGATCCTTGCCATCTTTTAGTTGTCGGCGACAGCTTGGCACTGCTCTAGAGTCTTCGACTACTCTTACCAACAGTCTTGAACGTCTTTCAGTCACGTGAAGGTATATACCAATGTATTCGCTCCCCATCTAAGTTTTGACGATCGGGGCCGAGAATGCATTACTATAAGCGGTCGACGTGAATCTACATTCGACTAGAGTACGATGCCCCTACTAGGGCTCCACAGCTTGTCCGTCAAACCGCTAGAGTAGGACGATGGAAGACAGGACGGAGGGCTTCCGAATGTCACAGCAAAAGCTCAGAATATTAAAATGAAAAGGTTATTTTTTAAAATATCCAGGAGCTAAGTCGGTCTAGGTAGTGTTGACTGGTGAAGCCGCCCATAGTTAGCATGGCGCAAAATTGCTCAATTACGAAGTACAGTAAACGACTTCGGTGTTGCTCGCATCAAGCGGCTACCGGCTTTAAACTCGGTCCCGACAATTTAGCAGACGTTTGGCCCCGAAGGACAGAAGGATTTGTGGAGCCCTGATCGACGGAAGGATTACTATCTAGATTGTACCCGAAATCCTTTATCTCTGTGACCTGGTTTTTTGACGCCGCGGAAAGCCTGCGGTGTACGCAGCCTCGTGCTCTCAACTGCCATAAGTATTGAGCATGGTTCCACAGGGTCTGGTAGCTGGCGTCCTCCAGCTTCCACCTAGTCTACGCGCTGGAAACCTGACAGGTGATAGTCCTCAGGGGACGGGCTGCTAGTATATCAAAGCGAGCAGTAGGGTGTGCTGGTGAACATAAACGGGGTTAGCATCCACTGTTAAGAGATGTCACTATGCAGTGTATAAAGGTGGAGCCACACCTTTGACTGTGCCGAAAATACCTCATAAAACCATAAAACCATGTCATAGTACATGACGCCTCCTTCAACTTGACCAGTCGATATGCTGGTTTTGGACAATCACATTCTGCATGTCTCTATTCATAGAAGAATGTCGCATGCTTCTAGTTACAAATGCAGGTCCAACATCTATTATATACTGTCGATCTGCTCTGGTGTTTCCAATGAGGAGCATCATCCTGGTGATTAATGACAATTAAAGCAGTAGGTCACCACGGAGCCATCAAAGATCCTATCGGGGACCATCATTCATGCAAAAGTGTCCGATTGATGTTGATGCTGTGTTCACGGAGATAGCACACATGCTGAAGAGCCGAAGCGGTCGCCTCAGCCCTGCATAGTGGGTAGAAGGACAGTGTGATCAATAACGAGCGACTACCAGACTAAATCAAAGAAAATTCCAACCAGTTTCAACATGCATCTACCCCGTTCCCCAAAAGTAATCCACAAAAGTTATTTCCCCGACTCCCCCATGCCAATAACAAGGAATCGTCATTTTCTCATGTAAACCTTTCTCCTAAGTAGCAATGCATGTCAACTGGTAGCTAATCGAGACACATTCTAAGCCCTTTGTTAGCATATGATTCACGGTAAACCACTTTGTTTTTCAATTGATTATCTTACTTCCGCTGACACTGTCAGAGTTGTCTGAAGGCCCACTGTAAAACTTGCAGCTGCTGCCGGACTTATGGCTACAGTTGTTTGGGCAGTTGCAGGCGTAGTCTATCAGGGAAGTGTCAGTCCACTGGATAACCACGTTCAAGGTCTGGGAAACAAACAAGGAGACGTAGCGACCATTGCCGCGCGTTGAGCGACTTCACTGTCTCGCACCTCGATGGCTGCTCCCATAGCCTTGCTGGCCATGAGCAGAGCGACAGTGGAGTAGATTGCGGTGGAGAACTGCATCTTGATGAAAATGGAAGATTGGGTTTCAAATGGTTAGTTTTGAAAAAGTTGATTTGTTCGGTTTTGGTGTTCTGAAATCTATGGTTGTTAATTCTTTTTCAGAAACCAGTCTTACCGGGAAACCTTTGACTCTTATACTGATTAAGCTATACTAAATAATCCAGAATCTGAACTCCGTCAACTGGATATGCCCAGAATTCCGGGCATATGATCGACACCCCTGTGATCTACAAAGTGAAAACCTATTCAGGGAAACTACAATCACTATTTATAACTATCTTTCAATATTTTGTTCGTTGCGAGGGATTAGCAGTGCCTCTATGTCAGAAAACTGTGGATGGACTCAACCGGTAGGAATGGATCGACTGTACGATGATAAAATGGCTCACTCCTTCATACCATTGTCTAGGATCATCAATACTACACGCACTTGTGATCAACTTGCGCCTCTCATCGATCCAACATCTCCATCCTGGCTCGCTACAAAATATCATCTTCTACAAAAATAGTTTTAGAGATCGCCAATAACAGGATTCACTATTGACGTTGTTGATCCTTATACTTCCTTCGCTCCAAGATTCTATAGACCCTGGTGGACATCCGGGTAACGATGTGACATATTCGACCGGCCTCATCAACATACTTGCATAGATCACGGTCCTATAGATATGTATGTTGAACAACACTTTGAACGTTGTTCATATCCGACTGGACAGTCAGATAAGGTATATAAGCCCTGAGCATCCAGAATTCTCTAATTATGACTGTCAACAAAGATAACATCCTGCTACAATATCATAGTTCCTTAAATTTCCCAGCTCTCATCCTCATACATCGTCAATATCTTTTTCACACTTACCAATCAAGATGCAACTTCACAGCTTTCTCCTTCTTGCTTCATCGTTTGCCATCCCAATAGCAGTAGCCGGAACCATTCCAGATGATGTAAAGCGCAGCTCTCCTCCAGATATGGCGCTGGTCGTAAGAGCCTTAGATGAGATCTTGCCAGGAGCAAAAAATTACGAAGTGCATAATATTATTGCTAGACTTGAGGAAGAAGGCCATTTTGACTCTCTTGACAAGCGAGTCAGTATCGGCCTTGATCCAAGCCTGTGGGTCAACGTGTCAGGTTCATGTGTAAGTACAACAACGATGTCTTTTCCTACGGATTAGAAAGCTTATCGTCGTGCAGACCTCTTGCATCGTGGCTTGTGTAGCCGGTGTATACACGGACTATCGGGCAGGCAACAATATCCCTACCCTTACCATGTGGGGTCAGCTCGCTGTGTCAGTCATTCACCTACCCCAACTCAATGAGAAGATTTAACACGTATACAGCTGTGGTTCCACCTGCGCACTCACTGGGGATTGCGGAAGCTCTAGAATGGCGGCAACTTATCAGGCACAACAGCCACATACTTTCCCTACTGACGCCAAGAAAAGGGCTTGAGGAAATAGGTTGGCTCCATATGCGGCGAATGGCTGTCAAGGTGGCGTTCATGTTTTGACTCGGATATAAGTGGCATTCAATCATTACTATCTATACACCGGAAGGGGATTTGAGTTTCGTCATATCTGGTCACGCCTAGTTTCGTACTGTCACGGGAAACCCGTGGTTGCTGAAAGGCCAGCTCGCTCGTTATCTATTATTACCACCATGTTTTCTTATTAGCTCTTATGGATCTGATTATTAAGCGGTAGCCCCTGTATCACTATGTGCACTGAAAAAGATACTAATGAAGACTCGGATAGACTGAATGTTGACACCAGACGTGATATAATTACTAGGACGTACGCATCTATGTAGCGAGTGGCGGGAGCGTGAGGTAAGAGTATAAGATCTGTTTTCATATTGCAATATCGTGCATTAGAGGCTATTGATGAATATTTCCAATGACAAACTTGCACAGTCCAACGATCAAAAATATTGGTACTACCATGATCTAGATTAAGACGCGTTCTGATTTCCCCAAATTACAAGGAAGGAAATAACAAAACCAGAATTTCCTCTCATTTATCACCCGGATACTAGTTAGTTCATTGGTTTGTAGCCGACAAGAATACCAGTAGTGATCAACTACATGAAAGAAATGGCGTATAGCACTTTAAGTGCCGTATAATACTCTAGCCCCTTCTAACCCAGTCCTATTGATAGCCAACTTAAGAGATGACAGCCGCTAATAATTTATCGAAGGAAGGAATACGGGGCGACTAATCCCTACATAGGTAGGTAATTAATTATGCACATGCTGTAGCTGCATCTGCATCCCATCGATCCCATGATCCTTGCCAGGTTATGTACAGCGGTGGGGGTGGATACAAAGTGGGAGTAGGCCGCATGCCCCAGGTGGGTACGTAGTACTCCGTACCGGTTACTATTTTTATGCTGCACGCACAATCGTTATCATCAATCATTCTCCACAGAGGCCCAGCATCAGGTTCTCTCTTCTTTACGTTTCACCTGACCTCGAATTCGATTTCACGACCAAGCACTACAATCAAACACATCCGTTCTCGAAAATCATGCATACCACTGAACCTACTCTAGACCGCCGCCAGTTTTTTGACTTCCTGGCATTGCCGTATCACATCCGGCATGATATCTATACTCTCGTGCTCGAGTATCCAGATCTCGACTCAGTATTTGCACGTGTTGCGAGCCAATGCGCTGAAGATGAGCTGAAGCACGAGGAGACCCGGTTGCCCAAATGCGTCATGCCGAGCCCCCACGTTGCGCCGCAGCTCAAGACCACTCCGGGTATTTTACTATGCAACCGACAGGTTGCTTGGGAAGCCCGAGAAGCCATGCATTTCAAGACCTTCACTCTCCGACGACCGCCTCCGCACACAACAGCGCTGGGGAAGCCAATGGACATCACTGAGTTTGTAAGCGAAGGCACGCTCAAGAAAATGCGCCGAGTCGAGTTCGTGATGAATTTGTGGTTCGATCCCAGAGGCTGGAGTAAGACAATAGAAGTACTCTTGGACGTCTGGAGTGTTGAGAACCACCTGAGAAAAATCAACATCACGTTGGAGCAACCTACTCAGCTACCGGCCGGCCAGTTCTGGAATCTGCAATACCCCGGGCAACCTGTCAAAATTTTATCCATGGTAAGTCTCTACGCTGGATCCACGATGTTTAACCCTTGGTCAAATCAAGTTGATGGCTAAAGCATTGACTTGCTTTTAGATTAAAAGCTTTGCTGAAGTGGCCGGTATTTGTTTGACTGGCACACCGCTCTCTACACTCAATGTCAAGAAAGCAAATGCGGACTGGTGAAGGAAGGTCGGCCAGCTTTGAAACGTTAAAACCAACCGCCAAGAAACGATATAGTAGCAATCTGGTCTCTCAATGGCACCCCTATATGCACCGCTGTGCTTAACTAGGTCAGGAACTTCTCAACTTTCCCATCCCGAGCGCAAAACAAATCATCTACGCGTACAATCCACCCAGATCGTGCTTTCGGCATTGGAATCTTGGTCGTGTATGGTACGCATCTATGGTTGCAACTCGAGTCATCTCACTAGAGCCAGCATTCATCTATCAATATATCAGACTGTGTGCTAGTTAAGACCAGTTATCATGTTATTGAATCTTCCAGAAGTCTAGATTGATCACGAAATCAAGCTCGGTATGATGGCTTTTCTTGTCTAATTACCAGGAGTCATCGCAGAACGTCGGATTCTTATATCCTGAGACAGCACAAATGTAGCACACCATTCATAACATGTATAACATAATCTTTTTCACTTTCCTCACTCTGCAGTACTTGAATGGAAGTATCTAGTCTCTTGTTCCTAAGCCAGTCATGAAAGCTTGGGGAAATGGCGCCAGAATACTGCTTTTTCTTTTTCTTTTTCTAGTAGGTGCTTCTGACGTTGCTTTCACGATTTCCAACACCGTAGCCATAATATCAGGCTTATATCTCGTTACTAATCGGCGCTAACAATCTTCCCTGCTTTCCACGCTCTCATCGTGGCACTTCAATGTCTTTCTCTGGAGTATCCGCAGTCAACGCGTCAGAATCTTGTGTTTTAGTGCACATTGGTAAACTACGAACCGTATGTAAACATTTTCAACTGCACCTTAACATGGTAGCGGATCGAGAGCTTGGCAAACATTATCGACATCTACATCCGTGCAGATCGATTCTCAGCACAAATACAATTATTCACAGTAAAAGTACACGAGGCCATCGCCCAACTCAGTATGCGTTAGCATGGCTCCCATAAATGCCCTTTTTGTGCCCCTAAGACCCAACTACACACCCAGATGACAAATCAACACGCTATGATGCCGGAACGTGCGTGGGAAATGTCACTGGTTTGTTTCATTCTGTCAACCTCAGCAGCGAGCTTAGAAAGTTTATATAGCTTGCAATCTTATTAGCGTTCGTAGTGCGCCTGTAGGTCACATTTGGAATCTCTAAATCATCCACGATTTGCTCAAATACAGCGCGCCAGTTCCGTCTTGTCAAGGTCAAATGCACTGCGTCACCCTAAATTCGACGTGAAAGATACTTCATACTCATCATCCTCCATCCCTTGCAAACTGCTCGCCACTGATGTGAAAGAATCACTCAACATTCTTTTGCTCCTGCGTGACTTCGCCCGGAGACGACGAGAAAACATGTTCCCAGGGGTATCTAAACGGTCCCATACAGATATAGGAGTTGCTTCGTCTTGGGCAAGTCGACGAGGTCGTCTAGATGGAACTGGCGTTTCTCTTGGTGCGGCTGGTTGGCTACGCTGGCTATTGCCCACTGAGGACTGTTGAGACTTCGACCTCGTCACGGGTTGCTCCAACTTATCGACCTTACGTTTGCGGGATATTCCTGCCTGCCTCTGGTGGCTATCATTGTTTACCTCGCCTCCTGCTGTCTCACCGCTGATAATTCGTTGAGCTTCGGGTATGGTATCGCTCAGTGGGTTGTACGTCCCAGCTTCTCTTACCGAGGAGTCTAGAATCGCTAGTATAGGAAGCCACCATAGGGTCAAGTTGACAGTGAGTGCCCCAGTGCCGTGAACGGCCCAAGGGACACGACAGTACTCCACCAACAAATGAGTCTTATTGTTAGCGTCTTGTAAAAAGTCTGCTAACTTCTGAAACGGCTCGAGACTGATCTCCCGCTGAGATCGATATTCTTCATCCCCTTGGTCGTCGGCTTCTTCGGCTTCCTCGTCTTCCTCAAAGTTGCCGTGCGTCGCGTTGACAATTTGTCGCGCAAGATTATCTCCTATACGTTCATCCACAGTCTCTGAGTCACTGTGAAATGTCGATAACCGTAATGGGACCAATTCTTCCTCGCTGATGACGAACCCATATCGTGTGTTTCCGAGGTACATGTATTTCGTAACTTGCTGCATAACCAATTTAGCGTGTCTTTTTAATGTTGCGTCCTCGCAATCTATCCAGTCAGACTTCCATTTACTTGCTGGCTTGCTGTCGCCTGGTACAAGATTGGCGAATCTCCTCTTGTCGTAATCTTCCTTCCCCTTCTGATAGACGCACCAGTCTGGTTGTTGTAGAATACCCTTTTCGTCCGGGATATGCCCTTGCCCGTTGTTTTTCTTGAAGTGTACAACGCCTTTTGCAAGGCGTTCGTTTAGCTGTGTCGCCATCAGTGCTTCCCTCGTTCCGTCTAGTGCATTCTGGACCAATTTTTCGTTCCAGTCTTCACCAAGTGACGTCACTGAGCTTTCTGTGTAGATGTTAAGCTTCTCGGGGTGGATATCGTCCCTATCTTTGATCCTTAAATCATAGGTCTCACGTTGTAGGACTTCCCCGAAACTCCCAATCAGGTTTTCCCATGTAACGTCTGTCCAAGGCTGCACTTTGTGTGGACCGTACACTGTCTTGATCTTGGTGCTGTACCCTTCTTCGCTTCTGGAATCTGGTACGGGGTTTCGTTGGGTAAGTGTATCTAGAAAAGTTGGAGTCATTTCGCCTACAAAGCTGTGTTTGTGGGATGCTGAGGAAAAGTGAGAAACTGTGCATCCTAGCAGCAGGAATTTCGTTCTCCTGTGCATTTAAATTCTGTAGGCTCCAACGTCGTCCATTGGTGTCCCGAACTTCTGGTTCAATAAATTAATTGGGTGTCATCATCTGACGAGCTTGGAAGGGACCAATAGAAATGTCAAAATAGCGCAGAGGTAACCCAAGAAACGATAAATTCGGGCGTTCGTGTAACTAATTCTTGGCTTACGCTGCATGATGGTGGTGTCAGGAATAATCTCTGTAGGATCGGTTCTGCGCTGTTGGCGTATCAGACCGGGTAGTCGATGTTCGGGTTTGAGGGATATCCAAGGGCTTGCATGTTGGCATCACACCCGATATAACAGTGCACAAAGCTACCCCGAACAAGGCAACTATTGATGCGGTGCGGATCGTCCGTAGCCGAAGACACGATTCCCCGCTTTGTTCATGTACGTTTCACTGCTTTGTTATTTCATATGGTAGGTAGAAGATCATCTTGACTTCGCCTCGGAAAACGAAAGAAAGAAAAAGAAAAAGAAAAGAAAAGGAAAAAACTTGATTGAATCAGCATGACGACTTTGGTTCCGAATGCTAGAGGGCCTAAGCTGTTCCCATTTGACGGAGATGTAACAAATGCGCAATTCATCAGAATATTAAATGCGGACGAAGGGAATGAGGGACATAGTCGCGTATTTCAAGTACTTTTGAATAAGAAGAGATATGCTGTCAAAATTGTAAGTACGCAAGACCAAATGTAGTGTCTGGAACTAAGGGATTCGCAGTTCAAGTTTTTCAAACTTGATGACATTCGCCCGGACTTCTTTATGGAAGAGCACGTTATAAGTGATAATGTGATAAGGCATCATTTAGATCCTTTTTTCGCTGAGTGTCGGGCCTTCGGACTTCTGGTCAAAGAGGGCAAGGATGACAAACTTGCCGTTCGTTGTCACGGGTACTTATATCTACCAGGGTCTGTGGAGCAGCGAATTGAGCAACAATTTGGCATCTATGACTGGAATCGGACGCAGGAAGACAACAACAAACCTCTGCGGGCAATTGTGAAGGATTATATCCGCTATAAATCCTTTGACAAACCATCAAACTTCGCCATCATGAGGGACAAAGTGGAAAAGCTGAACAATATGGGCATATACAATATGGATGTTCGCAAGGAAAACTACCTTGCTGGTCGTCTATTCGATTTCAGCGTTGCCATCACTATTCCCCACCTGAGCTTTTCGATGGATTTTCGCACTCAAGCACAGATCTTGGAGGACAGTCAATATGATCTCATCTGCTTCAATGCCATGACGAAAAGGGCGATTGAGCAAGATGATTCAAAGAAAAAGGGCCGTTGGATGAACTTAAGGTCTCTTTCAAAGAAGGAGGATTCGAGACAAGAAAGCAATCAGGCTAAATCAGAACCCCTCTCGAAAAACATCCGGTCTCGCTCGAGGAAGAGCAATTCCAAGAAGTGAAGATTTCGTGGTTTAATTTTGACCGGAAAGCCTCATGCGCCCAGGCACCCCCCACAGATGATCCCTTGGCGCGCTCACCCTGAGCTGGTATAAACCAATTACTGAATGCTAATGCAGTCCAAATCGTCTTTTCAACTAATAATTCATATTTCATGAGCAAAGTTTGTCGGAAAATGTGTGTGATGCACCCTCCTGAGATCGCCACCAGCGTAGTTCATACCGGTCGACTGACACAACTATGGGCGGAGTTTTGTTTTGCTCGGGATGATGATTGAAAAATGCTTCTTAAAATTTCATGCAGTAAAAATATATTGCCGGTGGTCCGGGTTCATCCCAGGTCGGTAATTACAACATCAAGTTGAATATGGTGGTAATTGACGCCGATCACGCCACACCTTCAAAGCTGGACAGCTGCAGTGGGGGGGTTACGCAATGGGTAGTATATATAATTTTCAACAGATGCTAGATCTTTGCACTTGGCGTTGTCAGCGCTTAGACTTGCCGCCGGTACTGACTTCTTGGCATGGCATTGGCCAGTGGTGGGTGATCTGCGCGGCTGCACCATGATGGATGACAGATCATGTAGCGAATCATTCTGAGATGTTTAGCATCGCACCGGAACCCCCCAAGGGCATATAAAATGATCGGCGAGATTCCGCTTTCATCCTTAAACTCTTCGGACCAATCTCATCATCTTAGTGGGATCAAAGCCAAGTCCCAGTCGGGGTTCGAGCTGCAGCCGCCAGTACGATGCCTTTGACGTGCAGTTGTGCAGCCCCCAGGACACGTTCGTCTTCTTCTAAGCGGCAGTTCGGCGTCGTTTCAGCTCTGCCTCACGAGCTTTTATCCGGCATCATACTTACTTTCATATGAAGGACCTCACTACACAAGCAGCACATCCTGGATAGCCGTATCTCCCCTTCCCGCCCTAGCTGCTATTTCTCCGTAGGATAGCCCTTTGACATAGCAGGCTTTTGCTAGCAACTAGTGATCGCTTGGTTTCCTTACAAAGAACGGCATCTTAGCCCCAGCGCCGATGAATACTTCGTCATTAGGCATCCCCGTACTGGACCCGATCTATGATAGACCAGAAGTGGTAAAATATAGACTGTGCTCGAATGCCTCATAGCATCTCTCGATATTGTCCACAAACAAACGAACCTTCTCGTTTTTGAGAAGATTCAGACTGTCAAGCTTGTCCAGCACAACGTGCCAGGCACGTTGTGAAGAGGTGTGTCGAGAATGGACCGGATGAAGGCTGGCTCCAATAGTAGGCCTAGACCCTTGAAGATGCGATTTGGTGACTTACGCTCTCGTCTTGAGCTCATATGGACAAGGAATGCGACGGCAAGGAGGAAATCGACGCTCAAGTCCACGCCGAGTGGGACAGAACTCCCGCTGACTGCCTTTGCAACTAGACCATTTATATTCTCCGCGTGAAAGTACCACTTCGCTGAAGGATCTTGTCCAACGCCCACATCAGCGGCATACCGCCATTGAACTGGGGCATGTTGACACCGGTGGCGAATCTGAAATCTCGCAATGTGTGAGACGTCTCGGTACCTGCTCCGGTCGTGCTGGAGCGGTTAATGCCGCACATGAGGGCACGAAAAGTAGCGTCGAGGTAAAGAGTGCCTGTCGCGTAAATCTGTGTAGGGGTTCTCCATACAGGTCTGACGAGCAGAATCGAGCCACATCTTGCGCTGCCGTGGTGGACTTCACACGGAAAACATTGCTAACGGTATCGCAGAAAACGCCCTTCAATCGAAGCAAGTCCCTCCCAAGATTGACGGAAACGGTGACTCGCCCCAGGTCGAGCCCGATGCGGTGTCTGAGTATAGACCTGGTGCTCAGGAAGCTTGGTCACAAGAGGATAATAGTCTGAATCGCCGGGAAAGTATAATGGCTCTGGGTTCTCCCAGTCTTGTAATACCAAGATAAACCATCTCTTGTACACGCCTGTCATAGGTATAGTACAGTCCGACTGGAAAATATCGATGACTGGACCATCTGGATCAGACCGAACACAATTAGCGGGACGGGTAGGATCTCTACAAGCAGATCACGGCAGATAACTATCAGCGAGAGGACAACAGCAATATCGTAGATCAATAAACATTAAAAGGCCTCGAAGATGCTATGCTATGCTTCACAGTGGGCTTGATGGCCTGCTCTCCTTCATGTCGAGGACGGCTAGAATATAAAAGACAAAAACACAAGTAGTATCCAGGGTGGATCAACAACCCGTCGCATCATTCATATATACAAGACGTCATGCTTCATCCAACCCATAACTGATGACTGCCCACAAAATACAGCCGCCTCTCCATATGGCGTAATATCGACGATATGCAATTGACCAGGGAGACAAGTAAAAGAGGGGAAAAAAAAGGGGGAAATGGAAGAAAAATGTTGGAAAAAGTTTCCAGCCGCAAGCTTGACTGGGTATCAGAGATGATGGAAGAAAACGCCAAAACACCAACGCGACATGCATGTCTTCTTTCTCTTTTCCTCATTCCTCATTCCACCTTCTCCCACTTGATCGGGTGATGCAACAACGGCCTCAAACACATACGACCTGAGTTGTCCTCCTCGAACTTGCGACCACCCTCGCCGTTCTCGACTGCGCCCAGCCACCGCCGCCAAAGGGCACCGCTGAAGCCGGAGTTGTAGTAAAAGCTGCCTCCGAGCATGTTGTGCTCGCCCCAGCCAAAGGGACTTGCTGTGGGGGAGTCGGGGTGGTTGAACGTGACGTCCATAGTATCAAGTGGCCACTTTCGGTCGAAATAGACTGGGTGCGGTGCATATACAGCCTTGAGACCATGGTGAAACGCCACGGTCGGTGGGAACATCTCGGCGAACATGGAGTGATGGGTGTGATACGTTTCTTGATGCATGGTGTTCAACAAGCGTCTCGACATTCGGGCGATGGTGATGATGGCGGATCGTCGCGGTGGAATTTCAAGACTCTTGTTGTATCCCGTCACATCATTTCTGAACACCCAGTTCGTCTTGCTGGGGTCAAAGTATGGATTGAAGGTGATCAGGTCGGCCGGCTCGCCTACTCCCCACTCATAATTGTCCTCGTCGAAGGACGTCGGTGGTTCGGTGCCATTGGGAGACGGGATCTGTTCCTTGCCGGATGTAGGGAACTTGACGGGGCCCCAAACGGGAGCCTCTCCGCTCTCCTTGACCTCCTTCTCGACCATGTTGGTGAAGTTTTCGAACGAACCATGCAGTGCTGGGATCCAGAAGCGCTGGCTTCGTTCCCAGAGGAGCTTACGGGGTTGCCTGTCGGCCCATTCACCAACGCCATTGTGAAATTCGTAGTAGTGGCCTGTGTACCTCACATCCATCTCCCAGTTCCAGACAAAGTCATACTCCTGGTGCTGCTGGGAGAACCATTGGAGGGGGAAGTGGGCCGAGCGATAGACGCCGTAGATGTCGCCGCCTGACGGGCTGTCGAATGTCTCATCCTTGCTGGTGAATCCGGGGTAGTAAAGTCTCATGAGTGGAACAGACCACAGTGTAGCAATGCCCCAGAATTCCTTGGGAACATGTTTTCTGAGCGTATCCTGGTAGATCTCGTCGGAAGCCCAGATGGGTATCGACTCGTCCTTGACGTGGACCAGTAGATGCACGTCGTACTCGCCGCCGGACTTGAGTGATAGCTCATTGATCATAGCCCGCAGAGACAGTAGCTGAATATCGTCGTATCTGTACCCAGTCCAAGTTCGCAGAACATACGCAGTTCGTGTTTGCTGCTTCTTGGGAGCCTGATCGTTGGTCGTGGGCTTGGGGGGAGCATCGAACCGGTGTTTGTTCTTCTCGAAACATGTCTTCTGCGCCTTGCCCCAGTCCACAACCCGGTAGTCGACGGGGTCGAAGAGATCGAGGATCTTGTCGGTGCCCGTGTAGTCCGAGTTTTTGGAGAGATCGAGACCTCCCTGGGACTTGGTGTAGCTGTAACCGTAGGGGCCGAGGCGTCCGAAGCGCTCCCAGCAAAGGTCGGGGGTGACATTGATTTCGTCGTATGATCCCCAGTATGGCTCTGTCATGTTGTCGGGGACGCCGGGGAAGGCGAAGACCTCGGGGGCGGGAATCTGGTTGGCATCGTCCAAGTAGCAGGGGTTTACGGGGTGGTGATCTTCGAGGTACTTGGCGGAGCTGAAGTGGTAAGGATCGGCCATGACAGGATTCATGGGGACATGATCGTGGATGGTGATGTTGGTTTGGCTATTGGCTTCCTGTTCGGGGAGCCAGCGCGAGAGCTTGATGAGTGAGCGAACTCCATTGTAGTAGCCGTTGAGTCTGGGAGTTGATGCGTGTCAGCAAATCTGTGCCGGGAGCGTTTTTTTGTTTTGTTTCTTTTTCTTTTTCTTCTTCTTTTTTTCTTCTAATTTCTTTTTTTTCCTTTTGAGTTTGGATGAGTAAGTAGCGTTCCCGTCTGAATCCTCCCGTCTCACCGGTGCCCAAGTGCGCCATGTGTGTGAGATTATAGTTGGTCGCAATGCCATGCCAGATGGATGCCATGCATAGTCTATTATGCTTTGCCGGACGGAACTCAACGTAGACGTACGTACCTTGGAAAGTGTTCCCAATGGTATTTGGGTCGATTCTTCTCCCTTTCCTCGGCTTCTTCTCTTTCTATCCGTCGCGACCGTCTCTGGACCCCGTTGACAATAAGGAATACGATCAAAGCCAGCGCAGCACTGAAGCCAAACGCCCTCCTCACGGTAAGTCGTCGCAGTCCCTTACGCCACCTCGACTTGGGCCCGCGCCAGGATATGGGGGTAAAGGGCGGCGAGCCAAACGGCGATGCATCTGAAAATGGGGTGCCCGAGGTTGCACTGCCGAGATCGTGGGAGGGAACCTCTTGGTAGAGACCCTTTGTGCGTAGAGGTAACACCGCAGGGATGCGCAGAAAGCGATTCTTCTTCAATGCCATTTGCTTTGTCGCAGCTGTCGCACTCGCACAAGTCGCCGTCGCAGATCGATTGCAAAGGGCTCTGCGAAACAAAAAGCCACCGCAATGCTGCAAATTAAGGGTTTTCGTTTTCCTAGTTTTTGCCCTCTCTATTTCTTTTTGTCGATGGCTGTAGACCGTCACGCGTGCATCGTGGTGTCCGCGATCTTTTCTGGGTACTGCCGATCTTGATTTCCGGGACGGAGCAAAGAATACTGTGTGCTGTTGTACTTTGCTTTTGTATATGCTGTCGCAGCGATATTCCGAACTGTTGCTCTTTCCTATCTCAATCCCTCATGCCGAAACCACAACAACGCAGAAAAGGAATAACGAATGACGAAGGTATACGGATACACGAGAGGGCGAGAGGGCAAGAGGGCAAGAGGGAAAAGAAGAGGAGCAGGAGGAGGAGGTTAAGCCGTACTAATGCAAAGGCAGATCAGGGCCAGTAGAAATGCAAGGGCCGGGGGGATATGGATATACTAGCACATACATACGCAAGACAGGGACAGGGTCATTGACATGAGAACGATCGGGTGCTAGAAGATTACTGGAACTGTATGGAGTAACTACTGACTCCATGCAAAGTACATGGTAAATCGGGTCGAGTTAGTTAGTTAGTTACTTACTTACTTACTTACACCTGCCACTGCTAGTCAGTGAATGCTTGGCAGATCTTGGTACTATTAATTGGCACCGCACCTCCCCCCAATGGCTGATGGCGCAGTTGCTGGGGTCTAATGAGCACCACAGATCCCTACTAACTAGCAGAAACCCCTCAACGCCCCCCCCCCCCGTTCTCGCAGAGGCTAAAGATAGCGACCACACCCAATTCAGCCTGGCCCTGCATGCCCTGTCAACCTTCTGTACACAGTACTAGTAGTGAGTAACTCAGTGGGAATGTGACCGTTGAACTCAATCTTTCTCCCAATCCAGTTTTCATCAGAGGCTACTGTAGTTGGGTTACTGAAGAGCCTCATCCTCTTCGTTTCGTCGTGCACAGGCGCAAACTTTTGGTTTACGAACTCCTGCGTGACAACACGTGCAGCATGCTCCGTAATGTTTGCAGTTACTGGAAAGAGTTCGCACAGCACCCAAACGACAAGGAGAGGTTATCTCGCTTGGCGCGCCTGGCTGCACCCAGAGTCCAATAGAGACGAGGACATATTGCCAACCTCGTCGCTATCGCCGCCTGGCCAGACTTGATTGATTCCAACAGACCAATAGGGCGCCTCGACGCTTAAGTGTGCCAAGGTGGGCTTGACACAATTGCTTGGGTGGAGTCGTGCGAGCCCACCAGGGGACCAGAACATCGGGACCCTGGCATTGGGGGACAATGAAATCATGGAATGGCATCATTCCCTCCCAGGCCTTCCCCCGTTGCCCCGTTCGCGCCCCCGACTTTTCTCAAACCCTTTTCTGCAATCTGTGGCGGTAAGCTTATTTACAAGTATAAAGTTTTTTTGGGTTTTCGGTTTTATTTTTATTTTTTTGTCTAGACGGGAATCAAATGACTCGATCGATCTACGCCTTTCACAAGCTCACAGGGTCACCATCCTTCCATGATTCATTGCTGGCTGCAGGCAAACCAGAGGCAGCATAGCAGAATAGGTCCTACATATGTACATACATAGCATGTGTGCGGCTACTGGCTCTAACTAGATACATAATAGCAGCCCTTGATCCGATCCACCTTTCATCCGCCCACGCACTTTTCTTCCGCCAAGCAGCAGCATCTTCGTCTTGCGAGATAGCGCCGCGATAAGCTGTTATCTGGTGACATTGGATCATGCTGTGCGGATTACATAACCCGCTATCATCACACCTGTGTACTGTGTGTAAGCGCTCGCAGAAACTTCATCCGCTTGCCAAGGACTCTAAATGCGGTGACAACCACAGACATGATCATAACTTGCTGTCTACCCGTCAATGAGCTCTGAGTTCCCTGCAGTGTTACAACACCATGTCCAGGTCCATGCACGTCTCCCCACGTGTTCCTCTGCTATCAAGACTCAACGGCGTGCGGTAGTACCAAACCTAGGTAATGTTTCCGCCTTACATAAGCAGCGGCTGTTTACCTACCATTTCAGCGTGTTCCTCTCGAAGCTCTCCCCATGTGCCTGGTAAAAGTATCATATTTTGAAACTGGTCAACCACGAACCATTTGGTTGGGTTGTCTATCTGACACTAACAATTTATCACCGCTGCAGCGGGACAGCCACATGTTCCATCATGGCATCTTAGCTAGGCAGTACTTCCTCGGTAGAGACCACCCTTTTGTGACATATGCAGTCATCCGACCCCGTTCTTCAACTTTCCTAATGAATCCTATGTTTTGGCTTCACCACGCAAGCGTCGATCGAATCTGGTTGATCTGGCAAACTGTATTGGATTCAATCACTGCAGATCGACGGTACAATGTACCGCATCAGAACAGCGGCGCAGTCAGCCGTGGCCGACACACTTGTTTCCTCGACAAGGCTTGGCCGAGTGTCTCGGTCGAACTGTTGTCGGTCTGACACTCATCGTAGGGATATCCGCCGCCGTTCCATGTTCGTCTGGGGTTCGCAAGTCCCGATCGGTTTCGAGGGCGGGAGTCGAACGTTTCTGCGCTTTTGCTGATGAGGTGATGGCACAAATTCTGGAGACGTTGTCAAAAGGGTAGACAGATAAGCGCCAGAATATGGAGAATACAGAGTTGTCCCCCCCTCCCCCTCTTCCTTTCGCCAAACATATCTTGTACGTTTCGTCGCGGCAGGTGGTCCCTTCCATTTGAACAGTGGTGACATTCCTCTCGACGGTGCCGTGAAGATTGACGTATTGACCCGTTTGCACGCAATAAATGCAGTCGTGGCCTGCACTGTCGCTAGACTTATTATGGCACTATCCTGTCTATCGTCTTAGAATCACCATCGAAACTCAGGCAAATGTCCAATTATGTCGCATCCCATCATATTGTTGAGGTGAAACTCACTTGCATCAGCCCAGTAGGCGCACGCAATTTTGCGGTTACCAACGGCATTGGTACAGTCCTCCTTAGTAGGCAAGAGCAGGAATTGGATTCTGTATGCTCGACGTGATCAAGCACTTGGTGACTGTCGCACAGTGCTGTTGTCCGAAGAACGAGGTCGCAGTCTGAAGCACATGCCGTTCTGACAGACTAGAGCAGCAGACATGAGGCTCCGATGGATACGTTTGCACGAAGTATCTCGAGGGTTGGGATCTCTCTGAAATAGATTGATATTTAATAGCTACCTATGGAATTGCAACTACACTACTGCTCGAAGGTCCATCATCCTGGTGGTGGGTGTATTTGTGTCTGATTCACCAGTACTAGCATTGAGCTTCAACTTGCCAACCTGGCGTCACAGTCATTCAGTATGTTAATCTCAACTGCTCGAAGGTACGTACTTCAGGATGCACTGTTTGGTTGTGCTACGTCTTCTTGTGAATCAGACGGATCAGTTCAACCGAACGAAAAGTACGAACCTCAGATTGTGATTGATTTTGGGCTTGCTGATCCGGGATCATCCAGTCTGAGGTACGTACCGCAAGCTTGATTCTGATATTGTTTTTCTGATCTGATGTCTTCGAATCAGCCAATCAAAAAAATTCAATTGGGTTTCCATCCTCAATTGGTAGGGACCGACTTTGGCTAGTACCCCGTCGCCGGATCGAGCAGCAACTCGAAGACCAGCCCCATTTCCAATTCTTTTTTGATTGGCCTGATTCAGTGATCCTCCAGAAGAACTCGGGCTATGTGATTAATTGAATCCCAACTGGGAACAGCGTAAGCAGCAAAGTTCTTATGCAAGCTTTCTGATTGGCCAGATCCAGTGATTCAGTGATTCTAGTCACAGACTTGGGCCATGCCTCAGCAAATCCTAATTGGGAACAACACAATCAGTAGCAACGTGATTCTACTCCCCATTTGGGAACCTTTTCGTGCAATCAGTAGACCTCTGGCTGCTACGATTTGCCTACAAATAGAGGGCTTCTCAGCACTCAGAGATTCATTCTTCCTCTTCCACCTCTCATCACTTCTTCATTTTTTTCACCAACCAACCAACCAACCAGCCAGCCAGCCAGCCATCACAACAGCTAGCCATCCATCATCACCATCCTCAGTCATCTCCAGCTTGATTTTCATCTTCGTGTGCATATTTCCACCCACATCTTCTTAGTATCAGCTCAAGGCAAGCCCCCCATATTCTTTTCATCAGCAATGATTCTCATTCACTTCACCCTGTACCTTCCCCAATCCTCACATTCACCTCACCTTCCTTGCATTCCACCTTACCCCTCCCATCGTGTTGACCACCAAGCACAACCAGCTCTCCCCCCTCACTCATCACCGGGTCCCAGGTACGACCATAAAACTACGACTCATCCGGCCAAGATGTCAAACTGTCCACACCCGTTGGCATGGTGTCTAAAAACTCGTCCCGTCCAGGAGTAAGACGCAAAACTGGATCCCGTCGGAGGTAGCACGACGAAAAATTTGCTGCCCGCCTTGAGGACGGCGCAAAACTCACCCCGAGCTAGGATCTCTGTTACAACTCACTTCTCGACATGAGGCACTGTCAGTAAACTCATCCCGTCTCTTGGGTAAAGGACGAAAACTTTTACATCCCGTCCTGAGCGCATGACGTTAAACCGCAAGCGCGTCCTTGGTGCATTCGACGATAAACTGCAGGCCCGTCCTGAGCGCACGACGTCAAACCGCAAGCGCGTCCTGGTGTATTCGACGATAAACTACAATCCCGTCCTCAGTACGACGAAAAACTGCCAACTGCGCGAACAGTATAAACTAGATTATACTGCGAGACCAGTTAAAACTACAAGTCTCTTCGGAGCTACAGCAACATGGGCTAGCATCCCTGGTCGCAGCAGACCACACCTTCTGGTTGGTCTTGTTGTTTCTCAGGTCCCGACATAACAATACCTTAGCTTAGATAGTCCTACTGTAATCTTTCCATAGTCGTTCCTTGCTGTCTTCACTTCTGTGCATGATGGAATCACTTCTTCTTGACATGCTTCTTTCTCTGTGTCACATAGTCTAGTCTTCACATTCCGTGCGTTAACGATTCCTTCCTGATATGCGTCTCTGTGTGAAGATTTCTTCTTAACATGCTTCTCTATGCCAGGATCTGTAGTCATTTTCCTGGCGCTTCCCATCCTTCAATAGTGACGCGCCCGTAACATAGCACTGTGCCTGCTCTACACCTCTGTCACAATCAAGTCCATCCCAAATTCGTGGCCATTACAGAATACGCCGAACGAAAAACGCCAATGTGCTTGAACGGAGTCTCAGCACACCCGACGAAGTGCCGGGATTCGCTTCTTTATTACATGATATCACACTTCCCAATTGCTCTCATCCACGGAAACACTCAATAGAAAACCTATGTGATCAGTCATATCTTACTGCATGACTTTGTCTTCGCGCCCGTAACACATCAGCACATAGTGCAGTATTTATTTGTGAGCCTAGCAATTAGATAAATTGGCACAAGCTGACATGGATTCCAGCAGGTGATACTCACCCATCCCACACCGGCGGACCGGGTATCGTGTAGTTCTGCCTCGCGTCAGCAAGTCCGACCTCGATGCACCAAGAATCCTCGCACTTACCGTCGTCTTCTTCATATCATCTGTGTAGATGTCGATGTTGATGCTCGGATCTACTTGCCCATCAGCCCCAGATATACCTCTAAGGCACTTACCGAACTAAATGTCTGCGCGAAGACCTACCATCCTCCCGATATGCCCCCGGAAACCTGACTAACAACTCCTTCGGCGGCATTGCCTCTCCCGGCCCGGTGATATTCAGGTGGGCGCACTCGGGATAAAACTGTGGTTTATTCTCGACATGCAGACTAAGGATCTCATGCCTGACGACATACAGGCCGGCCCTCAGCGTTTCAGGTACGGTGACATTCCAGAGGTCTGGGCTGCCGTCCCAGTTCTGAAAGGCGCGCTGGTACCAGACGCCCTCGGGGACGGAGCCGCTAAGCAGGCCCCAGTGGCCGATCTTGAAAAACTCGAGCCGCGCCGGGTCAGCCGCCTCGCACGAACCAAACGGCGCGCATGACGCCAGCCACACGCTCATCGGTCCAACCGGGTGCAACCAGTACCAGTAGACGGCGGTCAAGGCGTCACCGGCTGTGATGGGAATGTAGGACCCACCCCCCGGCGACGTGGTACCTGGAGTGTTGCAGGCGAGGCCAGTGTCGTTGACGTGGAAGATAGGGTTGATGCTGTCCCAAACTCGTTGCACCATCCATGGCTGGCCGAGCTGCTCAGAGGCCAGCTCGTTGGGGTCATAGCTGTGATGTGATGGAGGACATTAGTAAGAATTTGGGGCAGGCCACGCGTTTGGGCAACTCGCATACCCTCGGTACCACGTATCACCAACGGTGTAGTTTGCAAGTCCTCCATGCGCTCCTACGAGCTGCGCCAGAAGGCTGGCAGCGACAATCGCCGTGGAAAATGACGAGAACATGTTTCGAATGTGGTCATCGATCAGCAGATTGTTCATTCTTCGCAGTTCAGGATGCTATTTTGGTAATTAGCATGTTCATTTCTCTGCCAGATGCCAAGACGTCTGCCAAGAGGTATGGATATATCAGACACTCAGACTAGCCTGGTAGTCTGTAAATAGATCACGCAACATATCAATCAACCAACCGACGACTCGAAGTCGCCTATTGCCCAAATGGAAAGCCGGATATTCAATCTGCGGATCGATTCCTGCATGCCGGCTATTTCCAAGCGCCACCCACCGGCAGTTCGCCGATGTGTAACGTTTTGTCAAGTTACTTCCATATGATGGCTCGTAAAACGACAAACGCTTCAATGGCGTAGTTATTTATCTCACAGTTGATTTTCACACGAAGTAAAGACTTCATTCACGTGGCGTGGTCAGAGATGATAGAGTCGAGATGTTTACAGGATAGCGCTTGACCTGCCGCCTGCGAAATGACGACATCAGTTTGCAGTACCGATGAAGCAGCGAAAAGCACGAGGAGCCGGAGGATAGAGCAGCAAAGTTGAAACAACCTTAAAGATTTCACGTGGCGAGTGCCGCTGTCAATTAGCGCATGCCCCATTTCTTGCTTGAAGCGCCCTCAACCTGCTTGGATGGGCTTCAGCTCTGGCAGGGCTGAGGGTACCCTCCGAATATACACGGGAAGCTAGGAACCGTTGTCTGGATTTAGCGAAGAGGCCAAGGTATAGCATCAATCATATTAATGTTTCTGCAATTCGAACCCGCAGACTGTCAGGCTCGTGGAGTTGGAGAGTGTTTACCCATTTTATCCGGAATAGTATAATTCTCTGGACGGGCAAGGTGGCATCTTGCGCTGATTCGCCAGCTACAATGTCGATCATTCTGCCATGGCCACCAATGGCCGAGTTCCGGCTAACCGATGAGACACATTGAGGCTACCTTCTAGCACGAGGATAGGCAGAATGCATAATAAGACTTCGTCTTTACACATTTTTAGTGCCAAGTCAGTATTTTGCCATGCCTCCACTGGTCAAAGAACACATTCGGACATGGTGGGAACAGACCCGGGCCAGGCAAATAGCCTTGAAGCCGATATATAATAATGCTCCCCAGCTAGCTTCAGGGGAGACGATATCAGTGACACGCGCCTTATACAACTTCAACAGTCGCTTCAAACGGTGCTACTAGTCACGATGAGATACTCTACTTCCGCTCTTATACTGAGCGCGACTGCTCTAGCATTCCCTCCCGACTTCGAACTCGTTGAGCGCCAAAGCGCGAACTGCACAGTCGCCAGCACATACCCAGCCGTGAGCGTTAGCAAATTGCCCGACCCGTTCACTTTTGCCGATGGTAGGAAAGTCGCATCAAAGGCAGATTTCACATGCCGTCAACAGGAGATCAGCAAGATCTTCCAGCAGTACGAGCTGGGAGACTTCCCACCACCCCCGGACAAGGTCGAAGCCTCCCTGTCTGGAACCACGTTGAACGTCAAGGTTACTGTTGGTTCCAAGTCGGTGACTATCAGCACTGCAATCAAGGCTCCTAGTACCAAGCCTGGTCCTGCCATTATCACCATTGGTGGCTCATCAATCCCTATTCCTGGTACGGTTGGCACTATTGCCTTCAACAACGACAACTTTGCTTCCCAGGCAAGTGGTAGCTCCCGTGGCCAGGGAGCCTTCTACACCCTCTTTGGTGCATCTCACTCTGCTGGTGCTCTTACTGCCTGGGCCTGGGGCGTTGGTCGTGTCATCGACGGTCTTGAGCAGCTCGGTTCCGCCGCGACTGGCATCGATACCAAGCGCCTCGGTGTTACTGGTTGCTCTCGCAACGGCAAGGGTGCATTCGTCGTCGGCGCCCTCAATGACCGAATCGCTCTGACTCTGCCCCAAGAGTCCGGCTCTGGTGGCGCTGCCTGCTGGCGTATTTCGGACAGTGAGCACAACAAGGGCAAGAACATCCAAACCGCTGGCGAGATCGTAGGCGAGAATGTCTGGTTCAGCTCCCGATTCAACTCGTACACAAGCAAGACCAACACCGTGCCCGAAGACCACCACCTGCTGGCCGGTCTCGTGGCCCCTCGTGGTCTCTTTGTCATGGAGAACGACATCGATTGGCTTGGCCCCGTCTCGACCACGGCTTGCATGAAGGCCGGCCGCCTCATCTACAAGGCTCTTGGCGCGCCTGATGCCATGGGATTTGATTTGACGGGTGGTCACTCGCACTGTCAGTTCCCCTCATCCTCGCAAGCTAGCCTTACTGGATACATCAACACCTTTTTGCTCAACACCGGTTCTGCACCTTCCAATGTCGAGAAGGGACCAGGTGTCACTATGGGCGACTGGGTTGACTGGACCCCACCTACTTTGTCATAGACTCATCCTGGGGCTATCTATCACAGCTGCATGGACCTCGAAGGAGATATAAAATGAGGTGATCGATGAGTTGGCCCATCTGAATAGTACTTTCTGAAAATATGACACAATACTTCCCCCTGTCAATGATGCATACTGTTGGGTCGGGTCTGCAATCGCTCTCTATCATCGGCGCGCCGTAGATTTAGACTACCGTGAAACAGCGATTCGTTCTTGCTTGTAATGCTCTCCTTTGTCAGATTAGGCGCTCCGTATGAGGGCGATATTTAATATCACCGTCGTGACAAATGTGTACAATTCCAACAATGCAGCGCTGAGTCGCCTGTCCGCTATTTGTAAATAGGGATTTGGCACTGGACGTTTGAACATAAAATCGCCTCCCTTCCTAACGTGTTCAAGCCAGCAGCCGGCGGTGGGACAGCATTAGCTGCCATGGTACAGCACTTTCATGTTGTCAAGAACCGGGATCCCCCGGTGCCAGCCGCCCCTATCCCCTCACTCAGCTGTCGCAATGTACACGTCTGGAATTGGAATGCTGACCTCGCTCTGCAAGTATGATGCTGTACTGAAGAGCGAGAGTTGTATATTGGTTGTCGTGACCACTAGAGCTATTTCAATTGGTGCAGCTACGAAGTGGATGATTAGGGTATGAATAATGAGCAGGTATCAGATGTAAACTATGTAAGACTAAACGACATTTGCAGCATGCCGCTAGGACGATTCGCTAAGAAATTGGAATCCACACCGCCAAACCGCTGAACTGCGCATCTGGAACCTGGATTCTGCCCCATGGAAATGGGCCCCGATACCATTTACTATTATGCAATAAGGTCGGCAAATTCCCGCTTCGTTGCTGCACAGACCGTAGGTACTTTTGCATCGTTCATGAATAGATGGATGAGATCCCTTGTCACACGGCGGGGGCGGAGGCTTTGGCCCAAGATATGTGTGCTGATTGATTTGCTCACATTTGGTCGGCCAGCTTGAGCCACCTCAACACCTCCGCTTCTCATTATCGCCAAGCAGTCTGCTGGTCAAAATTGACCGGAGGCAGAGCTCTGAGCTCTACAGCCTAAGTAAGGATTCTAAGTCAGAATTTAGCGTATGTAAGCAATGAGACACCTATCAAAAGCCCATGCAATCTTTATCGATACGGGCGATCTTTAAGACCTTCATCTCTCGGATTGAAGTGTCAGTTGTTCCGCAACGGAGCATGTCAGCAATGTAAGCCTGAATCGCATTGCTTCTCATTCGTCGGCTCGCACTCTCCAACTTAAACTGCGCATCTCAGTTTCCAATTACATCAATGGCTAGGAAAGGGTCGCGCAAGGTCAGGACGGGTTGTCACACTTGCAAGTAGGTTATAGAGCAATCTGTCTGCATGGTATGGCCCCATTGACAAACCTTAGGGTGCGCAAGGTGAAATGCGACGAAGCCAAACCGTCGTGCTTCCGATGTACAAGTACGGGCCGGAAGTGCGATGGCTATCCTACCGCGCGACTGCCTGGTCTCACATGGTATCGGCCTAATCATCTCTTTCAATCTGTTGATCAACCCGAGGAAGGGAGAGCATTAGAGTTCTTCTGCCACACAGCCGGGCTGCTGCTCTCTGGGCCTCTAGACGCTTACTTCTGGACCCATCTTGTATTGCAATTTAGTAACTTTGAGCCTGCAGTCCGCCATTCTCTCGTGGCCATCAGCTCACTATACGAAGACTTCCATTGTAAAGGAAAGTCCGCCCAGCAATTGCAGACTAATACGTTTGCTCTTATCCATTACAATGCCGCGATTGAGAACCTACGGAAACTAGACAGCGAGCCGCTGATATTGCTCGTCTGCGTTCTATTCGTATGTATCGAGGTCATCCAAAACAACCGTGAGGCTGCTATGCAACATAGCCGACATGGTATCGTTATTCTTGAACGCATAGGGACTTCATATCCCTGGACGGTCGAGTATTTGTCACCTATCTTCCGCCGCTTGAGCCTCTTTCCCTTGTTCTTTGGCAACTCGGCCAACACTTTCCCTGCGCTCAGCGACCTGCATGATCCAATACCGGTCATGTTTATATCATTTGCGGAGGCACAGTACCATATGGACGCAATCACATGTCGCGCAGCACGTCTTGTTCGACAAGGTGACGTCTTTCGTATTGGGAAGCTTCACAGGGAGCCGGTCGACCCAGATCTTCTGAAGATGCAGAAGGACCTGCAACGAACGATTAACAGTTGGCACGATAGCTTCAAGATTTTAGCCGCGCGGATTGACCTGTCGGATAAAGACAACGCTTACTGTAACCTCATGCTACGTTACAAGATTTCACGACTTTGGGCCACTACAACATTCGAGAAGAACGAGACATTTCATGACGATCACATCGACGACTTGGCAGAGATATTCGACCGCGCTGAAGAGCAAAGTCCTCCGGAGTCAAACTGCGAGACAGCTAGCTTGCGACCATGCTTTACTTTCGAAATCGGGTTCGTCCCATTCGTGATCTGTGCCGTTATGAAGATCAGGGACTTGAGGACCCGGCTACGTGGCTTGAGAGTTCTACGGAGCTATGGACCAAAGAGAGAGAACATGTGGGAAGCAGAGAGGTTCTATCCCATATGCAAGCGTCTGGTTGAGATTGAACACGACATAGTCCTCGACGAAAACGACCAGCCGGTAGGTGACGTCAATTGGGACGCTCGACCCACGGAAGAGCAGAGGTGCAAAGACTTTGGATCCCTTCCTAACAAGGTCCGCCAAAAAGATGCCAACGGCAATGAAGTATGGGGAAGTTACGCGGGTTACATAATGCGGACCGTAGAAGGCAAAATCTGGTTGAGACAAGAGTTCATTCGAAGGCCGGCCCCGCTCGTTGATGAACAAGGGAGCTATAGCGAAAAGTGATACCGGCACTGCGCGGCTTGCATAGGAGAACTTGTCATGGAAGCAAACAACAAGGGAAATGCGAAAGGAGACACATTTAAAGTCTAGCCCGGTTCTGTTACCAACGTTTTGATTAATTCAATCATAGGCTTAGCATTCCATTTCTTGCCAGTTCACCTTCTTGGCTCTTATGTAAAACCAATAATCCATGTTTCCCGTACGCAACGCATGACTCAGTCGTATTCCATGGCAATGATACTCGACCAAGTATTCATCGCGACTGCGTTACAGATGAACAGATTTCCGATAAACCACGTGAGTTAATATGTTCGGTACGACTCCCACACAACGGTACCAATTAACGAAGACACGACTGACTCTGCCAGAAATAGTAATAGAGAAATAGGCGGTGGTCGAAGGCTCTCAAATATCCACAAAGCCAACTATGGCAGCAATGGTTCATCTTAGGACGCAGCCCCGTGGGGATGGACACTTTTGCTGACACACGAAATGAGCGCGGGAACTGGGGCTGAAAGACATGGTTCATATTGGTCGCTTACATTCGTTTCAAATAACGAATTGTCGATCATCCGCCGGCGCCAGAGCGCTCAGACATCCAACATTGACAACCTTCTTGGCCGCTTCGAAGTTCGTCCGACCCGTTGTCTAGATCCTATCCAGATGTTGTCGACCGTACCTGGAAGTTCAGTCCGCCATGTTCGCGAATGATCGCACCAGTGCCTTGCATGATGCACAATTCGCTGCACGACAGTGTCCACGTGGCATTTTCGCCGCTGATCGCTAGACTTTTAGTGTAGCCACAGTAAAAAACTTTAACCTCTTCGCGGCACGCGTAGCCAAGCATTTTTTTCATGCCAAGGGAAATCCAGCAAGCTCGGCCAAAGCACGGTCGTATTCCGCCTCCAATAGCTGCCCGCGAAGCCTTAAAAACCGGGACGAACCAACGGGAATAATGTTGTGAGGTACCATCCGGTAGTTGTCGCCGATCTAGGCTTCTTATTAGCTTCTGGCGAACATCTCGCTAATATTAGTGATGTCTGGGGGCGCTGAGCACATGTGCAGAGACTTAGCGGATCGCCGGGAACCTTGGAAAGACCTTACCCCCATCCTATTTGACGTTGTTGGTTCCCCGTGCCTCCTGGCTCATCCGTGTTGAAATCATTCCTGTGCGCCTGAATCACAACACCATGTCCAAGGTATATTGAGACCATGCCTCAACCTCTGCCGTGGCCATCCATACCGGAGCGGTGAGGGTCCCTTTGTGCGGCCAGTGTAGGCGTCAGCATAAGCGGCCGAACGAATTGCTTAACGACGCAAACTGCCGGCTCAATAGCGAAGATGGCGGTAGAAGTGGGAAACGAGATACCGGAAAGCGGCCCAAATGCCTTTTCGAACATCAAGATGTCGATACCAATCTTGGTATTCGGTAGCATCGCCTTATATAACGTCCTGGAACTCAACTACATGATCGTTATAACATTCAGGAGGAGGAAAAGCGTATATTTTTGGAGTCTGATCGTCGCGACTTGGGGCATTGCAGTCAATGCTATTGGTTACCTCCTGGAGCACCTTCACCTCATCTCAGACGAGTGGGTCTACTCGACCCTCATCTGCGTTGGATGGATCTGCATGGTGACGGGGCAATCGGTCGTCCTCTATTCAAGGCTACATCTGGTCATGTCTGACGACAGATGGCGCCATGCCGTTTTGTACATGATCATCTTCAACGCCATCGCTATGCACGTTCCAGTGGTGGTGCTTGTATACGGCTCGAATTCAGACAGTCCGAACCCGTACTTCAAGGCATATTCGATATACGAGAAGATCCAGTTGAGTGTGTTCTTCATTCAGGAGTGCATCATCTCTGGCCTCTACGTTTGGGAAACAACGAAGCTGCTGCGCGTGACCAAGGATATCCGCGGCAAACGGGGCGCCCGCCGAGTAATGGGCCATTTGATCTTCGTCAATATCGTGGTTATTATCCTCGACATCAGCGTGCTCGCGCTGGAGTTCTCAGATTTCTATACCTTGCAGACCGGCTACAAACCGCTCGTGTACAGCATCAAGCTGAAGATGGAGCTCAGCATCCTCAACCGGCTGGTGGAGCTCACTCGCGCAAACTCACAAGCGAGCTTATACTTCTCCAACAGCAACAGCAACGGCCTGGAGCACTCCATCAACCTCGACACATTCAACACTGGCCCGCAGCGGCGTTTCAGGAGCGATATCAGGGGAGAAGGCATGGGCTACAAGGCATCTGTCGCGACGGGCAGTAGCAATGGGCGGCCGGACCTAGAGGCCAACAACATCAATGGCGCACGTGTTGTTCGGGAGACTGAAGTCTCTGTGGAGCAACGGGTAAATCAGCGCAATGGAAGCGAAGGCCCAACGCTGACAGAGCGGGCGATGTCACAGAATTCAACGGCAAGCGAGCACGACATTACAGACGCGGTGTCGACGTCGTCGGTCAGCCGTTTCGTAGGCATAGCACGGTAAAAGCAACACGAAATAAATCAGTGATGATAATGTTTGAACTCGTTTCGGCCCGCTGCGAACGGGAATTGTGTCTTCCCGGAATCAAATCTCAGTCTGAATATTGCTATTTTGGTAACTCTGGTCATATCAGTGGCGAGGGACACAGGCCAGAGATATCTAACCTAACCTAGTGTGTTCAGTGGGAAAAGACCTCCAAGCTCCAGTGTACTCCATTGCAATGGCTGTCGCGTTCAAACTGCACTTCTTGATTGCGAGGGACCTTTGAATGGAGAATACCTCAATTCTCATTACCCATGACTAGCTCTGCGCTTTCACACATTTGTTCTTTACTTTTACAAGTTTTGCCACTTCTTTCACTCTTCACTCGTCCTATATGATCTGGACCTGTCGCAGCACCAGCCAGTGTGTGCCCACAGGCGCGCGCTATCATGACGTGAGTGACTACTGACTAGCAGCGGGGGCTTTCCGTGGGGGCCTCTCCACTATGAAAACGTCTTAACGTCGCATTAGTCACCATACCACACCATGGCTTGGAATGTGACTCCAGCAGCAGGGCAGGAGGCTCAGGTAGCAAGCTGGACTGCAGTGTTCAGCCACCAGCCTCAGCGCCCCCTCCCCCAAAGGAGTCCAGGCCTTCACAATTCATGGGCATATACGTGCAACCTTGATGCACACAGTCCAATTGGTCTGGTTCGAATCTATCGATGCTTAGCAATAGCAAACCAAGCGGGTCTAACACGTCATTCACATATGCACCTCGTTTTAGTAAGCAGCTCGCATGCTAAGCAGAACTCGTGGACTTCTCAAACACGATAAACAATGAATCTTGATGCATGCAAGGGCGAGTACTAGTACGATTTTGATGAGAAAACAGTGTCGATCCCACGAGCAAGACCGAGAAACCGGGAAGCACGTCTTCAGAAACGACCTACAGTAGCGCGTCAAGCGTTCAACTCGGAGCCACAGCGCCTGGAACCGAGCTTCTAAATGGTCTCATGCTTCTCTTCGAGGCTCGCCTTCTTCTCATCTGATACTGCATGTTCGTGCCCACTGCCCATGCCTTGGAGGATCGACGTGAGTCCTATTTCGCGGTTGATTTCCTCCATACGCTCAAAGTCAGCCGCAGCAGTTCCCTCCGACCCGAATATCACGTCCTATCACTGTGTTAGCGATGCGGACATGGATGAGCTATTGCACGTACCATTTCCTCCAATGTCAGACGCTTGGTTTCCGGCACGAAGAACCAGATGAACCCGGCGCCGATAGTGGTCAAAATACCGAAGAGGATGTAAGTACCATAGCCGATGGTCTGAAGCATGTCTGGCGTAACTGCAGAGTTGTTAGTCCACTCAGTCTCAGCACATGCACACTCCTTTCGAACCCACCTTGACCGACAATAAAGTTATTCATCTATGACTTGTCATCAGCAACAATGTATTTCAAGATTGCCAGCACCATCAACTTACCCAATTACTCGAGGCTCCAAGAGAGACACCGTACGGACGGGTGCTTAATGGCCATATCTCTGCGACCAAAATCCAAGCACACGGTCCCCAGGAGTACCCGAAGTGGACGACGAAGAGCCAGACCATTACCACGGCAGCCCAACCAGATGCAGCCTGAGTGGCCCATTGGTTCGAATTCCTGGCGACAATGACAGCGATGATGAAATGACACAGAGCCATGCCAATGGCACCCACAGCAAGCACAGGTTTCCTTCCTACGCGATCAACGTAGAGAACAGCGGGGATTGTGGCGATGAACATGACGATGCCGACAACGCCGGTAGCCAGAAGTCCAGTTGTAGTAGCCGTAAGACCAAGTTGAGCGAAAATAGAGGGTGCGTAGTACAGAACTGCATTGATACCCGTCCACTGCTGGAAGAACATTGTGACTGTGGCAACAATCACACGCTTGAACATGGCCTTTGTCTGAAACAGAGACTTGATAGCCACGAACTGAAGTTTAAAGGTATTCCAAGCTGTCAACTCGCGCAGGTGAGGGAAATGTTCCGCGATGGTGCGCTTCTCGAACATAGACTGCGCCTTGATCTCTAGGAATTCCAGCTCAACCAGTTCGTGGTTCTCGGGCAGGCCACGGAGCCTGGCCAAAATCTTTCGTGCCTCGGTTTCTCGGCCGTGATGGACCAGCCATCGAGGAGAAAATGGCATGAAAAGCATTCCTACGAACAAAACCACCGCCGGGGCGATTTGCAGGCATATAGGAACTAGCCATGATGCATCTGACTGTGTCGACACATCTGTGCCGCCAATATAGTTTGTGCCAAAGTCGATCCAAAAGCTTACCATGATTCCAAAGGTAATGGCTAGCTGTTGCAAGGCAACAAGCGCTCCGCGAACTTCTGGTGGGGCCACCTCCGAGTTGTAGATGGGCACGATCATGGCAAGACTTCCAACTCCCATACCTGTCACGAATCGTCCTGCAAGGATGACATTATGTCCGCCACTCTGGGCAGTAGCCTGGATAATGACCCCAAGTATGAACACAGTTGTCGCAACTAGGACACCGTACTTTCGGGAAATAGCCTCAGCAAGAAAGCCTGAAAGCAAGGTACCAATCCAAGCTCCAAGTTCCAGAATGGAAGTGAGCCAACCTTTCTTTGTCTGATCGGCGTTAGGATCGAGGGGATCGTATTCGCCCATGTCTGCGAGTCATAAGCTGGTGCGCTTCTGTTCTAGCTTTCCAAAAGCACTCACGGGTTTGGAACGACGGCATGGCCAATACACCAGAGAACATGCCTTGGTTGTATCCGTACAGGACACCACCAATACACGCGAACGCAGCAATACTGAAAACTCTCAAATTCTTTACTAGAGCCGCGGGCCCGGAGGCACCCATTAGGTTCTGGCGACGCTTCAAGGCCGCATCGTAGACGGCGGCACCAGTATCAGCGGCAACCATCTTGGGCTGGTAATTGACTGAAAGCGACTTTAATTGAGCAAAAGGCGGAGCTGAGAAAGTGTTGGACAAGAGGTAAGGGGTCCCTGTCTTATAATTGAGATTGGAGGACTGGTCTCAATCACCTGCAGAGAGCTCGCCAAGATTGTGTGACACTACAAAACGAGGACCGCTTACATTTAATACTACTTCTGCGGTAGTGGAACCGGACGTTATCATCCCAGATGCAAGGTGCAGGATGTCAATCCCACCGCACTTACGAGCGAGCAAAGATCCGCACAAACCAAATGGCCTAACCGGCCGGCCAATGATGACCATTAGGTGTGGACGTGTTCTCAAGCAGCCCCATCATGAGAACCAGGGTACTGGGTAAAATGACCCTGAGCTGTTGCACCTGAGCACAGGTCGGAACTGGAAACAGGTCGGTGCTGAGCACAGGTCGGTACCGAGACAATGTCCAATCTAAAGCTGCGTGTCATCGAAATTCAACGTATCGGTCATAACCCGAGGTCGAACGAGTCCATCTATACTCAAATGACAAGATCGACTGTCATATCCGCAAGATGCCGAGAGCTATACGAAGAGAAGCTTTGTGGGGTCGAGTTTGGAGATTGCGGAGAGACCCCCGTCCGTTATTCTCACATTGCCTGGTCTTCCCCTCATCCGTTGTTACGCTAGCCCCCGGCAGTATTCGTGGAGATGGCGGCATTGGCATTTAGCCTGAATTGCTTGGTACCCTAGAGGTGCAGCCTTTTGCAGAAGGATTGGCGTCTGCATGTACTCATTTGGCGATGATGGCTTGAGTCTCACGCGGAGCGAGCACTACTGTATGAGTACACGAGATGCTGCGAAATGCATGAGTCTCTGGCTGGATACACAAGGGATCTTGAACCGCAGATTTCTGATTTAGATCCTTTGAGCGCCATTTAGGTTCGGGATAAAAAGTCAACACTAAACTCTCTTCTCAAGTCTAGACTAATGGCGAGCGTTCTACAGCGTCATCGTGTGCGGCCAGGCGCTCTCGCTATCAACTACGCTGACAACGCAACTGTAAATGAGCCAGCGTGTCTAACGGGGTGCTACAGGATGCTACAGGCAATGTCTAAGGGAATACAAACTATAGAATACCTTTAAAAAAAAATAACCGCAGTAAAACTGTTACGCCATGTGGGCTTTGTCGATGTCCGCAATCTGCTGTTCGACCATGCCAACATCAATCGACTCTTCTCCTTTGCGAACTAGCTCAACGTCTGGCACGGACGAGTGCTTCTGCCCCTCGAAAATCTCGTCGATCTGTTCAAGCGTCTTGGATTTGGTTTCTACCCAGTACAACGCCTGCCCGTTATCAGTATCGCAATGCTACTAGAGTTCTCGTTGAGATGTAGATACTTACAATAAGTACAATGATGATAATGTCCCAGGACGCGTTGATCATATACATCTTCCAGCCGATGTTGTTGAGACCAACTGGCATCACGAATACCAGAAGCAGTCTACGCAGGGCCATGATCAGAAGCAATGCTTGAACTAACAGTTGGGGATGACTCACGCGAATGCATTGAGTAAGAACTGAGATAGGGCAAGACCATTTGCCCGGATCGAGTAGTTCATGACCTCGGGCGGATAGATGAACAGCAGCGGCGTCCATGCGATTGAGTAGAAGCCTTGGAACAGGAACATCATGGCGACATCACCGTAGATCAGGCTCGAGGAGGCCCCGTCCGGATTATCGGCGTACAGCTTGGACAGCCCACCAATGATGAAGAGACAGATCACCAGGAGTGTCTGGCTGATGAGCGCTGTCGGCTTCCTCCCCAACCGAGATACGAGATGAGTTCCTAGGAGACAGCAAGCAAGGCACCATACGTTCAAGACGACATTCTAGAGTATGCATTAGTGCTAGACTCGATGTAGAAGTCAGGAAGGGAACATGCAGCTTTGAGCTGGTCATTGGTGTCGACGATGCCAGCTGTAGTCAGCTCGGCGCCAAGATAATATGAAGCGATTATATTGCCGACCACACAAGAGAATGGACCTGCGGACATGCCGATCAATAGGCGTTTTCTGGCGACCGGCGTTCTTATAATCTCCAAGGGACTCATAGTCTTTCCGTCCTTCTTCTCCCACTCGATCGTGTCGATAATCTCCTTGTACACAGCAACTGCAACAGGGTCGGATAAATTCCCGCTTGCATTTGTCAGAGCGACGACGATGCGAGCTTCTTCGTAATGACGCTCGTGTACGAGCCAACGCGGCGATTCCGGGCTGTCTCATTAGTATTTCCCGATCGAATCATTCGGATCAATGCAATTGATACTCACATGAAGGGCAGAATGATGATACACAGTAAAGAGAATATGCCCTGTATCAGGGAAGGCGCTCTCCAAGCCCAAGTAGACTCCCATTGACCAGTTCCTAAGGTAACCCCAGCGGCGATCAGGGCACCGATACTATTGAAATGTGAGGCGAGGTTTCAAAGCTGAGTCTCACCGAACTTACTAATAAAAGTCGTTTAAGATTCCAACACCCCATGCGCGCCACCTACTTGGAAATGTTTCGGAAAGGTAGACACCACCAGCAATGCCAGAAAGGGCCACACCGAAGCCTAGGAGAATGCGAGCCACGACGAACATCGCTATCCCATTTGCAGCAGTTTGGAGAATGACGCCAATGAGGGTGATGACAGCGCCCCAGAAGATGGCAGGTCGACGCCCCAAGCGATCGGTGATGATGCCGGAGACGAGTGGTCCAAGACAGCCGCCGATGAACACTGATGCTGTGTTAAGCCCCTTCGTGACATCATTAAGATTGAAGAAGTCGGTGTAGGATGGTAGGATGTTCAATCCATTCAGCATTGACCCGTCATAGCCATTGGTCTGTGAAATGTTAGCCGAGACCGCTCCTCCTCATCGCGATTCCGTCCTTACACAAGAGTTGACAATGGAGCACACCATCAGCAGCCCTGATAATGCCCCAGTGGATTCTGGTACCCAGGCAGGAAGCCAGGTTCCTGTCGCCGACCTCCTCATCGTAAATGCAATATCGAGGAAAACCGACGATGTCCCTAGTTCCCAGTGACGATCGTGCCTTTGATAACTTGATCACCAAAACAATGGCTCAAAGAGATGCAATATGACATGTAGCCCAATCCCCTTGGGCTCAAGTCACCTTTGCTAGACCTGGGCTTTTTGAGGTTAACCATCAGCATGAGGGGTCCGAGAAACCCTCGCTGCCGGTAACTTGACAAAGACCAATGGTTGGTCGAGTTGTGTGGCATGATAATGCTGACTACAGAATAGGATTAGCCCCAGTGCTTATCTGTTATGCTCGTTGGTTGGTTGGCGGGATGATATCTGCCGGTCGCTAAGCTATGGTAGGACATGTGACTCGGCGTTTTCGAGCCAACCGTGCTGTGCGCTGCGTGGATATCATCGGCAAGCAGAACGATGTATTTGGCATTTACGAGTTGGCTTTGATCGTTGCATGCTGGCCAAGCACAAATGTGACTGGTTTCGTTATCGCAATTGGAATATGTTCTGCGGGCTAAATTAGAATGATCATTGCAACGATTCGCCATCCTCTAGGTTTCTAGCCAATCAACTCTATTCACCTTACATTGGTGGAAAACACCAATACCACAAGATACGGTAAATCCCAAGGCGGTGATTAATATGGCGGAAAGGCAAATAGAGTGCGGGAGGTTACCAGGTCTAGTAATGTTAGTGGGAATGCCTGCGGTCAGTTACCTATTATGGGGGATAGGGTGAAATGATGAAATAGCGGCCCATCATCAGAATCCTCTATAAACACTGATAAGAATGCTCCTAGACAACTCTCCCAAAAAGCACTCGATTCATCTCACTATTTTCTCGTTATCTCCGCGGCCTGATTTGCTCTTCCCAGCCGATTGGGCAACAGGTTTTTTTACAAGTTGCCAGCGCGGCTGAGCTGCTTATTTATTGCTAATTGTCGTTGTCTCGTTCACCACGGGTTTGGTGAAGGATCTGTAGACTGAGCGGTATGCAGGTCTCGGGATTAATCATATGTCCGGTGAATTTGGTGAACTGAACTTATTCCAGACAAAGCGATGTTATGCTGGCTCGCCGTCGCTTACAGCAAGGCATTTCGATAGTTTTCGGCTCGAGCTCGATTCAGAACTGGTGGATTGTGTAGGAACGGACTATGTAGGCCGATGGCTCTTCTGGAAAAGACGTTCAACTGTTTATCGCCTCCCATAACATCTGTTAAATACAACATGTCTATGGTTTTTTTTTTTTTTTCTTTTTTTGAAAACCACTGGCCCAAACTATCGGCCAGTGAATTATTGGAGCATATCATGGATTGGCCATCACTGTAGATACCCATTTAAGTACTCCCAGCTCGTCATCGGAACTCATTAAATTTGAGGAACGTCGATTTCATGACCTGAGACTCATAGCACCTTACCTTTCTTTCTTGAGTCTATCTCTTGTAGTTCTAAACTGGGCTAGGCTCTGTGATATCTGAAGTCATCCACCCTCGAGATATTCTTAATCTCACTCGTATAAGAAAAATCGAATTGGCCTCCCCTGCGACAATTGGACAATTCAAGACTAGCACCCTCATGCCAAACGCTCTAACAGATCTCGAGTTCGGCCCTGAGCTTCACTCCCTCCTTTGGGGAGCTCTCTATTGAATGCGAGGTTGATGACGGCGTTGAAAACGACGATAAGGGTGGCGTTAAGTACGATATTAAAGATGCTATGGAGAACTGCATGGAGGGTAGTGTTTTTATAGCACAAATTTGGCTCACGGCTTGATATTCCCTTTTCAAAACGTGGTCACTCTGCAAAGCACGTTTCAGTTCTGCAAACTACTGGGTGCTGGAGTCGTTCATTTGGTTTTCTGGAGTCCCAGCCATTACTTCGTGAACTGGTATTATATTTTATTGTGTTTCAGGGCGCCAGGTGATTTCAGTTCCAACAGAAACGGTATCATTCTTCTGAATAGTAACTGAACTTGCCTATCACAGTGTGTCGCTTATCCTTTTCACGTGGAGGTTCTTTCAGAAGAACCGATTGAGTTGAGATGTTTATAATTCTTTAAGCAAAGAAATCTTTAGTATTGTCATAGCCGTGGGCAGTGTGGACAAACACGACCTGAGCACTAAACACACTACTATGGCTTTCGTATATCGACCTACGGAGAGTAGAATTCAGTGCTACCTTAACTAAAACTAAAGAACAGTCAAGACAGTCGGCAAAAATGAATCATTGTGGTTTTATCAGCAGTCTGTACCGTACAGGACCAGAGGAATTAAAACCTATTCATCCACCGTTCGCTTGTTCTGCGGAGTCGCCGGATAAAAAATTACCATCCTTTTTGCTTCGCTTCCCAGCCGTCACGTTATCACTTTCTCTGCGTGCAAGTCGTTTGTCGCGAAAAATCCCCTGTTCTTCCCTTGCACGTTTGATCTGGTCTGAGCTAAGCACTGCGCAATTCTGAATGATTTCGTCTTCATCCCAGATGAAGCTTGGCCATATTATGACCCCGAAATTCTCGAATTCTACCATCCGGGATCCTTTCTTCGCCGTTCTTGTGCTGTCGGCTGACGAGATGCTGGTGCCATCGGTTTGCCGTGCTTGGCGGTTTTCTATCTGGAAGTAGGTTGACAACTGATTTAGCTCATCGCTGTCATCAACGTTGAAACTGATCTTGATCCTGTCTTGTAACCTTTGCAATCTAGTCCAGCTCTCGCAAGTTTGAGTGCATAAAGTGCGAAGCGCTATCCGAAAATCATGCAGACTGCTTGGAAGAATCATGAAGTCAATCAATCTGATAATATCATGAACGCACCGGTCAATCCTTTTGTCGATAATGTCCTGTTTCGGCTGTACTGGCATAAGCACGGCTCGGATGTGAGCCTCTCGGTCTGGATCGTCTGAGGCCAGATCGGACAAAATTTGGCACAGGCCATTGTGCTCAAGTAGATATGAGGATTGAAAGATGTGTTTCTCAAACGACCTTGCAATGTCGTAAATTGATGCAGCTACTCTCATAAACTTCGCCTGCTTGGAGTTCGAGTTGAGTAAAGGGATTGAGTGCGAGGATCGTCCAGTTGATGCAACTGGGATTGTGGCCAAGACTCCAGACTCAAGCTCGACATTGACATAGGATAGCACAAACTGGCAAACTGACAACAAGATGCCTTCAAGAATGTTGGCGCTATACGAACTTTCATCAATCGCAGGTTTGATACAATGTGCCAAGGAAATAGACTTACACATCATTCTTTGGCATATTGATCACGCTACTAGTCAATGAAGTAAACGTGTCAAGAGATTCCTTCGTCTCTCGGAAGTCTTGCTGCAGTGCTTCAAGATGGGTTTGAAGCTTCTTTTGTGCAGAATTAGCGTTTTGAAAATTTGTCGACTCTTGCGATAACATTTGTTGAAGTTGAGTAATATGATCCTGTTTTTGTTTGGATTTTCTCTGAACATCGGAGACAATTGTCTCGTTCTGTTGAAGTTGCTTTTTCAATGTGGCTATTTCTTTCAACATCCTGTCATGCTCCTCAGCCAGCGCCTGGATCTCCTTTTTACGGCTGTCAAGATCTGAACGGCTCTTTTTGGCAGCCGTTTCAGCTTCAGTGACCTTGTGGTGTAGATCTGCTATGGTGTTAACTAGACCATCTTTTGTGGAAACTAGTTTTACATTGTCCTTTTCCAGCCGAGACTTGTCATTTATTAGGTTGGTAATATGCTGGAACGACTTATCGTTGGCCAATTCACGAAGACTTTTGCTGAAAGTCTCAACTATTTGTGTAGGCTCAGAAACTGACGCCATTGTGCAAGGTGAGTCAGGAGTGAGTGGAAATTGAGTGATTAGGGATGTCGAATTCGTTTGTTTTTGCACTCATTTACTAGAGACAGACTTCTCTTTATACCTCAGCAATTCGCAATTGCCAGCTGCATCATTAAATCGCGCCATTAGATTCTTGACATAGCCCCATGCGGGTATTGGGATCTTCGCATCATCGCTTGGATAGAGTTCAATGTGCATGTGCAATGTATCCCGATGCAGTGAACAGCAAATAGGCAATTTCAGAACGAGGCTGTTATTTCGGTAAATGAAATGGCGATCGAATTTCTGAAATGAAAGTGCATGAAGACTATCTCATGCAGCGGCGTCTGCAGTCCCAACGTAACAAATCACCATGGTGCAATCAAAGTTTCTGACCATCCTGCCAGTTCTGCCTTCCCATTGTGTTTTACCTCATCATAGCAACCAGCGATTGGTTCATCAGTTTCCACGTCGTTCAACCTGATTCCTGTTTCTCAGCGACCAATCTAAGCGAGCTGCACAGAGGTCGATGATGCAAACAAGGCTGCACAATGCACTGGGGACGGGTCGTTTGATGGGCCTCCCGCTGAAGTTAGAAGGCGAATAAATGGGTACTCAGATATTGGTGGATTGGGAATACCGGTAATGTACCCTCCAGAACAATGAAACTTGACTAGGCAAATGCATTCTCCAATTTGAACTACAGCTGCTAATCCAAAGCTTGGCACAAACTTTGGCGCATCGCACGACTGATTACTTCCCCTTGAGTTCTGTATTTTCTATCACTTCTATCATTCCGATCGGGCAACCCATTTCACGACCCGATCGGCCCGGGAAGGTTATTGCAATAAATTTATTACCCGGGCCCATCTATTCGCTTTTGTTGGGTGGCAACACAGAGAACGCATATCAATACTGCATAACGTTGGGCCGTCATACAGCTAAATGTAACCATGCTGCAGAGTATTTTTGTAACATGCAGGAAGATAGCATTACATGGACGCCTTAGCGACTGGTTCGCATACCCGACAGCTTCGGTTTAGCCATAGCCAGAGCCGTTCAACGACGATCAGCCTCGACCAATTCCGTTCATGGACCATGAAATATGATGGAATCCCAGATCTGCGACATATGGTCCAGCTGGACTCAGTGGTTATGCCACGACAGATTTCTTACAATTGCAAACATAGCTGACCACACTGTTCTCCCACGAAATTCAAAGATGCATACAATCCTCGGGCCTGTACTGTCGACGATCATGCGTTCGTGCGGCACCAAAACTACTTCAATCACCTACTGGGGTATTTGAGTGGGATGATGTAGCCATGTGGGGGGTGCAGATTTCAAGTGATCACATCAGTGCCGACCGCATCAGTCCATGGTTATATGTTCATGTCCTTAGCTACTTGAATTTCTAACGTCCATGTTAGCTTGTACATCTATCTGTGAAAGCCTGTCCGATTGTCCAGGTAGACAGATTTTCAGTCATTCGAGGCAAGACGTGAGTCTTTCTCACTATCTACATCAGGATGAGGGGACCGCTGGCAGAGCGCTGGGCACGTGGTTCGGTAGATCGGTCAACTTGCATAAAGATTCCGTGCCAGTCTTGCACCTAACACTTTGTTCTACAACGCAATCGCTCTCTTTCACCTCCTATTGGACGTTTTGCAACATATAGAAAAGGTTCAGGCATACATGCTCTTAGCTTGCGGCAAAACATTAGCGTAATTTAGTTCTGCTGGTGGCCAATTAGCAGTAGAGTCGTCATGTTGGAATAAACCCAATGTGCAAGTTGCCCCGAACTAGAAAAGTTCGTGCAATGTGGGCCTATGTCCATCAGTCACATTCGTAGTATCCTATCTGCGCTGTAAGGCTGTTATTTTACATAGCCCATCATGCCCATCTGATTACCTGCATATACGAGATGCACGCTATTCTTGCCATGCCAGGTTTCATGAATAAGTATTGATACTGAAGTAAAGCAAAGTTATGGGTGCGCATCTCTGCATAGATTGCCTACCTCAGCAAGCTTAACATCTACGGTTATCATCTATTAGATGCGACAGAAGAATCTGTATCACTACTTTCACAAGCAAGATACTTAGATTGATCATTGCCTGCGCTCAAGTCCTCCCATGTAGACTCTTCCCATATTGACTGGTTTTGAATTTGTTTCGAACGCCTTCGTCGTGATCATTCTCTCGGAACCATACTCCATCCATCCATTGCTCTTATTTGCTTTTTTCCAACTCATCTTCGCTACTTGTGGGAAGTGCTTTAAATCCGATAAGGCGACCTATGGTGCCATTGTCAAAACTGCTGACGACGATACCAAAGCAACTAGTCTATAATGGATATCAAGGATGTATCTGACGTTGACAACTATCGCGAATTTTTCGACCGGGTCACGAGACTCGCGGAACGAGCAAGTCGTCGAAAGGGAGAAAACCCTCAAGACCACCCTCCCCCGTACCTCGTTGTAAGCCAGTTCATGATGAGTCTCAGTCAAGCAACTAGCATGGGCACCAAAGGCAACCATACTATTTCGACGTCGCAAGTACCGCCGTATTATTATCCTTGTGTCCTTCCAACACATAGACTCACGCCTTTAACGATATCAAGCATGACACTTGAGCATCATCATAGAGGCAATCTAGCTCTGATCCATGTCCTGACACCGCCGGATCGAATGACTGCCGTCATGGCTGTCGTAGAGGATGAGGAGGGTACCGCCGTTCTGCTCCAGCTGTATAACCAGCCTGAGGAGCCCAGGGTCAGTAAGGAGTGGATTTTGCGGGTAGGAGATGTCTGCATAATTAAGGAGCCATTCTTCAAGGCAACCACCTCTGGCTCATACAGTTTGCGAGTCGATCATGTCAGTGACATTGTGTGGCTAAAAGATACGGACGATCGCATCCCATTGAAGTGGAGAAAGCGAGTCCTGTGTCTCGATGAGACTTCCAAAGACATCCGGAGGCAGGGGAATACAGCAGTCCACAATCAGAACTGGACTGAAGCAGAGTATTTGTATGTTGCTGTCTGCGCTGGCCTATATTTAGCAATGAATTACAAATACTGACTAGAACTTTAAAGGTACACGCGAGCCATCTGCATCGCCACAACACCAGAAGAGCAGCAGTTGGCCCATCTCAACCGGTCTCTGACCAATCTCCATCTCAACCGACCAAAAAAGGCTCTTTACGATGCATCCAAGAGCTGCGAGAGCGATATTGAACCAAATGAGAAAGCTCTATTCCGTCAGGCTAAAGCATTCTACTCGCTCGCAAAATTCAAACTCTGTATGGAAAAACTGATTGTCCTTGTGCGCTGCAATCCTAGAAACACAGATACTTGGGCGGAGATCAGACGCGTCAAACAGCGACTCTTAGAGGAGGAAACAGGATCATACGATTTCGCAAGTATGTACAAACAAGCTGAAGCCACACCACCTTTGATCGACTGCGCAACGTACGTCGGACCGGTGGCTGTTCGCAACTCAGTCGGTCGTGGCAGAGGTCTATTCACAACACGGGCGGTTAAATCAGGTGAACTTCTGTTTTGCGAGAAAGCGTTCGCATATAGCTATGCTGGCGATGACAGCTCCATCGGACGTTCGAACACAACTATATTGATGAACTTGAGCACTGGAACTATTTGTGTTGGCGGACAGGCACACCTTATTACACAGGTTGTCCAGAAGCTATATCACGATCCTTCCGAAGCAAAGGTCTTCATTGACTTGTATCATGGCGACTATACGCCTGTGAAAACATTTGAGGCTGACGGATCCCCTGTGGTTGATACGTAAGTGGTTACCTGGAAATACTCTATTATGAGATTGACTCTAATGAATAGCTCAAAGATTCTTCGTGGCGAAGATCATTCAGCTGAACTGTTTCGGAGCTCCTAGATCTAGCTACAATTCCATCGTAACCGATCAGAACTATACCGATACTAAGGAAAGTGAAAAGCCTACATCTCACACTACATGCGGCATATGGTCTCTCGCATCAAGAATCAACCACTCATGCATTTCTAATTGCCGTCGGTCGTTCATTGGGGATATGCAGATCGTGCGGGCTTGCCATGACATGGAAGCAGAAACGGAATTGTATTTTGCGTACAGACCCGCTTTGCCGCACCAAACCTATGAAGAAACTCAGAAGGGTCTCTCGGGTTGGGGGTTCAACTGCTCTTGCGCCTTGTGCTTGGATAAGAAGTCCACTTCTCGAAATACAATCCAGCAGCGCAAGACTTTGATCAGCGGCCTCAAAGCGATTTTGAGGCCAGAAGCATCGATAACGCAGCTAACACGTGCAAGGAAAACACTCGAAAGCCTTGAGAAAACATATACAGCCAGGGAGAGTGTGCCATTGGTGCCACGACTAGAGCTGTGGGACCCGTATTTCGCCCTAGGTGCAGAACTGCTTGATAGGAAAAGGTCACCAGATGGTTTGGAAATGCTTCTGAAGGGACTGGAGGCTCTTGGATTCAGCATTGTAGCCTGCCCCCCGAGAAATGGTGTTGACGAGAAAGACTGCAAAAGGGCAACACTGGAGATCAAGCGTTGGGGACAGGCCAACGATTACACTGCCTCTACATTTTTTCGGATGATGCACGCCTACGAGAAACTCGCGCCGGAGCTCTGTGAGGTTGCCAAAGAGTACGCCAGTGTTGCATACAGTATTTGCTATGGCGAGAAAGAGACGATTGGTATACTGAGTCGGCATTGTTCATAGTTCTAGGGGCAACAATCAGCTTGCAAGCTCGTTCGGGGTACAATAATTGCGATAGGCCTCTTACTTTCTACGTTTTATCATAGCTATCATAATTATAAATACACGTTCCGATTGAAGTAAAATATATGAGCCAAAAGCCTCAGCTATTGGCCCGGCGCTACACTATACAAATCCATTCTCAGATGAAAAGAAATCCCAGACTGAATCTATTGTCGCTATTCCAAGATGTGCGCCCTTGCAACATACAAGGACTGCTTAGCAGCAACCTTCTTGACAACCGCAAAGACCACAACAGATGTCGCATCCAGCCTCTTCTCCTCCTCGCAAGCTCATATCTGGTTGAGGCTCAGCAGTCTACACGTGACTTGAATTAGCAAGATGGTTGATTGCACGTTCGCTATCATAGAGTATGGATGCCTGATGGGAACTCACAGGCTGCTGAGTGACAACTTCATTTGCGGGGGAAGCATCCATGGGTGATTGTTGTTGCATTTCCATCATGGCAGGCATTGTAAGTCGATATGTATGAGTTATGAGTAAAAAGTTCTAACAGTAATTTTGCTTTGTGGTGGTGCTTCTTGATCCTGGCGCTTTCTAGTGTGGGTTATTTTCTTTTTGGATTGCGACTTCTTCCATGAAGCTGGCTTACTGCCCGCCAAGGAGTATTACAACTATATAGCAACAGCGGACCCTCTTCCGTGTGGAATGACGTAGACTGTGAGGGTCTTCACCAAAACAAGGAAACTCAGTAAGTCTGTTAGACATGGTTACGGTGTACACGAACGATTCTGTAGCGAACTCGCAAATACCCTTGCTCCATCCCGATCAACCGTGGAAGCGCAGTCCACAACGCCCTTAGTGACCCACAACTCGAGATTCAGAGGCTGCAATCCCACCGTTGACGTCCCAGACTAGCTGAGACTGGAATAGACGGTGATGAAGTTGCGTTTCGGCAGCGTTTGCAACAAAGTCGTTCAAGCAATTGGTTGATGAACTGCCAATCATTTCATCCCGTGCGCATGGGGCCTGCCAAGTCCTGCCAAGTCCTGCCAAGATATGCCCGGCACTACGTTATTTAGTGGATCCTTTTAATCGTGGCAGTGCCCTGAAGCTTAGCAATTCTTTGAATGCTTTGTTCAGTCGCTCCAGCGTCAGAGGACCGGACTTTCTGAGTTAGATAGCAGCTGGCCATGCTGAATATTTTGTTCAATCATGTGCAGTCCAAGCCACAAATGCTTGTTTGCATCTATCACAGACGTATTGATTTGACGAAGGGAGATCTAAAAGCTGAGATCCGTCCTCGAGCAGACAGCACTGCGAGCGCCCGGCTATCTCATAGACATCTTATTGTCTAGCTAGTCTTGACACACACGCAAGTCCCTGCTACGTGCACTGCAATATCTGTCGAATGATAGTTATAACTCATCAGTAAAGAACTAACGTCGTTGCGCTGTAAAAGGGAAATGAGAAAACAATTTAGATAAGAGGAAACTCGCGTCTTGCAATGGATTTGGTTGCTGCCGTATATATTATCCGCGGTGCATGATCTGCGCTGACAAAACTCTGCTTATGCCAACATCCAGTCCTAATGGGCTTCATTGTCCAAGGGTAAGCTTGGTGGAAATATGTATTGCCTATGCTGCAGATTTGTCCGGTCCTATTGCATACGATTGTAGCAGCTATAGATTGGACTAGTCGGATTCTTTATTTGAATGATCCCTACCACGGAACTTCAGAAGTCACGTCACAAATTACTGCTGTTTCCGAAGTTTTATGTCAGGCAATCATCAACCCACCCGTTCTCCAACGCAATGAAGTCATTGTCATTGGAGCATCAGCATCGTAAACATGGTTATTGAAACAGATTGTGTCATCAGCCCCGACTACGTTGAAAATTCTGGGCTCGACAATCATCGTCGCGTCTCGAGGGACAGAGTTCAAGACTTCTTAGATAGAGTTTTATGACTTAGAATGAAACCAAGTAAGGTGACTCATACGAGCTAGAGGTGACTCGTTCTATATGCTATGTACCTGAGGCACACGGAGAAACTCTCCGAAAAGCTCACCATTGCATCCAGTGGCTCTGCTCCGATGGATTGTATCAGACGAATATTTTGACACTTACGCGACCCTGGAACCGGGTGCAAGGTATTAGCGTCTCCAAAAATGATGTTACGAGTAAGGCTAACATGATTATCAAATGTTTTACAGATGGCATGTAGGCTCATGATAGCGGAAAGACTATTGAACTCCGGGGTCGGAGTATTTTCAGATATCTCAAAGGTACTATTCAATTTCGTAGCTCGCAGGCATTTCACGCCTTTCCAACAAAATACGTCCGCTCGGGGTCACCCCAAGTAGGTGAAATTGCCTCCACGCGCGCAGTTTGTCTACTGACTCTTGACTCTGCGCCAAGGTATGGTCTGAGATTCCCGGCAATCTCGCATCGAGTTTGCTCAGGAGTCAAGATGATAGGGCCCATAGAGGGCCTAGTTGGTTGCTACCGGCGTTAAGAACGCCAGTGACTCCCGCAGACGACTATTCCGGAGCCTTCTGTGCCCAACGGCACTAGCACTAATCAAATCAACAAAATATTGATTTAACCGTTTCATATGGAACGAACCTGGCCAGGAAGCAAATGGTAATGACAAAGACCCTTGGCAAGTAACGATCGTGGTAGAAAACGTGAATGAGCAATGGATAGGCATCATGGATGTCCCCTGATAACACCCCTAGAAAATGATAGATTGACGGTGAACCTGTTCTGGGAAGGCTTACAGCATAGACTTACCATCACTTCCCAAGCTCACCTGTGACGTATATGGACTTCATATTTCCATTATAGCGCTCGTAGCTTTGCTGGAAATGGTTCAGAAAGCACAAGGTGAAAGCGCAGTGGACATTGAAACATGGGTCAAAAGTTCAAGTAATAATGGAAAGATCAGCGGGGACCTATCTAATGCGACCCTATCCAAGCATCAGTAGTAAGGGGGTTCAGTTTCAACGATGACAAATGATAGGCTAGGTAGTTAGTACTCATTGATATGGTCATGTTCTAAATCGTCTTTCATTGATCACGGGGACATTGAACGAACATTTAGTGGACAAGCCTGGCTGCAGATCATGACACACAAGCCTTGTGTTTGATTTCGAGATGGCATACTGGATTGTGACGCATACTCTACTAGAGGCAAAGTTGGTTTTAATGATGTTTGACCGAACACCAGTGGCTGGGTGAGCCTCATGGTATAACGACAGTTTCTGGATAGTGTTAGTTGAAAACTGCTTCCGTGCATAAGAGCTCTAAGCTTGCCGCCGCACATCGTATAGGTAGCCTCGCTGTGCCGCAAAGTCAACCTCACCTACTCAATGATTGCTCATTGGTTAGAGCGATTCCGCCTTGAATGACACGGACAAATGCCCAAGGGCTAAGATCACTATAGTATGCTCTGCGCCTCGTTGGAGTTATCTAGAAGAAAGTAGTCCTTTTGATTGTATACATCAATTATGCTACGAATGAAATCTTTCAAGACAAAACTGTAGTCTAGGAACATCAATCACCGAATGTATTTCACAATCATACAGTGGCATCTGTGCAGATCAATCAATTTGAAGAAGCAATATTTCATGCTCGTCTCGACACACCCGACTGCTGAAAACAGTGCCCTGCTTGAATGCACCTCATTTGAAACATGTCTTTCTTGCAGTCCTGGCTTTGTCCCACTGTCGTACATTTCCAGGGCTACGACTACAAAGTCTCCGATCATTGTAAACAGGAACGTCTTCATGGTTACATCGAATCTGCTTGGGGCCGTGCAAATATTATGACTTCCACGAAAGCACTGATACTTCGGGATAGATGAGAGATGCATAGACCAAAACGACTTACCAGGTACTTTGGATGGGCGAGCTGTACAAATAAGCGGAGGTGATGGCAATCTGACTCGGCAGGGAAGAAGATAACAGTAACCTCGCTTGCCAATTCATAAACCGCTGGGGCAGGGACAGGAATGTTCAAGGACTGGTATTGTTGTCTTTGCCATACAATCGTTCCAAGATCTCGTAAGCAATCCTAGGCAACCATAGATATACCACGACAAATTTCTAAAATGTTGAATTTCTCTTATTTAACGTATGCCATCGGCGCTTTTGCTATGATTTGGAGTTTGAACCCCTTTCACCTCTTGAGTCCTTCGGAGCCATGCGCTCGTGGTATGAGTTTGTGTCAATTTGACCTTCGGCACAGCTTGTGTGGGATTCTCGGGTTAGTCAAATCTACTAGGCTTGAATTCAAACCTCAATATGAACAAACCATTTACCAAGTTTGTATGGAAATTGTTGAAAAGATTTTGTTGGAAACAAAGCGGTTAGAGGTCCGTCCTGGACTGGAATATCCGCCCTTCGTGTTGGGCACACCTGTAAGTTATCATCCTGAGTTCCACATGTAAATTGCGAAGTGTCCGCTACAGCTCTGCCGTGCCGACGCTCGATGCCTCCCGGGGAGAGTGTGGCCAAGGGAGCCACAGTAAACAGCAGCTTTGGGCGTTTGACTGCTAGTAGTCTGCTATTAAGTGCCATCCAATGTCTACACTTCTTCTCTTAGTCCAACCGCTAGGTGACAATGATGGTGGTGGCATATCATTCTCCATGCCTACGACTAAAGTGGAAGGAGAAAGATTACCTTTTGACAGGATTCGGGCGTTAGGAGCTTTCCAGAAAACTTCTGCAAGAATGGTACACTGGGTGGGGGGGGGGGGGGGGGGGGGGGGGGGGCAAGTTGCATCGCCAAAGCGGTGGCGGTCAAGATGATGCTTCACATGCTCATATCAGGTAAGACGTCAAGAGTAAACCAAAGGACAAAAGTCATTTGCCACTTAGACTTGGGAGAGACATATTGAACCATCAATGTCCTTGATCATCTGTCATTGCGGAGAAAACACCAACGCAGCCATAACGGCGCATTCCGACCCCGCGATAACCGGATTGCCATCCTCTAAGGAAATAGCAGAGTGTTGAATGATCAGGAGCAATCACCGAGTCCTCCAAACACCTATGCAGACGAAGGAGATGAAACATCACAATCACCAAAGGGCAGCTTTAGCGGCGCCAGCGGCGGCATGCTAACACTCAAGTCGGAGTCAAACCCACGACAGATGGAGAAAGGTAGTGCAAGCTAACTGCGAGGAACAAAATAAGCGGAAAGGGACATTCGCATATGGAGTGAATTTGTCGGCTAATAAGCGACGCCATGCCACGCTGGCCACTTTGTAGGCCTGCTATTGAGCTCAACCGCGCTTTTCGAAACACGAAACATTGAAGAAAAGGTCCATCTCGGCAGAAGTCTCAGCAAACCACGATAAACATCTTCGTATTCGAGCGTGGGTTGCGAAGTACTGCGTTGCGACGAACCCCAAGAGTAGCAAGCGAAAACCAGTAGGCGGGGCAGCGACACAGCGTCACCCGTGGGGCCAGAGGCAGAAGAAACAAAGACCAGATATGAGTTAGGGGAATGACTGGAAGCTGTCTTGACTACTCGGCACAAAATATGAAGATCAATTCAAGACGTGACCGCTCTTGAAGCAAAACAAAGCTTGACGCGCATCATTGTACTTCCCAAGCGTCGGCGAGAACCGAGAACAACAAAACAGTTGTGCGGAGTACACGTGACCCTCATGCGGGAGCTCAATGAATTATTCGAAGGGCGCCAACCAAAAATAATCGAGGGGGATCTTTGGCTCGATGCACGAAGACTGGCAGTCTAACCATATCCGAGTTAGCACAGTTGATCTTTTTGTAAACGCGCGCCTGCACGGCACCTTGGATTCTTATTTTGGAAAGCTCATCTGAAGCTCAGCCAATGTCTGCGCTTTATTTTCATCGCAACCGCTGTCCAGCTTTTTTTTGACGATTTAGGAGGCGTTTGTCTCATTTAGACTCTTTCCTTTCTGGGGACCTCGCGGCTGAATGCAGGAGTTTCTGACATGACCTACCGGTACCCGGAGCAGCCAGCCACAGTGTCGCGCATGTCTGAATATCGCAGGCGCTGCAGGGGAAGAGTCGTTCACGCAGCATTTCCAATTCCTGGGGGCAATAGACTCTGCCCAGCAGGTACGGCACCACATCCTACAATAATTGCACATTTGAGATCTGCGGCGGGAGTGGCGCTTCCTAGTCCCTCAGTCCCTAGTCCCTCAGTCCCATGCAGGTGCTGCAGAAAGCAGTTGCATACGGTGCTGCGGCACCCAAACGAAGCCAGAAGCCCTTCGGCAGTCATGCTCGTCGTCCCTTTCAGCAACCACTGTCTGATCAGCTATCCTCCTTCCCGAGCTCTTCTTATATCATCGCAAGTGCGGTCATGCCCATAGCTATCCAATTTTAGTGCCTGGGCGTTTCTTCGCGTGAAGACGGCCGTCTCCTCTGTATGAGAGGTACAAGGCTGGCGGTTGCTGAGACCAACCATTTTACTATTTTTGACCCCTTCGCTAGCTCTTCTCTCGTCCCGCAAAACGCAAGCTACATAGTATATGGGGACCCATTTCATATATCTTAGCCGCCCTCCTACACCTAGCTCCTTGATCTAGCCGCCCAGCTCCATACAGACGCCTCCCCAAGACTGGCCAGCCAATATGAGTGTCCCTTGAGACGTGTATCCGTTCATTCAGATACACACCCCGGGTTTCAAAACTTTCGCTTGCATTTTTCCTTCGCTCTTCCACTGTGAGTTTCTCTTGAACCAGCATGGTAGCTTTGTTTCAGATCCATAGTCTTGGGTCTCACAACTCAACCTCGAGCCAACTGTCGCAGCTGCTCGATTCGCCTTCATCGCTCATCTCAGTTTTATAAAGGGTCGCGTCCCGATCGTGACCCATCGTGTTTGGTCTCTTTTCCCAGACCTCCTTCGCTATAGCAACGACAACGAATTTCCTTTCGTCACTTTCCTCTGTCTCAGCTTTTCCTTGCTGTTTCCTAAACCCGTTCGTTTCAAGTCCGTTCGTTTGACACGAGGGACTAGCATTTCATTCTCGCTTGCATATTCAAAAAGTCATCCACTTTGCGAACTCTCGACATACAGCACCTTAGTACTAATCGCATCGGTTCGGATTGATACCCACTCGTATTCGTTCCAGTTTTCCACTATACTGTCGTTTCATCTACCTTCACGATGCCGAAACACACACGCTCTTCGAGTTCCACTCATCATCAGCAGGCTCAGGCATACGCTAATGCCATGGCCATGCCTGCATCCTTGGCTCCAGCTCAGCCCATGACCATTGGATACACTAGTCGCCAACAACAACTGCCTATTAACACAGGATTCTATCCTACAGTGCCATCATCTTCATCAGTCCAGCCCCCTATGCAGCCTCAGTATGAACAGTACGTTGCACCGCCTGTGGTGCCACCGCCCATGCCGCACCGTTCCTCATCTGGGGCTTGGTCCCCGCAAGACGATCAAAACCTCCTCACAGCCAGACAGCAGGGCCTCAATTGGGCTCTCATTCGAACCACCTATTTCCCCAACAAGACGCCTAATGCTTGCCGAAAGCGACATGAGCGCTTGATGGAACGCAAGGGGGCCGATGACTGGGATGTACGAAAGTTTGAGAAGATCGCCAAGGAGTACATGAGCATGCGCAAGGAGCTCTGGCAGCCGTTGGCAGCCAAGTGTGGAGAGAAGTGGACCGTGGTTGAACAGAGGGTGAGTCATGTTTCCCACCCTGCTACCACCTCCTTATACTGAAACGACCCTTAGTGCATGAGCAGTGGAATCAAGAACGTTCAGAATGCCGCCCGTGCGGGTAATCGGCGGGAGCGGGCCGAGTCTGGCCAACCATTCCATGGGTATGACGACGACAGCGGCATCTCGGGCATTGGTCTGACTCCAGTAGATGACCTCGATGCCTCCTACAGCAGTCCCGAGACTGCCTCTTCTAGTTCGCACTCTGCGAGTAACTCATTCCACAACGGCTACCATATGCACTTGAATCAGCAAGCATATAGCCATCACGGCTACCCGGCCAGCAACGGCGGCATGTCATCCTCCGACTACGGCTCATCCGTCTCTTCTACGGCAGCTCATGGGTATGGCACTATTCCTAGCCACTCTCATCATCATTCACAAGGAAACTCTCCCTATATGGGCCAGAGACTGCCAAGTGTCGACATGGGCATCGAGTCCATAATTAATCGACCACAACACGGCAACATGTAACGACGCACACTATTTTCTCAAAGTATCCTCGCTGCTTCGTTTCGACTGCATTTCAAGGCGTAATGACACTTATTTGGCGTTAGAGAAGTTCGGCACTGGGTATGTCCAGCATGACTGCATTTGCATTTCCAGGGGGCTGGGCTGCAATCGGTGTTTTATGGCGCTATATTGATAAACGGTAATCTTGGGAATAACTTCCATAGGGGGAAGCAAGAACTGGGTGAAGTCCCTATGCAGGGCTTGGATTGAACATGTGAAGATGTGGCGCACTGCCATAATACTTGCACATCTGCACACGCTCACAACGATCTTTGATTGTGTATACTAGACATCTAGATACCACGATATCCCGGGAGGCGGACAAAAGCAAAGGGGTGGCTTGGATAAGAAGATTTGCAGCACAGATATGAGCAAACAGCACGTATCAGTAGCTGCGTTTATGACATGACGTTCATCCATTCATTCCTTCAATCAATTATTCTTACACACTCATGTAGAATTTCAGATCGTGATTTCAAGCTCTCGTACATCATCTACCTGTAAATCTAGTAGCTCGCACTAGTCTCTCAGTGGCTCGAACCGGTTGTCGGTCCGCTGGCGGTGAAGAATCCCATTGCGGAAGCAGTCCTCCGCTTGTCGACTTCCGGGCTATTCAATCCACTCCTCAATCAGATTATATGCTCCTTTAAGTAACGAAAGAGCTTTTGCGAAAAAAAAAAAAGAATAACTACGGCATAGGCTGTCGTTATACCGGGAGAATGCGTACAGCCTCCACCACGCAAGTCCCAAAACCGCACGCCGCGCACTCGTGACCGCCCGCAAAATCTGAGAGAGAAAAAGCTGCCGATGCATTGCCTTCCGCCACCCAGCCACCGAGTAGTTCTATGTATTAAACATTATCGTATCCACTTTCCCCTCAGAATCTGCCGGAAGCATTTTGTATCCGCTGACAAATCGTAGTGACATCGACATGTAGTGTAATGCAGCTTGAGGAGGAAAAGTGAAATATATATAGCTCAAGTCCGATTGTTGCAATACATCCATGAAATCACAACATATCCCCAGCCAACCAACCCCTTCGCTTACATCTCCACTTATTTGGCTCCCACAGAATAGACTTTCATCATGGGCTCTTTCGGCAAAATCTACTCCTACCCAGGCAACTGGCGAGTCCAGCGCGTGAGCCTCCCCCTTTCTCTTTTTCGAAGAATAAATAAATAAATAAAATAACCACATACTAACTCCCCAAACAGGCCCAGGTTGTCGCTTCCCTCAACAACCTAGAGGTCTCCCTTGCGGAGGGCTTCGCGATGGGACAGACCAACAAGACGCCTGAGTTTCTGTCCAAGTTCCCCTTGGGCAAGGTGCCCGCCTTCGAGGGGGCCGACGGATTCTGCGTGGCCGAGGGCGCGGCCATCTGCTCTTACATCGCATCCTCCGGTCCCAAGGCCGCGCAGCTCTTGGGCTTGTCCGACACCAAGACCGCTGCACGCGTCACCGAGTGGAGTTGCTTCGCCGAGAACGAGCTTGTGCCCAACGTCATGCCTGCGGCGGTCATGTGTTTGTTCAAGATCGTGCCGTTCGATGCGCAGAAGTACGACCAGAGCGCGTCGAACTTGCTGCGGGCGCTGAGGAGACTCGAGGTCGCCGTCAAGGACGGTAAGAAGTTCTTGGTTGGTGAGGAGCTCACCCTAGCGGACGTCATGGTTGCTGGGCCGTTGTTCTTTGCTCTGGGTTATCTGATTGATGACGAGATGAAGAGGGAGGTGCCTGAAGTCAACAGATATCTGGAAGGTTTGTCGCAGATTCCCGAGTTCAAGGGCGCGTTTGGGGAGTTGAAGAGTGTTGCCTCCAGAGTTAAGCAGTAGATTGCGGTAACGAATTTCAGATTTTCGTCCACGGTGTATCACGAGTGTGCCACTGTGCTTAATTTCCCACACAACTCTCAGCTGCAGCTCTATGGGATCCTCGGCGATCGGTATCACTTTCTTGGAGCATTTCAATAATGTATTACCGTCTTGTCGCCACACGTCAGTAAAACCTTTCCATTACCGAGAGTCTGAGACCTTGGAATTTGAATAGTCTCCAGGATCATATAATAATCTGGGGGCCTTAGAGGTCGGTCCCCATTCTAAACCTCTCCAGGGCGATGCGCTCAGCCGGTTTCTTGAGAGGTGTGAAGAAGTCAGCAGTCGTCGCTCTGTTCGGCATTGCAAATCCCAGCTCAATTAGTCTCTTGCTGAATAAACAGGGACAAAGTAGATCTGGCGCCCCTTGTATGGTAGCGTAGCTTTGTTAATAGCCTGGCGTATGTATTAGCTTTGGCGGAATCCTATCGTTAAAATCATGATGTACTGATTGCTTGGAATTAAGTGCATAAAAGTTCGCCTCTGACGCCTGATATATTCTCATAATGGCCATAGATCGCAATTCATTGGTAGAATTTCGCAGCAGGCGAATGAAATATTGGGACGTTGAACTGTGCAGATCACGAGTGATATCATCTCAACATTGGAACTAAGCCCCATCAATGACCGCTTCCGCAATGCTGGTCGGTCCCCCACTTGACACCTCAAATCAAAGAACTGCCCGTATTATCATTAAAACCATCGAAACGACGAAATAGAGCGGCAAAATCTCTACCGGCTGCTTTGCCATAAAGAATGTCAATTTGTGCCAAGCTGCCAGGTCGGCCAAGGATCAGAGGCATCTCGTCAGGCTTGGCCAGGCCGTCGAAGTTGTGATATTCCAAATCGCAGAATGCAACTCCAAGCTCTGGCCAGCTTTTCTTCCATTGGCTACGCAGCCAGTTTCGAAAGATTGCATCTCGATGATTTATATCCAATTAATTATTGGTCAGGACTTAGACACCTAAGTGAAGGTTCGAAAGTCGAAGACTTGAACCCAAACTGGTTGAATATCCTCAGAAGCTTTGGGAGAAGCCGTCCACTGTGTGGAATGGTTCTATGGGATATTTTCGGCTTGGTCAAAGTCCATTAGCTTCAGTTGAACAGCTAAGCATTGATAAACAGCTCCCACTGGTTCTCTTTTGCTCTGCTGTGTTATTTAGTCATTTTCGGCCGGCGCTCCAAACAGGCCTGCCTATTCATCATGACGCGGAATCTGTCGACGAAGAAGAAGTTCCACTTATAGCAGTCCTCACTACTGCGCTGGTGTATGTTCCACTGCCCACTTCCCTTTATGTAATTCTTACCCAGGCCTAATCAACAGGGGAGTGGTTGCTAGTGTGCTCCGTACTATCGTGCTACGTATCATTAGTCTATAGGGTGGAGGCAATAGGCATCGACGGCACTTGGAAATACGCGGCGCTCTTTATTTGCAGGGTAGTCGAGAGCGACTAGCCATGATTATACCATAATGATCTGACCGGCGGCTTGATCAAGATGCGATCGAGATATACTACTGGCCAAAAAGGCAAGACATACTATACGGAGCGATATAATGGCGATGAGCCCATATGTTGCGCTTTAACGCGGTGCTGGTATCATAGTCTCTTATGGTACAATAACAAATACACTTGAATACACATGCCCGAGCTGCTTTCCTCTACGTTAGCTGCTGACGCGTGCCACTACTGGTGAAGGCACGGCATCGACAACTTCATCATCCTCCCAGTCTTCCTCCTCGTCCTCATCCAGAGTAGGCTCACCGAAGGCTGCCCTCCATACACGGCTCCACATACCCTTCTTCTGCACCAGGGCAAACACCATGACCACAGGCAAGTGCCAGACACTCGCCCAGAAGAGGCCTCGCGCACTGCCTTGGTGGCCCTCATGTTTCCAGAAGCGCACAGCTTCCTTGGTCAGCCAGAGGTTGATGGGCAGACTTGTGACTGCAAAGCTCCACTCTGTGACGCCAGCCATGCAGAGACCGAAGCAGATGGGGAAGAAGGCCAAGCTGTATCGGAGGGCTACTCTTCCGTTTCGCGCCGGGTTGATCCAAGCAAGCATCTTGTGCCCGGCTCCTTTATACTCCTCTCTGATAGACCAGGACAAGGCCATGAAGTGGGGGAACTGCCAAGCAAACAGCAAGCCTGCCAGTAGCCATCCTCCTATCGCGTCCCTGGTGAGAAGTAGTTCTTCGAAGCCACCTGTGTCTTTTGCAGACTCTCCGGCTGCTGCTGCCCAACCCATGAGTGGGGGGATTCCTCCGACGATAGCTCCAACCCAGGTATTGAACCAATGCAGACGCTTCATGGGCGTATATACTCCTGCATAAAGAACTATGTTGGTCGCGCCCAAAGCAGCGACGGTCGGGTTGACTCCAAAGTACAATGCGCCAACTCCAGTGGCTGCTGCCAGTACGGCAAACATGACAGCCTTGCGCTGGGAGAGCAGGCCACGCACCAGCGGCCTATTTCGCGTCCTCGACATCATGGCGTCCGTTTTGGGCTCGTAGAGCATGTTCAATGAGTTCGCCGAGGCAGAGCATAATGCGGTACCGGTTGTGAGGAACGCGAGGGTCAGGGGCGACAGCGACGGGGCGTCGAGGCCTATGGAAGGCGAAAGGAAGTCCGGGACTGGGTAAAGCGCGTACGAGGACATGGCTGTCAGGACCACGAGCATGGAAAGTCGGGGCTTGGAGAGCGATAGATAGAGCGAGAATTGGCGGCGGAAGGAGCTCTGCTTGGCGGCAGCAGTAGTTAAGGCTGAAGAGGCATCTTCCACAGGAAGAGAACCATCTGGGGTGGTTGCTGCTGCAGCCTGGGCTTGTGCTTGTGCTTGTGCCGCCTTCTCCTTCCGCCTTGCAACTTGCCGTCTCCTATGTGGCAAGTCTTGGCTCGAATGTGGTAGTGTCGATGACGTCGTCGTAGTCTGTGTATCGTTGGGTCTTCCATGCGCGGTAAAAGAGATGGACTGCCTCCCAGCCCGGCCGTCTACCGTCTGTGTCTCTGGGACGGAGCCATTAGCGAAGAAATATCCAGCCTTCAGCCGGCTAGACCTCGTGGGTACCGCACGATTCCGCGGCGCGAAGCTCTGGGTGAAGCTCCTCGCAGAGACGAGGCCTGGTCCCTGGGTTCGAGACAGCTGCGACGTGCACCGCCAGCAAATATCGTGGGCGGCGCCTGGAGGGAGCAATATTTTGGGCGACCGTATATTCATCGCGAACGAGGACCATGACCCATTTTCTGAGATATTACGGGTCAATTGGTCGATTCGGCCGATTTATCATGGCGTCGCGCGAGTCGAGATACACCGTCCAGGTCCGATGGAGCTTCAAGGATTAACTTCAGAATTTGGGGCAGTCCCCCGGCGCCAGCGGATATTCCGGGCCCGAGACCTGCAAACGTCTAACTTGACATTTTACGGATCCGTAGTTAGTTACATACAGAGCAAAACAGAGCTCCAGGTTGATTTAAACTTAGTGGGGCAGAGGCATCTTCAGCATCATCTCATTGTCAATCTCATTATGCCTACGGATCCGTACCCCTTAGCTTGTAGGGCAAAATAGCGAGCGAGGCGAGGTCTGTTAGCGGTATCAACCCAACCGAGAATATCACCCCTTGTTCTGCCAATGTAGTCAACGCAGGCACCACATGATATGGCGACAAGTGTCGACACGGATTTTGGCAATGGTCCTCATGGTACAATGAAACATCCAACATAGAGCCTGGTATTACACGAGCCAAAACACCATCCACGTTGACAGGTCACAGTACGATGCTTCCGTCATTGATGGAGGCTTCCCGATTGGGTTCCGTCGATGCTGTCTATCAACGTTTGGCCTCGCAGGAATTTCGGGACTCTTTTCACCTATGACAAGAAGTTTCAGAAGTGTGCAGATCACTTTTCTGCCGGGTACATGGAAACCTTTGTGAGGGTGATTGTTGCCATGTTCGGCTGCACTACAGAAACTCGTGGGGACTACTGAGCTGCACCCGTCGCTGTGTACACTTCTACAAGACGTGAACATATTTGCATAATCCTGCAGGGCCGTTAATGCCAGACCAGCCAATGCGAACTCGTCCTAGATGGCAGCCTGAGGAGTCTTGCGGAGCGTCACAGTCCCCTCTTCAGTGGTGTTAATCACATCTGAGTTATTTGCGTTCCCGTCCACCGGCTTAGAGTCTTCAACCAGAGTGTCAGATGATCTACCACCTTTCTCCGAACCATTGCACTTCTCCGGCGTGGCCTGTGACTGCGCATTCCGCGTGCTAGCGCGCCAGTTAAGGGCCGAGTTCACGTGGTCTGATGGCGGAATAGAAGGGTTCATCGGCCCTTGCATTCCACCCGGTCCAGTGCCAGCAACGACTTGCTGATTCCGCTCTCTGCGTCTCGTGGCTCTGCGCTTTTGCGCTTCCTCCTCCTTCTCTTCTGCCTCTTCCATCCGCCTCTTTTCCATCTCCGCCCAATCCTCAAGGTTAGCGACTGCTGCTTCGGGGTGGTTACAATAATTCAGTAGATGGCCCTGGATCTGCGCAGGAGTGAATGTGTCATCTGGAATCCTCGACCTAAACTCGAATGCAAATCTTTTGAGCTCTTCGGAGCTCAGGTCGGTGCGTGGCTCCACGACAATGGGCGTTTCGTTCTGGTCAGGAGTGTACATCCGTAGGAACATCTCCTCAGCTGCATCGCCATCAATGTTGCCCATGAATATCATCTTGTCAATCCTGCCAGGCCTGACAAGTGCCTCATCGAGCTTGTCAGCAATGTTAGATGTCATGAGGACGATACGGCCTTCTTGACTGATGACACCATCCAGCACGTTCAATAATCCTGACAAGGTGACTCTACCATGGCGGATGTGGGCATGGGCCATGAGCTTCCTCATCTCCTTTATTTCCTTCTCATCCATGTCGTCGTCCTCTCGGTCCGGCTTACGCTTCATGCCGACGGCATCGATGTCCTCGAGTAGGACAATACACTGGGGTGGTAGCGATGTGAACAATCTCTCTAGTTCTATATCGGCTGCGAGACTTGGGACATGGATGATATAAAGCTCCAGGCTGAATCGGCCTGCCAAGGCGAGTGATAAGCTGGTCTTGCCTGTGCCGGGAGGACCGTGCAAGAGGTAACCTCTGCGGTAAGGGATGCCTCGTGAAGTGTAAAAGCGGCGGGTCGTGGGCTTGAGATAGTTTTCCATGTCGGAAACGAGTTCCTCCTTGGCCGTCTTTTGCATATTGACGGTTTCAAGGGGTCGGATCGGCCGTAGCATGGTCGTATCCCAGCCCTCGCGGTGGTAGTTGTTTCGTGAGGCACGGACTGTGGTGAATGATTCACGCTGCATGTCGGCGAAGTCGCGACACATGTTCAGGAATCTCTTGACTGGCTTCACCGACCGACCCAAGCACATGACGACCAGAGGTTCATGGCCAGCTGGAGGAACGACATATTGGTCAGCGAACTCACCCGAGACATAGGCATTGCGACCAAAACCTCTTCCATCCGTGATACGGCGGACTAGGAAAATGTTACGGTCATAGAAGAACCACGTGATACCAAATGTAGGGAGATACTGGATGGGGGGTCGCTTCCCGCTGTGATGGTCTGTTCTTTTGATGCCAGCACGGCGAAAGTCCCAGGCATCATTCTGAACAGGTTCCGAGGTTGCAGTGAGGATACGAGTCTGCTGTTGCAAAAGGACCCTGGCGCCGATCCAGTTCAAGACTTCTCGATTCAGTCTGTCACTGCCGGGGATCGAAACTGAGGCCTAGTTACAGTGATCGAATCAGCATTTCTGACGTGAATATGCTACAAAGTCGATGTCTATCAGAAATCATCCTTACAGTGAAAAATCTTGCTACCCAGCTGTACATCTCAAGGGCGATATATTTCAGCTGTTGCGTGCCGTTGCTGATTGCGCCAAACACGGTCAACGCGACGGCAAGTGTGGTGATATCAAGGTTCAACCATGTTGAGAAGAACTTTTGCAGAGAGCTAAATCCAGGAGTGGTTTGCTGAAAAAGCCGACGCAATGATGTACCTCCAGGAACACCACCGCCGAGCGTTAGAGGCCATCTCTGCCTAGCCATAGTGGCGGTTGCTTGCTCATGTATTGAATAGAAACTTTTGGTTTCAGCAAGCAGTTGAAAGTTGACAATCACAATAGGCTGTGCTGTGCACCTACAGACTCGTTACCCTTAAGCCTCTACTACCACGACGTCAAACGATAGCAAGAACTGTGTGGGATCTTGTCAAGGTCAGTTTCAGCCGAAAGATGTGACATGGAATCATACGAAATGGGAGGCTGCTTACCGGTGTTGAGCTGGTGAGGGCAGAATTCAAGCGACTGTGTGGGATGCTCGTGTCCACTGCTCCAATATGCGAGATCAAACACGGAAGCTGGAGATGAAAAGAAGAAGCACACTTTGGGGCTACAAGTCTGCACTTGACGTGGCGTAATTTTTCAGGTGTCGTTGGATGCTGCGCAAAAACAGGTATAGTTCGTTCAAGGTGCAGCAGGTGCACGCATTTAGCTGCAGCTCTGTTTTCCAGGAATTGATATGAGATATGGAAGTATGTTGGGGGAAATAGTGCTGAGATCCAGTGCAGCACCTCGAGAAATCACCCCACAGTTTGGTGCCCGGTGGACGAAAATATGCTACACACATAGCTATCTAACCTGACTACTGTACTGTAGTCATTGAGCCTCGGGTGCATGTACAGTACATAGCCCTTAGTCGCACAACAATCCAGGAAACAAAACGTTGCGCATGCCTCGGCTAGCTGCATGGGACAAACACCAAACCTGCGGCCGCATTCAGGAAGGAGTTGAACAGATATCTTTGATCGTTGAGTTAATTAAATACAAGGTTTGCTACAATATCTGTTATTTGCCACTGTTTATAGTATGTGCATTGAGGTGCCATGGTAGAGGGCATCGGCCTGGGCCTGAGCAGCGCATGTGCATTGGAACATGTTTATTACGAGAGTGCACATCCGCAAGAAACAATGTCCATGCCCCATACGGCCATGATGCATAGGTCATTCAACACGGAGGCTGGACCAGCGATGCTCGCAAACCCATCGTCGCACCACATAAAACCATGATCGCTATGCGTGTCCAGTGACTGCGTGTTCAGTGACGGCGTGTCCAGTGACACTGCGCATACAACGCTGTGAGACTGGGAGACTGAGCCAGCTTAACGTTAGTGACTGTACTGATGTTTTATTACGAACCTGATCTTGTAGCATGAGTAACGATCGTCACATCCTTGTCGTTACGTCGCGCTCTCACCATGACCAACCCCATGCACGATCAGGGGGTGTCCGATGGATAACCAAGTAGCCGACCAGCGCCTCAGTCCTGGCTACATAGTTCTGGCTACAAGAGTAGCACATCCTTACGACACGCTGAGCTTTCAAGCGCTCATTTCCGTACAGTTGGAGCGATTGATTTTAGCGCGTAAACTCGGACAGGAAGCAACTTCCCTAAATGACTTTTAGGGAATCCCTTCTGCAGTTCCGTTTTGAAAAGCGTCAGGCCCGCTTGCTTGAACAAGGCCCGGAACTTTGCGTCTTGTCTGGGCAAGATCAGTTTCGTTCAAGCACCTATTTGGGAGTATTGATGTGAGATTGGAAGCCTACCTTATGACACTGCTGTCTGTCTCGTCAAAGAAATCTTCGTCAATCGAGTTGATGTTCTCCTTCACCACGATAACACCACCGTCAGGGTTTAGCGCTGCCTTGCATCGCTCAAGATGTTGCACGAGCTGGGGATCAGTCAAGTGGCCGACACACCACTGGATCCATACCAAATCATAGCTGTCATCTTTCGTAGGTATCCAATCATCTAGTCCTATGTTATGGATAGCGCGGATACCAGGTTTATGTTGCAAGCCGTCTGTAAACTTGATGACGGGCTCAATAATGTCGACCTGTTTAGCGACTTTTAGAAGGAGCCCCTCCGTGACCCTGCCAATGCTATATTAAGAGGCCTTGTTAGAAATTGTGCGTTTCGTATACCTGATAATACTTCTTACCCAGCACCATCCTCTAAGGCACTGTCCACTATGCGCAGACCTGGCTTAGCACCAATACCCAGCTTGGCCAGAAAATTGCGCGAGCCCTGTAAGTCGACTCTGGAAGTTACTGAGAAACCTTGGACTGATGGGACCCCGCCGAGCATGGCATTAATGTCGCTATCAACATTATTCCAATACTTGAGTCCTTCGGCCTTGTCGGGCAAGGGCTCAGGCGCCGCGGTTGTGACGATGGGAGACACGTCCATTTTTTGCCTTGTCGTGGAAGGAGGCTCGATCATTGAGCTTCCAGTGGTGAAATTCCCCTCCTCTCGTCCCGGGAGCGTAAGCTTTCTCTTCTGCATGAATGAAATTGAGAGGCTTATAGTCGGAGTGCCTGGTTTAGCTTTCACCCCAGCTATTTTTTAAAAGTTCGCAGACCATGGCGGAATTTGTGCCAGTGGCGGGCAGCTGGCCTAGACTTGTTGTTCTGTTGACCTGATTGAGCTCCACACCAATATTTCCCGAGATCTCCAACAAAGTCCTCTTCATTCAGTATCCCGTGCAAAGATAGCAGACGCGCATGACTTGAAATACGTCACTATACTCATCTCAATTATAAGGGCGAAATGTCAGGAGTCCCCAGATTAGAGCGCATCAAAGCCATCATCTTCCAATCAATTACGTTATCAAAACCATAAATCAGTTATGAATGAAAACCATTTGATACCGAGTGAACACAGATATTAATATATTCAATAGCACCGTGCATGCCACTCTCAATGCATTTAACAAACTTATCCGTCTACTGAGGTTTCTCAAACTTCGTGCCACGACCTGGATTAGCCTGGCTCTGGAGGTATTTGTTAACAACGCAATAAAGTGGCCTTCGTTCGCGCCCTGGCTTATATGCTACAGTTCAATAGATCATGGATGTCTAAAAGTACAAACTCAATCCATATCACTTCCTTTGACAGCCTCTTCGTGTCATTACAGTTCGGCGAAGGCTGGGCCATGCAAAAAATGATGATGTTGGCTATGATCTTTAGATTGAGGTAAATTTTGCCATAATATCGGCGAGTTTCTCTAAGTCCTAGCTTTCTCCCGCAATTAAGCAGGCCGATAAAGCTGCATCTTTCTTGATCAAAGCATTGAGATGCTTCAGCATGCCGACACTACCATCGCCGCTATGCGGGCGCAAATGATGCGCTTATTCCCTATTCCGATTAGTCGCATGGCTCTGATTATCGTGGGGGCTATGTGTCATATGTTCAGGAATCGTGAGATTTGCTCTTTGCAGATATTCTCGGGTCTTTATTTTGCCTGTGCTCCTAAGTGTGGGTTGTCTTGTGGGTTGTTTTTTGGGGTGCCAATGGACTTCCACTGCCATAATCGTCAAACATCGCACGTACTGCTAGCCCCAACTTGCCAGTCATGGTTGACGGAAAATCCTACTGCCTCCTAATGGGGTAGCTTTCCCATTTTTCAGGGAAATTGAAGTGTGTGGCAACCAGATCGTATTGATTAGAGCCATATCCAGGCACCTCTGCACTGCACGGCGTCCACAATATCCCCAAATGGCCAATTGGTTGGCCTACTGTATTCGGAAAATTAGTTCTCAAATCATTCGTGATAGCCAGGTTACGGTCATGTCTGCCAAAGACTGGTTTATTCGCAGCACAAAGGCATACACTTAAGTATTACTGTTTGAGAAACTTCATCATGCCTATATCAGACGACGCTGGCGTGGCTGACTATCTAGGCATTGTCCCTAGGCACTCAAATATATTCGCATTCAATTATGGGCTCACATCTTGCTGTCTGATGCAAAACTCCCCAAAGAGAATATGTCTTACACACAGAACAACCTGCCTTGATACTAAGTATTTATAGCTTGCTGAAGAAGATAAATGCTGTATCTGTACCCAGCCCCTGTCGTTTCTAAATTCTCTTCATCCGGTGACCTGCTCACGCCACCCGGCTCTGTACCCTCCCGATCGGGCACTCGGCGTAAACACAAAATTGGCTTCTCCTCCCATAAGATCACGTAGCACATAAGGGTCTGATGGATTCGACACTCTACCTACATTGGGTGTTCTGTATATCGCGGAGGCTGATTATAGCAACCCGTGTTACGTTGAATAACTTCACTCACTTCTTGCCAGACTTAAAGGTCTGTTATACGTTAGCTTCTTGATAAGCGAGGGCGCTAGACAGGCTGGTCACACAGTCATGAGTCGCAGGCCATGATGACATATTGAGAAGACGGATCCTTCCAGTCAGCATCCGGGCTGATGTGATCGTTTTTGTAACTATTCCCTGGATCTAAAATCAACTCTGTCAGACGTGATCACACAATAGCACCTGGGATGGTATGGTGCGATATAACCACAATGGCTGCTAAGGAACTGGAAATACAAGTAAGCTTGGGCCCGGATGATGAGTGCACCGAGTATGAAACCATTCGTGTCCGTCCTTCGTAGGCTTATACATACAGAATAATGGCGCGGTACAAGCTATATTTTGTAAATTGGAGCATCACATTACACACTGCTGTGGATATTTAAATGTCGCTGTAAAGATAGAAAGTCAATAAAAATAATGAAATAAACATTTCTTCCACCTTTTCGTGGGTTAAAACCGGCTTACATTTTGTTTAATGATAGTCACAGTCAAGTAATGTTACCTTTTCACCTTTGGTGGATGTGTGATCAGCTAAAGTCGCCGATTCGTAGGCATCCCAGTCTACAAAACCACACGGATCCCATAGCCCTTTTGAAGTCACATGCACTACTGGACTCCACCTTTACAGCCTCAGCGGCTTACTTGGAGTTCATCAGCTTACTTTCAAAACCTCCTGACAGGACAAAATATTTTCCTGAAACTGTCTAACGACATTATTATTGGAAAACATTCAAGCGCACCCGACTGAAGTGATATTTAGAGGGCTGGCTCTCATATAAATGTCCCCATCCACTCCAGGGCACAACATTGCACTTTTGTAAGTTCTGTATTCAAGATCAACACTCCTCTCAAAGCCCTGCGACCTTCCAAATCCCTACCTATACTTTGCTAGCAGCACAAGTTTTACCCATATTCATCATCATGCCAGCACCTGCCCCAAGAAACTACCCAGTTGGTGGCCAACGTGCTCCTACTCCCGAAGAAAAGAAGTGGGTCGAAGACGAGGAGCATGCACTCAAAGGAAAACAATGGTTTGTTCTCTTAGGCTCAGAGGGCAATGAAGCCTGGAAGTGTCTTCACTGGGCGCTAGATGTTCAGCCAAAGCCTGTTTTCCCTGAGTATCCTGACTTGAGCAATGAATGGATATCCAACGACTTGTGGTATGAGGATAAAATTCTCATCCAGCGTTGTGAGTAGTCCAACGTCCATGCCAGAAAATATCTCAAATATAGGTGGTTGTGGACTTAAGGGACTGAATCTTCATTCAATCACGAATCTACGTCCTGCTTCTTGATACAACAACCTTTTGCCCCTGTACACTCCTTGCTCAATACACTAAAGTGCGAACTAACTTGAGATGTGTAGTCGGCGAACACGGCTTTCAGCAAACCAAAGACGCTGCTGAAGCAGATGTCGATTGTTTTAAGGACGCCAAGGATAATCTGCGGCACTTCTCTCGTAAACTACCTAACGGGACTTGGACGAGCAAGCTTGGAACAGGGCCACTCATCATCCACCCTCGGGAAGGTTTAGACGGGGGATTTTACGGCACCCGAACCATCTTCTTCAAGTACACCGGCGGAGCCGCTACAGCTCAAAGCTTCTCGGCTGCAAGTACTGTTGGTACCATGGCTTCTCCCGCCCAGAATAGTCCAACTTCTGAGGATGATCAGCTGGTCCAGAGTTTTGCGAATCTGGCCAAAAAGCCAGCGCCTCGTCCTTCTCTTCCTAAGGCACCGACGGCAAAGCCTATACCAGCGAAGCCAACTCCTGCCCCAGCGAAGCCAACTCCTACTCCAGCGAAACCGACACCGGCAAAGCCGACTCCTGCTCCAGCGAAACCGACACCGGCAAAGCCGACTCCTGCTCCAGCGAAGCCGACACCGGCAAAGCCAACTCCTACTCCAGTGACTCCCAAGCCTAAGCCTCCTCCAGCGCAGGACAACAAACTCAAACAGGAGTTCGACCAAAACTGGCAGGCATACCTAAAGGCTCTGAAGAGACCCACCAGTCATTCCGAGTAAGTGTTTTGTCCAAGGTGAGAATCCAATGAGCTCTAAGCTGATAAATACCAGCCCACGTTCATTGCTCGAAGTGCCCGAATGGCAGAAGATCAAGAAGCAAGGCCAAGGCGTTCTTCCTTTCCTTGTGGACTTGCTACGCACCTCACAACTTACGCCTCTTCTCATACTGTGCAGTAAGCTTCCGTTTATTCCCGGAAACCTCCTAAAGCGATCATGGCTAATATTCTAAAAAGTATTTGATCTCGATCCCAAGGAGAAGATTCAGGGGACACTTGAGCAGAAGAAGGCTCAGATCCTCAAGAATAATGCAGCTAAGACCAAGGAGATCGGCATTAAGATGGATGCCGTCTCTGCACAATCCAGCAGCCTCCTGAAGGCCGGCTTTGAGGGTGCCAAGCTCACTGCCAAACTGCTGAATGACCCGCTCTTCCACCAGATTATTAGCGAGGGCATCGCCGCCGTACCGCACATCCTAGACGCCTACTCCAAGGATGGAAAGCACGGAGTAGAGCTGTACACTGAGATGCTAAAGCAGATATACGCTATTCATGCTCAGAACGCTGACCCGGACGCCCAGAAGCAAGCGTTCGAGGACTGGCTTGAGAATTACCTGCAGCCTCAGACTGAATCTGAGCAACACGACGACGTGGAGCCTGCTGCAGATGAAGTCGAAGAACAATTACCCGAAGAGCCCGCTGCTCAGGAATAGGGGGCATGCGATTACAACGCAGATTTTGTTGAGTTAGGTTTAGGTCGGGTCACTTTTCTCTTATAAGTGTTTCTTTTGGATATGAAATGGTTTGATTGACGGAGGCTGTTTTCACGCCGTATTCCATTCATTTGGCATGATTTGATCTTTGTTTTTATAGCACGATAGTAGCAGTTTCATAGTTGCAATGCTGATATGCATTCCTACTAGTTACAGATTTCCCGTAAGTAAAAAACTTTTATTATTCGAGGAATGCTCTCCCACCCATCTAAATTGACGCCGGGGGAAGTGAGTATGCATGGGTACGGGACAAGAAACTACAGAGTATCGCTTGTTTCTTTCTTTGCCTTTCTCTCGCGCTGCAACTTTTGCTTATGTATTATAGAACGGGATATGTAAATGAAAACCTAAAGTCTCATACTCGCCGGCGCTGAGAATAATCGGCTAAAGATCATGAAGTAAAACAGGCGGGTTGAAAGGTAGGAATAGCCCGGCTTTGAGGTTCCCGCATTGGTGTACCGCAGGTCGGGGAATAATTCCGCACTACAAGAAGTATGAGTGGTACATTAGACGGCAATCAGATCTGCACAATTAAGTTCATTTTGAAGCTTGTCCGGCAACTGTTCGCCGACTTTTTCTACAATATCATACAAACACTAGTACAGCATTTTGCTACGGGTAGCCTTATTCTTTTTCGGGCAGCTTTATTGTAATCGTCCAAGCAATGAGCCTATCCCATTGCATGATTTTTGCCTAGCAAAAACTAAAAAATTATGTAGAGAAGCAGAATATATTAAAAAAAATTCGTTTCTCTCCTCCCAATAACACCTTCAATTATCCTTTGTACCCCAGCTCTTCACGTTTCTATGAACCGCTTCCAAAGCATGGAGTCTCACTCACCGTCAATAGTTCATTTATTACCTCCCTTACATTACAGTGATTATGGTCTTTACGCAAGGTGAGTAATACCCGTTGCCGCCATAGTATTTCGCGGTACAGTAATAAAAGTTTTGTAACTCTCATTGACGGATATGCGAACGTATAGGTGTTCTTCGATTGCACGAATAGATAGACGAAGAACTAGGAACACAGGCTGAGGAGTATTAGTACCACGGGCAGAACCATGGGTCCTGTATCCCATATCCAGGGAATCGACGCACCCAGAGAGGAGAAAGCGAAATGACATAGGAAGCAAACCAAGGTTGCACCACGAGATAAGGTACTAGCAGTTTGGGAGGCAGCAGGCAACCCTCTGGTTCAGTTATATGAAAAGCAGCAAAAAGAGGACTACTTCAAAGCGGTACAGTGAGGCAAAGAAGTGGCAAGAATGTGAGCATCAACGAACCAAGGTAGCGCAGATACGGAAGGAACAATACCGCTAATAGTTCAAGAGAAGGGACTAAATTGGTAAAGCTTGCGCCCGTGGGAAAACATTTGAAATTTTTCATAACACTGATCTGCTATGATCGGAGTTATTCTCAGGAGTTCAGATTTCTTGCAACCATTGGGGAGCCTTAAATTCTACCAAAGCCGGACCCGCACTCAGCACCGAACTCAATTTCCAACGCCGCTAAACCTTCAGTGCAATATATAAAAAATGTTTTACAAGGGAAGCCGTCATGGTGTAAATATGGAAAACGTTCGAGTCAGTCTTGCGAATGGTACCGCTAGGAGCGGCGAGGGCTTCGCAATGGGAGGCGCAATTTTGCGATGCTGTCAAGGTTATATGGCATATTCTACTTTTTTGACTTCCTCGTCGATTGGAGGTGCAACACAAACCTTAAGCTAGAAGCGACGATGTGGATAACATAAAGTTCTAAAGCTGTTTTAAGAATCACGTTCTTTGAGATTAGTTCTATCGAGTTGTTCAGGATTCCAGAACCTCGTATTAGAGCACCATCTGCTCTAACACAATTTGAATCTGAGTCCATCTCTGCAAGAGGAGTTCGCGCTGGTTGCACTGCCCAACGTGAAGATTGTTTATGTCGCTGATTCTTTCTGCGACTCGGCTTGCGTAAGGTATCAGTATCTTATGAAGCAGTGTCTTATCCGTCCTGTCAGGATATCCCGACGCATCATCGTCGTCACTGGCATTGTTCCACGTTCCTCTTTGCACATGCTCCATTAGTCGCAACACACGTCTTGTCCTAGGGCACGGCCCGTGTCCTCTCTGCAACTTCCAATTGCCCATGAGATTCATATTGCGGAGAGTTTCCGTGGTATCCTCGCTCAGATGTGGCAAAATAGCATCATCAATGCACACTTCGTCGTAGGGATTCTCTGTCAATATAAATCCGTACTCAGCTAGAAGGAAGTCATTGGGATGTTCTCCATACGAGTTATTGACTTCTTCACCAGTAGCGTACACCTTAGCCGTTGTGAGAGTGTACTCATCAGCATCGTATAATACTTGACATCCGGTCTCGGCATGGTTCAGAAGGTCGGCTATGGGGAGCAGGGCTAATCTTTCTTCCCACTCGTACTTCTCCGTTTCGGGTGTCAGGTGGTAGAAAGTTCTCGAATTGATGATAAGCCACGATTCTAGGTACTCATGATACACCATGGTCGGGAAAGCTTCATGGACGACTTTCCATTGTGACTGTATCTTCGCCCGCTGCTTGGCAACCAAGTCGATTGCCGGCCGCGGCAAAAGGGCTTGCAACTGCTCTGGCCATAACAGTGGAATACAATCTTTAAAGTCATTTAAATTTGGAAGTAGGGCCCGCCATGGCGCTGCAACATCATTGAGAGTCAAATCAATAGCCAGAAAACTGTGTATGGACCATAAAGCCGGTAATTTCTGGACAATGGAGCATGGAACCGAATTGAGACTGCGCATCACATTTGTCGGCACGGTCAAAACAACCTCACCGGCCTACAAGACAGGTTAGAAACTACTTGTTATCAACGATCTTTTTTTTTTTTTTCCTGGCTTACCTCGATGCGGCGCTCCGCCACAACCCCAGTTCCCCGGCCTGGAATACTGACTGGCTTGATGCCGTTCATATTGACTCCCCCTTCAGCAGCCCATTGGAGCAACGTATCGAGCCTGTGCATGTTCTGACGAGGGATTAAGTTATCACAACTGGAAAGCTCAAGTAAAGTGTCCGAATCGGGAGGTTGTGTCACTGAGATGGAACGTAAGAGATTGTGAAGACAATGTAGTGAGTCAACAACTCTGCAGCTATCTTAGCTGAGCGCCTTGCTGAGAACTAGACTAACCGTAGGTTAATTAGGTTAGACTAACCTTATAGTTGTACAGTAGTACGTATGGATTAGGGACTTTACAGTACAGCACGGATCTGTAGGTACAGACGGATGGTGCTTAACACGGGAAGAAGGCTCCAACTGCGGGGTACTTATCCCAGGCACAGCCTCGAGGCCAGCTTCCATTCTCCAAGATTCTTTGACTTTTATGTATTACCGATCATAACCAGATCCATGACGTATTATGAACATTCCATGGTACCATTATGCAGTCGACTCTTTTCTAGTCTAGGCCGAACTCAGGCCGCCGATCTCGATCTTATTCTAGCAGTGGCACCGGTACAATAATTAATCCCGCACTGGGCTATCGCCAACTTTCACTGCGGACGGTTCAATGGTCTTCTCGTTATCAATTCCAGATACGTCTTCTGAGCCCGTGTCCCGAGGGTATGCCTCGATCGCCACGCCCTGTAGATCCCATATCGTATCCTTCAATATGGTCTCCTTGGCCGGAAATACGTAGCTGAACGCTGTGTATAGAATGACGGATGTGAGGAAGCCGAAGAGCCAATTGAAGCTGTAGAGGTTTTTCGTCCCATCACTAATTTGCACAGCTGGCGCGCCGCTGATGCTGTAACCCAGTCCAGGCAGGAGAGGCGCAACTGGAACCAAGAAAGCAAGAGCAGCACGCCAATTGCAGCCACCAACAAACTTGTAACGACCATGCGGGTTATACAAGGCCGGAATATCGATATGCTGCTTCTTGATGAGCCAGTAATCCGCTATCATGATACCCGCCATCGGTCCGAGAAAGATTGCGTAGCCCCCCATGAACGCAAGGAACGTCTCAGCAGAGTCCAGGATCTTCCACGGCACAAGCACCCAACCAGCAATGACTGCTGCTATCATGCAGCCTCGTCTGATGTTTATCCAGCGTGGAAACAGAACAGTCAAATCGTTCGCAGCACTAATGGAATTTGCCGTGATGTTGGTGCCAACTTGGGCAACATACCACGACAGGGCTGCAAAGAAGGCCGCACATCGACCACCCGCGCCGTAGTCGAGCCAAATCGCCACAATGTCCAAAGGGTTCCAGAGATACTCGCCGCTGAACACTTTACTGGCAGAGGTCGTTACTATTCCCAGCACGCCGCACAGAGTGAAGATGATGGGGATGAAGGGAAGTTGGACGACTTGCCCCTTCGCTGATTTGGCGTATCTTGTGAAGTCTGGGATGTTGACTGCGAGTGTCGACCATTGTCCCGTCACCGCCGACATACAGGACAACCAAAGCCATGGGTACTGGGATCTTTCAACGGTCGCCTGCAGTGCAAATATGTTACCGCCCCCTCCAGCCTCTTTGATGCACCATCCCATGGTGGCGATGGCCGCCACGGGTGCCGCCACGAGCTTGACGACAAAGATCGGCTTGAGCTTGGTAGGGTGAATTAGGAGAAGCGGCAATTGAATGATCCAGAACAAGAAATAAGAAATCATCCCGACTGTTGTGATGCCAGCTGAATCTGGGAGTATATTTGGTATGTCATTGTACGAGGGCGCCCAAGCTCGCAGCATCACTGTGACACAGTAGGCCCCATTGACTGACTACGATAGTTAGCTAGTCGCCAACACCATGCTTCTAGATATGGTGCTTACCTGAATACCCAACCAGAACATGGCCAGAATAGCACGGCTCACGATGCAGAAGTATCGCAGATAATAGCCGAAGCTACTGGCACTGACGACAGAGAATGGGACGTGGAGCTTGGCACCGATTGCGCCGTTGAGTACCATTGGAACGGCGACACAAAGATTACCGACGATCATAATAGGTATCGCCTCTCGCCAGCTGAGCCCGACTGCGAGTATGGAAGATGCGGTCTGCCACGTACCGAGATTGATTGTGTCGGTAGCCCAATAAGCCATAATGGTCCATATCGTCCACGTTTGATCATCGACAGGCGTTGGGTCTCATTCAAATGTCAGCTAGAGTGACTTTAAAATACAATTATCACGATGCAAGACGTACCCATGTCACGGTTGGTTCGGACATATTCAGGCGCCAGAGCTCCAGTCTGTCTGGGAATCTCCCATGCGTGCAATGACGTGCATCTTTTCATCAGTTTTGTTATAGATGCCTTCCCCATATTTGCCGCGGGGCGCAACAATAGCTTTCAATGCGAAATTAATCCAGAGTTGTACAATGACTTGTTCAAGTCAAGTCGGCAGTCCACGACCGAAACGCTGGGTGTACATGCTTATATACATGTATGCCTGAACCATGCGCCTGCAGACTAGCTTCCATGTATGGTGGTGCGCATCGGACCTGACGCGAGAGTTGTACATTTACCATGACCGCATGCTGCTCGTTATCACATTTCACACGATGCACGAGATGATAGCAAGCCATTTGACTAGGATGAGCAAGCAGACCAATCCGGCTCGACCATGATCTACACTTCGCTAGTCGCAGCGTGGCTTTCAGCAGGGGGCGTAGCCAATTGAACACGAGACTGTTATCGGCAAGCTGGTCCCAGTGTAATCTTTGCTGATGTCGAATGACAGAATGGGTAACTGCTATTAGTAAAGCTATTATTTCTGTAATTGAAAAACTGGTATCAAGCTGCAAGCTGATAAGAGGAGAGACACCGTTGCGAACAGCACGCAATTGTTAATACCTAAGTTGAACGAACCCCATACGGCGACTGTGGTCTACTGATTTTGGCTCTGTCTACTCATATAAGCACGATGCTTACTCGCACCACCATGATTAAAGCTTCAACATCACAATTCAGGCAGATTCCCCCCCCCCCCCCCAAAATAAAAGAAAATCGCACCTCAAACAGCTCGTGCCAAGCCTTCCAACCCATCCTGCTTTTCACAGAATATGTTGATGGCTTGGATATTCTTGCCTTCACTGCGACCATCCTCGCTGCGAGTGAAAGCCAAGCGCCAAGCGCCCTCATCCTTCAGAATTGAACTATAGTCGCTGAAAGGTTTCTGGTTGATCTTTGCGAAAACAGAACCCGTGTCACCTCCCCACAGATTGGCAGGGGTTTCAGCCAACTTGATCAATAGAGGTGGCGATATGGTAATATGGTGCGCTCCAGCCAGCATCATGACCTCTTCGATGCTTGTGAGACTGGCTGGCAGCACCTGCGTCTTGCTTCCAACCTTCTCATAAAAGGCTTGTGCCTCGCCACAAAAGCTGAACGCTTTGAACTCATCAACGTATCTGAAAAATTATCGTCAGCATTGTGCCATTCTTCTAAGATCTTGAATTATCTAACCCTGGTTCAAAGTGCACGCGCAGCTCGTTAATATAAGGAGCAATATATGTGCAACCTGCGTCGGATGCTAGCGCTGCTTGTTCCATGCAGAACATAGTCGTCGCCAAGGTAGTGATACCCTCGGCCTCTAGGACACGGCATGCCTGAAGTCCTTCCCATGTGGATGGGATTTTGATGCACACTCTTTTGCTGTCATAAGAGGGGTCAAGGTCTTTGAAGGTTTGGACAATGCCTGCAGCGTATCAGTTTCGTGCATTTGTTTGACAGAACTGATCTTTCTCACGTCTTGCATTTGCGATGGTCTTCTGAATGTCATAGGAGTACTTGGGGTTGGTTTGAATGTGGGAGTATCCACTCAAGTGAGGCACAATTCGTAGCGCAAGCTTGACCATCATGCATTCAACAGCGAGTTCGGCTCCCTCAAGGTTAGTATATGCATCTCGCTTTGATCTGGCGTATTCAACCGACTCTTTGATCAACTGAGCATGAACCGGTGTGTTGTTGCCATCCAAACGTGTAAGCTCATGGTATGCGATTGCCTACCGAACTGTTGGTCCTGTACAGGATATCATGCGGGACGATACTAAACGGAGATGATGCAAAATAGCTCTCTTACTTGGTTTGAAGTGCAATCAATGAAAGGTCCTAGCGACTTTGGTACTGTTTGAATAGTATGTTAGACCTAGCTCTCTAATGTTTCATCCAGGCGCTCACCTAGATCATCGAAAGTATCACAGTCGACTAATGAACGGCTTCGCAGAACGTCTAAGAGCGTGGTATTGTCGGAAGTCATTATCCAAGAATGAGCCTGTGCTACCTTATGGTCCAAATAAGAATTTTACAAATTTGGTATTGACATACGAGGGAAAAGCGAGGTTCGAGACAGACTAGCCCAGACAATTTCATTCGTAACACGAAGCTCAGTTCCATTTCACGGCACATGATGCTCGTCGCCGATTCTCCGCCGACATGTGCCCTGTGTGCTACAACTGGCAATTCGTAGCGCTAACCACAACATAATGCGGGGAAGATGTGCCCTTTTGCAGATGCCGTTGCCGCTCGCTTCCAACTTTTACGCTTTCATCACAACGGTGCTCGACAGCTGTGGCTCTTCTGCTGAGGGCTCGAATTACCTCGTGATTGTACCATGCACTACTCATGTCCGTGCATGAAGGTACCCTTGAAGTACGGTTGGTGAGCAGCGGTATGAAAGCTGGAAAACATGTCAAGGGGTGAAGACGACGGTGGATATTGATGCAGGCTTGGCGTTGGGGGAGGATAATATGCTGTAGCATACAGATCTTTACTACCATACGAGCTAGCTCCGGTGGTCCCACAGGCCTGGCTGGCCAGTGGATTTGCTTGACCAGGTACGACCTCTTTCAACTGTCGCTCTTCCCAAATCTAATTATATATAGCGTCTATATGCCCGCTCATCTCAATGGAGAGAGACGTGATTACGACATTACTCCCATAAAGTTGAAGTTCTGTACAGCAGCTGGTGCAGTTGCGATAGAGACATCGAAGTGGCAACGAGATGGCCCTCGATGTCTAGTCCCCATTAGTCAATACATTTAGTCAAGTCCTCCCTTGACAGCTGAACACAGCGACATCACTGCGATAGGTCAACAACTACTCTGGTTCCCCTACGCAATCTTGATTCCACGGCTTCGTAATTTTGGATTAGCGCGATTAAAGGAGCTTTTCTGTTGACGCTTTCGTTAAAGAATTGTGCTCTTGAAGTCTGCTTTCGTCCCCTTTGCATCACGATTTTTGCGGAATGGGGCATATCTCTAGTGCAATACCATTGGCACCGTGCCAGCAGCCGAACAGTTTTTGTATTGTAATCTCAGTGTGCATGGATTCTGTTGTCTCACAATTGCTGGCGCCTGAGCGACTTGATCACCGGCTCCGTATCGGCAGTTGTTGCGGCCTACGTAGATATTTTGTTCGGCATCTCAACGTCTCTTTGAGGCCATAAATATTGCGCTCATCGGCACAATGAACTAGCTCTCTGAAGTTACTAGTACACTACTTATAGCTCAAAATTGATCAAGATGAACATGGACCAATCAGCCTGCTTAGCCTTTGTTGTAAGGTCTTCACGGGCCAGAACCAAAGGCACCCCAGGGATGAAAGGCAGGGTGGAATGCTATTCATTAATTCCGCATGCTTAGTCTTAAGAATGTTCGGTTTGCTGATGAGTTATTAGGGAAGCTCTCTACTTTCAGAAATTACCTCTCCGTCGAGACATTCTTTGTTTTCTTACCCTTTGTTACCCCCTTCTCTACTTTCCCTGAGTTCTGAACTTCGTTCTTTGCACAAACCTTTTCGCGATGTCGAATGATTAGAGCTGTGACTACTACTCAACGCTCAAGGTCGCAACATGATAGCACCTTTTGTTGCATCTAGGAAAAGATCGTATAGCAGGCTGCGCAAAGTTGTCATTACCACTACCACATCTCAATCGCCCGATATAAGCTCTACTGGAGGTAGTGTTCCACAGGAACACTTGAATATGGAAAATTCTGCACCATCGTCGGAGAAGAACAAGACAAATCCGCCACTGGATAAATCCTACAAGAAAGTTCCGCAACAGGATCGGTGGAATCTGGAAATTACGCCGCTAGATCCAAACTTCGTGTTGATGGAACGATACTTCAATAGGCAACTCAGAGACCAACACCAGGATGTGACTCAGATCCTTGAAGATCATTTTGAGGCATCAGAGATTGAGCAATTCGTTCCAACGCATAAGGAGCCGTTGTCACAGTGGCAAGAGGACAACAAGAGCCAGTTCCTAAAGCTTTTATCAACCAGCTTCAAAGACAAGATTCCGTCACTTCCCTGTAAGATGACAATGTTGTACTTTGGTCTGCCAGTCGCGCCCATGAAGAGGGCACCCTTAGAAAGCCAGCCTCCCACCGATCTGTCAGCTCGTGAGCACGAAATGCAGGAAGATCGTTACGACCCTTTGTCATTTTTAGATGAGTACGCCCCACAAAGGACCACTCAGAATGAAGGTCAGTGCATAGCCTCCATGACTACTTTCTTTTCATTCAACTGACCCGCCAATCGCAGATGGCCCCCAAGCAATTGATGATTCTCTAGGCCTTCGTGGTGGAGCCCTAGACGAAAATGGGACTGAAATGCTGCTTTCAGATATTGATGAGGAAGAATCATCAATTCAATGGGAAGCACATGCTAACAGTCAACTCACCACCATGCCCCGAGGTGGTGTATTATCATATGATGAGCTGCCTGAGCATGCTCATTTGATCGCCGATGAGCTGCAAAACGATACATTAGCACACAAGACTTCCGTCCACCTTTACGGTCGTCAGGGATTCACCGGGACTGGTCCAAGTTGGGCCGATTTTGTTCGAGCAGTCACCTGGCTTCTCGGCAAAGAGACTGAATTGCAAAGCAACCCACATGCGGAGGTGAACCTGGCTATAGATTTGTTTGAGGAGAAGTTTGGCGGTAAACCATCACATCTGCTAAGTCAGGAGGGAACGTTTTACCTGGACCCGGAAAGATATAACCAACATCCAGACAATGAGCTGCTTGACTTTGTAACGAAGGAAATGAATCTCCTGCACAAAACAACAGCAGACCGCTTCTGCTTTGTGCGTTTAGCTCGGGACAAACGACCAACAACTTATCGACCTGATGGCCACGTACCGGTAGTCCACTTACATAGGGATGATATAGCGCAGCGTCCAACTGTATATACTAGACTAACCTCGGCACCTACGGATCAGAACGTACCAAGCCAATATTCCACCGAGTTCAATAGAGCAGTTGCACAACTTCTGCAGACTACGTCAAGGCACCAGTATTTGAATCTAAGCTATGGAAACATCAAGAATACTTCATTCCAAATTTACGCTGGTCAGGAACCGCCGCCAGACATTCTTGACGCATTAACAACGAATTTTGAGGATACAAGTAGGTTCGGTTCAATTCATATCGACCTCGAACGAGTCGGACAGGACCATATTCCCCTGCTAACTGAGAGGCGAATTGACGGAGCTGTGGATGACACTGGCATGGCCCTACTCCTAGATAAGTGTATGATAACTCAGTTTCATCATATTGCTCAAGCGATTTGTACATACTGTATTGATGGACGATACACGGCGAGCACAGTCAAATCTGCGGAGCTGTATCTTCCATATTGGGGTTTCCTGGACCAAACCGTCGATCCAGTCGTGTGCCATTTTGAGAATGGGTTCCCTGTGTCTAACGATGGCCAATGGATAAGCCGAGTAAATCGATTCAAATCCGAGAAGAATGGAGATGTGTTCAACAACGGCTTTGCTGTATGGGGTCGGGCCGTCTACAGCGAGTACGTCTTAGAAGTCAACGATGTTGACACGGCAAAACACCCAAGTCATACTATGAAGAACCTACTCGACTTGGATCTAGCATCTTTCAAGCTCACAATCTCAACCCACCTCCTTCCCAACAAATATGATACTTATGATCGAAATATGACTTTGAGGTTGTTCACGGGCGACGAAGACACATTCTATTATGTGATTCGCTTCGAAACAACTGAGCAAGAATGGTGTCGCATCAGGAGAAGCATTGCTTCCAGCAAAGTTCGCGTCGAAATGCCCATTAATAACGACTTTAAGTATAGCTACGAGGAAGAGACTCGATGGGGTGAGTATTACTAGATGATTCAATAGAAGCGTACTAACAGTATCAGATGTTGATCCTGATTCCTACTGGGGACCATGCTACGACAACCTGCATGGCCATAATCATGTAACAGCAGTCGAGAGTGTCCAGACTGGCAAAATTTTACCAATATCTGCATATGTCCCTAAGGTGGCCAAAGAACGAAGCGCAAGTGGAACGACCGCCACGGCTATGCGCGAACAGGCTTTATGGAAAACACCCTCAACATTTGCGAATCCGTTCAGGCCCACGATTCCTGTGAATGCTCCGCCAAAAGAACCGATGCTTCGAGTCGGGCCCCGTGTCCCGGCAATCACTATGGGTCTTAGAACACCAAATGAGATGGCAAACATTGAAGATGAGGTACACAAGCTCCGCGGTTTGATCCTACGACGCACGAGAGATTGTCCTTACGAAGATTGCGGCAGTGTATTCGAATATGACGACTGCGCCACCCTTGATCTGCATCTCAGAGAAGAACATACTAAATTACGATGTCCTTTCTGTCATATTAAAGGTGATCATAGCCAAGCGACAGAAGGAGCTCTGTACGCCATAGATCAAACGTCTGCCCTAAAGCACTTATATCAGGAACACGGAGAGGATATTATCAATCAACCCGATGTCGCCGCAGCCAACGTCGGCAGCAATTTCATTCCTAAAGTCGTTCGAGATAACACTGACCGCAATGAGATTGTTGCTGGTTATAAACACTGTGATCGATGCGGCCGGGATAACACTGCATGTCACGGCACAGAGGATCGTGAGAATCATGCTGAAAAACGTCTCAATGGTGTGAGCCCGGATAAGCGGATATATTATTGCGTTTGTTGTGCCACGGCGTACTATGAAAACACTACCGGCTGCGAGAATGTAGAATGCATTGGAAAGACGGGTACCGTTGACACACCACCAGATATTTGCTGTAGAAACTGTGGCCTGTTGTGGTCTGGCCTCGCCAAAGACCACATCCAACAGCACAAAGTTGTCTGCAAACCGCTGGGTGGCAACGAAGGAGACTTCTGTTCATTCTGCGGCACAAGAACAGCAGGTATGGATCACATGCAGAGGGCCTCCCATGCAGAACACTGCCAACAGCGGCCGCGACCTAACAAACGGAATTGTCCGCACACTAATTGTGGACAGCAGCTCCGGACACCAGTGGAGGTCGTGAGACATCTAAAGCACGCGAAGGATCACGACTCTACACGATGTCTCTGGTGTGAGCAAGACTTCCCGGCTGAAGACCATCCCTGGACTGACCAAGTCAAAGCGCAACACTTTGCAGGTCATATGGGCGCTCACGCACAGATTCCCGGGCTCAGCACGGCTGACGTCGTCGATGTTGAGGAGTTGAAGTGTCCAGGATTCGTGGACTGTGGCGTTGTTGTGAGCCACATGACTGATGATCAATTCGTGCAGCATTTCCTTCAAGCCCATAACAACATGTTCCAATTCCACTACCCCAACGGGCAACTCATCCCCAAGACTGAGATTTCCAAGATCAGTTCTACGCGAATGTCTCAGAGAGCCACAAGCTCAAGTCCGTCTTACCCAAGTCGGGGTGACTTACGAGCACCGGGTTCCAACAAGGGAAGAAGAAAGGAACCTACGGGGTCAACTCAGGCACGAGATACGTTGCGAACAGGGAGGACACCCAAAGATATGGGCTCGGCATCAAGTTTCGATTCACGGCTCAACAACTTAAGCAATATAAAGCCCGTGGAGATACCTAGCGATGAGGATCATGATACGGGGGATGGCTTGGGTGACGTCCCCGTGGGAGGCTCAGGTAGCAAAGGCAAGTCGAAGCATCGCAGCTTTGGTGCTACCAGTCCAACCTTTCGCAGGCTAAGTTTTAAAAATGAGCCGGAAGGGGAAGTCGAAGATCAGGCTGATCAGAAGGATGGCGTGCCTGAGAATTTCTCAATGTTACAGCTCGGCATGACGGCTCTTCCTCCCGCCTTAAAATCGCCAACAGAGCCAAACTTCTCCCTGAAGAGATCTCGAACGCTTAGTAGGGACTCTATCGCCGGCTCTAAAGTCAATGTGCCTCTGCCAAAGAGATTCAAAAAATATCATTCAACCAGCCAAGAGTCAATACCCACTATGAGTATGGCAGGTGTAGACAATTCAAAAGGCAAGGTCAGGGCCACCCCCAAACCCCGGGCCAATAGGGCTCCGACACCTACTTCCGAACCTGCCCCGCCGGCAACCCCTAATGTGACCAATATTACCCGCAAGAGTGCTCGATCCCCGAAGCCGATCAAGCGTCTGGCATACGATGGCTGCGAGGAAGGGGAGAGTGATGAGGAAGAGGCCGGTGATGGCGCCACCGTGGCCAAGCCTGTCAAGACCCGTGCTAAGGCGGCAGTAAAAGTTCCAGCGAAAGTCCCAACAAAGGCCGCAGTCAAGACGCCTGCAAAGACTCCGGCCAAGAGGGGACGTAAGAAGGCCAGCCAGGATATTGAGACCTTGCCATCCATGAAAATTGTTCCTGTAGTTGACAATAATGCAACAACAACGCGACAGCCGAGGTTCAAGTAGGGAAGCTACATTATCATGTTCTATTGGGTATCAGAAAACAAATCAAGTACCACACAAGGCAAAAGGGCTGAAACAGTTGGCATACCAAGACATTCGTTCTGAGTTTTCATTCGTTTGCAACAAGTTTTGGACAGTTTTTGACAGTGTTTACGTATAGACTTATTCACTTCTCGTGTATATAGGTTTTGATACTCTACTATTAATTTAAGCTCATTTTTCCTGACTGAACCCTCTCTTTAGTGAAGCACCTCCAGTCGCATTTGTCTTTTCATGAGTCGTGATGCGTCTAGACGTAGTGGAGGTCGGAGTGTGAATTTAATCGTTTTTTTGACATCATTTTACGATTTTAGAAGTAAGACCATTAAAACGTATTAGTGAGACTACTGCTAACACTGAAATCGCATTAACCAGACACATGATGAGCAGAGGACGTCATCTCGGTATTAGCGGCTGCATATGATCTGGCGTTTAAGAGTGCTGTCACCTTTATTGCAAACCTAGGTTCAACGAGGGTGTCTCGCAAATTGGTTCGGAGAATTTGCGGACGTTTGAGTTATTATCTGCAATGTTTCTCGACCACAGAATTTTAAATCTTGAATACAATAAATTTTTCCTGTGCACTCGACAGCGAATGGAACATAGTCTCCTGACAATCGTTAATCTTGTTTGACCTCAATATGACCGGTGGCCAAATGGATGGGAGACTACAGTGCGATACTATACATTCATATAACTAGAGCCCCCGTCGGCTATTCCAGTGCACTAGACCTTTGTTTGGGTTTCGACCTTTCTGTTATTGTTCATTTGTGCCTCAGATCCCCTTCCTCTGTCTTTCGTTTTTCTGTCTTGTCACTGCATTTGAACTTCTTTCTCCAGGCACAGGACTGTCCGAGAACATTGTTGCTGTTGCTTATATAAAACACGGCGTAGCCGCCTCAGTATAACGAGACACGTAACCAGAGTGAAAGCATTGATATCGGGTTTGACCTTAATCTGCACCTTCCGTATGTTTATCATCATGTGTCTGAAGCTCTTCCTAGCGCTCGTATATGGTCGTACTGTTCGACCCTCCGCATTCGCGACATGGAAAAAGGTAGCGATAGCCAATGAAGGCGGGGTTTTGCACTGTTGTGGACGCAGCCTGGTCTGCTAAGTAGACAATATTGGAGCCTCTCCGACCATCAGCACCTTGAACAGAATTTTGATTGGAACGCATAATTTGTGGGTTCTGATATGACTGTATTACGTTTAACTGCCTGCAATTTGGGGTACAGGCTCACCATTTTGGTCCAGCAGACCCCTAATGTACCGTAGAGGACAATGTACATACAGTTTCCGCTGCAAGCCAAGAAGCACACTCATCAAGTTGTTTAGTTTCTCTGTTATCTTCCACTGGTAAGGATAAAATGATAAGTCTGTTCCAAGATCACTGGACAGCGCCTATCACCTAGCGGGTTGAAAAATGGAATCACGACTTATGAATCAGTGTATGAAAGGCTTTAAGTTCTCGAGATACATTACTCTACACGACGATGAAAGAGGACTCAACTACTGTTTTGGGTTCCTTGCGTTCATTTTGTTGCATAGATCTCATCACATGACATGCAAGACATATGGACGTGGCCTACAACGTTTAAAGTGAGCCACCAGGTACTCTAATAGAGACATGCTAAGAAATAAACTTAGCTAGAAGCAGGACTGGTGCGTTGGGTCAGATAAGAGCACAACGATGGAAGTGGAATTTTTTACGATGATTTAACGGTAAGGCAGTCATTGGATAATATTTTCGATAAAATCATAATGCTTGGAATACCGGGTATCAATACGATCTTGGAGAATAGGCGGATTATATTTCAAAATGACTTGGTAACACAATCTTGATATTCCCCCAAATAGGTCACGGGTAGCAACCACCGTTCTGTAGTCAATTGTACTTGGCACAAGAAAATCCGTAGCCCTGCAAATTGGTTATCAAGTAATGAGTCTATAACGTTTTGATACAATCTGTTTGTGAGCTTCGTAGCGTTCTCCTTTCTCGTTAACCACTACTTAACTCTAAAGTTCACAAACTTTACCTTGATATGCTTGAGTCTACTTAGCGATGCCTAATCATATTATCAATAATGGTACAAATTGTGCAAATTGTTTAAATTGACTGATCGATTTATCGAGGACCACTGTTGCGGTGGTATTTCTACTTTCATGGAGACCCAGTAGTCCAGTCAGTTCTGCCCCGTAGAGTGAGTCTGTTCCATTATAACCGCAAGACTCGTATTTAGAGTAATCCTATTGGAACAGGACATTTAGCTGACAATGTGCATCAGCTACCATAACGTCTGTGCCCAGCCTCTGGCTTGCTTCGGCTTGTCGTCCTTGCCTATTGCTCTTTTTCACTGTTCAAGTTTGCAGGTCGCTCCTCGATTTTCTGTGCTCGAAGTTGCTCATCCTCCTCCAGGTCTCGACGATGCTGTGAAACTTTTGCATACGCTTCCTGCAATTTCTTCTGTGAATCTCTAGGCAGATCGTCGAAAGTCAAACATTGATCTTCGAAAGTAGCCTTTATGAGCGCCGAAGACAACTCATCCATGAGCCACATGATCGTTTTGTTGAGCGCCAACAGATAAACTGTCTCCTTGTCATCCTGTGTGCTCGAAATCCTTTCAGTGAATTTCTCAGTGAGCCCATTGCAAAGGTCTTTGTATTCGTCATGTATCTCCACTATGGTTTTCCCGTGGAAAAAGTCTTCGGGCGTTACATCAGCCGATTCAAGCACAGGAGCTTCACTGGCTGTGCTTTGTGCGGAAGTGTTCAGTGGCGATGTCATGTTCGCGGAATGAATGGTGGGGTATTGCTTCTTGGGTATTCTGTTGCTGAGATTGTTTGTGTTGAGCATGAGGGGTGGCTTGGAAGTTTTCAAGAGTTGGTAGAATTTATACCCCTATCTAAGCGTGATAAAGAGCTGATTTTGGGACATCACTACACTGCATTGCCATATGTGGAACTTTCATGATTAGCAGTTCGGTAGTATTCTATTCTTATGTGTGATTGACTGCACACTTTCGCTTTCATAATAGGCCAGTTTAGTCGATACTTATAGGTTTCTTATGGATTATTAGCAACTGTTTTTCTTTTGTCTCCGATGATGTCAACAACTTCCCTGTGCTCCTCGTTCCCAGCGTTTCCTTGTCCTTCAGTGCACATGATAACCGTATTCGTATCAGTCAAACTTTTGAAGTGATGTTGAACAGCAGTTACACTCTGAATCACTAAAAGTATATTGATAAAGTACAACTTATAGCTCTGATTATTGGGATTCAAGAGAGGAATTAGAGCTGTGGCATTGTACGTCTCATTATTATGGCTCGCGTTTGTTAGTAACTGTCTACAAAGATTCTGGCTTCTATATATATAACATTCTCAATGGAACCAACATCACAATCTAGGCTAACACTTGGGATGGATTATCAATGCTTTTCTTCGTCACCAGCGGACTGCCATCGCAATAAAACGCATCTCCATATCTGAGGTCAAAAACTTATATTTAGTTTGTGGATCGTGGATATGTTCGGTGGTGGATGGTTTGATGGTTGATCGAAAAGATCCACAACTCTGTGTTGACAGCATTGTTAATCTGCAATAGCAAAAGCCTCGCGCTAGTTTTGGTGTTCAGCAAGGCAACTCAGAACCGCCACTCCAGCTTGCGGTTGTCTGGGGTTTTGGACGAGTGCTTGTTAGGCCAGTATTGAAAGATCACGCTGGGGTCCTGCCGGTTGGGCAGAATAGCCGCGCTTATTGGGGCAAACTTCTTCTGTCTGTATTTGAAGAGGTCTTATGGTTCATGAGAATGTTGTCAATTACTTTCGCGTGACGGCAACAATGCCTAGGGTCTCGATGTTCCATGGCGGGAGCGAGCCAATATCACTCCAATATCGAGCTCCACGCGACGCTGCAGCTTGGCAACTTCGGTCTCACAGCAGAAATAAAAACGCACAGGGCCTTGGGTTTTTGGCCCTCTCAAGAATCTTCAATATCAGGGTTAATACGCTAGAAGCTATTCCAATTGGAAGTCGGGTCACGCGGACATCAGTCAATGAGCTGATCGGTGGCCTCCGCTACATGTGGTAGTCCCCCCAGATTGCGGTTCAGCATTCTGAATTTGGACACCACAGAGATCAAGTCTCCCTGCAAGGCATGGACAATATTGGAGTTATAATGGTCCCAAGTACGGTGGGCTCCGCCAGTCCGGATGTGGTCGGCCAGTCGATCGAAATACTCATCGATTGTGGTGTATCCAAGTGCGTGTTTGACCGTGGCCCAGGCAAAGCATTGCTCGTCCGCCTTCTCCCGGCTTTCTTGAAGCTCGATTTGATTTGGGAAGACGCTGACGTGGAGAGCATGGGAATCATTAGGCAGACGATCTCCACCACACTATTCTTCGGAGCAGGTAAACATATTGCTGGTCACAAGGAAGCTGTTGAATATTGTCAGAGAACGAGCCCTCATGTGCCTATGGCCTCAAAGACGTGAGATCTTGGTGATAACATGGATGCTACGTCGAGTTTGATACCTATAATTGAGGCTTTAGAAATGCTGCCCATTGCGCGAAATTCATCATAGGAAAACGATCGGCCAAAGTCGCCTGATATGTTGGCATCAACATGCATGCAGACAATCGTCACCATCTGCCTAAGCCATGAAGACGTGGAATTTGGGAAACAAGCGCACCAATAAAAGCCCATTTTGGGCGTGACACCCGAAACAGAATAGTGGTAGGAATTTGAGATGCTTGTTTCTAGGAAGTGGAAAGCGTCCTACATTTATTACTTATTATATGCAGCTGAGACTTTTGAATAGAAGAGTGAGAGTGTCATAAAGATATTGCTAACCCCGGTACCATATCCCTGCTCCCGCTGATCTGATATCTGGGGTCATGTATGGTCGGTTGGAAAGGTGCTCCGCACCACAGGTCCTTTGAAGGATCATATAAGATTTAATCATTCTCTTCTTAGTCTATCGCTACACTACTTAGCTTCATCTAACATAACATATCTCATTCATCAAAGTATTTCCGCAACTGGGTAACTTAAGGTTGCAAGCTGGCTAGCCATTGCGGCAATTAATAACCAGTTGGGACCACATCCTCCATGAGTCGTCCCTTTAAAACAGTCAATGCATACAAAATCTTTTGCAAAGCAAATTTGGTGTCTCCATGATGATTAATCCACATACATCTCGGTTGTAGATAAGAGGTTTAATCAAACCACCGCCCGATCTATTACCATACAACCTCTAGTTATATATTTATTATGAAAGTAGGTTATTACTAGGTAAATTGTACAACTTTAACTTTTATAAAGAATTTGATTGAACAACAGTGCTGATGACGTAGATAGTGTTTCAGGTTTGTTGTCAACCTTGATAGCCAACACGTGGAACTCTCGAGTGAATACCAGAAAGCCTTCGCCTAGACTAAGTCAAAGATACAAGCGTCATGACAACTTTCTTGGCGGACTATGGTCCGAACTTCAAGGTATAATTTGTGGGGGATCAGGTACTGACCCTTTACATGAGAACCTATCTGTACGCAAACTTAGCACGCAAGCTCACCTGGGTGGACGGCTCTTTGCCTTGGAAGATACTAAGTCCGTCTCTGAATCTTCTAGTATTGACGACGCCAGTTAAATGAAGACCTCTGCTGCAATTGAATTCAGTAGATATAGGGACGGAGGCTTTATAAGCATATCAGCTGAAGGCCACTCTAGATCGGCGCAAGCCTTAATCACCAGGAAGTCCTCCACATGCATGCTTTCGTGGCAAGTCAAAGGCGGCGGGACACTTCTATATAATGATCAAGTTTTTCACAAAGATAATGATAGCTTTTATGGAAAATTTAGGTCATCCGCTAACCTGCATGCTAATACGGCCCGTCCGCCTGGTCCCAGCGTTGCGTATGACAGGAGCTACAAAGTTACGCTCTCCTTCGAACTTCCCGACGTTAATCAAATAAAGTGTGCTTTCCGTAGAGCACACTAGACTAATGTCTTTAATAGCATGATAATGTCCTCCATATCACGGAAGTGATTACGAAGAAGCGAGGTCAAGTCAACTTGCAAAGAACCTTGGCGAATTACAAACCTCTGCGAGGCACATGAGAATTCGGCTTTGGATATTATAAAGCAGATCAACCAAACCACAATCGATGACAGTTCAACCTACATTGGTCAGGAGCCCTGTATAGGCAATTAATTCGGGCCAGATCCTGGGGGAGATGTTCCTATAGCTATATTTCACGAATGCCGCAATTTCCGGTCATATCAATAGACTCAAACGGCTTTGGTCAAATTTTGCTGATATAACCGGACAGACAATATCCACAAGCAAATAAGATAATAGGCTGGTGCTCCTCCTTGGCCAACAGGGTAATGTGCATGTGGTTGTCGTTGTCATTGCTGTCAGCGAATACATGACATTGGTCTATATTCAGCTCATCATCCTGACATAAGTGCAGAGTTACCAATGCACCATCTTCTGTTAGCCCTGTTCCTTCCCCTGCTTGAGTATGATCATTAATTCCTGCAAGTGATGAACTGGATATATTACTTTGAAAGTGCATTACAACTGATCACACTAATTCATCGTTTGAATCAGCTGAGAGTTGAGGGCACTTCATCGAAAGTATTTCGCAACAATTTCGATGGTAGAAGACCGAGAATCTATGTTGTGGACCATCGAGTTAGGTAGACGAGTTTTTTGCCACGCTCATCAGATTTGTGCTTTCCAGACATATTACGCGTGGCCATTGTAGTTGCAGAGATGGCCAGGTGGCGTTTGAAGTACGGGGTGAAATCGTCATTATCGTGTCACTGAGCTCTGAAGTCAAGTAAACAAGCAATATAAGCATTGGTAGAGGGAATATATCATACTGAGTAAGAGATACCCAGTTTTTAAGACAGTCTCATGGTTCGATTCGCAAGATTTTCAGAAAGTATATCATGTCATTGTCTACTTAGGTGATTGAATCCATCAAAAAGCCTCAGACCCAGTAATTCTTGAAGAAAGTCATGCGGTAACCACAAGCCTCAAACCAGGCCACTGCCATGTGAACTTTCCACCAAACTCCACATCTATATGTTCAAGTCTTGTAGACCATACCAGCGAAGCCTATACTTGCGCCTCGCTCGGCAAGATATTGCAAAGACTTCGAATCTGATGTACCAGTAGGTTTAGGTATTGTATCAGTCATGGCTCTAACCTTAGATGACTATTTGTAATAAGACTCGTGGTCCTATGTGTATCTGTCGCGTTTACGGTAATTGGCCCGTCTGACTGCGTTAGAACTGCTCAGCAAGTCGTTGAGGCTACCCCGATAGGCTTTGGCGTCGCGGAAAGGACAGTTGTCTGGCTTTTGCATTTACTCGATGACAGATCCCAGAGCAAGCGCTTCGCACTCTTCACTGCTGTTCTGACGGCATGCGATCAAATTCTTCACAGGATCTTTGTTCTTGATGCCTTGTAGTAGATTAAACATCAAATGTATGCTTCGAACAGTCCTTGAATGTGCTTGAGGGTGAGAGACTCTGGAATCTTGTTTAAATTGGCATGAACAATATGAAATACAAGGAGTGAATGCAGTAGTTCGCTCCCCCTTGGGAAGAAGTACCTCCCAGTCTTGGCCTCCATGTTGTTGTGACTTGGATTCTGCGAATGTTTCATTGAGCGAGTTTTTGTAGTAATTGGAGTGGCGAGTGAATAACCTAAAGCACACTAGCAAGTCCGTGGTTAGAACGCCCTCAAGCTGACCACCGGCGATGAGATGAAGGTCTCCATCACGGTGGATGGTGATCGATTGAGACTCAGTGCTGCTTTCCATGGTAGTGCTACGATTTAATGTCAGATAGTGAGCAATGGGCGAAAAAGGCATGGTGTGACCTGCATGGTTTTGTCTGGAACACCATGGAAATTCATTCCTGCGACCTGTTAGACAGCAAGGTAATCTTGCCGCCGAACATATTATCGACACGGCTCCAATATGCCATGATAATTTGTTGATAGCGGAACCTTCAAAAATTGTAGGGGAATTTTGAGGTTTTTTATTTATTTATTTTATAGAACCCCCCCCCCCCAAAAAAAAACCCCCCTAAGGTAGAACTGATGCGTGTATGCTATTTTGAAGTTTAGGAGGTGATGCTGGGACGAGACAGGCAATACTCATACTGTTTCGACAACCACCAAATCCAATCGCTAGCAGGTGCGCAACCTGAGCTCTTCAGCCCTGTGCCAACAGACTTTATTGCCTTGACACGTGGCTCTATTGATCTTCCTGCGAACCTAACACCTGTGGGCGAATACCTCGTCCAGTTTAAAAGTAATCACGCATCACGCGCTGTGTCGTGGCTCAATACAAGTAGTAGGCGATAGACAGCAGGGGACGACTGACATGAAACAAAACACGACAATATACTCAGTAGACGACAGTGTGAAGCCAGCATGCAGAGCACGCCTCGATACCATTTATACATACTGTTCAGCCCAATCTTTAATCAAGCTGCGCTGATCCCACCCTCTTGTCGTCATCATTTTGACTATCTGTTACATAAGCCTCCTTTGACCACGTCTGGGCCCTGTATGGCGATACCTCTAATCCTGATCCGAACACTGCCTAGCTAAAGCCCTGATATTGTTTACAAATGTCTCCACCAACTCCGGGTATAGATTGGGCTCCTCACGTTGAGCCCTCTGACCTTGCTCGATGAGGGCCGCCGCGTCCATCTCCACCTCGAGCTCGTGCTCCTTCTCCACCTGTCCCGTACGCTCGTTTGTCTGACTGACTTGTGTGAGGTCGACCTGGAAATGTCCCTGGGAGTAGCTCATGCGATCTTTGGCCCGGTTGGGCGACTTCTGACGACCCTCGGTCGCTGCAAGGATCTCATCGGGCGGTCCGTCCCAGTCCCATTCCAGACTGATGCTGATGCGGCAGTCAAGGGGACACATGGGTAGATGGATCTGAAGATCCGATACGCGAGCCTTGACGATAGTGGCTAGGATGTCGCCAGTCTGCTGATCGCGGGTGATACGGGCCTTAGCCGAGTGTTTTGACCGTTGAAGAGAGACCAAGGCGCCGGGCAGGCGACCTGCCAGCGCCGGAGGCAGCTCATAGAACTCGTCCACCTCGCGCCTATGCTTGTAGGATATGGGGACGTGCTCGTAGGGCCGGGTATGAGGGTTTTGCGGATGGGTCGTGGCGAGGTTGCTGTTGAGCCACTCATTATAGACGCGATGTTGTGCCTGAAGTCGAGGGTTAGGTCAGCGAAAGAACAAGCCAGAACACGCCCGGCGTGGTACAACGGGGTAGGGCTTACCAATGTCATACTACTTCTGAAAGCGACACGGGCATCTCCAGTGATAGCACACTCGCCGTTGACGGGCAGCTTGATACGGTTCTGGGTGTTCAGGTCGACAATAGTACCCAGCTTTGCCTCGATCTCCCATTGAATACCGCGAGCTTTGCACTCACCGGCAAACTCGCTGACGCAGATAGTTTGAAAGAGGTAGTCGGCCACAACTCGGGTGAGGTAGTCGAGAGGACTGTTGAGAGAGATGGTCTGAATGGGGAAGGGCCGGCCATCCAGAAGCTTCCATGCTCTGTTGTCTGATCCGATATTGGGGTGGTCAGAGTTCTCAGGCTTGACGCGATTGGCCTCGGGTGAATTGTGTCGGGAGATGTGCTCGGACTTGACTTCTGTCTTGATCTTGCTCTCGTGCGGTTGCGGTTGAGGTTGAGGCTGGGGTGGAGCATGAACGTGTGCGTGATTCGTGTCGCCGTTGACTTGTTTCGGGAGACTGCCACCGCCGACGTGTTCCTTGCTCCGAAGAGTGTAGTTGCGACTGGCATTGGGTTGCACCATCCTGCCACTCTGTGCCCAGATGGGGGCCTGTGTGTGTCGTATGCGTTTTCGTCGCGCTGCAACAGGCGAAGAGGATTGTGAGATCGTATTTTTAGTGTTGTGGTTGCCGTTCAATTGTGGTGGAGGAGGTCTTCGGTGGCTCGCTTGAAGCTCTTCGGGACGGAGATCGCGATCTTCGAGCTTTCGCTTCGCCGGGGTTCCTTCGCGCCTCATTGTAGTTACGTGGTTTGTAGAAGTTGGCGGTGTGTGTTGTGGTTGTTGTTTTTGTTGTTGTTGTTGTTGTTGTTGAGGGTGGTTGTAGTGCTGTTGGTAGTCTGCAGATTCACCACCTATCGAAGATGGTCGTTGTGGAGCCGGACCTGAACCTGGGCCTGTTCCGCTCAAGCTATCCGAGAGGCTTGGAATGCGAGTCTTGGGTGAGACACTAAGGCTGCGCTCGCGCTCCTGCGATGCGTGCGATTGCGACCTGCGGTGCGAGTCGCTCACTGCATCGTACTGTGAATTGTTGCGCGATTGTGGTTGTGGAAGCGAGGCGGAATACGGCGGTGGGGGTGAGGGCTGTACTTGTTGCTGTTGGTGCGCGTGAGCCTGCAACTGTTGGGGCGGATGAGAAGAGTAAGGTGAATGTGGGGGAGCCCCTGCGGATATTGAGGAAGATATTCTTTGTTGGAAGGGACTCGACGGTTGCGCAAATTGACCTGCTACTTGCCGTGGTGCAGCAGGTGGGCCAAGCGGTGTTGGAGGTTGCGACGATTGCCTTTGATCCCTTGGGTCGAATTGCTGTTGCTGCTGGGGCAGAGGATGCGTCGTCGCAATTGGGCTTCCGCCTTGCGGTCCGTAAGGCGGACCGAACGGTTGTGGAGGTGCTGCTGTTGGTGTCACAGCCGATTTGGACTGCATTGATTGTGACCTCTGTTGTTGATGATGCATGTAAGGGTATTGGGTTCCACCAGGTGTCGTCACAGGTGGTGTTTGGGGTGGCATACTCTGCTGCTGTCCTGCCAAATATGATACAGACCCATGAGGTGTAGGCATGCCAACTGGCGGCGGCACTGAACCTCCTGGTGACGCATAACTGTCTCTCGAGTCTTGGCGATAGGGCCCTGCCGGACCTGCACCTGCACCGTACTGGTGTCGCTGCTGTGGACTCGGCGGCGGCTGGCCTTGTATGTGTGACGGAGGGAACGGATATCCTTGACTGTTCGCGCTGAGGGACGAAGTTGGTGTGTGTCGGTAAGGCGAAGGTCCCGACATGTGTGCACTTCCGGGCGACCGCGGATCATTGTTCGGACCCGGTGGCTGCAGCGGAGGCGGCGCAGGTCTCGAGGAGAAGGCTCCTGGGGGCGGATGCTGAGTTGTCGGCGATGCATATTGAGATGGCGGTCCTGGCGGTGGATGTCCTGGATGATACTCGGACTGTGGAGGGCCCTGGGCTTGAGTCGGTGACGCATGGACCGACTGACTATACTCTCGAAAACCGCCGCGCTGTGGGTGTGGTTGTATCGGAGTATGTGGCGCTGGGGTTATGGATGGCGATGCTGAGGGTCCCTTTGAAAGAGGCAGAGGATGTGATTGCGCCGGGGCCTGTTGCCTTGATGCGCGACCCCCAGCGCCGCTGTCCGAGTTCAACATGGAGTTCAGATCCATCTTGTTGTTGATTGCTATGTCCGTATTCCTACTTTCTCCAGACTTCAATCATGCAACGGCTCATGTATCCGTGGCACTGACTCCCCTTGCTCTTGTATCCGACTTCAATGTTCTTCAATGTACACCGCGTCTCGCAAGTTCCACATGTGCGCCAGCCAACCAGTCGACTTCATGCGTTGACAACCTCCCGCTGAGTGGGATTCGAGAATGCAATATGTGTGGCAAAGGTCTGCGCGATGACTCTGTCTTTGGCCGTGATGCCGGGCGTGAATGTCCGGGGAATCCGCACCTCGAGCGCAGTGCAATTGCGAAATCTGCTTCCTCCTCGACTTTTCGGTGCCGACACTTCTTGACGCCTGTCGACTATCGTGCGCTTGGTCTGTCGCAACTAGCGCAAGGACATGTAGTATTAGATTAAAAGTTGGTACAATAGAAGGACGAAGCGACCCCAAAATGATGGACGTGAATAGAAGATGTCTCTGTCGCAAGAGGGCGAGAAAACCGATCGCGTCAGTCTATCGTCGCAATGTTAGCCTACGGAGGAAGTTGGTAGGCAAACAGGATGGCCAGCTGGCCGCGGTTCGTGATGGCCTGTCTAGGCTCTAAAGATGGTTGCCGTGTGTATGTACTTCTGAAGTTCATCTACTCCAATCGGACGGGATATGCGTTGGCGACGGAGGGCAGGGCACGGGTGACGACTGGGAATTGGCCAAGGTGAAAAGAAAAGGGGGCGCCAAAGAGCTGCACATTGGGCGCGCGCAGGAATGCACTCGGACATGCGCCGCCGGCATTCAACTTTAATGTTTCGACGGTGCAGCTTGGACTTGGGCTTGGGCGCCGGCAATGGTTTTGATGAGGCTCAACTGCACAAAACGGAGATACGGTAATGGCACACGGGGTCGCGTTTGCGAAAGGCTGCGGATCCCGAAAATCCAATCAAATAAAATTGACGAGACACAATAATGCTCGGGGTTGTGGAGCAGAAGGATGCAATCGAAAGTGATGAGATAATGCGACCGAGCCTTACAGTATGCTAGACTTGTCAATTGGCACGGCTTGGTATGAGGATGACCGAGGTGTGTTGATGCCACAGCACATATATGTATATGTATTAAACATAAAACTCCAGGAAGGAGACAGATGCGAGAGATGATGAAGCTGATAATTGGGGCTGTCATTCTTTGGAACCTAGCGGTCTGATGATTCCTCCTCCGTCTTCCTTCCAGTGGCAGAGAGAGACGCGCTTTTCTTCACAATAGCCATGAGCGCTTGCTCTTACAGTACTTAGCTGGAGATGTGATATACCCCAAAAGTACCCTTGTGATAGCGGCCCGACAGCTGAATACCTGCCTCCATCCAAGCTTCCTACTTCGAGTGCAATCCTCCTCTATGTCAAGATTTCAGAGCCAAACCAGCCATGAGACGTTCAGAAAAGAAGGACAAAGAAAAGAAAAAGAAAAAGGTTGGGTTCCAGGTCAGGAATAGTTCTAATAGCAGCCTGTGATAGCAGAGATGGCCATGAAAATATAGTGAATAGTTATGTAGCGTTTGGAGAGCCGCTAACAACAGAAAGCTCATGTTTGGACTGAAAGTCTTCCCACAAGGCTGAAGTAAGAGGAGACCTGGGTTTTTTTTTTTTTGGGCGATGGGTCTTTGCCATTCTGGTCCAGCAGAATTGCGATTGACGCAGATCTACCACTAGCACCTGAAAGGGCTTAGCGTCATAGCTGGTGTGACGGTCACGATGAGCACTGAAAATGTAACGAGATACGGAGGACGGCACATGATGAAGAGCATACACGCAGTAAAGGGTTATTCAACAAACCATAGCTTCAAGGTGGCATTTAGGTAACAAGATTGATCGAGCTTTTTCAAGGACGAGCGGGTGTTTTGACACTCGTCATCTGTACTATTAGAACTACAATGCCCCACCAAGAACATGTGCGATTGATCACGCACCAATGTACTGTATGAGAAGGTATCAAGTCGGCAGATTTCTAGATCTCTATCTGATTGGAATGCTGGAGAGTCCCCATCTTGTACGGCCTTGTTCCACATTATGGGTTAGCTGCATTGCTATGGTATTTATTCAATGCCGGAGCATTGGAAGCCCATGAGCGTTTGCCCCCTACCACCCATAGTACACAGCACATAGTTCATAGTTCATGGCACATAGCACAGCTCCAGGGAAGACGCACGGGCCATCTGCATGCTTAGGCAGAGCTGCGACTGACGTGTTGCTTGCTTCCCTTTGCTTTAACTAGTTACTTCCGTGTCCGCAGCTGCCAGTCTCCGTCCCAGTCTCCGGTCTCCAGTCTCCAATCTCCAATCTCAGGGCTGGGTTGGTTGTGACAGCTTCATTTGTCAACATCACAGATTACTGCACAGTCTCTACAGCACTGTAATCGACATCTCTTCAAAACCGCCGTCCATCATCCGCAACGCGTCTCATCATTCTACATCGGCGCTTTTCCCCTGTCCAGCCATTTCCACACTGCTGCTGTCATTCGAAGCTCAGCTCAAGATGCCTGGCTTGGTCACTGCCGGTGGCGTTCTCGGCTTCCTCGCTGACGAGGAGCCCGAACTCAAGGTCTTCGCCCTGCAAACCCTCAACGATGACATCGATACAGTTTGGATCGAAGTCGCCGGCGCCCTTGGCCAGATCGAAGCTCTCTACGAGGATGAATCCTTCCCCGAGCGCAAGCTAGCCGCCCTGGTCCTCTCCAAGGTCTACTATCACCTACAAGCCTACGACGAGAGCATGTTCTTTGCCCTGGCTGCTGGCAACCTGTTCAAGCTCAACAACCCCGGCGAATTCGAGGAGACCATCATCTCCAAGTGCGTCGACCACTACATTGCCGCCAAGAACGAGAACCACACCGTCCTGTCTCAGAAGGATAAGGAGGACAAGTCCCTGCCCGCTCTGGCCACTGCTTTTGGCAACGACACCAACGCCGCCGCGCTCGTTTCCCCCACCACGCCCTTCTCCCAGTCCACGCTGCCCTCCAAGTCGCTTCTTTCGAGAGCATCCACCGACAACACCATCATCGAGCCCTCTTTCGAGGCTCCCAGGAAGCAGCACCGATCATCCTCCATTGCTCTCACCCACAGTGAGCTTGACACCCGCCGTGCCATCGACAATGTCATCGAGCGACTATATGCCAACTGTCTGAGGGACGGCCGTTACAAGCAGGTGGTGGGCATTGCCGTCGAGGCCAAGAGATTGGATGTTGTCGCCAGGGTCATCAAGGAAGCCGGCGCCGACAAGAACAAGTCCACCGAGGACGGCCCAGGTGTTGCCGAGGAGCTCATGGAGTACTGCCTCAGCATCTGCCTCGATGTCGTCCAGGAGCGCGCCTTCCGCGACGAGATTCTTCAACTCGTCCTCGACATCCTTTCCAACGTCACGGAGCCAGATTACTTTTCCATTGCCAAGTGTATCGTATACCTCAACAAGGACGAGCACGCCAAGGACGTCATCCAGACGCTGGTCAAGTCTGGCGAGAACCACGATATCGCCATCGCCTACCAGTTCGCCTTTGACTTGTACGACAACGGAACCCAAGAGTTCCTTGGCAAGGTCAAGGAGCAACTGCCCTCTGGCGAACCCAAGGCCGACAGGGCTGGTGAGGGAAGCTCGGATGAGGAGGCCACCGAGAGCACCTCTCTTCTCGACAACAAGGACGAGAGCAACGCCGAAGACTCGGATGATAAGGACAGCAAGGCCTGGAAGAACATCCGCGCCATCCTCAACGGCACCAAGACCATCAAGCTCAACCTCGAGTTTCTCTACCGCAACAACCGGACAGACCTCAGCGTCCTCAACAAGGTCCGCGACAGCCTCGAGGGTCGGAACTCTATTTTCCACACGGCTGTCACCTTCTGCAATGCTTTCATGAATCAGGGCACGACAAATGACAAGTTCTTCCGCGACAACCTGGAGTGGCTCGGCAAGGCCGTCAACTGGTCCAAGTTTACTGCCACCGCTGCTCTTGGCGTCATTCACCGCGGAAACCTTTCGCAATCCAGGAAGCTCTTGGAGCCATACCTCCCCAGAGGCTCAGGTGGTATCAGTGGTGGCTCCGTCTATTCTCAAGGTGGTGCTCTCTATGCCTACGGTCTCATCCATGCCAACCACGGCGCCGACGCGCTCGACTATCTGAAGACGCAATTTGCGGCTGCCGAAGAGGAAGTTATCCAGCACGGTGGCGCTCTCGGTCTTGGTATCGCTGGTATGGCGACTGGCAACGAAGAGATCTTTGACAGCCTCAAGAATGTCCTGTTTGCCGACTCCGCGCTCAATGGTGAGGCTGTCGGCCTGGCCATGGGTCTTATCATGCTCGGTACTGGTAACGTTAGGGCTTTGGAGGACATGGTCACATATGCCCATGAGACTACTCACGAGAAGAGTGTTCGCGGTTTGGCTCTTGGCATGTCACTGATCATGTACGGCCGCCAAGAGGGTGCAGATGTGATGATCGAGGGTCTTCTCAACGATCCTGACCCTACTCTGCGTTACGGAGGTATCATGACTGTCGCCATGGCCTACTGTGGTACCGGCAGCAACAAGGCCATCCGCAAGCTGTTGCACACCGCCGTGAGTGATGTCAATGACGATGTCCGCCGAATCGCTGTCATGAGTTTAGGTTTCATCCTCTTCCGCAAGCCTGGCAGCGTCCCTCGCATGGTCGAGCTGCTCTCTGAATCTTACAACCCTCACGTCCGTTATGGTTCCGCCATGGCTCTTGGTATCTCCTGCGCTGGCACTGGTCTGGATGAGGCCATTGATCTCCTGGAGCCCATGATGAAGGACCCTACCGATTTCGTTCGTCAAGGTGCCTTGATCTCCCTTGCCATGATCATGATCCAGCAAAATGAGGTCATGAACCCCAAGGTTGCCTCAATCCGCAAGACCCTGAAGAAGGTGGTTGGTGATCGCCACGAGGACGCCATGACCAAGTTTGGTGCTGCTCTCGCCTTGGGAATCATCGACGCCGGTGGCCGCAACTGCACCATCGGTCTGCAAACCCAGACCGGGAACCTCAACATGGCTGGTATTGTTGGTATGGCCGTCTTCACTCAATACTGGTACTGGTTCCCCTTCACCCACTTCCTGTCGCTTGCCTTCAGCCCAACCTCCATCATTGCACTTGATCACGACCTGGACCTCGTCGATGCCAAGTTCCACTGCTCCACCAAGCCCAGCTTGTTCGACTACCCACCTGAGCAAGAGGCTAAGGTTGAGGAAGGCCCTGCTGTTATCGCCACTGCTGTTCTCTCCACCACCGCACAAGCCAAGCGTCGCGCACAAAAGAAGGAGCGTGCTCAACGCCGCGAGAGTATGGACATTGAGTCTACGCCCACTATCTCTAAGCCAAGTGCTGGTGGTGACAAGATGGATATCGATGAATCTAAGAAGCCCGAAGACGCCAAGAAGGATGGAGAGGCCGTGACGGACAAAGAGTCTTCACCTACTACCGAAACTAAGAAAAAGGAGCAGAGAGAGAAACCCGGATACGATATTGACAACATGTCTCGTGTTCTCCCTGGCCAGCTCAAGTACATCAGTCCTATCAAAGGCAGATACTGGCCCGTCAAGCTTGACCGACCTGGTCCCTTGCCAACCGGGGGTCCTATTCTGGTACACGATAAGGAACCTAATGAGAAGAAGGAGTTGATTGAGGAGAAGCTGAAGAAGGTTTCTACTGACAAGGCACCCGTACCCAACGCTGGCGGTGCCTCTGGAGCTGGTGCCGGTCGTGGTGGCAGACGCGAAGTTGGAGGAATCGAGGAGTCTCTTCTCCGACAGCTTGGCGTGAACATTCCGTTATCAGGTGGTGCTGCCGCCGCCGCAGGTGTCTTGACGGCTGTCGACGAAGATGGCGAGGATGATGAGGAGGCAGAAGCTCCTCAGGACTTTGAGTATGACACGGAGAACGAAATGGGCGAAGACTAGACGTGGATTCGGGATATTCATTCTTGTTACGGTCAGCCCGACTGGCCCCGACTGGTAACACCCTGCCTGATACTTGGATCGATAATTGGGTCGAACAATGCATGTAAATTATTGCATCGCTCGTCGTTATACTCCTGTACTATAGAGAATAGACTTAAGATGAAACGAGCGAGATAGCTTACTTCATGCTACTGCAACAATTGACTATGCGTATCTCGTGCGACATTTTTCTGCTCGGTGTTGCTGCTACGAAATGAGTTGCGGTCAAACGGCGTCTGCTGTTCTGCCTCATGACGACTAGTTGAGCTGAAGGATTTGGGAGCACGACAGGCACAAATTGGTCTTGTACAAAATCAAGGAGGTACGTCTACAATGAATATTAGCCAAAGGCAGACAGGTGAGCTTTTTTAATTAACTTGACACATTCGAACATTCAGCGCATATAATCTCACCAAGCACACTTGCAGTCACAATCCGCTGTTTTAACTTCTTGAAACTGCGTCACACCTTTATATCCAACCCGGGCATCAACGCCATCCCCAACCAACCCACCAAGAAACACAACCATAGCTGACTATCATGCAACCCCGACCAGACGCGCTACCAAGAAGATAGGAATTGACCTCGAAGGCAAGTACAGTATCAATGCCTTTTCTGGCAATACGAAGGTCAAGAGCTCTTCGTCAGGTCACGCCAATGCAGATACGGTGCAGCATGTCGAAGTATACCCATACGTAGATATTTTTGGTTGCTAGTGGAGGTGTCCAGCTTCTTCCAGTATATTCCGAGCATGTACCAGAACTCAGCCACATAGTGCTTCTTACATTTCTTTTCGAAGTACTCGAAGTTGACCAAATTCTGGGGTTTGGACTCGTTTTCGACGGTATGTTGCTATGGTTAGCAATGACCCGTCGTACAGTGTCATATCAAGTATGCCTCATCACCAGCTCCCTCTCCGGTGTCCTCCATCTGTTGAACGACGACCTTGACACTCCTGACCGTGACATGAACATGCTTCTCGTCGTACATGCAAACCGTAATCATTGGGTACCCGGTTAGCACGCTAAGGGAGTTAGCAGAGCGAGATTCTCCTCCAAAAATACGAAGCTAGACAAAGCCTTGTCTAATCAGTACGGCGCTGAGAAACTAGAATTCGACGTCGAGAATTTTTTGTGGAATTGAGAATTGAGTACGCCGATGGACTTGGATCGCTCAAAGTTTCGACGGCTCTTCGAGTTTAACAGGGCTCCGGGATAATGAGCGCACACTCAGATATTACGCAACAATCAAAGAAAGCGAATTAAAAGCGTCATGCCACGCCAAATGGTTTCGGGGGGGGGAATATTCATGGGACAGCACATGAACAGATAAAACAAGGCAGTCCAACCATGCAACTGAGACTGTCTTTGACGTAGCGACAGTCGTGATTTACCAGACTACGTGAGTGCTTCTCAAATACGTTGTAATCCGGTCCGGTAGTATTCATAATTGCTTCCAACGTAATCCGTGACAGATATTTCAGATAACACAGGTATCTCACGAATGCGATGCACACCATATTAAGCTAACTTTAGTAACTTTACTTAGTCTAAAGCTCAGTAACGCTCCAATATCAGGGCAAACACGCCATTCATTTCCTTACAGTAGGCATAAAATGCTGAGAAGTGTTCTTCTTTTAGTATTCAATACTTTACCCTAGTCCATTCTAACCCGCACTCAACGGAGAACTAAAACTTTCTTACGTATACCCAGCTCTCTGTTTCGCATTTTTCTTTTCTTTTTACATGAAAACATGACACAGCTTAATGTAGTGACGAGAAAGTGGTTGTTGACACTGCTCACGCCATGCCGTGGAAGCGATCTGCAGCATCGTCTGTAGCTTTGTCACCCCCCAAAAGATGAAGATCCATCCGGAGGGCGAGTATCAAGTCACTGTCCTTTCATGCGATGCCAAAATTACTGCCTATAACGGTACCAACGACTACCATCCTTGCTTGTTCTTGATGATTAAACCAACCCTTAAAAGCAAGGTACGTTCTAATACAGGAAGTTCTGGCTTGTTTGGGACATAATAGTACTAATCGATAAATAAGAGCATGAGGTAGGTCACTACAATTGCATTCCCGGATAGATTGAATGAGTTTATTGCATTACCGACGCGCTATGTTAGTAATCAAGCTCTCAGGGTCAAACAAACAACACGATAGCTCTATAAAAGTTGAGGATTCTCATTGTAATGCTTTCCAATATTACTTGACAGTGCAGGATGGATTTATGGACAAACTCATGTGAACTAAGGTGTAAACTGCTGTTATTAACTACCTAAAGCAACGACCATCAATCTGGGCATCTCTCAGTTATTACTACCCTCTCCAGAGTGTGTTCTTGCGCTTGGTAAGCTGTAGCGTCTTGGTAAAGAGGCCGGTCCTTTAACACGGATGACCCCCGGAGCTGGAGTGTTCCAATGTCTTGGTGCAGATCTGTTCAATCAATCGAAATTTCCTGCTCATGAGAGTCATACGCATTCCAGAGACTAATTGGAAAATGTACCCTCTACTTGTCTACCGGTCACCATATTTGCCCTTTTGGGACAACATATTGGTTGAAGTTGTTGTAGGTTAACAAACTTTCGTGTTTGTTGCTAAAATAGACATCGTGAATACGCTGGGGAGCTCCGTGGGTAACCCGTTTCTGATGAGACGTTACGGGAAACTGATGCAGTTGACCTTTTAAGCGCGCGTTGCTATAGACTACGTTCTGGAGCAATTTTTGACTCGCAGGAAAGTTGGAAATGGGGTGGCCCACCTCAGCGGAGAGCGAATTACTGAATACAGTCAAAACCCCCAAGGAGGAACTTGAACATGCAGCATCATACTTCAACATTCTGGACAAATATGCCAACCCGGATTAACCAGTGGCATGGGTTTCTTCTGTCATGTGGGTTCTAGTGTAAAGCATAAGCATCGTATAAACTCTGAGCCCGATGATACACACTAGGAGATGTATGAAATACCACTTATCAACTATGGTCTAGCAACAAAAATCGATACTAAGTACACAAGTCTGAAATCTTCGCATTTTTGAGACTTTTCTTTTTGGATGTATTAGCATGCTGAAGCGGTACAACTAGCGAGCTGTTAAACGTGACATCCAATTCTGATTTATAATCTAGTATTGAGGAAGCTTTAAACAGTCAGTGCAAGAAATGACGGAATCTTGTGTGCCTTTGATTACGTCTAACTTATATCAGAGGTTGAATCCTCGTTCGTTTTTACAGATAGCAATTTCAGCCTGTAACAACGACAACCAGTTGCACAAAGGGACAAAAGACGCCATTTAGAATAAAGCGGAGTTTCCTGTTTTGGTTCACATCAAATCCTGGCTCAAAACCGCAAATCAAGATTTGGGGTGAGCCAAGCTATGAATTTTAAAAAGTGATCAGATCGCATATTGTAATTTTGGGCCATGAAACAAACAGGCCAGATGACCGGATTGTTTCAACGCCGGGTTCATCATCTCCGAGTCTAGAATAGCGGAACTCTACGGACGATTGTTGACTTGCTGCAAGCTTCGGCATTGCCAAAGTGAACCGCTTTTGATCGTTGACTCTGTATGGCCATAGCAGCACACTCTTCAGGAAACAACATTTTATGAATGGAAGAACAAAGAGCGATCGACAGAGTCAAGGGCGTGAGTTCTTACTAGCACCAGTTGTCTTGGGGTAGAAGACCTTTGCCTCCATCCACTCTCCCATTTTCTCTTTGTACCCCAAGATCATAGGAGAGACAACAAGTTCGACGGTGCCATTCTTGGAACCATGAATATCTTCCATCATGGTCTTGTCGAAACCGAAACCATAGTAGTCACAGCGAATGCCCCACACATCAAGCTTGTGACCATAGTACTCTTTCCGGAGTGAGTCCTTGTCGTACTTCTCCAAGTCTTTCCGTTGTCCCTTGTCCATTTTTTCGTCCAGATCCCGGAAGTATTCCAAAGGAAAGTCTTTTGGGTGCACATGTTCCAGCTCAATGTGAGATGGCGCATCTACCAAAAGTTATTCTGTAGGCATGCAAAGCACAAAATAGTCCCGACTACAAACAAGTATGGAGGCAAGTTCCTCAGCGTTGCGTATGGTCAGATCAAAGCCTGCCTTCAGGTTGCTGATATTACTAATGCTGTTGGAGTGTTTGCCGAAGAATTCAAGGAACTCATTGAGTAAGTCGTCATGTAGAGCGGACGTCGATTCGGTCGCATCAAACAAAGCCTGAGAATAAGCATTTCTGAGAAGTTCACCGGTCATTGTGCGCCATACGTGGTACTCTTTCAAGCGGTATGCCGAATCGGTGGCAATATGTGGACCTGCGACCGTGGGGGTGGTCAGCGGAATGTCAAAACCAACTGCCACAACCAGCACTTAAGTTGAAGTCCCATATTATCATCGCACTTACAAATCAACCTAAGCCCATAAAATCGACTTGGACCTGATACATCACTTTCCCTAAAGTGTTCTGGAAAACGATGCATGGATGGCGCAAAATTCGGTCCATGAGCTTGTGCCAAATTGCACCTTTAATGAACAACGCTTTGTTTGTATGGCTCTTGAGGTACCCATTAAATTCAGGGTTTATCTTGCTAAAATATATATATAAATAAATAAATAAATAAAAACACATGATGATTCTTTGTTGTTGCGTAGTACAGTGCACTGTGCAATTTTGAATATACAATGTCGATCTGTTCATCTAGTGACTTGAACTGTTTGACGAACTCGTTGCGTAGAACTTGGGAATTAGCTCTGCGCTTGTAGCTTCTCAGCTTGTCAATCGCCGCTAGAGCTTCTTCTTGGTATTTGGTACTTCTGCGATGTTCCTCAGCAAAAGCAGACTCGAGTTCGGCGTACCTTGCAGCTGGTCCCGTCTGAGTAGCTTGCTGTGCGCTTGTGGTTTCAAGCCCAGCGTTCCTTTGGCAACACGCAATGGCCTGGAAGTTTATTCGAAAATACATCTCCAAATGTTGGATCTGCGATGCCAAATTGCCGTATAATGTGTCTAAAGTAGATCTCAGCTCCTCAAAGCTGGGCTCAAGAGTATTGGTTGCGGCGCGCGTGGTATCCAACCTCAGCAAGTCCCCCGCCAGGTAGATGCGCTTGAGCTGCAGACATATAGTCGCCAGTTATTTCGGTGTTTACGCTAATCTTTAGGAGCTTATCTTTATATTGTACTATTGGATTAGCGTCACAACTGTCGAAAATTCTCTTCAGGCCCTGAGAAGTCTGGTGTGTAACCAGAGATACCACAGTTGCCTGTAGTATCATCAATACTGGTAGAAGTCATTGTAGCTATATGGAATGATTGTCGAGAGAACTGAAATTGTGATTTCTGAACTGAATTGTGAGTAGGTATCACAGGTCGAAACGAAATTGTGATCTCGAAACAAAGCGTAGTGAAAACAAACACAAAATTTTATGCTAATTGATTCAGGAAAGCATTTATGGGTTACTTTCGAAAAAGCCCCCTTTCGAAAAAGCTCCCTTTCAAGGGTGACTTCCAATTTTGGCGGGCATTACCAAATACCCCTTGTAATTCTCAGCCCAAGAATTGGGCCAAAACAAGATGTCAACTCAGAAGCTCACAAAGTCCGCATGAATTAGGCATTGTATGGTATAAATGTATTTTCTACTTTATCCTAAACTAGGGTAAGAGTGCCCCATCAAAAATTAGTTGTAACATCCATACATGCTTGCGTAAACTACTGAAACAAGTGTCATAATGACCTTGTACACTTGCTAATTCCTCTATTTAATTAAACAGACTGGGCGGTTTATCCTACTTCCTGCCCATCAATTCCTACCTACCTCATAATCTTCATAAACTGCCACCTGACACTGCCACTGCTTGCGCCCAAATATTTACACGAGCAAAATGGCACATGATGGTGTGTCGCATAGAATATTGGTGGTCAGTATCGACATTGGAACCACTTCCACTGCTGCGTCCTACTGGATTGGCTTTGACTCTGGAAACTCAGAGGCAAGGGACATCCGAACCATAGACGACTGGCCAGCACTCAAATATAACGACCGAAACCAGATGAAAGTGCCGACACTCATCGACTATGGCTCTGAAAGCACGACATGGGGATACATGATACCAGAAGGCGCTACACGAGTACCTTTCATCAAGCTCCTCATGCTAGATAAGAACGACCTTCCACTGTGGTTGCAAGACAACGACTCGATAAATTCTGCAATAGTGCAGCTTATGCGACTAGGCAGAAGTCCAATGACCGTCATGGCCGATTTTCGTAAGTATTTATTAGGCAATCATACCCATTGGGTAGTCGCGACAGACAGCCTAACATGAGGGAGTGCGTTACTTTTTCTCATACGTGCTGGAAAAGATCGTTGAATGCGAGACAGAAGCTGCTGTTGATGACTGCTTCTTGCATGTAACCTTCACTGTACCTGCTATTTGGAACGACAGAGCCTGTGAGCGGTGGCGCTCCGCGGCAGCTCAAGCCGGTATTCTAAACAACCGTGTCTATGGCGCTGTTACTTCCTCAATAATGACCGAACCGCATGCTGCAATCATTAAAATAAATCCAAGCCCATTGATTTCAACACCTACACGTCAAGAAGGGCGAATTAATCATCCTCTATGATGGTGGTGGTGGTACATTAGTAATTCTCATTGCAGCGTCAGATTTTACACTCTCACTAACCTATTTTCGTGCCTCAGGACTTGATAACATATCTTGTCAAGGAATGTAGTGGACCGAAAGGGCGGGCAGTCGCGAAATTGGAGGAATGTGTTCAAGGAGATGGTTGGTATTCTGCTGGAAGGTAGTAAAACAGTGTACTAATACTCGTAGGGGCTGTTATTGGTGGCGTCCCGGCCGATGAAGCATTTCGAAACCTGGTGAAGGGTCAGGTTGGTGCTCGAGTCTGGGAGAATATTGACCCACGCGACAGAGAGAGCAACTTTCACACCGGTTGGGACCATAACTTGAAGCGCAACTTTGATGGGACCCAAGAGCGATACGATTACTGCATCGGCGACTAAAGCATCTCCCTCAGCAGATGACAGATCGAAAAGTGCATCGATGTCGTAATTTTCGGCACTTTTAAGCTCGTGACGAAGCAGCTTCGGGCCATTCAACAGGAGACCGGAAGATCTGCAACCTATATCTTTCTCGTGAGTGGTCTCGGATGCAGTGTATGGCTTCACAAGAAGGTTGTTGCCGCTTTCTCAGGAGTTACGGTCATCAAGGGACTTGGCAATGAGCCGTGAGTCACTCCGCAAATATCAACCAGTGCTTTGCCAGTACTGACAGAGAACAGAAGAAAGGCAGTTGGCGAGGGTGGCGCGCTAAATACTGTCATGAAAGCGTGCAAAGTCCAGGATGTGCTATCGCACCGTAAAACAAGAAGGGACCTAGCCTTGGCCAATTTGAGCTGCCTTCGACAGAACACACGGCAGAGGAAGTAGCGAGTGCAGAAATAAATGACGCATGGTACCAGAAAATGGTTCCTGACATGTTGGTTTGGATTTGCATCAGGGACCAAGTGATCAGCACCCAACCACAGAACCATACTTTCACGGTCCTTCCTCCTATGGACACCAAAGACGACTGGTTCTGCGAGTATCCTGTCCATGATTACATTGGGGATCTAGTCAAGCGTCTTAGGCAGTACCGTGCAGATAAGCCAGGCATTCGTCAACTTGGATGTATCACTATCAAGCTTCCAATTCCGGTTAAGAAACTGCCCATCCGAAAGATGAATGGCCGCCAGAAAACGTCTCGAGTTGGACTATGAGTGGACGTTCAATTTCGATGGCATGTATATGACTGGAACTGCAGTCTCACACGGCATTGTGATTGGTCAATATCAACCTACAGGCGTTTAAGATGTCTTTAACATGGCGGAGGATAGGATCGGGATCGAAATATTGGCCCGACCAAATTAGTTGTTTAGATATAGGCCTTTGAAGTTGAACGTCTGCGATAGAATTAAGCCTGATCAAGATGGCGAATATTGTCCCACTGGATTCCCCTATCTACGTAACAGAACTAAGCTCGAACTTGAACAGTGCTTAACGACGAAGGCTGGTATCGCCGGATGACGGCAAGTATAATGCCAAGCTACTAGTTGGTCTCCTTCTTCTCAATATTCTCAGCGACCGGCTCATGCTTCTGATCATCTGCGATCGAAATCACATCCACAGCCTTCTCCAGATCTTTCCCGTGGCCGACATTCGCACCCGCAGGCCCAGCGTGCTCAAAGTGTCTGCCCTTCTTCTCCGGACCGAAAGAGACGGTGACCACGATGCCCAGAGCGATGATGACGGTGGCGATACCCATGGTTGGGCCGTAGGCTTCAGCAAGCTTGCCGGATCTACTTCTGACAAAATGCGACTCGGAAATGGCATTGACGATCTGGGCGGACGGACTCGAGATCATGTTGCCGAGTTGGTACGTGATACCGGGGAAACTGGATCGGTAGGCGGGAGGCGAGAGCTCGTTGAGATGGATGGGAATGACACCCCATGCACCTTGGACGAAGAACTGCATGAAGAAGCCGGAGGCGGAGAGGGATTGCTCGCCTTCGGGGAGGATCCAAGCGGGAATGAGGAGGCAACTCATGAGTGCAGCGCCGACGATGGCGCGACGACGGCCGACGAATTGGGAGAAGTACCCTGTGAATTAGGAGTTAGCAGAGAGAAATACAAGAGTTCAACGAGTGTGGGATCTCACCAATTATGGTACCGCCAACGCAAGCGCCGACTTTCATCCAGATACTGGCACGACTAGCTGCGGCATTATTCAGTTCCTTCTGCTCAATCATGAAAGTGGTGTAGCTGTCCTGGCTGGTGTGCGAGTAAAAGTTGAACCAGGTCATGAGGATGATGCAGTAGATACACATGCGCCATTCATTCGCAAGCATAGACTGTGTCTCTTTCCAGAAGTCGGAAGCAGTGATGTGGTGTCCGGCCTTCTTGGATTCGATGAACTGCTTGGATTCGGGGAAGAGGCATCTGGCGAAACCAGCAGCGATGGAAAGACCTGCAGCGATCCAGAACACAGTCTTCCAGCTTTCGGTCGCACCACCGACACCGAGATTGGCACAGGCCGCGAGGACGTAGCCGAGAGAATAACCTTGCTGCATGATACCGCTCATCAAGCCTCGGGCTTCGAGAGCGCAGTTCTCAAGGGCCATGGCGACTGCGTTGCCGTATACACCACCCATGAAGAGGCCAAAAAGGGATCGAACAGCAAGGAACTGCTCAAATGTGGCGCTGTAGATCGTGGCGATCTGTAGCAATCCTGAAGCTGCGTCAGTACGGTATCTCTCATTATTATCTATGTCTCCTTACCCAAAATGATCATGTTGCCAACCATTGGCCATTTTCTACCAAAGCGGTCCCCCAGAAGACCAAAAATGGCCGCGCCGACAGACCGGAGAAGCAGTGTCAGGGTGATGGCGGTACTAATCTCTGTTTTCGATCGGCTATAGTAGGACGCCAGCTTGGTTTGTTGGATGGAAAGGGCATGGAAGTCAAAGGCATCAGCTGTCCAAGCAAAGAGGCCAACAAGGAAGTATAACCAGTCCTTTGCGCTCAGCAGCCTGAACAACGAGATTGGGTTCCTCAAAGGAGGCGGTGCTTGCCATTCTGTATGAGTCTCGCCGAGGTCATTGGTGACAACGACCCTCTGCTTCCATTTGAACAAATCACTCCAGGCTTGTTTCGCTGTCGCGCGAGTGCCCTTCGCAAGAGGGTCCGCTGGCTCATTCTGGGTAGCCATGACTGAAGAAGATCCCGACGCTGACGACTTTCAGTTTCGGTAGTGATGGCGAAGATGGCGAAGGCTGTGAGTGTGTCTCATGCATGGCACGAAGAAAGTCGTGCGGCTGAACCTCCCTTCTTATACTCGGTGCTGACCGCCCTTGCAGAGAACGGCTTATAGTTCGAGTTCCCCCGTCTGGAGGTCGGGTGTGCCGTCGAAGCTGACCGTTTTCTGAAAAGCGATCTCCAACGTCTCCCCCGCAGACGCCTACCCCATACCCTAAGTTGGCGCGGGGAAGTTTGGCAAGTTTGGTTTATGGAGCTTGTATTGAAACGCTTCCCTAGTCGTGGTGTTTCTTGGCTGAGCTTGGCTCTCCAGTCACACAATACCAAGACACTTGGCAACTGGATCACTGCATGAAATAATCGGCTGATAGTCTCGCTTCTGAGTCCATGATTCGCAGAAGATGAAAAGTGAGAGGGCAGGCTGCTTCAAATATTAGACTCATGCTCACATGGCTTGCAGACGCCATCGGAACTACTTACCAGTGTACAAGCACATATACCTGGCTGAATATGCGTGCGACTTTGGGTTCACTGGGATATGAGGCTGCACTAAACTCCTCAGCGAGCCGACGCTGAGCCATCCCGCCGTACCTCATTTTCATGATGCTCGAACATGTCGGCGCATCAGAAAAGTCGATGAGGGAAGCGTTTTGTCTCAAAGACAGACTGCCGAAAGTCCTCGTCGGATGCTCTCCGCTTTCGTCGTTTGTCCCCGTCCTACTTGCCAGGGTGAGAATTGCTCATGACTGATGCCGTGGATGGTGGCGCGCATAAGCACCATTAGCTATGTACGCCAGAAAACTTAGTGAGCTTGGCGACCGAATCCTTTGAAGGGCCGTTGCTTGTTGGAGCTTGTTTGCTGTCTTGGAAAGCCACTCCCGCCTCGGCAGGACGCTTCGATTCATCGTTGAGCGCATGAGAACCTGAACGACCTGCGTAGCCCCAGGAGAGTATGGCTTCTATCCGCCAGCTGATGTTTTTTTAAAGCGCCAATACTGTAAAAGGATCGCCAAAGCTATTATTGTTGGCATCACCCCAGAGTCCAGGCTTTTGGGCTGGCTGTTTGTGGAGCACCACCCCACACCCGATGCATCCTTACGCGTAGTCCCCCACAGTCCTAACACATGTCGGCAGGCAGGTTGTGGAGAGCGTCTGCTCCGTGAATAGTCTAGTTTAAGTTGCTGTAGGTATCCTGTATTGTAGGTGCTTTGCCCTGTAGGAACAGAGCGGGCAATTTGACGCTGTCTAGGTAGTTACCACACAGTACACCCCCACTGGAAACTGGAAACTTGCCTGGTCCCCCTTGTACAGCCAACACTCTCACTTCTGGATATTGTTTTGTTCCATATGCAAATTCTATAATTGATATATCAGGGAACGATTTATGCTCTACACGAGATTACAATCACAATAGAAACTAGACTAGTCTAAAGCAAAGTTGTGGTTCAGACATCAGTAATTTGGTGTGTTGGTGAAGTGCGAGTGAACCAACCTTAGGCAAATCCCGGGTTATTATTGTTTTCTACAAAGTCAAAATCCACATTCGCCAAGAAAAGCAAGAAACTCGGCCAACCCGGCACTCGTCAACACAGCAGAACCAACACAATTAAAGCCAATACCGTCCAGTTCAGTGCTACATTCGGTTACCGTGCATGTAGGTGTCTTGAATATCCAAATAACCCTGGCCAGTCCAATTAAAGGGGTTTCCGACGTCTCATACCTGGGGCGTTTTCAGCCCACCAACCTCCTTGCTATCCAAGTAGCTCACTAGGTACAGATATTGTCACGCCATCAACCTTTATGTTCTATTCCAAATTGAAAACACGGCATGGCTCTCCCCGCTCGTTGGTTTCGACCTCCATCTCTTCTATCCGTAGGGGTTCCTTAACAATTATAGTCTTGCTAGTCTCCTTGATGTCAGGGCCAGTTCCTACCAATCCCCCAACCTGACAAGGAAATGAACTAGTCACGCGGCCGAGCTAAGACTAGAGTGAGGATGTATGATTTACATGCCTTTGGCGGGCTGCTTATTTTCTGCTTGTCAGCGTGAACATGGTTTAGATGAGAACTCAACCCCTGACAACAGCCCTAAAAAACAGCGCTTTGATCGGTTTCTGGTTGAGATTGATGGTTTATAAAGGCGTCCTTGATGTCGGCAGCTGACTGACCTCTCTCAATGAACCCTTCTCACGAGCTTCTTGAGATACTACTCGAAAGCCTTGTCAACAAATATGGCAACATAGAGTTTGCCGACCTAATATCAACGTGTATTTGGGTAGTACTAACAGGTGGAGGTTACTGTCGCCCTGGAAGAATTCCTTGAGCTATACCATGTTTGTTTAGCTATGCTCTCTAATGTATGTGTCGATAGTGGTCGAAATGCTGTTTCAAAGGTAATTAGTATTTCTTAAAGGGGTTCCTTCGAGTCTCCTTACTATCATAATGCCTTAATACCGTCAATATGTGCTCAATCTGATAGTAGTCAGCTGGCCTTTCCTTTGAGGTCAGCCACTAGTGCGATATCACGAACCTTAACGCCTTGGTTCTGGAACATCTTTGCGTGAAAGGGGGCAATGGTAACGGCCTCTGGCTCGGGTATTATGGAAAACGATTTCAGGCCACGAAAACCAGGGTCTAGGATACCTCCACGCTCGTAGCAATATTCACCTGCTTGCGAGCATAGTCTATTTTAATAGCGCGTAATTTAATGACTACAGGTAGTTGATAAGGTTCAATAAAATAACCCTTTTGTGCTCCTTGATTTTGTGTCGGTCTCACTTAGGTCCTGTGAGCTATGCTCGAATATCAGAGAAGCTAGAATCTAGCATGAACGTATAATAATCGGCGATAGCATCGACGGTCTTTCCCCCCCTAAGCTTTTGCAGCTGTTGTCTGGTTTCTTGAGTCAAGGCGATTATTTATTCTATATGTGCGAGTGGAGGTCTTGTTCATCTAGCAGAAGCTGCTTGGGCCACCTAGTATCAAGTAACCCTAATGGAACCCTTCTTCTTCATCGTAGTAAATTTATCGGAACCGCCGGCTGTTCCATATCTAAAGAAAGAGCTGTTGGCCACTCCATCGTGGTACTAATGTTTCTCAAGTCCGGATTGGGATAACTTATCCAACATGCGATAGTCGAGAAAGTGGTACCGAAATCAATTGTAATCACCAGTTTTCGTGAGTGCACGTCTGCCGTCAATATTTTCAAGGATTTTTGACTAAATATATCGTTAACAATATTTATATCTGTTCTCGAGGGGAATTACAATGGACGTTTTGCCTGTGATATTTACCAACGAAATCATAATACTTTCTTTGCGTACACGTTCAAGGTTTTCTACCATTTTTTGCAGTGAATGAAGTGCAAACATGTGGTCTTTTCTTTTTCGAAAGCAAATTTATTACACCCGACCGTTGGAATGAAGTTACCAATTATGTAGGTAAGGCCTCACATTCAAAGATACTACTCTAATCATACTGACTAACTTCTTCTCCGGACCGATTATTCTCCCCACGCTGTTCGCCCAAGGTGTTCTGCACACCATCAACACTCGCCCTGCGCTTTTCTCTCGGCTGTGGTTCGTCTCCTATAGCCGTCGTATGAGAGGAGGACGACTCCGATGATACCCTGGTTGCGGAGTCTCGCGGGCTGCGACGCTGTTGCTCTTCATCATCATTGTTGTTGTCGTGTGAGTCCTGTGTCGGAGCAAACTTAGAGCGACGGCGGATCCCTGCACCATACTTGTAGAACGCGAAGGGAATGACGGCCAAGAGCGTAGCTACACCGCCAATAAGAGAGCCTCCTCCGCCGACGCCAAGAGCGTCGAACATGTAGCCCGTGAAAAGAGGCGCAGAAGCACCACAGGCAGAACGTGCCACGGTGTTCGCTGCGATTGCCGAGGCTGCATACATGAGGTAAGCGTCGACGAGATAGTTCAAGAAGCCAACGAATATGAGCATCAATGAAGTTGCCAGGAATACGCCAGCAATCGTTGGAACTATCCAGTGGATAGAGCTACGTAAAAAGTCAGTAGGTTTTGGTACGAGGCGCTTTACACATCTATCAACTTACTTGTACTCCGCGGTCCATGCGAACCAGAACATCGTAACCGCAAATCCCACACCGCCGATCATAGCAAGTGGCAAGCGGTCTTCTGGTGTGAGTTCTTGACCGTTCTGAAGCTTCTTTGCCTTGTGTTTTGAGTCCATCACGACAATTGCCGCTCCGATAACCGCTCCGATGACTGCAACAAACCGGTTAGCACCTGTCAAACCGTGGAGACTGTTTAGCCATGTATCTCACCGGTGCCGATCAAGGGCAGCTCTCCAACTCCAGCATTCCATCCCCGTTTTTGCTGGAAAACAATGGGATATATCGAGAACAGCATGTATAAGAGTGTGTAGACGATTGACATGTATACGGCGATTAGGAATGAGATGGGATCAAACAGGATAATCCAAGGTCGAGTCAATGCTATCTTGTACAAGGATGCAAGCGAGCGGTCATTATCTTCGACGGGAGCTTTGATATTCTCATAACCGGGGATCTTGGACTTCCTGATGCGTTTGGCCCTTTGGACGAGGATCGCTGGTCCGAATGTTTCTGGGATGGTAAACATGATGATTGAAGTGCCGCCAGCCAGCCACAAAAGAACGTAGAAACTCCACCGCCAATTCTTGGTTAGTTCCAAGAAGCCCGCAACCTTGATAAACGTCAGTCAGCAGTTGGTTAGTAATGAGAAAAATGCTAAGGGCCGACGGTTTACTTACGACCGGGCCAAGAGCAGGTCCTACCCAGACCATCATCGAGAAAACGGCCATCGCATTTCCACGCTCAACAGGCCCCCAAAGATCGGCAAGAACACCTGGGGCATTGCTGAGAGGTGCACTGACAGCGGTGCCTGTCAGAAACCGACCAACAAGCAGGCTGCCGAAGTTCGGGGCGAAGGCGCATAGGAAATTGAAAGCGATATATACGAAAAACGTTATGTAAAAGATCCAACGTCGGCCAAAGAACTTATACGAGTCAACAACTTATCTACCATTATCAACGTTCTAGTCTTACCTCAGACAATGGAGCGAAGAATAATGGCCCGGCACAGTAGCCAAGCAGAAAGAGGGTGATTGTAAGTCCGGCGGCTTCTTCGGATATCCCGAACTCCTCCGCAATGCTCTGAAAAGCAAGCATTAATATCATGACCCTCGTCTGCCAGAGACCCTGGGCGGGTTGTGGCTGTGTCTGAACTCACGGGAAAGCATCCTGAAGGAGCTGACGATGCGAATGTCGCGTTCACGACCAACATCACAGAAGCAAACGTGACATACCATCTTCGAGCCGTAGACCAGTTGTGGGGATTCTCGATGTCATCGAGAGCGAAGTCAACATGTCCCTTTTCGTTCAAGTATGGTTTATCACTCTTCTCCAGATCGCGGGTGCGATATGGTTTGGCCGTTGGCCGAGAGAGAATCTGTGCGAGTCCCGGCATTGTCCACAAACTTCGTCCTGACTACTTGGGATCGTAACATATCAAAGGCGCCTTCAAGAGCCTTTTGTAACATAATAGCATCATCATATACTAGATCACGTAATACTGGGTCAGTCCGTGTGGGCGCGTCAGTGGGATCTCCTAGTCTAGGTCTGACTATTCGACGCTTCCATGACGTCAGCTCCCTTAATCCCGTTATATCCTGCATACGATCGTCAGAGTCAACTTCGGCGATGCGGATAGTACTGACGAACCCTACTGTATTCTATGCTCTTCTTGGTAAGGGTAGTAGAATTTAGGCCGGATAAGTTTCAGCCCAGTAATCGACGGGATAGTGTCATTCTATTAGTAATTCACTAAGTTGAAGTTTGAGCCATCTTCGCGACTCGTGCTTCGGCTTTAACGGATAAATAGATTATATGTCAGCATAGTTTCGTTCGCATTGCAGAATTGGCACATTCTATCCTACTCCAGCGTTGATTTGGATTCACTAGCATAATGATTAGGTCGCTTGATTGGGAAGTTTCCAACGAAACAATTTACTCAAGCAGACACGCCATGGCGTGGCACCAGGCAAGGCTTCTGATTAGTTCAATCTTGTCTACCCGATCTCATACAGCTACGGTTAGAGATATATCGGCAATGCGTTCCCAGATTCAAATTCATTGCGCTCTTCCATAGGCGATACAGTACAGATTTGCTCCAAATTGACCCAGGGAATATTGATTCTGCGTGTGATCGTCGTGAGCTGACCGGCAACACCTCCATGTAAAATCGAATGCGATCACGATCCGTTGACGTTAATGAAATCGAACCTGCCTGCATTTTAACCTAGCTTTTTTTTTTTTTTTGCATGTATTTGAATTCACATTTGATACGTTGACAGCCCAGCCGTGAGGAGCTCGATGGTAGAAGTGGTTTCACTATGAATATGTCATCCTGCTGTTCCGGCAATCACCGCAAGTAGTCTTGTGGCCAAAGTATCATGGACATGCTACGGCATCTCACGTTGAATCACAACAGGGCATAGTATGAATCATATTATAGGCTGTCAAATGCACTTTTCGGTATGGGCAATCATTCCTCTGCAAGACCCCAGCGGTGGCCCCAGAAAGGACAAGTCTTCGTATAACGCGTCCTAAATCACTTTCAGTGAAGTATGAACCTTACAACCGTTTCTCCTCATCATCAGTTCGCCGACTTGGCCCGACTGACGACTCATTATCTGCAGTAGCAGAGTGGCCGTATGGCTCCTCGGCCTTACCGGTGATTGTGGCTCTACCTGGTGCAACCGCCTCACTGACGTCTTCGATCTCTTCGGGGAGGGTGAGATTGAGAATCATGGTAACAATTGCTGTGACAGCAAAGCCAGTCTCCATGATCAAGACGATGGCATCCAAAAACCCCGTGAGGGCATGGTTGTCGCCGCTGTAGGTGAAGACGCTGGAGAAGTAATTCGAAACCAAAGTCGCGCCGTACCCAATTGCCAGGCCTGCTGTCAAAATAAAGCGGTTGCGGCGGTTAAAGGTGACACCCTTGGTGATGATGGCTATGCCCGAGACCGCAACTAGAAGACATGTATGTCAGCAAGAATGTAATGCCGGCAGCCGGAAATGCGGGGAGCAATTCTTACCTGAGGTGAAGAGGAATGTTGTCATTCCGCCCAGTACTGAGGATGGGATGGCGACTAAAGCAGCGGCGAATTTGGCAAATATACCCATGATAATCAAGAAGAAGCTATGTCACGGTTAGAAGAGTCGCCAAGGTCAAGGATAGCAGACTCACCAACAACAATACCCAGCCGTGCGGTTTGCACAACGTGTCAGGGCAATCACGCCGTTGTTCTGGGCGAACGTGGTCATAGGTGTCATAGTCATTAGAGCCGCGAGAACACCGTTCACACCATCCGCAAGCACTCCTCCCTGGATGCGCGACTCGTAGAGCTTTCCTTCAACCTCCAGACGCGAAACATCACATGTAGCAGTGATATCACCGATTGCCTCACAGGCGCAGATGAGATATACGACCAAGAGTGGCAAGACCAATGGCCCATATACCGTGAGCTTGAAGGTCTGCACCCAGATGAATGATCCCACAGGAGCGGAGTCGATACCACTACGGTCGAAATACCCGCAAGCGGCTGCGATGATACATCCAACCAGCAGACCAATGATAACGCTCGTAGACTTCATGATTGGCGCACCAAACCTCTCGCAAAGGATAATGGTCAAGAAGACTGAGAAGCCTAGTCCTAGGAACTCTGCTGAACCCCAAGGAAGCGCGTGTGGCGCATCGATGTTCGGACACAACGCGAAAAATGCCGTAGGCTCAGCAGCAGCGCAGCCTCCGCTGCCGCCGGCCCAGTTCTGGAACCCACTCTCGATTAAACTGATGCCAATGAGCATGACGGTGGGACCAGTGACGATAGGTGGCAGGAGTTTGAGCAGAATCCTTGGTGGAATGAACGCAAGCAACACTTCAAGAAGAGCACAGACAGCTGCTGTGCCCAACAGAGCACCGTAACCTGTACATGTTAGTGCATTTCACACCTTTGGGCTCTACGAACGCAGACTTACCTTCAGGGCAAGGCAGTTTTGTGCCATCTTCAGCCGTCGGACAGTATCCATTGGCATACATCTGGGCGAAAGCGCCCCCTGCGACTGGAATGATGGAAAAAGATATGCCAACTACAGAGATCAACCCAGTTCCAATATAATACCTATGCCAGCGTGTGTGAGCAACAAAAGGATTGAAGGGTGCAGATAAGCCACAGGTGTGCTTACGGAGTCTTGTAGATGTGGAACCTCGTGATCTGAATGAGGGAAAGTATCCCGGATACAATCAAGGCGGTTGACACAAGGTATTGCTGAGTAGCGGCGCTCAAATTGACACCAGCTGAGCCTGCGAGGATGATTGGTGGCGTGATAATACCAGCCAACATGGCCAGGGCGTGCTGAAATCCCAACAATAGTGCCAGGAATACGGGCATTCGGTCGTTAAGACCAAAGAACGGAGACGCATGGGGCGATTTCTTCATGAATGGTAGGTTTGGTGTGAAAAGGAATCCATAGTCGTAATGGCCCAAGAGACCTTCCCTGGTAAGAAATGCCCGCTTGATACTGACCAACGGAGACCTTAAAGCTCGTCGGCCGTGCTGCTCTGGCCCAATAACGGATGGACCTTGATCTTCGTCCATTTTGGCGGTCTTCCTGTTAATACAAGAATTGAGAGAGCTTTTGCGACCGTGAACGACGACGATGACGACGGCAACAATGATCGTGGTTGCGGCTGGCTTTATCTTATTAAAACAGCAGACGATCAGAAGTGACTATGCCGATTAGAGTTCGGGGCGGCTGGTTGATAGTCGCAGTGCGCTATAGGCCCCACAACGCTGTATTACTCGATTGAATGTCGTACTATCGCAACCGTCTCCATTATGATGATTCGCTGGGGTTATATAAAGAGCCGATTCCTGAGCGACGCTTGCAATGTCCAGCTCGCACCTGAAAATCTGTCTTATGGTGCAGAGCATGATGGCCGTAGATTCGAGACGGGGTCGCCCGGTACCGTCCAGACCGTCTGAGAGGACTGGCCGTAATTATTTGGGGTCGAAGCACTCAATTCCGGGGACAGCGCTGTCAAAAGGGTAGCTACCTTTTCCCAAAGAAATCGGCTGTACAGTAGTCGAGCAAATCCTCTCTTAAGAGGCGCTGATAAGAGCGTGGAAACGTCTCCGTGGGGGCACCCAAGACAGCGGATGGCCCACTAGGCCCGCTGTCGGTAAAGGATCCGGCTGGGGAATCAGAACGCCACTATCTATGAGCTCACGCGATTTGATCACTGCTCCATGCTTCCTTATCATTTCCGACATGGGGCAGTTGAGCGGGCGGGCAGGGCTGAAGCTGCCTCACATCTCACCGGACACAGCGAAAGGCGGCCACCACCTTCAACGAGGGGGTGCACCGGCCGATGCATATCGGCCAGTGCCGGCACGCTATTTCAGTCGAAATACCAGTATTGAGAAGCTTATTTGGTCTATAATTAACCTAACCTAGATGGTTTCGTAGTTTCTACTTAGACACAACGTTCTGCAGCAGCATCGCAGGACAGAATGACACAGGCATGGAAGTAGACATTTCTTTCTTCAACACATTCTGGTCATGCAATGGGAAATGTGTATGTTTTTGTCAACAATTATATTTGACACACGTCACCAGGAAAGGTGTTATTAACTTGAGTATGTGTCGAGGCCTGGCCATTTTGTAGACCACAATCCTGCAATCACTACATACCTGGTTTAATCAGCCGTTGAATCAATCGTTGAATCAATCACTGGCTCGTCAAGTTATGCTGGTGAAATCATGGGCCAAAAGCTCCGTCAGGTCACTACCTGGAGCAAAGCCCAGGTTTGCCATGAACTGAGGATCACCCATGTGATCAGCCCGGTCAAGAGATGCTATATCGTCAAGGATGGAGTCGTAATCAAATGTCGCACTGCTAAAGCTGGGTCTCCCATGAAGTGGAAAGTGCTGAGTAGACATGTCGGCAAGGTCGTACCGAGATGCGGCCGGGCCGTTCGCGGGTTGATCCATGAGGTTCACAGGCTGACGCGATCGCGAAGCCATGGGGAAGCTCATCATTGCCGACATCGAAGTATCGTGATAAATATCGCCACCAATCATGGTAGCTGCCTGTTCGGCCGGGGTATCTGCGTAATGGGAGGAAGGAGTGGGTAGTTGTTGTATCACAGCAGGCATAGAAGTAGCTGCTGAGTAAAGAACATTCGTCGAGTGCGGGTTAATGTACGATGTTGCACTATCTGGAGGTTTGTGTGCCACAGGTGATGTTGACTGAGAGTGACGAGGTCTCCATACAGAATCAATCGATGACTGTATCTGTTTCCATCTATCCCGTGTATCGCCTTTAAGGAGGTCGGGGCTGTATTGCCGCTTCAATACGTCCATGAAAAGAGAGAACAGTGGTGGAATTGCAGAGCCGAAACTGAGCATATGCTCTTCTAGGCACTGCAAAACTGTTGAAGGCAACGAATCACAATACACCTGGGTCTGACTTCCGCAACAGAGGAATATTAGACGAAGCAGATATATTGACGGAACGTGGTAAGGAGGCACGCCGCCATTCGTAACGTAGTTGACGAAAGATTGACGTGCAGGATTACCGCCGATAGCTTTCTGTACTTGGATCAAATAAGGCTCCCTTTGCTCAGCGTCGGCCTCGAATACCATCGCACAATGGACCCGGAGTATTCCAAAAAGAGCTGCAAAGGAGCTCATTGAATGTGCGGGGCTTCGAGATGACGAGCCCGATGGCCGCGCTGGTCCGAAGCCCTGGCAGGGAGACCATATATCCCATTCGTCTTGATCATCATCTCCGCAAGGAGCGATCGGACTGACATTACTTGCCCGTAGATGTGGTGGCTGGTTGATTTGTGTAGCAACCAGTGTGTCGAGGATGAAGCATGCCATATACGTGTGGTACGGCCGGCGGTTTCCATTCCTCACGGGTTGAGACTGTAGGTCTTGAGCAAGTGCTATACGAGTCGCCAATCCAGTGGATACCCAAGCCGCCGTATACTCTCTCCGTCCAATATCGACCAGAGCGAGGAGAAGCAATGCGTTGACATGCCGCGGTTCAACGGCAGCGCTCTCGCCTGGGATCAAACGCCTTGCAGCGTCATAGATATCTTCAGGCTGCATCTGTGCCTCTGACTCGTCATACATGGTGGGTGCTTGAGTGCCCTCGTCTTGGTATGCGGCGACAGCCAGTGCAGCCCACAGTTCAGCATGTGAACCTGACCGGGGAACGTTGGTGTCAGTCAAGTCCAGCCCTTCCCCAGGGTACGACCAACAAGCCTTATGAACCAGTCCCTTTTCTAGGATTGGGAACCAGCAGTGTGAATATGAAAAATAAATATCCAAGAGCCGCCAACAATTAGAAGGTAGCTTGACCAATTTTGAAGACGGCTCTAGCGCCAGCTCTGTGTGTTGCATGTCCGGCACAGCACCGGTCGCCGTTTCTGTCATGGGCGCAATCAGTGATGCCCGGTCATGAGCGGCCGACCCTTCTTCTTTCGGAGGCGGCTCAGCATCATCGAGACTACTGTCGGAGTCGTCGGCGGGGGAAGGCTTTTCTGCCTTGGAAGGCGCAGTATCGCCACCTGATAATACCCTGTCGATTTCCTGTTGTACAATGCTCTTCCTCCATCTTCGATGCAGGCGATTACCGGCAGCCGTGTCCTTGCCCAGAAGCAGCGCCCTTCCTTGGCCGCCTTCGTGTGTCAACAGACCATGGAGGGCTTCCTCTGAGCCGGGTATCTTGTCAAAAATCCAGCCCAGTGACAGCTCCAATGTTCGGATATAGCCAGTCTGTACTCCGCGCTTCTTCTTGGGCTCTTCCCAGGTACACTGCCTGTTCTGCGATGCGCATGGAAAACACAGAGGCTGTATTCCGTCACATTTTTCTCTTGCAGCGCGACATTGATCGCAGGCTCTGGACACTCTCTGTCGCTTGGGTGCGGGCGGGACCTGGGCTTCTGCCGGTACATCGTCTGCATGAGTCGGTTGTCGCTTCATCTTCTTCGTTGAAGCTGATCCCGTCGACATGGCAATGGAATGCCCCCGCAGTTGCGCATCCGGTGCTGCGTCTTCAAGGTAGCCCGATGACCCCCAGCGTAATCCAGCATGGCGGGTGTATGATCTGGCCCGAGCTGCGTCGCATGCAACGAGCGGTGATGGCCCTCTGGCGGTGGACTCAATTCGGTTCTTGGCACCTCCCAACGGGTTGTTCGAATAACACAAGACGAACACCAGACAACGATCTCTTGAGGGGAATTTCGTTACACTCCCACCAGCGCAGCATCCTCATCGGTCCTTCAATCCAACCTGTGAATGTCGTCGCTGAGTGGGGAAATCCTGGGGTACCGCGGGAGGGTTCATTGCAGGCGAGCGGCTAAGTATTCTTCCAGAGGATGTGTCGCTAACTAGGTTAACCAAGTAGATCCAAGTTCTAAGCGGGTGCAACTTGGCGTGTCTAGGGGCCCTCCCACCCTCCTGTAGCGCCTGACCCCGCTGGGCATTGAAGCTACTGCCGACCATCCCCCCCCCAGATCACCCGCTGCATGTAACCCATCTCTCGTTCGATAATCAGGCGGCTCGACTTTCATGTCGGACTATTTGGGGCTCCCGCACAGCTTGGTATATCCTGTCGTGTCTAACCATTTGGGTCTTTTGGATGTAGAATCCCATCTGACTGTTTTGTCCACCTTACACAACGTCGAGGACCGCAGGGCCCCGGGCAGAGTACGAATGTCAACTGTTGATTGCGCAGTCAACAATGTGACCGCAACCACGTGTTTTGGCCGCAAACTACATGCCGAACCCTCTTCTCTGTTGTTCGACCGTCTGCGAGAATGGCAACTCCAACTTTAGCAGGCGTGAAGCGACCATTCGCTGACATGGCTGCTGAGCATTCGAATTACAGCACCCCTCCGCCATGGGGGACTGGCGGCGTCGGCAAAAGTTATCCGTGGGGAAGGGATAGCAACGAAACACCGAAAAGACAGGCCCGCTCGCGGCTGCCCTCTGCAGAGCGAGCCTCAGATGTTGATTGTACGTTGTTGCCTGACCCTCGTCCTGTTTCCCCCACGGGTATGGTTTAACATTAATATCATGTCGCCGCAGTATACACGCCCGCTTCGAGATCCGCCAGCAACTCCCCTCGGACCAAGATGGCGAAACTACCGGTGCCAGCGCAGTTCGAATCGGACGCATCCATTGTTCTGGTCGGCATGCGTGGCTCCGGCAAGTCGACACTGGCCATCATTGCATCTACGGCCATGAAGAGGCGGATAGTGGACACGGAACAAGCCTTCCTCGATGCGACCGGCTTGTCCACTATAACGTTCAAGAAGACCCACGGCAATATGGAGTACAGGCGGCGGCAATACAATGTCTTGGAGGGAATTCTGAAACGGCATCAGAAAGACTGTATAATTGTGTCTTCGTGGATCGAGCGCTCAGCACAAAACTTGCTGGCAGAGTTTGCGGCTTCGCATCCGGTAGTCCATGTGGTTAGAGACGAGAAGGCCATCTCCCGTTACCTTGGTGTGACGGACGTGGAGAAGTTCAGCGAACTGCTGAACTTTCTGGCGAGCGCATTCCGCGTGTGCGGGAACTTCGAGTTCTTTAACGTGTCGGAGGGAACCTCCTCGCCAGACGACAAGACGGTGGCAGAATCCACAGCGCTGGATCATAATGGCGAGCAGAAGTCACCTGCGCCTTATCTGACGCTCAAGCGTGCCGAAAGGCACTTCTTGAGATTCATGGCACAGGTCATGCCGAAAGGAGCAATTCCATATATTGAATCTGCCTTTCCTCTGGCTTCCATACCGACGGAGAAGCGCCATTTTACATACGCCATGTCGGTACCGCTGTCGAAGCTGTTGGCGGGGAGTCTCAAGATCGAGGAACTGGAAACCGGGGCTGATGCAATCGAGATTGTTGTTGACGATGCTTTTACTCAGCCGGGTCCAAACCTTCACCTCGGCGCGGATCGGGCAAGCCAGATTAGCAGAGTTGTTGGCCATATCAGGAGGAACGTAGTGATACCTATCATTTACCACATTGTTTACCCATCCTCAGGTCCCCTGGATAATGCGCACAAGCTCCTGTATCTTGAGTATCTTCAACATGGCCTTAGGCTTGCGCCAGAATACATCGGACTGGACTTACGGCTGGAGGACGATCTGTTCTCTCAAATTGTTAAAGCCAAGAGGACGTCCAAGGTCATTGCCTCAGTCAATATGGCCGTGCCGAACCCACCGTCCTGGCGGGATCCGATATGGCTCTCCTTCTACCGCAAGGCCAGAGATCTTGGGTGCGACCTCGTGCGCATGCTACGGCCGGCTAACCAGATTGAGGACAATTTCGAGATTGAGTACCTGCGTCACGCCATCGAAGATCTCGGTGATCCAATATTGCCCTGTATCACTTTCAATACCGGGCCGAAGGGACGTCACTCGCAATGTTTCAACAAGATCTTGACCTCCGTGATTCCCGAATCACTTCTCAGTATGGCACATCCGGACCCTATGGTATCCCTATACGGGCCGCCCCCCATAACTGCAATGGAAGCCACAAAGGCGTTACATTCTTCTTTCATCATTGATGCAATGAAGATGTATGTAATTGGAGCAAACGTCGGGTACAGTATGTCGCCAGCCATGCACAATGTTGCGCTCAAAGCTTGCGGCATCCCGCATGTTTATCGGCCTTACTCGACGGATTCGCTTAGCAGCATCCGCGATCTAATTCACGATCCCTTGTTTGCCGGTACCTCGATTGGTCTTCCCTTCAAGGTGGAAGTCATTAGCCTTGCTCATACCCTCAGCAGCCATGCCAAGGCCATTGGTGCTGTCAACACACTAATCCCTGTTAGACACCTCAACGGGGACGGGACGATCCCGGAAAATGCTCTGTTCTTCAATTTCAGGAATCGAGCTGGCCCAGTACTTGCACTCTACGGTGAGAATACTGACTGGATTGGAATTCGAGCTTGCGTTCGAAGAGGACTGTCTCCTGCCAATGCTGTGCGACCTAATTCTAGTGGTTTGGTTGTTGGTGCAGGTGGAATGGCACGAGCTGCGGTCTATGCAATGTTGCAGCTGGGCGTGAAGAACATTGTCATCTTCAATCGTACGCCATCCAATGCCGACAAGCTTGTCGCCCACTTCACCAGACTATTAGATCGGCATGATCTGCCTCTGTTGAGTTCATCATCCGATACCGAAACAAGATTTCATGTGATTCGCTCATTGGAGGATTCCTGGCCTGACAATTTCCGTCTTCCTACTATGATCATCTCGTGCATACCAACGCATGAGATTGGAGATACACCCGCACCTAAGTTCACACTTCCACCAGCATGGATGGGAAGCCCCACAGGTGGAGTGGTGGTTGAGCTCGCGTACAGGTATCTCAACACTCCGCTTCTTGACCAAGTTCGCGCAGAAGCCCATCGTGGCTGGGTACCTATGGACGGTCTTGACCTGCTCCCCGAACAAGGATTCGCACAATTTGAGCTGTTTACTGGAAGGAGAGCGCCTCGGCGGCTGATGAGAGAAGAAGTGTTCAAATCATATCCACATGAACGGGGCGAGTCCGATCGGGCACAACTCCAGCCCCGTCTGGAAAATATTGTCGAGCAGGAGCCCTGAGGTTCGTCATGTTAGAGGATACCCAGTTGATAATTTTATATTTTATACCGGGGGTCTATATCTCCAGGATGAAAGACCATCTGCACCACTAGCACCGTTACCATGAATAGTCTCGAACCAGTGGCACGTTGCTAAACAGAAAAACATTTAAAGTAAATATAAAAATAAAAATAAGCTACGCCAACGATACTTCCCTCCAAACGCACATTTGAAAACTACCTCTATTGCTGGAATGTCAACGTTCACCTTTGGGGGAGCTTTCATTTTGAGCGATTACCGGGACTGTTGGTCGAACGAAGAATCAGACCTCTTCCAACCACACTTTGAACTCTGGGGTAGTAGAATCGGGTCTCGATTATTAAGGATCGCGCGCCCTCTCAATCTCGCTAGCCCCAGCGGTACATACATAGGTTAGTATAGTCAAACTTGGGGGAACGGGCAGACGGTAGAAGGGTGGGTGGCTCGATTGGGGCCATTAGCAAATAGCCTACGCAAGCTCGGACAAGGAAGCGCGGCCGCGGCTTTCTGCCTTCGATCCACCCGCGTAAGTGTTCTTCCGACGATGCAAGACCATGATATCAGCTAAACTAGTCTTTGCTCATCGTTCACGTCCTACGTAGACTAACTACAGTAGTAAAACCGAAAACCAACAATATGGGGAAACCCCATCGTCCTTCTCTTCCGACAATCGAGCTACCAGCTATCTCGAGGATGATTACTCTTCCCTGTGTCTTTCCCAGCAATTAAGCTGTCCACAATTACCGTTTAGAGCCGCCCAGAGCCGCGCGTATTGCCCCCAAGGTCAAATGCGAGGGATTCCAGACGACAAATGGAGAATAATTGACGTGTTTGCTCTTCGTCTAACCCTGATTTAAAAAGACATCTGCAAATAGCCTGCTTCCCGGTGATTTTGCATCGGAAAACGTATTTTGTTTCGATCGATACATTTGCGTAACACGGCTACATAGTTGATCTCACAGTGTACTTGAATGCGACGTCGCACCACTTGGTATCTGGACTGCTTGACCCTCAAATATATATCACTGTACCGTCGATCAGGGGCGGCCATTTCATCAACCCTCAACTTCGTTCCTATTGCATTCGTTCACCACATACTACTATCAAGATGCCTTGTCGCTTAGCAATTACTTCCATGTCTCTAGGCCGCTGCTTCGCGGGCCACACGTTCGCCCACAAGCTGGACATGGCACAGGCCTACGGATACAAAGGCATCGAACTTTTCTACGAAGATCTTTCAGATATTGCCAATCAGCTAAACAACAGCTCAACAGCAGAAAATGAACTCCAAGCCGCAGACATCATCCGAAAGATGTGCGAGCAGAGAGGCCTCTCTATCTTGTGCCTCCAACCCTTCTCAGGATATGAGGGTCTTCTCGACCGCAACGAGCATACGAAGCGCCTGGAGCAGCTAAAATTTTGGTTTCAGCTCGCCAAGATCCTCGACACAGACATCGTGCAAATTCCCTCCAGCTTCCTGCCGTCTTCACAGATCACAGAGGACCGAGACCTGATCGTCTCAGATCTCCAAGAGGTTGCAGATATGGGCCTGCAAGAGAACCCTCCGATACGATATGTCTATGAGGCCTTGTGCTGGGGTACGCGGATAGATCACTGGGAGCAGAGCTGGGAGGTCGTGCAGGCTGTGGATCGTCCCAACTTCGGCTTATGTCTCGATACCTTCAATATTGCCGGCCGCATATACGCAGATCCAGCTTCGCCCACCGGCAAGACTGCAAACGCAGAACAAATAGTCAAAGAGTCCATCTCGAGGCTTCTGTCCACTATCGATGTGCGTAAGGTGTTTTACGTACAAGTTGTAGACGCTGAGAGACTCGAGGAGCCGTTGGTGGAGGGTCATCAGTTTTATAATGCAGAACAACCCTGTCGTATGAGCTGGTCAAGGAACTGCAGACTGTTTTATGGGGAGAAGGAACACGGCGCGTATCTCCCAGTAAAAGAGATATCGAAGGCTATCTTTCATGGACTCGGCTACGAGGGCTGGGTCAGTCTTGAGCTCTTCAACAGGAGAATGTCGGACAAGGACGCGGGCGTGCCTCGAGAGCTCGCCAGTCGTGGTGCCGCATCCTGGGCCAGATTGGTGCAGGACATGAATCTCAAGGTCGATAGGCCTGAACTACAAGACAGGATCTCGGCGTCATTATAGTGTGACATGGGGCACTATACCGTTGATTTCTTGATTCGGATTTGCCTTGGGTTGATTTAGCGACATACTTTTCTTCTTCTTCGATTTCAACTTCTATTAGCCATAACATTCTGTAGTATGAATTTATCTCATTAGTCGTAACCACAAATGAACATTATTTCCATAAGCTTGAAGAAGGTTTAGAATAGTCAACCGTTTCAAACGGTAGAGTGACATTTTGCCACAAAACGTAATCTGAAAACACAAGTATTTATCAAGTCTAGACCTGTCTTCCGGGATCGTGTTTGCGAACCCAATCCGGGCATGTGGATCTCAACCGGCGACCCAACAGATACATTTCCGTTTGGATGATTTCAATCAAAGCAGCACACGATTGGCTGTTTCCTGTCACATGCGCTGAGGAGCTGTGTCTATCATACCGTCCGAGCATTTGCGGCCACTAACTAGTACACGCTGGGGGAGGAGTCATTCGAGCTTGGTTGGAAAATCAGGCCGAAACGAAATTCATCGAGCCGTCAAATTCGGTCGCAGTGCATCATAAATTCTCACTCGATTTATCAACTCTTTTACGTCGTTGAGGTTCAGAGTAGCATGTATTAGTAGCATATGCTAAGTACCATAAGTGGTGGCCGACAATTCATTTTGGGTATGCAGTCTAGTTATGGAGCCTCGGCGTGTGATACGCTCAAGTTGGATCATTCCTTGCAGTTTTCCTCCAGCGACTACTCGAGTTCTAACAACACAATACAAACTTGTCGCGTGGAAGACGCAAACAAATATAGTCACTTTGCCCATTGGTAGATGACAAACGTACGCCAAGTCAGAACTCAGAGCGTGTAGTAACTTAAGCACAGCAATTAAAGCTTAGCGAGCAGGCGAAGTAAAGGAAGTTTGGAATACCCCACGAATCAATTCGCTATTGAAATCTCAGTGAACTTTGCCTTTCGAGGCGGCTGACATCAACCATATCTCCTGCATGCTAAGTTTAAGCCAAACCTTTATAAAAAATTATGCCACCTCCTTCTGCTCGACGTCTCGCTTGTTCGAATCCTTGAAGTCAACACCATCCGCGTTGTGACGGAACTCCTCGTCCTGGAGCCTCAGCTCGTCCATGATAACTTTATTAGCCTTACGCATTGGCTTGGTCTGAAAGAGGCGGTCCATAGCCTCAAGAGGTACACCTTTGGTCTCCGGGATAAGGAAGAATACAAAAACGGTTGAGAGGATCATTAGAGATGCGAAGAAGAAGTAGACTCCATACTGCATGGTTAGGAACATCTGAGGGGTGAACCTCGAGATGATAAAGTTCCAGAACCAGTTGTTGGCGGCTGCAGAAGCCTGACCCAGACCTCTCGTGTTCTGATCAAACATCTCTGAATTGAGTACCCAAGGTGTGCCGTTCCAGCTGGGAGTGTAGAACGCGGTCCATAGATAGAAGAAGAACATGGCGGCGATACCACCGCTGGATAATCCAGCAGTGTTGGTAGTAGTAGTCGAGATGTTGGCGATTTTGATGTATGCTCCGATGAACCACATGCAGAGCGAGCCACCGAATGAGCCAATCATCAATAGCCTTCGGCGGCCGAGGTTATCAATGAGATACAGAATCCAGACGACAGTCACGACTGTCTTGACGACTCCGAAGATGCCGGTAGTCAAGAAACTTGTGTTGGTACCGGTGATACCAATACTCTTGAAGACGGTGGGGCTGTAGTAGTTGATAGCGTTGATACCAGATCCGTTCTGCCACAGGAAGAGCATGCCTCCAAGGAAGAATCGGTAGAGGACCTTTGGTTGCTTCAAAGAGACAAACGGCTTCCAGAAACCTGCACCCACCTCCTGTTTGTATCGCTCGTGATCCTCGTCAACCATGTTGACTTCCTCGATGATGTATATGTCGTTGGCATCCAGGTTGCGGATCCAACAGAGGTTGGCCAGCGCCTCATCACGTCGATCCTTGGAGAACAGCCAACGAGGGGACTCTTTGATGAAGAAAGCACCAATACCAAGAAGACCGGCAGGAATCAACTGCACAGCAAAAGGGATGAGCCATTGAGAGTGGCTCGGGGCCATAGTCGTGTTGACTCCATAATTGATCCAGAAACCAACAAGACCACCGATTTGCCATCCAAGCTCATAGATACCGACCAAGCGGCCACGAATTGCGGGTGGAGATAGTTCGGAGATATAGATTGGGACCTGTGATAGACATTAGCGCCGGTTTCGGGGGTTTTAAGTTAAGCGGATGGAAAATTCTCACAGTCATACTGCAACCTCCGACGCCAATGCCAGCAAGAACACGACCACCGATGATCAAGCCAAGACCTCTCTGACCATTTGCGCCCAACATCATACCAGCACCCACAATGAAGATAGCAGTGAAAATCCACAAGGATTTCTTGCGACCCCAGAACCAGTTAGATACATAGGCAAAAAGGGATCCAAAGAAGGCACCAGCTTGGTATACAGAGACGATGTTGGCGGAAACCAGGGCCAGTTCAGATGCCGACATTGCTGCAAAGTTGAACTCGGTCTTGAAAGATGGCAAGGATAGAGTTGTTCCGATGAAGGCCGAATCGTAACCAATTGTGCATGACGCGAATGATGCGATGGCGGCACAGGTGTATACACGCCAGTTATATACAGCCTTGGGCGTTGGCCTGTCCTCATTAAGTGTGAGGAGACCCATCTTGACAGCTCGATATGATCTGCAAAGGTATATAGACGAAGCAACTTAAACCCACGGGTTTGGTCTGTCCTCTAGTATGGAAGACTGTTGCGCTGTGGATACTATTCCTCGCAGCGATGAGATAGTGAGGAGGCGAGGTGATGATGATCTGGGGGGGGAAAAAAAGCTGGGTCAAGATGTCGTGACAGGGCTGTTCTTATAATGATATCCGGGGCCCCAGTAGGATGGTAGCTGGGACCTGGGGACTAAGATGGGTCTTGGCAGAATCTGGGGTTGGGTCCGGCGTTTGTTGGGTCTGGTAATTCTGGATGTCCATATCGATCCCGGCTAGTGGTTCACGCATGATGGTCAGCAGGAATAGCCACGAGTCCGGGGGTTAGCTTCGTCCATTCCGACTATTGTCAGGGTCTTAATTCGTGACTGGCTGATGTAAGAGATCCTATTCTGGATATCCGTTGTTCCAGAGGCTTTTTCATGCCGTCAACGCCAGGACAGCCAAGGATGCGTCTAGTTATCTAGTGTTCCATATACTCTCGACCATTGCCAATTCCAGAGCGCCCAGCTCTTCCCAGACGAGTCATGGCTTTAATTCATCGTGACACTAAGAAAACTCAGACCGCGAGACTGGTGAGTCTGTGGGGGCGTGCCAATTTCCTGGCCATCTTCCCCACAAAGCCATCTCCGCATGCGCGCTCGGCGCTGGCCACATTCTCATCGGTTTCTGCGCAAGTGCCGATTAGTTGCAGGGTGAAGGTTAAACACTTTTCCGGGGGCGGTTGCAGCCAAGACTCGAGGTTTCCGACTTGTTCGCTTGTCTACGATTGCACATTTCCCCAAGCTCTTGCAGGAGGTGCACCAGGATAATCTCATCCAGTCACCAATCATTTGGGTTTCACGTCTTGCATCCGGTACCGATTGGAAGAGCATATATCCCAGGTACAGGCAGGAACCTCCCTTTCCCCCACATCTCGACATCCCCCATTGCGCGTACGTACCGATATCCTATCGTGTAAGTCAACACTCCACACACACCATCGCATTACCTGGAAAATGAAGCTCCGCGAGACTCTGTATGGGGCTCAGGAGCGTGAAATAGCCGACAGGCGCGGTATTGGTAAAACAGCATGGCATCTTTATCAAGATCACAAGTCTCCCTTCATCGTCCAAGTCCTTTACACACTATTCCACAATTACCCTGAGTACATACAGTACCTGTGATTATACACAATTCTTCAAGATTTTAACACCACCACATACGAGGCACATACTCCAAAAAGAAATTTCAAAAAAAAAAAAACCTCCAGAAGCTTTACAGCCCATCATATCTACGTACGCAGATAGAGCTGCCATAATGACAACGCAAACAGAGACACAGACGGTGGCGATGCCTACCACTCTTTCGTCCCGGCCGCAGCTGGATAAGCACGGATACCTTTTTGGCCTCAAGATCCAAGCCTCCATGTCCCCCTTATTACACAAGACAATCTACCAAGAGCTTGGTCTGAACTGGGAACAACACTTGTTCGAGTCTGCCAACATTTCAGAGTTCCTGCAATTGATCAAGGCTCCCGACTTCTATGGTTCGTCAATCACCTTACTCCCGACCGTGTCTCACTTGACCACCCAACTAAATTCTTTTCGTCTTCTTTCTCAGGCGCCTCGGTGACAATGCCTAACAAAGTTGCCATCATGACGCATCTGGACGAAGTGACAGAAGAGTGCCGCGAAGTAGGCGCCTGCAACACCGTCTTCTTCCGCGAGGAGAATGGCAAGCGCGTCTTCTGCGGGACCAACACGGACGTGATTGGGATACGGGAATCCTTCTACCAGAACGTGACCAATCCTGACGCTGTCTTCCACAACAAGCCGGCCATGGTCATCGGAGGCGGTGGTGCCGCCCGCAGCGCCGTTTATGCTCTGCAGAAGTGGATGCGCGCGACCAAGATCTATCTCGTGAACCGTGACGCCACCGAGGTCCAAGCTGTCATCGACGAGTGCGTAGCTCGTGGGTATGGAGACAAGCTGGTGCACGTGGCGACCGTGGCCGAAGCCGAGGCTCTTGAGTCTCCCGGTGCCATCGTTGCGTGTGTGCCGGATTTCCCGCCCAAGACTGAGGAGGAGATCGTTGCCCGGGCTATCATCGAGACCTTCTTCAACAAGGAAAGGAAAGGTAGCATATTGGAGATGTGCTACAACCCCAACCCTTACACGGAGATTGGTGACCTCGCGGAGAAGGCCGGCTGGCAGGTGATCCTCGGCACAGAGGCTCTGATTTGGCAGGGTCTCGAGCAAGACAGGTACTGGACAGGATTGCCGTTTGATAAACTGCCGGTAGAGAAGGCCAAGGAGGTCATTGCCGCGCGTCTGGCGCAGATTCAGAAGTCGTAATGGAGATTAGACGAAACTCGTCCTCACTCCTTTGCATGGTCACGGTTGCATGGTTTATGAAGCATTTTCACGGCGTTCAGGGAGCATTTAGCACCAGGGTACAACATTGCATTGGTGATAGCTCATCTACATACCAGGTCTAGAAATATAGAAATATAGAAATATTACTATGCTAGTCTCGCTTCATACTCCTGGGCGCCTATAGTCGAGGTGCCTTACTCGTTTCCACACTTCGCGGACAACTCGCTCCTGCGTTTGCCGGCCTGTCTCCGTCTCTGAGGGCCCGGCTGGCCTTACGGCGAGATACAGTCGGCTACCTAAGCGCACTTCCTCGATAGAGGCTTTCTGGTAATCCTCAGGTGGGTTTGCTGTAGTGACAAGACCACCAGCCTCTTCTACCAAGGCGATGCCCGCGGCGACATCCCTAGATTCTGTCAGCGACGGTTTGTCGTAATACAGCTCCCGCAAGGACGGCCAACTTACCATTCCCAGCACCCTCCTTCCCACCATATATCGAAAGAACCCATCGCGATGTATGCCAGGTCCAGTGTGGCGCTTCCAAGACTTCGCATACCGTGAACCATCCCTCCCTTGCCATCACGGGCTCCGAGCTCGGCGGCCATGTTTACGAAGCTTTCTACCTTACGGTGCATGTTGCCATCTGGTCGGTCCTTCCGGTCCTTGCCCCACTCACAAGAGAAGACGCAACCGCTCGGCGCCTTTGTCGGCATAGGGGGCACAGGGCTTCTGATCAGGGGTAGCTGCTGTGTTTCGTTCAACCAGGCGCCTCGACCGCGGCAGGAGGAGAAGAGCTGGTTGAGAAAAGGCGCATTGATGACACCTATGATCGGCCTTCCATTCAGGACGAAGCCGATTGAAACGCAGAACATGGGGAACAGGTGGGTGAAGTTCACAGTCCCATCGAGCGGGTCGATGCACCATGTTGGTTCTTCCCCTATGAGGTAATCCCGAGAGCCTCCCTTGGAGTATGACTCTTCACCAATGAATCTGAGTTGTGATTTCCAATTAGCCGAACTGCTCCAAACCAAAGTGCTGCAGCGTCGCTTGGACCCTCACGGGTTTGCTTACTTGTGCGAAGGAAACTTTTCTTCGATCGCAGTCTTGATAAATGCCTCTACATCTGCAGCTTGTGTCAGCGACCGGCCAAAAGCCGAGAGTGAGCCTGGCGGATTGGTAGTAGTTGTGCGATTTTACCTTCATCTGCCTTTGTCACAATATCAACGGAACTGTCTTTCTCCGTAAGAGCATATTCCGCGGAAGCGCCGCCACTCCACTGCGCCCTGGCGTACTTCATAAGAAGGTCACCAGCATCCTTGCCAAGCTGGACCGCGAAAGTATAGATGTCGTCGAGCTCAGCCCTACTGATTTCGGGCATGTTGGGCGGATGAGTATATGACAAGCTCTATTGGTTTTCAAGGACGAAAAAGTAAAATGTACCGTCTAGTGATGACTTGTGCATGTGCGATTGGATTGTTCCTTAGAGCAGTCTTGATATAGTAAGCATGGCCCTGCAGCCATGAATGCACCGGTGGTAGCTGTGTCACACAACTTTGGGCCCGATATGCGCTCCTGAACCGGTGTAAGCCGCCTAACGCCGCCAATCCACAGCGGCTCCTCAGCGGTTCGCCTCCGCTACGAGAGGAGTGTTTGTAGTAGTCCACACGGCTAAGGATCTGTCTTCTGTTCAAAATATGAAGCCACCATGCGTTTTCTACACGCATACAAAATGGTGAACGGCAAGGAGAATTAATAAGCAATCAACTGTAGAGCGATACTGGGATCCATCAATCAGATCTGCCAGCGCATTTTCAAGTTCAAGAAATGTTCTGTCATGCACTTTGAGGAATCTGCTTAACACGCCAGCTTCTCCGAGTGTGGCACAACAGAATCGAACGACACCGCGACCCAACCATAGTCTAACGTCAACTTAGACCAGCTCTCATCAATAGGCCTCCCTATCGAGAACTTGAGGGTCTCAGTCCACAGCACCCTAGAACAATGCTCTCTGTTTATTTCTGATCCTGACAGAGTAAAAAGCTGAGGTCGTAGCAGAAAGCTACCCACAGCCTACAGCAGCCCCTTCTTCATGAAAAGTTTAGGCGCTCGGGGAGGGAGGCCGCTGACGGGCTGATCCCTCCACTAATTTACTCCGCCAGTGGAAGAACACTTAACCGGCAGCCAGAAGTGCGTAACGCCAATGCGGGGAGATATTTGGAGAAAAAGGTGCCCAGTGAAACTTATAGCCGTAGTATACACACCCGGCTGAACAATGTCTCGACCGATTGCGGGGAGGCTGAGACTCTCCTCGGATGTGAATTACCGGTATATTGTGAGTCTGCTCGTCAGTCAGTAGAGAGGCATTTTGGAGTCTGTAGGTCCCAAATTTCACACACAAAGAGATCTTGCAAGTGATATCTTTCAACCAATCCCTGATATTGAAAACCACCATGTCCCGCTCCATTCTTCTCATCAACGGTCCGAACTTGAACCTCCTGGGCACGCGAGAGCCGCAGATCTACGGCAGCACGACACTCAAAGATGTCGAGACGCAAGCACAGCAGCAAGCGTCCGAGCTGTCAGTCTCGCTGGCTACATTCCAGTCGAACCACGAAGGCGCAATCATCGATCGAATCCAAGAGGCGCGGGGCAATGTGGACGCCATCATAATCAACCCCGGCGCATATACACACACGAGCGTGGCTATCAGAGATGCGCTGGTGGGGGTGGATATACCGTTTGTCGAAGTTCATATTTCCAATGTGCATGCGCGGGAAAGTTTCAGACATCATAGTTACTTCACGGATAAGGCGGTTGCCATGATTTGCGGGCTGGGTGTGTATGGATATACGGCGGCGCTCGACTTTGCGGCTAAGCATATGAAGATCAAGGCGGGGCAATAATAGATAGAATGTTACCATTCATGGACGAAGGATTTCGGGGGGAAAAGCCTTCAGTTGGTCCCAGGAGGTCGGTTGATCTTTGAGGGTATCACGAACAAGCGCAATGTACAACGTGGAGGTGGCCAGCAATGCATGACATATGTGCTCGAAAGAATACCGCCGAGCATTACAGTCCGCTGAATTTCAGAATACCATGGGCACCGTGAGGTCCAAGATCTGGGGCTCCCTTACCCTTTCTGCGCTTCTTCTTGCCCTTTCTCCGTGATTCGTCATCACTATCTGAGTCGGAGTTTTCGTCACTGTCGGCCTGGCGCTTGCCTTTCGTCGATGCTTTGGATTGTGAACCATCAGAATCATCACCATCGTCGTCATCATCTTCGTCCTCGTCCTCGTCCTCGTCTTCATCGCTGTCGCCTCCGCCCACCATGCCAGCTTCTTCCCAGACCTTGACTGTAGTGCCGCCACCGGTAATCATGCGTCCCTGGCAGTCAAAGACGACGCTGACAACTGCTTCAACCTCGTCGTGTTGGAAGGTGCCCTCGACTTCGCGTCTGGCCAGGTCGACCAGCCTCACCGTTCCATCGCCGACACCGATAGCGAGCTTCTTGCCGGACGTGATGGTGTCGGGCAGTTGCGCCATGCAATCCAAAGACTCCCCATTTCGGTCCACAATGATGCGGTCCGTCTGGTCGTCCCATGCGCCCTTATCCCACAAGGTAAGCACGCCGGTTCCAGTTCCCACGGCAACGATACCATTGTCTCTGTTCTTCTTGGGACCTAGACCCGATATGAAGGCGGAGCTGAGAAGTTCGTCCTCTTGATCGTCGCTCCTGACCAGGACGCCACGACGTATATCGGTCACAGCCAGAGTTGTGCCACCGGTGCTGACCCACTGCTTGCTGAAACCGCTGGTGCTCGCATCGCTGGGTGGAAGAGGTGCGACCGACGAGATGAAGTCAGAGTGGGGGAGATGTGTCTGTTGGGGTCTGCGTGAGACCAGGGCGTGATCCCGCAGATCAAGAAGGTGCAGAGCTCCCGAGTCGCAACCCAAGAGCAGCGTCTCGGGCGAAAGGACATGTAGCAAGGTTGCTGGGTCGGATGTGTTGTTGTGCTGGGGTATTGCGAATTTGGAGACCACCTGACCAGTCGTGGGGGAGAAGTGCTTGAGGAGAGAGTCTGAACCTGCCGAGTAGAGAGCTTTGGGCACGAGTCAGCATAAATGACGACGAGTATAGCCCACAGGACAAGGGAGAAAGCGCCCAACTTACCAGACCCATCGAGGCTGAATCCCAACGCTCGACAGCTGCCCTTGTGCCGACGTGTTCTCCAAATGCTGTCTATGGTGCCCTTGCCGTCGGACAGGACGCTGACATCAGCTGAAGCGTCGTCATCTAAGCTGCGCTCTGAGGCCGGTAGTCTGAAGCATTCGACGTGGCCAGTCGACAAGCCCACGGCCAGCACAGGCTCATCTGGGTGGATGGCCTGGGTGAAGATGTCAGCACTCAGGGGCAGAGTGCACAGGTTCTCAAACATGATGGGCAGAGGATGAACGTGTCAATTGGACAGTTTGAGACCTGAACACATGGGAATTGTTGGGGTGGTAAGGAATGGGGCAGCAGTTGCTATGGTTCCAAGAAAGCTCGACGCATGCATGCGAATTGTGCATTTCGAAGCTTTGGAACTTTTTTCTCCGTCGCGGAAAATGTTCCGAGCCTGGGCTTGAGCCAGGAGCTAAGAAAAGAGCTACGGTGCCCCGCACAGCACAGCTATTGCCTATCAACCTTACCTAGTCTAGCCAGGTGACTGCGCTGCTCTGTGCTGTGCCGTGGTGTACCTAACTAAGTTATGTACCGCCGATGCCAACTACCTAATCTTAGACAAGCTACCTAACCAGGGACATTTGGGCTCTACGCCTGCACGCATGGGGTTGCCCACCAAGTTAGAATAAGACATGCGCAACAGCTATTAATCAAATCATACCATCTCAAATTCATGCGTCCTATATAGAAGTTCCACCAAGTACACAGTCCGTCGGACTCCCCTTTGCAATTCTCTCTCTCCTGGCCTGGATAGTCGAGGGACTCAGATCGATGAGTTGCGCCTGGTGTGTTTCGGCGAACAAGTAGAGCTTTCATCCTCCCCCAGGGCTAGACTAGTTTTTTGCTTTTGGCACCTTTTGTATGTAAGCTACCTGACATTTCGAAACGCAGATCGTTCCGTCCGTACGATGTCCGCACTATCATATACTCAGAAATCAATGTATGATATAGAAAGTACGGTATAGAGTACACAGGCTCGCGTTGCCGGTCATCAACCATTCGCTGCCCCTTTGAACACCATTTTCTCAACTCGGTTTCTGAGCGTACCAGAAGAAGTAGTCGACATATATATGTGACTTCCCGCAACCTAATTCTGCTTTAGCTGCAGTGGTAAGTTTTGCAACCTCATCCTCGCTCATGACCGTTTTCAAAGGTTTTGCCGCCATTGCATCCATAAGATCGCACGCTGTCTGTATCATATACATGCCGCCGACCATGCGCAACTTCTTATTCTGCAACGAGATCTTTAGCATGTCTTCCATTGACCACGATATTGGACGGCGTTGCCTTACCTTGGGCCACTTTCCCAACGGCGCCTTGAATTTTTTGCAATTGATATTCACGAACCCGCGCCTGCTCAGGATTTCGTCAAGACAGTTGGCCACCCGCCACTGAAATCCGTACGTGGCCAGCGCATCACCCGCCATCGCCATGAAACGAGCAAAAGGTGAATCCGGACCCATACTCCCGTCGTCACATTTTGCATACCCGCCGAACTCTTGCAGCTCTATCCAACCCCCTGGCCTCAAGTGTCTTGAAGGTTGTCAGTTGCTATATATGAGAGCACCGTCATTGCTCTGTGGCAGACGAAGGCGACTTACGCAAGACACCTGTCCAGAACAGAATCAATGTCTCGAATAAAAGTACTGGTATGCCTCATGTGTACAAGGTCGAAGTGATCTCCATGGAGCCATGGGTCTTCTATGTCGTCCACGACGAACCTAAGATTTGGCGGAGTCCATGGCGTCTGGATAGGACTTAGATCTGTGCCTACCACCTGGGCGCTTGGGAATTTGTCAGCCACTGAACATTCAAGGTGTTAGCGTGCACGAGCTTCCAGCGCCGATTTCCTGTCAGAAGCGCATACTTGCTATAGCCCAGGATCCAGTCCCTGTCCCCAAATCGATAATTCGCTGTGGGTTGTCGCCTATGGGCGCAAAGAACAAATTCCCACTATATGCTCGTGTCAGTGCTCCCAGTGCTCTCAGTACGGGAAGCAGGAGACAGATACGGGGCCATACTTGGTCAGCTCTAGCGTGGCAACATGTTTCATTTCGTCGCGAGACTGTTCGGCATCATCATTGGGTATTGGATACGTTCCATGTCGGAACTTGTGGTACTAAAAGTGGGCAGAAAGTTGTGAGCCCAGCCCAACATCGGAGCAGCCTGGATGGTGCTTACGCGACGCCCGTTCTCAAACGAATGGCGAAGGACACTGGACGTGATACTGCCGAATGTGCTCGCAGTTTCCAAGTCGTACTCAGAGCGTGCAAACTCGTCTACATCGATGTCGTCTGGATCTGCCACCTCGATACCGCTTCCTGAATTGAACTCCTCCCAGGTGAAAGAGGACGTTTCATAAGCCATGGCAGCTGTAATAATGCCGGCGCGTGGTCAGTTTTGTTGTCGGTGAATCGTAGTGAAATTCATTCGTACACTGAAGCGATCACAAGTAACGTTACAAGGAAAGTAGGATGATATTTTTTACATTGACGATGTTCGCGTGCGATAGAGTATAGGAAATGCTTACGAGAAATGCTTATCCCGACATTCTGGGTCGATAGTCCTCGGCCCGCCAGCCCCATAGTTACTCCGTACATACCACTGAACTGGTAGTGGTAACAGGGGTGGAGAAGCACCCAAATAGCGGGGTCTCAGCCATGTCGCCCTCGACCTTCTCCTTTCTTCCCTGCGTTCAAAATTCCTCACCCTGCATACATATATAAGAATCCATTGGGTCGTGTATATTTTGTAAAACTATCCAGGGTAGAAGCGCAGCTCGTGACTATTCACTGGGGGATGTTAGAGAGCGACGCCCAGCACAGTCTTTCTGCTGCGAGAGTATGCGCCATGACGGGGCTGTCCGTCCCGCAAGTGATGGGGATTCTGGGGATGTCGTAGTTGGGACGCTCAAAGAGACCGGCGTGTTAGGATCCTCATGACCTATTTTGATTAAAACATGAGCATAAATTTCCTCTTCGTATCTCTTAAGAAGCGGGCGAGGCTGATAGCAGCATTGTTTGTTCAGAGGTTCTGAAGCCAAACTTCAGTGCAATTGAATTTCTGCCTTTCATTGCTCGTCAATGTAACCCCAGCTCCTTCTTTTCTCAAACGTAGCAGACCCATTCGTCAGATACTCGCAGAGAAAAGTAAGAGAAGAGATGTAAGGGACATGATACCACAGAGGACATCTGATCCGCGTTGAGGGAGCTAGTAGGCGGTGTATACACAAAGCTCGACCCTACCTGAGGCGAACAGGATCATTGATGTACATCAACTCTCGGCCGGGCTATTGGTGCCCGTCGATCGATCTGCCGGACGGAAAACATTCTCATGCTAGCGTTTGAAATCTCAACTATCGGAAGAGTTGCTGAAACGTACTTTAGGCTAGTCTAGGTTAGAACATGCCCTGACACTAGCGACACTTTAGGGGACTCGGGGCGTGGTAGGGCAAAACCTCCAAGGCTGCCAGGCGGGTTCCGGGCGGGCTCTAGTTAGTAGCTGCATTAAGGTTGGACTGATCGCAGCCGTAAAATGCCAAAGCCCACTAGGTTAGGTTAGGTTAGTTGGGTTACTTGGGTCGCCAAACAACGCCAATCAAGTTCTCACCACCGGGCAAATCGCATATACATGACCGACGATCTAGGGGTACAGGACATGAAGTTCGTGATGACAGCATACTGTGTCTCGTTTTGATTCAAGCTCCCATCATCAATCCAAGTGCCTTGTACTATTTGTTGCTATGGCATTGGGTCGACAACTTGTTGGGCTGCTCGCCCTGGTATTGGCCATCATGTCATCAGCAACGTCGACCAGGGCTCCTTTGCGCAACATCATGTATCTTACTGGGTATGCCTCCCATGACCCAGACATTGCCAGCTCAGGAGCTAATCGTCTTGTAGCCAACATCCCGTTGTACCTGACCCGGATCTCAGCTCACCTATCACACATGTGATTCTTGCATTCATGCAGGCAGCAAGCTTCAATGCGGAAACTCATGGCACCGATTGGCCGCTCTTCATGTCTGTTGAGGAGACTCGGGCCAAGTTTCTGCCTGGCACGAAGGTCATGGTCGCCATTGGAGGTTGGGGTGATACCGAGGGGTTCAGCATCGCAGCACGCACCGAGCAGAACCGACACAGGTTCGCAGCAAACGTGGCCGCCATGATACGTGGCACTGGAGCGGATGGGGTCGATATCGATTGGGAGTATCCGGGCGGCAATGGTGAGGATTACAAGCAGGTCCCCAACTCGGACAAGGCGTGGGAGATCGAAGCGTACCCTCTACTGATGTCTGCTATACGGAAAGCCATTGGGCCCGAGAAACTCGTCTCTGCTGCTGTGCCCGGCCTTCTGCGCGATATGCTCGCCTTCAGCCCCACGACGTTGCCGTCTATCATGGACGAGGTAGACTTCCTCAATGTCATGACCTACGACCTGATGAACCGGCGTGATAATGTGACTAAGCATCATACAGGCGTACAGCTGTCGCTCGATGCCATTAAACAGTATACGGAAAATGGGGCATCTACAGAGAAGCTCAATCTCGGGATTGCCTTCTATGTGAAGTACTTTCGAATCTCACAGGGGAATCACGAAATGTGCTTGAAGGATCCAGTTGGCTGCCCCACGGGCTTGATGGAGGATCCCGAAACAGGTGCTGATCTTGGCAAGACCGGGGGCTTCAGTTGGCATGATTCTGTTCCTCACGAAGCTAAACTCTCATTCACCAAAGCCCTGACTGACGGCACCTATGACAACATTCGAGGCGGCTATTATTACTTTGATACTAAACAGAGTTTGTGGTGGACTTTCGACAATCCTGACGCCATATTAAAGAAGTTCCCGGTAATTGTGATGGACATGAAGCTGGGTGGCGTTTTTGCCTGGGGTCTTGGTGAGGATGCACCTGATTTCAAACATCTTCGAGCAGTAAATCTTGGCATCAAGAGAATAGAGGATGAGAAAGATGAGCTATAGTCTGTTGTTCTCTAGACCAAAAATGCCAAGACAGTGATGAACTCCTCATGGCTGTGGTTGCTTAGTTCATTCTAAACTTTGCGGATGTCATGTGGTCAATTGTCTGACTGGGGGGAGAGGAAGAGGGAAAGAAATGTCTGTTAGGAAATTTCGATCCGTCCTATTGCTACTATATAAGCAATTCGGCTGATTGTCGAGTGGTATGAATAGCTTGAAGCTAGCTACTCCGAACTTTAATGATGCCACGCAACGAAATCCAGGTGAACCAAGTCCGAGAACCAAGCCCGTAAAGGACATGCGCATTCAGTGTTTGGGAAGTATAAAGGGAGCACGCAAATGTTTTGCACATGACAATGTGTGCTGAGGCGCAGTAGATGGGAAACTCAGTCTCTCACCGACCTCCTGCGCCGATCACAATCGCTTTAACAAGCTGTATTCATCCATTTTGCCATTTTCAACAGCAAGTCAGCACCACGCGCATGCGTACTGCGACAGGATTGATGCAAGCGTACTGAACGGTGATTGAATTTCATATAGTCAATCTACGTGCACATGCTTGTTTGTGGCGGCTTCGTGGGCATCATTCAACGACCGAATCGTTGCAACTTACTCACAACATCAGACAAAGAAGACAAGAAACACGTTGGAAATCATGAAATTAATATTAAACCTTATGCTGTCAAATGATGGGGTATTTCCTCGCAAAACGCCAATGCTCGCCAATAATTAACAATTTCTGTCGAGACGGCGGTCCTTTCGTTGAACAAGAGATGTCGCCTGATTCCAGCTTGCGACTTTTCTGGTGCATTGCTTCCATGCGAATGTATAGCCTTTCTAGACTGTACCTAGCTTAAACTCCAGGCTTTGCTCCAGGGCCAGTGGCGGGGGCATTGTGCCCACGGCTGCGGAGCGATTCCAATGCATCGACAATTGTCAGGACCATGAAGATAGCCCTATCGCGTGATTGTTAGACGTCGGACTAGAGAGAATCGGGAGTCTTATTAGAGACTACTCACCAAAGGAAGAAGCCGAAGGCGACAGCAGCCTGCGTGGAGCCGCAAACAGAGTTGGCAGCACAGCTCCGTGGGGTTCCGATCCAGACGGCAAGGGCAATGGAGCCGGCGAACCAGAAGATGGTTGTGATAACATTTAGCACCAGTGCCGCCAATTTGTGGAAAATACTCGTCATGTAGATGGGCGTAACTCCGACATATGCAAGCACCAGAAGCGTCCAGACTGAGTTGAAGACCATGAAATTGACTCGGTCTGGCGAATAGCTATACCACCATCCTGAATATGCGCTGGCGACTGAGAAGTGCAGTTAGTACCGAGAGATGACCGGCATAATTGAGATTGAGAAACTCACCATATGCTGTCAGGCCAAGCTCAATGATTGCGAATACCGCAGCCACTGCGTGGAGAATAGAGAGCCAAGTAAGTGCCATTGTGAAGAGGTTGAGAACTGTGCGACTACTGTCGGAGTGCTTTAAAATAACGTCGGTCGCAAGTGGACGCGATTGAACGGTGGAAGATGTATAATAGGCCAAAGGTGAAACAGTACTTGAGCAAGGCGCGAGCAGGACATGTGAATGGACAGGAGAACGTTGATATATATCTAGCACTGAAACCTTACGCACAAGAAAAACTCGGCATAGCCTGATCCGCCCGCGACAATGACGTGAGCAGTCGACCACACGATAGCTGAAAACCTTGGCTTTTACTTGACAGGCAGTAGCTCGAGAGGCGTCAAGGAGAATGCAAAGTGGAGTCGACATCTAGATCGAATCGCCCATATTATTGTGCTTTGATTGGGCGCGAGCTATAACTCAGCCTGTGACTTTGATCCGTACGTGACACGATCTAATGCAAGCAAGAGAGTCAAATGACTGAGCAAACCCAACGACGTCACTTCAGGCTATGACGGCATCTCAAGATTTGTGGTGTGGCGCGATTGGGTGGTCGCATATTTGGAGCTTAGCCTAGTCTAGTGCACTTTGCATTGCCGACCAGGGAGCTTTACGTGGCTGCGTGGCCAGGGTAGCTCTGATTTACCTCCAGTCAAGGTCTTTGCTGGTTATCCTAGCCAAGATAGCGGGGGCTCTAGAGATTCTTAGAGCACCTAATGAAGCCTGAAAAACGGAAGTCGGCTTCACCGTCCGGGCTTGAGCCTTTGATTTATATTACTCCTTTTCAATGTGGAAATTGCTACGTACTGTAGTGCCATCATGAACGATTGCTGAGGTGTTTTTATCGGCAGGTTTGATATTTGAGTACTTCAGTATGGTCATAAAGACGGGTTTATAGGATCGGTCCGTGAAATCGCGATTGTGAAAATGCCTTGCCATGATTGATTGTGAACCACCCTACCACAGTCCAAGCCCCACCATGTGCGGTAGTTGAACTCTGCTTTGCTAATTTAAGCATATCCGATGCATAACAATTTGACTACAGTACGGAGCACAGTACTGGGTCGCAACTTTGGGGAAGAAGCTGCCTAGCTATCTAGGTAGGTATTCCCCGATGAGATACGGCTTTGACCTGTTTGTTGTCCTACGCGCATATTCGAAGCGCGTATGCAATGCTTAGACTAACCTAGACTACTATAAGGTATTGAGGACTCCCATCAAGATCGTGGCCGCTTGTGTCACTTTTCGGGACCTCCTGGGCATGATTTCGCTAATGGTCGTGTAACGACAGCCACACGGCCAACACGCCTGAACACGCATTCACATGCCAGAACAATGTTTCGCATAGCCAAACACTCATTTCCGTTCGGCCTTTGGTGGCAGGAAAGTGTATCGTGATTCAGTTCCTCTCCATTGAATTTCGAACCTTATAGTACAATTGACAATCAAGCTTAGCGTATATTGTCCCCTCATGTCCTCAGCGTGAAGTGCAAGCCACTCAGACGCGCGTTGTGATAGGCGGTTGATCATTGCGCATGTTTAAATAGATGCGGCATCCAAACAGCCAATATTGACAAGTCAGTCTATAAAACTAACAACTACGCCATCAACTTCAGCCCTGACAATCTTCAATTCAGCGCTGCAGAGCTCAGGGCTGGACTTTGAGCTCTGCTCTTGGGATCCGATTATTCCGCATGGCTCTGCGTGGCCCTGCGCAATTCAGCGAATAGGGGTCTTACATTGAGACACGTGACTATGCTCATCGAGAGATCTCGGGATGGTATGACCGAAAGTCGCACGAATGCAATTGAATTTATTGCCCACGTGCTTCATAGATAACGAGCATACAGCGACCCAACAGACCGGCGTCTATCCACAAACGTTTGCCAACCTGCCTGTTATATAGCGTGTTCCCATGCTGCCAAGGCAGCTGTTCTTCAGCCACCGATAACTTCTCCATGTTGGGGCCAGCTCAAAATTTAAATCCGCACTTGGCATCATGAATCTATCCGCAACTGACTCCGACTCTCGCGGGATGGCTGGGAAGCACGTTCAAAGGTGAGGAAATTCCTTGGCGCATCAACGGGCGCATATTATCCCAGTCAGATCATGCGTTGCATTCCTGATACGATTGGCTGCTCCGTTGATGACAAAAAACTGCCTTGTATGTAATGATAGTGATGTAGCAGTATTAATGTCGCATGCCCGTGGCACGAGACCGCGCCTGTTCCTAACCTCCCTCCTGTCTCTCAGTTGCTACTTACCTGGGACGCTTATAGGCCTCTGGCCGCTTCCAATTCCTGCCATTCTTTTCACCTCGGTGCGCTATTAACATCATGTTCAGCAAGGCCCTCTTGCATGCCGGCATCATTGCCTTTGCCGAGGTGTCTGCGTTACCATCTCCGCTCATGCCATGGAAGCCTTCATATCAAAAGTACACAAATGTAGAGCTTGGCCCACGTCCCTACTACCTCGTAAATAATATGGACGTCGGTTGGTTGAAGGACAAACTATCTTCGTGTCTCAACCAGGAGCAGCGGCCCACCAAGTTCTCCATCGGACATCGTGGAGGCGGTTGTTTGCAATTCCCAGAGGAGACTTCTGAATCAATTGCTGCTGGAACACGGATGGGAGCAGGTATTCAAGAGTGCGACGTAGCGTTTACGAGTGACCTCGAATTGGTTTGTCGCCACGATCAGTGTGATCTCCACACAACAACCAACATTGTTGCCACGGAGTTAGGAGCCAAGTGCACTCAGCCGTTCACTCCAGCAAAGAACGGAACAGCTGCCACAGCCAAGTGCTGCACCAGTGACATTACCTTGGCAGAATTCAAGTCGCTTTGCGGCAAGATGGATGGCTCCAACGCGTCTGCCACCACACCGGAGGCCTTCCTGCACGGAACGCCAGCTTGGAGGACTGATCTATACGCAACTTGTGGTACCGTCCTGTCACACAAGGACTTCATCGGAATTATCGATAGCCAAGGTCAAGATTTTACGCCAGAGTTGAAAACGCCACCAGCTGCCGTCCCCATGCCGTTCAATGGCAACTTTACTCAAGAAGCGTTTGCCCAGAAGCTCGTGGACGAGTATCGCGAAGCTGGTATTGCCTTTAGTCGGGTGTGGCCCCAAAGTTTCCTTTTCGCAGATGTTGCATATTGGCTCAAAAACGAACCAGAATTCGGAAAGCAGGCTCTGCTTCTTGATGAGAGCGGTGACACCCCCGAGACCTTTCAGGAAGCTATTGCGAACCTGACATTCTACAAAGAACAGGGCGTCAACCTCGTTGCGCCTCCCCTGCCGTATCTGGTGACACTCAATGCGAACAATACTATCATTCCCAGTAAATATGCTACAGAAGCTAAAAGACTTGGACTGGATATTATCACCTGGTCTCTGGAGCGCTCCGGGCCTATCGCCAACGTCGGCAAGACGCCCGACTACTACTATTCGACATTCTACAACGGAACCAACAACGATGGCGATATCTACAAGCTAGTCGATGTTTTGGCCAGAGAGGTTGGTGTTCGTGGAATCTTTTCAGACTGGTCTAGTACTGTCACATATTACGCCAACTGCTTCGGGATTTTCCCTTGATGTATAGATTTAGTTTACATACGAACAAGAAATTAGGGAGATCTCATTTGAAGGCATGATCAACTATACATTATTACGGAGGCTCGCTGTATTCAGTCACGGTGTGCAGTCATGTTCCATATAGTCAATCCTCTTGCACTTGACCACCCTTCTTAGTTCAGGCTCATTAAGCAACAGTTGGGTCAGAATCTCTTATACGTTCGCTTGGAAAAACGGTGATACTAGAAGTGAGAACGTACTACCCTTACGGTTTCCAGTCCCATTGTAAGCAATCATCATGCATCATTCTTGGTCGAGATTATATTAATATTGTTGCGCTGGAGAGAGAAGACCTCTCTCTAGCGCCCACTGTACTATCTAGCATCTACGATCTACCCAAGTGTATATTTGGCCGTGACCAGGTCGCTGAAGCTCCACCGTTGAAGTGTTGTTCTTTCAAGAAATATGGAGTTGTGTCTCGTGAGACAACCCAATTCAAGTGCGAAGCAGGTTATGAATTAATTCGATAGTTCGATAGTTCTACAAGACCACCCCAAGACTTGAAGGCACTCATGTGACAGTTTTGCCATTTGTTATTCTGATTTTGTCAAATCGTGTTATCCAGAATAAAGCTCGTGTTGATGCAATACCAGCCGGAAATTTTGTGATCTTGGGCAATGGAAATTGGGAATAGCTGAATGCAGATTGTGTGCCCGAAAAAAAAAACTCATTTCCAAAAAAAAAAAAAAAAAAAAAAAAAAAACAGGGAAAGAAAGGGAATTAAAGAACTAAAGGGGGAAGGGGGGGAATGGGGGTCGCTACCCCTAATAAAGCAATACCAACTCTACCACATACCACTACGCAGTGGATATACGAAGCCACATCTCAGTGGCGTTGTGCTGCCCTCTGATCGGAACGTCTGACCTAGACCTCTACAGACGCCGTGCCATTGTTCTTCTCTTGGCTCTTAGCCAGATCGACCTCCAATCTGTGCCAGGCAGTTGCCAGATTACCTCTGAGATTGTAAATACTCGTGTAGGATTGTGGCTGGGTATTGTATGCCTCGTCGGTCGCCTTTACAACAAACGTAGCTACGCCTGCTTGAGTATCTGTAGTTTCTGGAAGTGCACCTTGATACGTCCAACGTTTCCAGCACCACTTCTTAGTTCCCGCCTCTTGATGGGTGTCGTCCAGGAAAGTGGCTTGACCCCAAGTTTGGCCACCGTCAAGGCTCACATCAACGCGCTGGATTTCTCTTCCTCCGCCTGAGTAGGCATAGCCTTGTAGTTCGACCGGGGGAGCAGTACCGTCGCTCTTGCACGCGGATCTGAACCTCGCTCTAGTGATGGCACTCGTGACAGGCATCTCTTGAATGGATTTGTATTTGTCCCAGTCCAAGTTTTGAGTCTCGTTGGGTCCAAAACACTTATAGTCTTTGCGTTGCCAGCTCGTAGTGCTCTCTTCATCCGAGATGACTATCTTGCTCAGCCACTTGACGCAGCGGGCAGCCACTGTTCCGGGAACAACCACTCGCACGGGAAAGCCGTGGTCGGGCGGCAGAGGCATATCGTTCATCTTGAAAGCCAATAAGACATCTCCACGAGGATCAAGCGCAGCATGTATGGGAATGCTTGCACCATAAGCCTCCAACGCCGAGAATTGGACATGCTGCGCATCCTCGGGAAGGTCGTTGATGAGCAAACCAGCGTCAGCCAGCACGTCTCGAAGGCGGACACCTTCCCACTTGGCACAACTAATGGCTCCAACACCCCACTGGAGGCCGTTCGTTTTGCGGGCATACTCGGTCATGTTCTTCCGCCTGTTACCTGAACATTGCATAACAGCCGTGACGGTATGCTGCTTGAACTTTGACTTCAACTCGCCAACTGTATAAGTCTTGTGGTCACCATCAGGAAGCTCGATCGTGATGCTATGAGCATCGCCCGTAGGGTCCTCAATGACAGGAACCCACATATGATTGCGCACGTAGAAGACTTCATTTGGGGTGAGAAAATCTCCGGCCAAGTTGTCACCTGCTGTTTCTGCATTGCAGGGTTTCGAGGTCAACTGAAGCAACCGCTCATCGCGCTTCGGATCGTTTACGAATGGGTCCTCTACCGTATCCATACGTGGACGGCCGTCTTCCAGATCGTCCGGATGTACGCTGCCCACAACATATTGTTCGAGAATTTCTCGTACGTAGGGAGTCTTGTGAATGGAGAAGATATCCCAGTATGGCTCGATACTTCCACCAGCAGCACGTAGTATAACCTCACCGCCGGGGTGTGCTGGTACCCAGTCCGTTATGTCGTACACCTTGTCTTCGTGTATAATCCAAGGTCTCGCTGACTTGGGTCCGTGGATTTTTATTTCGGACAGCCGAAAGCGTGGCAAGCCATCACCACATGGGCCTTGTGTCTGGGCATCGGATATGATTGGATCGTTATTGTCACTCAAAGCTTCGATCGGGTTACGGGATATTGGTTGAGCGACTGAAAACAATAATGTGAGGATACCACCTCCCGCAACAAGTGCCTGGAACGGGCGATACTTGGCAGGTTTAGCGGCGTTTTTGGGGGGTTCTTTCTTGGCAGCCCTGAAAGCTGACCTTTGAAGATTGGCGCGAGTCGAGAATGCCCGAGGAGGAGAAGAACAGCTTGCCTGCCTCAGCTCGACCCGTTGGACGTTCTGGGATGCGGTAGGACGGGTGCTTTGAGCTAGCTTCGGAAGTGCGCGGCGATAGAGTCGCGGTAGCGATTGCGCCATAGTTGGCATCGATTGCGACATACTGATTTTGTGGAGAATGTGCTGGCAGTCAGGAAACTTCGACAAGGGGCTGGCATTAGCATACATATTCCATATTCTCGAGTGTAAGTGCTAACCATAGGAGCTCTTACCAACAGTTCAGCAATGGTCGATTGCGCTCATCGCCAATGTTTGATCCAACCTACTGCGTTGGAAGGTTCGAACGTGGCGGACGCGACGCCTTGTCCAACCTCGGTTGCGTGGGTCTGTTGAACCCCTGGGCTTTCTCTCACCGCACAATGGAGTGCTACTGATGCGCCGGAGCAATTCTCGGAGGCCGTGATAAAGATGAGAGGCTATCGAGAATCTTTATCGGAGACAACTCTCCAGGGCCCAAGTATCTTGAAGTCGACTGTGGACTTCGGGAACTACAGCCACGACAGCAAGAGCGTCGCATCACCAGATAAAGGGCAGAACAAAGCCTGGACTAGGTCGGTGCACATTTAATGTAAGCAGATCAATCGCGCCACTGGAAGTTGTGCAAGATTGACATTCCTTTTCTGTGGCAGAAGCCCGTCAAGAGGTGAAGCTACGGATCTGTACATGACACATTGAGACGGTGACTGGTCTTTTCTAAGTCAGGCCCGTCGACGGATTCTGCCGCCAATTTCAGGGACCTTGAGGTTTGTAGCGGTTATCTACGGTCCACTCTTTTAACCCAATTGAGCAGGTCTCACTTCAAGTTTACGCGGCGGTTGGGCGATTGGAATTAGTTATCCTCATTCGTTGCAAAGATTCGCTCCTTGTCGAGACAGGAAACATGCTAGTTCGGTCCCTTCCTTGGAGGATTGAATTACACAAGTCATCGGCACGATGGCCACTTGCGTCTTTTGTTCTTTCAGAGAGAACTACACTTTATTCTGTTAGCGGGGAATCGTAAGCCATTATCCCCCATCAAGTGATACGGTTCGTCTGAAGGCGTGGTGTCATCAGCATTCACCTCTGAGATGGAGGGACTTGGTATGTAGCACAGTATCATGCCTGAGGTAGGTGTGACAAAATGATTCGAATGCGTTGAAGGCAGAGCGTCGCCATTGAGCCGGCAGTGGGGCTTGAGCCATAGCATTTTGAATAGCGAAACTCGACCTGTAGGCACAGCATGGAACAGCACTACGCCGTCGTTGTTCGGCATTCACCCGCAATCCGCATGCAGATCCACGTTCTATGAATATTTTGGGATAAGGACTGAGAATTCCATACAACGGCCGAAACTGCTAACAACGAGCAGGTAAGGAGAAGACGTATGCTGCCGCACCTACTATGACTGCGTTTGAGGCTGCTTCCGTCGACCGCTAGACTCGCTAGATACACGATGTTGCGTGTCACCTGAACGGGTACAGCACGCATACAGTACGCGTTTTTCGATACCGCTGAACTTAGCCTACTCTCATAGGGGAACCATTGTGCTTGCTTATATTCAAGCCATAATACGCAGGCTTTTTCCAAATTGAGACCTATAATATCAGTCATTCGCGATCGAGGCAATGCACCAAGGTTGGCCATTCTCCGAGTTATCAGTCAAATCGCAATACATATTTTCCAGTATCAACAATAGCTGAGGAGTCTTAAGTAAACCATTCACACGAAGCAGACAGCTTCACTCAAGAGCGCGTTATTACACCAGGGAATTTAACGCATGAAGACGCCATTTTTCAACGGAGCTTGCAGAAATTACATGGCTTAAAAGCGGTCGAAACAACAGTTGCAAATTTTCGCTACAAAGTTATGAAGCGACTAGAGATGGTTGGTTTCGATTCATGCACGATGTCGGGTGAATAGGTTTCTCGTTGGGTTGCGAACTCAAGTAACTTAATACCAGCAATGAAAAAGAGCATTTCTAATGAAAGTCAGTGCAGTAGTGATTCGCAGACACCTAACCGTGGTGCTTCAACGGAATGGCGTTAAGCTTCGTGCTATTCGGGAATGTGGGAGCGCGCATTGAGGTTGCGTAGTGATCCGCACAAATGTCTATCCAGACCTAGGTGTGGTAGGATGTATCAGAAGCTGTCGTGAGCTACCTAACAGGCACATACATTCACTGGAAGAGTCGGCCGGATGTTTTGGAGTCATCGGAAGTGTAAAATAAAATTTACGTCTAAATCGGATCTTTTCCTTCGCATTTCCGACTACTGTGGTTTGATTCACTTTGGGACTGGCATACATATGAGTCTAGAAGCCTGATTTCGAGCCTGCAATCGGTAGAATCATCACACGCGGCTACTACGACCGCTCACCAAGCCACATCCGGGGAAAGAGACATCGGTGACAAGATGGCACCAATGGAGATCCCGAGAGCTGGAGCATTACGAAACTGTGGTTTAGACCCTATCTATTAGCACTGGCTTGCATTCGTTGGTGCGACTGAGCCGCTTATGTATGCTCGAAGCTTATCGTGCCGCGATTTACCTAAAAATAAGGCGAAATGCACAGCGGCTGGATCGAGACTGGATTGAAATCGTCCATCTTTCGCATCTGAGGTCACAAACTTCAAACTCTCATTGTCCAATCTCTTAACTCACGGCAATTTTCCAATTGCGGCTGTCAAGCATTTCGTCGTTTTTGGTTGAGATAAAAGTAACACCCTAATATCGTGGAATTGGATTGCTCACGGAATCAACAAGAAAGGGGTTACGTCTGTGGAACCAATGGAATTCCAGTCATCTGATCCACGCCAAATGGAACCATATCAAGAACCAGTCGCGGAGAACATCACTGGTCTGTTTGTGGGCCTGAGTACCGCTTGTGTACTCTCAAGTCTATGCAGTTCGTGTCCGCATTTCAGCTGTCATTCAAACGAGCTAACTTGTCTCGAAGCTCATAAGTATCTCAGCGTTAAGGAGTGGAAGAGGTTGCCATGGATTATATGGCGTATGAGGAGGCCCTTATACACACTGTTAGAAGTCCCGCTAACTACTCGTAGTTGTCCTCTTTATATATCTCTCTTCGGTGGTGTTTGTGTTCGGTTTTGTGATTATTCAATACGGTATCGAAGCTAGTTCTAGCTCCGCGGCATGCAGTTCTCCCAGTCTCCTTTGCTTAGGAGCATACCTAGCTAGTAAGACAGTGAGTATGAGAGCGAAGACGCCTAAAAACTGGGTCACTAAACCCTTCTAGTTTATTTACCTGTTCTTGGTCGATAGAGCCGTAAGTGAGACATTAATCTACTCGTAGGCAGAGTGTCCTGACATATCCTAGCACATCATCCGTAGAACGACCAAGAGCCGTTCGAAATCCAAATTGTATATATGGAACTGCTTTGGGATGGTTGGTAAGGCACCGGTGCTTATGTTCATTACGTCAAACAATGTTAATTTGCTGTCAAGCCATTTATACTATTATTGGTACCTTAGGCCTTATTTAGTAAGTTACATAGTTCATTCGCACAGCTATGCCCTACTAACGTGTAGATTAGCCAGAAATACCGCTTAGAGAATGAAATGCACCATTGGCGTAAAAAGTAACTTCTGGTGTCTATGATTATTTTCGAAACGCTCGCCAATGTGAATCCTGGGAAACATGCTGACCATTGCCGGTTATTAACCTATACCAGGTCTATCTAACAGTATTATTCTTGAGGCCCTTTATGAGTAGGTACTTTATATGTACACATCAACTAACGATACCAAGACACATCAAATACGTACTCTGTGCGATGGCAGCTCTGGAAACCCGACGAGGAAAAAGTCTGGGAAGGCGCCGGTCCGGTCGCACAACCTCCAAATGTCCAACTGCAACAACTCGCCTGGAGAACCATCATAGGCTGCCTTGCTACCATTGCTATAAGTGTAACGTGCGTGAGGTCGCAAATATCCCCTCAGACAATTTGCTAACAGAAGGTTGAATCAGAGTTGTTCTCATGGCACTGGATGGTGAAGCTACCTGGTTCTGCCTCATGTGCTGTAAAAATGGTAGTAAGGATAGACTAGCAAATTGGTCGGCTTCTACAACGATCATACTAACACGATTTTGGTCTTGGCTTCGGCGTCGATCATCCACTGGGTGACATCCACGGATTAAATCACCATCAAAAAGACTTCCAAGAACAGATTTGATGGTAAGCAGAAAATCCGGATAGTCCGTTTGATTGGCCCCTCACTCTTTCGTCCACGAAATCCTGGCCCGGACAACAAGCGAAGTCAAAAGGATGAGGTTTGAGTCTTTACTTCTTAATTTTGGTCTATCGCGACCAGACCTAAGCAACCTCACACCAAAAATACACTTTATGAAGAATTATGTCAATAATGTAAATACACACGAGCTGTGGAGTTCCAACAGTGAAGTTCAATATCTAAATGGCGTGCGCACCTCAATAATCGTAAGAGGGCGCAAACCAGGAATGCTTTAGTGTTAGACGATGGCATAGACCTAGATTGGCAGGAATAAGCCTTAATATCTGCGACACACTGCCAGTACTTTTACCATATTCAACGTATGTTATCAGAGGAACCAACTCGAAAGCAGGGATGGTTGGAAGGAAACTGGGGAGCTAAGGAGCTGGCGTAAAGACATTCACAAACAAAGGCTGCTGCTAGTATTAAAGAGCAAATCGATATCTGGGCTTGGATAAGTAGAGGGGAAGGCTTTAATTGTGCCTGGGTTGTGACCCTCTTGTAAGGTACTGGTAGCTTGAGCCCTCTCCCCTAGATTCGATGTATTTTTGTGATCTTCTGCTATTTTGGAGTGCTGCCAGATATTTGAAAAAAATAAAAATTTTAACAATCAACTCATTTGAAATTCGTGCAAGATGACATCCACATCTTGCATATACATATCTAGGTCTGTCTACACTGCCAGGTACACGAGGGTGCATAGAATGAACAGCTTCCAGAGACGACAACTTCTAAACAGGACTTCAGAGACACGGTTAATTATTAGGATAGTCGTCGAGCATGTTGCTCTCAAACTTGTGCTCGTTATCACTCCATCGCTTAAAATAACGTCCTGCAATCTCCATGAGGATATCCGATGGTCGCGCATCGAGTATCTCAATGTTTTCCTCTGCAACATACCGTGTACTCTTGTCTTCGGCACTGAACGAGGGTCAGTCATGTACAGCACGTGGAAAATCCAGGATAATGGACTTACACTACGTTGTAGAAGGGTTGCGACCGGCCTCTGGGCAAATCATCCACACGCATCTGACTGATCCAGTGAGCAGGCTGCATGCATTGAGCATCCCACCCAATCACAAAGCCACGATACTTATATTGTTTGTGCCTGAAATAGTGACCAATACTGAATTGCACTCCCGCGTTCGAAGTGTCACGTAGCTTGGCAATTCTTTCTGAGCAATCCTCGTCGCGGGAGGCGGCGAGCATGTCTATCAATACCTGGCGCTCTCGTTGCTGTTCAAATAATGTTGGTACCAATTCCATCAGATGAATGTCTTCAGGATAATGAGACTGAAAGTGCTGAACCAAGTACGGAATGAACTGGCGGCGTCGAGTGAAAGCTGCGCGATCATCCGAGTCGCCCAGGATGACCATAACCCATAGCATAGCGTACCAGGCTGTTTCAACGTCTGGGTATGTCGAACCATTGGTAGGTCGATGGCGAGCCTCTTCGACTGAGACCATAATATTACGTCCAGTGCGCAGTGTCATTTCAAGAATTGATGCAGGCCCAAGATAACTCACGTGCTCACTGGCTGGAATGCCCATCTGAGTTAAACGGAGTTGCAGCTGATCACCAGCTACCTCTTCGCTAGACCGCCATGGATCCATGTACATATATCCCTGCTGAGCGTTAACCTGTACCTCAGGGTCGCGAGCATCGCCGTCGAGTGTCCGGTCGGTCGGAGCTTGAATCACGGTATGGACGTGCTGTGGATAGTTCGATGGGCTGGCGTTTATACCAAGCCTCTGGGCAATCGCGCAATAGAGAGCGACTGATTGGAGAGGAAGTGATGAATGTGCCCTGAAAGCCGTGCTCAAGAAATTATTTTGTAGTGCGTGGTACTCCTGGTCTTCAGACAGGCCCAACAGGTCCTGAGCTCTCATGATGTCAGCTATCAAAATAGCCCTCTCCCGAATAGAGAGTGTATTGAAGTCTTGTCTGAAGGCCTGGATCTTGTGCGCCAAGCTGTCTAGTTGGCCTGAAAGATCGTCGACACCCAGGTTGTATTCTGAATATACGAACAGGTCATATGCGCCAAGTGCCTCATCGATCCGCATCGAGTCCCCTCGACCTAGTCTTGTCCAAATGTCAAGAGCTTTCGCGCGCCGTATTTGTCCCAGTATGGCGCCGGCATAATATCTTCGTGCAAGCACATAGTCGTCCGAGTCTGGTGTAGCCGTCCGCATCCTAGCAAGCATATCCACGGCGTCGGGTCCATGGCTAGCAATCAGCTCCATCCGTTGGTATCGATATCGCTGTGTCAGGAGCATCTCATCAAAGACATCCAGCAAAGCGCGATCGTTCTTGCGACGCCCATTGAACAAGTCTCGCCACTCGGTTTGCGTTGGAGGGAGTACTAGCTTTTGCGCCAATTCGTGTTTTCTGTGCCACCCCTTCCATGTCTCCACGCAATGCCGTCTCCATACTAGCGGTGAATTTATAGCCTTATCTGCCTGCTTGCAACTTCGACCGAGGGCGATCGTTTCGGAGGGATTCAGGTATTGGACAATAGCATCGAGAAGCTCTTCGGGAAGGCGTAGCAGGCCCGGTGTGCCTTGCATCGAGAATGTACTCGTCATTTTGGCTACGGATGTCGCGGGTGTTACAATGAAACATATAATGACATAGGTAGGAGACGACAACCACCCGTTTCAGATATTCGAGGATTCATCCTATACATAGCTACTCCTTAAGATGCGAACTTGTCATGGTGACAAACGGAGGGACAGGCAGCTGAAATGCCGATGACGACTGCGGGTCTCAATGCAGCCTGTGTGGGGCAGAGCCATTGTGCCTTGTGCCTCTTGACACAACCCACATGCACGCTGCCCGCTGCATTATAAGATATAGTCTTCGAATTTGCGGACCGCGCAAAGGGAGACAACGCTCGCTGAGTCGCTATCAGTCTAGAAATACTTCGATACAACGTCGGCCGGTGTTTCCCTGTTGCCTTGTTTCTTTATTCAGATCCTCTTTTGCGAGTATGATGGGCTAATCCTAGACCAGGCTACCACATATAGACCAACCTCTCCTACTCCACTACGAACCCTGGACTATCAGGAGTTTCGCGTCAAACTCATCCCTTTACAATTGACGACACACTTAACCGCACCCACATGTTCTCGTCGATGAACTGACTATAACTGGTCGAGTCCCAAGGCTTCATTGGATCGACCAGCTGAAAATCAAACTCTCTGACCATCTGCGCAAGACCACAACGTTAGGGTATGCTGTGGGCCGGAAAGATGTGCAAGATGAGTACTTACCTCGAACAGCACCTTGTAGATCTCCATGAAGGCCACCACTTTTCCGGCGCACATCCACCGACCGTACCCAAATACCATTTCGGTGTTACGCTCCATCTCTGCTCGCTTTATTTCATCGACTTCCATGAACCGCTCCGGACGAAAGAAATCCGCGTCATCGCCAAACAATCTCTTCGACCGCACCAACGATCCTGTATTCATCCCTATAGCTGTGCCCCCGGGGATGAACTTGCCGTGTATGACATCGCCCTCAGGAGGTACAGACTTTGGATACAGACCTGGTGCCGGCGGCCTCATACGGATTCCCTCATATACTACAGCCTATACGAAGTGATGATCAGCAGCGAAAACGCTAAGAATGAGCCTGTATCTACACGACGGAGAAACTTTGAGTATTTAGGGCTCCTCACCTGCAAATACGGAATCGCCCTTGTCTGTTCGTAGGTTATTGGATATGATGCTTTGCCAGCTTGTGTTACTTCAGCGATGGCTGCTTTCAACTTGTGCATGACACGCGGAGAGGTCATAAGGTAAAGCATGGTCGTACGAATCACACAACTTGTGTTTTCGAATCCCGCAATGATCATGAACAGGGCCTCGGTCATGCATTCTTGCCTAGTCAACCCATGGTCGATAAACGATCCCTGTACATGATTAACGCATAGTCACAGCTTGCAGGTTGTTCTTAGAAGTGACTCACAAGCATGTCTCTCTCCTGTTCTGCATCTGGTGCAAATCGTTTGGACACAACTTCTTCGGCTACACTGATGATTAAAATTAGCATGATCGCAATCAATTCTGAATCGTGACAATGACGCCCTAACTCACCCCATGAGCTTGCCTAGGCCCGTGAGATCCGTCGCCTTGGGACCGAAGTACTTCAAGAACCACGACGAGAACAACAACTTCCGGATGTAGGGAATGTCTAGCGCGACGGCCAGCGCAGCCCAATTGTCCCTTACACCACCCAGGAAACCATATACATCCGAGTCGGTCTTCAGATATCCAAACTCTTGGCCAAATGCCGAACGCGTAATAACATCCATACTGAAGAAACTGGTTATCTCGGCCAGATCCACCGGCTTCGTTAGATATGTCCGATGAAGCAGGCCAACAAGCGTGCGGATCTGATCGTCAATTCCTTCCTCGAGGGCGGGAATGCCCTTGCCGGCATATGCTCCTGCAATCTTCGCCTTGAAGCGGTCGTGGGTATCTGCTTGTAGCATGGTAAAGACGTTGTCGTGGTATGGATCAAAGCGCGCAGCAATGTACCATGCATCACGGCCATATGAGCTGCGTGCAGCATTGATGCGACGAAGTACTTCGGGATCATCCGTCGAGAGCTCGTTGGGACCAACACGGATGAGTGGTCCATACTTCTCGCACATGTCTCGGTACACCCACCATTGCTTGCCGCTCATCGCAGTGCGTGCCAGCCATATATACGAAAAGGAAGCAAGACGTGGGCCAGGGATATGACGCAGGCGGTACCAAGTGGTCAATATCGTGGCGAGGTAATAGAGGATTGCGGTAATTGGGACTACGAACCAAACCTGGTCAAGTAGCCACTCCAGCGCCGTTGCATTCATGGCGATACCTCACCCTGAAGGACTCAAGATACACTATTCAAGAGCCGCCAAATGTTCAAACTAAAGAAACATTAGCTGCTCATGTGATGGCTGAGAGCGACACAAAAAGTAGGCTTGGCACAGGAATGGCAAATACATCAAGATAAGCATTTTGACAAGGTGAGGGGTCAAATGTACCTTGAAAGCAACAGTGCCGATCGCCTAAGCAAGCAAAGATCTAACAACACTAACCTAGAGATTGTATACTTCTAAGGGCAGTTCCGATAAAGCTATTACCTAGGTTAGTCAAGTATAACAGTCCATTAACCTTAGACTATAACAAGTACATCCTAAGTTTTATCATAAATGCACAAGTGAACAACTCCCATCAAAACAACACTGCTAATCCGGGATTGCAGACCTTCATGGTGCTACGGTGTTGAATCACATTGATTATAACGTACAAAGAACCCACATGTCTTATCCACACTGTGACAATTGTGGAAATTAGAATTACGCTAAACCACAAAATCACACATCATTCAAGAATATCACCAAAATCAGGCGCACCAAGGGCCGATCTTGTTGGCAAGCTACCACAAAATGAAGAAATTCGAGCGCCAGGCTCAGTCGCAGAGGAAACACGGCCCCCTCGTGGCCAGCAGTGTGTCGAAAGCGCCTCCCCCTCCACCAAGGAGCCGGCCAGGATGGACAGGGCCGGGATACGTGAAGAAAGTGGCCCGGAAACATGACCTCTCTTCCGCATCGCCGGCTTCGGCGCCGAGCATTCAGGATCAGCTTCTATCCCTCGAGCTGCACCAGCTTATGCTCAATGTTATTCAGGATACGTTTCCCGCATCCCATGATTACGAGGCGTTGAAACCAGTATTGTCCCACGTCAACAATGCTTTACTCCGGAAAGACTTCGAGACAGCTTTTGGGGCAGACACGTTTCTGGAGGCTTATGCTGTTCGTTGGAGCCCCAGTCGGGCGTTGGCGTATTCAAACCTACTAGCACAGGTATGCGAGCAGACAGCGGATGGTTCGTGGGTGCGACGGTGGACCGGGCTTGGAGGAACGACGTCAGCAAAAGTGTTGTGTTTCGGAGGGGGCGCGGCGGAAATCGTGGCTTTTGCTGGATTGTTGCGTCATGAAAAGAAAAGCTCAGCTGGCAGAGCAAGTGCTTCACCAGCAGCCCAGCTTGAACAAGTCACAGATTCTCCGCCTCACGGCGCCTATCTAGACGTGCACCTGGTTGACGCAGCAGACTGGTCCACGGTCGTCTCCAAGTTGCAGGTTGGGTTGACAACTCCCCCAAATCTTTCAAAGTACGCGAGTGCCGCTGCCCGCGCCTCGAATGCAGCTTTCCTCTCGCTACAGGCCTTGCAGCCAAATTTTACCAGAGCCGATGTTTTTGTTCTCACCTTAGAGGATTTGCGGTCTCTGGTTGGATCTGAAGTCCCTTTCATCACTCTATTTTTCACTTTGAACGATCTTTATACCGTTTCAATTCGGAACACCACGGCTTTCCTGCGGAGACTGACCATTGCTGTACCGAAGGGGAGTCTGTTATTGGTGGTTGACCATCCAGAGGCAGCATCCTCGGCTGGTAGCGCCCAGGAGGGAGATGAGAAGGGGGACAAGAATAAGGAATACCCCATGAGTTGGCTCTTGAATAAGGCGCTGTTGCCGACCATGGAAAAGGTCGAAGATGGCCAGGAGAGGCTGCAGCCTCTGTGGAAGACGCTTATTCATGATGCAAACAGGCTGTACAAGCTTCCCGACAAAGCACTAAATTACCCAGTCAGTCTTGAAAACCTGAAACTTCAGGTGCATTTATTCGAGCGTCTGTAATGGATCGAGTTAAACATTTCAATATCATTTACCGGCATCGATATAGACGTTAGCATCGCAGAATGATCCAAGCTAGGCCCAAAGAAGCCATCATGAAAGCTCTGCTAGCGTGCAGACCCTGAGCTTTTCATCATGGACATGCGGCACTGTTTTTTCTCTCTCGCAATGGCATCAGTCAGGGGGGTGGATGTAATGTTCGAAATACGCCACGCTGGCGCCAAGGGTTTCGGTGTTTTCGCATCTCGATTGATACCGCGCGGCAGTCGCATCCTGGCCGAGCGAGCACTGCTTTCAATCAACATTCACAAGACGTGCATCCTTACTGCAGCTGAACAACTCTCCTCCAAGGATCATGGAGCATTGATGCGCCTGTCACTTAATGAGTCCAAGCATTTTCACAGTCCCGGCCTCATTTTCGCAGCATGGCAGGCTTTCTCCTTCAATGCCATGGCGATCGGCCAGGGAATGACTATCCTCAACATATTCTGTAACAACAACTTTGCCCTCTCAGATGAGCTTGGCACACGAGCCGTCTTCCCGACAGCGGCGCGCATCAACCATTCATGTGTACCGAACTCACAAGGGAATTTCAACGAACTACTGGGAAGTTTCACTGTGCACGCGACCAGGGACATTGCGACTGGAGACGAAGTCACCATATCGTATCTGCACAACGAACTCGGCCTGCGCGCAGCGCGCCAAACCAAACTTCAGGAGGGCTATGGCTTTCATTGCGGATGCGAATTGTGTTCCGGAGGCTCTCAGAGACGTATGGAAAGCCGTGAACGTCGCACCGAAATCAAGACCAAGCTGAAAGCTTTCAGTGCGCAGCAATCCCTATTGCATGTTCCAGACATGGTCTCACACAAGCTCGCGCTTACGCAACTTATTATTGATACCCACGAGAAGGAAGGGCTGGCTGGGAGGGCGTTGGCCTCGTTGTACTCGGCAGCAGCGGGGCTTGCAATGCAATTGAACGATTTTGCTTTGGCAACGACATTAGGCACCAGAGCATTGGAATTAGAGAAAGACGCTGTTGGTATAGACAGTTCTTTCTACGAAGCTAGCCAATTAGCATTAACTCAAATGAGTTTTCCAGAAGGAAAAGCTCTAGCAAATCTGCCATATGATGTTACACCAGAACTATCATATGCTCCTTGGACATAATAAATCTTAGGCGGCTTTAAGTTAAGCCGAAATTGAACACCGAGCCAAATCGTGTAAAGGACTTGATGAAACTTGACTTTATCTTTATAACTGTTAAACCAGGGCTACTGTCTTGTCCCATGGCTATAGGCCTTACGATGAGCTCGCAGGCTCTTTTGTGGACTGATCAATAGATAAAGAGTGAAAAGGATGGGTTCGACAACCAACATATTATTAACTGATGATGACGAGGCATTCGTCGTCATCTCGAAGGTATCATTGCAAACCAACGACTAACTGTAACAAACGATGAAAAAGCACGAGAAAGAAAACTATCTAAAAAGGCCTATCGCTCAAGCCTTATATTGATCAGACCGAGAACAACTCCACCAAAGGCCGACACGTTCCACTTGGCCCTTCCATCATAAGGGTGCAGCTAACACTCACTACTTCAGTTTGCATTTTGCTATATAGCTTTACAAATTTGAATTTAAGGAGGAACCGTGGTATTAATAAATAATTAGAAGTTAATAGCATTTTCTACGAAAAGGGATTAAAAATGCAATAATGTCAGCAGCAGACCATTGCGTTAATAGTCATAAGACTAGGTTAGATCAATTTAACCTTATGTTGGAATATACTATTCGCGGTCTCGTACGACGGTTGACTACGTAGTATAGGTAGTCACCGGCGTGCTGGCAGTAAGCCACCACAGCCACGACGTGGCTGTCGGCAGCCAGCAGCCGTGCGGGTGAACCCCAAACCCCTATCTATAGACCACGTACGAGGGGAAGAATCCCTTCTTCTCCTTCGTACGATAGCGCTGAATAGATCTATTTGTCGCCCAAACTGTACGGAAAGAAATGAATGGAGAAGCCATTCCACACTGATCAGTGTTCACTTGGCTGTGAACGCAGATTGGCAAGAATGAAGAGACGGCGTTATCTGAGTACGTACGGTAGTACGTAGCGAAACGTCGTGCTTAATCCTACCCCCGACTTCTTCGTGCTGAAGGTGTTAATGTCTGGAAGATGTCCTCTCCCTTCCGCACGAATAACGAACGAGTAGAAGACGTGTAGAGATTCTTCGTAGTGCGAAGGTGTTAATGTCTGCAAGAAGTCCTCTCCCTTCCGCACGAACAAAGAGCTACACGTGCGTGCCATTACGCATCGACAATAGGTTCATTATCTCCCGCAGAACGCGTAGCTACCGGTGCGCGCGACACGGGCGATAACCTTGGACTACGACAAGAGTAGAAGACGTATACAGATTCTTCTTCGTACGGAGGTGCTTATGTCTGCAAGATGTCCTCTCCCGTCCGTACGAACAAAGAGTTATGCATGCGTACCATTACTCACGACAACTCTGGTACCGTACCACGACAACAAAATATCCTCTCGCACGAGGAGATGGCGGAGGGGAGCGATATCTCCGTCCACGCTTGGCGAGCCGGCACAGCATTCGAATTCTGGGATCGTACGGTCGATATCGAACAACCCCTCGACCGAGTACATATGAATACGTATGTCGGTCAGCTCGTTACCGAATATCAAGGCATCTTAACGCTCCGAGCACTCGTACGAGCATACCAGGAAGACTTCGAGGGATGGACTACGTACCAGTTCGAGTATACATCACGACCATTCAAACGTGCGATGCTTAAGACACTCGAACGAAAAGGGTATCACTTCCCGAGCGGTCTCACCCAAAACGAAAAGCTCGTCTACCCATTAGACAACAAGGAGGCTGTCAGAGCACCTTAACCATCACCCCGTACGAGTACTACAACTCTCGGTCCCTATACGAGTACTACAACTCTCGGTCCCTGTACGAGTACTACAACTCCCGGTCCCCGTACGAATGCCGCAACTCCGGCACCGACTCGTACACCATTACCCGGCTAGGAAGATAGACAAGAGGACGGCCCAGAGGACAGATAAGGACAGCCCGGAGGACAGATAAGAAGACGACCCCACGGGAAACACACTACCGAAGGAATTGTTTTTCAGTTGTTTACGAACGTACGAACCGCGAAAGAAAAGATAGCTAGTGTTGGAATATACTATTCGCGGTCTCGTACGACGGTTGACTACGTAGTATAGGTAGTCACCGGCGTGCTGGCAGTAAGCCACCACAGCCACGATGTGGCTGTCGGCAGCCAGCAGCCGTGCGGGTGAACCCCAAACCCCTATCTATAGACCACGTACGAGGGGAAGAATCCCTTCTTCTCCTTCGTACGATAGCGCTGAATAGATCTATTTGTCGCCCAAACTGTACGGAAAGAAATGAATGGAGAAGCCATTCCACACCTTAGTTAGATCGGCGACTGCCGATATGCCTACTATCCTACTATATATGCGCGCTATAACAGCTCTACGCTGCAATACAGCCAACATCATTTCACGTCCCCTTTCCCCGGCCTTAAATGCTGTTCAGTAGAATGAGTTAGAGGCAAATAGAACATATAAGGAGAAGACTAAGAAAAAGGAGTTTAACCTTGGCTAAGTAGAACTTCAAACATTTTCAAACGTGTATACCAAAGATCTGTCTATTTTTGAACAGATTAGCTCCTTATATTTCGGCACCATCTGTCGCCGTGGTCTAAGGAACAGTTAGAGCTAGTGATCTCTTAGAAATGCGCTTTTAGTAGCTAAGGTCGACTTTAGGGTGAGAAGACCAGCTAGGGATCTTAATTATAGTCGCCGAATTGGAAAGGCAGAATCATGTAAGGACTAGGAGTAGGACATGTCAGCCTAGCATAACTTGATAGCGGCAACGAAGAGAGGTTTGGCCATGCTAAACTAGGACTAAATACAAGACCATGAATAAATCAAATTACACAAGATGAGTATGTTGGCGGCTTATTAGTGGTGTCTACAGATTGGAACAGTATTCCCTCCTCTAGGATTGTCGTTAGCAGGAAGCTCGGGTGATAACGGCTTGTCTAACATGATGGTGTGATACGATTACCACTTATAAAGCGTAACCACCCGATAGAAAGGAGGGCCAACGTCTAGGGACTACTCTTTTCAACTGACCTACAGGTGAGGCGAGGATATTGAGAAAGACAAGGCAGACGTAAGAGGCGCATGGAATGATGGCAAGGGGTAAGTTGCGCAGCTACCAACATATAAGAAGGAGAGAGGGAATTGAGAACTTCACTGGCTAAATTACGGTGTCATGGGCAGATGCGGCCTAGAAGTACTTAGTCAGGAGAAAATGTCTAGGATGGTTTTGAGAATTAACCCCTGGTCTACTCTCAACTATATCAAAACAGGGGGAAACTGCAAAAGCAAATGGCACAGTTATAAGTGATACTGAAAGAGCTGCCAAGGGCTTTTTGTACTGCTACAGTCATACTTTTATGGTCAAAGCTACCCAGAGCTTTAGCTTGCAATACAACCATGTGCGCACGACGTTCAAATCCACCAACTGGCGACAAACAGGAACGCCGAGTAAGGAATTACCGTGAGTGAATAAAGTTGGGCAAACTCGATATTGATCCCAGTAAATTTTGCCTCTTTGGCAGAAGCAGTGGGATATCGAGCCCCTTTCTCATCCCTATCGCCCATCAACTCTTCTCGAGCTGGGACATCCGGAGGCTTCAATGTATACTTGATAGGGGTCAGGCACGCTAGAAGTGACACAAACCAACCAGGATATGGCCAGAGAACATCACGAAGTAGGCTTACGTTCAGTCCATGCCAGTCCCGATGTCCTTGAAGATCTGGAGGGTAAGTTGCGAGAATACAGCTGATACGATAGGCAACAGTGCAGCTCAGCAGAAGAACTACAACAACGTGGAACCACACACCGCAGTCGATGACTATGTGACGAAGGCGAGCAGATAGAGGAGCTCGGTTAATCGCTGAACGCTCGTGGACCGATGCTGCGATACTGCCCGAGGAGGTGAAGCCCGGTGCCGTTCCTCCGAGGCGTTTTGGTAGGATGAAGGAGCGCATGCTGGCGATGACATAGTCTAGTGCCCTTATGTTAGTTGGATATACTCGCATGCCTGCGTTGAGATAAGCAGCTCGACTTACATGGCGCCATGTACTGGCTCTGGGCCTCATCTCTGATACTCACGCGAAGGCTTGACATCAAGCCCAGATGGCAATTATGGACAAATCTGGTAAGAATTGTGGCACACCGAATCCGAAGCAAGAAACGCAGACTTTGGATATCTACATAATAGACAAGACTGACGCCTTGTATGAGATAGTATGGCGTAGCTATCATCTCGATAACAGTAAAGAATGGCGTGAGGACAGAGAGAATCCCGTACGACATTCCCAGAAGCCTCTGCCATATTGTGAGTAGTTCTGTATGTGACTTGAAGAGATAGAACCGAAAATGAGCGGCCATTTGGACGCCTCCGAGATTCTGACGTATCATCGTTAGTAACAATGCCCTTGTCGACAACGGCTTGCGAGTGTACATACCCAGCGGGTAAGCTGTTTGACATGGGCTAGGTAGCAATCCGGCATCAGCCCATACTGTAACGACTCGGCCAGATAACCTGTTCTCCAGCCTTTAGCCATCATCATCATAGAGCTCAAAACGTCCTCGGTAAGAGAATGAGTAGGGAAGCCTCCGGTGGCTATGAGTGCTTGGCGCCGCAAGATGAAACCGGATCCAGTGTTCCATGAAATATCAGCAAAATCACGAATGATATCGGTACACCGCCATGAATTCAGTTGGCTCTGGTACAAGGGATCGTTATCAGGAAAGTTATAGAAGCTCTATGTAATAATTAGTCAACCTTAGATGTATTATTTTTAGAATGAGCTACTCACTTGTGAGGGGCAAACAACTCCCAACTTAGGATCCAGCACCATATGTGCTGTGATCGCTCGTAGCCAGTTCCGCTCGGGAATCATATCAGCGTCCAATGAAGCAATGAACTCTGCGGGCTGACCAAGCTGATGCTCGATGAATTGAACCGCATGATTCAGGTTTCCGGCTTTGAAGCCGGTCCGGCCGTTCTCGTTACGGGCAGTATAATAGAGGTTGCACTGTCCCAATTCAGTGATCCATGACTCGAGCTGTGTTGACCCACCATCGTCAGCCACAATCACTCGGAATCGGTCTTCTGGATATTCAAGTGCTATAGCCGCCATAATGGTGTCCTGTAGTACATCGATGGACTCTTTGCAGCAGGGAATGACTACATCAACATGTGGCACATCTGTGCCGACGAGACGAAGTCGAGGTCGAAATTTTCCCCAATATGTTCTGAGCTTTACAGCAACGAGGGGGATGTTTGGGGCTGATAGAATATGTCAGCAGTGCTAGTAGTATGTAAGGGAGGTGTCGTTCTTACTAGTTAGCATGAAGTTGACCCCAATAATAAACCAAGCTAAGAACACTCCCCAAGCAGCAGGTTTCTGTTCTCTCCTTATCTCCATCACAGCCTGTATTTGGTAATATGCATTGTAGAAGGATAGTACGTCGGTAACCACACTACTGAACCCAATTAGACGTGCAAAGGGTCGCTCCCATGGAGCCATTTGCATGACATCTGGTTCTTCGCCATCAGCAAGTTGTCTTATAGTCCACGTGTGTTTCTCAGGGCCTGAGACTTTTAAGAGAAGGCCCTGTTGGTCTTCAACGACCGAGGAACTCCCGTCATGGTTCTTTTCGTATTCGATCGCTAAAGGCCATATTTCAGACTTGTCTTTGACTGCGTAGCTTCTCCGATGAGGTAGCCAGATACGCGTATTTCCAATAGTTATAGGCATAGTTCCTTCGAAAAATGGCTCGGTGGCTCCTCAGGAGATAGCAGTATACCTATCTGTTGGCTGCACAGCGCGGTGATATTTATCTTCGGGGCAATGTGTTCTAGGTTACATGACGACCAGTGCCCTCCTAGGATTAGAGATCGTTCGCCAGGGAGGTCAGCAGGCATGTGTACTCTTCGTATAAGTAAAAGCTCCTTTGCTAGTGTCAGCGACATATCTGCCGAACGGGACAATACAATCCGCTCAAGGGTGCATCCTTTTGGCGCAGACAGTCGCTCCTAGATAGAAATACACGCAATCCTAAAAGTCGATTGCGGATCATAATAGCCAGAGCGCATACTGTGTGAAGTCTCGAATCACTTGATTATTGATCGAATGCGCCTCTTGCAGCAATCAGCAACGTTCTAGCTCCTGGTATCTTGTCGTGTTAGCTCCGGTCACATGCGCCTCGAACCATCATGTAAATGTCAAAAAGAGTCTAAGAAATTCATGACATCTCTATTGGAGGCTTCGGACTTATTGTAAAAGTTCCAGATCTTGGCGAACCGCGCCAAATGCTGACCGATAAGTGTAGTGTCTAAAATCGAGCCTATTACAAGCTCAGAATGGTAAACAGCGAACGATGTCTCAACGCTAAATCTGCACATATCGTATGGTACTCTCTGTAATGTTCGTGTAGGTCAGTTCGAATATACGCATGGGGAAGTATGCTATGCTCATGCCCGTATGTTCTTATCGTAAGATGAGCTACCACTTTGCGGGCCTGTAAGCTTACCACGTGCAAACGCAATCTGTAGTCTCGTACCCATGCATTTGGCTACGTTGGGTTGGAAGTGTGCAAAAGGGGTTGAGATGATGCCCATCGCTTTTCTTAATCTATTAATTCCACTCAACTTCCAATCTCGCCTTTCTATGGAAATCCTTGCTATATTGAGAATACCATGTGCTTCGAGGCATATCATCTTGAAGCAAGCTTGATGCCGTAGGGTAATTAGTGCGTGATATTTAGTCAAAATGATGAGAACTCGGATATGGACTCGAAGAGCATTATGCTGGGCTCTTGCGTTCACGTCAACCTGCTTCATACACTTGTATTTCTCTCCGACATCCTATGGTGATGTTTCCTTCTTTTTCAATATCCCAGAACCGCAGAGCCCTGCTCTCTACGGGCGCTGGGGTCCCCGAATTCCATCACCGATCATACCTGTCGCTGCGGCACTCCTTCCACGTTCTGGGCGGGTACTCATTTTTGCGGCGGATAGAGGAGATGCTTTTGACGGCGAAGGCAGCAACTGGCATAGCACACTTACGGCTATCTACGATCCGGCCACGAATACTATCACCGCGACGAAGATAGCCGATACAGAGCATGGCATGTTTTGCCCTGGCGTCTCGCTCGATGTGGACGGCCGACCAATTGTTAGCGGAGGCATGAGTGACACTAAAGTCAGCGTTTTTGATGAAATTGGTGGAAACTGGTCGCCATTACAAGATATGACAACGGGGCGTGGATACCACGCCCAGGTGACACTCTCGAACGGAAACATCTTCACAATCGGTGGTTCATGGAGTGGAGGCATCGGTGGGAACAATGTGCCTAGGAAAGGGGGAGAAGTCTTTGATTTTGTCCATCAGACCTGGAAAGCTCTTCCGGACTGCCTGGTAGAACCAATGTTAACAAATGACTCCCGCGGTGCATTCTGCTCAGACAACCATGCCTGGCTCTTTGCATGGAAGAATGAGTCCGTATTCCAGGCAGGGCCTTCATCGGCCATGAACTGGTATGGCACACATGATACAGGCCATTATTACCCTGCAAGGCTAAGGGGATCAGACTTCGACTCAATGAATGGAAACGCCGTTATGTATGATGCTGTGCAAGGCAAGATTTTGACGTTAGGAGGCTCGACAAGCTATTCAGAATCGTATAGCACGAGGGCTGCACATATTGTAACGCTTTCCGATGCATATCAGCAGGTAACAGTTGAAAAGATCCGGTCCATGCACTACCCTCGAGTGTATGCGAATAGCATTGTTCTCCCAAATGGCGAGGTCTTCGTTAATGGTGGAGTGTCCTACGCGAAACAGTGGGCTGATGTCAACACATCACTTGTCCCTGAGATTTGGAACCCTATGACACGCGAATTTGTCAAGGCCGCCAAGTCGCCCATTCCCCGGAACTACCACAGCACAGCCATCCTTTTGCCTGATGCAACGGTCTTGACCGGGGGCGGAGGCCTTTGCTGGAGAAATTGTGGTGATTCTTCCATCAATCACCTAGATGTGCAGATATATTATCCGCCATATTTGTTTGATTCTGGGGGCGAGGCACTTCGTAGGCGGCCGCGAATTCTCGAACTGTCTAGCTCTACAATACATCCTGGTGCAACACTTGTCATCACCACAGATTTGCGGATCATACACTTCGCGCTTATCCGTTATGGTTCAGTCACGCATTCTATCAATACTGATCAGCGACGAGTTGCCCTCGAAGCAAATCCAGCGAAAATCAAATACGTTAGAAAAGATCAATGGCACTCTAGCATTGTCATGCCTAACGATCTTGGTGTAGTACCCCCAGGATATTGGATGTTATTTGCAATCAGCGATCAAGGGGCTCCGTCGCACGCTGCAACGGTCCATATGCCACTTGAGAATAACGCAACAGAACTGAACGACTCTAGCCATATTTCGACAGCTTTTAATGAGAAGGCTCTCCCAAAACTAAACCAAATAGCTGGAGAGGGATCCCGTGTTTCTTTACAAGTTCGACAGTTCCACCCAAGACTATTTGCTACAGGAGAAGAATGGGCTAGGCTTCCGAGTATGATCCTCACAGATTCATATAGGACACAATGGAACCAGACCATTGTAGAGAGAGCTGAGAAATGGCGAGCTCAACCTCCTACCCCATACGGCCTCGTTGGTCCTCTTAATGGTAATGGGGTCCTTGATACGGCTCGTCAGGTACAGCTACACATCAAACACTGGGCATACGTGTATCGAATGACTCAAGATATCAAATGGAGTGATCGTATCTGGGAGGAATTAGTCATGGCTTCAGGTAATTCAACTGAATACTTTGGCATAGCCGGCGACAACTGGAACAGTCAGTAAGTAAATCCAAATGGACCAGATCTTAGCCAGCATCCTACTAAGACATAGGGAAGGCATTGGTTAGATATAGGCGAGTTTCTTGTCGCCTTCTCATTTGCATACGACTGGCTTTACGATGCTTGGACTGCCGAGCAGCGGAAGGCTATTATGTGGACCATCATCTCGTTAGGCCTTTCGAAAGCCCTTGAAGCATATGAAGACGACGCGTGGTTTCTGCATGTTAAGAGTAATTGGAATTGTGAGTTCACGTTTACATGATCCTTGCGCAACTACAGATGTCTGTGCTGACATCTAATTGAGGCGTTACGAACAGCGGTATAATCATTGCGGCCCTCGCGATCTACCACGAAGATCCCACCGGTATTGCTAAATCACTACTACCACGTGCTATTAATAATGCGCGAGAGAACTGCGCCCAAGCTGTGCAGACAGATGGTACTTGGAAAGAAACGCCTGATTACTGGTACTTTGGCACGCAAGCTCACGCACAGTTGTCGTCAGCGCTGTTTTCTGCCACCGGAGACATCCATGGGCTATTGCATGCCAATGAAGCTTTGGAGAAGACTGGCATGTTCCACATATACAACACAGGATTTGCCGGAAAGTTTGACTATGGCGACTGTGGTCCAGCTAAGATCACAGCTACTGCTAATTCACTATTCTTTTACGGTGACCAGTACAAAATTCCAGCTTATACTGGATATCAAAGGCAAAATATAGAAGCAGCTGATCCCTTGTCGATGCTCTGGTATAAGCCCATATCAGATGATGCTGCATGGTGGTCCGACTTGCCACTTGACAGGAGTTTCGGCGACGAGGAAGGTGCTTGGGTATCAATGAGAAGCTCGTGGACTTCAAGTGATGGTCTTTTTGTTGCCATGAAAGCCGGGAAACTGATAGGACATTCAGATCGTAAGTGTCGCAACTCCCTGTTATCCTCGTTGCATCTCGCTATATAACATCTGACCAATATTCTTCAGATGGAAATCTAGATGCGGGTGACTTTGTTCTAGATGCGTTGGGGGAGAGATGGGCAGTTGAGCTTTGCCACCAGGACTACCTCTCTCCTGGCTACTTCGATGGCGAGGCGCAGAAAAACAAACGTTGGCAATACTACCGCACAGGAACTGCTGGACAGAACACGATTCTTTATAATGGCACGAATCAGCTTGTCACTGCTGCTCCAACTACTAGTTTTGAAAGTAGCAGCACAGTAAACCACGTCTCCAGACCCGGTCTTAGCAACATGGTCACAACTATTTGGACCGCGAACCTGTCTTCGGCTTATAACGGCCCGCAAATTCAACGACGGCTCGGACTCCCCAGAAATCGTACACAAGTTCTGATCCAGGATCAGATCAAGGATGCAGTGCACGCTAGCCAATGGAGGATGCATACTAGAGCAGACATCCAGATCAGTGAAAATCGAAGAGAAGCAGGCAAGTGTTTAGTCACCCTCTATTACATTAGCACTAACTAATTACAGTCCTGAAAATTGGTGATAAGCAAATGAATGTCAAACTCCAGGGTGCCTCGGATCTCCTGTTTCACGTTATGGATGCCTCGCGTCGCTTGGAAATCGCACCACTTCTGAAAGGGGAAGAAGACAACCCGAACATCGGGATACAAGTTCTTTATATAGATATTCCTCCAGGATATCACGATTTGTCCATTCTCTTCTTACCGAGATAAAGCGGTAAAATAATACTCGATATATAGATTTACATTTAGTAAATATTTAGAGAATTAGTTAAAAAATAAAGGATATTTAATTTATAATATCTTAATTTATAAAAGGTGTATAATATATTATATAAAGTTAAAGGTAAGGTTTAATTACTTTAAATTAAATCTAATATTATAATATATTTTATAATTAATATAAAACATTATTTAATAAAGGATAAATTTAATATTATAATAATTATTTGAATTTTATATATTAATCTGGTTTATTTTATAATTAACGTAATTTATAAGTGAGCGGGTCACCTAAGTGAACAGGTCATGCTTATTAGCAAAACATGGAATTTAACACGATTTCGTAATTATAACGCCGTAAATCAATTAAAACTAATCGGAATACTCTTCCCTAACCGTGCCCACCCACTTTCGCACGCACCCCCTTTTGCACGCCGATCTTCCGACGCGTTAATAACACCACGCTTTTCTTATAAATGTTAGAACTTAACTAATTGTAATCTTATCGATCTGATATTTTCAATATGGGTAAACTAAATGAACGCGATATAATAAAAGTAATTAGTTTGGTTCGAAACGGCGAAACGATAACGCGTATAGCTAAAGCTTTCGGTATCGTACGGTTTACTTTGTCGCGACGACTTAACGGGTCGTAATTACATTCCTTAGCTTACGAAACGTTAAAGAACTTATTTGAATTATAAGAAATAGAACTTAAGTAATGGATTTTACATAAGGAATTATATAGACGCGCTTTAAGCTCGAATATAGTGCGATAAATAGCGGCTAATATTATAACTAGTATCGGCGAAATCGACGATACGGTCACCCTTAAATATAATTAAGTATATAAGTTCTTTAGCCGTTACTTATATTTAAAGACTAAGGTTAAACGTATAATTAACGCTAAGAGGGTTAAAGGCATTGAAAAACAAACCGTAAAGGACTTTTACACGTATATATTATAAGTTAAAGACACTTATAAGATCTTATTAAAGGATATTTATAATATAAATAAAATAAGTATATAAGAAGCCGAACAAAGTTAAGGTATAATTATCGGGACGTTTAAGTTACGTCGTTTACGCGTTACGAAAAACTTAGTAACTAGATAAATGTTAGTTATTTATAATATTAACGTTATCGGGTTAAAAACAACGAATACGTATATATTAAGAGGAATAATATTATAAGTATAATAATTACTTAAGGATTTTAAGGAAGCTAAGTATATAACGACCCTTAAAGGTTAAATTAACTTAGTAATAACGTTATTATAGTTGTTAAAGGTCTTCGAGCTAGAAACCAAACTATAAGAGTTTTTAAACTACTTAAACTTATAAAGAATACTCTTCCTCGATGGTTATAATACTTATATTACACCCGGGTTTATATTAAGGGCATTTAAGAAGAGGATTACCTTAATATACTTATTAACATATATAAGCGAAGCGTTCTAACTACTTAATAAGACGGTCTTTTTATCGTTAAAGTCTTATTATTATAAGTTAATAAGCTTATACCGTGGTATTTAAGTTATTAGGCCCGTTAATAAGTAACGGATATTTAAAGCTTATAATAAAGCTTATGCCTTTACTTTTACGAAATAAATTATCGAAAGTAATTAAGTTAAAATAAGTATTTACCCTTTAAATGAATTAATAGTGTTAAATAACCTTAAGTTCTTCTTATTATTATTTAACACTTAACTTATAATATTATAAAATGAGTTAAATTTAGCTAAAATTAGTCTATTTACTCCTTATAATAATAAAGACCTTTGACTTTAAATTAAGGATGTTATTATTAATTATTCGTAAACTTCTAAAAACGTAAGGGAGTTACTTAGGAAATATACTAAGTCACTTAATATAACGCTCGTAAAACTAGTAATAACACGTTAAGTAAACCTCGATTTATAAGCTAAATTAGATAATTATAGCTTAATAAACGTTAAATAATTAAAAAAGACCCGAATAAGGTCTTTATTAGTGTTATAAAGATTAAACTAGCGTAAGATAAGCTAAAAAGGAAGATACTTAAGTTATAACGTAATGAATAAGTCTTTATTAACTTATTCCTCGAAATATAACCTTTTACGCGAAAGCGGACACGTAAATAACTTAGAGATAGTTTATTTAAATTAATTTCATAGTATTATAACTAGTAATTATTATATTTATTTATTAATGTGTTTAAAGAAACGTCGGTAAATCAGCGTGTAAAAGGGGGTGCGTACGAAAGTGGGTGGGTACGGTTAAATAATTCTATCTTTATTTAATAAGTTTATATATTACGCCCGGGCTTTAATAACGAATTACCCGGATTATAAAAAGAACGGTAACTCTACGAAATCGCGTCTAATTAACACGCCGGGCACGGTAATCGAATCCTTACTATCGACTCCCGTTATTTACGATCGCGCACTTACGTCGAGACGTAGGCGTAACGCGATAGCGGCGCCGATGGCAATTAACGAAGGGCGGGGCGGACTCGATTAGAGTTTTCACCACCCCCAAGCAAACGAGAGCACCTACGCCCCGAATGGCGCGGGCGCAACGGAGAAACAGCGAAAAAGTAGCGAAGCGAATACGAATAAGGCTACCGGTAGCGAACTATAACTTGTCGAATCGATAATAACTAGCTTAGTTACCCCTGAAAAGACTGGTGAATTAGCGGAGCTAATAGGCCGATAGTACTAGCTCCGCTCCCTCGAGGATAAGAGCCGTACGGCTAGCAAAAAGGATATGATCAAAGCTTTAGCCGGGCTATAAGAAGCGATTTTATAGTCCGTACAATCGGTATAAGTGGCCTTTACGGAGAGGAAGAACACGACGGATACGACTTAGGCTAAAGTCGTAACGGGTACGTAGCTAAGACATAACGGGGTCGACCCGTAAAAGTAAGCGGTAATTATACCGGTAAGCCGCGAGAAAGAGGTAGTAATAAAAGGAATCTAAAGGGACTAATTAAAGAATAAGTCTATTACCGAAGTATTAAAGGTAGTAAACAAAGCTCGTAACGTTAATAATGTAATAATAGTCCGTAAGCTATATAACGGCGATACGGTAGTTACGTTTAAACACGGGACTATTTAAACGGCCATTACTAACTAATAATAAGTAAGTAGCGCCTTCGGAGAGAAGGCACTACTTACTCGCCGGGAGGTAACGGTATTAACGAAAGGCATCCTAACAAAGCTATTACGGGCAGTTTACGATAAAATAAAGATTTTACGGGATATCCTTAAAGTTAACAAAGTGGATGACCACGTCACTAAAGCGAAGAGGAGCCTCTTAAAAGCCCCCTAGGCCTTATACGGAGCTCTAATCCTTTACGTGGATAACATAAAGGCAACGAAGAAGCTTTACGACTACGGGCTAATATAAGAAGCGTTAGTATTTAGCTACAAACTATACGATATAACGCTCTAGGTACGCCAGTGCTTCCGTTATTATGAATACGATTATATCGCAAGGTTTTATAAAAAGACACTACGATATAACATTTGCGTAGCCACGGCCTATTTAGACGGGGAAAAAGGGTGCCTTTAAAAGGGCGAAAAGGGAATAAAACGTTATATTAATTATATAAGGCCACACCTTACGTAGGACCGTAGCTATTTAGCCGCGATTAAGTAGCGTGAAAGAGCGGCGGAAGCGTATACCTACCGACCACGTTAGTTCGAGGTCCGTAACTACACCGAGGGATTACAAAGTAAAGGACGGCTTACCCCGCCTAACTCCTTACTTATAGCCAATTACACAAGCTAGCCAAGAAGTAAGGATGGCTTTACTATAATGTTATCAAAACGCGGACGCTTAATAAACGGGTCGAAAAAGTAAGCCGCTTAAAAGGAATAGTCTATAGCTCGGCTCCGCTAATAAACTATTATAACAAAAGATAGCCGAATGCTACCACCCTTTATAACATAATAGGAATTACAACCCTTTATTAAAATACTATAAGATTAAGGTTTAATGTAATACTAGCGTTAAATAAGGGAGGAAGTAACGACTTTATTACGCTTTAAAAACTATAAGTAAAAAACGGGATTATTTATTACTTATTTTAGTTAAGTTATAAAGTAGTATATAATAACGGACGAATAACGCTTTACATATATAAAAGATACGATATAATAACATTACACCCCCGGTTAAGCTACGATTAAACATGTATTACACTTATAAAAGGCTTAGAACTAGTTACGATATGGTTTATTTACTTACCGAACTAAATAAGTATAATAGTTTCTATAATTAATATAGAGGACTATTATAATAAAGGTCTGGTGTAATGCACTGAAAGGAAGAGCCTAAATCTATTAGAGTATAAGATAGCGAATACGGTGCTCGCCTAAGCATAGGATCGTAAGTATAACGCTCTAGGCGTGAAATGATAGTATAAGTACTGTTAAGTAGTATATAGAAGTCTAAGAGTACAAAAGAGAAATCGGTGTACAGAAAGTGGGCATATACTTACTGGCCTAGTTACGTGATCACCACTTCCTAAGTTCGGTGATCCGTAAGCTCGTCGCCTTAGTGTACGGAGTGCTCTCCGTACGCTATGGACATCTATAGTCATCCATATTACCACACACCCCCGAAGCTAGATTAGCTCTAATCTGGCTTCCTTAGCCGTTAAGCAGCTAATATAATGACCATAGCTATCCCTTATAGCCGTTTAAACCACGGTGCTCTCCGAGCACGGGTTCTTACCTACGTGTTTTTGCCTAGGTAACTATAGTCACTTACTAAGACTACGTAAGTCTTTCGATACTCCTCGAGCACGTCGCTACCTATTTTAATGCTTCCGCAGATATAACGGTTAGTACACCCCGTGATCGCTTTATCTCTACTTGTCTTACGGGACGAGTATGCTCGTAAGTAGAGGTGTATACACTTATAAGTGGCTTAAAGCACTAATTATTAACGATTATTACTTTATTATAAAGTGTCGAGTAGTGGTCGTGGTTAGTAGATAATTGTTATGGTTTATTATCGCGTTTAGATAATAATTATGTTATTGTCTACGCGATAATAATGGTTAAGACGTAAAGCGTATATAAACAAACCCTAAGCTTTCGAGAGCTTCGTTCCTTTCTTCTTCCTCTTTTTATTAATAGTCGTTTTTTATTATGTTCGGGCAAATAGTAATAAAAATAAGACTACTATTATTATCGCCATTATTATTACTATTATTATTAACATTATTATTATCATTATTATCATGCCTTCCTCGTAAATGAAGAAAATGGCTGCCCTAGTCTCTCGTAAGGAGAAGAAGCGCGTGTTACGTAATAAGAAGCGCGTTGCCACCCGTGTCGCCGCCCGGGTCGCTGCTCGCGCTCGCGAGCAGGTGATGCTTCTGCCTATGCTCTCTTCTACCGCCGCCCCTCTTACGTCCCCTTCGGTGGTCCTCTCTCCTCGGGTAGAGGAGGAGGCCGCTAAGGAGGCCGAGGAGAAGAAAGCCGCCAAAAAGGCTGCTAAGAAGGCTGCTAAGAAGGCTGCCAAGCGTAGCGAGAGGGAAGCCGCCGCTCTCTAGAGCTCCCTTTCCCCCGTCGCCGCTCCCGCCTCGCCGTCCCTAGCTCCTTCCGCCGCCGCCGCCGCCGACACTATGTTCTCGACCCCCCCCTCTCCTCTCCTCTCCGTCGCCACCCTTGTTATAAGTGGTAACCCTTTCGAAAGCTTATCTTCGGATGAAGAGGACATCCCCGCCGTCCTCCCCCGTACCGTTATTACCGCCCCGCCCTCCGTAAAGGAGGAAGATAACGTCCTAAGGGACGCTACTTATAATAAGGAGGAAGAAGAGGAAGAGGAGGATGACGACGACGACGACGATAATGATATGGTCCGCCGGATCGCACGCCCCGTCCCCGCCCTCGCTGCCCCCGCTCCCTCTATTAGCGAGCGCCGAGACCCTTGTCTCCAGTGCGTGAAGAGCGCCGTGGCTAGCGCTTTTTTAGGGGTATGCCTACCTAGGCCTAAGGCTAACAGTATACGTTATAAGAACTGTGCGTAGGGTTACTCTTGCCAACCCTGGTAAGTTCCCTTCCCTTGCTTTAAGAGCAATGGATCTTATATTAACAGGTTCGTAGCCCCGCCCACCTGCTCCCGGTGGCTCGCCGTTTAGTATCTGCCCTTATGGCACACTAAGAGGCCGTGCGGGTGTTCGAGGAGGAGGAGGAGGGTGCTCCCTTACGTCGGCCTCGTCTTCCGGCCGTAAGTACTGCCTACTTACTCCGAGCTTGTATCTATACTAACGTATACTCACCGAATAAAACGTTATTAAGCTCCGCGCTTATCTACGCGTCTTAATAACGTTAACCGAGGAGGAGGTTATAAAACTTAATAAGGGTAAAGGTATACGCGGTCTACGTAATGAAGCTTACGGCTTTATTAATCGTTTTTTTGATACTTTAGAGTAGGTTGGTTTTTATCATGTTTTCTTTTTCATATTTTTTTTTTTTTTTTAATCTTGTTATGACTTTGTAATGGTTTTAATTTTTGCTTTTGTTTTGCGAGGGGTTGTTAGCGTTTTTGAATTTTCTTTTAATTTAAAGCAATGAACATCTTTTTGCTTTTAATTATACTCTTACGTGATCTCTTGCTTATCTAAGCATTAAACTTGTGATCCGTAATTATTCGAACTTCGGAATATAAAATCTTAAGCTCTTTAGTCCTCTGTGTCTTTACTTACCCTTACTTGTTATAAGTTAAGATAAGATACGAAGTTCTCGAATTATTACCTTAAGAGGGCCTTCGTAAAACCGTTTACAAGCATTTAGTTAGTCTTAAGATAGGTTATAATAAATAATCCCTTATAATGCTCTTATTTTAGCCATATATTTTAGATATCCATATACTTAAGCTTTGTTGTTAATTTAACTTAACGTACCCCACGGGCGAACGGATCACACGGGCGAACGAACCACTTTACATCATTTTCGTACCATTTAACTTTATTCCTCAATATCACTACAACGCAACATGGTCGGTACTTGTAATGAAAGCCAAATTAATCTAGCGCTCCAAGCGCTTCGTACGAACCCAAAATTAAGTTTGCGACACGCCGCTACGACGTACAATATATCATATAGTACCTTATGTAGCCGATAACGCGGCAGAATCGCACGGCGCGAAATATCCGCGAATAATCGAAAATTAAGCGATTCTAAAGAACTAGCAATTATACGATATATAATTAACCTAGATTCGCGATCATTTCCTCCTCGAATAAGTGGTGTCGAAGATATGGCGAACCGACTCCTTTCTAAACGCGACGCGGGACGCGTCGGAGTAAACTAGGCGTCAACCTTCGTACGACGACAACCATAACTCTAGACGCGTTTCAATCGACGGATCGATTACCAAAGGGTCCTTTGCGAAGATCCCGACACGTATCGCGCGTGGTTCACCCTTGTACGAAACGTAATCCAAAAATACGCGATCTAAGAAGACGATATTTATAACTTCGACGAGACCGGCTTCCTTATAGGGCAGATCTCGTCCGAAATGGTCGTAACTACATCGGATCGGCGTGGAAGACCTAGGACGGTATAACAAGGTAATCGGGAATGGGTAACAGTTATCCAGGGCGTTAGTTCGTCCGGGTACGTTATCCCTCCGTATATTATCTTCGCCGGTAAAAGGCACCTCTCTTCGTGGTACGAGGAGAGCCCTTTACTAAAGGATATAGTAATTACAATTACTAAAAATGGCTGGACTACGAATGAAAGAGGTGAAGATTAGATATAACACTTCGATCGGCATACTAAGTCTCGTACGAAAAGTATTTACCGTCTTCTTATTTTAAACGGCCACGAAAGCCACCATTCGACCGGGTTTGAGCTATATTGCAAAGAGAATAACATTATTACTCTTTGTATGCCTGCTCACTCGTCGCATAAGCTCTAGCCCCTTGACGTTAGTTGTTTTCGGGTTTTAAAAAGGTCGTACGGATAAGCGATCGAGTATATAATCCGGGCTGGTATTACCCATATCCAAAAAGAGGACTTCCTTCCCGCGTTTAATATAGCGTTCTATATTACCTTTTCTTCCTTTAATATCCAAGGAGGTTTCCGAGGGGCCGGATTAGTACCGTACGATCCAGAATACGTTATTTCGTAACTAGATATAAAGTTACATACTCCGACACCCCCTGGGACCCCGTTTGGTTTTCCTCTTATTTGGGAATCAAAAACCCCGAACAACCCAATCGAGGCAGTATCCTAAAGCGAATATGTACGGAATCGTATCGTATAACACTAGAATAGCTCTCTTACGGCTATACTTTCAGCTATAGACCAATTTGCAAAGGGTGCGACGCAAGTAATACACCGGCTCGTCCTTTTAGAAGGCGAGAATCTTATACTTCGAAAGGCGAATAATCTATTAAGCCGACGCCGTCGTACGAAAAAGACCTAATTACAAGATGGAGGGTCACTTAGTATACAAGCTATAAAAGACTTACTGTCCTAAAAGGAAGTAAACGGGCAATTACAAGGTGAATTACGTCAAGGTAATAGTCGTACGAAGAGGGTTAGGACGCAGCCATAACGCTATAAAAGGTGCGGAGAGCCCGGACATAATACGCGCACTTGTCAGAATGTTGTAGAATCGTCCTCTTTAAACGAGGACGATTAATTTGAATTGATTTTTACCGTTGTTATGAAGATGACTTATACTTTATGGTACGAGGTTGTAAGAAGTGGTTCGTTCGCCCGTGTAATCCGTTCGCCCGTGGGGTACGTTACTCGTTAATAACGAGCCGAATTGTTTGTTAGTTATCGTAATAAATGTTTTAATATTAACTAAGATTTAATCTTAGATCGTTATAAAACCGTACGAAGGCTATCGATTCCTTAGCCATAAATAATAAGGTTAAGAGCTCGGCTTCCGTTATATTAGTAGAAACTATGCTTTGTTTAAACGCTTTCTATATAACGGGTCCTCTAAAGAGAAGTATAACGTATCCTTAAGATAACCTACGCGTTTTTAAGTTATCGGCGAAGGAAGCGTCGCTTATAATAACTAAAGCTTGTAATATACTTTGTTCTGCTCTATACTATATTTTAAGGCTCCTTATATTCTATAAGTACCGAAGCGTTTAGAGTCTTATAACGAAATGTTTAGTACTTAGATTAGTTAAATAGTGTAAAAGCTACGAGACTATAAAGGCTACGTTTAGTCTAAGCATTATAGTTATATATAGCAGTGATCCGACTAGCTCTTAAAAGCGTTTTACCTCGCTCTTAATAGCTATTCCTTAGTTCTTTTCTATTATTATAACAGAAATGGGAATAGCTAACACTATAAAGAGGTCGTTTACGTTAAACTTGGCTATAATCTTTTCGATATATACATCGTGTAATAAGGAAACGGTGCCGCGTTTCCTGTCACGTACGACACGTATTCCGAGGAACCACTTTACTTTTCCTTCGTCCTTGATTTTATACCGCCCCTTTAAGTCGTTTATCAAACCTTCTGCCTTGGCTTTGTGGTTTTTATAGAATAGACATAGAATGTCATCCATATAAAAGAGTATAAAGACTTTCTTATCAGGTGTATAAAACAAGCAAGGCTCTTCCGGGGACGATACTAGTCCTATCTAGTGAAGGGAGCTGCTAAACTCCTTATACCATAGTAGAGGAGAGTCCCGTAGCCTATATAATGCTCTCTAAATCTCAAGACATCTCCCGTTTATACGGAAACCTTCTAAGAGCTCGCAAAATACTAGTTCCGAGTTCCCGCGCGTAGCGTTCAAAAAGGCTCTAATAACGTCGTATTATTTACATTCAAGGTCAAATTTGGCCATACAGGCTATTATAACTCTAAACGATCTTATAGCTAAAGTTGTTACGTATATACTTTCTTCGGAAGCCTCTTATAAGTCGCCACGCGCTACGAGCCTAGCTTTATACTTTGTAAGGTAGTTGTCTTAGTTAAACTTATAAGTCTATACCTATATAAGTGGTATTAGCCTTCTAAACTTCTTCTTACGGTCTCGTTCTCTCTATATACCCTTTATTATCATGGTTTTAATCTTATTATATATAGCTTATAAGAAACCATTTACGTGTAAATATTTGCCTAATACATGAAAATTTTTAAGAGGAGGTAAGAGTTTATCTCTATAAACACGCTGTTCAAGTAAAGGTATAACTCCTAGAGAGAAGTTGCCGTAGTTCGGAGCGTTATAAGCTTTAAAGCCTAAGTCCGGAGCTTCTTCGGTCGTGTGTTTATAACTTAAGAAGATCGCCGCCACGACAATATATAGAGTTTAGTATGACTTTTCTTAACTCGGTATAGATTTTAGGAAAGTAGATTTAAACTCTCTCCACATTAGGTCTTTAAGGATAGTGGCGAACACTTTATATTAGTTATCTAATAGTTTCTTAAAGGCCTTCTTAATTCTCTGGCTCTTACGAACCGGTGGTTCTTTGCTCGATTAAGCTTAGTCCTAAGCTTTATTACGCATTGGGATATAAACCTTAATATTTGTAACGGGAGCTCTTATTTAAGCACCTGGATTTTCGCCGAGCTAGGGAATGGGATTTCCTTACTCGGGTAATATATTAAGTGCTCCTTAATCTTCTTAAGCTTCGGATTCCTAATCTTTAAACTCTAGATCGGTGTCTTCCCCTGGTTAGTGGCAGTGGTCTAATAAGTCCGTCGACTAACTATTAAATACGCCACTCCTCGGAGTAAGATTTCGCTATACGCGTTAGGATGTGTTTTCGTTCGGTCTTTTAGGCTCGGTATAGTGCACTTTACGGGCCAACCTACTAGACTACACCCCCGAGCTCGTAAAGAGCGAGCCCTAAGCTTTATAGCTCTGTACATCTTTTGTACTTGTATTCTAATTAAGCACGTGTTATGCTATTCCCGAACGCAATATTGTCCTAGTATCCTAAGTCCACTCTACGCCGGTAGCATATAGCTTAGGCGTACCTTTTAAGGACGGGAGTCCGGATCTAGCGTTTCGTAGCTTAAGTGCTTTTAGAGCACCTAAGGAGACTTCTACTACTCTAGTTCCCTCGGATTAGAGCAAGGATTAACCGTTTCCTTAAACTTCCTCGGGCTAGACGATTTAAGTAACTATGTTAGAGGTGCTCCTATGCCCCTCTTATCTTTCACCCCTTAAATCGTGAACCGCGTTA